ATGAGTTTCGTGTTAAACGACACCGACGAGCCCACTTAGAGGTCCTCCCAGGGTTAAAATATATTGATGAAATGTTGTGCGTGTCTTCGGTGTCGTCAAGAGGAGAAGACTCAACCAACACGAAGCTGCTACAAATGCCGATACTAACACTCTTTCGTCGCGCTTTTGAATATCTCTACTCCAAGGAAGCCAAGTTATACCATCACGACGAGCATAGGCGATTAAATCATAAAAGATAGAAACAGATGCGATTGAGAGTCCTTGCATGCAGAGAAACAAAACGCCGAGCTCCGTCTCCTTGCTCCCGGCGGCGTTTCGCGCCAACATTTTCGCGAGACTATATATCGGGTCACATCTGCTAAGCAACATTCCTCCTAAACTCATTCGAGTAGAATTTTGCGCGGTGGAAGAGCGCCTCGACGACGTGTGCCTTCGCCGCAGAAAAATATACGAGAAGGAAGAGAGGAGCGAAACGTCGGTTAAGCACCACATTCTCGTTGACGACGAATGCAAAATCAGAAACCAGGGAAGAACGAGCGCACCGTACGCGTCGCTCGACCGTAACTGCAAGCGTGAATAGAAACAAATACAAATCGTCAACGCGACGAGAAGTCCTCTCGTTGCACTGATGTGATTCGCAGAGAATGCGCCGTCGTTGTCGTCGTTGTCATCAGCAATTTGCAAAACAACAACGAAAGCTGTCAGGAGAACACACGCAGATTTGTGGTTGATGGATAACGACACCATATCTCACCACTTCTCTTTTAACCCTAAAGACTTCGCTCTCGTTCTCTTCCTCACTTCATAAGATCTTTCTTTTATATGAATATATTTATATGTATACGTATACGCGTGCACGTGAGTATCGTATTCTCTTTTTGTGATGTAAAAATCCCCCACATACCTAATAAATTTTGAACGACAACCAAATCTCGTACATAAAAGTTTTGCACGAAACGTGAGCTTCTATACACCTATCTTTATTATAACTCTCTCTCGAGGTAAGGTAATAACGAAAGAAGAATGATAGAGAGAGCTCGTGAGAGTGATGAAGTTCTCGCAAAGCAAATTGAGTATCTCGCGAGCGTATTGAGTAGCATCGAGCATTGTCGAGAAGAAGAAGAGGATGACGAGAGAAAAGAAAAGTTCGAAACGAATGAAGAAGCAGAAGTAGAAGTAGAAGTAGAAGGAATAGGCAAATATCACGATGATGAAAATAATAATGAGAGCGATGACTGGGCGGACGATAATACTTCTTATTGGTGGCGCGAGGAACAAAAGAGCGGGGGCGAAGTTAGAATACTGGAGAGAAGAAGAAGAAGAGAAGTAGAATCAAATGACGGTTCAGACCAAAAGGAAGAGCGGAAACATTTGCAGTCCTTAATCACACGAATACGTGCGCTTCGGATGCGAGCAGAATCGATTGGTCGTCAAGTAGCGTAGAAAGAAGTCCAATATTTCACTTGTTCGTTAATGTACACGTATCCAGGCCTCTTGTATCGTGGAACACGTCTCGCGCTTTTCATATACTCTCGTAAGGTCGGGTGTTCGTCTTCTATGTGCGCTAAAAATCTCTCTAAATATTTCAGATTAAACCTCTCCCCAATATCAAAATCCGCAGACTCTTCCCTGAAAAGCTCGTACGCGGTTTCAAACAGAGCGATATCGCATAACGATAACGCATCTCCGACGAGGTACATGGACTGATTCTGTAACAAAATCTCGTCGAAAACTCTAAGCGACGCGAGCGAACGCTGCGATGGAGAGAACGAATTTACGCGCCGCATGTCTTGAAATCTAGGCGTCTCGTCTATTTCTCTATCGGTAATTGCAAGCAATTGGTCCATATCAAAGTTTTCTCCTTGGTGCGTCAAACCGTTGTTCCGTAATGTGGACCAGTGTTGCTCGTAAACTTCGTCTATTTTAGCGCGTTCGTCTTCATCTCGACCGAAGAGTTGCAACTTGCTCGCGAGGTATCGTGCGATTGGTTTCTCGTGCGCCAAGTCCTTCGTTTTCGTTTTGTCATAGTTTTTCAATGTCGGTGTCTTTCCATATGGGGTGGTGGTTTTCACGTCAGACCCCCACGGGACAAAACCGACCAGCTCCAACGCATATTTACACTTTCGAGCCTCGCAGAGCATTCTTGGCACCTCTATTCGATTTCTCATCGGCATATATTGGAAATGAAACGCGCAGTCACTCTCGTCGTCTTCACCTTCAATGCAATTGCATAGCAGTGTCTGATGTAACGTCGTGCTCCATAAATCTTTCGAATCGTGTAAGTGAGCACGCATCTCTTCCGCGCTTATTCTTGACAACAAGGCGACCGATGTAACTGTTTTACGACGCTTTTTACTCCTTCGTAAAGAACGAAAGCGCCGCCGTGACTCAGCACAGAGAAATCGTGTTTTGGCTTTATCAGGAGTATTAAAAGCAGTTTTTGTTGTTGTTCTCGAGGACGCAGTCGCTCTCGAGGGAGGCATTGTTGCGAAGAACGACCGGTCTTCGCGACAGCAATACGAGAACATTATTTCTTCTGACGAGAACAAGAAGGATTCTCTCATAAAAAAGCCGACGGTCGTATGAAGAAAAAGAAAGAAAAATACCTATACTCGTAAGTGTTGTCAAAAGAACGCGCCTTTATAAATTCGCGTTCATGATTTGTATTATTCGACTGCATCTTTGCTAAGGTTTTCGTACGCTTCTTTTACTCGTTGAAACGCCTGTTTTGCTCGAGGTAACGCGCATTTATCCGGGTGTAAACTTCTCGCGAGTTCTCGATACGACTGCGTCAGCCATTTCTTTTTCGATCCTCTCGGAAGATTCAAAACCGCCCAATCCGTCCCTGCTTGCAACACCCTCTCTATTTGTTTCTTCGTTTCATTTTCAGCGTTGGTTTTCTTCGCATCCGCGGTATCTTGTCCTCCATTTCCTACGTCTCCTTTGTTTTTTAGAGAGTCTTTGAAGCCCGAGAGAAGATTGCCGGCGCGTTTCGCCTTTTCTTTCTTCAACTCTTGCTCCTCCTTGAACCGCTTTGTCACCCGTTCTTCTTCCTGCTCCTCTTTCAATTTAGCTAATCTCGCCGCTTCTTCTACTTTTGCCTTTAATTCAGCTTTTTGCCTCTCCATCAAGAGTAACTTTTGTTGCAACTCTCGTTTTTTTCTCTCTTGTTCTTTTGCAAATGAAACCGACGGAGTGAACGAAGACGCGTTCGCATTTAACGAGTCTTTCCCGCCTCTCGAATACGTGTTCTTGCTCAGTTTCACTCTCTGATTATAGTTATGATGATTATACTCGCCTCCGTTATCGTTATAACCTCTCTTCTTTCCTCCTCCTCTTCCTCCTCCTCCTAGACTATAGTTGTTGTTGTTGTTGTTGTTGTTGTAATTCTCTTCTTTTGTTTTCGAAGACGTTGAATTCATCGTCGTCGAGTTTGTCGGTTCACCTCGGACCCAAGATTTGCCTCGTCCACCGAAACCACCACCGAAGCCACCACCACCACCACTCGTCGTGGTCGTCGTCGGCGCTCCGCCTCTTCCTCCTCCTCTTCCTCCTCGTCCACTCATCTCCTTCGTTTTGTGTGAAGGCGGTTTGTGATTTTCCAAATGAGGAAAAAATTTTAGAGTTTCATCACAAACAAACAAACACACAAACACACAAACACACAAACGCCAACGCGTGCGAGACAGAACTCGAGTACACGCGCATCAACCTCACCGAACAACGAGATTTCTCCCTTCCTAAGTGATGTTCGTCAATAACGACGCCAATCAGCGTCTGTGCGAGTCTCTCGTTTCCACTTCGTACGTTCGCCAAGCTGACGAAGCGTCGAAGCGACAGACAAAATTGTTCTCTCAACTTGTATCGAACAGAAAGTTACCGACGGACGGATGGAACGAACAAGTGATCGAAAGTTTCTTACTAGAGCTTTCGCAATTGGATTCGAATAATTTCTTAGATAACTGCGGGGTTGGGGAGCGCGAAGGACGCGTGTATTCTAAATTGGTTCAAAGGCGTAATTTTGGTTTGCACCACGGAATTGGACGGAGTGGCGACGTTTCCGCGGATCAACCGAAAGCAATAGGGAGCAGCATCATAGCAAAGCTGGCGAATATTTTAGTCGCGGATGCGATGAAGATATCAGGTTTGCAAAGTATAGATAGTACCACGACGTTGCTCTTACCGTTATGCACGGGCATGTCGTTGTGCTCTGTGTTCAACGCTTTACGAGCGCACCAACGAGAAGAACAAAATGCAAAAGAAGACGAACGACAAAACACGATAGTTTGGACGCGATTAGACCAGAAGACGTGCATAAAAAGCATACTAGCGAGCGGTTACGATGTTTGCGTGGTTGATCCAATATTAGAAAAGGACGAGTTGGTAACAAACTTACAGGCGCTCGAGAAAGAACTCTCCGCCGAAGAGAACGAAAATACTAAAAAAATCGCGTGCGTGGTCTCGTCGACGTCGTGCTTCGCGCCTCGAGCATCCGACGACGTCGAAGCGATCGCAAAGTTGTGTCAAAAATATAACGTAGCGCATGTGATAAATAACGCTTACGGCGTTCAGAGCAGAAAGTTGTGCGTTAAAATTGAAGCAGCCATGCGAAAGGGAAGAGTTGACTGTGTCGTTCAGTCGTTAGATAAAAATTTTCTCGTGCCGGTTGGAGGTGCAATCGTTTGCGCTTCAAAAGGAAACGGTTACTTGGTCGATAAAGTTCGTAAACTATACCCAGGTCGTGCATCGATATCTTCAACGTTAGACGTGCTCATCACTCTCCTCGAAATGGGTAAAACTGGTTACGAACGTTTACTCGACGAACGCGAAACGAACTACGAGAAATTGAAGATGGCATTAGAACGAACGGCTTCGAAATACGGCGAGAGGGTGTTAGAAACGCCAAATAATCCGATTTCTTTAGGCGTGACGTTGACGTCTTCGAGAAATGATCTGGTTACAAAATTTGGTTCCATGTTATTCACAAGACGAGTCTCTGGCGCCCGCACGGTTCCCATGCAAGAGACGAAGAAAATCGGCGACGTAGAGTTGAGAGGATTTGGAGCTTCTTTCTCGACATACCCGACAGCGTATTTCACGGCCGCAGCCGCGATAGGCATGCGCGAGAAGGAAATAGAGAGCTTTGAATTGCAATTAGAGAAGACGTTCAAAGATTTTGTAAAGTTAACGTAGTTGTAGAGTTGTAGTGACGATGAAATGAAAAAAAGGAAGGAACAGCCACAAATACCACTTCTGCCGCCACAATCTTCGTCGCGAATAAAAGTCGTCTGTTCGTATCAACACTACCGCATCCCCCATTAATCATGAAGAACAATAATAATAACAATCAGAGTAAAAAGCGGAAAGATGGTGCAAATACTACTAACAATAACAAATATAATAACAACAATAAAAGCAAGAAGAAAGTCAAACACACGATGAAGTTCGCGCCTTCCCGAGGCTTGAAGCCGTCGCAGTCAAACTCAAAACTTTACGCGACTACGCAAGAGCTTTTGGAGTGCGAAATCTCCGAGGTGCAAAGAATATTATCCGACGCGTTCTCACCAGACCGCCCGGATGCGTTGCGAGCAGATCCGAGAGCGTTCACCATGTTCTCGACCCGATTGAGAAAGCAAAAGCAATGGGAGAAATGCGTTGAAGTGTTCAATTTGCAAAAACTATTAGGGGTTGAGCGCAACACCATCTCATTCAACGCCGTCATGTCCGCAGCAATTAAAGGTGGGAATCCTAAATTCGCGCTCGGGTTATTTGCAGAGATGAAGAAGATTGGTTTAGATATAACGACAATCACCATAAACGTCGCCATGCAAGCATACTTGAAATTAAATGAACCGAACAAAGCTTTGGAGCTCTTCGACGCGCTCGTAGAGAAGAATGACACGGTGAGTTTGAATACCGCTATGGCAGCGGCTGAAATGGCTGGCGACACCGATAGATTAGCACAATTAAGAAATACAAATAGCAATGTAGAAGCACCAGTGGAGAACGGGAAAATAAACGGGGACGACGACGAGGAGAATGATTCGTCCTCCTCATCAACATCGTCTTCATCAACTTCGAGCGAAGAAGAAAATGAAGGTGATGAAGATGATGATGATGATGACGAAGAGGAAGAAGAAGAAGAAAGAAGACTAAGAATGAAGAAAATGAAGAAGAAGAAACAACAACGAAAAGAAGAAGAAGAAGAAGAGGAAAGGCGAAAGAAGAGTTTAGATGTAGAAACGAACGATGAAGACGATCCGGATTTAGCGTTGCGAAAGAGACGAGACGCGAGAAGAAAAAAGTTCGAGGAAAAAAGGAGGTTGAGAAAGTTGGAGAAAGGGAAGGAAAGGCAGTGGACGTCGGCGGCAGCGCACACGAAGCAAACAAAAAGCGAATTGCAGTTGAAAAGAAGTAAAATGAAAGGAAATCCAAAGGACTGGCTCAACGAAGATGAAGAAAGCTCTTCGAGCGACGATGAAGACGAAGAAGAAGAGGACAGCGATACGGAAACGCGGATGAGAAAATGGAGAGAGAAGATGCAACGAAAAGGTCTCAAATCCTCGATTGAAGACGAGAAGATCGATAAGTACATCAACGTCCATTCCTCCTCGCACGGGATGGATTCAGAAGACTTTTGGAAAGCTGGATTCTAGGTGTTATGCATTGCGCTATTTGATTCTACTAGACTTCAAAATCTCTATATGGATGATGAACATCACTTTAATCACCTCTTTTTCCTATTTTCTTTGCTGGATTGCCCGCCCATATTTCGTATTCCGGAATATCTTTCGTAACTACGGACGCGATACCTACGACAGCGTGGGAACCAATCGTAACGCCGTCGACGATTGAAACATTCGCGCCAATCCAAACGTCCCTCCCTATGGTTACTCCCTTTGATTTAACTTTTTGTAGCCGGACAGGTGTCGTTAAATCGTCAAAGCTATGGTTAAACGCGAAAATAGAAGTCGATGGGCCTATTCTCGTATCGCATCCGATGTGAATGCCTTTGCCGCTACCACCGTCCATGTGAACCGATTGGTTCAAACCCACGTTTTCTTCCAGAACACAAGGACCGTGAATGAAACATCCGCTCGCTATTCGACAGTTATTCTCAATGACTACTTTTCTTCCTCGTTCCGCGAAGATGTGGACGTTCTCGTCCGAGATGTACGTGTCTTCTCCTTTGATTTCTATGGTTTCCATTTGCATCAGTTTCTCTTGCCACTGTTTCTGTCTCTCTTTTGCAAACATTTTGTGTTTCTCGATGTCGTATAACCACGGCATGTGATTCAATCGATGGAAACACTGTTCGTAATACAGCGAAGAGGTGTTGTCGCTGTCGTTGTTGCTGTTGTTGTTGTTCATCTCTTTCATTTTCATCATTCGGAAGAAAGAAAAGGAGAAGAAGAAGGAGGAGGAGAAAGATTTTATTAGGTAGGGGTTTTGTAACGGTATGGACTGATGGAGGGAACAGGAAAAGGTGCTTATCCGTAAAAATAAAAGGAGAGAGAGATTAGGGGAATCCATTACAATACTCGTAATAATAATAAAGTAATATCACGATGGATAAATATCATCACACAATACTAATAGTAATACGCGAGTGAATAACATGTCGTTAATCTCTCGCATAGGCGCCAGAGCCAGAGCGAACGAAAACCACTGGGCCAAGAAAGAGCAAGAGATGGAGTTGCAAAAAAGGCACAAAAAGCAAAAGAACGAAGAAGATGAAGACGACGACGACGACGCTCGAAGAAAGAAACCGATGCTGCTCGAAAGAAGAGCACGTGGTGATGATGACGATAGTAATAACAACAGTAATAGTACAGAATACGATGGAGTTACGAAATTAGCGGAAGTCTACGCGAACGAGTTGCGTTTATCGGCGCAAGCTGAAGCGAGAGAGTTGAGAAAACACAAGAGGTTTGATATCAGCGAAGGAAATACCAACCGAGGACAACGGAGAGCTTTTCCAGAAAACGATGGCATGATTCGACGACGACGAGACCGATGGGGCTTCGAAGCTATTAAGTCTGATTTAGAACTCAGGAAAATCGAGCGTCAAAACGCGTCAGCGTCTGAACGGCTCGCGGCGAGGCGAATGCACGAGGTGCACAAATCGACCAACGCCGCCGCTATGCGCGCGCTCGTTTACGCGAGTTGTTTAGCAGTGTGCGGCGTCGTTGGTGGAAGCGTTTGCGCTTCTGCGTTTTTAGATGTTGCCAGCGTGGAAGATTTACGCAACGCAACGAAACGGAACTTTGAGCCTACGGTCATTCGAATACGAGAACGCGTCGACGCTTATAATAATAACAACAACGGTAGTATAAGTCACGAAGTAATGAGTGGCGGCATCAACAGACTTCGAGAGTCAATGGGCGGGAAGCGCGCGAATTTTCTCGACAAAGTGGAAGAGAGCGAATTCGTACTGGCGTTACGACGAGTGTTTAGAATGAAAGAGAAGAAGAAACCACCTCCGTCGTCAAAGTCGTAGAAGTAGAGAGTAATAGGTGCTGCTTTCTATTCGATGTCGCGCCAAAAGTTAACGTGACGCGCATGCGAAGCATATGTATTATTATTAGCAAATGGAAAGAAGAAGGAATAGCAGTGATTAGGTACTTTATTATTTACTACAACACGCGCGAAAGAATGTTATTGCTGTTCTTATACGTTTCGTCATGCCGCTTTTTTCCCCTCTCCTCCTTTCTCTCCTCCGTCGTCGACTTCTTTCTTTTCTTTTTCTCCTCCTTCTTCCTCCGCGCTCGCGTCTGAATCCAACGTTAAAATCTGAAACTTATCGTTGGTATACACGCACGTATTCGCGGCTATATCCATAGCTTTCTTCGCGATATCCATCGCGCTCAATCCTTCCACATCAACCAGAGCTTTAGAAGCGGCTAACGCGTAACTTCCACCGCTTCCGATACCGATGATTCCGTTGGACGGTTCCAACACGTCGCCGTTGCCGGTTATTTGAAACATGTGGTGTTTATCGGCGACAATCATCGTCGCTTCTAACCTTCTGAGATACTTATCCGTGCGCCAATTCTTGGCCAATTCCACGCAAGCTCTCGTCAATTGACCAGGGTGTTCTTCTATCTTTTGTTCCAATCTTTCAAAGAGCGTAAACGCATCAGCGGTGGACCCGGCGAAACCCGAGATGACGCCGTCGCCCAACTTGCGCACTTTAATCACGTTGTGTTTAATAATTTCCGACCCCATGGTCACTTGACCGTCGGCGATGAGAACGGTTTTGGAATCTTTCCGAATACCCAAGACGGTCGTCGCGTGCGAGGAGGACGTTTTGATGGAACGATTGGGTTGATGATGATGATGATGATGATTTGTCGCTGTGTTTCTGTTTCTGTTTCTGTTTCTGTTGGAATTGTTGTTGTTGTTGTTGTCGTTTCTGTTACAAAAACTTGGAATTGTTGTTATTGTGTGCACTGACGATGATGATGATGATAGAGATAAAGATAAAGATGAAGCGAATGAATCGATCAACCCATCTGCGGTGGTGATACTCGAGAGCGCGCATCTGCTGGGAAGACTAAAACGACCACATCGTTGCAACATGTTTTTTTCTTTTGAGGGATCAAAAATTTTCCACATCGTGCAGTACAAAAAAACAGTTACACACAGAAGTAGTTTTACCCTCTTCACTTAAAAACATATAACAGAAAACGAACATACAAACAAAACGCAATAATCATCGTCCTCATGGTATCATCAGTATCCTTATCCTCTGCTTTGAGTATCAGCAATACAAATAATAAAACTTCTTCTTCTTCATCCTCTCTGCACACGGAGAGAAAACATATAATTCATCCTCGTCATCAACATCATCATCGTCATCGCAACCAACTGTGCAACCAAAGAAGACACATCAGAAGAAGAAGAAAACAAGGAGTGTGTTCGGCTGCTTTGACCAACGGGCAGAAGGTTGCTTTGCACTACAAATTGACGAACGGAGAGACCAGCGAACTCATCGACGATACGTCCACGCGAGGTCAAGCTGTGGAGATTACGTTAGGAAGCGGGGAGTTATTCCCTAAATTGGAAGCGCAATTATTAACGTGCGAAGTTGGAAGTAAAGTGAAACTGACGCTCGAACCGGAAGATACGTACGGGAACTTTGACGAGAAGAAGATTCAAAAACAACCGATTTTACCGGAAGAAATGGTTCAAGTGAAGGAACAAGTGCAGCCTGGACAAGTCGTGCAGCTCGCACCAAACGTCATAGCGAAAGTCGTCGAGATTGGCGAGGACTCTTTGACGTTAGATTTTAATCATCCTTTGGCGGGATTGAAATTGACTTTTGAAGTCGACGTAATCGCGGTAAAAGACGCGCCAACACTTTTCGGAACCCCGATGGTTAAGTTCACACCTCCAGGTCAGCCGCGATAATAATCTGTAGTTTATATACAGATACATCTAAATACTGTATAATCTATCCATCATGATCAAGTTGTAAATTATTACTATTCTTCATTCCTTTTACTACAATTCTAACGCGTCTCTACTACCACTGCTACTATGTTTTGCTTCCCCGGAGACTTGTTCGTCCCGTTCTACTTTAACGACGACGTCGTCGTCCTCTCTGTTGTCGTAGCGCACTCTGTCCTCCATTTTCTTAATTAAATGTACGGTCTTATCGCCGCTAAACTTAATGACGATATAAACCCAGCTGAAGAGGACGAAAATGAGAGTGAGAACGATGCAACTCCAACACCCGTACTTTTTGTTTTTACGAAAAACAGCGGTCTGTCTGTGCGTCGCGTTTTTCGCCACGACGACGTTTTGGTCGAGTTTTGTTTCCATGCTATCTACTAATTTGTTGCTCCTGCTCAACTCTCGGGAAACTTCTTCGGCGTTCCTTTTGATTCGAGAGGCTAAGTCGACCATTTCGTCCGTAAGATTCTCTTGCATTTTCTTTTCATTTTGTAATAATTCATCGCCTTCTTTGGATATGGTAAACTTCTTCGGCGCGTAGAGTTTCTTCTTTTGTGTTGTTGTTGTTGTTGTTGTTACTGTTGCAACTGGGACGTCGACATTGTCTGCTGCATTTTTTGCCGCTGCCGTCGTCGCCAACGTGCCCGTTGCGGAAGAAGAAGAAAACGAAGAAGATAACGATGATGATGAACTCGGAATGGCTGAAGCAGTTGCCGAGACGAACGCGGGATGTTCGTACGCCGGCACTTTCTTTTCAATCTCGTTTATTTTCTCCTCGTAAGCGCGAAACTTTCGCTCGTCGCGCTCTTTCTTCGTATGGTTTCGTTTGTCGGTTTGATAGTGTTCGTCGTTATGTTCGTCGTCCTCATCGTCCTCGTCTTCGTCCTCGCGCGCGCCAACGAAAACTGCCGCGAGTAAAGTACTCCTCTTCTTCTTTAACTTCTTCTTATTATTATTTGTCCTGTTGTTAAAGTTCTTTTCTCCTTCTTCTCCTTTTTCTTCTTCTTCTTCTTCGAACGCGTACAACTCCTCCGTCTTTTCTCTCAGCGCATTCAACTGTCGACGGAGCGATTCCGCGTACACGTGCGGTTTCACGCCCGTTTTCCATGTCTCCACTTCAGTTGTTGCAGTAGTAGGAAGATGAAAGTTGTTCACAAACGCGTTCAACGCTCGAACGAATTCAATCTCCATCGAACGAACGTCCACATTTTTGTTCTTATTGTTGTTGTTGTCGTACGAGTCGTCCATTTTCTTTGAACCAAATAATTTGTGGAAGTTGATGGTGGTTCTGTGATGTGATGGTGATTCTCTTCTCGCGTTTCTTTTTTCTTGTGCATGCGAATTTTTTCAATTTTTCTCTCAAATTTGTTCTTTCATCACACATCAATCAATAGTCTTTTCATTCTTCTTCTTCTGTGTACACAACAGTTCAACTAAAACGTAACCACCATACGGGCTTAAATAAAAATGATGATGATGATGATGCACACTCCACTCCCCGTGCAACACTTGTCCTCGTCGTCGTCGTCGTTGAATATCTCAACGAAGAGAACTGCCGGCAGCGGTGGTGAGGCAAAATCCATCTTCACCGGTTCACCCAAACTTGTTTTAACGACTTTTTCTAATAATAGAACGCGACGAAGAAGGAAAGAAGGAGGAGGTCGCGCGAGAGCTTTAGCTGCGGATAGAAACAATAGCGTTGACAAAGCCGTCCTTCAAATCGAGCGAAAGCAGCAGCAACCACGCTCAATTGACACTTTACGGAACGAAGCTTTGGGTCAACTCTCGTCGACGACGATTTCGACGAAAGGAACAGAGCTGACGGGTAAAAAATTTGCAGGTTTCATCGCGGTGCCTTCTCAAGCGCAAGCAAACTCGCGAAGTTTCATCGCAGAATACTGCAGGAACATTAACCACGGCTCGCAAGCGGCGTTTTCTTTCGGAGGAATCCTCCTCGCCGCCAGTTTAGTAAAGATTAAAAACGTTTTAGATACGCCTTCGCGGACGTACGTCCAAGGCGAGAACACCGTCGGTAACGAGTACGACGCGTGGACGAAAGAAGAGATTTTGGAGTATTATTGGGGAGAACACATTCATTTAGGATATTACAACGACGATGATTTAGCGAAAGGTGCGGGAACACTTCTCGGACACAAGGTCAAAGACTTCATCGAAGCGAAGGAAGACTTTGTGGACGAAATGTTCAAGTTTTCCAAAGCGGAGAAATCAAAAGTGACGTCAGTTTTGGACGTCGGGTGTGGCATTGGAGGTGCCAGTCGACGCTTGGCGTCTGTATGCGTCGGTAGTGGAGCTCAAGTCACGGGCATCACTTTGAGTCAAGAACAAGCGAAGAGAGCGAACGATTTAGCCAAGAGTCAAAACATTCCAAACGCTAAATTTGAAGTCATGGACGCTCTGAACATGTCCTTCGCGGATAACTCGTTTGATTTGGTTTGGGCGTGCGAGAGTGGCGAACACATGCCAGACAAGAAAAAATACGTGGAAGAGATGATGCGCGTTTTAAAACCAGGAGGTTCTTTGGTTCTAGCGACTTGGTGTCAACGCGAGACGCCGCCGGAGTTGACAAAAGTGGAAAAGTCTCAGCTCCAATTTTTGTACGACGAGTGGGCCCATCCGTATTTCATCTCCATCCAAGAGTACGGAAGACTCGTCGAAGCGTGTAATCCAGGAGCGGCTGTTACATTGGACGATTGGACGAAACAAACGATCGTCTCTTGGAGGCATTCGATTTGGGCCGGCGTTTACGATCCTCTCCCCGTGTTTACGAGACCAAAAATTTGGTACAAGACGTTGCGCGATATCATTTGCCTCGAGCGAATGCAGCGCGCATTTAAACGAAAGCTGATGGTGTACGGGATGATGCGTGTCGTCAAGAAGTGAGGATATATATGCGGTATGTGTGAGCGTACAACTGTAACACATCATTCAGATATATGTATTTGTTGGTTTGATTAATGGTAGTATTTAAAAAAATTTTCACTTTAAGTTGTTGTTGTTGTCGTTTGATTTTAGTAGCTGCTAGTATGTTTTGAACACGAATTTACAAGATGGCGCGCGAGAGAGAAGAATTACTTTTGCAACTCGTTTCGTTTCGACCAACTCATCTTCGCCGCACTCATCGAACCATCCGTCACCGCGTGCACTTTCTGGGCGAACGACATGCGCTCCTTCGTGCAGACTTCGCAATCGTCGTCGTATTTAGCTATGTAGTCCGTCATCGGCTGGACAAAGTAATTCTGCACTTGTTCTTCCATGCCTTTCTCGCTGATGAAGTTTCGCACCCACTCTTGACCATTTTTGGCAATCTTTTCCGCTTTCTCTGGATTGCGCTCCGCCCACTCGTATTTAATCTTCAAATCGGTCAAATCCACCGCGACCGGAACGTAATGCACCCACGGTTTCAACTCGTCGTGGAAATGATCCTTCATCCCAGAATCGTGATGAAAGAGCAAACCCGGCATGGCTAACTTATCGATCGTACCTTGCCACGTGGTTCCACCGTTCCCACCGATATCGATGTGGTACTTGAACCTCGCCATTTCGCACTTGGTCATCGGCTCGACCGTTTCCAAACCTTTATACTGATCGTCGATATCGCCAAATCCGGGGATAACTTTCGGTCGCAAGAACTTAACGTCCATCCAATTCGGTTCGGCTTTCGATAACAACGCCGCGTGCAATCTCGGCGGCAAGTTTTGTTCGCCAACAGTCTCGATGACTTTAGCGGCGGATTTGTCCTGCAAACGCAAGCGAGCGTTTCTTTTGAAGAACAAAGCGGCGGTTTGTCCGGCGTCGTCGTTCGAAAAAGCGGCAACGAACGGATAATCCGCGCCTCTCCACACGACTTTCGGCGTCAACGTGTTGAACGGGACGTTGTCCCAAAGCTGCACTTCCCCGGCATCTAAAAACGACCAGTTTTCTTTCGATTTATCTTCGCAGTGACCTTCGTATTTGGTTTGCGGAACGAACCATCTGCACTTCCCGTGCTCCGGTTCGCTCTTCGCCGTCATGTGGCCCCACAAGCACTCTAAAGTGGAGAACGTCGGCATTTGCTTCAAATTCTCCATCTTTCGGTCGACGTGAGTTGGGACAGACCCAAAAGTGAACACCGGCGCGGGAAGTTTGGCGCATTTTTTGTTGTTGTTCGGGTTGGAGCACGGAATAGTTTGGTAATCCGCGTGCGAAATGACCACTCGAAACGGTCTCGGGTCGTGCACGCCGTCGAAACGTTTCGGGAAGTAGGTTTGTAACCCTTTTTTGATGAAATCAAACGTCCAACCGGGTCTTTGCCAACGATCGATGGAGGCGTCCTTCATCGCCGCCTCTTTCGACGGTCCCAAATCAAACATCTCGAATCCAGCTTGAGGCGTCCAAGAGAAAACGTGGAGACTGTTCGATTGACCTCTCGTTTTATCTCTCTCGTATTCCAACTGTCGAAAGGAGTCCGCGACGTCCTTCAGCGTGTAGTGTTCCGAGCCTAACAAAGAGGACAAGTTGTTGTTCTCGCCGTCGTCACCACTTCTTCGAAAGGACGGGAAAATTCCTTTCGTCCAGCCCGCGGTCTTTGATGCGAACCAGTTCGTTCCCGAGGTTGTCGTCGTCGTCGGTACTCCGGGTTCAGGCACGACGTCGACCGTTGATACTGATGATCCAGCACCCATCTTTTGTTGCACGGCCATGACGCACGAGACTCCGACAAAGGTGACGATTGATGTCGCGACGACTTTGGAACTCCACGAGGAGGAAGCAGATCTCCCACCCCCCATCGTGGCGCCATCGTCGTTTTCGACGACTTTGAGCAACTGCGTGGACTCTGGATTGGACGAGGAAGCGCCGTTGTGCGTTCCAATGCGGTACTTATACCCACCCATTGTTATTACTCCTTTAATAAAAACTTCTTATTAGTAGTAGTAGTAGTAGTAGTAGTAAACTTCAAGTATGTAGAGAGAGTGATTTATTCTCACGACTGTCCATGGTGGAGTTTGTTCTCTGTCAAGTGTTCTTTATCAGTTTTTTCAGAGGAAGAGAGAGAGAGAAGAGAGAAAGTGAAAAAAAAAAATGGGGGCGCGGGGAAAACACATTTTGTCTCTCGAAAATTCCTCCCAAAAACAAAAGAAGAAGAAAGGGAAGAGTTTTGGTTTTTAATCCCCCGCGGGGCGCTCGCACTTTTCATCATACTTCAAAACTTTATCAGAGTGTATCACGACAGAGAATAATACTGATACTACTAAGAAGAGAGCACTCTGATCTGATTTGATCATCAATTAATCATCATGTTTCGAAACCGAGGAGGAGGAAGAGGCAGAAAGAAACCATCATCATCCAAAAAGAAGGAAGAAATCAAACGCATTTTAGTGGACTTGACGGAGTATAAAACGACGCAATGTTGTGGCATTTCCTATTACAACCCGTTCGTGCAGTTTTATTATTACATGAGAAAAATGATCATCATTTATGGATGGCCCTTAGTCTTCATGATCGTCTCGGTGATGTTTGGCGTGAAAGGAGCGATGATTGGTTTAGTCGGGTCGAGTGGACTTCCGTACGCCCAAAAATACTTGAAATTGAGCGCGATTGAGATGCAAAAATACGGCATCGTGGCTTCGTTTCCGTGGACGGTGAAGCCTTTGATTGGGATGATTAGCGATGGAGTTCCTATTTTTGGATACAACAAGAGATGGTACATCGCCGCTTCGTCTTTAATCGGATCGGGTGCGATTTACTTCATTGCCACGTATAAGTTTGATCGATCGAACGGTTTGTATTACATCGCCGGCTTGACGCTCATCAACGCCCAAGTCGCCATCGCGGATTTACTCACAGAAGGGAAATACGCCGAAGCCATGCGATACAATCCAAGCCACTCTGCGTCTATGGTTTCGTACGTGTGGGGTAACATTACTTTAGGCGGGATTTTAGCGACGGTCTTATCCTACATCGCGCTTAAAGATGAAAACTATCATCTTCTCTTTTGGATGGCGTTGCCTTTTGCCGTGCAATGTTTTCTCACCTCGGCGAGCGGGTTATTGCCGGAATTGAGAGTAAAAAGAAGCAAGAAAGGCGAAGTTGTCGTCGATGACGACGAGGACGACGACGACGACGAGGAGGAGGACGATGGAATGGGACCGAGTAACGCGAAGAAATCTGTCACGTTTGCAGACAGTGAGGAAGACGAGGAGACGAAGAAAGCGAAACGAGAAAAAAGATCGATGAACATGATGGCAATCTTGATGGGTATCATTTGCGTTGTTATTGCTGGCATTCAAATTGCAGGTTTAGATGAGACTACAGTCTTAGCCATCACCTCGATTTCGTGCTTACTTTTGTCGATGTTGATATATTTCTTTCTGCCGAGACAGTTGGCAAAGGCGACGTTTTTCTTATTCATCACCTCCGTGCTATCGGTATCTTTCGGCGGAGCCATGACGTATTGGTTCACCGTCGATGCAAAATGCAATCCAGGCGGGCCACACTTTGACTACGTATATTTCACCGTCTACACGTCCATCGTTGGGCAATGTTCTGGAATCGTCGGTATTTGGTTGTTCAACATCTTCTTCTCAAAAGGGAGCTTACGAAAAGCGTTCTGGATTTCGAGCGTGATTTCGTCGCTCGGATCGTTTTTCGATTACGCAATCGTGAAGCGATGGAATGTGGACTATTTGAGCATTCCCGATAAAGCATTTTACATGTTTGGCGATGCGGTGTTAGAATCTATCGTCGGCATGATGGCGTACATGCCGTCTGTAGTGTTGATTGCGAAAATGTGTCCGAAAAATTTAGAAACGACAATGTTTGCCATTTTAGCCAGTTTTGCAAATTTAGGGGGGTCTTTAAGTGGTTCTTTCGGGACATTTGCGATGGATTACGCGGGCATTAAAACCGATTTGACTTCGGGAAGTTGCAACTGGGATAACTTGCCGAATCTCATCTTGATTTGCGGTATTTGCTTGCCGCTTCTCGCGATTCCTCTGACGTTCATCTTCGTTCCAAACATTTTGATGACGGATACTATCACAGATTTCGATAATTCCTCAAAGAAAGTTGGCGATAAGTACGTCACCGAGGAAGAAAAGAAATCTTTGATAAAGTGAGAAGAAGAAGAAGATGGAGAGAAAAAGAGAGAGAAGGATTCCTGTACAACAAAGATTTATTTATAGAAAAAGCAGCAAAGCGCTCGTAGCACCATTTTTGTAGTATATGTGTTTATAACAAAAACAAAAACAAGTATTCAATATAAATTACTAGCACCAATCGCAGCACAGATTAAAGAATATAAAACTACTACCTACTAGTAGTACTACTGTAGTACATGTGCAGCAAATTATTGCATATAAAACTGCTAAACTTGGCAGACTAAACACCCCATTAACCCTCCCGGTTGAAGTTCGTAATGCGTCGCTTCTTCGAAGCCCGCTGCTAAAGCTAAATCGACCAACTCCGGTCCAGTTGGAAACCTCTCAATGCTTGGTCTCAAATATTTATACTCCGCTTCGACGTCGTTCATTTTCGCGAAAGGGACGACGACGTTATCGAGAATAAATCCAGATACTTGATTGGTTGTCTCGTCTCTGGAGTTGTTGAAATCTAAGATGGCGACTTTAGTGCCGTTTTTTGCTACGCGTTTCAACTCGGACAACGCCTTTGGAATATCTCTCACATTTCTTAGCCCGTACCCCATCGTGATGGCATCGAACGTGTCGTCCTCGAATGGCAAATCTAAAGCGTCGCCTTGTACCCATTTAATTTTTGCCGTGTTCGTTTCGTTACTCGTCGACGGCGTCTTCTCTTCCATCTTTTCCGCCGCTCGCCTCAGCTGGTTTTCCGCAAAGTCCAAACCAAACACCGTTCCTTTGTCGCCAACTCGATCCGAAAGTCTCTGCGCGATATCACCGGAACCGCAGCAGACGTCTAGAACTGTATCTCCTTTTCTCGCTCCCGACCATTTCACCGTCGCTCGCTTCCATGCGCGGTGTAAGCCTAAAGATAAAACGTCGTTCAATTGGTCGTACACTGGCGCTATGTCGTTGAAGAGGTCTTGCCTCTCCGACGCGGCTTGAGTGGTTTGCTCGAACGGATTACCCGCAATATCAGAAGAAGATGATGATGTGGAAGCGACGAGCGCAGTTCTCTGTCCTCTTCCTCTTTTCCTTTCCGTCGTTGCAGTCGCGTTTTTAGTACTGCGCTGACGCTGCTTTGGAGGAAAGGACGAGGAAGAGGAAGAGACGCTTCGAGAAAATCTTAAATGCTGTTTCCTTTGTCTCTGTCGTTGTTGTCGTGTGTTTGTGGCGGATGTGGTCGTCGTCGTCGAATGCATTCTTGAAAAGGAGGCCAGTTAGTTCCTTCGGATGGGCGTCTTGCTCGTTCCCGTAGGATGATGAGACAGATGATGATGATGAGAGTGAAATGTGGTGTTCTTTTTTAAGAAAGAAGGAATTTTGAGAGATGAAGTTTTTTTTGTTATCCCGGGAAAAGAGAGAAAATACACGAGGGGAGGCCAAGAAAAAACGCGACTCTTACTTCTACTGCGACTCTTACTCTACTACTCTTACTCATCACTCCTATTCTCATCGCTGGTAGTATTGATTGACGACAAAAATGACGAGGAGGAAGAGCGTGTCCTTCTTCTCTGCCAAGGGGCCATTAATGCTGCTGCTGCATTACGTCTTCCTCTTCGTTTTGTTTCTTCTTTTGTCTCCTCCTATCTTGGCTGCTGCACAAACAACCACGAAGAAGTCGTCTTGTCCATTAATTGGAGAGAATGCCGATATTACGAAAGGTAACGACGACGAGATAACGAGTTTTACGAAACCCCTCCGTTCATCGTGCGGAAGTGATATTCTTTCGAGCGATGGCGCGTGTACGATTTGTGCGTCAGCAATTGATACTCTCATCCTCTCCAGGATACCATTGACCAGCGAAGAACTGAGAACATTTGATATGAAAGCGTGCGGAGCTTTCTTCATCGAAAGCGGCGCATCCGTCACAACGCTTCTCGGCATGAGAAAGTGCGAGAGAGAAGAATCTGCGGCGTATCGTACGCTTCTAAACGAGGAGAAAGGGCGAAAACAAGGAGAAGGAGGAGGAGGAGAAGAAGAAGAAGAAAAACGGAGAAAAGAGGATAAAGCGGGGAGAGATCCTTCCGTGTTGTATTGCTTCTTGTTCTTTTGCAGTTTTCCACTACTCGATATTGGAATCAGTGAGAAGTTAATTCCTTTTTACTTTGCGTTTGTGTTCATAATTTCGTTGGGAGTTTTATCTGTAATGTTGTGCAAGCTATTTCTCGTTCGCCAACGTCAAAGACGACGGCGGAAAGAAAAGGAAATAACGCGCGAAGACGACGTGGGCAGTCAAAGTCCCTCTCGTTTAACTAGTTAGTTGCTACAGGTATTGGTTGTTATTGGTTTTAAACGAAATTATATTCCAAAAAGTAGTAAATTCAATACACTCATTCTCATGATCTCTTCTTCTATAACGCTGATCTCTCTCTTATTCTATTATTATATATACGCTTCACTCATCACAAACAAAAATTTACACGAGAAGTGATCCTTAGGCGGCGGCTTTGGCATCAGCCTTGGCCTTTTGGAGCTCTTGTTGGATATTCATCGGCACCGGTTCGTATCTCGCGAGCTTCATGGAGTAGTTCGCTCTGCCCTTCGTCATACCTCTTAATTTGGAAACGTAGTTGAACATTTCCGCCAACGGCACGAAGCACAAGACAGTCTTCAATCCACCTGGCTTGTCACCGAGCTCACCAATTTGGCCTCTTCTACTGTTCAAGTCCCCGATAACATCACCCATAGATTCTTCCGGGCAGATAACATCGACTTGCATCATCGGCTCGAGAAGCTTCGGCCCGCACTTCGGGATACCTTCTCTGAACGCAGCCTTGGCGGCGATTTCAAAAGCCATGACGGAGGAATCGACATCGTGGTAGCCGCCGTCAAACAACGTGGCACGAACATCAACAACCGGGAAACCAGCGATGACACCCGTCATCATGGAATCCTTCAAGCCCTTCTCGACACCCGGAATGTATTCTTTCGGGACAGAACCACCCTTCAAGTCAGTCGCAAACTCGAAGCCTGTTCCCGGTTCGAGCGGTTCAAACTTGATTTGAACGTCGGCGTATTGACCGGAACCACCAGATTGCTTCTTGTGCGTGTATTTGATGCTCGCCGGCTTGGAGATGGATTCTCTATAGTTGACTTGCGGCGCACCGACGTCAGCTTCAACCTTGAATTCTCTCTTTAATCGGTCGACGATGATTTCCAAATGCAATTCGCCCATACCTTCGATGACGGTTTGGTTCGTCTCTTCGTCGCGAGTAAAATGGAAAGAAGGATCTTCGGCGGCCAACTTGACCAAACCAGTAGACATCTTCTCCAAATCCGCCTTGGATTTCGGCTCGATGGCAACCTTGATGACTGGATCAGGGAATTCCATTCTTTCCAAAACGATGGGTTTGTCGTTGTCGCACAAAGTGTCGCCAGTCGTGGTATCTTTCAAACCGGCAACGGCGATGATATCACCAGCTCTGCACATTTTGACATCGTTTCTTTCGTTCGCGTGCATTTCCATCAAACGACCAATGCGTTCTTTTTTGCCCTTGACGGAGTTGTAGACGTAAGATCCACTTTCCATAACACCTGAGTAGACTCTGACGAAAGTCAAAGTGCCGACAAACGGATCCGCCATGACCTTGAAGGCCAAACCGGCGAAAGGTTCGTCATCGGACGGCTTTCTCGCCATGACTTTTTCAGCGTCACCTTCGGCGGAACCATTAACGTCAGGCAAGTCAGTCGGCGCCGGGAGGTAATCGAGAACGGCATCCAACAGCGGTTGCACGCCCTTGTTCTTGAACGCAGAACCGCACGCAACCGGGACAAAGTCCAAGGCGATGCAACCCTTACGGATGCACTTTTTCAAGTCTTCAACGCTCGGTTCTTCGCCTTCCAAGTACATCATCATGATATCCTCGTCTTGTTCAACCGCAGTTTCGATGAGTTGAGCTCTCATTTCCGCGCACTTTTCTTTCAAGTCATCCGGAATTTCTTGGTATTCGAACGAGGCGCCGAGTTCTTCCCCGTTCCAAACGATGGCTTTGTTTTCAACTAAGTCAACAACGCCGGCGAATTCTTCTTCGGCACCAATCGGGACTTGGATAACGAGCGGTTTCGCGCCCAAGTTCTTGACGATCATATCGACAGTTCTGAAAAAGTTAGCACCCATTCTGTCCATCTTGTTGACGAAGCAAATTCTCGGGACGCCGTACTTATCCGCTTGTCTCCAAACGGTCTCTGATTGCGGCTCAACGCCGGCAACAGAGTCAAAGAGGCAGATGGCACCATCTAAAACTTTCAAGGCACGTTCGACTTCCAAAGTGAAATCGACGTGACCCGGAGTGTCAATGATGTTGATACGGGAGTCTTTCCACGCGCACGTCGTCGCGGCGGAGGTGATGGTGATACCTCTCTCTTGTTCTTGTTCCATCCAATCCATGGTGGCCGCACCTTCGTGGACTTCTCCAATCTTGTGAGATTTACCGGTATAGTAAAGGACACGCTCGGTGCAAGTAGTTTTACCCGCATCGATGTGCGCCATGATACCGATGTTACGGTACTTCTCCAACGGCACCACGCGCGCCTCCGCTTCTTCTTTGGCAGCACGAACGATGACGTTCTTTCTCGAGGCTTTCTTCGAGGAGCCTTTCGCGCGAAGCTGTATTTATTTTATCAAGTTTTGTTATACGAGTATATAGAGAAAGAATAAAAGCGGTCAGTCTTTGTGATGATGATGATGATGATGATGATGAGTCGTTCGTAAGGACGGACGCGCGTCCGTCCTCCGGTCTGTCACTTTTTCTTGCCTATTTTTATAATCTTTCACCTCACCCAATCATGAGTGAGATAGATTTCGCGTGTGACGGCGAGAGGAGTAAAAACAGATTACGCGCGGCGAAAAGTGACACCGAGCACACGTTGGAGCGAACTGAAAGACCGCAATTCTCGTACTCAAAGTATTTGTACGCGAGAATTGCGCTCTTTCAGTTCAAAAGGAACATCGGAAGACCTCGTCGCGCTCGATGAAGCTTTTATCCATCTCATCACTGTGGACGTCACTCCGCCCCCAAATTGAGCACGGTGGGCGCTTTTTTTTCTCCCAAATTCGCACGACACAACAAAGGAGGAAAAAAATAATAATACTAACGACAACGTACCGCCGAGGCATTGGTTAACACTCTGGATGAGCTGAGCGCGTGAGACATTTTAGTTTGTGAATGATTGAATGTGCGACAATTTAGTGACGTTTGAGGTTCGCGTGCGCTCTTTTTGCTTTCTCTTCTGTTCTTCTTCGAAGATGATTTTTCAGTTTGCGCCTAAAAAAAAAAAGAGCAACACACACAAAAGTAAAAGGGAGAACCAGAGCCGCAAACTCGACTTTGTGCTGATGTCATCAATAAAGCAGCGAAAAAACAAAAATAAGCACTCGTAGAAAATCGTAGAAAACGTCACTCCAAACACCTCTTTAAAACAACAAGAACAAAAGATGTTCACGCTCGCGGCATCATCTTCCACCGTCGTCGTGGCAGGACGCATCTCGTCCTCCTCCTCCACCTCTTCTTCCTCGAAGACGAGCGCATCCATTCCTTCTTTGGGTGGTGGTTTAATCAGCAAGAACTCAAAAACGAATAATTTCGTTTCCTTTCATAAATCATCATCAACACAAAAACAACAAAAACGAGGAACCCGAGAAAACGTCGTCATCAGAGCGACGGAGAACGAAGAAGATGAATACATGTTCAAACCGACGGCGAACGCGGGAGGTAAAGGCGGCGTCTTAGATCGCGATAACCCTTTGTTGGAGGAGAAATTTGCAGTCATAGGCGACGGCGAACACGAGTAAGTCGTTTTATTCTTTGTATTCTCTCTTTCTTTCTGTCAGTCGTCGTCCGAGAAGTTTTGTTCTATCTTCTTTGTCTTCTTTTTGTCAGTCATCATCTTTTCAAGGGAGCGAAAATATTGACGACAATAACAACAAACTCATCACGCTCTCTATCTATCCATTTATCCATCATCTATCGTTCCTCCACCTCATCAAACGAAACAGATGCCAATCGTGCATGTACCAATATTCACCAAAGAAAGGGGACGACTTCTATCCAGTCTCCGCGGGAACGCCGTTTAAAGACTTGCCAGAAGACTGGAACTGCCCGGTGTGCGGCGCGTCCAAGTCAAAGTTCAAATCCATCGGCAAACAAGTCGCTGGCTTCGAACAAAACCAAGGTTACGGGTTTGGAACGAACAGTATGACCGAAGGCGAAAAGTCAAAATTGATTTACGGCGGTTTGGCTTTATTCTTTGTGTTCTTCTTGGCTGGATATTTGTTAGAATAAAAAAGAAGAAGAAGCGGAAAGGCGAAAGAAAGACTAAGCGCGCATTATTCTTTCTACTTTGGAATGTGGCGTCGTCGTCGTCGTGTTTACTCGATTGCACACGCGCTCTTTTAATAATACTATCTATTGCTACTACACATACTGCTCACATTTTAAGTACGGTTTTCCCATCGCTCGCTCGCGACGCGTTTTCGCGAAGAACGACCACAAAAGACGTCGTCCAAACCTCACAAAAAATAGGTGAAAGAGATGTCGATGATGGAAACAACAACAACAACACGAACTCGTCTGCGAGGACGAGATATTCGTGCGATCTTCTCATCATCACCACCACCACCATCTTTTTTCCTTTCTCATTGCGCACTACTCGTCGTTTTGTTGTCATTCATATATGTCGTTGAAGCTTCTTCTTCATTTTCATCCTCATCGTCCTTCGCATCCATGTCGGAGCTGAGCATGTCGCACGTGCAGAAAGCCATCGATGAACTGCAAGAGAAACGAAACGAAGCGATTGAATACACGACTGAGAACAGGAAATCTTTAGACGTTATCCCAGAGGCGGATGATTTAGATCAATTAGAAAGAGAGGAAGAGGAAGAGTCCAGCTCAGTGAGCGTGTTGTTGGGTGGACAAATAAGCGAGTTGGCGTTAGCGAACGCGAAGAAAAATACGAAACCGAAACCGCCGACGTTTGGGAGTTGTTCTTCTACGTCTGACTGTCAAGGGGATCGAATGTTTTGCATCGACGGTAAGTGCAGATGTCCGGTGTTCTTTCCAGATGGAGAAAATTGCGACGTGCCGAGGGAGCCAGAAGATGGAGACTGGTGTTTGACGCCGCTCAAAGAGTGGCCGAAAGCTGGGCCGAAATACAAGAAGAACAAGAAAGTGTTGCACGACTTTAGCACGTGCGCGATTGTAGGGTCCGCGGGAACGATGCGAAACTCAAACTTAGGCGGCGAAATTGACGCACACACTGCGGTCTTTCGATTCAACGAGGCGCCACACAAAGGCTACGAGAAAGATGTCGGTTCAAAGACGACGCTTCGATTCCAAAATCGCGACCGATCGGGATTCGCAGAGAAGGATGGAGAAATTTGCGTCGTTCGGGAAGGGAAGTGGTACAAGGGACAAAACTCGAAGGGAAAGTGTAGATTAGAACAAATGCCGGATAAGGTGGAAAAGTACGTCGACGGACACTGGAAAGTACACAAAACAAACGCGCCGAAGGATGTTGGACGACCGTGGATGAGTAACGGGATGGCGGGCATCACGTTTGCAATGCACATGTGCGCACGAGTCGATGTCTATGGTTTCACTTTCGGTACCGGGTATTATTTCAAGAAGTATTTAGGTAAAGCTAAGGATTGGGGACGTCCAGGTGGGTTTATTCGCCCGCCAAGCAAAGGTTTAGCGAACAGACACTCGTGGATAAAAGAGCGAGAGTGTTTATTAAAGCTATCGGAAGAGCTTCCGAATTCAGTTATCGTACACGAGTCCGCTCAAAAGGGCGGCAGAGGTGGTGGTTTCGCACATTCGACGAAAGGACGTCGTTTATTGTTGAACGATACGGCAACGATGCACTGAAGGAAACAACAATTAGCGAGCTCATGCGTTGTAAGTAACCTTTAATTAGATTCATAAATTATTATGCACGTGTATATAAATAACAAGAATTTTTAAGCTTCGTTCTCCTTCTGTTCCGCCTGTGTGCCACATTTAGAGCTTCAACACCTGGACCGTGATATCATCGGTGGAGCCACCTTTCACGGCGGCGGCGATGAGTTCTTTGGCAACGGTTTGCGGGTCAGCAGTCGTCGCGTTCAACATTTCCGCGATCTTTTCGTTCGTCAAACCGCCACCCCCGCCTCGGACTTCGTTCTCGAACAAACCATCGGAAGCGCACAATACCCAAGTGTCTTTCTCCGTGATTTGTTCAAAAGCGCAATCTGGTTCCGCGTTCAAACCAAATCCAGACCCATAATCGGCATTCTTCTCTCCGATACCTTCGAACTTCCCGGAAGTTTTCAAAAAAGAATCACCAAACGCTCTCGAAAGCGCCAAAACGCCGCCAACTCTCCACGTTCCATTCGTAAACTCAACCATCGATTTTCTCAAGTTCGGGTTTCCTCTGTCGATTCTCTTTCTCTCGTTTTCATCGTCCGGAATGTGGTCGACGGAAAGTTGCACCGCTTTCCCGTCTCTGATTAACAAAACTCTCGCATCTCCGACGTTCGCCGTGCACAATTTATTGCCATCAACGATTGCCGCTAAAGCCAAGGTACTGCCGCACTTGGCGCCGCCGATGCCGCGTTCGCCGAAGGATGCCCAAAAACCTTCCGGGGGCGCAATGCACACTTCATCGCACTCTATGCAACTCTCCGACAACGCCTCCAACGGAAATTTATCTGGATTCATATTCTTTGTGATCGTTTGATGTAAATTTTTAGAGAGCCAATCCGAGACGGCATCGCCTCCGTGACCATCCAAAGCAGATATGATTACCGAAGGTTTCCCTGGTTGCGGAGTTGGGTTAAACGTCGCCGCTAATCTGTCTTCATTGCTTTTTCTGACCGTACCTCTGACGGTAGCAGAACCTAAGTTCTTCTCCGAGTACACCGCATTGACGACGACGACGGCACCACGACCAACCTTTCTGTTGTTGTTGTTGTTGTTCGTCGTGCTCTTGAGAGAGGAAGACGTCGTCGTCGTGGAAAGTAATCTTCTCGAAAAAGAAGAAGAGGAAGAGGAAGAGGTGATACTACTCGTCGTCCTCGTCGTCGCGGCATTGAAAAGTGATGCGCTCATTGTTATTATGTTTTATTATACTCTCTTATTATATTTCAAAGTTTCAATCGTTCTTCGTGCGCGCGCAGTTAAAGTGTGATGTAGAAGAGAAGAGCGGAGAAGAAGTAGATATCCGTCCGATGCGTTTTTTTGTCCGATTTTTTTTTTGTTTTTTGTTTTTGGTGGTTGAGAAAGCGAAAGGAAAAAAGCAAAAAGAGGAGGAAGAGAAACTTTGACGCGTATTTATAATCTGTGTGTGTAATACATGTATCGACTAATAAAGATTTTCGTGAAATATTAACAACAAAGCATGAGTACATCTATCCCCCGATATGTGATGGTCAAGATTTAACTATGCATATATATATACTCTGTCTTAGATAGCCACACCAGCCTCTCTACAACCGTCCGCTACGGCTTTTACTCTGCCGTGGTACAAAAATCCTCCTCTATCAAACACGGCAGATGTGATGCCGGCGTCGACGCACTTCTTACCCAACATCTTACCCAACTCACTCGCCGCAGCCACAGTCTTCGTTTTCCACTCTTCGGAACCAACGACCGCTTTGACCTCTTGACTCTGCGTACCTAAGGAAACTAAAGTCTTTTGCGCGTCGTCGTCGATGACTTGCACAAAGACGTGTTGGTTGCTTCTGTACACGCTAATTCTCGGCCTATCGGCAGTTCCAGTGAGTCTGGAACGGATTTTTCGATGGCGCTGCTGTCTTTTCGCCTCTTTCGGCGTCAAGCGAGCGACCGTGGTCACGACCGTTTGCTTTTGTTGAGCTGTTGTTTAGAAGAAGAAGAAGAAGAAGAAGAAGAAGAGTGAGTAATTGAAACAAATTGGTTTTGGAGAAAGAAATTTTAGAAAAAAGTGGATAAACCTCTCCTCCTCCTCCTCCTTTTCTCCTCCTTTCCCAAATTTCTCTTGAGGTTTTCGAATTGGCGAAGATGCGCCTGGCAACGCACGCGCGAACACTCAAAGTGCACGTAACGCCATACAAAGATAGAAAAGTATCCATAGGATATGATTACTCTCTTTATTCACGCTTCGTGTGCTCTCTGAGTGATGTATCTCGCGGTTTCCTTACTCACGGTCGACCCAAATCGACGCCTCCGAGAAAATGCGACGACGAACGAGAGAGGAAAAGAGCAAAAAAAAGACGCAAAAAATGTGCCCGGAATTCGCGCGGACTATGCGCGACGCGAACTATGCACGCGCGTACCTCTACTGTTCGTGGACGTGGTAGGAACCGACGTGCCGACTAACGCTGATCGCATGGAGAGAGAAGAAAACATGATGATTCCCTTTTCACTTTTTTTTCCGCGCTTGTTGTGACGGATTTGTTTGTCTTTCTTCCTCGCGAACGCAGAGAGGAGAGAGGTTTTTTCTTGGTTTCCTTCTCAATCGATTCCTCAAAAAAAGAAGAGAGAAGAAAAGGGAGACAGAGGTGTGTTTGTGATACTTGATGAAATCATGTTGTTCGTTTGTTACACGTCATCGTGAAGATAAAAGAAGAAGAAGAAGAAGAAAGTAAAGCGAGGAAGAATGAAGATAATTGTCATCAGTGGAACCTCCGCTGGGGTTGGTAAAACCACTCTGGCCATAGGTCTCATGGCAGCTTTAGAACAAAGAGGATTACGAGTGCAAGCGTTTAAAGTTGGACCGGATTTTAACGATCCTTTAAGACACGAACGAGCGATTAACCGACCATCACATTCTTTGGATGGTATCATGTTGACAAAAGAATATAACATATCGACCGTAGCTAAATTTTCGAGCGAGTGCGACGTGGCCATTGTCGATGGTCTCGATGGGTTATTCGATGGATACGATCCAAACTCTGAAAACGGTTCCACCGCGCAAATGGCAAAGTGGCTGAAAGCTCCGGTTATATTAGTGTGCGATTGTGACTCAATGGCACGATCGATAGCCGCAGTTACGAGAGGATACCAAGAATTTGATACCGAACTCTCGATTGCGGGTGTTGTGTTCAATAAAGTAGGATCTTTACAACACGCGAAACGATTGTCGGAATCGATGAAATCGTCGAATGTAAACGTGGTCATGTGCGGGGCGGTTCCCAAGGACACAAACTTACTCGTCATGAATGGGAACGCTCCATCGTCCTTGCCATCATCTAACGAGTATGGTGGACTCCACAATAGTACCAACAATAATTCCTCGGGTTCATTCACCGGCGATGGATCCCCGAAGACACCATCGTCGACGGAGGATTTCCAAAATCCGTCGGCGTCATATTACAACAATAACAACAACAACAATCATCATTACCATCATCATTTGAACGGTAATGGGCCGCAGAACGGCGCGTCACCGAATTCCAAAGAGTCCATCGCTTTGAAAATGCAAAAGATCGCAAAGGTATTTGAAAATACCGTCGATATAGATGCAATTTTAGCGTTAGCAAAAGATTTTTCCATCGCGGAATTCATTTCGGACGATACAAACTTCAACGAAACTTTGTTGACGTGCGCAACTTCGTCAACTTATGGCGGCCGATCCTCCAGTCCAGCGCATACGATGGTTGCCAGCAGTAGTAGTAGTGCTAATAGTAAAAGTAGAAGAGACGCGGAGAATATGCTCGCGAGCCCCACGAAAACGATACGGCCAGACGGAAGAGTACGCGTCGCAGTTGCGAGAGACGATGCTTTTTGCTTTTTTTACCCAGAGAATCTGAATTTGTTAGAACGCGCCGGCGCAGAACTAGTATTTTTTAGTCCAGTTGCCGGTGACGAGCTTCCGAGAGGCATCGCAGGCGTTATATTTCCCGGTGGTTATCCCGAGTGCCACGCAGATGCGTTGACGAATAACCGGCCTTTACGCATGGGAGTCACCGCCTTTGCTTCCGCGGGAGGCGTAGTTTATGGCGAGAGCGGTGGTTTGATGTTTTTGAGCCAATCGCTGACGTCATCCGATTCATCGAAACCTAGGTATATGTGTGGATTAGCTCCGTTTGCGACGAGATTCGCGCGAACGGAAACTCGAGGGTATTTAGACGTCAGAATTAGTATTGGTAATCCACTTTTCCCTCCTGGAGAAGTTGCGCGAGGGCAAAGAGTACATCACTACGAAATTGTTGGTGAAATTCCGCAAAAGATCAGGTCACAAGACGATACGAATTCTCCTATTTCTGGATGGAGAGCAACTTATGATGTGAAGCCGTCTTCAGTGGAGGACGATAGAGCTCAGAACGATTATGGAGATGGAGTTGGTGGAAGTGCATCCGAGAAGAATAGTAATTTGAACAGCGGGTCGAATTCGTCAGTCTCGCTTGAACGAACGTTTTCGAACTCTTCCTCGACGAGTGCAACCATGATTGATAATACCAACAATACTGGTGGTGTTGCCACCACCAGCGGTGGAAATAAGAACATGCGAGAAGGATTTGCTTGGAATAACGTGTTGGTATCTAACGTTCACTTACATTTTGGAGGGAATCCAACGTTTGCGACATCTTTCGTGAAGTCGTGCAAATCTGTGAAAGCGGAAGCTACGATCGCCGCCCAAAAAGCAGCAACCGCGGCGAAGCGTTTGGCTTTGGAAGAAGACGTGGTGAACGAAATTAGAAGTTTAAGGAATGGAGGAAGACCCTCGATGAACGATCTGAACAATTACGCCGGAGGAACTTCTAACACCGTCGCCATGAGGAGCGATTTGTACGGTGTAGTTGGTGGTGGCGGTGGTAAGCCGCCGATGATAAAGCGGAGGGATTCAGAGCACGACTTGTCTAGAGTTCCAAACGATCGTTATAAAGCAGCTGGGCATTCCAGAAGATTATCTTCCGGAGATATGGATTTGGGAGGAACTGGTGAGTTTGGGATATCTCCGAGCCGTGCCAGTAATGCTGGCGGTCCGTTCGCCAACCATCAGGCCACTTTGACTGAAGTCCAAAATAATCTCTCCGGAGCTTTTAATATGTTTAAGTCAAGATCGATGAATTTGCTCGCGCAAGCCACGGGATCTCATAAGCAAGACATATCCATGCGATCGAACGCGAGCTTTGGGTCGTTACACAGAATTCATTCCCAAGCTGATTTTTTGAACGAGAAAGAGGTGAGTTCGAGAAGTAATTTTGGTACATCGGGAGAAGACGCTTATAACTCCATGAAACGCGGTCATTATCACGCGCCTGCGCTTGTGAAAGTTCCAGAACCTGATTCGGAGGGATATATTTGTAGTCTTTCGCCAGCCGCCACGGAGATGGTGTACGCCCTCGGCTTGGAACATAGGCTCGTCGGCATCACTTCAGACTGCGATTATCCAAAAGGTGTGCAAAGAGCGCATTCAGTCATGACCTCTTCGCGCTCGATAAATGAAACGGGGAATGGAAAGTCTAACTTTCTCGGCGGTGATTCTTCGAACAAGTCCACGCACTCGAGCTCGGGATATGGATCTTCGCACCGAGGCGACGCTTCCGGGCATTCCGGGCCAAACAACATGGAAATAAACATAAACATGTTGAGAAGCTCAAACGCGAAGATCATTCTTGCTCCTGACGTTTGTGAATCATGCTTGGACGAATTCGTTGATCCCAGAAGTACGGCTTGGGCAATTCGCGAAGCTCGTGCGTGGAGAGAACACATTCAAGATTCCGCGCACTCGAACAACTCCGAATTCATGGGACATCGAGCAGACGAGTCGGAAGATAACGACATGAAAGGCGTTTTACCCATCGCTCCGCACACATTGACGGATGTTTTTGAGATTATGCTTCAGATTGGTAATGCAGCGAGTCAAGATTTTGCGGCTGAACGCGCGGTAAAACTCCTACGCGATCGATTACGACGCGTTGCTTTGAAAGTCGCACCCGGGTTCGACAGGCGTCCTCGCGTCGTTTCTTTAGAGGCGTGCAAACCTCTCATCAGCGGCGGGCATTGGCTCCCAGAAATGAAGATGATTGCGGGAGGAATCGATGAGCTGCAAGAACCAGGAGCACCAGCGGAGGCTCTCAGGTGGGAACGCGTATTAGAACATCAACCGGACGTGCTATTGATAAATTTCGAAGGCTCTTTCGAGAAGACGTTGGAGAAGGTTGAAGTTTTAGCTTCGCAACCGGGTTGGTGGAATTTGAATGCGGTAAAGAACCGAGAGGTATACATTTTGAACAACAAAATATTCTCTAGGCCAGGTCCAAGATTAGTCGATGGAGTTGAAATGTTGGCTAGAATTTTTCACCCCGATCTCATCGAGGAACCTTTGGTTGAAGGAATGTGTCTGAAGCTCAACCTCGAGGCTGGAAAGAAAGTTCGTCCGGGACGGCTTCGAAACTTTTTTTCTTCGTTTCATTAGGAGAAAAATCACTAGAGGTTTAGACAAAAGATAGACTTTAGAGCTTGTGAAAACGAATACGCTGCTTTGTTCTGTGTTCTTTTTTTCTTTTGTGGTTCGTTTTGTTCTGATTAAAATAAAGCTTCACTAGATGCGTCGGCTTCGAGCTTAAATCCGCCCTCCGCGACAACTTTTTCTAACATTTCACCCTTTTCATCGCTTAAGCCCAACACTGTTCTCAATGCCTTCAGTTCGGTCGGATCCTTGACTTCGCTTGCATAGACTGAGTACACGTCGAAGAGCTCGCTCTCAACCGGCCAGTTCAAGTTTTGCGAATCCGGCGCCAACGCTTGTGCGGCGACCAAGTTTCTGCAACTCTTCATCACGTTTTGTGCATCTTTCTGTCTCAACACGGCAACTGCTTGAACCATTTGAGATTTCTTCTTTTCGTTCGCGATTTTGACGAGTTCTTTATCCGCCGTCTCTTGCTCGAGACCTAAATCTTGGACGAGAGTCTTGGAAATTTCCTCGATCTCACCCATGCCTTCACCGGAAGTCAGCTTGCGCTCGACGTTCTTCTTGAAGAGATCGACTCGTCTCGTCAACGGAATTTGCTTCGCGAGTTCAACGCCATCTTCCGCCATCTTTCGAATATCCTTCGCGGATAATGAGCCGCTATTGATTTGTGTGGACAAACCAGACATCATTCTATTTGCAGTAATACCTTTGATAATTTTTTGAGCTTCTTCGTCCGGCATATTGAGTTGCTTTTGGACCTCCTTGAGCTTCTCAGCGCGTGCCGCGGTCAAACCTTGGTTATCGCTTAACATCTGTTCAGCTTGCGCTCTGAACGCCTTATCGGACAAGCCTTTGTGCACTTCACCAATCTCCATCATGTTCAATCCTAAGATTTCGCCCAACTGTTGTAAACGAGTAAACTCGGACTGGTCGCGCTCAATCGTGATGCGCACGCCCATCGGCGCGCTCACTTGATCGCCTTGCATGCAAAACATGAGGTAATCTTTGTACATGGCTTTTCTAGTGACGTCATCCAACTCCTTCTCGAGCGTGATTTCTTTTTGTGTGGGCGGTTTCTCGATCTTGGCTTCGAATTTTTCCTCTTCTTTTGGTTTTTCTTCTTCTTTGGGAGCTTCCGGAGTCGATTCAGAATCGGAAGAAGACTGGGCAGCAGCTCGCTGCGCGCGGAACCTCGCCGCAATATCTTCCGGCTCAGCAGCAGCTTTCTCAGCAGCTTCGGCCTCGGCTTTGGCCTTAGCCTCCGCTTCAGCCTTGGCCTTCTCTTCGGCTTCCTCCTTCGCGGCAGCTTCTTGAGCCTCCTTCATGAGTTTCGCCAACTCTTCCGCGGCAGCTTCCGCTTTCCCCTTGGTCACGTCGTTAACCAACGGCGTGATGACACCCTCGTTGAAGTATACCATTCTTCTGATTTCTTTCATTTGGTCCACTTTGTTCGATTTGATTTTGGAATCCTTTATGTATCCCATGAACGCTCTCTTCGCTTCTTGGCCTAAGACGTCAAGCGCGAGCTCGTCTGAAATTCTCACATTTTCTCTCGTTTTGCGAACTCTCCCTCTCAACTCGTCGTTGAAGGACTCCGTCGGCACCGCCAACGCAGTTTTGCACGCCATGCGAAAGATTTCTCCTTGCACTTCTCGTTCGCACTGATCGACAACTTTTTGCGGAATGCACAATAATTTTCGCACTCTCTTGGCTTCATCGGCGCCCTCATCCGAGAGAACCTTGTCTTTCAACAACGTCTCTAACTTGGCGCGATAGTTTTCGCTGTGAATACTTTCGGCAACTTCTGGAGGAAATTGTAAAGCTTCGCACATGGATTGCAAAACTTTCGCTGGCGACTCTGTAGATTCTAGTTTTCCAGACTTGACTGCGTCTCTCAACGACAATCTGTATGCCTTCGTTGTCGCTTCTAATGTGATGGCATCTGCCTCCTTGTTACCTAAGCCAAAGACTAATCGCAGTTTACCAAGTTTAGCCGAAGACACTTGCGAGAGTTCGCCGCCTTTCACTTTTTGCTCGACGAAAATCTTAAATAATTCTTTCAATTCGTTGATTTTGGTATCGGCGTCGTACTCGCCGCCAAACAAAGTCACCGGGCCGACACCCGGGCAAGCGCTCGAAGTTACCTCAAGACGACCGTTGTAATCTAAAATGCTCTCAATTTTCTTCTCAACCGTATCGACATCACGCGCTGATCCTCTTTGCTTGGCAATTTCAGAGGCAGATTCGACGATTTCAACCACGTGCGCTCTCGCCTCGGATTGCACAATTTCACCGGCAATATCGTCCGATAACAACAAATCACCATTGGCGTACTCTTTCGCTTCTGCTAAGCCATTCGCATCTACGTTTGCGACGGCTCCATTATCGACTAAAAATGTGCGAAACAATTGACTCGCGTTATCTTTAAGCGCGAGCGCGACTTGCGCGTCAGTCACGCGAAAAACGCGTCTCCACGGCAACATAAATCGCGCCTTCTCTTCGCCAAAAGTCATCTGCGAGATGTAGACTAACTTTTGAAACTCTACTCTCGACTCGAGCTCGGTATCTTTATCGCCCAACTCTATGCGTTTGCGGTATAATCTTCTCCCGACTTCCAAGTGTGCCTGCGCAGCTTCCGAGTCTTCCAATCCTAAAGTTTCGCGAAACTGTCGCAAAGCTTCCGGCTCCCAACCTTTGACCGGCGCATCTCCCATAGGAATCAACGACGACAAGTACGCGTCGTACAAACCGCAGATTTCTCTCGGGCATTGAGTGCCAATGTTATTAATCCCAAACCTTTGCCCAACGGCTTGAACTTCCGAGGCGTCGACCGACAACGGGTTCCGGTTGTTCAACTCGTTCCACAACGCCTTCGGGGCCGCAGTGAAACGTTTCTTATCCACGAGAGAGGCGCCGTATGCGGCACCAGCGCCGGCGACTAAAGCCGTCCCGGTTTTCACGACGGCATTCTTAGTAGCGCTACCCAAAGCACCCCCAGTGGCGGTCGCTAAAGAGACCCCGGCGACGTACGTTGCTATTCTGACGGGCGTTTGCAACTTTGCCATGACGGACTCGACTTGGTCGAGTTCGATTTCGAACGAAAACGGCGAAGGTTGATCCTATTTTTATTAGTAGTACATAGTAGTATTGAAAAGGATGACGAGAAGAATTGGAGCGGGAGAGAATGAGAACAGTCGTCAGTTTGGCAGCAGTCGCAGCGAGAGACGACGAGGAAGAAGACGAAGAAGAGGAAGAGGAACCTCCTCCTCGAGTGCGAAACCCGCGAAAAGATAAAATGCACAACAGTCGCTTTCTCAACCAAAACCGCCGTCAAAGAGAGATAAAAAAAAATAAGCGTAAAACAAAGGTGTGCAATTTTTTTCCGTACCTCGGGCGGAACCGGTTTACCCGCGATCGCGTTCGATAAAACGCGCGATCGAATTAACTTTGGTGTTTTCCTAGCGCGTATTTTCGACGTCACGAGTGCATTTGACTGCGTGTGAATTCCAAAAGTCGCTGCTGCAGCGCACGAATTGGCTAACATGATGATGCGTTTTGATGGTTCTGTGCCTTTTTTTGAGGAAAGTTGTTCAGGTTTCTTCTTTTGCTCGAAAAAAGAGCTTTTTCTCTCTCTCTTGTTTTTGCGTGCGTCAATAAAAAAAGCTTGTTGTTTTCCAATTTTTATCCATCAGAGAGATATTCTCCTCCCACCCCTACCCCCTTGAAATACTATCATAGGACCCAAAGGTTTCAAGACTCTTATAAACTACGCACCATCGTCGCGAAAAGATGATGACAATGACTTCTTCTCTGTCGTCTTCTCTGTCGTCTCTGTCAGCGACGATGAAAAAGCAACAACAACAACAACAACAAAAGAAAAAGAAAAATTTAGCTTTCCCGTCGATAAAAGATACCAACAGATATCATCGGAGAAGAGGAGGAGAAATTAGTGTCGCCGCTTGTGCGACGCAACCCCGAGGACGAGGAGAAGAAGCAGGAGCAGAAAAGAGAGAAATAAATACGAATAATAAGAATAATCTCAATAATAAGGAGTATAGTTTTAACGCGAGCCGCAGAAGTAATAAACTCAACCAATCTTCAAAATTAACTTCTCGTGGGAAAAGCGTGATTATGCACTCTGGTGGTGGTGGCTTTTCCTTGTCCAAGTTGACGTCTGTTTTGAAGAAGAAGACGCAATCGGACTTTGACAGAGTGATTTCAGGAACCTCAAAAACCAGAGAGAAATTGTCGTATATGGACGAAATCTTAGGCTTGTGGCGATTGGAAGATTTGGACGATACTTTAGACGACTTGGAGGAGACGTTGTTATCGGTGGATTTTGGACCAAAGACGGCGGGAAAAGTTTTAGATACCATCCGCGAGCTCGTGGAAGACGGGAAGATTAAAACTGGTGAGGATTGTAAGCGAGCGTTAAAAGAAACCATCGTAAACATTCTCGTTAACGATGGAGGTGATCCGACGAAAATGAACGTTTCCGATGACGAGAAGATTCCGACTTGCGTTCTTATCATTGGCGTGAACGGCGGAGGGAAGACGACGACGATTGGAAAGTTATCGAACTGGTATAAAAACGCTGGCGCGAAAGTGATGATGGTGCCGGGTGATACGTTTCGTGCGGCTGCTGCGGAGCAGTTACAAACTTGGGCAGATCGCACGGGGGCGATTATGTCAAAGAGTCCGCCAAACACAAAACCTGGAGCGGTTTCGTACAAGGCGGTGGATGAAGCAATTGCTATGGGTGATATCGATGTTATTTTAGCGGACACTTCAGGAAGACTGCACACGAACTTGGATCTGATGGACGAACTCGTCGGCGTGAAGAGTTCGATTAAAAAAAGAGAACCCTCGATGCCGCACGAAGTGTTGTTAGTCTTGGACGGTACGACTGGTTTAAATATGTTGAATCAAGCGAGAGAGTTTGGTCAACAATTGGGCGTGACCGGGATTATTTTAACAAAATTGGATGGCACCGCGAGAGGAGGCGCAGTCATCTCCGTCGTCGACGAGATGAAAATTCCGGTGAAATTTGTCGGCGTTGGAGAAACCATGGAAGATTTACAAGTTTTTGAACCGCTTTCGTTCGTCGACGCGTTGTTTCCGGAGGAGGCGGGGGACGCATAAAAAATATCTTATTAAAAGTTTCTCGCGCGCGTGTTCTTAAAATAGAATGAGTATTTATCTTTTATATATATATAATATTATCCCTCTCTACACCACATTTACGCACGCTGTTACTGTTAATGTTTTTGCTTTTGTTGCTGTTCGCGAACAAAAATTTACATCAAGGACTTCGCCGCGGCAACCATCGCATCGGCGGTGATGCCGAACTCTTTGTAGATAGTCGGGGCCGGGGCGGAGGCGCCGAAGCCATCTCTGCCGATGGATTTGACCGCGTATTTAGCCCAGCCAAAGGTGGAGGCAGCTTCGATGGAGACTCTGCACTTGCAGTCGGACGGGATGAGCGACTCTCTGTACGCATCACCTTGTTCTTCGAACAATTCCCAGCACGGCATGGAGACGACACGAACCTTCTTGCCTTCCGCGGCGAGCTTCTCGCCAGCAATGCACGCCAACTCCAATTCAGTACCCGTACCCATCAAGACGCAGTCAACCGGTTTACCGGCGGCTTCACCTTGGACGACGTACGCACCCTTTGCGACGCCTTCTTTCGTGGTACCCGCCAAGTTCGGAACAACTTGTCTGGACAAGGCCAAAGTCGTCGGTCTCTTGTTGGCGGCACCTTCAACGGCGATCTTGTACGCACCCATGGTTTCGTTACCATCGGCCGGACGCATCATAAGCATACCCGGCATGGCTCTGTAAGAGGCCAAGTGCTCAATCGGCTGGTGAGTCGGTCCGTCTTCCCCGACGCCAATGGAATCGTGGGTCATGACGTAGATGGTGCCGGCGCCAGACAAGGCGGCGACTCTCATCGCGGATCTGCAGTAATCGGAGAAGATAAAGAAGGTCGCGCAATAGGAGATGAAACCCGGCGCGTACAACGCAATACCGTTGGCGATAGCCGCCATACCGTGTTCACGGACGCCATATCTGATATTGCGTTCCGCCGGCGTGTCCTTTTGGAAGTCACCAAATTGCTTCATCAAGGTCATGTTGGACGGAGCAAGATCGGCGGAACCGCCAACAAAGCCCGGAATGGCACCACCCAAAGCGTTCAAGGCAGTTTGGGAGTGAATTCTGGTCGCGACGCCCTTGTCTTCCGGCGTGAACGACGGCAAAGAGTCAGCCCAGCCAGCCGGCAACTTACCGGTGGTGATGGATTGGTACTCAGCGTAGTCTTCCGGGTACTTGGAAGCGTACGCGGACTCGACCTTCTTCCATTCGGCTTGCAATTCCGCACCCTTGGCGCTGCAGTCCATGGCCTTTTGAACGGCTTCTGGGATTTCAAATTCACCGTACTTCCAGTTCAAGTTCTTACGCGTGGCTTCGGTTTCGTCCTTGCCCAACGGAGCGCCGTGCACATCGTGAGTGTCGGCCTTGTTCGGTGAACCGTAACCGATCAAGGTGGAAACCTTGATCAAAGACGGTCTCGGGTCCTTCTTCGCGGCTTCAATCGCCTTGCGAATCGCATCGATGTCGGTGTTACCGTCAACGACGTGTTGCGTGTGCCAGCCGTACGCATCGTATCTCGCGGAGACATCCTCCGTGAAGGAGATGTCGGTGTGACCATCGATGGAGATCTTGTTGTCATCGTAGAAGACGATCAACTTGCCAAGGCCCCAGTGACCGGCCAAAGACGCAGCTTCGCCAGACATACCTTCCATGTTGCAACCGTCGCCCATGATGGAGTACGTGTAGTGGTCAACCAAAGTGGCATCCGGCTTGTTGAATCTCGCCGCCAAGTGCTTTTCGCACAACGCCAAACCAACGGCGTTGCAAAAACCCATACCGAGCGGACCAGTGGTGACTTCGATACCGTCCGTAACAAAGTTTTCCGGGTGACCCGGGGTCATGGAGTCCCATTGTCTGAAGTTCTTCAAGTCGTCGTGCGTGACGGACGGGTAGCCAGTCAAGTGCATCAAAGAGTATTGCAACATGCAACCGTGACCGGCAGACAAGACAAATCTGTCTCTGTTCGGCCACGTGAAGTCCTTCGGGTTGTGGTTCATCGCTTCTCTGTACAAGACGTACGCCATCGGCGCGCAGCCCATGGGCAAACCTGGGTGACCAGAGTTAGACTTGTTGATGGCATCGATGGCCAAGAATCGGATGGAGTTGATCGAGTCTTGGATGGCATCGGCGGAAACACCAGCCGCTGTTTACGATGATGAAAGGAACGAGAGAGAGAGAGAGAAAACAAAACCGGTTAGTTATTCGTTTACATTTTTCCTTTCGTTCGTCTGTCTTCGATCGAGCGCGACGAGAGACGAGAGAACGGATGAGAATTCTTTCTTATTTATCCTCTTCTAATCTTCCTCTTCTTTTCTCCGCCATTAAAAAAACCAAAACGTTATCTTCCTCTTCCTCTTTTTCCCCCTGTTTTGTTCTCCTTTTTTTCCTTCTCTTTTTTGCAAGAAACACACTTCCAACAACAACAACAATGGATAATAAAAGCGAGATTTTAGAACAAAAAAAGCAATCGGAAACAGCGCTCGCTTCTGCGCGTGCGAACGCGGAACAGAGGTGAAAACGTGGAAATCAAAGCGAGAGAATATCTTCGCGCGTAATTTCCGTCCGTTTTATCCGCGTTTCGCTTTCTTTTTCACCCAAGAATCGCACGCAAAGAGCGGGATGATTACTCCGAATTTCTCCTTTTTTGTACGGCGGTATGTTCCTCTCCCCTTTGTTTGTCCTTCCTTTCGCCTACAAAAAATCGACGAAAAATCGCGCTAAAATAATAAAAAAACATTCGGAAAACGAGACGGCTAACACTTACGCGCTGCGACAGCTTGCGCGCGAACGCCGGTTCTCACGGAAACCTTCGAAGATTTCTTCAAAGAAATCTTCGGCGCAACGGCAGCGCGGGATGAAAATTGAATAGCAGACATTGGAATTGTGTGCTGTGTGTGCGTAAAAAGTGATGCTTTCCTTCTGCGAAATACGTGGTGTGATGGAGAAGAACAACCTTGGAATTTTTTGATTTTTGGACAAAGAGATGCCACGCAGGAATAAAAAAAAAGAGAGAGAGAACGAAGAAGTATAATACTAATAATGATATTATAGTATTAGTATTAAGAGTTTTAACTCGTCTTCGAGGAGTGGTTCCAGCCGAACGGAGACGCTTCCTCTGCGAAACTGTCCTTGCCTTTGTTCGTTTCCTTATCGAAAAAGTCACGGAACGAAGTAAACTTCGGCGCCCAACCTAAAGCTTTCCGAGTGCCTTCGCAAGTCATTCGACGACCAACCGGGCCTTCACTTTTCGTAAACTCAGGCTTGCTATGCTTTTGTCCGTCCTCGCTATCATCATCATCATTATCAAAACATCCAGATTCTAAAGCGCAAGTAGCGACGTCTTCTCGAGTGATGGGGTGACCGTCGCATCCTAGAAAGACGTTTCTTTGCGCATCCTCTCTCAGCAATACTTTCACGACTAAATCAGCCGCATCTTCGTAGTGTATGCAGTTCACCAACGCGTCTGGACGCGACTCGATGGTACCTGCTTTCATGAAGTACGTGTGCGCACCTCTCAACGAATGGTATAATCCGGCTAAACGCAGCACGGCTGCTCTATTTTGATAATTTTCATTCTTTCCTTCTTCTTTTTCTTTTTTGACGGCGTCGTCACTATTTTCTTTTTCTTTTCTTCTATTCTCGTGTTCTAAAACCACATTCTCGGCGTTTAATAATCGATCCGCGCGTGGATTTGCGCCTAGCTTCAACGTCGCCGTATCGTCGTCGCAATCGATGTTGTCTGGAAACACCGCGCTCGACGACGTGAAGCAGAATCCAGAGTACTCGTTCTTCCCGTTCCATTTTTCCAACGCTTTTTTGATTTCTCCTGGATAATCGTCCGAACCGCTCGGTGGCGCCGAAAACACGACGTACGGGTACGTTTTGGGATCAAAATGTTCGAAAGTATCCTCTGTTCTCGCGGTTATTCCCAGCTTTTCTAAACTTTCGTGATTCTTTGTCGAGTTCGTTTGACCGACTACGATAGCCGCCGGGAACATCTCCAACCACTTTTGACACACCAAGGAACCTAACACGCCTGGACCGACGACGAGTAAGTTTCGGCAGTCGGGAGTATCGTACAGTCTTCGAGAGGAATACATCGGATGGTCCATGTCGTAATTATTCTTGTTGATGACTCTTATTTCGCTCTGTCCTCCTCCGTTGTTGTTCTTGTTGTTGTTGGCTGTTGATGATAATGCGTTTCCTCTGATACAACGTCGTGACAACTTCATCGTCGCGCTCTTTTTACCGCGACCACCACCTCCACGACGAAGACAAAGACTCAAATGGAGCGCGGAAAAAGACGACGATGAAGACGACGACGATGACGTTGCACCAGCGCGAGCGCACGAAGCATCTGCGACAAAAGTAATCATCATATCCTTTTTTAATTAATATTCTGACGTGTGTTTTTGTGCATGGAAATTCTTGGAAAAATAAGCGAAAAAGACTCCAGACTCCAACTCTCATTTAAGTCTCCAACAACAACGTACACCGCCACAAGATTTATCTCTTAGTATTATTCGCACACACACTTTTCTCTCTCTCGATGTGATTTGAAATGTAGCAGCAATTTATTAGTATATATATATATATTAACAACAACAAAATGATTCAATATGCTCGTCTATTTATTATTATTATTATTGATACCGTCGGTGTTCAACTTCGCGAGCTTCTCCACAATCTCAACGCACTTGTTCTTGTATTCCTCCTTCGCTTGCAACTCATCTTGGCTCTCGTGCCACTTCAAACGCGTGTCGTCGAATAACTCCGGGTCCAACTCTTGTAACATTTTACGAACGTTGATGGTTAAACCGTTCACGGAAGCGTTCCAGTGCGTCATCGCCGTCCTTTCCAAGCTTCCAAATACGACTGGGACGATCACGTGTCTATTCTGCGCGACTAAGTTGACGATGTAATCGTTGTTCCAAAGGAAAAGCGCTCGTTCAGAAACTTGGAAGTGACTGGACTCGACACATCGCGAAATTTGCTGAAACAACGGGATCATCGTCTTGGTGAACTCCTGCGGTTGCGTCAACTCTAAAACTTCCTCCAACTCGCCTAAAAATAAAACCTCCTTTTGAGAGTTTGTCACCGGCCAATACTTTAATAATCCTTTCAATACCGGATCCGCCAAACGCGGATCTTTCTCCACAAACTGCGTCACGCAGTATAATAATTGCTGATGATACATCGCCATGCACTTTGGCTTGTGCAAAGGCAGTAAAGCGCGGACGAGAAACTTCTTGTGTTCCTCCTTCAAAGGTAACGCGAACCCGTTGATGATCGATCCGAGAATTTCCAACAACTCTGCGATGCCGTTGTGTTTTTCCGTTTCGTATATGAATCTAAAGAATATGTTGTTGATAGCCTTTCGAATGAAAGGTCGATGCACCATGAATTTTCCGTAAATCCTGTGCAAAATCGTCTTCAAGTAATCTCTCTCTCTCGGGTCTTCCGAATCGAACAATTCTAAAAGTTTCAAAACAAACGCGTTGTCAACGTATTTTTTCCCAATCTTTGCGTCGACTTCGTTGGACACCACGCACCTCAACAGAAACTCGTAGACGATTTGTAAGTGCGGCCAAGCTGGTTCTAACTTTGGTTCTTCTTCTTCGGGATCGAAATGTTCTCCAGCGGCGTTCCCGGTTTGTTCCGAGCTTCTCGGCGGCAACGCTCGAAAGAGATTGCACGAAAGCATATACATGACGTCGTCAAACACCTTGTCCGTGAACTTAGCCGTGTTGTCTTGATTGACGTAATCTCCGAGTTCTAACAGCGTTTGTCTTTTGATTTCTTTCTCTCGAACGTGCGAAGTTGGATCGGTAAAATCAAACACGTACGAGCACAACTGTAACTTTTTACGAAATAAACTTTGTCGGTCCGAAGCCGGCACGTCTCGAAACAGAAACAGAGGTCGATTTTTATCGTACAACTCCTCTAAAGGAGCGATGTTGTTCTTATTACTACTACCCGCCTTCGTCATCGTCGTCGTCGTCGTTATCGAGTCTTTCTTCTTGTTTGAGTTCGAGGACGATGCCGTCAGCGACGATCGGTCTCTTTCTCCAGGAGATCCTCCTCCGCTCTCGTTGTTGTTTGTGGTGGTGGTAGTTTCTCCCCCTTGTTGGGACGAAGGTGCCGCTTCTCCTCCTTTTTCTCCTTGTCCTTGCTGATTTGTGAAAGAGTTCTTTCGTCCAACCATGGACAACTGCTTCTTCACGTTCTTCAGCATGACGACTAAAAAGACGACGACGCGACGACGATGATGGTTTTGATGCTGCGAAAATTACTCCTCTTCAAAAGAAAGTACGCGCGCGCGCGCGCGATTCTGTCTGGTTTTGTCGTCGATCAAAAACAAAGAGAGATTTTTTTTGCTTTCTTCGCGTTCTGTCTCGTTCTTTCTTTCTCTCTGCTTCTGAATGAGTCGCTCGGTCCACTTCTCTTTCTCTGTACTTCTTCTTCTTCTCTTCTTCTTCTTTACACGGATAATTCAAGAGCAGCAGCACGATTCTTCGAGCGCTTCTTCTCTTAAAAGAGAGTTAAAACTCCTCCTCTCCCAACAAAGAAAGATACGCTCTTTTTTTATAACGATGATGAGAGTTAAAGAGAGAAAAGATTACCCCCCCCTCTGACTGACTCTGAAAGAAGAAGAAGAAGAAGAAGAAAGAAGAAGAAGAAGAAGAAAGAAGAAGAAGACAAGTTTTTTTCTCTTTTTTCCTAAAGATATTTTTGGTGGTTTGACTCGCTTCTGCGACCTAAAATAGAGAGAAAGAAAGAGAAAAAAATATCACAACACACAACACACACTCTCTCTCTCTCTCTCTGCGCGCAGAGTGTTGACGACGACGACCTATGATTTTTACGACGATGATCGACGAGGAGAGAAAGAGACTGCGAACAACAAGAAGAGAAAAAGAAGAAGAAGCGCATCGACGAGGATCTTTTTCTTCTTCCTCTCCCGTGCTTCTTCTCTCTCCGAAGAACTTCTCCACGACCAGCGCGTGTGGGTTTTTTTCTTCCTTCTCTTCTTCGTGTTTGCAGTCGCCGACGACCGGGAGAATACACCACCAAAACCGAACACGACGACGACGAAGACAACACCAAAGAGAAGACGACGAAGACGACGAAGACGACGAAGACGAACGAGGGAGGATTAGTTTGCTCTTGCCGTTCCACGATGACGAGGACGAGGAGGACGAGCCTTCTTCTTTGTGCGCCTCTTCCTCCTCGGAGGACGAGGAAGAAGACCAAGAAGACCAAGAAGAAGAAGAAGAAGAAGACTCTTTGAGCAAAAGAGTTTTCTCGCCTTTGCTGTATTTTTACGATAGCAATAAAACGCTCTCTGAGAAAGAAGAAGAAGAAGAAGAAGAAAAGGACGAAGGCGAACCAGACCAACGAGAAGAGAGAATGGCAGGAGTTTCTACGACAAGAACAACATCTCGAGATGCCGCGACTCTGGTGTACTTGCGAGGCAACTCTTCGAAGGAGAACGCGGCGAGTTTTAGAGTCGTCGTTCTCACAACCGATGGGAAAACGAGCGATGAGATGCGGTGGCGCAAGTACGGACAAAAGTTTGTTAAAGGAAGCAAATATCCTCGTAGCTATTATAAGTGTACTTCTATCTCGAACATGAACATTCAAAAGCACGTGGAAGAAGTGGACGACAACGGGGGACAAAAAATATTGGTAACGTTTCACACGCAATCACTCGATTTTGCAAAGGATTTGGAGCGGAGAATACCCGGCAGCGCTCTAATAATGCCAACAGATTAACATCGAATACGCAGTAGTTTATTTTAGTATGGTGTAGTAAAGTGGTCACGTGAACAACTTTGATGTGAGAACTATTTTCAACTGACGATGAATTTTTACGAGATTATTACCATCTCGACTTCCCCTCATCGCGCGATGGCGGTGGCCTTCTATCATCCCTTCTGTCATCTCTTCTGTCATCTCTTCTGTCATCCCTTCTGTCATCCCTTCTGTCACCACCTACGCCACGACTTGGTGGGCGATCGTCTCTTCGTCTATCGCCGCCCCATCTATCGTCTCCTCGGCTCGGCGGCCTATCGTCGCGATCACCAAATCCTCCTCTTCTAGGTTCGTATCGGTCGGTTCCCCGACTCGGAGGTCTATCGTCATCTCTACCGCCGCCTCTACCCCATCGACTTCCGCCGGAGCGGTCATCTCGGTCGTCTCTGCCGTCACGTCGATCACCTCGGTCGCGAAGATGTGGCGGAACGAATCCACTTCCTCTGTCCGAATCCCCGCCGCCTCTGCTCGACGGTCTTCGCGCTTCCTCAGCTTCACGCTCAGCTTCGGCCTTCTTGCGTTCCAAAGCTTCGGCTTCATCTCTTGCCTCCAATTCCATTTCTTGAAGACGACGTATGTACGCCTTTCTACGCTTGATCTCGCGCTCAGCCTTGCGTTGCTTCTTCTGCTCTTCTAATTTGCGCTCTCGCTCGGCTTGCGCCGCGGCGATTTCATCCGCGCGTCTTAACATGATTGCAGATTTGAACGCAGCTTGAGTCTCCGTCATCTTTTGCAATCTCTTCTTTTCGACAATATCTTGCTCCCACTTTGCTTTTGTTTTCACGGTTATCAACTTTTGCTGTTCGTGGAAAAACTTTTCGTCGTCAACTTTTCGCCCTTCGTACGCTTGCTCAATCAACGGCACCATCTCCTCTCTCTTAGCTCTTTCCAAGTGATCCATGGTTTTGGCGACCTTCAAAAGTTTCTTTTCCATCTGTTGACGTTCAGAAATTTGTTCTTTGATGGCAGTTTCCATCAAAATTCTCTTGTCCAAAGTTTGACCTTCTTCCAACTTGATGGAAATCTTCTTCCCTTTCTTCTTCTCTTGCTCCGCGAGCAACGCCAAGGCCTCTTCCTTTTCTTTTTCCTCCATTTCGGCGCGAATGCGTTTTTCTTCTCGTTGACGAGATTCCACTTCGAGGCGTTTGGCTTCTGCCGCTTCGTGAGCGCGTTGCGCCGCCAATCGTCTTTCCTCTTCTTCCTTCTCTTGCTCCGCGAGTAGACGTTCAGCTTCTTCCTTGCGTCTTTCGATGATAACTTTCCTCGCCAAAGCTCGCTTGTGCTCTTGTTCGACCGCGCTTCGAATCGCTTCCGCGTTTTCTATGCGCTTGCGTTTCATCGAGTCCAAATCAGAAGCCGCCGTCGTAGACGGCGTCAACTCGCGGCAGGCATCGCGAAGTGTCGTCGCAACTCGGACGAGATAATCGTCCACGGACTTTTCCTGGATGTCATCGCCAACAAAAACAATCATCTGTTGTTGGTGATCGATTCGTAAGGACAGATACCCTGATTTCACGGCTCGAACAAGCGCCAATTCAACTTCGTAATATGGAAGAAATGGGACCAAGCTCTTCGCTCTTTCGAGCTTCAACGTTCGGTACACCTTCGATTGCTGATTGAACATTCGCAAAACCGACAAAGTTTTCAACAACGGAATGAAATCGGAAACTTCGATGGATTTCACGGAGACTTCAGCAGAGAGTTTGAATGTGACAGACTCTAAAGCTTTCAACTTCGACTCGGCTTTTTGGCACAAGTCGAGCGGATGAAAACCGTCTTCCAAGATATTGAACAAATCTCTCACTTCCTCGGCACAGTTATCAACCATTCCCGAGCGCTTGATTTCTTTGATGATCAATTCTCTGGACATGATATTCTTCGCTTCTTGCATACTTTCTAATTGATATCCCAATAACGAGGCTAATCTCGAGTCTCGTTCGTGCCTCGCGCCCACATCAATATTTCCTAAGGGCGTTTTCTCGTAAGGCGGAATGCACATGGCGGACAAGACAACCGCAGACGCTAACGACTTCAAATCCTCATCGGTCAAGTTTTTCAAATACCCTTTCGATAAGTTATACAACTTAATCCACGCGTAAGCGTTGCAGAGGTAGTTTTGCGAAACGAAAAATACCTTGGTCAACGCGGCAAAATAAGACGACATCAACGTCGGTCGAGGCGAGCGCTTCAAGAGAAACATCAACCCGTGAATGTCTTCAACCGATCGAAACGCTTCGTTCCACATTCCCAACTGCGAACTCGCCTCGAGTTGCTGAAATCGAATGTCCAACAAAATATCTTGCGTTTCTCTTGAATTCAAATCCGGTCGATCGCGTTGGTCTTTGTATTTCAAAAGATTATTGAGATGCGAGCGCAAGTTTTCGCACAAACGTCTAAATTCCGAGTTTCTCTTGTACTTGACGCAAAAGTTGAAAGCTTCGATAGCCACCAACTGATACAACGCTTCCATTTTGTTGTTGTTTCGCAAAACTTCCAAGCAGTTTCTGTACGTTTCCCAAAGGAACTTGAACCACGGCGTTGGCGACTCGACGTTGTCTTCTGCTTCTAACTCCTCTGGCGTCATCGTGTACGCTTTCAACATGACTTGCTCTGGAGTGTGTTCTAACTCTAAATCCGCAACTTGCATCAACTCATCGGTCGAACCACCGGCAGCGACGATTGCGTCTTCCACTTTCTTCGTCGCCAATTCCAGAAACTTCTTCAGGACTTCCTCCAAACTCTGCACATTTACTTGCTGACAGGCTATGCGATATTGAATCAACCCATCTTTGGCCAATCGTCCTTTCTTCAAGTCCACGCATAATTCTACGTATTTAAACATGATTTCCTCCAAAGGTTTCGACCACGTTCGGTGTCTTCGAGACGTGACGACATCGTGCAACGCTTGCAGCGCCGATAAAGGTTGTCCAACGTTAATGAGTTCCTCCTGTTACGTAAGAAAAGAGAAGATGAAAAATGTGGTGAGTTTTTGTGCTTTTTAACAGCAGCAAACAGAGCGGCGCGATTGCGTTTTTGAAAGAAGAAGAAGAAATCGTAAAACCTACCGCTCGTTTCAACGCGTTCTCCGGTTTGGAGATGGTTCCCATGTACGGCGCCATTTTAATCGTTTCTAATGCGAACCCAAACTTTAATCACACGTTTGATCTTCGCGAGATGTGATGCGCTGATGAGGCGGTTTGATTTGATGTGTGCGCGTACGAATTTTGTGGTTTTGTCGTGCGTGTGTTGTGTTTCATGAACAAAAAATGAAATGAATGAACTCGAGAACCAAGCTTTTTTTCTCTTTTTCCCTTTTCACCAAGGCCTCAATACTCATCACAGTACACCACAAATCATAAATAACAGAGTGCAAAGCACACACCGCCGCCGCCGCGCGTTAAATAATAAACTCGGCGACGAAGTTTTATCATCAAATATGGGTCGTTCAGCTTCGGACTTTGCGGATAAGAGAGAGGTGTACTTAAAATATCTCCCGAAATCGTGCACGGACGAGCAACTGAGAGAACTGTTCGAGCCGCACGGGAAAATAGTTCGCCTTTGGCATTCGCGACATCCAGACACGGACGAGAGTAAAGGGTACGCGTTCTTAACATTCGAGAAGAAAGAGACGGCGAGATACGTGGTGAGAAACTGTAATCAACATCCGTTCAACTATTTAGACGGGAAACACGTGGAGATTTCGCACGCGCAACCTTGGGAACAACACACGGCGAAGACACACGTAGGACTGAAAAATATCGAAGCCAGAGAGAACTCGGTAACCGAAGGAGGAGTGAAGAAGAAACAAGGACACAAGCATAAACTTTCCGCGAAAGCTCGGCAGAGAGCGAAGAAACGGAAGGAGAAAGAAATGTTGGCGGCTGGTAAGACTTGAGTGAGTTTTGATGAAAGCCTTGTTTGCCGTCCTAGTATTCGCTCGCTCCCCGCGTACGACAAACTTTAGTTAGATTCTATAGAACTGCTGTAATCATTATTAAATTAGCACAAAATACTATTATTATTATTATTATTATCATAGTGTGGGTTATCACCGAGGTTTGCTGCTCGCTATGTTTTCCTTCTCTTCCTCGTTCACGCTGTTGATAGTGTTCAAAGGTAACTCAAACTCTTCCCGCTGATATTGAGGGGGAACGGATTCCTTCTCCGCTCTGGCTCGCGAAAGCTCCAGCATAGTTTCCAAGTCATCTTCTCCTGCCCCTGCTGCTGCTACTGACGACGACGACGACGAAGATGATCCATCCACCTCGTCGTTCCTTTCATTCACTTTCAATCTCAACTCATTTTTCCCCCCGGCGTCTTTAAGGAGTCCCCAATACTCCTTATCGCTCTCTCCGCGGTTCTTTCTCGCTGATTCTACTGAACTAAAGTTTACGTACACTGGCGTTTCTAATAACTCTGGATGTTTCTGAAACAAATTTCTCTCCGCGTACCGCAAAGTGTCCAAAACTAAAGGAAGTTTTTGTCTGAACACAATCGCTCTGAGCGGCGCCGCCCATCGGATCCACCACGCGCCGTCCGCCGAGACTTGACAAAACACGTGCAATCCATCCGATCGCCATTCCGCTAAAACTTCGTCTCTCAACAATTTCGTATACCAAATACTCGTTTGCGTTTCGTTAAACTCTTTGGAGACCGATAGCGTTAAATGTCTCGTCAAATCGTTGTGCGTCAAAGTGTATCTTCTCGGTTTCAACAACGAAGTGGGCGAATCGTTCAGGACGGAATCTTCGCAGAAAGATACGGAGACTCGGTCTGGATCAAACTTTAGCGGATCGAATAAAGCGCTCGTTCTGATCGATGATCTGTTCTTCTTTGTCTTCTTCTTTCCTGTTGTCGTCGTTATTGTATTTGTTGTTACGCGTGTTTGCGTCGTGTTCTCAAAAAACATCATCCGATGATGATGAGGACGAGGATGACGACAAGAAGATGAGAGATAAGTGTGCGAGTGGCCTTCTCCTCCTCTCCGTCCTCGTCCTCGTCCTTTGCTGCTGTTGAATACATTATAAAACGTCGACGACGACCCCGCGATCGCCTTTCTCTGTCCTCGTTGTGATCTTATCGCTTGAAAAGACGACGACGACGACGACGACGAACACGTCGTCGAGGAGAACAGTCTGTCCGCGATAACGCAACTCATTTAAAGGAACAAACAACAACAACAACAACAACAACAACAACAAATGCGTTTTTTACCACCCTCGCGAGAAGATTTTATTCCACTCTCTCTCTTATCTCTTTACTCTCTGCTCTAATATAATACTCTCTCTCTCTCTCTTACTCTGTGTGCTGTTTACGTCGAGTAGCTCTTGTGCGTACCACCTGTGTGCGTGTGAACACAGACAGAAGAGACTCACACGCAAGAGAGACTGAAAGAGAGTTCTGAGGAAACGACGAGAGACCTGACTGACGAGAGAGAGAAGAATTTGAGAAGCTTGAGAAGAAAATCTCTCCTTTTTTTTAAACCACGAAAACGGATGGAAATCTGGAAATCTCTCTTGTCTCCTCATCTTTGTTTCGTTGTCACCCTTCTCTTCATCAGAAAAAAAGGAAAGAAAAGAGAAACAAACAACACACAGGTTGAGGAGGAGGATGATGATGATGCGTTGCAGCAGTAATAGCGCTTTCAGTAGTCGCTCGTTGTCCATCAACAACAACAGAAACAGAAACAGCAGAGGAGGATCGACGAGCACGAGCACCGGGAGAAAGAAACGCGTGATTTTTATGAACGTACGAACACCAGAAGAAGAGACGTCACCATCGTCGTCGTCGTCGTCGTCAAAAAGAAGAAAACAAACGAGAGGAGTGATTGCCAAAAGTATTACGCAACAACAACAACAACAACAAAAGAGAGGACGCGCGTCTTTGAAAAACGCCGCGGTTGCCATACCGGGTGTCTTTGGCAAAGTGGAAGCGCCAAGACCGGACGTTGCGATACCGGGGAAAGAGGACCCGTGGACAGATCCAAAGTGGAAGGAGAAAAGATGGACGATATACAGAGACGTGGCGTACGATTTAGATCCGTTTTTTGAGAAACATCCGGGAGGGAACTGGTTGTTGAATTTAGCCATCGGGAGAGATTCGACGGCGTTGTTGGAGTCCTATCACTTGAGACCGGAAGTCGCGGTGGCGAGGTTTCGCATGCTCCCGGTGTTGAAAGATTTCCCGGTCGAGGCGGTGCCAAAGTCGCCGAGACCGAACGATTCGCCGTTATATAACTCGATTAGAACCAGAGTTCGCACGGAATTGTTTCCGGAGGAAGGTAAGAATAAGCACAGACAAGGTGGGGACTTTGCCACGTGCGTGATTTTGGGTTTTGCCGTGTTTGCGTATTCGATTTATTACGCGTTTCCATCCTTGTTAGCCGGCGCGTTGCTCGGACTTTCCGGCGCATGGATCGGTCTGACCGTCCAGCATTGCGCCAACCACGGCGCCATGAGTCCGTCGCCAGTCGTGAACAATTTGTTAGGCTTGACGGACGATTTAATCGGCGGATCTTCGTTGATGTGGAGGTACCACCACCAAGTTTCTCATCACATCCACTGCAACGACAACGCGTTGGATCAAGATGTCTTCACGGCGATGCCGTTGTTACGCTTTGATGCCAGAAGAGAAAGAAAATGGTTCCACAAATTTCAACACCTGTACTTGTTCCTCGCGTTTCCATTGTTGCAAGTCGCGTTTCAAGTTGGCGATATTGTCGGTTTGTTCACAAAAGACACCGAAGGTGCAAAGTTGCACGGGGCGACTGCTTTAGAGTTATCTACTGTGGTTATCGGCAAAATTGCCCACTTTGGTTTGCTTTTGGCACCGTTAGCGAATCACGCCACGTCTGCTGTTCTCGCCGGCATTGCTTCGTTCGTTGCCGTTCAAGGTATGGTGCTGGCGTGTACATTTGCCGTTTCTCACAACGTCGCGGAAGCGAAAGTTCCGGAAGATACCGGCGGTGAAGCTTGGGAAAGAGATTGGGGCGTCCAGCAATTAGTAACATCCGCGGATTGGGGCGGGAGAATTGGAAACTTCTTTACCGGTGGGTTGAATTTGCAAGTGGAGCACCACTTGTTCCCTGCGATTTGCTTCGTCCACTACCCAGCCATTGCGAAAATTGTCAGAGAAGAGGCGGCAAAATTTGGCGTGAACTATGCGAGCTACCGCACGTTGCCGGGTATATTCATCCAGTTTATGAAATTTGTGAAAGATATGGGGACTGCTGATCAAATTGGAGACATTACGACTGTTCGTCACAGAAACAACGAACTCGCTTTACAAGTGGACATCGCGAAGACGTCCATGAACTCGCAAGCGAACGCGGCTGCTGACGGCGTTGACTCGTGGTCGATCCAAAGAAACTTGGCCAGACGCATGTTCAATTTGCAATAATACTAAGAAAATAGAAGAAGAAAAAGATGGAATAGAAGAAGAAGATATACTACCACGACGAATATAAAGAAGAAAGTCTTTTTGAGCAGTCGGTCGCTGGCTGATGAGAGACACTATTGTAATGCTACTACTTGAGAAAGAAGAGAAAGAGAATTTTGAAAGATAAAAGTTTAGAATAGAAGTTTAGCTTCTTTTTTTCGAGTTTTTCTTTTCCTTTGTTTTCTCTTTTTCCACAAAACTCTTGACAAAACTCAACTCCTTTTTGTTGGCAAAAGAAAACCTCAATTTTTTGCCTCTCTTATACCAACACTAACGAAAATGATGGCGATGGTTCCATCGAGGATATATATGTCACCATCATCTTCTTCTTCTTCTGTAAACAACTCGAAATCGAAGTCAAACTCGTCAAACTCGGTGGCGCAAAGAAGACTTCATTTCTGTCAACCACATTTTGAACAAGAACATACTAAAAAGAAGACGTATAGGAGGAAGAATTTCAGAACAAAAGCGAATTTTGAAGACGACAACGACGACAATTCTTCTGTGAATAATAATAATTCTTTCTTCTCTGGTGTCAAATATATACATAGTTTGCAAGAAAACGCGGATACGTTTGTGAAGCACGTGCAATCCTATCGAATCACTCGAGTCGTGGACGTCGACGACGACCAAAAACACCGAGAAGAAAAGAACCTCAGAACAACGACGAGAAGAAGAAGAAGAAGGAGCAAAAATGACATTGAAATAGAAGATATGATGATTGAAGACGACAACGACGGAGAAGAAAATTACACCCTCGTGTGCGCGCAAACGTACGAAACTGATCGAGAAACGAGAGACTTGGTTTCCATGGAAATAGCGCAGAAAGGTGCGCTGCTCGGGTCGTTGATGATGGAGAAAGTGTTGGAGCGAGGGTGGTGGGACGACGCGACGGATGCGCCATCGGCAGGAAGCGCTATGGATACATCTCCAATGTTCGAATTCCAAGCTTTGAAAAGAGAACAGAGACGAGATTTAAGCGCAACTGTTCGCCAAGCGATTGAAAAAGAGTTGGGTAGGACTGTCGATTTCAAAGCGCTCGCGAAGAATGTCATCGAGAAGGTTTTCGAAGAAGCCTCCGGGGTATTACCAAATGAAATTCTTTTGACGAAACGAATGACGGAAGATATTCTGCGAGACGTGTGTGCTTCTCCGAAAGTCAGTCTGTATAAGAACACGCTTTTGTATCTGTCGGAAAACGAGGAGGAGTTTGCCATCTCGTCTTCGAGAAGAGATTTTAGCATCCAAGCGGAGTTCGAAGCTAAAAGAGTCTCGTCAACGAATACTAATAATTTGCACCCTTTAGCGGTGGTAACGTTGTCGATCATCGAGGATATGTCCGTTTCGCTTTCGGAGGGGATTACGAAAGCCGTGTTATCGACGAACGCTTTTGGTCTCGTCTCAAACTTGAAGTCTTCAAGAATTTTGAACAAGTTTCGCAACCAACAGAGATTTTCCAAGTTTCTCTTCGATAACTATCGGGACGTGGAAAACATTTTCTCGGATAGGTTTGAATTGTACGGCTATTACGCGGAGACGGATCAATTGATCAAACGAACTCTCTTCATGCAAAGAGTCAACGAGTTGGAGAAATTAAGAGGTATGCGATACCTGGTTTCCATCGTCCTCGAAGCCTTGGATGTTTTCGTGCCCGTTTTGTTTCAGGCGTGGCGAAACGCGACTAAAGTAGCCACGTACCTCCTCATGGTCGTCTTGGGGAGGAGTATTGGGTTAGTGTATCGAGGAATTAAGGACGTAGTAGATGATTCGAGAAATCGAAATAGCGCGTTTTAATACGATTTCATTGATAGCATATTTAACTGCTGCTACTCCATCTACTATTACTACTTCTGCGCTATCTAATAAATGCTACTTCTAACTGACTAACACGTTTTCTATCCTCAATTCGCCTTCGCCTTTGGCGCGAGAGAAAGGCAAGTTATTCCCCAAATCCATAATCTCCGGAGGCTTCTCGCCTTCTTCGAACATTTCGTATTTCGTACATCTGGAGTGTTGCGCCCACGCGAAGCCGTTTTCGACCGTGTACGTTTTCACGTTCGTCACGCCGGCGTCGCTGAACACTTGCCTCGCCCAGTTCGCTCTGGACGCAGAGCTCGTTAATAAAACGACAAACGTTTCCGGTTTTGGTTTCGGGAATCGAAACGATCGGAACCAATCCTCGTCGCCTAATAACAACGCTTTCGGAATATGATCGACGAGCATGTGCACTGTACCTCTGATGGATCCGTAGTACACTCTTTCGTCGTATCTTCGTATGTCTATGATGACAGCGGCGCCGGTGGAGAGAAGGTGCGAGCTTTCCAATAAAGTCATAAACGCATCTCGAGATAACGAAACGTCTTCCTCGGAAAGTAACGATTTCATGTCCGAATCTAACAATGGAATTAACGACACCATTCCTCCGACGACTGTGCTGCACCGAGAGAAGCCTAGACTCGAGGCTTGCGCGGCGGCTTGCGCGGCGTGCTTGCCGTGCGGCGAGACGAATATCAAGTTGCTTCGCAATCCGGGAGTTTTCGTTCTCGGGTACCGCTTATGAAACATCGACGAGGTGGCCGACGGCGAGTTTCTGTTCCTGAGGAGCAACTGAACTTCGCTCAAATCCATTCGAACGTAATACAGAGATTTGTTTTTCGTGGTTGCTTCCTCTTCTTTCTCTTCGCTTATGAACCGTCTTTGCAAAGCTCGAACCAAGTCTGAATTTTCGCTTCGATCGCTCACGTCGACGATGAAAAACTCCACGGGTTTTGTTTCCACCAAAAGCCAAAATGCGACTGGGGATAAACGCGCGTAACTCTCGTGTCGAGCCGCGTTGCGAGCTTTTTGTTTGATGGAGTTGATGGACGTTGATTTGTTTTCGTTCGTTCCATCGTCCGCTGATTTGTTCTTCAAATGACTTTGCAAGTCTTTCAAAAGATTCGGTTTGGACGACCTTAAAACGCGAACAGACCACGCGATGAGCGACAGACACACCGCTGTGGTTAACGAACCACCGACGTTGGTGACGTGCATTTGATTTAATCCTCTCGTTCGAGAGCTCTCTTTCCTTCTCTCTTTCGCGTTTGTTTTTGGAGATGAGGAGTGAATTTTTGGAAGAACTTTTGAAGAAGAGGTGAAAAGAAAAGTAAGAAACGCAGTTCCCGAAATGCTTTTTAATTAATTTGATGCGTATATTGCGTTTCAATATTTATATTAAGTATAGTTAAACAGTATTAATGAAAAACTTCACCTTCAAGGGATCAAATAATTAAATTTTATATTTTAATTCAAACATAGAATTTAATTTTTACATGTATTCCCTGTATATTTAGGATATTATCTGTTAAATATTTATATTCTCAATAATATAAAACAATGAATAAATAAAAATCATTTAAAGCAACGGGAAAACTAATATCTAGCAAGTAAAGATTTATTTATTATTTAAAAATGCCAAATTGAATATCATATCATTGTTTTAAATATATATATTACGATGAACATAACTGAAATAGTATTTAAAATCACATACACATGAAAGTTCTCGGGATTATATCGTTAATAAGAGTGTTAAAATAAATTGATTTATTTTCTCAAAAACCCGTTCCTCACAATTTCTCTTCTTTCTCTCTCTCTCTCTCTCTCTTTGGAGAAGAGAGAGGGCGATGACGATGACCTCGAGATTGCGTCGTCTAGCTTCCGGAAGATTCGTGCCGTCGATAGAGACACAGCAAAGAAGGAAAGACTTCGTCTGCCGTTCTTGCTCGTGCGTCGTTGAAGAAAAGAAAAAGAAAAATTATAAATTCTTTTCTTCCAACCACCTTCTTCGAGGAGAGGAACATCATCGGTTGGACCAACTTCTGAACAGATTCATAAACCACGAACAAAAAGGCGTCCCGTCTAAAGCAGGAACGGACGAAGATGCGAACGATGTGTTCGATATGAAGCGAATGCGCGTTTTCTTGAAACTTTTGGGCGACCCGCACAAAGGGAAGACGTATAAAACCATTCACGTCGGCGGCACGAAAGGCAAAGGCACTCAAATCGCTCTGCTCTCTTCGTGCTTAACGAAAGCTGGGTATACGATAGGGACGTATAAGTCCCCACACGTGCACACGTTCGCGGAACGAATACGAGTGAACGGACGATATAACGACAAAGAATTGAGCGAGTTATTCGAACAGATTTGGAAGAAGAGGACGGATTTAGAAACAAACGATGATGTTCAAAAGGAAGAAGACGACGCGTTAAAACAGTTGACGCACTTCGAAGTTCTAACGGCGTTGGCGTTAAAGTATTTCGAACAGAAAAACGTAGACATAGCTTTAGTTGAAGTTGGATTAGGTGGCGTACGGGACGCGACGAACGTGTTTGACGAAAATTCGTTGGAGTGTGCGATACTGACGCACATTGGCGAGGAACATTTGGAGGCGCTCGGAGGAAGCATAGAGTCCATCGTGCGAGCGAAAACCGGTATTTGTAAACCGTCGAGACCGACATTCATCGGACACCAAAACGATCGGAAAGTGGACCAATTAATCCGCGAGGGAGTTCATAATCAAGGTGGTGGTGTGATCGTCGAAAACAACGCGAAGGTACGTTTAGTAGATATCAATGACGATGGTGGGACTTTGAAACAAAGAGTCTCCGTAGTAGCGAGCGTTCCAAAAGGAGAAAAAGAAGAAGAGTTTCAGAGCAGATCCATCATAAATCTTCCGTTACTCGGTCCACACCAGAGAGAAAACGCCGAGTTAGCTCTGAGCGTCTTATCGCACATGATGACGACGACAAAAACAACAACAGGGAAGACGTGGGACAAACTCACGTGGGAAAGTATTCGCGAAGGTTTCGAAGCGTGTTCCTCGGTTTCATCGCCTGGAAATTTCGAGATTCTCCGACGACCGCGAAGAAAAAGTTCAGAAACGGGTACGTCGCAAGATGATAATCATAACCATAAAAATGATGACGACTACGTCACAATCGTCGCCGATGGCGCGCACACGGAAGAATCAGCCGTGTGTTTGAGAAAAACGCTCCTCGAGGTCTTCCCGAACGAACCGATAGTGTTTGTCCTCGCCATGGCGTCGGATAAAAACCACTCCGGGATATCGAAAGCTTTAGCCGCGACGCCTTCGATGGTTGAGATGATCGCCACAAAAGTAGACGTGGCTGGGAAAGATTTGCGATCGACTGCGCCGGAAGTGATCGCGCAGAGCGAACATTTCAAAGGAGTTGTCGTTCAGGATTTTTCCTCGGCTATGAAATACGCGAAAGATGTTTTAACGAGAAAGAATAACGGCAGAGGCGTAGTGTGCGTCTCTGGAAGTTTGCACTCGGTCACGCGAGCGAAAAGAGAAGCGCATTTGTAGACGAATACATCTTCAAATAATAGGTACTTGTATGATAATATCGTAGCTTTTTAGAACTGTGTAGCATACATAGCATATAGGAATACGAGATTCGTAATAATATAAAATCATCAATACGTTCTATTATTTTAGAAGTCCGCGCTGCCTGGGTATCGAGGAAATGCAATCACATCTCTGATATTCTCCACGCCGGTGACGTATTGAACCAACCTCTCGAAACCTAAACCAAAGCCGCTGTGCGGGACCGAGCCGTACTTTCGCAACTCCAAATACCACCAATACGATTCTTTCTCTAAACCGACTTCCTCGATTTTCTTCTCCAAAACGTCCAAGCGCTCTTCTCTTTGGGAGCCGCCCATTAATTCGCCAACTTTTGGGACCAAAACGTCCATCGCCGCGACGGTTTTACCGTCATCGTTCGCGCGCATATAAAACGCTTTGATATCTTTCGGATAATCGCGAACAATCACCGGTCGGTCTTTATAAACCTCTTCCGAGATGTATCGTTCGTGTTCGGATTGTAAATCGCTCCCCCACTGGATCGGGAACTCAAATTTTTTCTTCGCCGATAAGACGTGTTCCACGGCTTCCGTGTACGTGATTCGAGCGAAATCTTGATCGACGACGTTCTGTAATCTTTCCCTTAAGTTATCTTTGGAAATATTCTTTTCAAAGAACTGCAAATCTTCGTCGCAGTGTTTTAAAACGTGCGTGATGCAGTGCTTCAAATACGCTTCGGCGCAATCCATGTCGTCGTTTAAATCCGCAAACGCTAACTCGGGTTCCACCATCCAAAACTCCGCGAGATGTCTCGACGTGTTGGAATTTTCCGCTCGAAACGTCGGACCGAACGTGTAAATGTCGTTGACCGCGCTCGCCATGATTTCACCGTTCAACTGGCCAGAGACGGTTAAATACGATCGTTTGGCGAAGAAATCTTGTTCGTAATCTACGCCACCGGATTTGAGTTTTGGAAGCTCTTTCACGGACGTTTGCGGCGTATTTGACCCGGATTGGAGCTCTGTCAGTTCTTCTTTTAACGCCAACAATTTCTTTACCTCTCGATCGACGTCCTCTTTCGTCGCGTTGCCCTCTCCTTTATCCGCTTTCGTTTTCTTGACGATATCGCCTTGGCTTTTCACTTTTTGCTCTACTTTTTCAACGTCTTGCGGCGCGACTGACGCGGCGGCGCCGGCGGATCCTTCTTCCTCTAACCCGTTCAACAAACACGTGACTTGAAACTGCTCTCCGGCGCCTTCGCAATCCGAAGCGGTAATAATCGGCGTGTTCACGTATAAAAACCCATTCTGCTGAAAAAACTGGTGCGTCGCGAACGCCAACTGATTTCTCACTCTCGATACCGCCGCGATGGTATTCGTTCTCGGTCTCAAATGCGCGATCCCTCGTAAGTATTCCAGCGTGTGTCTCTTCTTTTGCAACGGGTACGTCGCCGGATCCGCTTTACCGATAATCTCCAACTCGTCCACCAAAACTTCCACCGATTGTTTCCCGCCCGGCGATTCCACGACTTTCCCTTTCACTCGTATCGACGCTCCGGTCGAAACTTCGCTCGTGGCGCCCGCGACGAGTTGCCAGACGTTTTCGTCCACGTGTTCTTGCAAGACGACCATTTGCATCCCGGACATGTCCGAACCGTCGTTTAAATCGATAAACGCTCGGTCTTTTTGCGCTCGATTCGATCGGACCCAACCTTTTAATTCGAGCGTTTTGCCTACTTTTGATTTCCCGTGATCGTTTGCTTTGATTTGTGCCAGGCGGTCTCTTCTTTTATACGTTGTTGTTGTTTGCGTCGTCGAACTGTTCTCACCAGCAGCACTACTACTGCTCGTCGTACTTAATCTCGTATTTTTCACACTTCTTCTTCTCATCATCGTCATCGTCACCACGTGAGAAGAAGTTAAAGAAGAAGAGCACGACGACGACAGAAGAGGAGACACACCACCCATCGTCGTCGGTATCCTTCTTCTCTGCTGAGTAGTATTAGTGTTGCTATTATTATGATAAAAGTTTCTGCTTGTTGTCGTCGTTGTTAAAGTGCTTCTGCTTCTGCTGACGACAGCGGATTGATGATGACATTTGTCCTTGTTGCTTCTCATCATCCGTCGCGAAGAAGAGGAGACACACCCAGGAGCAGAAGAAGAAGAAGAACGAGTGGTGCTTAAATTGGTGGTGTTTGTTCTGGTGGTCGTCGTCGTTGATTTAATCATCGTCATCTTGTTTCTCGTCTGTCGTGTGGCGCAGAAACAACTCTTAAAGGACGCTATCTTCATCATTTTTTTGTGTCACACAACAAAGTTGTTTTTTTTTTACTCTCGTCTCGAGTATACAAAAGAGTTGTAAAAAGTGTGGGAAAGAAAGAAAGAAAAAAGAAAGATGTTTAAAGAGAAAAATGAAAACGAGGAGAGAGAGAAAAGTTTTATCAGAGGGAAAAATTAGGTTTCAGAAAATTTCTCTGCTTTTCTACTGCCTGACTGCTTTTCAGACAAAAGTATTTCAAAGGTGTTGTTGTTGTTCAAACACCGCACAACAAACACATTAGAGTAGTATAAAACAAAGGTTTCAGAAGAAGCTACGACGAATAAGAAGAGAGAAAGTGTTCGTTAAACCACCCAATTATTGGAAAGAGACTCTGTTGTTAAAGTACTCATACTATAATACTACTTTAAGAGAGCGTAATAACGGAGAGTTTTGTTGTTCTCCGAGAAGAAGAAGACAAAGTCAAGACGAAGAAGAAGAAGATTGGAGAAAGCCCCATTAGAAGAAGAAGCACAAAGAAGAAGCGCAAAGAAGAAGAAGAAGAAGAAGAAGATTTAAAAAATGCCGAAAGCGAAAGGCAAAGGCGGGAAAAACCGACGACGAGGGAAGAACGATTCAGAAGATAAGAGAGAGTTAATATTCAAAGAAGACGGACAAGAGTACGCGCAAGTTCTGAGAATGTTAGGGAACGGACGTTTAGAAGCGCAATGCATCGACGGCGTGAAACGCCTGTGCCACATTCGAGGAAAGATGAGAAAGAAAGTCTGGGTGAACACGTCGGATATCGTTTTACTCGGCTTGAGAGACTTTCAAGACGAAAAAGCGGACGTGATTTTGAAATACACCGCGGAAGAGGCGAGAAGTTTAAAGGCGTACGGGGAACTTCCGGATTCCATCCGGGTCAACGAAACCGACACGTTCGAAGAGGAAAGAGACGAGAACGACGACTTTTTCGATTTCGACGACATCGCGGATATCTAAGAAGAAGAAGAAGAAGACGAAGAAGCGGCGTCATTGTCACATCACATATACATTAGAGAGAGAAAGAGAGACTACTACTACTACTACTACTATATCTAGATTATTATATAAAAAAAGTATTGGTACCGCACGGTACCATAAATTACAAGCTATTTTATTTACGAATCGGATTCCTCCTCTTCGCTTTCCTCTTCTTCTTCTTCTTCGCTCTCCTCTTCTTCGACCGAAGCATCTTCATCGTCGTCGTCCTCTTCTTCCTCTTCCTCTTCTTCCTCCTCTTCCTCTTCTTCTTCTTCTTCGTCCTCTTCTTCTTCTTCCTCGTCTTCTTCTTCTTCTTCTTCCTCGTCTTCTTCCTTCTCCTCTTCTTCTTCTTGAACTTTCTTTTCGTCGCCAGAGATGACGTATCCAGACTGACACAACAGCTCGTACACTCTGAGAACTTTAATCGGTTCGATTTTAAACATCGTTCTCACCTCAGCTCTTTTAATCGGATTGGATTTGCCTCTCTCTTGACTCAACTTCATCAACTGTTGTTTGACCATTAAAAATTGCACCGGCAACATTCGATTCGTCACGCACAACTCCTTCTCTTGTTTACTCAAAAGCTCCACGCCTGGTAACGTGGCCAAATCCAAGGGAATGTACATTCTCTTTTTCGATCCCGAGGTATTGCCTAAATGATGGTCCGTCTTTAGCGATCTACCACCGGGAGAAGGAAAAATAGTATTCGACGATTTGTTCGCGTCTCCCGGTTGCGCTTGCGCCAACGGCAAAGGAGTGAATCCTTTCTTTCTCGAGTGCGGCGACTCGAACGATTTGAGTCTGGCAAACTCTTCCATTCGTCGTTTCTTTTCAACGTCGTAGTTTTCACCCTCTTGTAACGTGGTAATCCCGTTCCGTCGGTATTCTTTCAACTCGCCAATTCGCGTTCTAATTTTATTCTCCGCGGCTAAACCTTCCAGCAAGACGTCGTATTCCGATTGCGATAAGTATCGCATGAATACTCGCAACGTGCCGTGTAAATCTCTCTCGTATTGCGATCGTTTCTTCTCAAACATTTGTTGTTTCTTCACGTTCAACAATCCTCTCTCTAAGATGAAATTCTTTCTCCTCTGTCTCTCGGCTAAACGCTCGTTGTATATTTCAATCATGCGTATTTTCAATTTTCTATCCTCCTCCGTGTCCAACTCTCGAAACTCCATCTCCGCCAAAGGTAACTCAGCTTCGATGTCGTACTCCGGGTCGAACTCGTTTCTCTTCACGTTATACCCGGTCAACTCGGAAATATTTCCTTCCGCACGAATCTCTCCAGGTTTGGACATTTGTTGCAACAGCGTCATCTCCACGTCTTGGTTCAACGTTCCGTTTTCTTTATTATTATTATTATTCTCTTCTCCTCCTCCGTTGGTTTCGTTTTCCTCTTTTAACTTGCTCTTTTGTTTCTGTTTCCTTCTCAACTCGGCTTGGTCTTCCTCGGTCAACTTTTTATATCCTTTCCCGAGGACTTTACTCATATCCGGCAACGGCGCCGCCGGCGACTTCACGTACTCCTCGACGTAGTGTTGTTGGCACTGACTTTTCGTTTTCGTCCCGACGTGTTCGCTCACGTCCGTCCAATTCGACAAACCGAATATCTCCACGCCTTCTAAGAGTAAGAGTTCCTCGTCCGCGCCCCAATCTAAGGTTAACAACGGAAACGACAAGTCGTCGATCACGTGATACGGGTGCCCCGCTTTGTGCGGAAACGGTTCCGCACCCACGGCGAAACATTCCACGCACAAGTCCACGCCGACGCAGGAGGCACATTTCATTCGCACCACCGACGATATGTCCTTTTGACAGTACGAACAGTGGAATAAAGCGACTTGCGCGTTGGAAAGGTTTTGCGCTTTCGTAATCGCGGTCCCCGTGGCTGTTCTTCGTCGTTTGTTTTTCATCGTCGTATTCATCGTCGTCATCGATGATTGGTTTTGGTTTCCGTTCTTCATCTTTTCTCTCTTCTTCTGTTTTGAATTCGTTCTTATTATAACTTCTTATGTATATAACTTTGTGTGAAAGAAAAGGATCCTTTCTTCCTCGTTTTCGAAAACTTTCTTCTGAGACGATTCAAACAGATTCAAACGGATTCAAACCACGGGCGGCGCGAAGAACAACAAAGACGAGAAAAGAAGAAAGACTACTCTCTCCACTAAGATCTCTCTTGCCTTCTTCCTCAGTTCTTCCTCAGTTCTTCTCACAAAAAAAAATCACCTTTTTTTGAAGGGGAAAACAAAAAAAAAAGAGAAGAAGAAAAACCAATTTTTCATGGGAGAAACCACCAAATTGAAGAGAACAATTTTTTACATTTTGGGTGTTTTCACATCAAACAGGTCTTTTCTGCACAAATCTAAACGCGCTTTACAATAATAAAAAACACTACCACGAAGTTTTTACAAACGCGAGTATAATAATAAACTAATAAAACATAAATATGGAAACTTTAACTTTAAGAGGCGTCCTCGAAGGGTAGGTTTTCTCGTTCGCGTTTCGTATGTTTTTACCTTTTTTATATGCGCGCGATTTTGTTGGATTTTTTTCCTCCTTTTTATAGAGTCGTATTAGGTTCAAGAAATCATCATCATCATCATCATCAATCATCTTCATCCGTCTTCGGCTGCCTTTTTGATGGTAACAATGATGGATTTTACGACGACGACGACGTAAACGACGACGCATCACATGTGTAGGAGTAAAATGCGTTTTGTGTTTGTGACTGACATTCTCTTCTTCTTCTTCATAATAATAACCAACAAACACGAACGTAAAAAAAAACAGACACGAAGGCTGGGTGACTTCCATCGCCACTCCCCTTGATAACTCGGACATTCTCTTGACCTCGTCCAGAGATAAATCCGTCATCTTGTGGACGTTGACCAGAGAAGAAGGCAACTACGGCTACCCGAGAAGACGCTTGCACGGTCACTCGCACTTTGTCCAAGACGTCGTCATCTCCTCGGACGGGCAGTTCGCCTTGTCCGGTTCCTGGGACGGTACCTTGAGATTGTGGGACTTGAACTCTGGAACAACCACGAGACGATTTGTCGGTCACAGCAAAGACGTCTTGTCCGTCGCGTTCTCCGTGGACAACAGACAAATCGTCTCCGGCTCCAGAGATAAGACGATTAAATTGTGGAACACTTTGGGCGAGTGCAAATACACGATTCAAGAACACGAAGGCCACACGGAGTGGGTTTCTTGCGTTCGATTCTCCCCGGCACCGTCGAACCCGATCATCGTCTCGTGCGGTTGGGATAAACTCGTCAAGGTGTGGAACTTGAACAACTGCAAGTTGCGAACCAACTTGGTTGGCCACACCGGGTACATCAACACCGTCACGGTGTCGCCGGATGGCTCTTTGTGCGCCTCGGGCGGTAAGGATGGCGTCGCCATGCTCTGGGATTTAGCGGAAGGCAAGAGATTGTACTCTTTGGATGCTGGGGATATTATCTACTCCATGTGCTTCTCGCCGAATAGATATTGGTTGTGTGCCGCCACGCAATCGTGCGTGAAGATTTGGGATTTGGAGTCCAAGAGCATCGTCGACGAGTTGCACCCGGAGTTCCCGCCGGTTGGTAAGAAGTCCATGCCGCCGCACTGCACCTCCTTGCAATGGTCCGCGGACGGTCAAACTTTGTATACCGGTTATTCCGACAACAAGGTTCGCGTCTACGTCGTTTCCAGAGCCTCCGCGTTCTAAATTTTATATCATTTCGAAATGAATTTGGTGACGAGAGATTCTACGCGATGGCACCCACAGCAAAAAAATCTAGAAGAGTAGTTTTTTCTAATATTTAAACGAATACTAATAAACGTATGGATTATGTTTCGCGTTTGTTTCTCTCTAATGCTCTCTATTAAATGCTCTATCTATGTTTTTCTTCTACGCGATCGATGAGTGTAAACTCCGCATTTTCTTACTTCTTTCTTTTCGTTCCGCCGGCGCTCCCCGATTCCTCCTTTATCGCCGCGTCCACCTCTTCCTCGATGCCACCGCTCCCTCCTCCTCCAACCACGTTCGCGCTCGCTCTCCTTTCCGCCTCCTCTTGCTTCCTCGTCACCTCTACCTTCCTCAGATCTTCCATCGCCAAATCCGTCTTCGTCTCCACTATTTGATTTTCGATGTCTCTCAAAGCGTCGTCGCACGTTCTCTTCCACTCTCTCACAGTCGCCAACATCTTTTCCACTCTCCCACTTTTCCTGTCTGGGTCTCGTCCAATCGCTGAAAAGACTTCAAAAACCGACAGTTCTTGATTCATCTGTCCTTTCACGATCCCGGGCGATATCACTTTCTCGATTAAAAAATCCTCCAGTTCTCGCACAGAGTTCAAGTGCAACTGTTGCATCAAGATCTCGTAGGAGAGAACTTTCGTTTCGTACGATAAAGATGCGACCGATAACTGCTTCAACTTTTCCTCTTGTTTTTCGTTTAATATAACTTTTAACGATTGTTGCTCGTTTTGTTGTTGTTGATGATAATACTCATCGAAAGTGCCGAACGAAAACAAGTCCAGAAGTCGAGCGCTCTTCTCTCCGAAAACGTTTCCGTCGTCGGTTTTTCTTTTCATTCGTAATCGCTCCAAAGCGTTCGCGAGCTCCGCGAAACCGGAATAGACGTTCGAAGAGGACGTCGCTTTCGTCGTAATTTCGAAGACTTCTTCCTCCGATATGTTATTCGAAGCATCGTTCTCGATCATCGATTGGACGTAAGATGAGATGGGATGAGAAGAAGACATGTTTTTTTTTTAAATGACGACCAAAAACCAATCGAAAACCTTTCAACTATGTAACGGTATTTTACTACGTAATAAATATTGAATCTCATACTTTATTAGTACAGCGAATGATGACTTCTACAAATGATGATGGTTTTGCGCTCATCATTATTACTCTAATTCTCATTTTCTCTCCTGTGTCGTCGTCGTTTATGTCGTCGTTAACTCCTCGACTACGGCGCGTAACATTCGATCGCAACTTTCTCGCGGCGTCGTTGGACTGGCCATTAAATACAAAACGTTACCAATCGGACGAGCTTGGATGCCGTATTTTCGTAACTTTAAGACGACATCTTTGGCGATGTTGGAGGCGTATCCAGTTGGACCACCGTCGGGGACTTTTAATTCCATCGCAAAGACGCATCCGACGGAAATGATTCTCTCGACGGAGTCTAAAGCGCTGAGTCGTTTCAAGGTTGTTTCGTCCCAGAATTCGTTCAATCGAATTGATCTTCTCGATTTTGATGTTGTTGTTGATGATGATGTAAAAGAAGAAGAAGAAGAAAAAGATAAATTTGGATTCATAGTTTCGTCCGTATACACCTTCAAAGCTTGCGCGGCTACCGCGCATCCAATCGGGTACGCCGTGTACGAGTGGCCGTGTAAAAGCGCTTGCGGCTTCCCCGGTCCGTAAAACGAATCGAAGATTTCTTCCGTCGTTACAGTAGCCGCCATAGGAACCAAGCCACCAGTTAACAATTTTGCGTAACACGAAATATCCGGCGTTTCGTAATCGAGAAGTTCCCAGGCGCCTTCTACGCCCAATCTCCAGATGCCCGCGAAGACCTCGTCCAGGACGACTGGAATCTTTCGTTCCTTACATTTTTGCATCAAGATGGATTGAAAGAGAGGATCGATCAAGATCATTCCGCCGGCACCGTGTAAGACGGGTTCCATGATTAATCCGCCAATTTCAGGCGCCTCGCCGGATTTACCGAGACGTTCGGCGTTGTCGAGAACGGAGTCTATGAGCGCCTGGTATCGAGCCGCCGCAGAGGAAGCTTTTCTCTTCTTCACGTCAAACACGTCCGCTTTATTCTCGAATCGGTCTAAAACCACCGCAGCAGTCGAAGAAGTCTGCCCCGAGCCTTTTGCTACAACTAACTCCTCCGCGCATTCCACCGTCCATTTCTGATTTTTCAACCCAATTGTAGGCGCGTTCAAAAACAATCCTCTCGGTTCGTACCAAGGCGTTTGTAAACTTCCGGTAAAAATTGAAGGCGATTGCATGTCCATCGCACCTAACGTGTCGCCGTGATACGAACCATCTAAAGCTAATATTCTAAGTTTTGGTAACGCATTCAACACGTTCGCATCATTCGCTTGTTCAGCGCGTTCAATGCCGTCTTTCGATAGTAAACCAAGATTAACGTACCGCTGTCGAAAGGCCATTTTAATGCCGACTTCCGTCGCCGTGCTTCCGTTATCAGAGAAGAACACTCTTTTACCCCACGTTTTCGCTGGGCCGTTAAGTATACCTTTAGCCGCTTCCAACGCTGGCACGTGCGCGTTTTCAGGAAACATAACGTGTCCGTATCGACCGCACGCGTGCATGAGCGCTCGATGTAAACTCTCGTTCGCTTTGTCGCCCGTAATGCCTTGCGTCCACCACGAAGCGGCGGCGTCGAATCTGTGCTGCACTGTTTCCGTTTTCTGGTCGTAAATGACAAAGTCATCCTGCGATCTTCCATCGATTACTGCCACCATATCTTTCTTAACCATCTCGTGCTGCGTAAACGGCCACCACAAAGTATCCAAAGCATCCTTTGCTAATCCGTTCAACTTTTCCACGCGTTTCGCGTGCCATTGAACAAGATGGGCGTACATGTCTCGAAACGCGTCGTTTTGTGCGTGAACCCACTTTTGTCCATCGCCTTCGTGTGGAAGTTTTGGTAACGAGAATACTTTCACGTTCGATGGGACGTTCTTTGCGATCGCTTCGTGGTTATCGTAGCCTTCGTTGCTTAAAACGATACACGCGACGTCGTATCCTCTCAGAAGTAAAGACTCGTACGATGTCAACGTCACGGAAACGCCGCCTAATCGTCCATCGCCAACTAATATTGCCGGTAATCGACACCTCGCTAACACGTTCGATTGTAAATTTCCGGAAGATGAGGGAGAAGCAACTCCTCCGGCGGTTTCCACGAGCGCGAATTTGTTGTTGTTGTTGTTGTTGTTGTTATTTAAATCGTTATTATAAAACTCCTCCAATCGATTTCGCACGGCGTTCACGACGTCCTCGTCCGTCACCGGTCTCCCTTCCAGTTTCTCCGCTATGTGCGGTCCAGCGGCTATTTTCCACGCAAACTCCGTGTGACACCAGACGTTGTTAATAATGTTCGTGTTATTCGTACCATCATCGGTAGTCGTCGTGTCTGACGTTGTTGTTGTTGTTTCTGTGGAAACGCTGCGACACTTCGCGGCGTGCGCGCCAGTCGTCACTCTTCTTTTGATAGAACTGCCGCCGCTTTCGCTTTCGACGCTATGCACACAATCGGCGACGAATTGCGCGTCCGAATCTTCCGGGAACCCAGTTTGTACTGGTTTCAAATACAAACACGAAGACGAAGAACTTTTCGCCGCCGCGTTGATTACCCCCCCGGAAACGAGCGTTTTCCCAACCGCCGTGTTACTCCCCCAGACTTGAAACGCCGGGTACGAGACGTTTATTGTTGTCGTTTTATTCTCCTTCTTCTCGTCGTCGCTTGTTTCACTTTTGCTCCTATTCCTACTCGTACTCGTGGTGGTGGTGGTAGTGCTGCTGCTGCTAAACTCTCGTCCTCGTCGTCGTCGTCGTCTGGTGTTTTCTTCCTCGTTTTTGTCGTTCTTGTTCAATGAAAACGACGTCGACGTTCCAAATCCTCCTCCTCGTCTTCCTCGTCGTCTGTTTTCCTCTTTGTCGTTCTTTATCAAAGCAGCGTTAGTCGATGATGATGATGACGACGAGGCGCTTTTTCTCATCATCATCATCGTCAGATTCCCATCGTCATCGTCGTTTTCATCGTCGTCGCGACACCCGCACGCGTAACGCTGCCATCCTCGTAAAACTCTTCCGTCGTGTTGTCGTCCTCGCGAGGAGGAGGAGGAGGACAACAGCATCGACAACACCATTTTGCTCTTCTTCTTAAACATCTTCTCGTTTAGTAGTTACTCACAACAAAAAGTTCTTGTAATTCAGAAGCGCATATGCAGAGAAAGAAACGCGAACACAAAAACACTCCAAAAAAGTGCATTTTCGAAAAGAGAGAGATGAAAAAATTTTGAAAATTCAGGGTTTAAAGCAGAAAGAAGAAGAAGAAGATATTTTTTCGATCAAAAAAGGTTTCGACTGAAAAAGTCAGGTCGTTTTTTTGCCTTCTTTCTCGTTTCCTCTTCTTCTTCACATTGATTGGACTGACGCGATCTCACTCGTCATAACAGACAGTTAGTAGAGTATGTCTCAACAACATAAAGTGATCGTCATCGGCGGCGGCTTAGCCGGCTTATCCGCCGCACACACCATCTTAGAAAACGGAGGCTCGGTCGTGTTATTAGATAAGAGCGCTTTCTTAGGCGGGAACTCGACCAAAGCGACGAGTGGTATCAACGGTGCGTGTCAATTCATTCGTGTGATTGTGTTCGTCTTGCCGCCGATCTCTCTTTCGTCGTAATCTCTTTCTTTAATATTGAAGAGATTGAAACGACGCTTTAAAAAACACACGTTTTATTATTGCGTGCACTCGTAAACATCATCATCGTCATCATCGTTCACATCAAATAAAACGAGAGACAACTTCAACGAGAACACACAGAAACAAAGACAAGAGAAAAAGCAGCGCTTTCTTCTCATCTCTTCGTTTGATGAGAATAAAAATAATTCTCGTCAGTCGTGATGACTCAGAACGAAGAGAGAGAGAGAAAAAGGCTCGAAAAAGCGTTCTAAAGTTGAATTTTTTTCTTCGAGTAAAAATTTTCTTTCATTTTTTTTCAAACAACAACAAAACATTAGTAAAAAATACTCACATCATTCAAATTTTCTATTCTCTCTCTAATCTAAATTCAAAATAAAGGAGCACCGACGAAAACGCAAAAACTGGTCGGCGGCATGGCCGCGCGAGACTCCGCGGAGGCGTTCGAACAAGACTGCTTAAAAGGCGCAGCTGGCGTGAACCACACGACGGCACCTGAACACACGATTCCTTTGGCGAAAGTGTTAGCGCACGGAAGCGGAAGCGCCGTCGATTGGCTCGTGGACAGATTTAATCTCGATTTGAGTTTGATTTCGCAGTTAGGTGGACACTCGTATCCGAGAACGCACAGAGGGAAAGCGAGATTTCCCGGGTTTACCATCACGTACGCGTTGATGGAAGCGTTAGAGGAGGTGTGCGAAAAAACGAATAACGAGAAAGCGCAGATTATCACCAAGGCGAACGTGAAAAGGTTACTGAAAGACGCCAGCGGACAAGTGGTTGGGTGCGAATATTCAGATAAGAAAGGACAAACGCAACAGGCGTTTGGACCAGTGGTGGTGTGTACCGGAGGGTACGGCGCGGATTACACGAACACTTCCTTGTTATCGAAATATAGACCGGACGTGACGAGTTTACCGACGACCAACGGCGACCATTGCACGGGCGACGGGATTAAAATGGCCCAAGAGATTGGCGCCGGCGTCGTGGACATGGAATCCGTGCAAGTCCACCCGACCGGTTTAGTCAACCCGGGCGAACCAGAAGCGAAAGTTAAATTCTTAGCCGCGGAAGCTTTGAGAGGCGTCGGTGGTATCTTGTTAGATGCAAACGGGAATCGATTTTGCGACGAGCTCGGGAGACGGGATTACGTCTCCGGTGAAATGAACCGAAACAAAGGTCCGTTCCGATTAATCTTGAACGGTAAAGCGTCCAAAGAAATCGAATGGCACTGCAAACACTACGTCGGGAGAGGTATCATGAAGAAATTCAACTCCGGGAACGAAGTCGCCAGAGAGATGGGCATCGACCCGTCGCATTTACGAGAGACGTTTGAGAAATACAACCGGTGCGCGCAAACGAAAGCGTGCCCGTTCGGGAAGAAGTTTTTTCACAACGCGCCTTTGGATATGAACGACCCGACGTTTCACGTCGCCATCGTGTGTACGGTCGTTCATTACACCATGGGCGGTTTGAGAATCAACGATGATTCTCAAGTTTTAGACGCGAATGAAAGACCAATCCCGGGTTTGTTTTGCGCCGGCGAAGCCGCCGGAGGCGTCCACGGGAGAAACCGTCTCGGTGGGAACTCCTTGTTAGATTGCGTGGTCTTTGGCAGAGTGGCTGGGATGAACATCGTCAAGCAATTAAGAAGTGGTGGTGGTGGTGGTAACGTCAACGCGTACTCGAGAATAACCGACGCGCAAGGCGCGTTAAACAGAGTCGCCAACATCAACGGCCACTTCAATCCGAAAATGGGCGCCAAGACGACGGCGTCCTCCTCCGGAGGATTAACCGAAGCCGAAGTTGCAAAGCACGATAAAGAAAACGACTGTTGGGTGATTTTACACGGGAAAGTGTACGACGTGACGGAGTTTTTACCGGACCATCCCGGCGGGAAGAAAGCAATCATGTTGTTCGCCGGTAAAGACGCCACGGAGGAGTTTGACATGTTGCATCCGCCAAACGTGTTGAAGAAATATTTACCTCCCGAGGCGATGCTCGGCGAACTCGTCGGTTAAAGAAGGTTAAAGAAGACAAATGTTACCGGTAGTAATAACTACTACTACTAACACTACTACACATGAAAAGAAAAGAAAAGAAAGAGAGAGAGAGAGAGAAACGAGAAGACGTTGGCGACGACGCGATTGACACATACACCCCACATATAAAAAAATCGACTACTGTAGTACTTTTAATCATAATTCATTGGAATCCATTCTTCGTATTATCATAAAAAACGACTCTCTCTCTTAGTATTATGCTTGTGGTGGTTGATTTCTCTCTCGCCGCCACGCCGCTGCTTCAAAACACTTGAGGCCTCGTTTGCACGACGAACAATTTACCGTCTTCCGTGATCGCGCCTTCGATATCTTGCGCCGACCCGAGCAAATTTTCAATCTCCATGCCGCTCTTGGCAATCGCGCTCAACATTTGGTTCCTGAAATCTTCGTTGTTCGAAATCGGTTCGTTCGTATAATCGATGGATTCTAAACTCGGCTCGTTCATGCACACAGAGTCGTATAAACCGGCGCCGGCGAACCCTTCTAAATCCTCGCCGTTTGAATCCGATCTGAAAATCAACGTATTTTGTCGCGCGAACAATCCTTTCGATTTCGAGGGGAACCCGTTGATCGTCGGTCGATCTAAATCCGATTTCTTCACAGTGAAACTCAACGCGCGACCGGCAAAGTTACCAACCAACGCTTCGCCCATGCCGCAGACGAGTTCGCCGTAAATTTCAGTTTGGTCGTTCGTTTGCGGGTGCACCGTGTGTAACACGAACGCGTATTTCGCGTTCACCACCGGTTGACACAACACCGCCATGTTCAAATCGTCGTGATTCAAACCGGCTTTTTTACACGACAAGACCGCTCTCTCGTTGTACTTGGAAGCCCAAACGGCGCAAATGGTTCTCCAAGCTTCCTGGCCTTGTTCGGAAGTTTCCAAATCCCCAGGCCATGATAACTTTTCCTTAGTAAAGCACGATTCGAGTTCAGATTGTAACGCGTTCGGCGGTTTCAACGAAGAGATGGTTGACTTGATATCATCGATCAACGCACGGAAGCCGTCGCCGTCTTTTGAGTCGTCGAATTGCTTCAAAGCGAGAATTTGAGACTCCAGCTTCGTTTTCACTTGCGCGTTCATTGGATCGTTCAAAGTCGCGTCGAACGTTCCGAACGGCAACGCCACCGAGGCGGGCAATTGAATCCAATTCGGCGTGCGTCCTCGCAATAATTCCAAATTTTTCGATTTACCGCCGACGACTTGGTCGTTGAATTCAGACGAATCCAACGCAAACTTACCGGGCCATTGCTTTTGCTTGATGGAAATTCCAGATTCGCCCAAGGTTTTCGCTTGAGAGGCGCCCGCGCCTCCGGCGGGTTGAACGTCCGCCAATTCGATAGACTTGACATCGATTTCATCTCCTTGCGCGTTCGGATGTAAAGAAACGCATTTGCCGTCCATCTGTTTCATCTCTTCCAAGACGTTGAAGTCAAAAACAGTCGCGAAGAACACTTTCTCGTTTCTCGCGCGGACGGAGACGTGCGAGAGAATGTCTGGCATGTCCGGCGTGATCACGCCAACGCAACCGACTGGAATATCTTCCTCACCAGAAACTCTTTTCGCGATGATAATCGTCGGCGTGGAATATTTAATGTTCTGCACCATGGACAACGCGTCGACGTACGCGACTTGACCTTTAACTTGCACCGGCGAAATGACTTGCCATCGACCCATTTGCGCGACGGCTCGAATCATAGGGTCTAACACGCGAAGCATTTGAGACAACGGAGCGGCTGGAGTACCTCTCACGATCTCTTCCGAGAACAATTGCAAAACGTGTTCGTCTACGTTCAATTTCGGTCCCATACTCATCGCGGTTGGCTGCAAGACGTTGATGTACCGTTCCGAGATTTCTCCTAAAGCGTTGCCTAAACGGTCGCACACGGCTTTGGCTTGTAATCCCCAATCGTTCGAACCGGATTTGGCGGACTGAATAACGTTTTGCCAATCTTTCAAGCAATAGACGAATTCTTGGTTTTCGCCGGTACTCAAACACAAGTTCTCCAAAACCATTCCGGTGATTTTCAAGACGTCCAGAGGCGCTCTCTTGCTCATTTCGGCGATCTGCGCCTCCATCACTTGTCTCACGGCTGCTTCCAACGCCAAGTCTAGGTAAATGACATCTTTCAGACGATCGTTATCTTTCCCATCCGGTTTCGTCCACTGCCATAATTCTCTTCTCGCCTCTAAAATGGCTTCCAACACGTTGAACGCGTCGCCGTTTTGTTCTCTTAATACTCTCGCGCACGTCAAGAGTTCTTCTAATCGAGGCGTGGCGACGTCGGCGACGGGCGGGATGTTGATTTCTTTGCCTTTGCACGCGTCTTGGTGATACCCGAGAACAGCCTCCGCGGCGGAATCTAAATCGGCGCCAGAATGCACCGCTTTCAATGTCCGTAAATACTCGGTTAAATCTCTCGTTAAACCTTCGTATTGGTCTCTCGAGAATTTCGGTTCCGAGCAAATCTTTCGGTCGTATTCGGACATTCGTTTGGCGTCGATGTTATTCGCGTGCAAATGAGCCCAGTAGACGTTGATATCGCAATCGGAAGCGATGAATTTTAACAACGCTTCGCAAATTGGAACGTCATCTGGCGACGTGTTATTATGCAACTTTTGGTGCCACTCTTCCATCATGCCGCCTTTGCAATTGTTCGTTTGCTGAACGGCTAAGATTTCGTCTCTGATGCGTTGACCGACGTCTCCGGTCCCTCCTCGGCCGATGGTCATCATGATCAATCGAACAACATCGCGGTAATTGCTTTCGTTTCGATGATATTTCGTCAACGCTTCCGTGCATCTCGCTTGCGCCGCACTGATTTCTCTCGGTTTGATGTTATAATCGTTGTTCCAAACGAGTTGTCGTAAAGCCATAAATCGGAACCAGGTAAACATGGCGAGTAAACCGGCTTCGCCTTCGTCGTGGCAAGTGCCCAATAAATCAGCGGCGGCGTTGTAGCGGTGCATCAAAGATCGCGTGCACCCTTCTTCGGCGTTGCATATTTGATCGATGGAGTTTTGCGCGACGTTGTTGCCGTCTCTACCGAACGCGCCGATGTTCAACACGATATCGTCTACGTTCCATTCCTTCCTTTTGATGGGTTGAACCGATTTGACTGATTTGGCGTTGATCGTAGGAGGAATGGCCGGTTGGTTGGCAGCAAACGAATCGTCTTTTCTCTTGCGGTCTTTTCGGTCGCGATCTCGGTGTTCCTTCTTGTTCTTCCGTTCTTCTCTCTCTCTCGGTTTTTGATGTTCGTTCGAAGGCGCCGGCGCCAATTGGTCGGTGTCTCTGTGCGCGTAGAAATCGCCGTCGCCGTTTTTCACCCACTCGTCTGCGACGGTTCGTAACACGAAAACGATCCCTTCGTCGTTCCCACACGGAACTTCCAACGTTACCGCTTTCAATTTGTTGCCGCATTTTTCAAATTCTGTTTCCCAACTGTTCCCGGTGGAGCCCCAACTTCGAGGCGGCACGGTCGTCCACCCGGGAGGCGGTTGTCGCCACGTCCCGTCCGTTCTCGACGTGACGCCCCAGTGTAAATTGACATCAAAGTCAGCCTCGACGACGACGTGTAACTGCAACATGTTGTTCTTTTCTCTCGTTTCCACGTACATGTCGCGGACTAAAGCGGTTCCCGTTTGACTGGCGTCGTAATATTTGCCCCATTTGATGGAAGCGCCGTTGGAGCGAGACTCGCAGATTTCTCGCAACCTTTCGTTTCCTTTTCCTTGTTGTTGTTGTTGTTGTTGTTTCGGTGGCGGAGATGACGACGAGAACGACGACGATTCAGACGACGACGATCCTCCTTCCTCGATGATGCCGAATCGTTTCATAATCGCATCCAACTTAGCGCCGCCTTCCAACTCGCGAATGATAGACTCGCTCGCTTCGTTCAACATCGCTTCTCGTTCACTTTCGCTCACTTCCAGCCTTCCAGTTTCTTCCCACTTTGTAAACGCGACGACTTTGATCAAATTATCCAACGCGTTGGACGGTTTCACGTACGCGTTGGTAATCAAAGACTGATGAGAAGGAGGAGGAGGAGAAGCGGGAGTTGGCGATGAAAATGCGACTACTGGTTGTTCGGCTGCCGTTTTCGGAGCAGCAACAGCAGCAGCAACAGTACCATTACTACTACCAACACTACCTTTCTCGCCGTTTAACTGAATCACGAAATCCTTCTTATTCGGCCCGGTGATCCACTTCCCCGTCTCCTCGTTCTTCAGCGCGAAATGAATCGCCGTCGCCTCCGCGTCTAAAACAATCACCAACTTTGTCATCCTCGGAAACGGCGTTTGCATCGCCTTCTCTTTATACACCGTCGTCCCGGGTGGAAACAGCTCTCGCGGCAACACGTGCCACTTCTTCTTGTTTTCATTAGGACGAATAACGCCCCAGTGTAAAATCAATCCTTTCGCGGGTAAGGAAGGTTCGCACTCCAACGCGACCGTGTGTATTCCCGACGACTTTGCCGTTTTCGCGTTTACGATTAATACGCGCTGATCTGGAAGTTCTATCTTTTGCGTGAACGTGTTTATCATTTCTTCTTTTGATGACATTTTTGCTGAAACTCTCACCACACCGAATGCTCCGTTATTCGTATTCCAACGACTCCTCTGACTCCTATTTCTCCCAAGAAGGTAAAACTGTCGAAATCTTTGCTTTCGTTGAAACTGTTGGTTCCATGAACTCCCTTCTCGTTGTTGTTTGATCGTCTGAATCGTCGTCTGCATCGTCGTCATCTCTTTTATTAAACTCTTCTAAACTCTCTCTTTAAAAGACCGTCTTCTTCTGCTCCACGAGAACACTTTGCAATAACAAACACAACAATAGAACAGAGACGACGGCGGATGATGATGAGAAAAAAAGATTCAAAAATGTCTCTCTCTCGTAAAAGTCAAATCTTCTCTCTTTTATTACTAATGCTTTCTTTTCGTGTTAGAATACGAACAAAGGTCTTCGAACGATGATCCGAACGACGACGATGAAACGACAACACGTCTTATTATTAAACGAGATGATAGTATTGCGAAGTGAAAAGTGTTCTTTCTTCTCTCTGTCTCTCTGTCTCTCTCTTTTAAACTGTGTTTTACAACAAAACTCTTCTTCTTCTTTTTATGAAGTTTTTGTATAAAATCTGAGACCCCACTTTGAAAGAAGAAGAGAAAAGAAAGGCAAAATTTTGGCGAAGACACTCACGTCCGTACAAAATGGTGCTTGTCCGTACAAAAAATTTTGGCAACAGAGTTTCTCAAACAACCCACTGAAACCCTACTCTCATCAAGAATACAAAAAAAATACAAAACCCCTACATAACGCGCGCGCAAAAAAATGTCGCGTCCCCAGTGGTGGAAAGTCGCTTTTAGTGCTCTAACACGCTGCGAGGGGTCCCCCCCGGGTGGCAACGCACTCGCTGTGTTGTACCGACGGTATTGCGTGGAGCTGAACGTATACGACGGATGATATATATCGCGCGCGCGCGCAGGGAGGACGTTTTTTTGCTCGTATTTTTTTTGTAAAAAAAAGAGCAAAAATTTAATTGGGTGTCACCCCCCTCTCGCGCTCTTTCTCTTTATTTTTTTAGGGGATTTGACTTTACTTTAAATTGTTGCAAACAACCCCTAATGGTAGTAGTAGTAGTAGTATATAAACGATGATGATGATAAAGAAGAAGAATAACGCAAAACAACGAGAACAACAACAACGTGAAAAAGAAGATGAGCATAAAAGTTACGCGCATTACTTAAAAGCGGTGAGAGAAGGAAACGTGCACGCGTTTGATGATCTCGACGATGATGATGATGATCAAAAGTTGGAATCCTTTTTGGAGAAATCTTTAGCGAACGCTTCGTCTTTAAAAAAAGACGAGGATGACGACGACGAAGAGGATGAGAGGAGTTTTATACACGTCGCGGCCGCAAACGGACACGGAGACCTCTTAGAACTCTTCTTGAACACCAATTTGATGAAACAAAAAGGAGGAGAATTCTTAGAACACCCGGAAAAAGGGGAGTGGGGTGGCACCCCTTTGCACTCCGCAACGGCTGGAGGACACATGTCTACGGTTTCGATTTTATTAGCGGCGGGCGCAAACGCGAACGCGAAAACGCGAGGACGAGATTTAACCGCGTTACACTACGCCAGTTCGAAAGGGTACGGAGATATCGCGAGGAAATTAATCGAAGCAGGCGCGGACGTGAACGCGAAGGACGCGAGCGGGAACGCGCCGGCGCATCGAGCGGCGAGTCAAGGGCGGTTGGCCGTTTTGAAAGTGCTGTTTACGGAAGATACAGAGTTGGGGACGAAAATAGACGACAGAGATAGTTGTGGGTCGACGCCGTTGTTGGTGGCCGCGGAGGCTGGCCAGGACGAGTGCGCGATTTTTTTGGCGAAATGTGGCGCGAACGTACACGCGGTCGATAACGAGAAGCATGGCGTTCCGGAGAGATTGCGAGGCGTTTTGAAATCAATATAATAGTAGTTATAAGAATGTTCGAAACATAGGAATAGAGAATAGAATTATTAGAGTGCGTAAAGGAATAAAGAGAGTAAAGAGAGAGAAATACAACATGCATTTGTTTCAAAGGAAAAAGCAACTTTCAAAACCTACGCGTAACTCGTCCAAACGCAACCGCCGTCCGATGAGGACGACTTTACTTAATCCGTCCTCTTGGAGTTTTAACCCGTCGAAACCATCCGTTATTTCGTAAACATCTCGCACGCCTTGTAAAATAAGTGGCGGCGCATCGCTTTTACTTTTGCACTTCAGTATCCCTTTACACCGCAAGACGTCCGCGCCGTTTGGTTCGTTCCTCTTCTCCCAAAGCAAATCCTCGATCCAGTTTTCAAACTTTTCCTTATCGACGAAACCTTTCGCGGTTAAGCACACCGTCGTGATCGTTTCGTCGTGTTTACTAATAATACTATTGCTGTTACTACTTTTACTACTTTCTTCTATTCGCATGGCTAAATCTTTCGCGCCTTTTGCGAAAAACCTTTTCGTCGTCGTCGTTTCCTTCGTTTCTTTCATCAATCGACTCTTTACGTTTCCTTTATAACTCTTCTGATCCAAGACTTGGGACAAATCCACTTTCGACCGTTCACTGACGACCAACTTCGCGTCCGCATTTATACTCTCCAGTTTCTCTCGTATCCTTCTCAATTCTTCCTCTGTCTCGACTAAATCTGCTTTATTCAAAACAATCACATCCGCGTACGCTATTTGTTCTCGCGCCTCGACGTGTTCCTCCAACTGCCTCTCGATGTTTTTCGCGTCCGCGACGCAGACGACTGAATCTAACACCGCCGCATTTTCCATGTTGTCTTCCAACAAAGCGTCGTCTACCCATAACTCGCCACATATCGGTCCTGGATTCGCTAATCCGGTCGTTTCCAGTAAAATGTAATCGAACGCTTTCGTTTCGTCTTCGTCTTCTTTCGCTTCTTCTTTCACTTCTTCGCTTCGTGTCTGAACAACAAATTCATTCTTCTTCTTCTTCTTCTTCTTCTCCATCTTCATCAGTTTTTCGATCGTTTGTATGAGCGACCCTTTCACGGTGCAGCAGACGCACCCGTTATCGAGTTCTACCCATCCATCTCGTTGTTCTTGCGTTTCTGTGGTTGTCGTGAATGGTAACATCATCTTCTTTTCGATGCCTAAATCCGTTCCGAATTCGTTCAAAATGACGGCTATTTTCAACCCGTGAAGTTCAGTTTGATTCGAGTGTAAAATGTGGTTCACCAGAGTGGTTTTCCCAGAACCGAGGAAACCGGTGAGGACAGTTATCGGGACCACTTTATTCTTTTGTGTCTCATTCATATTCATACTCGTGTTAGTAGTATTGGTTCATGATTGCTTTAAAACTATGACGCATTTACTAAAAATATCTCTCTACAACAAACTCGTTTATTACTCTCTTTTGACAACAACACGTTCTGAAATCAAACCAAACGACGTTCGATAAAACGCCACGGCGGAAGCGAGGATGGCTTTCTCGTCGTCCTTTTCCACCGCGAGCATCAACGTGTGCGCTTTCAACGTCGCTCGCGCTCGTTCGAGCGATTTCTCCGTCTCGCTCAACTCCACGCCCCAAAAATCTTCCAAAGCGCGTAACATTTTCAAATCTCTCGTACTTTTATTAATGTTCTTCTTTATCTTCTTCGTTCCTTTCGTCTTCGCCGACGCCGATTCCAAGGAGAAGCCATACTTTTTCTTCTCTTCTTTCTGCATTCTCAGGAAGGCTTTTTGCGCTCTCTTCTTCGATCGTTTCAACGTCGCCGCGCGAGATTTCAAGTCAAACACGAGCGCGTCCAGCCACTGGACGAACATCTTCAACCCTTGCTTTGGCGCCGCTTTCGCGATTGATTCGATTGCTGTTGTTGCTTCATCATCTATTATACCACTAGTTTTCGTCGTCGTAAAGGTAGTCTCTTCTTCTTCTTCTTCTTTTTCTTCTTCTTTTTCTTCTTCATCTGGTTGTTGCGCGTTGCTTCGCCGCTTCGCCTCCTTTTGGTCTTCTTCTTCAATTTTTGAATTTTGAATATTTTCCAATTCAAAGTTCTCGTCGTCGTCGTCGTCGTTTTTGTCGGTTTCGAGAGGAGGAGGAGGATTACGGGACGGGAAAGGAAGAGGAGGAGGAGTGCTCTCGTCGTCTTTTTTTGTCGTCTTAATTTGTACTAAAGGGCTGGCGCAATCCGTCGCTTCCACTAAAATGCCGAGCAAATTAGTCTTCGTCTCTTCTTTCTCATCGTTCTTCATTTTCATTCGTTTCGTATTATTCGCATTCGGCTTTTGCAACGAAGAGGCATCGTCCTCGTCAAATTTTTTCGTCCTTTTCCTCTTCCTTTTCGTCGTCGTCAAAGTCGTCGTCTCGTTTTTTAAAGTCGTCATCTTTCGCACACGACAACAAACGCAACACGAAAGAGGAGGAGACAGAAATGGAGGTCGGAAAGAAAGAAAGAAGACTTCGTGTGCATGATAGTTAGGGTGTCAAACCCTAATAAAAACCACTTAAGAGAGAGAGAGGAAAAGGAGAGACATTTTTTCGACATTTTCTCTCCACCGTATCTTTCTTCTCTGCTACTCTCGATACTCTTTTCTCGTTAACACGAAGAAAAGAAAGAGAATTTACGACGAGGAGGAGGACGAGGATGAAAACGACTTGTTCCTCTCGTTCTTGTTCGTGTTCTTCTTAGGAGCACGTATTCTGTCTCGAGGAGGATTTTAAAAATTTCATTCACACGTCTCCTCTTTAGTAAAGATGAGTCAATGGAGTAAATGATGAAAAGAAAAGACAAGATATACTCCTAAAAGACTATAGTATTCTACGCACTACCGGAGAGAGTAATACTCTAAAATGGGCACGAGGAATAAAGAGACGGAGATACTCGCGAAACAAATCGCGTCAAACGTGCTCTTATTTTTCCTGGTCTTTGGTCTCGCCGTGACGGTCGATCCGATCGCGTTTAAAAAGAGGTTCAAGAAACCTTTGCCTTTATGCATCGGTCTCATCTGTCAATTCTTAATCCTCCCTCTTTTAGGCTTTGTATCCTGCAAAGTATTCTTTAAAAACGAACCGTTATACGGAATTCCGTTAATTGCAACCGCCTCGTCACCGGGAGGGAGTTATTCAAACTGGTGGTGTTCCATATTCAACGCGGATTTACCGCTCTCGATGGCGATGACGACGAGCTCGAGTTTGTTGAGCGCGTTGACCTTACCGGCGAATATTTTGTTATACACCGAACTCGCGTTCCCGAAAGAAACGCAAGTGAAGTTATCTTGGGACGGGTTGTTTACGACGATTAGTTTAGTCATCGTTGGGATATTTAGCGGATTGTTCGTCGGGAAGACTTATCCGAGATATACGCAGAAATTGAACGCGCTCGGGAACGCGTGCGGCGTCGCGCTGGTGTTGATGGGATTCTTTTTGAGCTCGAACTCCTCGGCGCCGATTTGGGATCGAGATTGGAAGTTTTACGTCGGCGTGACTTTACCGTGCGTATTAGGGTTGATGATTTCTTTAGCCACGGCGAGGGTGTGCCGGTTGAAAAGACCGTCCTGTTTAGCCGTGGCGATTGAGGTGTGCTATCAAAACACGGCGATACCGTTGGCGGTGATTTTGAATTCGTTTTCGGACGATCCGAAATATTGCAACGGCGGTGAAGAAGGAACGGATGAAAAGATGTGCGATGCGGTCGGGTTAGCGTTAGGTGTCCCGACGTATTATCAAACGGTGCAAATATTTTCGCTGGCGGTGTGTTGTTTGTGTTGCTGGAAAGGCGGTTGGACGTTAGCGCCGAAGGACGAATCATTTTTCAACGTCATAGGGAAAAATTATCAAGTCGCCGAGAAAGAAGACGATGGGGAGGAGGATGAAAACGATGAAGAAGCGATGCGAAGTAGAAGAAGAAGCACAAGAAGAAGCGATTTTGCAACGGCGGCGAATACCACGACGGATAATAATACGAGCAGCAGTGCAGATTTAGAAGACCCGTACGCGATTGATGTGAGGTCGTATCGTTTAAGTTCGAAGGGAAGTGAGATGGTAGCGATTGCGCTAGAAGACGACAAAAACGAAGACATCGACGCCCCCGTCGCCGACTACAGATGATGATTATGATGATGAGCATAAACAATATAATGAAAAAGATAGATAGATATAATGATAAAAGAGGGATAGGAGCAAAGCGGTGGCGCGAGAGAGAAGAAGAAGAAATAGAAAGAAGAAGACTAGAAAGAAGAAGATTCTTTTAATAATAATAACGATGTAACTTTAATAGTAGTGGTAGAGAAATGATGATGATAAATTTATACCCCGGCGGACTGGGTAAACTCGATGATTGAGCGGTAAAATAAGAGTACTTTTCTTCTTCTTCTTCTCTTTACGCCGACGCCGAGTTAGCTGACGAATCCTTCTTATGGTTCACAATTTCCACAATAATCGGCAACAAGGACAACAAAATGATCACCACGATTGTCGTCGCAAAGTTTTCTTTCACCACGGGAACGTTCCCGAAAAAGTACCCGAGTCCCATGAACGAGGTAATCCAAACGCCGGCGCCCATGACGTTGTACAACGCAAACTTGGAATAGTTCATCTTGGCGACGCCGGCGATAAACGGCGCGAACGTTCTCACGATGACAAAAAAGCGAGCGAGAACGACCGTTCTCCCCCCGTATTTATCGTAAAACGTTCTCGTCTTGGCGATGTAATCTGGTTTGAAAATTCTCGGGTTCTTCCTAATCGCGACTTCCCCGAAGAACGAGCCGCACATGTAATTCACCGTATCCCCTAAAACTGCCGCGAGGAAGAGCAACCCGTACACCAACGGGAAGTTCAACACCCCTATTGCGCCTAACGCGCCGCACGCGAACAACAAAGAATCCCCGGGTAAAAATGGCGTCACCACGAACCCAGTCTCCGCGAAGATAATCCCGAATAACACCCCGTACGCCATCTTCCCGCTCGTCGCGAACAACTCCACCAAGTGTTTATCCAGATGTAAAATCCAATCGAGGATGACTTTAACGGAGAATCCGGAGGATTGTTCCGCGATGACCGCTTTCGATTTCGCCAAAGCAGTCTCCGGGAAGAGCAACGCCGACGCGGTTACCATCATCGCGACGAGTACAAACATCATCGAGCCCTTCCCGAAGAGACCCAAAAGTTTGTTTCTTCTTTTTTGACTCGCGTTATTCTCGTTCAAAACTCTCTCCTGAATCGTCCTCGTCGTCGTCGAATTTACACTTGAAATTGTTGTGTCTTCTTCGCTCTGCTGCTGCTGACGATGATACTCCCGCGCAGCAGCAGCCGCTTTGGCGGCGACTTTGCCTCTCTTAATAGTATTATTATTATTATCCAAACTAACTACCGATGATGATGATGATGACGACGACTGATGCTGATGCTGATGCGAAGATGGTAATAACGACGGCATCATCACCGCCGCCACACTCAACGCCTTACCTGCTCTTCTGCCATCGCGCTTCGTTTCCGAGGCGTGATGATGATGATGCTGATGCGGTCGTTGATGATGACGACGGCGCACACTCATCACATTTGTTTTATTCTCTTTCATCTTCTTCAATAAAGAAGACGACGACGACGTCGACGAGAGTACCCCGAACAAAGAAGACGTCATCATCATCGCACGCTTCTCTTTAGTACCAAATCCGGGGTGTCCGTTTGAAGACAACAAGAGTTGATGAGAGTTTGTTATTCTCTTCTTCTTTTGAGGAGGAGACCAACTGCTTTTTATTCTCTTCGCGTCTCTTAAATAAAAGGACGAAAGAATACACACATGCGAGATCATCGTCATCGAATTAAAAAGAGAGATGGAGAAGTCTGGTTGATGACGAGACGCCCTCTTCTGTGTGCACAGAACGCGCAAAAAGATGCACATCAAAATCGATCGCAAAAAGAGAGAAGACGAGACGGTGTCGTCCTCTTTTGCGGGAAAGAAGAGGGAACACATCACCGCCGCTCTTTTCTTTTATTTCACGTGTTGTGTGCCTTTTTTAAACGAACGGTTTGACCAAAAAACGTTCTCCGTTGTTTTACCACACAAGAAATTCTAATCATCCTCGCATATGCCGCTCTTTTCGATATACTAATACGAATACTAATACTACTCTGATAAAAAGAAGACGAGAAAGATGACGACGAGCAACGCGTTGAAGTCGTCTTTCTCCTTTAGTTCTTCTTCGCATCGTCATCGTTTTCGTGATGATGATGAGAAAAAGTTTAACACTAAGAGACGACTCTCGTTTTTCAAAAGAATCGAGAAAAGAAACATCGAAACGTCGTCGTCGTTACGCGTGAATGGATTCAACGACAACAGAGAGGGGTTTTCAAACGAAAAATACTCCGAAGATGTCGAGAGGAAATACAATTTTTACGACAACGCGTGTAATAAGAACGACGATTACGAGACGAAGAATAAGAGGAATGATTTTTATAGGATGAAGCCGAGCGATGATGATTTTGATGAGAATAATACGAATAACAATAACAATAATAATAATAAGAACATTCGCCCGGCGAAAGAGAAGAAGAGGAAAACAGTCGCCGATTTAATGACGAATCGAAGAAGACTGAGTTCTTCTTCTTCTTCTTCTTCTTCTTCTTCTTCGCAAAAGACGATGGGGAGTAGTAGTAGTAGTAAACGCGGGACTACCGCGGCGAGGAAAATCGAAGGATTAGTAGACGCGAAAGCGATTCAAGAGAGAGAAAAGATGTGGGCGAGAGCGGCAAAAGGAAGCGGGAAAAAGAGCGCGGAGGACAAGTACGGGTACTTGTTCGGTGACGGCACCAGGAGACAAACAACAACGCGGAGAAGCGGGGGCGAGAAAGACTTACAACACGAGGAAAAGAAGAAGACGAGATCTCGAGGCCAATCGAGGGAAGATATACGCGGGGCGTACAAAGCGCACAAGGAGAGATACTCGAAAGCGATCACGTGCGAGTTCGAAGAAGAGCGCGAGCAATTCAAGGAACGGTTGGAATCGTGGCCGTTATCGAGATTGAAAAATGAAGGATACTGCTTGTCGGACGTGCGAGCGAGGTACGAAGGGACAATCGGGAGAGACGCTTTGGTAAGAGTTCTGCGACCGAGGAGAGATTTGCCGAAAAATACGCCGTTAGGAGAGGAGTTGCCGTTTCATCGCATATCCGTCGGGGATATGGTGATTTTATCCGATAACGAAGTCGAGAGAGTGACTTTAGAGGATATCAACGTGTACGGAAGCGAAGAAGGTACGTCGTCCTCTTCGTCTATCGTCGGCATCGTCGCGAGCAGACAAATGTTTTATTTAACTATTGCAATTCCCGAGGACGATTTAGGGGACGTGTTGAGGGACGGCGAGAACGGACGACGTTTGCGAATAGATCTCTCCGCGAATACGGTGGCGTACGATCGAGCGATATCCGCGTTGGAAGCTTTTAGCGAGCCCGGGGGCATGCCGGGATTAGAACGTTCCAAGATGAACGACAGTAGTGGTGGTAACAAGAAAAGCGGCGGGGACAGTAATAAATTATCTCAAACGGCGTATCAAACGTTTCAAAGGAGTTTACTCGGGTTCGTTTCCTCTTCCTCGGTGAACTCATTAGCGTCCACCCCAATTAGCTGGAAGAACGACCAAAGAATCGACCAAGCAATGTCGTCGTACGCGAAAAATTTGAATCCATCGCAACGGAAAGCAGTCAAAGCCGCCATGCAAAACACTTTAACGCTATGGAGAGGACCACCTGGAACGGGTAAAACGAGAACTCTGGTTGCTTTAATCGCGTCTGTGGTGAATTATGCAAACGTACAGGAGAATGGCGGCAAAAGCGACAGAGGAAAATCTTCTAATACGCAAGCGTCGTGGAGAGGACCGAAAGTTTTAGCGTGCGCGGCGTCGAACGTCGCCGTCGATAACATCTTGGATGCGTTACTTCGAGAAAAGATAGATCGCTCGATGAACATTTTACGCTTAGGTTCGCCCGCTAGAGTACAGCCGTGGTTGTTAGAGTCCACGTTGAGTCATAAAGTCGCGTTGCATCCGAAGGGTAAAGAAGCGAATAGCATTCGCGAACGGTTTCGAGGTATCACGTCCTTGGAAGCTGCGAAAGCCAGAAAACAAGCGCAACAGTTAGATAGGGAAGCGGCGATCCAAGTAGTTAACGCGTCCGATGTGATTTTAGCCACGTGCGTCGGCGCCGGCGACGATTTACTCGCCGACCGCGTCTTTCGCTACGCCTTTGTCGACGAAGCCGCGCAATGCGTTGAACCGCACACTCTCATTCCTTTGACGAAAGCGTTGGCGGGCGTGTTAGTCGGCGATACAAAACAGTTACCGCCAACAGTGGTCAGTCGAGACGCAGTTGCGATTGGTTTACAGAGAAGTTTAATCGAACGACTAGAATTGTTAGGCGTCGAACCGTACTTACTGGAAGAACAATATAGAATGCACCCGGGCTTAGCGGCGTTTTCCTCGGTTCGGTTTTACGATCGACGATTGAAATCGGTGCCGAAACCGAGCGAACGCGTAGCGCCGAACGGAGTCAATTGGCCGAGTACAATGGTTCCGTTAGCGTTCGTCGAGGTCAAAGGCGAAGAAATGCGAGCGCCGGATGGAAACTCCATCTTTAACGTCCAAGAAGCCGAAGAGTGCGTGAGAGTGGTACAAAAGCTCTTACTCTCCGGAGACGTGAAAAACGCGGGCGATATTGGCATCATAGCGCCGTACGCCGCGCAAGTTCGAGCGATTAGCGAAGAGTGGAACCGAAAAGTAACGAGCGATGTCAAGCTGAAAAACACGTCCGTAGTCGAGGCCGACAACCCGGAAAGCGCCAAAGACGAACTCGAAATCCGCTCCGTGGATGGATTCCAAGGCAGAGAGAAAGAAGTTATCGTTTTGTGCACGGTAAGAAACAATCGTCAAAATCAACTCGGATTCGTCGCCGATCCGAGACGATTGAACGTCGCGATTACGAGAGCAAAAAGAGGATTAATCGTCCTCGGCCATCGAGACACGCTCTCGACGGATCAGTTATGGCAGAAATGGCTACAGTTTGTCGATAAATACGAGTGCGAAGTAGAAAGCGCGGACGTTTTTTTAGATGAATCATAAAACACTACTGTAATATTAATACATTTGTTATTCGCAGAGGAGAGCACGCAGCAATTTGAAGAAGAAGAGTTTCTTTTATCATCATCATACATCTTTCGGAACGAATTTCAACGCCGCACCGTTCATGCAATATCGAATCCCAGTCGGTTTCGGCCCGTCCTCGAACGAGTGTCCTAAATGCCCTTGACATCTCTTACACCTCGTCTCCGTCCTCGGTAAAAACATGATGCTAAAATCCGGCACTTCCGTCACCGCGTTCGGTAAATGGTCGTAAAACGACGGCCATCCCGTCCCGCTGTCGTACTTTGTCTCCGAACTGAACAACGGGTTCTCGCATCCGGCGCACACGTACGTGCCCACTCTTTTCTCGGTATACAACGGTGACGATAACGGTCTCTCCGTCGCTGCTTTTCTCAACACTTGATACGCGAACGGGTCTGTGTCTGCGGCGTTTGATAATCTTTCTCGCCACTCCTCGTCCGTGAGCGAAAACTCGCCTTCTCGTCGTAACATTTGCATGGATTTCGCATCCGCAAATTCATTTTCATTATTCGATGATAACGACGACGATGCCGCGAAAGCAGACCCAGAATTTGAAAAAGTTTTAAAAGAAGAGGGAATAACCATCGCTAACGTCGCCGCGGATGCGTTGATCAGAGCGCTTCGTCTGCTGCTTGAACTTCTTTTCTTCGTTTCCTCGTTCGTTTCCTCGTTTCCGTCCTCGTTTACGTCATCGTGTTGTTCTTGCGCTCTGACGACGTTTCTTTTAATCGTTCTCGCTTTCTTGGTGTTGTTGCTGCGAGAAGAAAGGCTACTAAGAAAAGAGCTCGTCGTCGTCGTAAACGTCGTCGCTGAAGAGGAAGACATTAGTAGTATTATATATATTTGTGTTGACGTGTTGTTGAAATGAAGTATTTCAACAGTCTGTTGTGTGTTAAGCTTCAAATAGTATTAATATGGTACATTACACACAAGAACAACAACTACTACTACGTACTACTCTAGGTATATAGACGCTACTAAACTGCGACACCATGTTGTATGTCTACTAAATCTTCTTCTTTCATTCATTCTAAAAGAAATTGTGAATCTCCTCGCACTCGTCTTCGACGAGCTGCTCTAACGCGTTGTTGTCCAGCGGGACGGTGATTAAATCCTCGTTGTCGGAAACTTTCTTAATCTTGATCAACTCGTGATCGGTGAACTCGGTGAGGACGCCGCGCAAGGCGAGCTCGGCGGTGACGAGGAAACTCTCTCGCGAAAGTTGGAAGAGTTGCGGGAAGGTGAGTCCTTGACCGTTTTCTGAGATTTGAGCTTCGGCGATGATGCGGTAGATGATTCGCGCGTTCCTCGTTAAGGATTTTAGAACGTTCGCGGCACCTCGGACGTGTCGTTCCTCACCTTTGCTCGCCAAGAGTTGCGGATCGTTGGCGGTTTCCTTGGCGTACGGCGCGAAGGTGACTGCTTTTTGGTAAATCCAGTTGAACTTTGCGGCTTCTCGTTTGGACCATAACAAAGGAGCGTTGACGTGATCGACCGAGGCGATTAAGTGCACTCGAGGGAACGAAGACAGCTCGCCTAAAATCGATTGCGTTTCCGCGTTGCGCATAGCAACGCCGTCGATGTTATGCACGACGAGATACAACCGAGACGCGGAGCCGCCGTCGTTGAAAGACGCCGTCGATTGGTAATGATTTTTGTCTCTTTCGTACGACGCGTTGACGTTCGCATCACGCAACGACGCGAGAGCAGCAGCGGAGTTATTACCATTGCCTCCGTCTCGTCTGCTACCTCTCGTGTTCTTTGTCGCCGCCGTTCCTCCGGTTGTCGTCGTCGTCGTTGTGTTGTTCGTGATGTTATGCATCATCATCGCATCGCCGTTTTCGTTTGTTTTTTCTCCTCCTCCTCCGGAATGATCCGTCGTCAACTCTGCAATTCGTCTCAATAAAGCCTGCGCGTTATTCGCGACATCAGCGAAACCATTATTACTACTCCCACCGTTATTATTATTGGAAGAATGATGCATCAAATTCTCGGATTCGTCCGACAACGCAAACGCGCACTGGTTCAAAATCGCCAGCGCCGAGACTCTTTGCTGATACCCGTTGACAACCACCACCGCCCCGTCCAGAAGATACCTCCTCGCGAAATCCTCTAAAACTTGCTTCTTCGACCCGAACCCATATAATAAAACCGAAAAATCGTGCGTCAAATACCTAAACCATTCCGGGTACCTCATTTCCAAACTCTCCGCTTTCCTCTTTCTCTCCTCGTAATGCGACACCGGCAAGGAAGACAACGCGTTGCGCACCGTCTCCTCGTCCGCTAAATCTAAATCCGCCAAGTTTGCGTTCTGGTTTATTGTTCTCCCGCCGCCTCGTTTTCCTTTCGCGGATTGGTAGCCTACTCTTTTATTAGTATTATTAGTATTATTACTTCTTCTCGTATTCGTCGTATTCCTTTCGCTCGCGAGGCGTCTTTGCATCTCTCCTAAATCCAAGACGTAATGTTTCTCGTCATTTTCATCATCATCATCGTCCTTCTTCTTTTTCTCGTCGTCGCTCGTTTTCATCATCAAATCTTGTTCTTTTGCGACGTCTTCATCATCGTTTTTATCGTCATCCGTATCGTTCATCCTTTGTTGTTGTTGTTGTTGTTGTTCTCGATGCATCATCATAAACTCGTAACTCTTCGCTTTATTCTTGTACGATTTCGGAAAGGCTTTGGCTATTCTCCCTTTCTTTTGTTTGTACAAAGCGTTATTATTATTAGTAGTATTATTCGCTTTTGACTTTGGAGGAGGCTTATTAGGAGGATTATTAGTATTAGGCGCCATCTTTAGTGCTATTCTGTTATAATGAGTAGTAGTATTCACCACTCCTAACGTCTTCTTCTCGCGCGTCTCTGTTTTGAGGCATTCGCGCTTTTTGAAAAGATTTTCGAAAATTTCAAGCTTTTTTTATTTAGGGTCTGAAATGAAACCCTAAAACAGCCTCTATCCAAAATTGGAACATCGAGTGTGCGTCACAAAGAGAAGCGACTTTGACTACTTTGTGTATTCATTCTTCTCATCAAGAGAGTCATAAAAGAGGAAAAGACGTAGTATTCTTTCTCTGTTATTTCTGTCTTCTCGTTGTTCTTATTATATAGAGTAGTATATTTCTTTTATATAGAGTACCGCAGGACCATTACGAATAAAATACTCTTTCGAGATGATGATGATGACGACGAAAGCAACAACACGCATCGGAACGTCATCATCATCGTCGTCGTCGTCTTCGATGACGACGACTCGGGAACGGATGTTGGGAGGAGTTTTGCCAAGAAGAAGAACAAAAAGAAGACATTCAACTGCTTCAAGGGGAAAAGTCGCCGGGAGTTTTATCGTCAGAGCAGCCGAAGAAGAAGATGGAGAAGAAGAAGATAAAGCGACGTATAAAGAAACGTTCGACTCCTCCACCGGGCAGATGGTGAAAACGCTGACGCAATCGATCGAACAGATAGATGTAAACGGACAAACGTGGACGCAACGGCGAGGTTCGCCTTCGGGAAAGAATAAAGAGAATAAGAAGGAAAACGCGGTCGTGTTTATCCACGGTTTAGGTTCGAGGGCGTACACGTTTCGACAAGTCTCGGTGTTGTTGCAAGAGAAAGGGTACGAGACGTTCGCGCCGGACGTGGTCGGACACGGGGATTCGGAAAAACCCTCCTCGAATGGAGGATTTAAGTACGACGAACGGTCGTACGTGGAGGCGATGGAGACGTACGTGGAGAAAGTCGCGAATGGGAAACAAGTCGATCTCGTCGCGCAAGGGTACGTTATTCCGCAATACGCGATATTGTTGGCGAGGAAGCGACCGGATTTGTTTCGCCGAATAATTTTAATGAACATGCCGTTGGACGGGAATCACAACTTGGCAGCGCCGTTGGCGACATACGCGCAAATGTTTGGCATGGGGAAAGGGAAAGCGTTCGATGCGGTGTCGTTGAATTACATGGGGAACGAGTTTGCAATCGGCGGAGATGATATGAAAGAGTACGAGAGAGCGTACGTCGGGAGCGACGCGGAAAACGCGCGAATGGCGGTTGAAATGACCGTCGCGAACGCAGACTTTAAAAACTTGAAGAAGAAAGTAAAAGACGCGTACTTCCAGGGTGGCATGCCGAAAACCAGAATCGTTTGGGGCGTCGCGGATAAATACCTCGACCAAGCGCCCATGTTCAGCTGGGCCTCGGACGCTCGAGCGAGCGAGAAAGCGCTGAGAAAAGTCGGACACATGCCGCAAGAAGATTTCCCGCAAGTCACCGCGGATGCCATCGATGAGTTTTTCACCTCCGATTTGAAAGTTGGCGCTCTGAAATCGGTCCGAGGGAGGAAAGTTACCGCCGACGACGGTCAAGGATAACTAAAAAAAGAACATTTCATCATTGTAATACCGCGAGCGAATACCTAAAAAAAAGAAGGAGCATTAAATTAGATACAAAAAATGTCCTCCTTTCCCTCTTCTTTCTCATCATCATCATCGTCGTCATCTCAAATCAGACTCTTTCTCGCGGGCGATTTCATGCCTGGACGAGGTGTCGATGCGGTCATGCCTTCACCTTGCGCTCGGGAAATCCGCGAAGGATTCTGCAAAGATGCGTTCGATTACGCGCGATTGGCAGAACAAAAACAAAAAAGACGTTTTGCAGATACGAAGAAGAAAGTTTCCGCGCGAGATGTGCTCGGAGAAGTCGCCAAAGTCATCGAGAGGTTTGAACCTCACGCGAGAATGCTCAATCTGGAAACCAGCGTGACGAAAAAGTCGTCGTTTTATCCGCACAAAGGCATCAACTACCGCGCATCCGAGGAGAACATGTTCGCGTTGTTGGATGTTTTAAAACCAGATATCGTTTCCTTGGCGAACAACCACGCGATGGATTTTTCGAGAGAAGGGATGGAGGATACGTTAAAATTCTTCGATTCGATAGAAGGTAGCAGTGATAATGCGTCGCTCGGGTTGCGCGTGAAACGCATCGGTGCCGGTTGGAACATCGCAGATGCGATGAAACCGGCGGTGCTGGAAAACGTCTACCCGTACGGATTCGCGCCGGCGAGGAACGATAAGCGAGGCGTCGACGTCGCGGCGTTTGGGCTGTGCTTCGAAGACAGCGGCGTGCCTCGAGAGTGGCAGTCGACGGAACGATCAATGGGCGTGTTTTTGGCGACAGAGGATGACAAAGTGCCGGAGCGCTTGTTGAGCGCGATTGCAAAGATGAAGAAAGAATCCTCAAACAACGCGATCGTCGTCGTGTCCGTACACTTCGGTTCGAATTGGGGATTTGAGGTTCCGAGAGCGCACGTGACCGCGGCAAAAGCGCTCGTCGATGCCGGCGCAGATATAGTTCACGGTCACAGCTCCCATCACGCGAAAACGGCTATGCTGTACAAGAAAAAACTAATCTTGTTTGGATGCGGTGAATTTTTCAACGATTACGAAGGCATTCGACCGCATCCCGGCTTTCCCGAGACCTCGTACTTAGGGCACTTGCGTTTGCTCTATTTCGTCGACGTCGACGCGAAAACGCACAATTTTAGCAAACTAGAAATTGTTTTGATGCGTCAAAAGATGTTCGCGCTGACGACGTTGGAAAATCCTCGAGAAGAAGCCGAACAGTTCTTGGCAACTTTGAGGCAGCAATACGCCGCGTTTGGGCATTTGAAATTGCAGCTGAAAGGGGACGGGACGACGTTGATTGCCTGGCCGGATGATGCGGTCAGATTGCGACGACGCTCTGACGATGATGAGCTGTGAAGAGAGTACGTGGCAGTTTTATTATAACGTGCAATTACGCGTCAAAAATACAATCGATCAATCTTCTAAGTTCTACGCGTACCTTTAGACAATCGCGTTCGAGGCGACGCTCTGGTTGGCGACGGCGCCACGATGCTCACTCCTGCGGCACCATTAGCGTTATTATTATTATTATTATTCGCGGTGAGCGGCGACAGACTCGGCAACGGCGGCAAATCTGCTTTCTTCGTTGGAGGAGGGAGTATCGCAGTTTCCGATCGGACGAACAATTTCGGTCGTCGCGCGAAAGAAACGTTGTTTGCGCCCACGTCCGACACTTGCATCGCATTCGCGTCTTCTTCCGCTCGTGCGACAGTTCTTCTACTTTGTCGATGACCCGCGGCGGCAATATCGAAAGGCGATCGCGCTAATCGGTGCGTTTGCGACGCGCGCAAAGCGTCGCGAGGAAACTCGTCTCCAGATGCCGGCGAAGTCGTCAACGGTCTCAAGAACGGACTCGGTTGCACCTCGGAGTTTCCAGCTGCTCTCAATACAAAATCTGGAGTCGACGATTCTGCCACCGCAGAAACAGCTTCTAATACCGTCACGTCCGCATTTAATTTATCCTCCGTTTTCATTCTCTCCATCTCGCGGCCTAACTTTTCTCCGCCTTTCACCGACCCGGTGCCTAAATTATCCGTCGACATTTGTTGCACAACTACCGGTAAATCTCTAACTCGCTCTTCTAACATTTCAATCGTTTCTTTTTTCGCTTTGCCCCAAGCGATCGCGCCGCCTCGTTTTTCTAAATCGAGAATCCTCGCGTACGCTTCCACCGCTTCCGTCGCGCGACCTCGCTGTAAAAAGTAAAGAATCGTGTGCTCTGCGCTCACATCTTCGCGTATTTTGTTCTCCCAAAGCCAGGATAAAAACGCGCGTTCCATGCAACCATTCAGTGCCGTGTTTTGCAACGGCAAGGAGATGATTTGATCGAGTTGTCGAACGTCCGCGCAGTACTCTGCAATTTTCATGGTCAAGATGTTCGCCAATTGTTCTACGACAATCGACTCTTCTTCTCCTGATCTCACGGCTAAACTCAACTGCTCTTTCGCGCATAAAAATGCCTCCGCGACTAATCCCAATTCAATTCGTACTTCTACCTCCAACGTCGCCTTCTCGACGCTTTCAAACGTGAAATCGTTTCGATCTCTCGCTCGCAGCGTTCGCAAAGCCGCCGCGGTTTCCCCTCGTAAGTGCACGACTTTAACAAATTGTAGCGGTAAGAAGCGCCCAGATAACGTCGCGCAGTTCGGCAAGGCTTCATTCGTGATGATATCTTTTAACGGATCGTTCGCGAACGTCCAAGACTCGTCGAGTAAAGATGCCAATCGGATTTCAGAGTACGTCTTGGAACCGATTCGAGCGTTGCGAGCGTACCGAGCTGGAGCGTCTTTCCACGGCAATCCCGCGTCGAGGACGTAATACAGAAACAAAGATTTCTTTACGATTTGAGAAACCTCTTCATCTTCTGTTCCTCCTCCTCCTTCTCCTCTATTATTACTACCGTCGCCGTCGCTGCCGCCCCAAATGGCATTCAACGCGTCCGGTACGGATTTGAACGGGTAAGACGCGACATCCGCATTCCCGCTCTTCTCTTTCAAATATCGTAACAAAACGTCCACGAACAAACAACACTCATCACTATCGTCGTCGTCGTTACCGTTATCAAACCCGAACGCACTCTTCGCGTTCGTTCGCCTCTCTTTTACTTCGTTGGACCACTTCGCGGCGCCGGAAAACTTGTTCCCTAGATGCCCTCTTTTCAAAAACCCTTCCTCGACCGCCCACATCGCCGCTTCCGCTTTGTTCGCTAAATTGATAGACTCGTCGCGCAATTCGTTCAACTTTTCAATCATTTCACCACTCTTGCTATTATTATTATTGTTGTTGTTCCTTCTCCTCCCGCCGTCCTCGGCGCCGAGCGTCTCGAACGCCCTCCGCGCGCATTGAAACGTCGCCATCGACCTCGCCAACGACGACGATATATCACCATCTCCTCCACCATCTTTGCTCTTCAACGTTTTACTCATCTCCTGTTTCTCTTCTTCCATTAAACCCTTCATACATTGAAAGACATTCTCCCCGTCCCTCAACCTCGCTTCCACGGCGTCCGCTGAGACGCAATTCGCGTCGTTCGAAATCTCATCGATAAAATGTACGATCACGTTCGCTAATCCAATTCGTACGCACAGGCGGAATATATCGTTCAATCTGTCCGTATCGTTCATACTTTTATCGCTCTTAGTATTACGAAAACTACCGCACTCTGCCATTACATCCGGAAACGCATTCGCGACCGTTCGGTGGCAAATGCGAACGAAAGAAACGTCGATGAAGTCTTTCATGCGCGCGGATTGGAGGAGTTCGTAGCACTTAATCTGATCCTCGGTCATGAAAGAATAAGAATCAATGTTGTTGTTGTTGTTGTTCGTATTCATCTCGCTTCTCTTCTTTGTTCTCTTGTTGTTGTTCTTGTCGTTGTTATGTAAAAAGAGTGCTTTTCGTCTGTTTCCTCTGAGGAATTTGAAAGCAAAAATCGCGAGCAAAAGAGAGAAAAATGAGACAAATACTTTACGATGTGAGAGGAACGACGATGAAGTTCTCATGAAGAAGAAGAAGAATTAAAACGTTAAATACTTCAGAACGCGTGTTGTTGTGGTTGTGCGTATTATTTGGGCATCTGTTACAGTTTTTGTTGTCATGATCGTCATCGAAAAGTCTCTGATGTGAACATCTCTCTCTCTCGTCTTTTCCTCTCTCGTCGTCATCAATCATCAAAACTTCTCTACATCTTCTTTTTTTTCTTATACTGCATCATCAAATCTTTCACTTTTTGTCCTCTGACGACCATGTTATCTAAGATATCGTTCTTTATGACGTGATCGTCTAACATTTTCTTGATCCGTCGGTGTTCGTCCGTTTCCGGCGGGATTTGTTTCCTCTCGTGTTCGTTTCTTCGCTCGGTCGGTTTGAGTTGCATGCCGAGCATGTGTTCGTATTCTTTGATGCGGCCGGTGCGGGAGTCGATTTCGTGCTCGTCGTCTGGATGTGTAAAGGTTGTTTCGTCCGTGTATCGGTGCTCCGGGTGGGCGTAGATGGTCGCGTCTTGTTCGTTGGTTTCGGGGTCGACGTAGGATTCGGAGACTCTGTGGCCGTGCGCGAGCGGGTGGTCGTCGTCCGGGTGGTCCGGGACGAACAAATCCGGGTCGGTTGGGTATTTCAGTAACGTCAACGTCCTGTTAGCGATTCGCGTTTGAACGTCCACTAAAGGCGAGTTGACGCGGTAATCGAAATCTTTCTCGTGCCTTGAGAAATGCGACGCTTTCGAGCGCAAGTATTGAAACGTCGAAATTTCATTCGCCGTATCCGCCGGTAACTTTAATAACTGAATCAATTTATTCAGCGGTCGCACTCTTAACATGTGCGCCGGTTTTGCACTTCCGTCGCTCCCGACTAACTTCCAGTGTTCGTTTCTAGGTTGGACCAAATCTTCGCTCTTTAAAATAATCGCGTGGTTGCGATACGGTCCGAGCGCGAACGCGGCCACTTCAAAGTTCACCGCCGTCCAATGCGCGGTTGTTCTCAACAAGTCAATCACGTCCTCTTTCTTCACGTTTCGCATTTGCTTGTGCTTTTTCAAATGTTCCCACTCTCGTTCAAACTTTTTCGTCAACTTTTCCCATCTCTCCTCGCCGAAATATTTTCGTTGCAATCGTCTTTCCTTTTCGTGTAAACCTCCGATGGGAAACGTCCTCGGATCTCTCACCAAATGCACGTACGTTGCTTTCCTCAAATACGTATCCGCAAACAACGGCAACAAATACTGCGCGTACGGATCTTTCCATCCCCACCTCGGAATATCTTTCTTCGACACGTACGTTTCCGTTTGATCCGGGTGCACCCACTTCTCCTGCCTCGCGAACATCCTACACAAATGGTCCGCCACGTCGTATTGCAACTTATACGGCATATCGTTCGGATCGTACAAAGGTCTCTTCGCCCACTCCATGATGTCTAAAACCATCGTATCCACTCCACTTTCTTTTTGTGCCACAGAATTCCCGTCCTCGTCCACTGGACCGAACTGTACCGCGTTCGCTTCGAATAAAAACTTCTCTAAAGACTTCCCCGCGCCGCCGCCGTCGCCGCCTATGATGACTGGATTCGAAGGAATTTGCGTGCAGTTCCACCCTTTATGGACGACGAAATGGTTCATCCACGTTCGTTTTCTTGGCGGTGGTTGTTCGAGTTGCGGTGGTTGCACTTGTTGATTTTGTTGATTTTGTTGTCCTCCTTGTGACGAGGAAGTGGATGCTTTCCTCGGTGAACTTCGTCTCGGCGACCGTCCTCCTGTTCCTCTTCCGTGATTCCCAATCGCCGCGTCAACTTCTCGGGTACAAAATGTAATCGTCAAAATCATCATCGAGAACAGAAGACAAACTTTGCTTCTTCGGAAGAAGGAGCTTATTGAGGAGAAAAACATAGTAAATCGTAAAGTCTTTAGAAAGTTTTACTCTTCTTTAATAGTCCTTTCTCTCTCAATGAGCTTCTTCTTCTTTGTCTTCTTCCTTGTTGTTACAAGAAGAGCTCGAAATGCAATATCGAACGTCCAAAATTGGGCGAATTACTTCTCTCAAAAGAATTTTGAGGAGGACGGACAGACAGAAAAGAGGAACTTTTAGTCCTGTTCTTTTTTATACAAAACGTCTTTTTTTTAGAATGGGAGAAAAAAAAAACACATCATTCATTCATTCCTTATCACGAGGGAACGAAACAGAAGAACAATAATAATAATGGATGATGGGAAGAAGAGAGAAGAAGAGAGAAGAAGAGGGGATGATCGAGAGGAGGCTGTGGCGGATATGGAGCGGCTGAAGCTTGGACCGACGAAGTTGTGGACCGGGTTGGTGTTGCATCATAAGGATGTTTTTGTCTCGCACGTCTTGTCGAAATTGAATGAGACGGATCGGTTTTTCTTTTCAAAGGTGAATAGAGAGAGTCGGGGTGTGCTTGAGTACGCCGGGGTAAACGTATCGGAATTACGTTTGATTGTTTGCGAATGTTCATCCATTTCAACGTTGGAATTTCTGTGGAATCAGTTTCCCTGGGGAAAGATAGATTACGATGGGTATTTGATAGATCAAGCCTACTTTTGCTGGTTAGTTGCTGCAACGAACAAACTCGAGTTCCTCAAGTGGGCGAGAGAAGTGAAACAGTGCGAGTGGGATGAAAAGACGATTACTGTGGCAGCATTTGAAGGTAATCTCGAGATGCTGAAGTACTGCTTCTCTAATGGTTGCCCGTGTGATGAAGAAAAGTCGTGTAAACAAGCTGCTATTAAAGGACACCTCGACTGTCTTCGATTTCTTTTCGACAAAGTGAAACCTTCGCGAGATACGGAAGAACAAGCGGCACTACATGCAGCAGCATATGGTCAATTAGACATCTTGAAATATTTCGTCGAAGAAAGCAAGATACCTGATGGGGTAAAGAATGAGTGCGTGTACCACGCTGCAGGGCATGGCCAACTCGATTGCCTCAAATACTTAGTCGAAGATGCGAAAGTGCCTCTTCACGACTGGGATTTCATCGCTTCCGCTCGTTACTTCAAGCACCCCGACTGCGAAAACTACTTGCTCGAAAAAGGGTCTCCAGAACCAACGGACGAAGAATACGCTTTCTTTGTCGGGGAGCAGGAGCAAATGCACTCCGAGGAAGACGACAGCGTCGAATGAGAAAAACGCAGAAAACGCAGATAGATTTTTGATACAACGAGAGAGTTCATTTCGTTGACCTTTTCCACAGACAAGACTTCACAAAAAAAATGCGTTTTTTCCTCCTCTTCGTACTCGTCACAGCCCCGGCGTTGTTCTTCTTACTCAACGTCGCGAACGCGAATATCGAGGAGGAAGGTATTGGTGGCGAGAAAGAAGGAGTGGTTTCTTTGGAAACGCGCTTGGAATTCGCGGAGGAAGCGGAACGAGAGATCGAATCCGATGTTGTTTTCCCCGCAGAAGCATCCGATGATGACTTCGATATCAAAGACGACGACGAGGATGTATCACTACTCTACGCGCAAATAACCGAAGATTTAAAACCATTCCTAAAGAATAAAGTCACCAGAGAAATGACCAATCGAGCGCGCGTGAAATACGGGACAGAGAACCACCGAGCGTTCGGATTCGTTTGGGTGAAAAACGAGTTGTTTCTCGCCACGAGAAGACCTTCGCGAGAGTTTAACGGACACCACGTCCAGTTGATATACGAGTACTTTTACGATTTGTGCGAGGTTTTTGGAAAGACAAAAACGAGGGAAGAGGATGGAGAGATGAGCAGCGAGGATGGTTCGAAGTTGCCGCCGATGGAAATGGCGTTATCGACGTTCGATTACAACCCTCCGGACGAGGAACGACTTCCGGTGCTTTGCTTTTGCCGCGACCTAGAGTTCCCGGAGGAAACCGGGTGCATTTTACACCCTGGGTTTGGGTTTAGGTACAACAAGATAGACGAGAACGTGTACGCGAGAAAAGAAGAGTTCGATGAAGATTTCCCGTGGTCGAAGAAGGACGAGAAGTTAGTCGGGAGGTTTACCATGTACCCTCGCTTGGGGCGGCACGCGGAGATTCGAGCGAGGAAAAATTTCGTCGATTGGGCGGAGAATCGAACCTCCTTGGAGGATGGTTTTTTAGACGTGAAGATGTACTCGAAAATCTCCCTGAGAGAACACATGGAACACAAATACATTTTACACTTGGACGGTCAGGGCCACTCGTTTCAGTTCGAGGAAAAGCTCGGATTGAACTCCGTCGTCGTCAGCGAGAAGAAATTGTTCCAGACGTATTTCAGTAAATTTTTAAAGCCAAAGACGCATTACTTGGAGTTTTGGGAAAACGACGAGAAACCAGAGGACGTTTTAGAGGTTTTACACTACGCGCGAACACACGATGAAGAGATGCAACAAATCGCCAAAAACGGTCAAAAGTTTGCCCAGAAATACTTCACCAAGAAAGCGCGATTAAAGTACTACCGAGAGTTGTTTCGAAGATTCGCCGAAGAGGCGATGGCGTACGAAGTTACGGAGACACCGGAAAACGCCATTCGAATATGTTGTCCCGGGCACGCGTGCGAAGAAAACGACATCGACGTTAAAAAGTACGCCGAAGAAAACTTTTAATAACACACATATAGAGAGAGAAAGTAGATAGAGCAGCTGTAGATTTAGAGACATTATTGTAAGTAGTTTGGGATGATGATAAGCAACACACCAAAAAGGGAATCCAATTCTCGTCAAAACTATGCTCCCACGACTCATCAGAAGAAGCATAAAAATGATCAAGCACTTCTCTCCACACATCAGCGGCACGAACGCGCCTCAGCACTCAGCGACGATGAAGCCTCGAGTTGGTGGTGTCACAGTCGCTTCTTCGTCGCCTTTTTGTTCGGACAGAAATCGTTTCCAATTCAAGCCGTCAAAAAACGGAAGACTTTTATACGGAGGAAGAAGAGGACGAGGAAGACACATCTCCTCAACGTTTTCTTCTCATAAAGACGAGAAAGACGAGAGTACTCGCGATGATACTGATGCTGAGAATGATAAGGAGAAGTATTATTCCGCGAAAGCTATTCGAAGAGGCTTCATGGATAAAACGGTTGAGTACGATAAAAAGTACCTCTATCACGGGAGGAAGCGAGTGTATCAAGGCGAGGACGAGGACGATGTAAACGACAAGAAACAGATGAAGAAAAAGATATTCCCGTTCACGACAAAGAACGGGTTAAATTTTGAAGGCGTTGAAGCGGAAATACACGAAATCGAAGAGATTGTCGTCGGGAACGATATGATCGGCGCGGATCGAATACGGCGCGTAGAGGAGACGGTATCGAAGAGAGTGTTTAGCGTGCTCCCAATATTGGAGAACGTGTACGATACCGGGAACTTTTTAGCGGTGTGTCGATCCGCAGAAGCGCTGGGTATAGGCGCGGTTGGCGTCGTCGCAGAGAAAGGTTTGGTTTTTAAACAGTCCGGACGGACGAGCGGAGGCGCCGTGAAATGGCAGCACATCTCGCAGTACGAATCCACAAAGGAGTGCATTGAAAAAGTGAAGAAGCGAGGGTTTCGAGTTCTGGTGACGGATTTCGATAACGAGAAAGCAAAATCGGTTGGAGAGTACGATTGGGCAGAGGTACCAACGGCTGTGATATTCGGTAACGAGTTGGATGGAGTTTCGGAAACCGCGAAGGAGTTGGCCGACGGGAAAGTCTACTTGCCGATGTCGGGTTTTACGGAGTCGTTTAATTTATCCGTATCGGCGGCTCTTTTACTATATCACGCGACAGAAGATAGAAAGAAGAGAATAGCATCATCATCATCATCATCGCACGAACAACGGGGAGACATGAGCGAAGACGAGGAACGTTTGTTGCGTGCGATTTGGTTGAGTCGTTCAGTCGCGAATTATTCTAGGCCAAAATACATGAAAGGGTTAATCGAACGGTTCAGATTACGAAAGAAGAAAGGAGAAGAAGGGGAGGAGAGAACAACAACAACAACGATCGTGCACGATGATTTCAACAAGAAAAGCAACGATGACGAAAAAGAACACGAGGACATCGTTGCTTTCCAAGAAATTTTGCAACCGTCGCAACTTTTAAAACGAGGGAAGTTCTTAGACTAAAAGAGAGAGATAGACGACGCACTCGCACTAGATAGTATTCAAGTTTGTATTATTAAATTAAAAAGTTGTAGCTACGTAGTTTTATATCACTGTTGTGTTAATGCTAAATGTTGTTATAGATAGATAGATAGATAGATAAGATTTTCTCTTCGCGGTGTATATCACCGAAGAGGTCTGAAAGGCACGTACGGAATCCCTTGGTTTTCGCAACATTGCGGGCACGCAAACTTAATATTCGCCTCTTCTTGCTCGTCCAAGCCAGGCGGTTGCATGCCGATGCACTCGTAGTGAAACCAGCCGTCGCATCGGTCGCAGCAAATCATCGATCGTTTCGCATCGTACGCGGATCGACAGACGCAATAGAGTTCGCATCGTTCGCCCAACTCCTCCAGTTCGTCTTTGAGATGCACGGGTAACGCTCGACCTTCGCGCAAAAGAACGCGAGCGGCTTCGATTGGAATGGATTTATCTTCGACGACGGTGGCGGCGTGTTCGAGCCAAAGTTGACCGGCGGATTCTAAGGCAAACGCGCGATCGGCTAATGGATCGACACCACCTCCTGGACAAAGGCCAGCGGCTACGGCGGTCTCTTTCAGTTCGTGCAACTCGATGAGTTTTGGGAACGGCGGGCCTCGCATTAAAGACGTGGCGCGTTGTCGCCACGCCGGGCCGCACACTTCTCTCATCATCGCTAACGTCTCCTCGACTGGTTCCAATTCCATGGCTAATGCACCTTTCATGCCCGCAAAGATTTGTTTCTTCAGGTCAATTCCGACGGGTTGTTGCGTACCATCAGGACCGGTACCGCTGAGTTGATGTTGCGCTGTCGCGGCGGCGAACATTTGTTCTTGTCCCGGTTGCGGTTGCATCGCACCCATCATCTGCAATTGCTGTTGCTGGTGAACGAGAAATTGTTGATCGTGCTGTTGCTGGAACTGTTGTTGCTGCGCGAACTGTTGCTGCATGGCGGCTTGCGCTGCGATGGCAGCAGCTTGCGCGGCTTGCGCGGCTTGCGCGTCTTTGCCTACATCCATCGGCATCGCCGCGTCCTCTTCTTTCACAGCTTCTTCTTCCTTGTCCGCCGCTTCGGGCGCGGGAGCTTCAACTTCTTCTGCAACTTTCTTCCCCTTCGCGCCTTTTTTACCTTTTGCCGCAGCTTTACCTTTCTTGCCTCCTTTCACCGGGGGCGCTGGTTTCTCAGGCGGCGGCGCGGCAGCCGGCGCTTCTCCGGCTTCCTTTTTCACGTCCTCCTCGGGCGAAGGTTCCTCCTTTCCTTTTGAATCGTCCTTTGCCGCTGCTGCTGCTGCTGCTGCTGCCGCTTCTCTTTCGACGTTAGCGGCGGCAACAGATGGAGGAACCGCAACTTGTGCGTTCGGATCCATCGCTTGCGTAATCGCTGCCAATATCTGTTGCTCCCCGTCGTCCTTCTTCAACTCGACCGCGAGTTGCTCCATCAGCTTCGCGTGTCGATCTCGCAAAATCAAGACGTGGACAATGTGCGGGTGCGAAATCGCCGGCGCCATGTGTAACTGCGCTTGACACAACGCCAGCTGAACGCCAAACTGTTGCAGCAAAGTGAGTTGGTTGATGGTAATATTCTTCAACTCTTCGGAGAGTAAAGTTGGATTGGCTTGCGCGCCTTGCAAAGCAATCGTGCGTTGCGTCGCCGCGGCGGTGACAGATTGGCCCATGAGCATGACGTGCTGAATGGCCGTCAATTCGGCGTTGTGCGGGTTTGCACCGCGCATTTGCGCCTCGTTGACCTTTCTCGCTCTCGCTTCGGCTTCTCTTCTGGTCGTTGCTCTCGCAATATGCGCGGCTTGCGTCTCCGCAGACGTGGAGGTTTCGAGGACGTGGTGATTGTGCAAGCACTCGCGAACGCGCAAGCACCACGCGTCGTGCGCGTTGACGATTTCAATAATCAACTCTTCTTCGGGCATTTCGCACGGAAAAGACACAGACTCTTGCAAAGCTCTTTTCAACGCTAAAATGTTCGGCCGTTTCGTTCGATGGACCGATTTATACGTCTCCAAGGACAGCGCTTTCGGCTTTCCGTTCTTTGCCACGCACGGCGCGCACACGTAGTTGTTCATCGTTTTTGCCGCAGAAGCAGAAATGTTGATGCACTTCAAATGGTACCAATCGCCGCAATCGTCGCACCCGAGCATTTGTACGCCCCCGGCTTGTCTGCAGAGACAAAATTGACCGTCTTCGGTTTCCGGAGGAATACCAGTCCCGGTGACGTCCAAAATAGCCGCGTGGATAGATTCTAAAATCGTTTGCAGAACTTGCTTGGAATTCAGTTGCACCTCTTCTTGCTTGCTCTCTTCTCCTGCAGGGCCAACAACGGTGGGAGGGGTGCTCGCGTTAACTACCGGACGACGCAACAAAGCCATTCGCAGATTGTCGTTCCACTCTTCGCATCGAGTGACAACCGCGGTCAATTGCGCTCGTTCTGGGCACATGAACGCGTCTCCTTCGCTTTCGACTTCCTTCAACAAATCTTTGAAGTCCGAGAATGGGCGTCGTTTCTGCTTCTCTTGTTCTTTACCATCGTCGTCAGCTCCTTTCGCACCAGCTGCACCATCATCACCCGCAGCAGCAGCTACTGGAACCGGAGCCGATGCCAACAACTCTCTCGCCGCTGTAAACCAAACTTGGTGATTCGCCAAGTTCGCCTCGAGCTCGTCCACTTTCGCGACAATCGCCGGTAAGTTTTTCCCTTCCGAAATCAAAGCGTCCAACTCGTCCGGACCGATCGTTTGCTTTGGCCTGCCGTTTTCATCCAACTCTGGATTCAACATTGCGTCTGCTTTTTGACGCCACTCGTCCACGAGTTTCCATCGTTTGTTGACTTCTTCGAGAAGTTTCGGATTGAGTTCGTCCAAGTCTTCGGCTTCTTCGTGAAGCTCGTCCAATAAGGCATCTTCGGGTAAGTCTTCTTCCTCTTCCTCTTGTTTCTTTGATGCTTTCGACGACTTGCTGCTCCCTTTCTCCGACGTCCCGGCGGTGCCTTCGATTCTCTCAAGAATAGACGCAAAGCACTCTCTCGCTTTCTCTTCCCAATCCAACGCGCGTAATCGTTTTCTCACCGTAGCCATCGCTGGTAACTCCAAACCAAAGTCTTCGTGCGATAACTCCAATTCTTTAAACGTAATTTCCGCACCTTCTTCGCGCCATCGCGAGACGCAATCTTCCGCTTCTTCGTTCCAAGATTCGGCGTCTTCGACGCGTTCGATCAAAGCGGCGACTTCCTTCACGTAGATGCGCAAGTCCGGCGCCTCCTTGACGAGCTGCTTCGCTTCTTCCAACGTCGGTAGAGGTTGCGCCGTCCCACGTCGAGTGAGCTGTTTACCTTTCAGACACGGTTGCGCGCGTTCGAGCCACGCTTTGGTGGTGTTGACAGTTTCTTGAAGAAAATCGAACCCTTCGAGTTTGAGAGGGATGCTCGCGCCTTCGCGCACAATTTGAGCGACTTCATCGAGAGACTTCCTGTCCGCTTCTCTCTTAGAATTCGCGCATTGAACTGCTTGACGACCTTTTACTTCCCATTTCTTCCCAGCGTCTACGTGGCCTTTCAAACTTATCAAAAGTTTCTCTTCGTCTGGAGCGACTTCGTAGTCTGCAGAGTCGAGTAACTCCTCGCCTTCTTTCACCGCCTTAATCGCGTCGTCGATCGGGTCTTTCACGAGAAGCATGTTCTTAATGTCTTCGGCCCATTGACGAACGGTGATTCGGTTCTTAAGCCACGTCGATTCGGTAACTGTAATTGCGAGCGCTTTCGAAGCTTCCAAGTGTGTCTTCAATTCATCGATTGACGTCATCGGCGTGTCCATCTTGAGCGCTTTATTGACCCAAGCGTACGCGTCGTCGACGGCGGTTTCCATCGTGGTGATCTCGTCGCAATACACACCAAGTTCTTTGCCTTCGTTGAACAACATTTCTGCGTCGTGCAAGGGAGCATTTTTGGTATCCAAAAGCGAAATGGCTCGAGCGCGCCACGTGTGCGTCTCTTCGCGCGCCTTGATGAGCGTTTGCAGCTCCATCGAAGATACCGGCAAACCGTGCGATTCTTTTTCGAGCTCATCGAGATCATGAATTCGTACTAAAGTTGCCGCGGTATCGTCGCCGTCGTCGTTATGGTCTTCGTAACTCGCACGACCACCACCTCTGCCGGTACGACCCGCGCGACCAGGGAGCGCGGCGCGAACTTTTTCTGCCCATTTCGTTGCTTTTTGAATCTGCTCGAACAGTCGATGGTGACTGGGAATCTCCACGGAAATTTTCGTAGAATCTTTCAACAACTTCTCGCACGTTCTCGGGGAAGGGTAAGGTTGCTCTTTCAAAGCGTCTGCGACTCTTTTTTCGATGTTTTCGGCATCAGATTTCAAGTTGGTGTACGATTTCAAATCCGCCGCAGTCATCGGGACCGGTTTCGTCGACAACAGTTCTTCCAATCGGTCCAGCTTCATTCGAGGAACAATTCTGTCCTTCTTGGATACTTTTTGTTCGTCGTCCACGTTAGCCGTCGTAGTCGCCGTAGCACCGGCATCTTCTCTGTCTCCTTTCTTCTCTCCGTCGATAACCATGGCGTCGTTGTCGTCAGCCCCGGCTGGCGCTTTTTCAGCAGCTTCTCCTTCAGCATCTTTTTCCTCCTCGTCTTCTCGCTCTTCTTTTTCTGTTTCTCCTTCTTCTCCTCCTTCTACGTCGTCCTCTTCTTCGGATAGATCGTCCTCGAGCATGACGTCACCTACCGTCAACTCTTCGCCGTTCATTCTAGCTTTCAAAACCGTCAAGTCGACTTGCCACTTCTTGGCGAGCGCTATTTTCGCGGACAACTTGCGCGTCTCCGCCATCTCGCTTCCGCCCCAAACGAACTCTTCTCCCGCGACTGCTAAACTTTGCAAATCTGCAATTTCCGGCATCGGAGCTTTCTCCAAGGCTTGTTTAACTTTCTTTACCCAGGCGTTGGCTTTAGTAATCCTAGCTTTGCCACAGGCGACTGGTTTGAAGTCCGCGTTGATTTGTTTCCGATGCTCCGCCGAGGTTGATTTCTCAACCGTCGAAACGAGCTTCTCGATATCTTCCAACGTTTTGCGGTAGAAAAGAACTCTGTTGTCCGCCGCGCATTCGCATAATTCCGCGCAATGCCTCAAACACGCTTTCCGCCCGACGTTGCATTTACACACGACGCCGGAGAGGTGTAATATGGAGCGACAGATGGTACATTCCGGATCATCCTCGGCGGTTCGCGGCGACGTTCGCAATCGAGCTTCTTTTGGTTTCTTGACTATAACTACAGCTTCGGCTTCAGACGACGACGACGACGGCAACGATGAAGACTTCTTCTTCTTCTTCTTATCGACAACTAACTTCGATCTGACGGTCCCATCCGCGGCGAGCTGTTCCCTCGCTTGGCGTTCTTCGTTCATCATCGTTCGAAGTTCCGGTAACAACCACCTCGCGGTGTTCTCGCTAATCGTCGTCGCTTCTTCTTTTCCTTCATCTTTATCTTCGTCTTCTGCACCAAGTTTCGGTGATGTTGTATCCGCGCTATCGCACAACAACCGCTCGTGACAGAACATCGACAGTTTTCGACACGATCGATATCGCTCCACCGCGTCGGTGCCGTGCGATAACCAATCCGGAGGCGCAAAGTTTACTTTCTCGCTAACGTTGAACCCGCAATCGACTTGCGCGTGGTAACTCTTTGGAAACGTCACGATAAAATCACCCGGGTTTTGCTCGACGCGAAATACCGGCACGTTGTCGTTTCGTAAAGTAGACGGCGGAAGCATCGTGACTACGCGTATCATCGCATCCGGTTGGTTTCCGAACAAATCCGGAACGGCTCGTTTGAACGAGTTCTCCATCGCCTCGCAGGAAGCCGCGGGAATCGCGTACCACATTTTCGCGGCGCCCGCGTGTTGATAGGTGACTGAATACAGATTATTTTCTTCCACGTGCCAACACGTCGAGGCAAACGTCGACCCGACGTATAAATACGGTTGCGACAAACCAGCCACGTGTTCCGGTAAACTTGCTAATAGACTTTCGTGTTCGCCCGGACCTCTCAACACCGGTAAGTTATTCAAATTCCACGGCGATTTTCGCATCTTTGCAACCATTTCGTCCTCTTCTTCTTCCTCCATTTTATCATTATTACCGTCGTTGTTGTCCTCCTCCTCGTCGTCACCGCCGCCGCCAGACTTCTTTTTCGTAGCAAAAGAAGAAGGCGCGTCTCGCATCCTCGGGAACCCGGAGCCTCGTCTCGTGGTGTCGATTTCCGCCGCGGATCGAACCTCGACGTTCTCGTGCGACCCTTCTTCAACCATCTGCCAAAAACTCTCTTCCACGTCTCCGCACGGAATAGTGAACGAACCGTATTGCTGTTGTTGCGCTAAAAGCATCTGTGTTTGTTGCGGATTGTTCCTACCAAAAAACGCTAAATCAAACGCGGCGCACGCCTCTCGAAATCCATCGATGGTATACTCCGCTCCGTCTTCGAATTCAACAGCACGCGCGGCTGCTTCGCATCCGACGCAAAACCATTTCCCTTTCGGCACCTTTTGTAGCGGCGGCGACAAACAGTACGTGTGAAAGCCTTGGTCGCATCCGTCGCACACGAGAAACGTCTCCTCGTCGTCGTGCCCGCTCTGGCCGCAATGCTTGCACGACTGCGCCGTCATGCGTTCAATCTCTAACTGCTCTGCGATTTCTTCTAAACCATTCTCCAATTTTGGTCTTTTCGGTGCCGGTCTGGAACATCGAAACTCTAAATCCAACATCGCCCCGATCAACTCCTTCTCTTCCTCCGTCGGTTCTTCCTCTTTCGTCGTCGTTTCCTCCTTTGAATTTGCCGCTCCTCCTCCTTTCCCGGATGATGCTTTTCCTCCTTTCCCTCCTCTTTCCTCCTCGTTCTCCTCGTTTTTCTTCTTCTCCTCATCCTCCTCTTTCCTCCTCATCTTCTCAAACGGCAACACCCACTTCTTATATAAACATTTCAGCGAGAACGAGTTCGACGTCCCGTCGTTCGCGCGCGTTTGCGTCATCCCGGGATCTAAAACCCTCGCGATATCTCTCCACTGTTTGTTCGTTTTCACCGTTTCAAACCCTTTCAAAGGATTGGTGTTGACGAGTTCGTAGAGTTTCTGCACGTCTAACTTCTTCCCTAAAAACGTCGGCCACCGTTCGATCGGTCGGTTGAAGTGCGCGCCCATTTTTTGGCAATAGTCTTGGCGAAATTTTAGGGTTTCATGCTGTCCAAATCCGCTTCGATTTTTCCTTCGTTTTCCTCCTTGGGGGCTGTCGCGCTTCTCGTCGTCGTCGTCCTTTTCGAAGTCGTTGAGTTCGTTCACCGTTTGCACTCTCGTTTGGACTGAAAAAGTCGACGCATCAATCGCCAATCTTGAAGCGTGCGAGCTCGTCGCATTGGTGGTATTGAGCACTGTTTCGGTGAAAAACTCCCGCGCGGTTTTCGGAGGTTGAATTCGGCACAGACCAAACCTCTCCGCTTGTTCGCGTATGGATGAAATGTATCGCAAAGGATCGGAAAATTCTTCCTGAGTTGGACGAAACGTCGGCGCGTCTTCGCAAAACGTGACGCGAGAGGATACTTTTTCTTCGTTTTGGGTGCTCATTTTATGTGCGAAACGCGTTTAAAGGGATAAAGACCCGCTCGAAGTATTCCGAATTCTTTCCCGCCGATCTCTTTTAGTAATACCTCTCTCCCGTCGTCGAATTCCGAAGGAATTCAACGCGCTCTTTTCGTCTCTAAAACCCGTCTTTATCCGCTCAAAAGAATATCCAGACGACGTTCGCTCGTGGTTTGTGCTCTGGAATACGCTCTCGCGCTCGTTGAGATCGATTTGAGAGCGAGAGGACTCAGAGAGTAAAGAGATGTGCGAGAGAGATATGAAGATTTATCTCCCCAACGAGAAACCAATTGAGAACAAAAAAAAAAGCGAGAAAAGAATTATTTGAGTACGACTTGAGCACTTACGTGAGTGCTCAAGTCGTACTCTTTTTTTGATCGTAAGTGCTTAAGCGTTACTCTTTCAGTTTTTTTACGTGCTCGAGCTTACTCTCTCGCATCCTTTTTTTGTTTGTTTTTTTTTTCTTCGAGAAAACAGTCGTTCGTTTTCTCAAAGCACTCGCATGTGAAATTGACTCTCTCTCTCTCTCTCTGTGAGTATACATACCGTCATGAACAACTTCGACGACGACGGCGAAGGAGGAGGAATTTCAGGCGCAGAAGTGTTGACGGGATGCGCGTTCAACGAGGAGATTTCAAAGCTCGCGGTGAGTCGCACTTCCTCGGTCTTAGCCGCGAGCACTTGGAGTGGTGATCTGCATGTGTTTTCCCTCCTCGCGGGTGGTCAAGAGGAGAGTAAAGAATACGTCGGACGGTTCACGAGCGCTTCTTCGTCGTCTTCTGGAGAAATAAAGAGTCCGATTTTAGATTGCGCGTTTTCTCCTTCGAACGGTGATAACGGATGCGTGTGTTTTGGAACTCTTTCTGGTGAGTTGTTGTGCGGAGACTCCGCGACGAGAGTTTTAAAAACAGAAGGAGGAGACCAAAACGTAGTAATGAACGACGATTCGGTAAAAGTCGTCGGAACGCACAAAGACGCGATTAAAAACGTTTTCTTTCTGGAAGATAAACCCGACGTCGTGTTCTCCGCCGGGTGGGATTTGTACTTAAACGCGTGGGATTTACGAATGCCGTCGAGATCGAGGAAGATTTTGAGCAACGCGTTGCCGTTTAAGCCGCACCTGGCGGACGCGAAGAACAATCGAGTTTTATTCGTGTCCGCGGAAGGGAAGGAAAGACGATACGACTCTTCCGTGATTTTGCTGACGAACGCTCCGAGTTTCGAGAGGACAACGAGTCGGTCGTTCTTGAATAAAAAGGATTTTGGAGAAGGACAGGAGCAGCAACAACAACAACTGGGGCAGTATCAACACGTTCGCTCGTGCGCTCTGAGTTTCAATCCAAAGCACTCGTACGGCGCTCAAAGAGAAGAAGAAGAAGAAAGAAGAGACAGCAGCAGGAAACAACAACAAAAACAACAACCGTCGTGCGATTTTGTTTTGGGACTGAGCAACTCGAAATGTTCCGTCGAATTTTTTCGAGAGGAATTGGACGAGAAATACGCGTACAACTTCCTCTGCCATCGAGAAACCGTTCGCGCCGACGACGCGCCTAAGTTCGCCTTCCAGCGGCAACAAAAATTTAAGCAAAAAAAGAACCAGCAACGAAAAGTCCTCCTTCACCCGATAAACGGCTGCGCGTTCATTCAACAATCCACCAACCTCCTCGTCACCGGCGGCGGCGACGGAAAAGTCGAGCTCTGGTCCACGAAAACTCGCGAACATTTAGAAACCGTGTGCGATTTTAAAAAAGGCAGTTCGATTTCCCAGCTCGCGGTGAACGAACCCGGCGACTTAATCGCCGTCGCCGTCACAAAGAATAATAACAGCAGCAGTCGCAATACTACTCACTCATCAAAGAGCAGGAAAGTCTACGTCAAGCACTTTCGCCCGGACGAAACGGAAGAGACCGCCACCCGCGCAGCGGAAAAATAATAAGAACGACTTACGCCCAAGAGAGATCATATCATCCAAGCGGAACAGAAAAGCAGCACCAGGAGTCGTCACAGCAGTACTCGAAACACTCGCAGTAATAGCAACAGCACCGGTGAAATACATATTCCTTTCTTCGTTCTTTCCATGTACTACCCAAAGAGCGCGAGAGAAAAGCGAATTTTTTGTGCTCACAATTTTCACTAAAACGACGTCACATGCGCAAGATAAAACACATGCTGACATCATCATCATCGCTTCGTGTGTCGTCAATTCACCATCGGTATTGCTGCTTTGATGGTCGTCGTGGCACGTCCTTACCCTCGTCGTCGTCGTATACGTCGTCTAAAGCTTTCAACGCGTCGTCTTCGTCCTCGTCTTCGCTTCCAAACGACGTTTTGGAGAATGCGCAAAAGACGATTCAGACGACGGGGAAGCCACTGAAGCATCGTCCACCAAACTTTGATTTCACGGCACTGGTGGCATCCATCGCGTCCATCCGCTCGAGATTACCACTAAAAGTGACCAATTGCATGCAATTAGATCCACACACGCTGACGATGCACTTTATAAACGAGGAGAGGGAGAAGTTGGTGGTGCAATGCAGCTCGCACCCGGATTTTGCACGAGTCGCTTTAGTACCGCGCGGCGAAGCGACATCGAGGACGACGCAGACGATGCAGACGAAAAAGCGAGACCGGTTATCGTTTGGCGTTCTCGCGAACGAGATTTTGAGAGATAAAGTTTTAGTCGAAGCGTTTGTCCCGGTGAAGTTTGAACGCGTGTGCGTGTTTCGATTCGCCGAACGCGCCGTCGCCGGCGAGAGCGAATACGAGGTCGTGTGCGAAGTGACCGGGAGGAAGAGTAACGTCATCATAGTAGATTCAAAGACGAGAAATGTGGTCGCTGCGTCGCACCAAGTCGGGGAGAAACAGTCGCAGGTGAGAAGCGTGGTTTTGGGGAAGCCTTACGCGTTTCCGCCGCCGCCGCCGGGGAAAGATCCGATGGAGATTGGAGACTGCGAAGCGTTTCGGAAAGCGATTTTGAACGACGAGGACGGCGAAGACGATGACAAAAACTTTGGTTCGCTTTCGAAAGCGTTTCAAGGCGTATCACCGGCGTTAGAGCGGACGTTGCGCGCAATAGCCGCCGCCAATGCTACGGTAGGAGCAAATGAGACGAAAACGAGTGAGTATTACGAAGCACTTTTCGATGCGTTTGCGCGATGGCGCGCCAGCGTCGACCGCGCGTTAGAAGCAGTAGAAGACGAAGACGAGCGAGCGAAAAACGTCAAGGCGTATTTTAGCGAGCACACGCGACAGATTCTCCTTCACGAAACGGAAAATGCCGTCATGGTTAAAGACGACGACGAAAATGAGAACGAGAATGAGGACGAAACCCGAAGAACATCACTCGGCGCGATCTTCACAGAAATGTACGAAGAAAAATCGAACGAAAACGAATACGAATCCGAGCGCAACGATTGTTTGAAAGCCGTGAAGACCGCGTTGCAAAAATCCGCGAACAAAAAAGCTGCGTTTGAGAAACAAATCAAAGCCGGCGAGAAGCACGACGAGATGTCCTTGGAAGCGGACGCGATCATGGCGTACGCTTCGCAGTATAAGAAAAACGACGATTTTGTCAACGGTTTTGATTTCGAAACCGGCGAACCGAAAACGTTCAAGGTGGATAAAGATCTCGGCGCGATTGGTACCGCGGAAGCTTTGTATAAAAAAGCGAGAAAGTTGAGGAGAACCGCCGACGCGGTGTTTCCTTTGATGGAAGAGTTAGAGAAAGAAAGAGAATACTTTGAACAGGTGGAGTTTAATTTGCGCGAACTGTCTCTCGGAGCGGTCGACGATGAAGAAACTTCTTCTTCTTCTTCGTCGTCGTCTTCCTTGGAGGACAAGATTGTTCTCGAGGAAATTAAAATCGAGCTCGTGCGCGCCAACTTGATGAAACCGAGAGATAAGCAATCGGCGAACGAAGCTAAAGCGATGAAGGCGAAGAAGAAAAACAACAACAACGGTAGTAATAAAAATAGCAATAGCAAACAGTCGCGGAAAGAGCAACTCATGTCGGGCGTTCGACAGTACGTGGCGCCTTCGGGTAAAATCGTGCTCTGCGGCCGCAACTCTCGAGGGAACGAAGCCGTCTCTCTGCATCTTTCGCAGCCTCAAGACGTGTGGTTTCACGTCCGCGGGGCGCCAGGTTCGCACGTTGTTTTACGACAACAACCTGGCGCGATAGCAAGTGACGAGGATATGCAGTTTGCGGCTGATTTAGCCGCGTTTCATTCGAAAGTTCGGAACGACGGAAAGGTTCAAGTGAGTTACACGTCGCCGAAGAACGTTCGCAAACCGAGCGGCGTATCGAGACTCGGTATGGTGACGATAACGAAAGAAGAGGTGATGATTGGACGACCGGACGATAGCGTATCGTTTAAAAACGGAGAAACCGGCCGCGCGCGAGGAGACGTCACGGAAGACGGGTTCGATTAATCAATCAAAAAGTGCATTAATCCATCATATATGTCTTCAAAGTCTTGTGTATTTGTGGGTGTAAAAAATAAATCAATTTGATGATAGATAGTAAATTATATGAGCCTCCTCTTGTCGCCGTCGTCTTTCGTCGCCGTCCTCGTTCGTCATCGTTTTGCAACTCGTTTTGTCCTCCTCTGTTTTCTTTTTCTCTCTCTGTCCCTCTGTCTCTCTCTCTCTCTCCCCTCTCTATTCCTCTCTCTTTTGTTTTGTATTCGTATCCGTCTCGTCGTTTACGCGCCTTCGGCGGACTTCAAAAACGGATCGATCGGTTTACCCAGCGCGTAGACGATGAAACCAATCTCGCTCAAGTGCGCGTGGTCCAAGATATTTCTCCCGTCGAACACAAACGCCGGTTTGTGCATGACTTCGTAGATAGCTCTCCAGTCGTACGTCTTGAACTCGTCCCATTCGGTCATGATGGTCACGGCGTGCGCGTCCTTCAACGCCTCCGTCGGCTTCGAGTAGCACGTGATGCTCTTCATAGCTTCTTCGCCCATGTCCATTCTGACTTGTTCTTCCGGCACTTGCGGGTCAAACAACGCAATCTTGGCACCATCTTCAATCATCCCATGCGCGACGTCAATCGCCGGCGTTTCGCGAGTATCCCCGGTGTCCTTCTTGAACGCAAAGCCGAGCATGGCAATTTTCTTGTTACGAATGGTGTTGAACATGGCGGAAACAACTCTTCTCACGAATCTGGTCTTTTGGTAATCGTTCATGCCAACGACGGAGTACCAGTAATCGGCAACTTCTTGCAATCCGTGGCACTCGCAAATGTACGCCAAGTTCAAGATATCTTTTTGAAAGCACGAACCGCCGAAACCGACCGAGGCGTTCAAAAACTTCGGGCCAATTCTGGAATCTTTACCAATCGCAAAGGAGACTTGGGAAACGTCCGCTCCGGTGCACTCGCACAACGCCGAGATGGCGTTGATGGAAGAAATTCTTTGCGCTAACATGGCGTTCGCGGTCAATTTACTCAACTCCGCGGACCACAAGTTGGCGGTCAAAATTCTCTCCTTTGGCACCCAGTTCGCGTACACTTCGCACAAAGCGGCGCACGCCGCCGTCCCGCGGTCGTTTTCAATCTTCCCACCGATCAAAACGCGATCTGGCATGGTCAAATCGTCAATCGCGGTCCCCTCCGCCAAAAACTCCGGGTTGGACAAAATGTCAAAGTGCACGCCTTCCTGCGGGCAGTTTCTCAACAAAACTTTCTCAATCGCCTCCGCCGTTCTCACCGGAACCGTAGACTTCTCGACGATAATCTTATCGCTGGTCGACCACGCGGCGATATTCCTCGCCGCGGATTCCCAATACGTCAAATCCGCGGCTTTCCCTTTCCCCAAACCGGTCTTCTTCGTCGGCGTGTTCACCGAGACGAAGATGCACTGCGCCGCCCGAATAGCCGCCTCGCAATCCGTGGAAAAGAACAAGTTCTTCCCTCTGCACGCTTTCACGACTTCATCCAATCCGGGTTCGTAAATTGGGAGGTTGTCCGAATTCCACGCGTCGATTCTTTGTTGGTTCAAATCAACCACCGTCACCTATACATCATCATCGCGATAAAAAATCGTGCGGATAAAGAGAAAGATTGCGTGAGAAGAGATTAGTGTTACATCCAATGTAAGAGGAAAATGAAGAAGAGAAAAGCATCCGGAAGCACGCGCTGCGCTCGAATCTCTCTCTCTCGACCTTATGATCGATCGAATCGAGAAAAGCGAGAGAGCGAGAGGTTGGAGCGAGAGAGACGCGTCGTAAAAGTTCTCAAACGAACTTTGCGATTTTACGAGAGAGACGAGAGAGAAGATTGTGCGAATCCATCGTCTCCTTTTCCCCCGCGCTCTGCGTCAAATCATCGTCTCTCACAAAAAAATAATATGTTTATAGTATTACCTCGATGTGCGGGCACTTCAGAGCGATCATGGCCATGGTCGGTCCGCCGACGTAGCCGGCGCCGATGCAGCAAACTGAATTAAAAGATGATGTGATGATAAAGAGAGGAAACAAAGTCAGCACGTGAGAGCACGAGAAGAAAACTTGTGGTTGAGATGGAAACAAAACTCCGAGACGAAGATCAGGCCGCTCGAGACACACAGACACGCGCACACAAACGCACGCACAAACGCAGCGCGAAAGGAGAGAGAGAAAGAATACGAACGCGAAGAAAGCGCAGCATGGGAACAAAAGAGAGAGAGAGAAGGAGAGAGAAAAAGAGCCGCAGGAAAGGAACAAAGAGCGCGTACTTTTGGTAATCTTGACCATTTCTTTCGTTTTCTTTGACGTGTGTACTGAGTGTCGAGAGGAAAGGACTTTGGTGTTTTTTCAAGGCAAATAATGCACTCGAGAAATTTTGGTCGCACAATGAAGCACTCGAGAGGAATTTTGGGCTGTTTTTTTTTCTCTTTTTGTGTTGTGTTCCTGCGCCCACGCGTATCATCAGCTGCTTGTAAAATATTAAAAATTAAAACTTGTTGTAAAACTGAGTAAGGAGCATCGGGTGCGTTCGTGTATGTCTCGCGCTCGTTTAGTTTGCTTTTGCCCTTTTTGATCTGCGTTGAATACGGCCGAGGTCTTCGTCGTCGTCGTCGTCGACGACGACGACGTTTTTAGAGAGGGGCACTTTTGGTTGGAATTTTGGACGCGCCGGAGGCAACTGTCTTAATTAAATACAGTTTGAATCTTCCTGTCGAAGTCCTTGGCGTGCTTCACGATTTCGTCATCTACTTCCATGTCTTTCATACCATTCGTCTGGCTTCATACCATTTGCAAGACAATACTTCAACATTCCCTTGATTAACAAAACAACTATTAAAAGTCCGAGAAAACCAAAACCAATGTATAGAGCAATATCGATTGGTTCAATATCATCATCATCGCTGCCAGTCGTCGTCGTCGTCGTCGTCGTCTTTACGACGTATTTATAAATGACCTGAGGACCAACTTGATCCCCACTCACTTGATTTTCGTAAGCCATGTCGGCGTCGGTTAAATCCGTCATCGTCGTTTTCAAAAAGTCAACAAGCTTCGTTGCAACAGTTGATTGTGATTTATGGTTAAAAAGCATGTTAAAAAAGTCATCGCAATTTGCGCTCGTAAAGCATCTCGTCTCTTTTGGGTTGCAATTGACCCCGGTGCTGCCGGCGCGGCACGCCATTCTGTCATTCCCGCCAGCCACGCACGACTCGCACAAATACCGCCAGCTCACAATCACCGCGTTTGCCTTATTTGCGTGGTTCTCAACCGAGACGATTTCAACGTTCGCCGCCGGAAGACTCGGTTTTACGAGAAGGTCCGGGAAATCCAAGTCTGCAGACCCGTATTTGTATCCGTGCACCGCGGCGTATTGAGACAAGCCAGTTTTAAAAAGCTCTTGGATCTCTGTGGTAAACGTGCTGTATCATATTTCACGAGTGAGAAAGAGAGAGAAACATAAAGAGAATGGAAGGAGAGAGAGATGTCAGTCATCGCGGTACGACGCCGCCCAAAACCCAAAAGGGGTCCAAGTTGCCTTGCCACGTCACGAGACAATTAAAAAAAATATCTCCACGCGCGAAACGTTACGTACTCTTTCGTGTACCCTTCAATCCTCCACCCCGGCGTTTTCCAATGCTCTCCTTGTTGTTTGATCGTGTACGTGGAAGCATCGCTCGGTAACTCGCTAATTAAGGCGATGATTTCTTCTTCTCCAGCCGCAAACGCGTTGGAAAGGGAGAACGCGACGAGGAGAATCGCGATCAGCAGTTGTGGGATTTTTATGAAATTCATCGTCTTCTTGTTGTCGTTTAAGTTGTTGTTTGTAATAAAACAGAAACGGGTGCGCGCGTTAAAGGAGTCGCGGTTGTTACGCTTCTTTCGAAGCGATGATGCTCGAGTCAAATCTTCGTCTTCGCCTTTGTCGTCGTCCGTATGTCTTAATACTATTAATAACAACACAAAGATTTTTAATGCAAAATCCGAGTCATAATAAATGGCAAATATCGTCGCGATGTTTTCTTATTAATCTTCTCTCGTCGTCGTCATCATCATCATCATCATCATCGGTAGCGATTGACGCTATCTGGAACGTTCCATAAAACGCCGTTGGTCGCCGCGGCTACGATTGTGATGAGTAAAGGCACGGCGACGGCAATGGCTAACCCTACGGTTAATTCGTTCCACGGCCCAGTGCCGACGTATTCGTCGCCTTGCCACTTGTCCGAATACAAATCGGGGCGCTCTTTCTCGCCTTGCGAAGGGCGAGGTATTCTCGCTTTTGAAGGCGGTTTTGTCGAGGGAGGGGCTACCGATGACGACGACGAAGGAGACGACGACGACGACGACGAAGTCATCATCGCGCGTCTGATCTCATCTTCCTCAATTTGTTTCCTCTCCTCCTCCTCTTCGTCTCCCGCTCGCAACGCTTTCGCGTATTCAACCATCTCCCTCGTAATCGACGCCTCCTTCTCAAACGTCAACTGAATATCGTACGCTCTCGTCGATCGAATCGCATCCATCGCTCGAACAAAAGTCACGTTCTTCGGTATCTGCCACATCTCTGCTTTATCCACCGGGTCGGTAATCGCCACCAATCGCATCCCGGGTTTAATCCCTTTTCTTTCCGCTTCCGAGTCAAACGCAACCCCGGAGACGAAAATCGCTCGATTTTCGTCTCCAATCGCGAGCGAATCCCACTGAATGGCTCTGCGAGCGACGATCGTTTCAACTTCCACCGTGAAAAAAATCGTTTCTGTTTCTGTCGTTGTTTCTTTTTTTATTGCTTTACTGTTGTTGTTCTTGTTGTCTTCTTCTTCCGATGATGATGATGATGTCGATGATGCCATCGCATCCACATCTCTCCTTCGCAATCCTTTCGCTCTCGTGAACGTCGTCGTCGTCGCGCGACGACAAAAAAAACCACCACCACGACCACCAGAACAAAGCGACGAGGTCGCCATTCTCGCCGCCGTCATCGTTCTCTCGCTCCTTCTCTCTCTGTCTGTCTGTCTCTGTCTTTGCGTCGCAGCGTCTGACGAGTGCGTCGAGCGTTCGTCACTCGGGTAAGCTCTGTTTCATTTAGTGTTTCATTTAACACCCTAAATTTTGAGACGCTTTGCTTTTCAAAATTTCCCTCGAGACGCTTCTTACTACTAAAGAATACGCGCGCGCGTTTAAGAGAGAGAGAGAGAGAGAGAGATGACGACGACGATTCAGACGATGATTTCATCCTCCTCCTCTTTGTCGTCCTCAAAAAAGTCGCTCCTTTGTTGTTTTACGTCTTCGTCTTCAAAGTCGTCCTCGTTTTCGAGAAGAAGGAATACGAGTAACGCAGTTTTCGCGTCGAGAAACGTTCACGACGAACGAGATTTTCATCATCATCGTGGGAAAAGCGGCAGTCGTCGTTGCCGCGGCAAAAACATCGTCAGAGCGTCGTCGTCGCCCGAACAACAACAGCAACAACAACAACGAGTAAACAAAGAAGTCGAGCGGTACATGGCGAGAGGAGTCTCCGCGTCCAAAGAAGACGTGCACAAAGCGATAAAAAACGTCAGCAAAGGATTGTTTCCCAAGGCGTTTTGTAAAGTGGTTCAGGATATCGCGATGGACCCGGAATATTGCACGTGCGTCCACGCGGACGGCGCGGGGACGAAATCATCGCTCGCGTACGCGTACTGGAAAGAGACGGGAGATTTGAACGTGTGGAGAGGCATCGCGCAAGACTCTGTGGTTATGAATACGGATGATTTGTTGTGCATCGGGTGCGCGGACGATATATTGTTGTCGTCGACCATCGGGAGGAATAAAGGATTGATTACCGGGGAGGTTTTGACGAATCTGATCGAAGGAACGGAGGATGTGTTGAAGACGATGCGAGAGTGTGGGGTAGGGATTACGAGCACGGGAGGAGAAACCGCAGATCTCGGGGATTTGGTGAGAACGGTTGTGGTCGATTCCACCGTGTGCGCGAGGATGAAAAGAGAAGACGTGATTTCGAACGATAAAATCCAAGCCGGAGATATCATCGTCGGGTTTAGCTCGTACGGGCAAGCTTCGTACGAGACGGAGTATAATGGCGGGATGGGATCGAATGGGTTAACCAGCGCCAGACACGACGTGTTTGCGAAATCTGTCGGCGAGAAGTATCCGGAGACGTTTGATCCAGCCGTGCCGGAAGATTTGGTGTATTCTGGGAAGTATCAGTTGACGGATATCGAGCCAGAAACTGGGATGACGGTTGGAAAACTCGTCCTGTCGCCGACGCGAACGTACGCGCCGGTTGTGCGAGCGATTTTGGACGAAGTTGGCGAGAAACGAAAAGAGGAAATTCACGGCATGGTGCATTGCTCGGGAGGCGCGCAAACGAAAGTTTTACACTTTGTCGACGACGGGTTACAGATTATTAAAGACGACATGTTCGACGTTCCTCCGTTGTTTCGGTTGATCCAAGAGTGCTCAAACACGGATTGGAAGGAAATGTATAAAGTGTTCAACTGCGGTCACAGGCTGGAGGTGTACGTTCCGTCGGTCGGCGTCGCGAATAGATTGATCGAGTGCGGGAAGAAGTTTAACATCGACAGTAAAATTATCGGACGAGTGGAAGAGAAGAGCGGGAAGAGCCAAGTGACGGTATTGAGCGAGTACGGCGAGTTCGTGTACGACCCTTAATGCGACGACGACGACGACGACGACGACGGTTATTTTCATGTACCGTTATTATTATTGATGTTGTTGAGAGAAAGAGAGAGAGGAACGAGAACTCTTGCGTTATGTCACAGTCATGCAAAGACTCTACTACACGTAACGCATATGCTTATATTATTATATCTCGCACGCAACAAATTAGTATTATTATTATTATTATTAAACGACGGATTGCGCGGACCCACCGGTTGGTTTCTTCTCCTCGCCTTCCTCGATCTCTTTCAGTCTTCGAAGTTCTCGTCTCCTCTTCAACTCCTCGATCGGGACCCCTCTCAACTCGCTCCTATAATACACCAACCAATTCGCCGCTTGCGCTCGTCTCGTCATGTTCGGCGTCAACCCTTCCATTTTAAACCCTTTCCACCCTAACGGTTTCAACTGTTCTTTCAACCCGTTCTTATATTCGCTCGAGACCGATCTCGTCAAGCTCGCGCACGCTTCCTTCACCGGTTGGTCGATTTCCGGGTAATACTTCCTCGTCACCCCAATCACATCCGGCGGTTCTGGAAACCGTTTCGCCCAGTTCGGGAACACTTTATTCGATACTCGCCACGTTTCTGTCGCGGTTAACGTCTCCGGGTCGAGCTCTATCCTCATTTCGTATCCTAAACACCGCCAGACGAGTTTGTTCACCTCCTCGTCTGAAATCTCGGATTGGACGATTCGTAACAGAACTTCGTTCCGAATCGGATCTAACTCGCCGTCGTTCTTTGAAGGGTCCCACGGTTCCGCCCCCGGGGAAAATCCATCATCTCCAGACTTCTTCAGAGAGGAGGAAAAAGAGCGACGAAAAGATGATCGTTTTTTTACGAAAGGCGGCTTGTTGCGACGAAAGCCTTTTGGGCTCGTCGTTGTTCGTCTCTGCGAGAACATCTTCACATCACTTAGGGGAAAGTTTTGCCGCACGTTCGCCACTCCAAAACGCTTTTGTTCGTTCCAAACGCGCGCGGCGTAAAAGTCTTCCATCACACGCGCGCTGAACACATCATCACTCGCAGAAATACCAACCCATCGCGCTCGAGAAAGTAAAAAATGAGAGTCACGTTCGCGTTCGTCGCGTCCGCGTTGGTCGTCGCTTTAGTCTTGCGTACGCTGAACTATTTCAGCGATAAGAGGAACAACCCGGTCTCGGTGAAAGCGCAAGTGTTTCTCTCCTGGACTCTGAGCGTTTCTATTTTAACCTTAGTCCCCTTGGACGTGGGGTACGCTCTGTCACGAATGGGAAACGAGGAAAACGGAGGAGCGCACGAACGAACGGACGATGGCAACGTGATGACACACATGTGGGGGGTGACGTACTGGTCGACTTTTTTACTCACGTGGGTGATTTTACCGTTGCACCAGATTTACGAGGACAGCGGAGACTTTACGTTCGCGTCGAGGTGTTCGACCGCGCTGAGAGAAAACGTGGTTTTTTACCTCGTTTTAGTTGGGATTTTGGCAATCGGCGCGACTGGGTTACTGTTTTTCGGGTCGCTGGATGCGTCGAGTTTGAGCGCGTACGGTATCGTCGTCGCCAACGCGTGGGGTATTTCGACGGGTATTTTACTCGTCGGGTACGGATTAGTCGAAGTACCGCGAGCGTTGTATAAGAGATCGTTTTTGGACGACCGACCGACGAGGGCGTATAAAAGAGTCGCGCACGTTTCTAGGAGTTTGCAAGAAGCGCACGAAGATTTGAAGAAAGTGTGCAAAGCGGTCGCGACGACGGCGAGGGTGATGCCGAGAAGGCACGAGTTGAGATGGGCGATGGATATCATCGAAAGCGAAGTGCCGGACGCAGAAACATTGAGAATGGATAATAATAGTAATAATAATAATAATAATAACGGGGGAGGACCGTCCTCGTCGTCGCCTATGCATGCAACAGGAACGAGTAGTAGTAGAAGAGGGTCGTACGGGGAAATGAACGCGATGGGAGTGATGATGGACGACGACGACGACGACGCGATGTTAGATTACGATTACGATTTAGAGAAAGACTTAGCGAGGTTAAGAAGACGATTGAAGCGATCTTTGCGAGTGTACAGACGAACACGAGCGCAGTACGTGGAAGCGGTGGAAGACGCGTTCCAAGCCGAAGCGACGTATCAAACGAGTAAATCTGCGCACGGAAGATTGATCAAACCTCCATCCGCCAGTGGAGGCATAATTTCGCAAGATTTATTACAGAATGGATCTGCGTTACGAGACGGTGGTGGCGTATCGTCGTCCTCGTCGCCCTCGCCATCAATCAGAAGCATAAGAGACTCGATTGAAAAATTTTACAGGTGCACGTTTGAACCGATGACGTGTAAAGTCTTGGCCTTCTCTTTCGCCTTTTTGTCGTTGGCGATTATTTTAGCCGAGAGTACGATTTGGACGGGAGACGCGTTAGGTGAGCACGCCACTCTCTCCTTATTCGGCGTCATCGTAGAACGCAACGTGAATAACGTTTTAACTTTACACATGGCAATTTTCGTGCCTTTGTTTTACGTGTGTTTTTGCGCCTACTTATCGCTCGGTCGATTGGGGATGTTTTCGTTTTACACGTTGGTACCGTACGGAACGGACAGTTTATCTTTGTTATTCAACGCGTCGTTGGTGTGCAGATACTCCGCGCCGTTGGCGTATAACTTCTTAGCGCTGTTGCCGGTGTTGTCTCGCCCATCGGTGCCTCCGACGACGTTCGCGAAGAAAATGGCCGAACACATTCCGGAAGCCGCGCAGAGGTTTAACACGATCGTTCCTGGATTTTTAGCCATTTATTGCGCGTTGATTGCCTTTGATGCGTTCGATGGCATTGCCGGTTACGGATGGAAAATTTTGTGTTGTTGCTGTCCCGCTCGGTTAAGAGGAGGCTCGAGCGGTCGAAGCAGTTTGTACCATCGAACTTCAATCGGCTCCGACGGGTTCGGCTCGAACATGATCGGCGACCAAAACGCGTTTCACTTCGCATCCGCTAAAGACGAAGAGATGGAAGACGACAGTCTCGGGAGGTCCATAGTCGACCGCGAACGCGCGGAAATTGTCGAAGGCGGTCGATTAGGGTGCGCCAATCCGGAATATTACTTCGACGAACCGTCGCCGAGCAACGCGAGAGCGCGCGGGAGTAAAAATTTCTCCTCTTTTACCAGAAACCTGGAAGAAGAACAAATTAGCATCGACGACGACGAGGACAGAGAAGGAGGAGGAGGAGCAGGAGGACGTAACTTAGAAAGCGTAAATTTACTCTCTGGAACTGGCGTGGGATCATCGTCTTCTCCGTCTTCACACGCCAACCGAGACGAGCGATGGGCGCAATCCAAGGAGCGATTGAAACAAGCCACCGCGCGCGCCACCGCGGTCAATAATAACAAAGAACCCGGAGCAAAACAAACCGCGCACTTAGACTCGATGTTCTCCGGCTTACGACCACCGGCTTCGAAACGATAATACTACGCTACTACTACTAATTACATTCTACCGGTACTGCGTTCTATTCTATTTTCGCCAGCGCGAAGCCGTCCACGTACACTTTCCCTTCATCCTCCGCGCATCTCACCTTCGTCTCAAACTCAACAATCTTACCACCTCGCGTCTCCTTAACTTTCCTCACCGTCGCCGTCACTCTCGCGCCGACCGGGCACTCGTTTCGAAACATCGCCGTTTGGCGCAAATATTTCGCCCCTGGAAACGTGCTTCCCACTATCGCCGGGAACATCGAGACCAACAACGCCCCGTGCACGATGTTATTATCATCAGTAGTAGCAGTGCGACTCACGTGAATTGGATTTGAATCGCCGGTTATCTTTGCAAATTGCTCCACGTCTTCTCGCGCGAACGTTCGCGTCTTCGAGAGCACGAGCGCACGTTTTGCACCGTCCTTTTCGTTCGCGGAATTGGATTGAAATCGCTTCTTCGCCGTCGCGTCGTCGCGCGTCTTTCCTCTTTGCGCTTCTCTCGACGAGGACAACGACGAACGCATCGACGTCCTCGTGCAAAAACGCGAGGGGGAGCAAAAATGGAAGCAGAAAAGGGCATGCCCTCGCCTCGAGGCGCGAGGAAGCATATCGAATACTTTTTGTCGCGACAAAAGTGTTCCGCGCAGCGCGTCGCGGTTGTGATGACATTTTAATTGACCTTTTCCCGCCACGTTCTCGAACATCTTCATTTGTACGCGCGAGGGAGGCGAGACTTACAAATGCGGACCAACGCGAAGCAAACGCGCGATCCTTCGTTTCATCGTCGTCTCGACCAAATCGTTGTCGTTCAAAAGAAAGAGGGGGAAGAGGAAGAGGAGGAAACCCCGACGAAAACATCCCGGAAACGAAGAATCGCATCCGAAAGCGCAGACGCGATGCGAAAGCGAAGAACAACGAAAGCGAACGCGAACGAAGAGAAAACCAACAAAAGAGGCACACAAAAAACATACTTCGTCGCGAGGAAAAACGCGGGAATGTCGAACAACGTGTTCGATCTGTATCATCGCGATCGCGTCGAACACGCCTCGGAAGAGGAGGAAGAGGAAGAGGAAGAGGAAGAATCCATCGCCGCTTCCTCGTGGGAAAAAACATCCACCGAAGGAGAGGAAGACACAGAGGAAGAGGAAAATTTTACGCCGCCGCGCAAAATTCGAGAAAAGAAGCGCAAACACAGGTTCCGATGGGAATGCGTTCGTTTGAGCTGGAAATCTTTGGTCGATGCGTATTACGTTTCTGAAAAGGAGGAGAAGGACGCGATGCCGGGACGAGTGTTTATAGCGATTCCGGGACGGGCGTGGATGATGAACTCGAACGAGGAGGATCCGGAGGACGAGAACGACGACGACGAGGATTTGCGGAGCGAATATTCAGGAGAAGAGGAAGAAGAAGAGGAAGACGAGAATGCGAAGGCGCTGAGAAGGACGCGCGAAGACTGCGCGAAGTTTTCGAAAGAAGTCATCAATCGCATCGTGTTTGGCGTCGCGTGGAAGAAAGTACACGAGAACTGTTTGGGTACGACTACTACTAATAATACGATCACTTGGAGCAAGTATAATCGAGACCCGTTGGATACGATGAATACGGACGAGTACGAGGAGGACGTGTACGAGAGAGAGTTGCACGCGAAGGCGAGATTCGATCGACGGTGGGTTTTGGAGGAGAGGGTGAATTGGTTAAACTCGTTTCGTAAAATAGTGAGAAAGTTTAGGGAGGAATCGTTCGGTATCGTCGGCGGTAAGAGTCGAGGTGGTGAAGAAGAAGGAGGAGGAGGAGAAGGAGATGGAGGAGAGAAGAAGAAGAAGAAGGAGAAGAGCGACGCGAGTTTGGGTTTGCAAAAAGCGTTGGTGGAAGACGCGGTGTTTAGAGACGCCGCGATGCAAGCGACGCGGAAGTGGCCTTTACCGGTTGAAGGAGAAGAGAAGGCGTTCCCGATGTACGACGAGTGGGCAGAGAAGGAAGATCCAAAGAAGAAGAAGAAGAAGAAGAAGAAGCAGAAGAAGAACAAGAAGGAGGAAGCCGAAAACGATGGAAGAGGAAAAGCGAGGAAAATAGACGACGAAGACGTCGTAATCATCGAAGAAGAGGACGACGACAAGGAGACGAAGGATCTGGTGCGACTGGTTCAAAATATAAAGCGTAAATTTGGTTCGCCCACTACGAGAGCGCCAGGACCGAGCGAAAGACTACACGAGACACCAGCAGAGAGAGCGAGTGCAGTTATCGCGCGAGATTTATCTTCTCTCGCGATAAACTTAGAAAACTATAAGCGCGCGTTGATTATCTTGATCAAATGCGTGAATGAAGAGAGCGCGAGCTGGGAATCGGCGGAGCAAGAGCTGATAGCGAGAAGAGCGTTGCGACGTCAAATGCAATATTCCTATCCCACCAATCCGCGTAAAGACGAGTTAAAGAGAGAACTCGTAGAAATTCGAAAGAAACGCCTCGAAAATCTCAGATTACAGTCGAGGAACGAGTTCGATTCGGAGAGATACATGGCGGAGCTCTTAACCGAAGAAAAAGAGAAAGAATGGAAGAGGCAAGAGTTGCAGGAGAAGGCGATGGCGACGCCGCAACATTCAACCTACAACGCGGAGCCAATGACCTGGTTTCCTGGCGTTCAAAACATTGGAAAACAAGATGGAAGTAAAAGTAATGATAAAAAGCAAACGACGACGACGAAGAAGAAGAAGAAGAAGAAGAAGCCAAAAGAGCCGAAAATCTCGACGAAGAAGGCGAAAAGAGTCCAAAAGAAAGAGAAGAAAAAAAAGGAAACGGAAGAGGAAGAAGTCGTTACCGGGAAAATAGAACTCGAGCACTTAGCTCCGGGCATGTCCATCGAAATCGACTCGGGAGATCCCGAGGACCCGTGGTGGGGAGAAATCGTTCGATTGAAAAAATCCGACGCGTCGATCGAGTCGAAAGACGAAGACGAAGTGGAGATCACGTGGATCGTCAAAAACTCGAAAGGTAAATACGAATATTTGAAAGAAAAAGGAGGTCGGGGTCGCCAAAATGACGTCATCAATGTCTATTCGATTAAAGAGTGCGGGTTTCACTTGCCGTGCGCGCAAGCGTCGCAGAAGAAACGGCAAAACATCGCCGCCAAAAGGAGCGAGCCGCCAAAAAAGTAACGTCCGCTCGATTCTTCGCGAGAGCGTTGTTAAAGGTTTCACTTGACGCTTGAACACAAAAACACACGCACACACGCGCGTGTACACAGAGCACTACTACGCGCAAAACAAAGCAAAACAATGCTCAGAAGAAACACGTCGTCATCGTTCGCATACAAAATCATCCGTCGCGAAAGCTTTAAAGTTGTTAAAAATTTCCTCACTTAAAATGCTTCCGTTATGTATGACTCCTACGAATTCAGCGCAAAATCGTGCGGTTGTTTTCTCCGTCAACAACAAAAGCCTTTCCGCGAGGACGACGAACTCGACGAGACTGACTTTTACGACAAAAACGACGACGCTTCGTCGTGGCAGCAGTAATACTAGCAGGAGCAGCGTCGCGGGTAGGTTTTCTCGTCGTTCTTCTTCTTTGAATTCTTCATCCGCGTTGGGGAGAAAAATGGTCAATTTTGCGGTGAACGAAGCAGATGGAGAAGCAGAGGACGACAGAGACGAGGAGGCGTTCGAGACGGACGAGGAGAGAAGATTTAGCGCTGCTTTTTCTTCGTCCTCGTCGTCTTTTAAAAACGACGACGGGGGTTTTCAACGGCAGCGGCGAACTGGACGGCGGCGGCGAAAATTGAAGAATTCGTTGGACTTTGAAGACGATATCGAGGAGGAGGAGGATGTCGGAACGGGAAGAGGAAGAAGAGAAGAAACAGAAGAAAGAGACGACTACGACGAACGACGACGAGGAAGAGGAGACGGACGACGGGGACAACGGGAGCGAGAACGACGACGACGACGACGGTCTTCATCGTCATCGTCTTCTTCTTCTTCTTCGTATTCTTCGCCGGCGCTTCCCAACGTGACTTTACTCACCAACGGCGAAACGGAAAAGTGCCTTCCCATAGCGGCGACTTCCAACCAGTACGGATACTTTTGGGGCACCACCGATGCCGCCGTGCAACGCGTCGCTATTTCTTTGCTCGGCGTCGTTTTATGTTCGACTATTAATGATTTTGAAATCGGGACGGCGTTGCAAGTGCCGTTCGCGACATTTTTTCTCTGGGCGCCCATCGCGTTGGCGGCGAGAAGGAACGCAGCCGCGCGCGCAGGCGAATTCGTCGGATTGTGGAGAGCGCGAGTGAAAGACATCGAAGTCGTCCCGGTCGTTGCGAAAACCTTCGAGAACGCTCGACAAAAATCATCGTCGCGGGGACGAAGAAATACTCGAAAAACGACGAGCGAGATGCTCTTGATTGATTTCATCGACCCAATCTCCTCGTTCGAAGTCTCTTTTCGCATACCAAACGAACGCAGATACGACGACGTGCAAATAGGAGACGCGTGCGAACTCATCGTCTCCTCGGACGACGATTTGTTCCGAAACTTTGTCGCCATTCGGGAGGCGTACGTCCCCGAGTTGGACGTTTGGGTGGGCGAGTACCCTTTTCTGGACAGAAACGGGTTCGTCTTGGTCTCCAAAAGAGTCTCAAACAACTAGAGAGCGAGAGAAAGAGAGAGAAAGACAAAAAAAGATGGGAGAGCGCAAAAGTTAGAAAGTTCTATCCCCGCGCACGAAGCGTTCTTAAGAGCCGGTGGGTGTAAGTTTCTCATGGGCGAAGTCGACGGCGCCATCGAGTTGTATCGCGAAGCGTTGGTCTCCTCGGATAAATTCGCACCAGCATTAGTAAACTGGGGTATCGCGTTAGAGCATAAAAAAGAGTACGACAAAGCCGAAGAAAAGTACAAGCTGGCGGTGGAGAAGAACCCAAATATGGCGGAAGCGTACGCGCGATGGGGCACTTTGAACTTTGGACAAGCGAGAACGCTCGTGCAAAAGATGTTCAGATAGCTCACAGTTGTAGTCAAATGTTTAGAGAGCGTTTAGAGCGTTTTTACCATTTTTCCTCCCTCACAAAGAAAAGTTCGTTACCGAGAAAAACTCACTTTAAAGAAACAACCAAAGATGTCTAACGAAGATAAATCTCTATCTCTCGCCCGCGAGCGAAAAGCATGGATCGGGTACGATTTCGCGAACAGCTGTTACGCCACCGTCGCCATCGCGACGTTCTTGCCGTTGGTGTTAAACGCGTACGCGGAGAGTGAAGCGTGGCGAGGGAAACTGAAACCGAAAATGTGTTCAACCTTGGACGTAGAATACAGCGAGAAATGTTTGGAGTGTCGAGTTGGAGAGGGGAATTTGCTCTGTTCCGGTGAGGCGTTTTGGTTTTGTGGTCGCGTTGAATCGATTTATCTCTTTTAGAACGCGTAGAAACGCATCAGCCGCTCGCGTTTGTATGCTCTTTTGAATTCTCTCTCTCTCTCGCTCTAAAGGAGCAGAGGAAAGATATTTTGTGTTCTTTCTCGCTCACATCTCTCTCTCTCTCTCTCTCTCTCTCTCTCTCTCTGAAATCGGATACGAACAGGTCCGGGATTGAATCGAGAAAACTGCGAAGACTTGGAAACTGTGCGCGTTTCCGGCGGGTTTCGTCCGTCCTCGTTCGCGTTCGTGATTATCAGTTTCAGTTGCGTCTCGCAGTTGCTCGTGTTCGCCTTGTACGGGGCGAGAGGGGATACCGGGTACCGGAAGAAAGGGTTGAGGATGACGACAGTTTTAGGAGGCGCGAGTTTGCTCGTGTTTGCGGCGTTCAGCGAACGACACGCGGGGTATAAGCACGTGTTGGCGGCTATATTAGCGGTGTTTAGCAACACCATGTACGGGCTGTCCGTTATTTTTTACAACAGCTACTTGCCTATACTCGCGAAAGAGAGCGAGGCGATTTTATCGGAAGGGAAGGAGGAAGATCACGATTACGAAAACGAATTGAGCACGAAAGGGTACGCGGCGGGTTATTTAAGCGGCGTTCTCGGCTTATTGTTATCGCTGGTCGTTTTGTTCCTCTCTGGTGGTTCCGACGAAGACGCGAGCGATAACAAAGCGTCTTCGGCGTTTCGCTGGTGCATCGTCTTGGCCGGTGCTTGGTGGTTAGGTTTCGGCGTGTACTTTTGCGAAAAATTAAGAGACGACGAAGTAAATGAAGAAGAAAAACAGGAACAGCAAGAGAACTCGGAACTCGCGAGAATGAAAGACTCTTTGGGGAGATTCGCGAGAACCATCGCGGAGGCGAAATCAAAGTTTCCCGTGACGTTTTCGTTTCTGATTTTGTATTTCGCTTACACCGATGGATTTTCGACAATCGCTGGTTTAGGCGTCTTGTACGCTCAGAGAGATATGTGCACGGGGACGACGGGTTTGTTCTTGATCGCGTTGTTGGCACCTTTATCCGCCGCGGTTGGGAACTTCCTCTTTCTCCTCATCAAGCGTAAATTGAACGCCTCGAATCAAGCGATGGTGGTTTCCGCGTTATTTTCAATCTCGTTGTTACCCATATGGGGTTTGCTTGGCTACGTTTCTAATTCGATTGGATTCAGAAACTCGTGGGAGGCGTATTTTCTCGCCATTTGGTTTGGATTAAACCTCGGCGCGATTCAATCCTTCTCGAGAACGTTGTTTTGCGAGCTTATACCGCCGCACCGAGAGAGCGAGTTTTTCAGTTTTTTCGAATTGACCGACAAAGGAAGCTCATGGGTTGGCCCGTTAGTCATCTCCATTATGGCCAACAGCAGCGGCAACTTGCGGCGCTCGTTTTGGTACATTCTCTGCATGACGATCATTCCGGCGTTTTTCGTTTTGCGACTGGATGTCGAGAAAGGTAAACAGATGGTGAAAAGAACGAAACAAATACGCGAAGAAGACGAGGAACCAATCTGATGACGATGATGATGACATACACGTGTTGTGATGAGTCGTGATGATGATTACACTATTTATTTAATTTTATTTATTTCCTTCTCTCTCTCTCTCTCTCTCTCTCTCTCTCATCCCCCCTCTCTTAGACTCATCATCATCATCATCCAGTCTTCACTTTTCGTTCTTCGCTCTTTCGCTTTCGTCCATCAACGCCATGAGTTCGGATTCCGGCATCTCTTCCAACCTCTTTTGCATCACCGCCTCTTCGTAATCCTTCAACTGCTTCCCGTACGTCATGTCCTTATTAAAAACTCTCTGAATGTAACTCCCAACCCACAACAACGTGAGTAACATGACGAACGTCAACTGCACGACGTTCCCCGCCCACTGCGCGTCGAACCCGGCGAATTCTTGCAACCCGTAGTAGGCTGCAAACCCTAAACCAGTCACCCCCCCACCGATGAGCATGACGTCCAAGCGCGTGTACCCGAACGGAACGTCGTCGCCGTCGTCTCGAGTCGCTTTTACTCGATATCGTGCGTGTTGTTGTTTTTGTTGTTGTTGTTTTCTGTTTGGTACCACTAAAACTCGTGAAATGGTGGTCGTCGTCATTCTCGTCTTCGACGACGACGACGACGACAAAGTCGACGACGACGGGGAAGATCCGTCGTTTCCCAAGACCGCGTTCGTCGTCCTCGCGTTCCCGTTTGCCTTTCCTTTTCGTCCAGACGAAGACCTCCTCTGAGCGTGACGTAAAGAAAACGCAGGCGAAGAGGTGACCGAAAGCAACGCGCGCATCTTTATATCGTCGGGTCGCTCAAAAGTTCAAACGGTGTGTTCTTCTTCTTTCGCGCGCGCGCGAACGTTCTGACGTCAAACGCATCGCACGAACAGACGACGTTTGCGTTTCATAAAAGCGCGGGTCTTTCGCGAAAGAAGACGACGACGACGAAGTTGCGCGCAAAACACTCGCACAAACTTTATTTAAAGCGCGGCGTTGTCGCGTCTCTCGTCCTCTCTCTCTCTCGCGCGCGTCGTCGTTCTCTTCTCGAAAGCACATCTCGAAACGATGACGAGACGAAGGAACGTCGCGCGCTGCTTTTGCAAAACAACGTCGTCAAAGCGGCGCGTTTTCGTCGTCTTTTTCGTCGTCTTTTTCGTCGCCGCCTCCTACTCCTCCTCGTCGTTTTCGTCGTCGATCATCGCAAAAAGCTTTCACGAGAAGAAGAATCAAAACCGCTTCGGGAGCGCGCGACGGGGAGGACGCGATCTGTTGCTGAGAAGCGAGGATTTTCAGTTGGTAAAGACGAAGGAAAAGAAAGACGAAAAGAAGAAACTTTTGCCTCCTCTGTTTTCGCGAGCCGCCGCGCGTCTTCATCATCGGCGCGATGAAGAAGAAGAAGACAAAGAAGACAAAGAAGAAGGAAAGAAAATGTATACCGCGGGAACGAAACATTTGGAGGAGAAAGAACGCGCGTACGTCAACGCGATGGAACAGTTTCGAACGCGAGCGATGGATCGAGATCGGTTGACCGAGGTTGGTAAAGAGTACGAAGAAGAGGTGGAGAAGTTTGAGAAGGAGAATGATAGTAGTAGTAGTAGTAGTAGTAGTAGTAGTGGTAGTAACAACGACGACGGAACGGATGAGAAAACATCGTCGTCTGGATTGACCGTGTTCTTCGGCGTCGCCGGAGGCGAATCGAATTGCGAGTTTACGATGGATAAAGGAAGATGGATCGCGGATCGGTTAAAGGCGAAGAAACTGGTCATTCCAACCTGCGATCATTTGTTCCACTCCGACGCGGATGTTGACTTGTTAGATTACATGATTCCAGATACAGTGAATCATTGTAAAAAAGAAGAAAGTTCGAACACGTTTGAATTGGCGTCCTGGAATCACAACGTCAACACGCACGGCTTGTCTACTGCGGAACGATTTTTCGGCACGAACGACCACAATAATAACGGAGAGAACGTCGAAGAGAGCACGGAAAACGAGTCTAATCCGTCGCACCATCAACAGTTGGTCGCCAAGATTGAAGACGCGTCGCAAAAGAAAATCTTGTGCGTCCAAGTGGGCAACGGCGGATGCGATTGGGAAGGCAAGCAGTTTACGCCCAAGCTCGAATTCGACAGCGTCATCACCCAGGCTCAGTTGAATAAAGAGGAAATCGAAAGTAAAGGGTACGAGTACGTCTACGTCGCCGGCGTGTTCGATTGGCATCCTCAAGACGATAAAGTCAAAGAGTGGCCAGGCCTTTTCAAAATGTGCGATCCGCCTCAATACCAGGAGAAACTTTTCAACGAAGCGCGAGACTCGATCAAGAAATACAACGCGGACCACCCAATAGACCCGGAAAAAACCTTGTGCGCGCACTGGCGTCAAGAAGACTTCGTCGGTAAAGGTGACCCGTACGTCTACGACCCAGTCCAAGGCGCGAAAATCATGTCCGAAAAAGCTGAAGAACACGGCAACTTGAAGGACGTGTTAATCCTCACCAACGACCCCGTCGCCGACGAAGACAAGCAACGATTGGAGACGTTGAAATCTGAACTCCTCAGTCACGGGCTAACCCCACACACGGTCCATCACGACAAACTAAAGCACTCGCACGATGTTTTCGTCGACAAAGCCGCGTGCTTGTTAATGAAAGGTTTTATAGGCACCCGATCTTCTACGTTCAGTCAGAGCATCGCGGAGATGCACGCGTTGCGAGACAAGTATATTTAGAGAGGATTATTCAAAGAGATAGCAGCGGTGGCGAGTACTACCACCGCTACTCAAACGATTCGCGAGGAGGAGGAGGTGCGTCATCTCGCCGTTTATCTGTCACTCCGATCTGAGCGCGAGAGCGGAGAGAGAGAATGAGAGAATTTTTTAGCTAATTTTAAATATCCGCATTAACTCCGTACGGTAGTAAATCACTTAGAAGAGACCGACCTTTCCCTTTCTCTCTCTGCCTCTCTCTTCGATTCGAAGCACAATCCACCGAACGAGATAAACTCCTTTCGCGCGAGGATATAATAACATCTTCTCTCCGGCGTCGCTTTCTTCCGAGCGCGCACGCCAGCGCGCGCTTCTCGGCAAGTTTTTTTAAATCCAAAAATGGAATCGCGCGTAGTCATCGACTCGCGAGAAGGAGAACATCATCATCGCCATCAAAGCATCATCATCAACAACAACAACGTCGGGAACAGAAAAGGAGCGATATTGAACACCTTCATCGTTTTAGTCTTCATCGCGTGCGTTTTACTGTTTGAAGAGTTGGTCGCGGTTGGGTTAGTCGTGCGACGTCGAGTCGTTGTTGGTTTTCCTCTTTACGACACCGGAGAAGAGGTCGACCGGGAGGCGGAGGATGCGAATGTTTGGACGATGACGCCGGAATACGAGGAAGAAAAGCAGCGAGAGCAAACGTCGCCTGTGTTCATCACGTTTAGCGATATCGTCGGCGACGGCGTGTGCGCCGGGGTCGAGACGGCGCTGTTGCGCGGGATCGAGTTGAACGTCATCGGCGTAGCGGATACGAAGAGCGAAGGCGAGAAGAACGGTTTCGCTTTAGAGGAGTTCGCGAAAGTGAAAACGGTCAAGTCGAGAAAGATGTACGGTTTTTTGGAAGCGCTTACGGAGAAAGAGAAGCACTGGGAGGCGTTTGGGATCGCGAGCGGCGATACGATTGTGAACATCGCGGACGCGAGCGACGTCTTGTACTTTCAAGACGGCGCGACGATCATGGAAAAGTATAAGCAGATCGTTCGAGACGCGCCGGTGGATGAAAGTAGGAAACACACCATAGTTTTGATTGGTGCAGAAAGGAATTGTTGGCCGAGCATGGACGGAGAAAAAGAACTCATACCGGGCGGGAGAAAATATTGCGAGCAGTTTAAAGCGGTGTCCGGGAACTCGAGTTATCACTTTCTAAATAGCGGGAGTTTGATGGGCAGAGTGGACGCGGTGAAGGCATTGTTGAAAAGAGTTGAGTCTGTCATGGATGGAGGCAAGCAAAATGACGACGATCAGCAGTTGTTACAAATGCAATACGAGCGTCAGATTAAACAAAAGAGCGAAGGAGGGGGAAAAGAAGAAGACGCATTTACGATACTTCTCGACCACAAAGCGTCGATTTTCCAAACAGGTTGGGGGTCTCATCTCGCGAACGGCCGGTACGCCGCGCGCGATCCGAACGGCGCGTATTACAACGAGGCGAAGTGCGCCGTTGAAAATACGGAGCACAATAGCGAACCTTCGATAATTCACTTCAACGGAGGTAAAGTCGCGCTTTTCCCGGTCGCAAGAAAAAGCATCGAGTGCTTTTCTTCTTCTTCTTCTTCTTCTTCTTTCTCCTCCTCTTCTTCTTCGCTCAGAGAAGAAATAAAGTCGCGGTATCCTTGGTTCGAGATGCAGTGCGATAAATTTAGCAGCATAGGTAGGAGCAACTAGTAGTAGTAACATTATTTTTTATTTTCTAAATTAGTGTGATCGATTGCTTAGTCTACTAATGTCATCGCGTTTACGTACCGTTTGATCATCTGTCCCATGTACCGCACGCCGACGCTCTCGTCGAGCCATTGCGCCAAATCCTGTAAAGCCATCGCCGATTGTCGCACGTCTTCCAACTCTCCTTCTTTTCCGCCGAGGAGCTTGTCGTCGCGAAACGCCCTCGCTTCTGCCAGCACGTTTTCTGGATTTACCGTAAAGCTAAACTCGCCGTCCTCTAAACCTCTACTGAACCAATCGTTGAACACGTTTATGCGCAGCATCGCCGATCCGGCGCGAGCGATGACTAACTGCCTATTGAACGAATGCGAGTTGCCATCGATGTCTAAAAGCACTTTATTCTTCCCGAAATCGCCGTCTCCCATCCTTGGTTTCGCTAAGTCGTGAGCATGCGGAAATCCTTGTATGAAGTCCGTAAAGCCTACGTCAAACCCGGGTTCATTTATTAAATCTTTAATCACTCTGTTGCGCAAGTTGGTCTCCGGCGTCCTCGATCCCGTCGACGATCCTCTAAATTTAATATCGTTCGAACGTTCGTCCCAACTCGGATCCTTGCGAAGCTGAAACTGCTCCCACGACGAACGTTCCGTGGCGTTTAGTATCGATGAGACGCCTCCTTTATTTCTATCCGCATCTTTTGTGATGTAATTCTTGGCGTGCCTGAAATAATCCGGAAACGGAAACAGCAAGTCGTCGTGACATCCGTCCACCTTCGCCATGCTCCACACGACCACGCCATCTCCACTAAAAGAAAACGGCGACGTCCTTCTCTGGATTAACCCGTGCAAATTGGACAGTTGCTGCTGTTTCGGGCACTCACCCATCATCAAAGGCTCGTCGAAACAATTGATCAAAAACCACGTCTCCTTAAAATCGTCTTGGAGGTACTTTTGGCCAATATCCGCGACTTTATCGCGCATGAATTCGTGAAAGCCATTCGTGGACCACCACTGCGTCTGCCCTTCCAACCGAACCCATTCAAACACGCTTTTGCTAGGGTTATTAGTATTTCGCCGTAACGCGTATAACGCCAGCTTCCTAGAGTCTCTTCTCACCGCCGCGCGCATCCGCTCTCTCGAAAGTTTCTCGTTCTGCCCAAACTTCTCCACGTCTTGGAAATTCTTCTCGAAGAATCGATGAAAAAATCCGTCCCGGTCTTCGCCGCTCACAAAGTGCCTTCGCAACGAAGCCGAAGATATGGGAGGAGAAGATATAGGAGAAGAAATATTAGCACCAAGAGAAGAAGAAGAAGAATCTCGACGAGGTACCACCGCGCTCCTCCTACTCCGACTGCGATCCTCCGCGACGCTCGCGCCGCGTCCGCCGCTACCAAACGTTGTCATCTGCGCTCTCAGCGTCTTCCTCACCGCCAAAGTCTCCTCGTAAAACAACACGAAACATAAGAACGCCGCGACAAAGAAAAGTGTCCGAATCCAAGACTGAGCGCCGCCACCGCTCTCTTTCGTCGTCATCGTTAAAGGCGAAACGAACGCCTTTTTCGGTCGATGTTTCTCCGCGACGACGACCCCCAAAAGCACTTCTTCGTGCTCGTCATCTTCTTTTCCTTTTCCGAGGAGAAGACCGTTATCGTCGTCGTCGTCACCATCGCCGCCCTGCTCGGCGGCAGAAATCGTCGACGAACCCGCGAAAAGAAAGCGATGATGCATGTCTTCTCGTCGTTCGGGGGGAGCGACGAGAGCAAGAAGCGCGTTCAGAACGTGCGGTGCTTCTCTCTCGCCCCTCGAACACGAAAAGAGGCGCGCTCCTTTTCTCCAAATTCGCGTCAAAACAAGTCACCACAAGGCATCAGAAGTCACACTTTTGAGAGAAAAAGTCACAGACAGACGAAAAAAAGAACAATTTTTTAATCTTTACGCCCGGGAATACGCCTCAAAAACAGAACAAACAACAACACACAACAACAACAACAACAACAACAACAACAACAACAACACGGCTTGAAGAAGACGAGGACGAACCCACGGGACTCTGGCTTCTTCTCTCTTTGAGCGCATAAAGTAACACGTTCTCTTTCTTTTGGAGGCAGAGTGGTGGTGCGTTCTTCTTTCTTTCTGAGAATCGTCCAAAATCATCAATCATCACGCCGCGGGAGCGCGGCCTAACAATTTCTGAAAGGTCGCGCGCTCCTCCTCTTCCTTTTTTTCTCTCTCTCTCTCGCGCGCACGCGGTCGCATCGATCGAGACGACCTTCTCTCTTGCGTTGTTGTTGTTGTTGTTCTTCTTCTTCTTTGTCTTCTTCTTAATCGTCGTTGTTGATAGACGCAGCGGTGGATGGCTGAAGGAGAGGAACAAGAAGACAAAGAAGAAGAAGACAAAGAGAAGAGGGAAAAGAGAAAAGAAAGAGCCGCGAAGCGACGGGCGCCGACCGAAAAAAGAAAACGACCCCAAACGACGCGACGAATTTTTCATTTCTTGCTTTTGAACACGTGTGGTCGTCGCGCGCGAAAGAAGAATAGGATACCAACTCACGAGATGCATTTTTTTTCTTCTCTTCTTCTTTTTCAAAAACAAACGAAAAAACAGAAAAACAGAAAACAAAAAAACAGAGGGGCGGGCGAAGAAGACAAAAAAACAAGAAAAAAGAACAGACAGACAGAGAGAAGCACAGAGCGAAGAAGAGGAGCGTGGCTGAAAAAAAAAAGAAGTTTGCCGAACGGCGGGAAGCGTGCTTGCGTGGAGGAAAAGAAGAAAAACTCCTCCGCTCTGCTCCACAACGCAGGGCACAAACGCGCGAGACACCGGCAAACGATAACTTTCTTCAGTTCTTCAGTTCTTCAGTTCTTCTTCAGTTCTTCTTCAGTTCTTCTTCTTCTTTCAAAAAGGTGCGTTTATATTGTTTGGTGTATCTCTCGTTTTCTTTGTGTTTTTTTCGTTATCGACGAGAGATGGGAAATTGGAGGTGTCTCGATCAATCGCGCGGACGTTCTTGCCCACTCCACGGATTTCTCTCTCTCTCTCATTCCGATTGGGGAGACGACTTTTACGCGCGCGCGCGCGCGCGCGCGATATGCATAGACACATACATCGATTCGATTCGATGTGTGCGTTTGATTTTAACAAATCCGCTCTTGAGCTCTCCTTCCTCGTCGTCGCGCGCGGTTTTGTTTTTTCTTGGGTCTCCTGCTGTCTCTCCTCTCTCTCTCTCTCTCTTTCGGCGAGGCGAGCTTACGCTCGCGCGGCGGGCAGATATAGCGAGAAGGCGAAGTTGAACAAGGAGGAGAAGAAGAAGAAGAAGAAGAAGAACGACGACGATGACTCGAAAGAAGAGTGATCGAGAAAAAGAAAGGCTCTCTTGTATCTCTGTCCCTCACGCCTCTCGTCTCTCCTCTTTCGTCTCTTGTTCCGGTCTCTCGTCTCCAGTCTCTCGTCTCTCCTCAAACGATCGAACAGACGATAGTCGCTGACTCCGTTACTTTCTTTCCTCCACCGCAGGTCCCTCCGATATCGAAAGAGAGGCACACACAGCGACAAAAATCTTACTAAAAAAAAATCGAGAACAGAGAGAGCGCGCCTGCCTCTGTCTGTGTCTGAGACACGACTGTAGCGGGAGACGATGAATGTTCCGAGGAATGTTTTAATGACCAAAACCACGAAGAAGCGCGCGAGGAGGAGCACGACACTTCTGTTTGCTCTGTTCTTTTTCGTGTTGTTGGGCGCGTTGACGCGCGTGTGCGATGGCGCCGGGTATTACGCGTACGATAAAAGAAGGCACAATAACAACAACCAAAAAGTCTATTGCTACAATGGTCATAACCACCAGGATACGAACGACCCGCGCGATTGTTTTGATACTTGCACTTCATGCAACAGTTGTTACACTTTTGTTTACTCGGAATCTACCAATGAGTGTCAGTTTCTAAACCATCAGTCCCTTAGTAAAATGTTAGAAGATTCTAATTATGAGTGGTATATTCCCATCGTAAATGAATATAATGGATTGACTGACGATGACTTTGCGACGCACGTCGCCGGTTGTCTCGCTGAAGCGCCGGAGGACGGTTTATGTAAACAGTACGGCGGTCGTGGTTTCAGTAATTACGAAGGTTTCTCAATCGGCTCGATGCCGGACTGGGACGTTTCCGACGTGACTGATATGTCGGAAGCGTTCATGGGTAAAACTACCTTCAACGCGGATCTCTCGAACTGGGACGTTTCGAGCGTTACGGATATGAAAAGAATGTTTTATGGAGCGACGATTTCTAATCCGTCGATTTTCAATCAAAATATCGGAAGTTGGGACGTTTCAAAAGTTGAGAACATGAACAGAATGTTTTATAATGCCAAGGCTTTCAATCAAAATATCGGAAGTTGGAACGTTTCGAGCGTTACGGATATGGCCATAATGTCTTTCAAGCTTTAGATTTCAATGCAGACATCTCGGGGTGGGACGTTTCGAGCGTTACGGATATGGAAAAGATGTTTAAGCAAGCTACCTCTTTCAATCACTTCGTCGGTGGTTGGACCGAGAAAGAAGGTTTAACGACTCCGCAAATCTTTAATGGCGCTACCGCTTTTTTGGCAAAGTATACCTCTGCCTCGTGTGGCATCAGCGCAAAACCGAGCGAGTGTCGCGTTCCTTTGACAGATGCTACTTTCTCGAGTGCCATTACAGCTTGTCTTAACGAATCTCCCACAGCAGGAGAGTGCACAGAGTACGCAATTTCTTCCGGGTACGGCGTGATGCCGTATTGGGACGTTTCGAAGGTGACTGATATGGAGGACGCGTTCAAGGATAAAGGTGCCTTCAACGCGGATCTCTCGAAGTGGGACGTTTCGAGCGTTACGGATATGAACAGAATGTTTAAGAATGCTGAAGATTTCAATCAAGACATCTCGAATTGGAACGTTGCGAGCGTTACGGATATGAACAGAATGTTCTTTAATGCTGAAGATTTCAATCAAGTCCTCTCGAATTGGAACGTTGCGAGCGTTACGGATATGTACGGAATGTTTGAGGAAGCTATCGCTTTCAATACAGGCATCTCGGGGTGGGATGTTTCTCAAGTCGAAACTATGGAAGAGATGTTTAATGGAGCCTCGAGTTTCAATCAAGACGTTTCGGACTGGTCAGTCAGCGTGTCTGCGACGACAACCAACATGTTCACAGGTTCAGCTTTTGTAACCTCGAGAAGCGACCTCGCGGTGACTGTTTCCAACGACGGCGCGACGACGTCGGACGAAGAATTCGCGCTCGGCGTTTCGGTGTCCGCAACCGCGTGCTCTTCTTCGTGTGATTTATCCGAAGGCGGAACGTCAACCGACGATGTTCGCGCTGAAGGCGGCTTGTATTGCGATGTGACTGTGAAAACAACGGGCTCGACTTGCTCGAGTCCGACGACTTTGGGTACCGTCATGTGCATGAGTTGGCCCAATTTCTACAATCACGATAAAGCGTCGGCGTACAAATACGCGCTCACGACAACTAATAGCGGTGGTAGTGTGATTGAAGGAGATTACACAGTCAATTACGCGTGTGAATGGAAATTCAAAGGCACGAGCACAGCCCCTGGCGCTTCTATGAATATCGCCACCGTTCAGGGAACGGGAGCGGCTGCGTTTAAGGTTGCTGAAGGTTGCTCGGATACCTTACCGACTGCGCTGTCGACTATCTCGCTTCCTGATCTTTTCGTTCTGTCCGTTCCAGAATTCCTGGCTGTCACGGATAGCGACGACTGCGACAACGTCGAAACGATCTTAGAGACTGCTTTTCGCAAGTACGACACGAGTCCCCTCGATGGCACGCTTCATGCGAGCGAATGGGAAACGGCATTTTTGCAACACGACGTCAGCACGACGTACGTGAAATCTAAATATAACAGTGATTCGTTTGATTCGTTCACGCTGAGTCAAGTCATCAACAGCGCGATGCTTCCACGAGTTTGCAAGACCGGGATTAGTAGCGCTGACGTGTATTTCGATTACATCACGTATCCAGATAAGAATACTGACGTGGATTCTGGTTCTGCAGAGTTGAATTCGTGCAACGACGCGACGGAAAAACTCACCGTCACACTTGGTTTCGGTCGTGCACCGACAGCCTCAGATGCCGTGTGCGTGTATTCGGACGGCTACTTGTTTAAGGATTACGAGAGCGAGGCCTTCTCTTCTAAGACTTTTGAAGATAAGCGCCCTTCGATGAGAACCGGCGACGACGCCATCGAATTGGTTGGTCACTTTACCTTTGACGACGACAATATTTTTGAAGGGTACGAGACTGTCGGATGCGATCCGGGTGGTCAGTGTTTGAAAACAACCGCGAATTCTGATGGATACACGTGGAATGATTCTGATAGCAGCGCGATCTCAATCGGAGGCGAGAGCGCGATTATGACGTGGATTCACTTCGCTTCTTCGAGAAGTGAAGACGACGTCATTTACTACTCGGAGGTCACTCCTTCTGGCACATCATGCACGCGCAAAGTTTACTTTACTGTAACTAGCTCATATACACTTAAAGCGGGTTACGAATGTGGATCTACGTCAAACGAAGTTTCGTACGATTTGACTTCATCAAGTGAGAAAAGCCAAGGATGGCACCACGTCGCGATGATTTCCGAGTACAATAATCTCGCCGTATATTTTGATGGCGCACAAAAGGCGACGGTTGGATCTTCGACTTGGGATGGTCATAAATTGGAGCAAGAAGGACTCAACGTGGCGGGAAAAACGCTTTTCAACTCTCCGTACGTTCCGGATTACGTCTACGATGATTTTCGCGCGTACACCGGTGTTCTCACCGCGCTGCACGTGCAATCCATCTACGAGCTCGGAAGGGAAGTCAGATCGGCGAATCTCGCGGAAGCGAAGCCGCAATCGCGACGCACGTTTTGTGTCATTGCGAAATACGGCAGCGTTCAAAGCGCCTACACGCCGTGTGCGACTGGGTTGTTTTACAACGGCTTGGTGATTGATTTATTGACGTCGATTGAGACGACCGGTGTCGTCTTCCAGTTCAGAGACACGGCTCTCGACGAGATTGGCTACGAAGTTCTCCGTCGCGAGAGCGGATCGACGTCGAGCTACGACGTCGTTCTTTTCATCGATAGCGGCATGAGTGGATGCTCGTACACGTACAACATGCTTTCTTTCTACGACGCCGACGCGGCAAAAGAGCCCGGGGTGACGTGGGAATACGCTATTCGAACGAAGTACGACGCTTCGACACATTCGGATGTCATTTCAGACGCCTACACGTACGTCGTGCCTTGGTACGGCACCGTGGATGGCACTGTTGTCGCTGGAGATACAGAAGTTCCCGTGGCCGACGTGCGCGTGTGCGCGCGACTGGATTCAAGCACGACGTCTGCTACCGATCTTCTCGAGCTCGGTAGTAAAGTACCTTCAAGCGAGAGCTCACACATGGCAAAAAACCGGTACGTGACGCATTCCGCCGAGACGCTGAGTGCGTTTGAGGCTACTGATTTCGATGCGAGCACATCCGTGTCTTTGAATCACGGCGAGCACCTTAACGTAAATCTGGACGTGTTTGCTTCAGTTACTGAGATTAAATTGAGTTTTTGGACTACGTCAACGCCGCTCTCGAGCTCGATTGTTGCTCGTGTGCTCGACTTTGACGATCCAGACGACAACGGAGATCGTGGGCTACGATGTATTTCCTCGTCGCTTACGTCTCTCGGAGCGACCGAAAATTTTGAAATCGACGAAGATGGGTATATCCTCGTCTTCAGACACGACAGTTCCACCGGTGAATACTTTTCAAATGCGAACTCTTGGGCCGAAGCCAAACGCACCGGCGATTCTTCTGCAGATCACAAGTATTCTCGTCTCGACGAAGTAGAAGCGTACGGTAAATCCGACGACGGTTATTACGAATTCAAGATCGTATATCCGTCAATCAGCGGAGGGACGAATATCTGGACGCAAACGTCCAATCCGGTCACTGCAACGAGTCAAGGAGTTAATGGATACGAAGATACGTCGATTGGAGCGCCGGGTAGTTGGGGTTTCCGCGGCTTGGAGTATAACAACGGAGGTTCAAGCTTTCTCGATGGTTCTATCGATAGTGGCAGTTGGTGGTTTTCCATTGGAGCGAAACAAGCACATAGTGGCGGTATTCCGGGACCAACGGGTACGGTAGTGTCCGAGGTGAAGCTTTACGTGAAAGCACACCACTCTCCCACCCCAAATTACGAACAAACGTACTCGTGCGTAGGTACGCACGTGACGGCGTTTCCAGGTCAACACGTGACAATTCTGAACGATTTGGGCAGCAGCGTCTCGATTTTCGAAATCGAAGTCACCGGTGACGAGTTGGCGTGTCCGTACTACGGCTTTAGCGACGACGACGGGAATTTCGAGATTGAGATACACGAAGCGACCGGAGTTTCGCAAAAGAAGACAAAAGTCGCGGTTCGCGCTTTCAAAACGGACGTGTTTGACCCAGAAGACGTGTCTGTGTTCACGCCGATGAAAGAAGGAAGTGACAATTTAATCACGATAAAATCGCCCGAAGCGGTTTTGATCGCGCTCGAATACGATGATACTACTGATTCAAGTGGCTCGTCGTCTTCTTCCACACCCGCTGCGTCATTTTCTGCGCTTGGAAACTCTCAGAGTGCGAAATCATTTTCTAAAAATGCCGAACATTCAGGTCAAGTCAAAAACGAAAATGTTGCGTCTCTCGGAGCGACCGAAAATTTTGAAATCGACGAAGATGGGTATATCCTCGTCTTCAGACACGACAGTTCCAACGGTGACTACTTTTCAAATGCGGACTCTTGGGCCGAAGCCAAACACACCGGCGATTCTTCTGCAGATTACAAGTATTCTCGTCTCGACGAAGTAGAAGCGTACGGTAAATCCGACGACGGTTATTACGAATTCAAGATCGTATATCCGTCAATCAGCGGAGGGACGAATATCTGGACGCAAACGTCCAATCCGGTCACTGCAACGAGTCGAGGAGTTAATGGATACGAAGGTACGTCGATTGGAGCGCCGGGTAGTTGGGGTTTCCGCGGCTTGGAGTATAACAACGGAGGTTCAAGCTTTCTCGATGGTTCTATCGATAGTGGCAGTTGGTGGTTTTCCATTGGAGCGAAACAAGCACATAGTGGCGGTATTCCGGGACCAACGGATACGGTAGTGTCCGAGGTGAAGCTTTACGTGAAAGCACACCTGAGCCCTCCTACACCCCCTCCTTCACCATCGCCTCCACCAATATTTTTGACGAATATGCTCGAGGATACGGGTGCGACGATTTACGCGAGCGACGCAGTCGCCGGCGATAATTTTGGGAGAGGTGTATCGCTTTACGGCGATACTGCGTTAATTGGAGCTTGGAAAGATGACGACCAAGGTGGTGGAAGTGGTTCGGTGTATGTGTTTACGCGATCGGGTGGAACGTGGAACGAAGAAACGAAAATATATCCATTGGATCCGTCTGCATCGAAGTATTTCGGAACTTCCGTTTCGTTATATGTCGACACAGCTCTGATTGGAAGGTCGTACGATAATGCTAAGGGTACCGAAGCCGGCGCGGTGTACGTCTTTACAAAAGTCAGTTCGACATCTTGGACGCAAGAGACGAAATTGTACGCGTCGGACGCAGCTACCTACGACCATTTCGGTACGTCAGTCTCACTTCATAAAGACACGGCGTTGATTGGAGCGCTATCGGACGATGATAAAGGCACCAACGCAGGATCCGTTTACGTCTTTTCTCGAACGACGACGACGTGGACGCAACAGACAAAACTGTACGCGTCCAACCCATCCACGTCTTCTTGGGGTAACTTTGGCAATAGCGTTTCTTTGCACGGAGATACCGCAATGGTGGGGAGTTATGAGGATGATCCAGAGTTGAATGCAGGTGCAGTATACGTGTTCGCGCGATCACTCGCATCGGACGGAGTTACCGTTTCTTGGACTGAAGAGACGAAGCTTTACGCTTCAGACGGGGCGACTGGTAACCAATTCGGCAAGGCGATATCGTTACACGGCGATACCGCTCTCATTACTGTTAATACCGGTGCGGTGTACATTTTTACGCGATCATATGGATCGGATGGAATCAACACTGTTTCTTGGAATGAAGAGACGAAGATTGACGCGTCCGCTAATGACGATACCGGTACTTCGGTATCGTTATACGGCGATACCGCTCTTATTGGAGCTACTTCGAATGACGATAAAGCGACCAATGCGGGCAAAGTGTACGTATTCCGCTCACCGAGTCCTCCTCCGAGTCCTCCTCCGAGTCCGCCTCCGAGTCCGCCTCCGCCACCATCGCCGCCGCCGAGTCCACCACCGGCGGAATTCGTGGACGCCAACGACGACAAGAGCTCACACGTATCCAAGGAAGAATTTATCGCGTACGCTCAAACGAGGATGGAATATTCAGACGCATTCGTTATTCTCCCTGACGACGTTTGGAATTCATTCGACGAGGACGGCGACGACAGTCTTTCCGTGACTGAATTCATGAGCGCGGTTTCGGCGTTTGATGACGGTAAAATTGAAGGCACGCCGTGGTTGGTGTATTCGCTTCAAGAAACTGAATACTTGACGGATTTTTATGTGAACGATGAGTCATCGAGTTCGAGTAATGACGAGTATCCCGCCATCGCGCTCGCTCCGAACGCGGACACCACCATGCCAATAACAAATACCGCGTGGCAAACTTGGTACGAAGATGTGATGACGAATTCTTCTTTTTCCTTCGCTTCTCCGAGTAATTACACAGAAAGCGGCGGACCGGTAACCATGGGTGTCACCGATGCTCCCGAAACGGCATCTGCTTTCATTCCTCTCGTCGCGCGAACCTCTGCAAACGCGGTGCAAATCGTGTTCAATAAAGACGCAGAATCTACAAAAACGTCCGGATTCGATGCTCTTCTTTCGACGTATTTTCCGTCGTCGTCGGCTAATCTGACTGTCCGCGCGACTGAACAAATCGACGACGTCGTGCACGTTTTTGAAGTTACCGACCAAGGTAACGATACTCCACAATCCGAAAAGAAATACCCCATCAAACACCTCGGTAGCGCCGGCGATGAAATCAAAGATAACACCGTCGTGACAATTTCCGGAATCGTTCGTTTTCCTGGAAGCAGAACGCAAGATGTCGTCTGCGGTCTTCCATTCGCCACCATCAAGGCGTACAAAAAAATTTGCTCGTTGAAAGGAGAGTGCGATTACGAGGAAGCCACGGAGTACACGGCGGACTCGCTCGGTTACTTTCAAGTTTCGGTGACACCTGGCGAGTCTGTTTTATTCGCCGCGAGTTATGACACGCACGATCTTTGCTACGCCGGAACTTCGTTAGAAGACGAGTGCGACGAGACCGGAGACGCTCTCACGTTGAGTCTGACGAGCTCCACCACGGAAGATGTGAGCGCGTACGTCGAGCTCGATGCAATCGTCGGCGGAGAATACATGGTGTTTTATGATTTCACCGCGCGCACGGTCGACGTGGGTTTATACGCCGGCGCGTGTGGCACATCGTATTCAAATTACGAGATGTTGATTACGCCCGCGAACGGGTGCGGCGCGGCTGTCACGGTCTCTCACACGGATATCAACGGATGGACGAGAGAAGACGCGAGCGATTCGACGCCAAACGTGAGGTATTGGCCGTACGCGGCGATGGATTATTACATTCAACTCGACGATGCTCCGACTCTCGAGGATACGAAATTGAACGGCAAGGAAGGTGCGACGTGCACCGCTTCAGGCTCGGATATTCTGTCGTATTTCCGCGACAGAGATTTGCTCGTGCGCACGCTCGGATTCCTCGTCAGCGCATACGAAACGGCCGCGTATGAATTTCACGGCATGCTGTGCGCTCTTCCCACAATTAGTGATTCTGCGGATGATTTTACTTCATCGAATACGTTCGCCTCTATTGCGGATGGCGAAACGTGCGTGAATGATGACAGCGATGACGCTGCCTCAAAGTTGGAATCATACCATCTCATAGGTTCATCAACTTCATCCTCAGGTATTTCGGGAAAAAAATACGTCAAGTTGGAAATATTTGAGGCTCATTCCACGGATACCAACACGATCGAGTACTGCTCGACGTTTTCGTCAACCTCAAACGCCGACTTGAGCGTTTCGATTCAAGTCACGAATGACGTGCTCACCGAAGATCCGTGCCACTCGACGAAAGTTGCCGGCTCGGAGTGTTACCTCGACACCGTCGACGCCGATACTGGCTACGTTCAATTTGGTGAGGGCACTCCTTCTACTTGTTCTTATAAAAGCAAGCAATTGTTAAAAAAACTCTCTGATAATCCGGCCTACTGCGTCGGCGACGGGTCTTTGTCGAACGAGATGACGTATACGAGTGATGCGAGCGAATGTAAAGACGTTTGCACGTCCTGCGACGATTGCGAAGCGTACGGCGTGAAAAGCAGCGACAAAACGTGCAGATTCTTTACATCGACGGGTTCATCCGAATGGAATTGGAACTGGTACTATCGCGAGAAGAAGACGTGTACCAGTAGTACGGATGCTACCATGTATTACGAAATAACGTCGGAGGATGCTAAACCAAATCTCATCTCGCCGTATCGACGCACCGTCGCGTTCAAAGTCGTTCGCGACGACGGCTGGTCGACCACGACGACTTCCGTCGACCGCGAACTCGTGACTTTACGCTCAAAAGTCCGGGGCGAAAGTTCGGAGTACGCGAGCAGATACGTCAGCCAGACGACGTTCTTCGCGACGGCGCCAATCAGAGGTCTCGTCTATTCAGTCGTGCACGATCCGCCTGGCGGTAACTCGTACGCATCCATCGCAAAGGGAACCGCGGTAAACACGGTAGTCGAGCTCAACAAGGCGTACAGCGGCAGCGTCGGGGAAGGTTGGTCGACTAACGGCGGTTGGGGTGCGAGTATGGATGTAAAAACGAACAGTGAAGCTATGATCTCTGGTTTCGGACCAATTATTGGCGGAGCCATCGAAATTGATACTGGAAACACGGGGGGGGGGGGGACGAGACGGTTGTTGAGTTTAGGTGCTGTTCGTGCAGCAAGTACTTTAAAAGCACGTGCTCGTGCAGCAGGTGCGCGAAATGGGGAAGAAGGAGGAACAGGAGCAGTTAAAGCAAGTTCAAGAGAAACGACCATAGGATTCAGCGCAGGTCTCGAGGGCGGAGATGAAGAGAGCGGACCGAGCGTCTCCGTGTCGACGTCGACGGGAGACGGATGGAGTCTCGATATGACTTTGGATAGGAATATGGAATCTTCGCAAGATCCCGGCATACCGGGACGCCCGGGAGATGTCATTCTTGGCGGAGGTTTTGAAATCGTGTACGTGCGCACGGACACGCTCGATCTTAACATTACATCATGCCTAACAATTCTCGAACAAATCACTTGGTTTCCGAGGCAACCGACGAGTTACTTCGTCAACGTGTTTACGGTTGAAGACAAAATCATACCCGAGCTACAAGATTTGAAAGAGACGCTCGGTGACACTTCGACTACTGTTGATGAGGTATGGCCCCCTTACCCACCTCCATCATCTCCATCACCTCCTTCCCCCTTAGATGCAAGCGACGCAGTAGATATCGAACTAGCTAGTCAAGGGTTTTCCGATCCCGCAATCAAAGAGATTTGGATCCACCGCTTGAGCACCGCGATCGAGGATTGGGAAAACACGCTCGCGTGGGCTTCTCCAGACTTCAATCCCGCGAGCGCGACGGATGAGGCATTGAAAGCGACCGCGTACGATGACGCGGAGACTGAGTTGCAATCTTCGCCCTACATGCCGTTGACGTCTACTGAAAGCGTGTTCAGTAAAGCTTTTACTGGTCAAGATACGCAGATCGATCCGGACGAGTTTGATACCGATTTTAAAGACAACGCTTGGGGAGATGATTTAGAGACGGAGTGGAACGAGCTCCCAAATAAACTGTCCGGTTATGGCATGCTCCATGATTTCGCGGACGACCACAGCATTTTTCATCACGATGATGAAAGGGGAAAGTTTGAAAAATTAGTTGATATATCGTTACCTGCATCCAAGGACTGGCTCTCGTCTACGAAACCACTGTACGACGATACGTTTTCGGGAACGAAAGCAACCGTACTCAAGTCGGCGAGCGAAGAAAACACAATATTCAGCCGGGGTATGAGCGCTGAAGCGACGAGTGCAGCCACAGCAGCCGATGCGATCTTCGGAATTGACTCCAATGACCCTAATTACGGTACGACTGAGCTCTTGGACGCTTCTGTCTACGGACATCCAGGAAGATTCAAGTTTGATTCAGATTCAGAATCCTTTACTGCAACCGATGGGACGACGGAGTATACCGATCCGTTTGGTACTCCAAATTTTGGAACAAGTGATATCGAGTCGGATATCCGTCTCACGTTCACCGGAGGTGGACACGCGCTCGAATTTTCGACTTCAATTTCGCAAGAAATCGACGGCGCCTCCTGGGGTTGGGCTTTGAGTGTTTCGGACGAGAAATCGCACTCTACCAGCGCCAGTGTTGGCATTGCCGCGTTCAGCATAGGTGCAGGAAATAGCGTGTCCCAGGGCGAAGGTATTGATATAGATCGCTTGTTTGCGTGGAATAAATTCGGCGTCATGGAGACGAGTTACTCGCTCGGCGACCCAGATCACGGCGATAAGTTCGTGGTGCAAGTCAAACACGACAATCGGTTCGGTACGCCAATCTTTCAAACCATCGGCGGCTCCACGAAGTGTCCGGGAGAGCCGAACACCATGTGGAGAGAAAATGGAGTATCGATAGTAAACGTCATGGCTGCTTCGGGTGTGGATGCCTCGCACATTCCACCGCATTCCGATGCACTTTTTGACATCGTCATTGAAAACCAAACGCCGTACCGAGAGAGTGCGGCGTTTGGTTTAATCGTCGTCGCCGACGACGCGTATTCCGGGGACGTCGGCGGGAACGCGAATGATTTGACTTTTAAAGTGAACGGGAACACTCTGCCTGCGTTTGGCGGTATGTACGCCCTGAATGATATTCCATCCGTCGACGACAGCGACGCGCTGGTGCACTCCGTGATGACTCTTCGCGTGACGAAAGGCGCGGATTCGCATTCCTACTCTCACCTGAGTGTAGAGCTCGTCAGCGAGTGCGAATTTAATATCGGTTCGCTCTATCGCGATCCCATCAGCTCGACGGCAGCCTTGGATGGTACCGGTACCATAACGTGGGAGCGCGTGTGTCCTCCGGTGACTTGGACGAAAACCACGTGGGACAACTACGCGGAACACACAGTCTCCTCGACATCGTCGGAATACTTCAACGTGACGGTGACGAACCCGGACCCGATGAACTTGTGGACGGCTGATGAAATCGCCGGCGACACGTCCGGAACGAATCATTTGGTACATCCTAACGTCGATCTCGTGAGAATCCAGTTTCGTCGACCGGGCGTTGGCGAGTGGATCAACGCTTGGGAACCGGGAACGTGGAATGAAGAGGATTCAGGGGAGACAGACGAGGATGACAAACCCATAATCATCAAGTTTTGGACCGCGTTTAATCCTGACTCGGATGTTTTGGAAAAACCGAGCGATATCTTTGATTACGTCATTAAAGACGTCGATCTCGTCTCGTGCTCGACGTCTCGCGGAGCCGGGTGTTCGCAAAAGTGGAACTTGAATCGTCAGTACTTTTTGAACGGCTTGAAAGAAGGCTCTTGGGAAATCAGAGCGAAGGTGTTTTGCTCCGGGTACGATGCCTTCGCCACGTCTGAAGTGAGAGGGTCGGTGACGGACGATAATTTGAATCTCATCGCAGACACGAAAGCACCACGACCGACTGCCAGAGAAGTATACGAGAACATGGTTTTCGTTGACTTTTCCGAGCCGATAACCTGCCCGTTGTTATCGAGCTCGGACATGGCATACTCCGTGACGAGAACGAACGATTGCGACGGGAACGCCGTGGACTCTAACGAAGCCATAAACGCGGTCAGCGACAACTATTTGGTATCCCATTACGATTTTGAATGTCTCACGCAAGATGCCAACGGTCGAAACGCTTGGATGATGACCGTACCAATCTCATCGAACGCGTTGGCTGGTAAATACACCGTGACGATAAAAAGTGGTCACGTGACCGACGACGGAATGAACGCGGCATCCGAGCACACGTTCACGGAGGAAATAATGTGCGACTCGTCGAGCGCGAGCGCAGCGTTATTGGGAAGCACAACAACAAAGAAAGTATCCGATGTAAATGCGAGCTCAAGTAAACTTGGCAGCGCTCATTTTCCGTTGAAACGCTTTGGGAACATCCCGATGAGCGCTTACGCCGCCGCATTTTTGGCAACGCTTTTGTGCGGCGCCGCGATGGTATTCAAGAAAGCGACGAAAGGCAACGAAAACGATTCGGCGAAGGAAAGCGCCGGATTCGCTGAACTCGAAGTTTTAGAGCCTCTCGGTTCGGCGGAATATCCGCGAAACGATTACGGCACATCCGGAGAAGGAGTGTTGTGAACGCTTGGACAATAAATTTCTTTTAAAGTGCGCAAAAGTTGTATATAAAAATAGCCATCGAAGGTAAGGTACCAGTACTGGTTTACGGGTTTATAGAGTATCTTCGTAGCATGTACATGTTAAAAATAATAAGAGAAATGAAAAAAAACACTGAGTTGTCGCGAGAACGTCGTTCAGCCGTTCAACTGCAACATCGTGCAACTGCAACATCCTCCGCCTGGTTCTGCGTGGCGATCTTCGTCCTCCTCGGGCTCGTCGTCGCCTCCTTTTTCTGTTTTCTTCGCCTTCTCTCGTTCTTTTTTAATTAAGAATTTGATTTTTAGAATAATTACACCATTCTGTCTTTCGTCTTTGTAATGAAACAATTTACACAACAAATTACACCATTTCACACGAACCACAACTCATAACTTTCTGGAAACAAAAGCGCGAGGAAAAGAGAGAGAGAGAACGTTACCTTTGATATTCGGCGATTAATAATAATATTATTATTGAACTCCAAAATACGTACAAAATAAGAGATGTTTGTTGCACTTGTTGATGTTTGAATAACGAGAGAGAACGACGACGAGCAAACAACACGATGACGACGTTCAACAACAACGGCGTAACGACTTCTCTCAAGGATAAAAATCTGTTGAGATTTTTCCTTCTCGGCGTCGGGACTTTACTCCCGTTCAACGTGTTCATCACCGCGAAGAAGTATTTTGACGTGACTTTACTCAGACACGATGGTGGGGATGCCGCCGCGGCTGCGAGAAATGGCGAAGGATGGTTTACGTTTACGAAAGATTCGTTTGAAAATGCGTTTAGTTTTTCGTACACGATGGCAAACTTGGCGACGTTAATCGCGATGAATAGGATGCGGGTGTTTGATGCGGGCAGAAGAAAGGATGATGATCCAAGAAGAAGAAGAGAAGAAGATGTGAATGAGAAGAGTAAATTATACGACCGATTGACGACGTATCCACTCTTGGCGTGCGCTGTATGTTTCTTCGCGACGGCGTTACTGGCGTTGGATGAACACATAAAAGGTACATTTGTCGTCTCTTTCGCGACATTTAATTTAGTTTTGTTCGGTATTTTCACTGGTTTGGTGCAGTCCGGATCGTTTGCATTAGCCGCGACGCGAGAGAGAAAGTTTTCCACGTCGGTGGTGAGTGGGCAAGCGTTGAGCGGGGTGCTCGCGAGTTTCGTGGCGTTGACGTGTAGCGGGTTTAATTTCGCGGCTTTGTATTTTGGTTTGAGCGGATTGGCGTGTTTACTGTGCGCGAAAGGCGGGAGAGAGTTAGTCTTGGAGATGAAAAAGGAAAATATGACGTCAAATATGGGCGACGATAGTATTAATAGTGGGAACATTAGCACGCAGCAATACGCTCCAGTCGCGATACTCGAGGAGGACAAGGAGGAGGAGAAGAAGAAGAAGAAGAAGAAGGAATCGAATAATGCATTGTCTGAGAACGACTTGGAATTCAACGTCGAAGACGAAAGGTCAAACGCGCGACTCATGGGCGCTTCTACGATGTCGTCTTCTTCGAACGCAACAACAGAAGCGTCGGAAGGTACCGAAGGCGCCGCCGATGAGCCGCCGATTAAAAAAGAGACGTGGCTCTTTCGGTTCGCCGTGTTTCTCACGTTTACAGTCACGCTCACCGCGTTTCCCGCAATCACTTCGTCCATAGTCACTCGCGCGGAAATGAATAACAACAGCGGTAGCGATGATAGTAACGGTGCATCCACCGACGGCGACTACTGGACCTCCTTCCTCTTCCTCCTCTTCAATCTCGGCGACCTCGCCGGACGCGTTTTTGAAGGTTCCTCGTACGCTCACAGTCGAGGGCTACAAAACGTCACCGGCCAAGTCGCGTTCCGTCGAAGTCTGTATCGAATAGTATTCGTTCCTTTGCTCGCTTCGTGCAACGTGAATCGATCCGGCTGGCGCATCCCTCGAGTCTTCTCCTTCGACTCGTTTCCAATCCTCTTTGTATTCTTATTAGGATTCACCAACGGTTTCAACGCCGCATGCAGCATGGCGCTAGGACCGCAAACGCTCTCTTCTGACCACCATTCGCCGCACTCAGACGAAATCGAAAACGAAGACATTGAAATAGAAAACCCACCGTCGTTGGTGTCCTCCTCTTTGACGACAGAAAGGACGAACGAGGACGAAGAAAAAGAAGATGTCGCGAAAAGCGAAGAAGGCGCGTTTCTCGGCACCATGCTCTCCGCTGGAATCGCCTTCGGAAGCGTCGTCAGTGTACTCGTCTGCGGGATTTTCACGAGTGGTGGGTATTTGTAAAACAGAAAGAACTTGAACATAAAGTTGTGTACTATTACTACTCATCTCCGTATTAGTATTTTCTGTTCTTTTTTCTCTCTTTTTCTTCTCATAAAAACAGCCGCCAAGCCGCCAAAAATTCCTCTCAGGAACTTCGTTTACCCGAGCGTTTTCTCCAAACATACATCCAAAGAAACAAAGAAGAAGAACGCAGAGAGAGAGAGGTATAAAGATGGGATTCAACAACAAGAAGCGCAAGTCAAACCCGAGCGATGGTAATAACAACAACAAAAGAATCCAAAAGCGAGACTTTAAGAAATCCAATCGCTCAAATTCGTGGGACAAAGAACCCAAAGGGAAACGACCGGCAAGAGGAGGAGGCAAAAAGAACAACGGCGAAGGGAAATACGGCGCGACTGAATACGTCCGCGAAAACGAGCACTTCGAAGCGTACTACTCGGCGCAAAAGATATGCTCGTCCGACGAGGATTTTGCAAACTTGATGCGCGTTTTGAAAACGGATTTACCGAGCAGTTTTAGAATCAACGGGGTTGGGAACTTTGCCGCGCGGATCAAGCAACGAGTGAAAAACGAGTTCGCGACGTTATCCGGAGCAGGGTTGGAAGATATTAAACCACCGAAAGCGGTGGAGTGGTATCCAGACTCTGGGGCGTGGCAATTTAGTTACTCCAGGTTACAGTTACGATCCGTGCCACAGTTGAAGTCGTTGCACGAGTTTCTCAAATCCGGCCAAGAGTTTGGTTCGATCACGAGGCAAGAAGTCGTGTCGATGATACCGACGCAGTTTTTGAAGGTTGAACCGCACCATAAGGTTTTGGACATGTGCGCTGCGCCTGGATCGAAAACGTTCCAAGTTTTAGAGGCGTTGCATAGGGATTTTGAGAGTTACGATCCGAGCTTTGGGAGTTTTCACGCGGACGCGGAGGGAGGAAAAGCAGAGTTGTCCGCAAAGATGCCGACTGGGTTTGTCGTCGCCAACGATGCTGATTTGAAGCGCTGTAATTTGTTGACGCACCAAACGAAACGCGCGAATTCGCCGTGCTTGTTGGTGACGAATCACGAGGGGCAGAACTTTCCTGTGATTAAAGGTGAACCCGGGAACGCTCAGGATGATTTTAAGTTTGATTCCATTTTGTGTGACGTGCCGTGTAGCGGAGATGGCACGATGCGGAAAGCGCCGGATATTTGGGCTCGATGGCACGGCGGCTTTGGAAATGGTCTGCACTCGCTGCAGATCAAAATCGCAAAGAGAGCCGCGCAGATTTTGAAAGTTGGAGGGAGGATGGTATATTCCACGTGTTCGTTGAACCCGATTGAAAACGAAGCCGTGGTGATGTCGCTGATGAAAGCGACGAACGGGGCGTTGACGTTGGTAGACGTGAGCAAAGAGTTACCGAACTTGAAACGATCGAACGGGTTGAGAGATTGGCAAGTTTGGGGGAAATCGAATCGTCGATGGAATTCGGCGGAGGAAGCGCACGAGAACAACGAAAAAGTTGTCGCGAGTTCCATGTTCCCGGATAAAGAGTTTTTAGATACCATCCCGATTGAAAATTGCGTGAGAATTTTACCGCACCACTCCGATACCGGTGGTTTCTTTGTCGCCGTTTTCGATAAGGTGAGAGAATTGGATCCGGAGATTGAGACGCAAATCGAAAACGAGGCGAACGGCAACGAGAGTAAAAAGTCGAAAACGAGAGAGTTTTCGAAATTTAAAGGTTTAGGCATGGCGGAAGTGAAGTGCCATTTCGAGTACCCGTCCTCGTCCTCGAATGGTGACTCTGGAGATCAAATTAAGCTCTCTTTAACCGTGGAACAGCCGAAACCGCCGAAAGAGAAGTACTCTCGCGACCCGCAAGATGGTACGTTACTCTTCCTCAACGCGCACGGTCAAGACCAATCGAGACCGGGTAGGAAAGGGTTCGACGGGGTCGCGCCCGTGAATTCTCCGGACGTCGTCGATCCAATCAACGAAAAGTACGGCATTCACTCGCTTCAAATCGAGAAAAACTGTGTCACGAGAACCGCGGCAGGGAGCAAACCGAAACGCGTGTATTATGTCACTCCAAATTTACGACAGTACATCGCCGCCGATACGAGGGAAAGTTTACGCATAACCGCCATCGGTTTAAAAGTCTTCGAACGACAAAACTTAAACGACGATAAAGACTCTTACTTTGGCGCAGACTCGAAAGTTTTGAGCTCGTGCAACTACCGATTAAACCAAGACGGTTTATTCCTAACTTTGCCGTTCATGACAAAACAAGCGATCACGATCACCATCCCCGAACTCCTCCAAATCCTCAAACTGAGAGGTTTGGCGTTGGTTGAAAACGAACCGGTACCGGACGGTTCCAAATTCACTCCGCGACCGAGTTTCACCGACGCGGAAACTCGAAAACACGTCGAAAGTTGCTCCCAAGGCTCGCTCGTTTGTTTGCTCCGCGACGAGGACGTTCAGAAACTCAACTGCTCTCGATCCGAATTCGCAATCACGTGTTGGAAAGGCAAAACGAGCTTAAACTTGCTCGTTTCGAAAGTCGAAACCGAACACTTGCTCGAAAAGTTAAAAGCGCACACGAGAGATGTGAACGACGACGCATGAAAAGAAGACACAACAACACGTAAAAAAGAAGAAGAGTTAAAAGAGAGTGTTATCAAAGTTGTATACTTATTTTTACGAATATAATGAACGCTATTACATCACGATTTACTTCGCGTAAAATTCCCAATAACAGTAGAGGGAACACAACATCTCCACAAACAATTCACGCTTGAATCACGAATCATATTAAAAACAAAAACAAAACTGCTTTTGATGACGCGATGAAAAAAGTGCATTTCAGGATGCCTCTGCGTCTCAAATTTCTATTCAAGTGCAAAAGATCTCATAAATATCTCAAGAAAAAACCGCTCTTTACGGGGAAGGAGGAAACACATTCTCTAATCACACAAAGAAGGTCACGAGGAGTGCAGAGAGACAGCGCGCGCACACACACGCGTAAACAAAGAGAGAGATATACCATGAGGCGATCGACGCGCGCGCACAGATCTTCCTCTGGAAAAGAAGAGGGAAAAGAAAAGAGGAATCTTGAGTCTCCTTTTCCAATCCGGAAACGGAGTGACGACACGTCGGAGTTTGAGGATGATTTTGTTGAGAAGAAGACTACGACGAAGAAGACGAAGAGGATGGGCGGTCACTCGGTCGCTGCGAACGAAGAAGCAAAGATCAAGACGAGATCATCGAAACAAAAAAAAGAGATCGTCGTCGTTCTCGAACGAGGAGGGACTGAAACAGCGGCGACGACGACGACGACGACGGATGATGGTGACGACGTTTCTCCCCAAAACGAGGAGGAGAAAAAGAAGTCAACGAAAACGACTGAGGAAAAGGAGAAAAAATTACGAATTTTACTGGTCGAGGACGACATCCCGACCTCCTTAATCATAACGTCCATGCTCACGCAAGCCGGAGCGATAGTGACGAACGCATCCAACGGGAAGCAAGCTTTAGAGCGATTACGAGATAACAATTATCACGAAAAGATTGATTTGATTCTAACGGACATCATGATGCCGGAGGTGGACGGCATCGAGTTGTGCTCGATTTTATCGAAGAATCCGAAATTGAAAGAGGTGCCGATAATTGTCATGTCGGTGAGCGATCATTTGGAAGCTACCGGGGAAGTTTTGGATGAGAGTAAAGCGCACGCGATTGGTGCGGAGGGGTTTTTGCAGAAACCGCTGAGTAAGGATGTGTGTAGGAGCATGGTCGGGACGCATCATAGGTTACCGTCGAACGGGAGTTCGTCGAGTTCGTCTTTACTGTTAACGACAACGACGAGGAATGGTGACGGTAAAAACGACAATAATAATAATAATAATAATAATAAGGATAGTAATAAGGACAGTAATAATGATAACAACATCATCATCATCATCAACAGCGGTTCTGAGGAGAAAGGTTCGGGCGGCTCGGACGATCCATCGACTTTCAAACTCGCGGTGAAAGAATCTGGCGGTCTCGGAGTCCTCGACGAAGAAGGGACGAAGGAAATGGAAGAGATGAAAAAATCGAAAACGGCCGACCGTTGGACTCGAAATCAAATGCGAGATGCAGATTGCGGATCAGATGAAGGTTCTGGAGCCGGGGGTGGGAGAGAATCCTCCGGAAACGAAGAAGAAGGAGAAGAGGAGAAAAAGAAGAAAGAAGATTCGTCGGAAAAGGAGACCATGAAAACTACTACTACTACTACTGTTACTGCTCGAGAACTCGCGACGGCGCCAATGCAAGAAGAAGGACCAGGAACCTCGGCGCGAAGGACTTCAGACCTCGTGACGAATATATTGCACTCGGAACAAAAGAAACTCTTCTCGGGTTTGTCGGTGCAACTCGTGCGCGCACACGGCGGTCCAACGGCTGTTCTCGAACTCGCGTTACCGCCACATTCACACAATAAAGGCGAAGGTAGTAACAACGATGGTAACGAATATACGAACGATTCTGATCGCGTCAAATTACGCCGGTCTGAGTCGCGCTCGGCGTTTCAATCATTCATCAAACAAAACGAGAACAAAAACGTTGGCGTGGAAACGGTAGCGTTACCGATTGATCCGATGTCGATGGTTTTTCCCAATCTGAATGATGGCGCGAAAGCAGATATGACTCCGGATGGTAAGAAGAAGAGCGGAAAGAATGCGACGAAAGCAGCGCGTTCGAGATTATCAAAGAAAAGTACTTCACCGCAGGCGGCGATGACTGAAGCGAAAGATGTGGAAGCTGCGGAACTCTTGGTCCAGTACCAGATGCAACAACAACAACAACAACAACAAGAACAACAAGAACAAGAACAACAAGAACAAGAACAACAACAACAACAACAGCAGCAGCAGTACCAGATGCAAATGCAACAGCAGCAATTCATGCAAATGCAAATGCAATTCCACCTTCAACAGCAGAACTTCATGGGGGCGGCACAGGATCCGGCCACGGTGCAAGCTAACGCGCAAGCGTATCAAAATTTGATGCAGTCGTTGGCGATGTCTCAGCAGCAACAGCAACAGCATCAAATGCAAATGCCTCCTGGATTCAATCCCGCCGCCGCGGCTGCAGCAGCCATGTTTGCTTCCTCCTTGAATGGAGCGCCACCGCCAACGAGCATACACAGTAACGCCGGAATGGGCATGTTTCCGTACTTTCAACAAAATCAAGAATACGTAAATTCATTCGTGCAAGCGTTGGCATCCGCCGTCGAGAAGGCGCCGATGACAATGTTAGAACACCAACATCAGCAGCATCACTATGCGCCACAGCAGCCGGCCCAACCGTTCGTAAACACATCTGCGGCGCAAGTGAAGTTGGACAACATTGTTGCCAACAATACCAACGCTGCCGTCAACAACGTCAACACCGCCTCAACCTGTGCCGAGCGAAGAGCGTTGGCCATCGCTCGATTTCTCAAGAAGCGCAAGGAGCGTAAATTCGAAAAGAAAGTTCGATATGCCAGCAGAAAACGGCTGGCGGAAGCTCGACCAAGAGTTCGCGGTCAGTTTGTGAAAAAAGTGGTTGCCGTAGAAGAGGTACCGACGACGATAGCGGCGAAGATCGCGACGACGACGACGACGAACAGCGACGAAGAGGCGAACAAAGCGAGTGAAGAAACTTTGAAAATGAAAGTTGTGGACGAATAAAGTGTGAAAGCGCTCCTCCTCTCGCAGAAGCAATAACATATAACAACATCAAGATAAACGTAATAATAATTCAATCGTGTAAATGTATAACAGCTAATACGCGGCATTCTATCTATGACTATATTAAATCTCATCTCTACCTACTGTATCTATCTCTCACGTTATCGGAAGGAAACTCACGTATCGCTGATTTTGCATCACGAGGAAAGCGCAAGTCCTCGGCGCCAAAATCTCGACCTCTTGTTCTTCTTCGCATTCTCCTTCAACGCTCGACGACGGTTGCTTTCGTTTCCTATCGCTGCTGTTCTTCATCTTCATCATCTTCTTCTTCGTTCTCGTGGTTGTCTGCAATGCTTCACAAGAAGGTTGATTCGGAAACGCGTGGGCGCAAACAACGCAAAACTCAAACTGATCGTCCTTCTCGATCATTTCATTCGTCGCTTTGAGCGCTCGCTCGAGGTGATTTGATGTTAAAAACCCGCTCCATCGTGCAGTATGAAGGCGACAGGCAGACGGAGACTCCTTCGCCGCCTCTTCCTTCTTCTCTTTCTGCCGACTTCGCAAAGCAGCGACGCTTACAATTTCGAGTATTTTCCGTAAAGTCTCCTCGTGCTCACCAGATGTTATCGCGGCGCTCTCTTTGCTCTCCACGGACCGCCGAAACGATTCAACGAGTTCAAACAACCTATTTTCCTCTTTCTCACATTTCGCTTCTCCTGTGCACTTTTCAATTTTCCGACTCGAAATCTCAACCGCGTTCTCGCCGCTTGCAAAACTAGACCTCTCAATCTCTATCGCTTCGTTTCCAACCTCAAAGTGCGCGAGGAGCACATTACTGCCACCACCATCACCAGCTATGTTACCCAACTTCCCTCCAGAGGAAGAAGTTTGACGATGAAAAACCCTCCTCGCATTATCCGTCACGCGGTCGTGCGTCGTTCGCCCGGGTACAAAGTTATCGCTCCGTAAGTTTATCGCGACGACTCTCCGTCTCCTCTCTTCTTCTCTCTCAGACGAAGAACTTCGAGAGAGCGGTCCGGACACGCCCAGTCTCTCGCACAGACGCTCGCTCAAAATCGCTTCGAACCGGCCTCGAGCGATGGAGAAAATATCCTCCTCCTCGTCGCCAATCGAGAGTAAACTCAACTCTTTTTTCTTCTTCCCTTCTTTCTCTTCATCTTCTTTCACGTACTCGTGCACAAAATGCGCGTTCAAAACATCCGCCATGGTGCACTTTCGAATCACAGAAAAAGATGCACGATCTAGGGCATCGATCGAAAGAATCTTTGCTGCCGATGATGCCTGTTCGTTCGCCTCGTTCTTCTGAGAATTCTCGTTTGAAGTTGAAAACGCGAACAGTTCAATCGAGGAGAGAAATGTCGGCACGAAATCATCAGACGAAGAGGAGGAAAAAAAAGCGACGTGTTTGGGATGGTTGAACGAAGAGTATCGACATCGCAAAGTCGTCGTCGTCGTCTTCCGGTGTTTGCTCGTTTCTTTCTTCCTCTTCTTCTTCTCCTTCCTCTTTTTCTCGCGCATGATGATCGCTCAGAAAGAGCGGGATGTTGTGTGAAATGGTGGTTCTTTTTTATTTTGTTGTGTGCGGTTTTATTTTACATCCCCTGGTGCTCCTCCATGTCCTCCCGTCCCAGTCCGGCAAAATTTTTTTGCATGCATGAGGAAAAATTTTCACCCTTTCACCCGGGGGCGCCTCCACAGCCTACAGCCTACACCCTTTTGATGTGTGCGTGCGAAGTACATTCTTAACAGCCTTAATGAATCTTTTTCAAACCGTGAATAGAGGACCACACACTGTACATACTAAACTAGAATTAAAGAGCTAACTAAAGCGCATGCTAAGGCGCGCTTTCCTCGCAAGATCACATCAAAACTTTCCCGTCTTTCGAAACTTCCACGACTGCAATATCTCGCCCCTCGGGAAGATTCTTTTCACAAAATTCATAATACGACCATAACTTTTTCATCTCCAGAGCGAGATCATGCTCCGAGCACTTGTTTAACTGCTCATTCTTCGGGTTTCTATCTTTGTTTGATCGCATGATTTTCTTTGACTCCAAAGGAAAATTGCGAAGCGGTAAGTGCTTGTCCAGGAGCTTCAAAACGCTTTCGATGGCATCGAACTTGAACAGCACGAGTTTATCCCACGGCGCGGTTGGGTTATCCATGTCAATTTGGAATCTTTGGGGTTCAAGTATATAGAATATGGTTTCATTATTGAGCACTTCTTCGCATGATTTGCCGTCTTCAAACATTTTGGTCACGTTCGCATTCCTGTAATTGTTCATGGAAAAGAAGTGTGATACCGGATCTCTGCATGGTATCAATGCAACTTTCGTGGCGTTCTTGTGAATAATTGAGTTTAATATCCATTTGGACCAATCAGACATATGGATTTCTTCGGAAACGATGGCGCAGTTATGATAACCTCTTTTCTCTGCGTTTTTCGTTGACCAAATAGAATTCTCCTTAGTCGAGCAGGTGTCCTTTTGATACACGGCAATCATCTTTTCCGTGTCTTCTAATTCTTCCATGCACGAAACGCCTTTATTCCCGCAGGCGCCGTAATATCTCCTTGCTATGTCTTTGGCAAACGAAGATCCAGCCGTTTTCATAATGTGCACGTGCGAATACCACGAGTTACCCAAAGGTAACCCGTACTCGTCAAGACTATTGTTATTTTGTCTGTCTTCCACGTCTTCTTCTTCTTCTTCTTCTTCTTCTTCTTCTTTTGTTGTACTCGCCAAAATCGTCTCCAAATACATTGCTCTATATGCTTTCAAATACCCCTCCTTGGCTTTCTGATGCGCCTGATACGCATTTTTAACGCTTCTGTGTACTTTCTGTGCCGCCGCAGACGACTTTGACGACGATAGAACCACGCCGACGACGATACCTACACAGAGCAACTGAATCCACGTCGTTGGATTCGTCTCGTTCGAGCGCGCGTTTATGGAGACGGAAGAAGATTTCACCGCCGCTTCTTCCGCGTACTCTTCGTCGCGAACGTTACCATCGCTCGATATCGTCGCCTTCGCAGCTCTCGAACGCATTTATATTCCCTTTTCCTCTCTGAATATCTTTTGCAGCGCGCGGTACGCACTTACATTTTGACGAGCTCGAGGTACAATATTTCTTTTTGCTTACACCTTCACCTAAAAAAGTGTCCAGAACCGTCTGTCGTGCTGTGTGTCGAGAAGATAGGTACGGTAGATACCACAATCAAACAAAAAAATTAGCGTAAGCATTATTACCTCATAACAATTGTACTCAAATGGGACGAAAAGAAGTATTGATACTTATCCTACATCAATATCCCTCTTAATCAACGGAACGTGCCTTCGGGAATACTCGTAAGTAAAGAATAGAAAACCATTTTCGAATCGCGTTTTTGTTCGTTTCCATTTCCAATTTTCTCTCAAACATACATACAAGGAAAAAAAGGAAACGAAATGTCAATTCAAAAAGCTTTACCAGTTCTCGTTCCAGATGGATTTTATCAGATCAAGGAGATGCCGTTTATCGGGTCAAATACATCCACGGCATTTTTTACGACCGTGCTTTATTTTTTATCTGCGCTCGCCTTTTGTGGTTTGTTATACTTGTACAGCTCAGATTCACAATCTATAAACGAATCAACCATAACTAAAGAATGGAATTTAAACGGATATGATTCGTGTATTCCCTTACAGGGTGATCCTCGTTACAACATTTATAAGAATTATTCTACTTGTCTCACAGACACCACTCTAAAATTGGATGTGTCAAATCTCGTTCCGAGTACAGAGACAAAATCAATTGAACAAAGCGAATACATTCTCGGCGGATTCATGTGTAAGCCTAAGCAAATCGATGACCATTATGGTATCACAGCATCATTTGATGAGTGTGTTGATTTATTGGACAAAACTGTAGACCCTAGCAGCTTAATTGAGCCGTACTCAGGAGATCCGACATTAATTCATTTTCCGCAACAGTACCTGAAACTAACGGCATCTGATGGTGCTTACGGAGATTCTTTCGGTACATCCATCGCTTTCGACGGGAACACGGCACTCATTGGAGCTATTGGTGTTGACGATAATGGTTCTGATTCTGGTTCTGTGTATGTTTTCACGCGTACTGGAACAGACGACTCGACGTGGACTGAAACAAAGAAACTGACGGTATCAGATGGTGAAGAAAATGATCATTTCGGTAGATCCATCGCTTTCGACGGGAACACGGCACTCATTGGAGTTGAAGGGATTGCTGTGTATGTTTTCACGCGTACTGGAACAGATGACTCGACGTGGACTGAAACAAAGAAACTGACGGCATCTGATGGTGCTTACGGAGATTCTTTCGGTACATCCATCGCTTTCGACGGGAACACGGCACTCATTGGAGCTATTGGTGATGACGATAAGGGTTATGAGTCTGGGTCTGTGTATGGTTTCACGCGGACTGGGACCGACGACTCGACGTGGACTGAAACAAAGAAACTGACGGCATCTGATTGTGGAAATAATCGTATGTTCGGTAGTTTAATCGCTTTCCACGGGAACACAGCACTGCTTGGAGCTACTTTTGATGACGCTGGGTCTGTGTATGTTTTTACGCGTACTGGAACAGATGACTCGACGTGGACTGAAACAAAGAAACTGACAGTATCTGATGATGAAGAAGAAGATTATTGGGGAGATTATCCTAGTTATTTCGGTAGATCCATCGCTTTCGACGGGAATACGGCACTCATTGGAGCTACTGGTATTGACCATCCTGGTGATTTAAAATGCTATTCTGCTGCTGTGTATGTTTTCACGCGTACTGGAACAGACGACTCGACGTGGACTGAAACAAAGAAACTGACGGCATCAGATGGTGCTTGCAGGGATTCTTTCGGTAGATTAATTGCTTTCGACGGGATCACGGCACTCATTGGAGCTATTGGTGTTGACGATAATGGTTCTGATTCTGGTTCTGTGTATGTTTTCACGCGTACTGGAACAGACGACTCGACATGGACTGAAACAAAGAAACTGACGGCATCCGATGGTGAAGAAAATGATCATTTCGGGCCATCCATCGCTTTCGACGGGAACACGGCACTCATTGGAGCTACTGGTGATGACGATAAGGGTTATGAGTCTGGGTCTGTGTATGTTTTCAGTTCAAATAATGTTTTATTGTCACAAAATTCCGGTTCTCTTGTCTTTCGAGATTATAACCCAACCCGTTACACAGATTTTTTGTGTAATTCTACACTAGGTATTTGTGCTGCACCGTGCTACGAATACGCGCCATTTTCAATTTTAAACAGTCGAATATCTATACAATCATCTGCACTGCATTCTGTTTCAGATTCTTGTGATGGTACTGGTTTTTCAGTCAAATACGGCACGAAATATTGTACGACGGATCCGTCGAAAGCTGCGGCGTATTTTGATTGTCGAAAGAATGCTATTGGCACTACATCCTTGTGCGAATTTGCTAAGTTGAACGCTCCTTTTGAGTGTACTGCTCCGTGTTTTGAATATGCTCCATTTGCAAATGGTGTACCAATTGAGGCAACAATCCTGAATTCTGTACCAGATAATACGTGTGATGCTACTGGCTACTCAGTGAAAGATGGTTCCAAGTTTTGCACTAATTTAAATGCGACGACGATCTCCAATTATTTCGAGTGTCGAGCGAATGAAATCGGCGTTGAGGCCATTTGCGAGTTTACGAAATCGAATGCGCCTTACGAGTGCCAACGCAAGGTTCCTCTACCTCCATTGCAGCGTCTCTCTTTGGCCTATGCAAACACTCTGATTCTTTACTCTGGTTTAGCATCCTTATTTGCTGGATATATGTATCGCGTTGTGTCTAAATCTGTTGAAGAAGAGAATACCCGCGAGATGAATAAATTTGATGTGAAAAAATCAATTCAAAAAGCTTTACCAGTTCTCGTTCCAGATGGATTTTATCAGATCAAGAAGATGCCGTTTATCGGGTCAAATACATCCACGGCATTTTTTACGACCGTGCTTTATTTTTTATCTGCGCTCGCCTTTTGTGGTTTGTTATACTTGTACAGCTCAGATTCACAATCTATAAACGAATCAACCATAACTGAAGAATGGAATTTAAACGGATATGATTCGTGTATTCCCTTACAGGGTGATCCTCATTACAACATTTATAAGAATTATTCTACTTGTCTCACAGACACCACTCTAAAATTGGATGTGTCAAATCTCGTTCCGAGTACAGAGACAAAATCAATTGAACAAAGCGAATACATTCTCGGCGGATTCATGTGTAAGCCTAAGCAAATCGATGACCATTATGGTATCACAGCATCATTTGATGAGTGTGTTGATTTATTGGACAAAACTGTAGACCCTAGCAGCTTAATTGAGCCGTACTCAGGAGATCCGACATTAATTCATTTTCCGCAACAGTACCTGAAACTAACGGCATCTGATGGTGCTTACGGAGATTCTTTCGGTACATCCATCGCTTTCGACGGGAACACGGCACTCATTGGAGCTATTGGTGATGACGATAGTGGTTCTGATTCTGGTTCTGTGTATGTTTTCACGCGTACTGGAACAGACGACTCGACGTGGACTGAAACAAAGAAACTGACGGCATCTGATGGTGAAGAAAATGATCATTTCGGGACATCCATCGCTTTCGACGGGAACACGGCACTCATTGGAGCTCATGGTGATGACGATAATTATTCTGATTCTGGTTCAGTGTATGTTTTTACGCGTACTGGAACAGATGACTCGACGTGGACTGAAACAAAGAAACTGACAGTATCTGATGATGAAGAAGAAGATTATTGGGGAGATTATCCTAGTTATTTCGGTAGATCCATCGCTTTCGACGGGAATACGGCACTCATTGGAGCTACTGGTATTGACCATCCTGGTGATTTAAAATGCTATTCTGCTGCTGTGTATGTTTTCACGCGTACTGGAACAGACGACTCGACGTGGACTGAAACAAAGAAACTGACGGCATCAGATGGTGCTTGCAGGGATTCTTTCGGTAGATTAATTGCTTTCGACGGGATCACGGCACTCATTGGAGCTATTGGTGTTGACGATAATGGTTCTGATTCTGGTTCTGTGTATGTTTTCACGCGTACTGGAACAGACGACTCGACATGGACTGAAACAAAGAAACTGACGGCATCCGATGGTGAAGAAAATGATCATTTCGGGCCATCCATCGCTTTTGACGGGAACACGGCACTCATTAAAAATTATGGTGATGACGGTAATGGTTATGAGTCTGGGTCTGTGTATGTTTTCAGTTCAAATAATGTTTTATTGTCACAAAATTCCGGTTCTCTTGTCTTTCGAGATTATAACCCAACCCGTTACACAGATTTTTTGTGTAATTCTACACTAGGTATTTGTGCTGCACCGTGCTACGAATACGCGCCATTTTCAATTTTAAACAGTCGAATATCTATACAATCATCTGCACTGCATTCTGTTTCAGATTCTTGTGATGGTACTGGTTTTTCAGTCAAATACGGCACGAAATATTGTACGACGGATCCGTCGAAAGCTGCGGCGTATTTTGATTGTCGAAAGAATGCTATTGGCACTACATCCTTGTGCGAATTTGCTAAGTTGAACGCTCCTTTTGAGTGTACTGCTCCGTGTTTTGAATATGCTCCATTTGCAAATGGTGTACCAATTGAGGCAACAATCCTGAATTCTGTACCAGATAATACGTGTGATGCTACTGGCTACTCAGTGAAAGATGGTTCCAAGTTTTGCACTAATTTAAATGCGACGACGATCTCCAATTATTTCGAGTGTCGAGCGAATGAAATCGGCGTTGAGGCCATTTGCGAGTTTACGAAATCGAATGCGCCTTATGAGTGCCAACGCAAGGTTCCTCTACCTCCATTGCAGCGTCTCTCTTTGGCCTATGCAAACACTCTGATTCTTTACTCTGGTTTAGCATCCTTATTTGCTGGATATATGTATCGCGTTGTGTCTAAATCTGTTGAAGAAGAGAATACCCGCGAGATGAATAAATTTGATGTGAAAAAATCAATTCAAAAAGCTTTACCAGTTCTCGTTCCAGATGGATTTTATCAGATCAAGAAGATGCCGTTTATCGGGTCAAATACATCCACGGCATTTTTTACGACCGTGCTTTATTTTTTATCTGCGCTCGCCTTTTGTGGTTTGTTATACTTGTACAGCTCAGATTCACAATCTATAAACGAATCAACCATAACTAAAGAATGGAATTTAAACGGATATGATTCGTGTATTCCCTTACAGGGTGATCCTCGTTACAACATTTATAAGAATTATTCTACTTGTCTCACAGACACCACTCTAAAATTGGATGTGTCAAATCTCGTTCCGAGTACAGAGACAAAATCAATTGAACAAAGCGAATACATTCTCGGCGGATTCATGTGTAAGCCTAAGCAAATCGATGACCATTATGGTATCACAGCATCATTTGATGAGTGTGTTGATTTATTGGACAAAACTGTAGACCCTAGCAGCTTAATTGAGCCGTACTCAGGAGATCCGACATTAATTCATTTTCCGCAACAGTACCTGAAACTAACGGCATCTGATGGTGCTTACGGAGATTCTTTCGGTACATCCATCGCTTTCGACGGGAACACGGCACTCATTGGAGCTATTGGTGTTGACGATAATGGTTCTGATTCTGGTTCTGTGTATGTTTTCACGCGTACTGGAACAGACGACTCGACGTGGACTGAAACAAAGAAACTGACGGTATCAGATGGTGAAAATAGTGATATTTTCGGTAGTTCAATCGCTTTCGACGGGAACACGGCACTCATTGGAGCTACATGGGATCGATCTGTGGCTGTGTATGTTTTCACGCGTACTGGAACAGACGACTCGACGTGGACTGAAACAAAGAAACTGACGGCATCTGATGGTGCTTACGGAAATTCTTTCGGGACATCCATCGCTTTCGACGGGAACACGGCACTCATTGGAGCTACTTTGGATGACGCTGGTTCTGTGTATGCTTTCACGCGTACTGGAACAGACGACTCGACGTGGACTGAAACAAAGAAACTGACGGCATCTGATGGTGAAGAAAATGATCATTTCGGGACATCCATCGCTTTCGACGGGAACACGGCACTTATTGGAGTTTATAATTATGTTTTGAGTTATGGTGGTTCAGGTGGTTTTACTTCTGATTCTAGTGGTTCTGTGTATGTTTTCACGCGTACTGGAACAGACGACTCGACATGGACTGAAACAAAGAAACTGACGGCATCCGATGGTGAAGAAAATGATCATTTCGGGCCATCCATCGCTTTCGACGGGAACACGGCACTCATTGGAGCTACTGGTGATGACGATAAGGGTTATGAGTCTGGGTCTGTGTATGTTTTCAGTTCAAATAATGTTTTATTGTCACAAAATTCCGGTTCTCTTGTCTTTCGAGATTATAACCCAACCCGTTACACAGATTTTTTGTGTAATTCTACACTAGGTATTTGTGCTGCACCGTGCTACGAATACGCGCCATTTTCAATTTTAAACAGTCGAATATCTATACAATCATCTGCACTGCATTCTGTTTCAGATTCTTGTGATGGTACTGGTTTTTCAGTCAAATACGGCACGAAATATTGTACGACGGATCCGTCGAAAGCTGCGGCGTATTTTGATTGTCGAAAGAATGCTATTGGCACTACATCCTTGTGCGAATTTGCTAAGTTGAACGCTCCTTTTGAGTGTACTGCTCCGTGTTTTGAATATGCTCCATTTGCAAATGGTGTACCAATTGAGGCAACAATCCTGAATTCTGTACCAGATAATACGTGTGATGCTACTGGCTACTCAGTGAAAGATGGTTCCAAGTTTTGCACTAATTTAAATGCGACGACGATCTCCAATTATTTCGAGTGTCGAGCGAATGAAATCGGCGTTGAGGCCATTTGCGAGTTTACGAAATCGAATGCGCCTTACGAGTGCCAACGCAAGGTTCCTCTACCTCCATTGCAGCGTCTCTCTTTGGCCTATGCAAACACTCTGATTCTTTACTCTGGTTTAGCATCCTTATTTGCTGGATATCTGTATCGCTTCCCGTCGCAAATTGAAGTCGAAGATTCGGATGATTTTTGAAGGCGGTATCCTGGCGTCAATTAAATCACCGACTGAGCAATCTGCAGTTGACACTTCTTCGAAACCACCACTCGTGGCATTGGATAGGTGCTTCCGACGAACGTGACGAAGGAACATGGTAGTTTCAACGTATTTTCTACACGATGCGTTCAAAGTATTTTTTTGTGTGAGCGAGCCAGATATTTTTGGTTTGCCGTCCTTCTTCTTTTTTTCGTCGAACCGAATCAAATCTTATCCCGAATAACTAACCTCACTATTCAAACGCGTACGACGGTACTTTCAAGACAAGAACTCGTACATAAACGCGGCAAAAAGAGGTATCAACACTTCCTTTACCCCGTTGATCATCTTAATCAACGAAAGTCGCCTTCGGCTCCACTCGTAAGTAAAGAAATAGAAACCGATTTTTTTCGTCGTCGTTTTTTTTCCAAAAGTCGCGAAAAGTTCCCGAAGTCACGGACCTTAGTATAAGTTGCGGGTGGGGTTGGTTGGTTGCGGAAGTTTACGAGAGTTGGGGGTGCTCGTGCTGCGCGAGAGTTCGTGGATTTCGTTAATTAAGCGTGTTCTCGGAGTTCGTGCGGTCGCGGGGGGTGCGGGGAATTCGGAAGGACGAGGGAGTCCTCCTTTTATTTTTTTTCTTCAATTGACAGAGGAAATCCAAATCGATATTGAAAACGAGTGACTACGGATCGTAGACCAAAAATCAAACGCAAAAACTACTTATACCGAGGGTGTTGCAAAACAACATGTTAAAGACGAGCACGATTATAAAGGCTTGTCTTTTTAGTAACGTTATCTACTTCCAAGTTCATAAAAGTACTTCTCTCGGTGATAAGTTATTCGAAGAACCATGCTATGCAGAACACAAACCCTATGAGTTGCTATTGCTTTCTCCAGGAGGTACCGGGAGTTCTAGTGGTTATGAGTACTTTCATGACCATGGTGTGGGTTATACAGACATGAACAGTGATGAAGATCGTGATGGACTTAAGCACAAGAACTTCTTCGATTTGTTTAAGACAATGAAGTTATGCAATATCAGCTCTAAACTGATCGTTTATCAATTTGATGATCCAGTAAAGTCGATATTAAGTTTGTTCCGTCGAAAATATGCCAGCATCCATGCTAAGAAGTTTGGGACTGTGCATTCACAGCGGCTTTGCGCACCAGAGATCCTTCAGAATATCACCACATATGGGGAAACGGGGGAAGACGTACTTGGATTGCAAGCTCATCTTGAATCTTATCTCACTGGTAGCTATATACAGCCTATAATATTTTTACGTTCTTCGACTAGGAATTCACAAGCTGTAAGAGACTGGCTCTGTACAAAACTTCCGAGTTACAGAATACGGGTCAACTGTACATATGAAATAAAAAAGCATACTTTCAGTAGACAAGAGTATAATTCAAAGATAGTGCGAAAGCTGAGAAGGACCTACGCAAATCTGAACAATGTGATGAAAAGGCTAGGGTTTATATCGGAGATAAGTCAAGGTCAAATTCAAAGTATGATAGGGATGAATGAAACCCAGGTGAAAAGTTTTGAGGTCTAGGTTTCAACCGTTGTCTGTCTATTTACGTCCACATCACAAACAGTCGTTCGAGGTTGATAACTTGGCAGAGTTGGCGGAGGAAAGGGAGAGATCCATGCGCGTTTAATTTCAGTGCACGAGCTTGCCTGATTCGTCGTAGAACACGTGTACTTGTTGTTGAACTCTGTTGCGCCAGTGAACATATCTGTTTGCACACTTGTTGCTGCAGTTCCCGCCCATTCAGAAACGTCGTGGTTGAAAGAAGAGGCATAACAAAACATACATTCCATATCTGCCACCCGTATTTGATTGTGTATTTTCTTTTATCGGCGATATACGAGTCCGCTTTCTTTTTCGTGACGGCGTTGAAGTTGTTGAGCCAATTCAGATCGGTTTGGAACTCGGGTAAAAGACCCGGGAAGTTTCGGTAGAGCACGTAAAGCGCCTGGTTGGTCGAGAGACGTATTTAACCGTGAACATGAGCACTTGGAGGAATGGATAACTTTTCACGTCAACTGCGCAAAAGGTCCTGGACTTAAAATGCTCGCCATGAGAGAAGTTCAAGAAGACTGGATCAAGCATAAATCAGGTTGAAAAGATGTCGAGAAAAGAAAAAGAAGTTGTATGGAAGACGAGACGACGGTCAATCATTTAGCCCGCTTATGTAATTCTAAAACATCTAGAATTGTACCTGGTTACACGTTGTATTGTATATTTAAAACTTCCAGATTACTACGTACTGGTACGTGCTATATAAAATACATGTACTACGCATGGCGCAGTCGCTATGAAGAACAAAAATCATCGAAATCATCTCGTATAAGTACTGATGACTTTTTCGAGATCATCGAGAGTCTTCAACGTACCTAAATACTCGCCGTCTTTAATCAAACAGGACGCTGCTCTTGAAAATCCAGAGGAGAAGGGAAAGGACACTATTTTCTTGGCCGTGCCGAGCTCGTAGAGTTCCAAAGCAGAAGTTAAGGAGTAATGACTTTCGCGAAGGTCTCGATGATCTGCTATTTCATCTTCTCCTTCTTCATCACTCATTCCTGAGACATGTTCGATCATTGAAATTACGGGATTATTCTTCAGATACGCTTGAATAGCCGGAGCATCACTCGCTACAAAAGTAGTGAGTCCAGAAGTCTCGAATATTTTTTTCGCAAAATCGATCACATCGTCTACCGCACGCTTCAAATCCAAGTGAGCGAGACGACCGTATCCATCTTCATTATCTAACCTTTGGTCGCCTAATTTAATCTCACGATGACCTATCTTTATGGATAAGTCTGGCTGAACTTCAATTCCAAGATCTTCATGATCTAATAATCGAAAGTGAAAGGCTATGTCATTTTGATGCGTCTTAGATTCCGTACCGTGAATATTCTGCCACTTTTTATGGTTTTCCAACTCTTCGAGAAGGAAATCAGACGGGTCTCCGAACCATTTGTTTATTCCTGCGCAAGAATTATTGTCCGTGACTTTTGCATACTTGCCAGACCCGATGTATTTATTATGCGGCTCGGTGATGAATACATTCGTCGGTGTTTCTGGATTGGTCATATTTTCAAGCGCTTGAATCCAATCCTCACTCTGTCCGTCAATGTGCACAAAACTCTTCATATCTTCTGTTTCTTCGTTTGGCCCTAAGGAAACATCGATATCACTCGAACGTTTGCCGTATTTGACCACATTTTTATTGTGTCGGAAACTATCTTCGCACGGTTGCATTTTTCCAGAATGCCATGGTTTATGTGGTGTTCCACACTCACGAATACTCACGCTTCCTACCCCTAACATGTCCAAGATTTCGTAAACCTTCGCAAACTCTTCCATCAAATGTCCTAGACCAAAATCCGATAGGTGATGGAAAATATAAACGTGTGCGTTGCCACGCGTACGTTGTGACAATGGCGATGGCGGCGGTGGCGGCGGTGATTCTATAACCGGCACTGGTGTGACACTCACACCACCATCTTCATCTCTTTCTGTTTGCTCTCCTTCTACTTCTGACATCTGTGCTAGTACCTCTGCTACTGCCGCGTCGCCTCCTTTTTCTCCTCCTCCTTCTTCTTCTTCTTTTTCTTTCTGTATATTCTCTCCACCAGAAGCAAACACGGCTTCCAAATACGATTCTCGATATCGCTTTAAATACTCTTTTCTCGCCTCGGTGTGCGCTCGATACGCGCCTTTCACATTCCTGTGTAAATCTTGAACACCCTTACCCATCCTCGATTGACTGTTTCCATCGCCGCTGGCATAAGAAGAGAGAACAAAGCCGCAGAAAACGCCGAAGAGAACGACGAGTATCCTAAACGTGACGCTCGACGATGCATTTGGACCGTCCCCGTCCTCTTCTCTTCTTTTGATATTCAAAACTGCGCCGTTCTTTTTTTTGGTCGCGGGAGAGGACTCGAGGAGTCCTCTCGATCGCATGAGCATTTATTCCTCCTCGTTTTGCTTGCGCGCGTGGAGAGAGGAGACCCAGAGGTGCAGAGGAGTTGAGGCGTTGAGGTGCACTAATTGTAGAGATGTTTGAGAAGATGTAGAGCGAATGGACACACCTCGGGACTCCAAAAAAAATCGTGTAAGCACATATCCATTCCTTCCTTCCTTCCCTCCCTCCCTCCCTTTCTCTCTTTCAACATTGACGGAATGGCGTCTCGTGTAGTTCTTTCTCGTCTCATTTTTATCATATCTTTCGCTCTTCAAGCGCTAAACGTGCTCAGTGAAAGTGCGCAACCCACACGTAATCAGCATCGAAGAGCGTTACTAGAACAACAAACGACCGGCGCGGAAAAAGATGACGTATCTTTAAGCAGAGTGGAACGTCTGGAGCGCTTGCGACAGAAGAGACATCATCGTCGTCACCATCAAGGATCGACGGCGGCAACGTTAGCAGCACTTCGAGACGACAGGGAATTTTCTTTACTTCCGACGAGAGAAGGAAAAGAGGAGGAAAAATGGACGAGACAAAGCGAGAGACTTCAAAGACGAGAGAAGGAGAGAATGGAGAGATTGAGACTGAAACGAGAGATGGAAGGAGGAGGAGAAGAAGAAGAAGAAGAAGATAAAGATGCCGTTGTGGCGAAGACGGCGACTTATGTGAAGGAAGCGAGTTTCTCGAACTCTGCTTCTGATTCTCCTCAGTCGTTACCGGCGGTGCACGTCTTAAATTTAGTAACGGGCACTGGTTTAGGACAAATAGTTACCGCTTTGGTGCCAATTTTAGAAACACTGAAACACGCCGGATACGAAACGTTTGCTGTGCACGAATGCGGAGGAGATCCGCCCTGGAAAACTGATTGGGAAAAGTTGGTTTCCTGTGAAGAACGAACAGAGAAGAATAACATTTATCATAATTTTAAGAGAACGTACGAGATTGGAGGTAAGCAGACTTTGATGGAAGTGATGAAGGAGTACGAGAAATACGAGAGCAGCAACGAAGTAGATCATCTCAACGGGAATATGAACGATTGGAAAGAGATTTTGAGTAGTAAAGAGATTTATGGGAATGCGAAAAAGATGTTGATGGTGCAGCAAATGCATAATAAATTCGCTCAGACATCGAGTGAGTCTATTTGCACTTCGACGCGATACTGGTTCGATGCGCCTGTCGGTGATTTGCTAGAGTTGGTGAGAAAGCCTGAGAGTGAAATGCATAGAGTCATCACCTTTCACATACGCACGTTCGCGGATGAAAATATTGGTATTGCTTTTAACGACGATTTAACGTTGAATGAGGAATTAGCGGAGAAACGACGTGACAAGGGGAAAGCACCGGAGCAGAGAATAGATCGCATCAAGAAAGTTGCGCCCGAGTTTCCTAAAATGATTCAAAAAATGGTGGATGTTTGTACCATATTGTTCGAAAGAACGGGTAAAAAGACGCATGTGGCCGTGGACTCCCAGGCTGTTCGTGATTATCTAAGAAAGCATCGAACAGTCATGCAAGTAATTTCGACAGATATTGTGAAAAATGAAGAACACTATTATACAGAGCCGGCATATTCACTGAATGATATTGCAGATTGGTACTTATTGTCTTTAGGACAAACGATCGTCGGATTTCCAACAAGTTCGTCTTATAGTAGTTCTGCTCACTGCAGAGGTGGTAGCGTCATACATTACGCAGGCACGGAAAGCGAATTTACGGAAACAGTGTATAAGGTATTGGAAAGCGAATTTAAGGAGGATATCTTTACTTCTGAAACAATTTCAACCACGGCTCAATCAATTGTTGATATTGAGATAGATACAAATGCTGATCCGAATAATGATGATAATGGCGACGAAAACGACGTAAAGATGAAGCTGGAAGATATTCCTTTCCCGTCTCCTACGGATTCTGAGTTTCGGTTTCATGAAACCTCCTCTGGTATCCGCACGTGCCTTCCCGGCGTTCCAGCCGAATACTCTGACGTGCTCACAGCCGAAACCGTAACGGGGAGCTCGATATCACCAGACGAATGTCTTTGGCTGAACGAAGTGAAAGGCACCGGAATAGCGGCGTCTAAATTACCTTCAGATTGTGTTCCAGATAAAACGGTGTATTCTTCATACGCTAACGCGTACCATTGGGAAATGCTGATATTCAACTTACAAAACATCAAAGACCGCGAATGTTTCATGAATAGACTCATGATTGAGTGCATGGATGATAAGGCTATGGAGTTGTGCAAAGGTTCGGGATACATTAAGCATTGCGTTCCGTACCCAAAAGCTATGCGCGCATCTGACTACGAACGCCCTGAGGGTCAAACCGAGTCAAAAACCGATTATAACGCACTCACATGGATCAAGGAGAAAGTAGCATTCTCACTCATGCACGCCGACATATCCGTCTTCACGTTTGATAGCGACGTACTCTTTTTCGATGTTCCAGATTTGGCGGAGATTCAAGCAACCAAACCAGACGGTATCATATTCTTCCAGCTCGCCTCAATTGAAGACGAAGAAGTTGAAAAAGCTGGCGAGTTTACGAAGGAGTACCACTCTCATCAGGATTTCAATGCCGGTCAATTATTCTGGAAACCAAGCGAAGACATGAAACGCGTGCTTTTGAAGGCGTTCCGAGCTGGAAACAAAAGTGGTAAGATCGACGTCCTCGATCAGTTCTATTTTTCGGGCACCCTTCGCGATGAAGATGATGGCGCCGTGTGGCAAAAGGCACACCATTTATCGTCCAAGTTTGATTCGGGGTGTTTTCATCACAGACCTTACGACGAAGAGAAGAAGTTAAAGAGAACGACTTTCCACGCGTGTTGCCATACTACGTTAAGCCAAAAGCTCCACGGATTGAACGAAGCGCAGGAGTACTTTTTAGAACACAAGAGGGAACGAGAGCAGCAATTATGAATAAAATAGATAGAGATAGTAATTCGAAAAAAAAAACAAGTTCGGAACAACTTAAAATGACAAGACTAAAATTCACCTAACGTATTCACCTGAAAACCTTTCGCTTCGTTTAAAATCCAAGCCAACGCGAGAGCGATAAAGGTTGATGTCGAGACATGCGCGGCGGGTGCGTCTGCTCTTTTTACTCTTCATCTTCATCTTCACACTCACTCTCGCTCCGATTGGTGGTTCGAGTGCTGCTCGCAGAGTTTTGTCAGACGAGGAAAGTCACGACGATGATGCGTTTTTATTGTTGAGCAGACCGGAACGTCTGGAGCGCTTGCGACAGAAAAGACATCAACATCGTCACGATAACAGTCACGATCAGAAAGTAACATCGAAGGAACCATTTGTGAATGTAGATGAGTTGCAATCGAGCGTAGCCGACGACGACGAGAGCAGAATAGGAAGACGAAGACGCACTTCTCGTCGTTCCTGGCGAATGGGGGAGGAGGTCAATGGAGAACAGGGAGAACACAAGAGAAGAAGACACGAAAGAGAGAATGTTCCGAAGGAAACAGGGCATCAGAAGTCCGAGCGAGATAGCAGCGGTGAAGATGAGAGTACTGCTGACGTCGGAGCTGGTTCAAAATTACCAGCGGTCCACATTCTAAACATACCAGCCGGGGTTGGTCTCGGGCAAATAGTGGACGCTTTGGTGCCAATTTTAGAAACACTGAAACACGCCGGTTACGAAAGGTTTGCTGTGCACGAATGCGGAGGAGATCCGCCCTGGAAAACTGGTTGGGACAAGTTGGTTTCGTGCGAAGCTAGACCGGAAAGAAATAACATTTATCATAATTTTAAGAGAACGTATGAGATTGGAGGTAAACAGACTTTGACGCAAGTAGTCGCGGATTACGAAAAGTACGACCAGAGTGGCGAACTTGATTTTGTGGATGGACATAGAAACGATTGGAGTAAGATTCTAAACAGCAAAGAAATTTATGGAAAAGCAACTAAGATACTGATAATGCAGAAACTTCATAACAAGTACAGACCTGATGAGCATCTAGCGTGCGAAAACATGCCATACTGGTTTGACGAGCCGGTGAACGATTTGTTGGAGTTGGTGAAGAAGCCGGAGAGTGAAATGCATAAATTGATTACGTTTCACATTCGAACGATGGGAGATGAGCACATTGGCATAGCATTTAATGAAGATTTGACGTTGAACGAAGATTTGGCGCAGAGTGAGCGCGACAAGCGCAAATCTGGTGATAACAGGATCAATCGCGTAAAAGCAGCGGCTCTTGAGTTTCCAGATATGGTGAAGAAAATGGTGGAAGTTTGTACATTATTATTCGAAAAGACTGGGAAGAAAACGCACGTGGCTGTAGATTCCCAAGTTGTTCGCAATTATTTGCGAAAGCACGAGAAATTCATCCAAGTCACCGATCCAGATGTTTTGGATTTCAACAAGCACTATAAGGAGGAGCCTTTGTATTCGTTGAACGATATAGCCGATTGGTATTTGTTATCGCTGGGACGAGAGATCGTTGGATTTCCAAGTTCATCGACCTTTAGTTACTCTGCGGCTTGTCGAGGAGCTAGTTCAATACATTACACTAATACGCTGAGGGAATTGACGAGTATACTTGATCGACTTTTAGAAGATAACGGAGTAGAGAAGTATAGTAGGGAGGCTGATGAGAAGTCCAATCCATCAAAAGCCCCTCACGCTTCAGTAGTACATGATAACATTCTAAGCACTCGTGCTAATGATGCTTCTGTGCCCGATTTGATAAGCAGCAATAGCGATAGTAAGTGTGTGTATGGTTATCCCTCGACGAATGAAGAGAATACGTGCATATGCAACACAGATTGGACCGGAGAAAGATGCGAAGTCGATCCGATCCCTTCCTGCGACAGAGAAACATTTCTTTCGTGTGGCGATATTTTGTACCGCTTTGCGCATTCGCAGGAGCTTCCAGGCTTGAAGGAAACGGTGTTTCCTTCTTGCCAGTGTGCAGACGAATGCGTTTCACATTTGCTAAATGCCTACGGTGATGCAATGTACAAGCGCACGTTTTCTACTGATTACAAGCGCTTCGATCCAAGTTTACACCTTTGCACGCAAAATAATAAAGTAAAACGAACGCTTTTTATGGAAATGGATTATGAGAAACGAATTAGTAAGCGTGAGGAAATGGGAGAAGTATCGGATAATGCCACGCAGGAAGAAAGTCGGAAAGTCATGACCAAACTCGTAGACTCTAAAGAACAGAAAGCGACGAACTGTTCCCCAGATTGCGAAAGATTTGGTGGTGGTTGCGTTGATTACGAATGCGTGTTGTGTAAAGAAGGACGTTTTGGCATGGATTGTGCTATGAGTAAAAAAGACTTGGATTCTGCGCGACTGACCGCGCCGAAGCGAAAAGGCAAAAAGGAGCTTTCCCTTTCCTATCTTGATTTACCCGGTACAATTCGGCGGTTCATCCGTGGACAGAGCTACCAGAATCATGGTGGTTACCGGGGAGTGCATTATTTCGAACATTCTCTCCGTAAAGATGCTCAAATATTCGATCCAAATCCGCCTACAAGCGAAACCAGCGACGAGGAGCGCAAAGATATTGTCGCCGTGATCCCTTTTTTCCCTTCTGATACGGTTGGAAACGTTGGAATGGCTCAAATATACGCTTCGCGGGTTGAAAAATACGTCAACGATAAATTTATGGGTGACATATCCTTTTCTACCATATGGTTCAACGCGCAAGATCGCGGATTTTGTACATCACAGAAATCTCGTAATGCACTTCCCTCAAGTGCCATAGGTATTACGCAATACGGACAGTGGCGAGTTCATCCGAACGACGAAACGCCGTGTTTCCGGAGCGAAATAGATATCGTCGTACCCTCCAGCGTCTCTAGTCGGGGTGGATACTATGGCGCGCAAGATCCTGAATTTAAGAGATACGACGAAAAGACAAAAGATGGGTTTCTGCTCTTCTTTGCTGGTTCGGAGAAAAGTAGACCGGAGTGCTTAGGTGAAGAGTTCTTCAAGAATTTAGAAAATAACTGCATGTACTCGTACGGTGGAGGTGCCAGAGGTTGGATTGTCGATTGGTTCAAGGACGAAGAGCGATTTTGGCTCAACAGAAAACTAACACGTTCCATGGAAAAAGGAGACGCAGAGCATCAAGCAGAGGCCATTCGCATGCGCTCCAAGTTCTGTCTCTCCTCGGGCGGAAACGGATGGGACCAAAGATTTATAGACGGTATCAGTCGCGGCTGCGTTCCGGTGCTGACGCAGTTGAACACGTCGCATCCGTTTGAAATCTTGTTAAACTACGAATCTTTCACCATCCGAGCACCAGGTGAGATGATGCGAGACTTACCAGAAGTACTCGAGGATACTGTTTCGAGCGGTAAGTATGCAAAAATGCTTCTTAACTTACGAGTCGTTCGCGAAGCTATAGCTTGGAACGTAACAAACGGACGAGAAGAAAACGACGAATACGATACGTTCACAGTAAACAACGGCGCATATTACCACACCTTAGCTGCTATCGCACTGAGAACCAAGAAAAAGTTACCTGAAAGTGTCGCGGAGAAGTTATGCAAGTTATACTTTGAAAATGAGTATCATGAAAACGCTTGGAAGGATGTTTTGAATGAAGAGTTTAGGCGAGTTCTGGAACCGAGTTGCGAAAAACAATCGAGGTAGATGGATGTGTTGGTTGAATATATTAATAGGCTGGAGATGAATATGAATGTAATACCACTGTAGAAGATAGGAAATTGAATAATATGGATTGTTGCTCGATTGCGAGTAGCGGTTCGAATCATAGTCACCTATAGCATTAGCAGTTTTATCCTTGTCCCTGTCTCTTTATGTTTCTATCTCCCTTGGTGTATTGTATTTTGACGTAGGGAGAAAATGAACGAACTCTGAAAACCTTCCTTCACTTTTTTCTCCTCGCGTATCAAAGCCTTTTCTCGCAAACAAAATGCAGCGAAACTACGGTGAAGATCATCAACCGTACAATGAACCTTACGGCGATTTAGTGCCATTCGGAGACCCAAACTGGTACCGCGGCTACACATCACCATTCTATAAAAAAACGCACTCCGATTTTCGTCTCAAGTGCCGCTCGTTCGTTGAAAAAGAAATTTTACCGTTCGTGCACGAATGGGACGAATCGAAAACCATTCCGAAAGAAATATACGTGAAAACATACAAAGCCGGAATCCTGCCGGGTGTGGTTGGAAAACCGTGGCGTGAAGAATTGACAGACGGGATTCAACCTCCACCAGATTTTGATTACTTTCACGAATTGATCTTGTTTGACGAATTCGCCAGATGCGGGTCCGGAGGCGTCTTGTGGGGGTTGTTGGAAGGCGTGCACATCGGGTTACCGCCGGTGTTAAATTTTGGAAGCGAGGAGTTGAGGAGAAGAGTTGGTAGTCCGGTTTTGCAGGGGAAGAGTATCATTTGCTTGTGCATTACAGAGCCGTACGCTGGGTCAGATGTGGCGAATATTCGGTGCGAGGCGAAGAAAGACCCGACTGGGAGATTTTACACGGTCACTGGAGAGAAGAAATGGATCACGAACGGTATTTGGGCAGATTATTTCACCGTTGCAGTGAGAACCGGTGGGAAAGGGTCGAGCGGAATTTCCTTGCTCGTGATTGAAAAGTCAATGAAAGGCGTGGACTGCAAACGCATGGACTGCATGGGCGTTTGGGCATCCGGAACGACCTTTGTTACGTTTGACGAAGTCAGAGTGCCGGTGGAAAACTTAATCGGTAACGAAAACGAAGGCTTTAAGTACATTATGCACAATTTCAACCACGAGCGATGGGGATTCGTCGTGCAAGCGAATCGATTTGCGCGAGTGTGTTACGAAGAGGCATTTACGTACGCACATCGGAGGAGAACGTTTGGCCAGCGTTTAATCGATCACGCAGTTATTCGGCACAAACTCGCGGAAATGATACGCCAAATCGAAGCCACGCATAACCTACTCGAGAATATCACGTATCAAATGAACACCTTATCTGAAGAACAAAAACCAAAAATGCTCGCCGGCATCACCGCTTTAGCAAAAGTCCAAGCGACGAAAGTGTTTGAGTTTTGCGCCAGAGAAGCGGCGCAGATTTTCGGCGGCGCGAGTTACGTACGAGGAGGGCAGGGTGAAAAAGTCGAAAGGCTGTACAGAGATGTCAGAGCGTACGCTATACCTGGCGGTTCAGAGGAGATCATGCTGGACTTTGGCGTGAGAGATAGCATGAAACAGTTTTCGCGTTTATGAGTATTTGGTCGAGCTGTTTTTTTGTAGCATTTAAGAATGATATCACAAGTTGCATTAAATGTAGAAAGTAATCATCACACATTCATTTACTGTTATGTACACGTACTGCGCGCAGATTGACAAGAGGAATTGATATCGTGCGCTCATTTACGGTACTCGCTCTAAAAATACTCGTTTCTTTCAGAGAAGATGGAGCGGGTGTGGGAGCAGGTTACTAGTAAGGTGACTTCTGAACAAAAAAAATTAATTGCCAAAAACGCTATTAAAACGCTCGCTTGGGAACGCACATACAGATAAAGAATATGCGTTCCAGAGCGGTAAACAATGGTCAGAGTAGACGCGATGATAATGAGTTGAGCAACGACATTGAGGAAGCTGAGATCAAATCTTCTTCTTCTTCAAGAAGATACGATTCTGTTGGCGAGAACTCCAGTCAAAAGTGGATGATTGCGATGCTCTGTTTAGGTATCTTCTTCGGCGTGTTTTTGTCGTTATCAATCCACGACAAAAGTCAAGCGATGATGAAAGGATCGATAGAGGGATTACACAGAAACGTTAAAAATGCGTACATAGCGCATAACGTAGCGAGAAAAGAGTACTTGAGGTCGTATCGTGAAGCGTATTTGGAGTCGATTTTGGCTAATAGTACTGAAGAAGAAGAAAAAGAGGTTTCCTCGGGGTGTCAAAATATGCCGGTTCGCACAGGGTACGACAAATATGGCATACAAGTGAATAATTCTTGGTTTCACCACATTCACATCGCTAAAACCGCCGGAAGTACCATGAATAAGAGATTAGCAAGACGGTATCACGGAGTATGCGGGAATAAGTATACCTCGTGTATAGAACCGTTAGAACATCCAAAAGACGACAGGGCGCCGGAATTTGGCACGGAATTGCCGGAATTTGACTCTTTGCACAAAGATTGGTCGTTTGGTTCTATGACACAAAAAGGTTTTCACGATTGCACATTAGTGTCTTTCGAGAGAGATTGGAACGCTTGGGTGGAACAAGTGCTTCCTGACCATAACTTTCACGCGAATGCGACGAAGGTGATGTTACTCCCGTGCCGAGATCCGTTGGAGCACTTCTTTTCCCAGTGCAACCACAACAACAACCACAACCACAACAAACACAATGCAACTAAGATTTTTGCAAACGTCACATCTTGTGAAGAAGGTATCAACAAGTGTGGTCTCGTTGCTGTCGGCCGGTTTAATATAAAGATGATTCAAAGTTGGGATAAGGTCGTGTTGTTTAAACATTCCGCATTTGATAGCGTTTTCAGTCTCTTGGATAATCACATACCGCTGAGAAAGTTTTTACTCGAATCAAAATTCGACCCGAGTACGAACGATAAGAGAAAGCCAGAAAACGAGAAGTTAAGTAAGATGTGTTCGAAAGAAAAACTCGCTGAAGCGTTGAGAAAGAAGTGGGGGTACTACAATTTCTGCGATAAACTCAGGGGGAGTTTAACTGTTTTGGACGTGGGGATGAACGGGACAGTTGCCGTTGTTGAACCAGCGCGCGTTTATTAAAGTGTGTTTATGATATAATCAAGCACACAAACACACGCACACACAAACACACACAGAGAGAGAGAGAGAGAGAGAAATGATATCGTCGAATGCAGGATGGCACAGGCTTTCCAAGACTTCGCGTCTTCATAATTTCGTTTGCAAACCTTAAGGACTCCATAAAGATGACTGATGTTCGTGTTCGAGTGACTTTAATGGATTCCAAGGGGGAAATTATGGAGAGAGAAGTCTGTGTTCCTCCAACAAAAATGTGTGCGAAAACCCACCATTTCTTCAATTCTACACCGGAATCAGGATTAATTTTTATTCAACCTGTAGTGTATGAATATCCAATAATTTTTATTCATTCCTCCAACAAAAATGTGTGCGAAAACCGCGTACATCTTGGAAATAAAACTTCGCTTTACCTGCACTTCGATTTTGGCAGACAGCGTTCCAAAACTTCTTCGACGCTTGTGTGTGGAGTAGAGACATAGGTCCACCAACAGTCAGTCGTATGTAACCACGATGCGGCTTCCAACGAGCTTGATAACTCATCCCACCACAAATTCATATTTTGTGGCGTAATATCATCCCACGAATCTACCACCACTATCGGATACCCTTCTTCCTTTAGCAGCTTGTAATATTCCAGTGGTGGAACAATAGGAATGGTCTGTAAAATTAGCGATTCAGTCCACTTTGAGGAGCAGACTCCATTTCCATCGGGGACTATGTAGAAACGATATTTTGCTAGCTCTTCATGCCAATTTTGCATAGGTATATGCGATCTCTGAATCCATTCAGTGCTGTTGACCCAGTCAATTAGGCTTCTCCGCCAGGGAAGTTCACGGTCAAGATGAGGCCATACAGTTCCCCAGGCAGCAAGCACACCTTGCTTTGTTCCCAAATTTATTTTTTTTAAGGCACTTTCAAACTTCCCTTGGGGAATGCCAAGCACATAAAAGTCCGCTAGCCCAGTAGGCAACGGCTTTATGTATTCTATTCCGACGTCCATGGCTTCGTAATAAATCTGATCGAAGTACTGAGAGTCGTGAAAACTTTTTACTAAGTTCAGAATCCTTGGGTTACTAATATGCGTGTCTCCTCCGCCGAAGACGAGGGTTCTAAAACAAGTTTTTGAAGGCGACGAGTTTTTCATGCCTCTTATCGCGTCGTCCAAGATATCTGGTACCGCTTCCTCTGGAATTTCTATGAAACAAGAACAGATATCACCATTTTGCCAAGTTGAATACTGCAACGCGTTTGCACTGACCCAGTGCGACCAAAATACGACGACATCAAACTTGTGGTAGATCGGTGGATACTCGTGGCGGAAATCGAACTCTGCCAGCCTTGAGAGGCCTGCTCGCATCGCACTAAACCGGTCAACTTTTGGCATATTAGCAAGCTCGTCGTAACTGAGGGGAGGTAGTTTTTTTTCCATTTTTGGCATTTCCCCCCCTTTTCCCCCTTTTTTTCCTTTTTTGGCATACACCGCTGGGGTTCTCCACCTCGTAAAAACAAAAGAGCGGAAAATCCCTTCGTTGACCACTTTGTCAACGAGCAGCGAGGTTAAGTATCTACCGGAAGCTATGTCATGCTTGCCGTTCTCGAGCGTTTTGAATGCAATATCTCCTCCTTCTTCTCTAGTTACAGCTCCTACTTCCTCTTTCACCAACTCCTCTTCCACTTTCTTCACATGCTTGCCGTTCTCGAGCGTTTTGAATGCAATATCTCCTCCTTCTTCTCTAGTTACAGCTCCTACTTCCTCTTTCACCAACTCCTCTTCCACTTTCTTCTCTTCTTCTTTCACCGTGCTTTCCAAAATCATCACGGTTTCAGCGTTATTCACATTCGCTTTCACTTCCTCTAAATATGTTTCTCGATATCTCTTCAAGTACTCCTTCGAAGCCTCACTGTGTGCTTTATACGCGCCTTTCACGTGCTTGTGCACGATGCGCACCGATTTATGTTTCATAAAAGTAGGGAGAAACGCGCCGAAAAGGATACCTAAAACGAGTAACAGCCAAGGATTTTTCGGCACCATCATCATCGACGGCAGGGAGGAGGAGGAGACACTTTTCTTTTTCTTCATCGCGCCGCTGCTATCGAATTCATCATCGTTTCCGTTTATATTGAAATTCCTTTCGACGTCGATGTTTCCGTCCTCCTCCGCGTTTTTGTTGGTGGTAGGGAGTCGCGCGCGCATCTCTTCAGAGAGAGAGCGTTGTGTACAATGTGAGTTGTGAGGGGGCTGTGAAAAGTTTTGCATTTTTCGCACTCTGTGACTATCGAACATCATTCGAGTCTCTCACACATACACCATAAACGCGCATCTACAATGTACAACTCTATATGTTATCTATATTAAATATATTATCTATATTAAATCATCATAAAGCGGGAACGCACGCGCGAACGATCCTCCTCGCGATCTCATCGACGTCATCTCTGCCCACCGTGGCGTAGTGTCGAAGGACGTAAAAAAATGTGGATGCTTTTTTATACATCGAAGGAGAGAGCGCGACTTTCCTCGTCGAGCGTGATGAGGATGATGATGATGGCGGCGACGGCGACAACAGCCGCTCGCGCAGAGCAAAGTATAAGTGCGATTTTAACTCGGTCGGGTTGGACGCGTCTCGCGTGAAGCCGAGTTTGCCGTAGAACGCGGCGCCGGTCAGGATGACTTGCTTGCCCATGATTACAGATTCTAGTCCGGAAGAGCTCACGACAGTGACGACGACGTCCGCGGCGTCGACGAGTTTGTACGTGTTCAAACGGTTGGTACCGTCGACGCTTAGGAGCGTATTTCTTTTTGCGATTTGTATCGCGTGCCAACGAGGATCGTTTACGAGTTTCGTCTCCGTCGGAGATCTTCGTTTGAACACTCTCTTCTCCGCCGGGTGCATTTTGACGACAAAATCGACGTTATTTTTGACGCACCAAAACGCGGTGTTGATGATGACGTCGACTTGGTCGTTGAAACCGCTTTCGATCATGTACGTGACGCTCGTGTCAGAGTACACGTGCCCGAGGAAAACCACCAGCGGCCGGTGCTTCGGGCGAGCGCTGATTTCAGACGGTAAATTCGTCGATGGAGACACATGCATATCCCACTTTTCTTTATTCTTTTCAAACCCTTTGGTGCCGTACATTTTCTCCTTGTAGTCGAGAGCTTCTCGGACGGCTGCATTTTCATCCACCAAATCTTTATACTTCCAATAATATGACTTTTCCGAGCCTTGACTGCTCGCCACGCCGGTAGTCGTATCGACAATCAGTCGCCAAAACGGAGCGTTTTCGAAAGACACCACACCGACGCCCAACTTTGCGGCGACTAATCTATACGCGTAATTAAATCCGTTTAATCCCGACCATATCGCCCAAACCTTTTTTACTTCTTCGTTGCTTTCAACTGCCCCTCCTCTGTCTTCGTACAGCGCGTGCGCTTCGTCGATCCAATACTTGGCCGCGTTCATCAGCGATTCTATTTTCTCTCTGTACTTCTCATCTATTTTCTCTGTTTTTTCTAAATCTCTCATCGACACTAGATAGTTTTCCGGTAACGACGGCACTTTATGATCGTGTCCGACCCCAACGCCGTCGGTGACGTTCCAAATTAGCGGATGCGCGACAATCGGGAACAGAGGTATTCCTCTGTGCATCGCCGTCTTCAAATCTTCCATCTTACTGCTACTCGTATCGTACTCCCCTCGTTTGTGTCGCGGGATTTCAAACTCGTTGTGCGGATGCAAAACGCACCTTTTCATCGTGTACTTCAACGCGTCGCCTACGTTTACGCGCACCAACGCGGAGGCACGATTCGCTTCTTTTTCAATCGCCATTTGCAACTGGTCCGCGCTGAACGAGAACTTGTTCTTATCTTTCGTTTGCACGCACAAGTATATCGAACATCTGCCTCTGCTTTCGCTCGACGCTACCGCGCGTTTCAGAGGAGAAGGAGGAGGAAAAAGAGATCGTCCAGAGACTTCTTCTTTATCGTCATCATAATCGACTTCGCTTCTTCTCTCTCCGCCGTCGGCGAAGGAAAGGTCCGCTTCGACGTCCTCGCTTCTCCTCGAATGGTGTTGTTGAGATTCGCTCTTTCTCCACCTCTGGGAAGGAGGAGAAGAAGAAGCGACAAAATACCGCTCGAAGAGCGCGCCAAACGCGAACAGCGTCGCGCCGGCGATAAAAAGTAAAACGACCGCTCTTCCTCTGTTGTTCGCGAACGAGGTGGTGATCATGTTTTCAGTTTTAATCAGTTGAAAGTGTTTGTGATGAGAAAAGTCGATTGTTGTTGTTGTTGTCGCGCGGAAGCAGAAGAAGACGCGCGACGACGACCGAACGCGGCATCCATCGTCGTTTGTGTTTTATGATGATGATGAGTAACAGCCGCCGTTCAATCCGCCCGTCTGTCTGTCTTTGTGTTTGTGTATCGAGCAAAAGAGAGAGAGAAGAGAGAGAAAGCGCGTCGAATTTCTACGAGCTCGAACGTAAATTTTTTCGATTTTTTCTCGTCGCAAAACCGATGAATACGAATACTCCATTCCCTAGACTATTAATTTCTTGCAAAGAGCACACGTCCATAAAAACTTTGAAGAGTATGTCGATGCGGATTTTGAAGTCTCGCTTGTTTGTCGGTGTGGTATCTTTCTTCTTAGGTGCACTGTTGGTCTTTCACGGTGTGAAAAGAAAGAACACCGCGAGCTGCTCCCGAGCTCCTGTCTCGGATTTGAACACCACACTTGCGACATTTGGACACTACATTGAACACTATAATGACGAGAGATATTTGGGGAAACAAGACACGTTCGATCCACCAGCGCGAAAGCCAGGATATACTTACAGATCAACGACGTATCAAGCTGTATACGATAAAACGTGGACGAGTGGCGGTTACCCGGCCCAGTCGTGCTGGGGGTGTCGCTTTGCTACAGATGTGATAGCGAAGTTGAAGTTTCATACAATTTTAGATGCAGGCACGGGGAATGGTGCTTTAACCCGCTTGATGCGGCAGTATGGTAAAAATGCGTATGGGATCGAGTTGTCTCGTGCAGCTTTGGAGAAAGAGTGTCCAGATTTGTTATCAAAAAATTACGTAGAAGCAGGAATCTTGACGAACTTGCCCTACGAAGATAACTCGTTCGATTTAGTCATGAGCTCTGACGTCCTTGAACATATCGACCCGGCAGAAGCAGATGCGGTGGTAAAAGAGTTGGTTCGGGTTTCACGCAGGCATCTTTTTCTGTCTATTTCTCTGAAAAACAATGGAGCTCCGAAAGGTGAGGCTGAACACACGTTACTTCGTCCAAGAGTTTGGTGGCATAAACTATTTCAGAAACATGGCGCTGTTGTTAACGAAGAGTTTCTTTGGGCCATGCAAGAGAAAGACTCTCAATATATAACTGAGAACCAAAAGAACTGTAGACAGGAAGGTGACGAAAGTGATGGTGGACTTTTTGAGGTTTGCTCCGTTTCAAATACATGGTTAGTTGGGAAAAGGGAACAAAGAAATGTGCGAATGCATAGATCTGTTACAGAAAATGGAGAACTTGAGCCCTGGTTCTTTGCGTTTAGAAAAACTTATGTTTCCATGGAAAAAATCGCACACATTAAGTTAAGTTAATAATAGACGAGGAGGGGTTGGGACCGCGTGAGCACTACACTGCCAGCATCGGGATGTAAGTACGGTGTTTTTCATTGTAAGATAAAAAATACATTGGAGTATTTAGAAAAACAAACCTCGCTCGAACTTCGCGATTTGGTTCTTTTCCACGACGCATTCGATGTATTGTTCTTTCAGAAACCAGAAACGGCGCGCGAACGATGGGAAGAGTTGGTGCATGATAATAAATGGAATCGGTCACAAGTTGTGTTGTTCAATGCAGAATCCAACTGTTACCCTAACACCACTGCTTGTGATGTTCAACGAAAAAGATACGCGTCTTCAGCCACACACATGGTTTCTGGTTCCAAAGAAGTTGTGTCTTGGTTGAACAGTGGTGTGTACATGGGCACAATTGATGCCGTCATACATATGCTTCGTTCTGCGAATGCCCTTTATTCTTCTGGACAAAATTGGTGGGGGGGAGACCAACATGTCTTTCATGAACTCTGTTATATGTCCGCTGTACATTCCGACTTTGAGTGTATGCTTGATGTGTCGCAGACCATGTTTAGAACGGCGTATCCATACGACAACTCAAATGTTGGCCCTGGAAAATCATCGTTGATTATTAAACGGTGGGCGGATGTTGCCCGAGACAGTGCCGTGACAATACATTTCAACGGAAAGGCAGGCAATGATGACTTTATAGAATGGATACTAAAGGAATTAGTTAGTTAATTAGTTTCATGGTGAAAAGCAACAGGAATTTAGACTTTATGAAATACAAGAACATATACTGTTTATTGCGACTACCTTTGGTACATAAAAAAATTATTCCACGTCGACGGCGCTAAATATTCCTCCTCTCTCCGACGAGGGACTTTTCGGTAACGGGGTGCTATTTTCCTTCTCTTCTTCTTCGGCTGTAGAGGCGTCATTGTTATTGAGCTCTTCCTCGGCTTCTTTCAACAAAAAATCTATGAACAAATCCGCCACTGGAACTTCTGCGTTCTCTCCCGTGGCGCCTACAACCCTCAATCCAACCCCGGATATCGCTCCAAAAGCTTTCCCGACGCCTCTGGCGATTCCTAACGGTGCCCTCGCGACTTTAGATATCACTCCAGTTGCTCGTCTTGCGCCTAAAACGATCGCTTCTCGTTGCGAGTCTTCCATGTTTAACAGTCTCGACATCAATTCGAGCACCTCTTCGGAAAAGTTGCGTTCGAAATACGTCACCAAAAGCTTCGTGATGACCGACTTGTCGATGAACACTTCGTTCTCGCCATCATCACAACCAGCAGATGATGAGGACAGCCGCGCGATTTTTTTAATCGCTTGCGTCAAAGCGACTCTCAACTTTGTGGACTGCGCGGTTGCCTCGGCGCACTTTCTCGAAGCGTCTTTAAACTTTTCTTCGGCTCTCCCTCGTTTCCTTTCCAACTCTTCCATCTCCATCGTTTTCTTCTCCAAAAGCTCCATGGTCTCTCTCAACTTACCACTCGTCTCTCTTAATTTCTGCCTCGCCTCTTTCGCTTCGTTCGTCCTCCCGTCCATCTGTTCCTGATCGGCGTAAAAACTTCCCAACGCTCGATTTAAATTTTCAACCTCTTTTATTTTCCTATTCAATCCGTCTTCTTTCTCCATCAGTTGCATCGAAAGTCGCTCCACTTCCTTCTCGAACTTCTCTTCCACTCTTCTCTTCTCCTCTTCCACCCGTTCTTCGATCGACATCTCGTCTCTATCCTCCGCCTCTTCCACGTCCAACAAATGTTCCCGCAAGCGCTTCAACTCTTTCTCTTTCGTTTCGAGCGCTTCGCGACACTCGCGGAGTTGCGATTGAAATCGATTTTTGATAGTCTCCGCGTCCATGAGTTTTTGCGATAAGCGCGTGGAATCTTCGCCTCGCGCTCTTTCCGCGAGCTCTTTTTGGCGTTGGAATTCTTTCGCGCGCTTCTCTAAAAGGAGTATTTGTTTTCCTCGTTCGTTTTCGTTTTCGCTCCTGTTCGTTGCATTTCCACCACCACCACCACTCGAGGACGCAGAAGCCATCATCGTCTTCATCTCCTCCATCAACCGCGCGTTCTCCTCCGATAACGAACCAATCACACCTTTCAGCATCACTCGCTCTTCCTCGTGCCTTTGTTTTTGCTGCTGTTGTTCTTCTCGTCGTTCTCCGTCGTGAGCGTCCAATCCACTCCGTTCTCGTTTCCTCTCTTTTTCCAATTCCAACCGAGCTCTGAGTTGCGCGATGCTGCTCGTCGTGGTCGCATTTTCGCCGCCTAGTGTTCGCTCGTCGTCGGAGGAGGAGGGGGAGAGGTCGAGCGGCATCTCTCCGTCTCTCTGTCTCTCTCTGTCGCTCCGTGTTCGATGTGTTTGTGTGCGTTTTTTTCTGTCGCAATGCTTCAAAACAAATCCAACATGGTGGCGAAAAACACCTTTCGCGGCGGCGTTTCCGAGCGAGAATTCGACGGCGGCAAGAACAAGAACACCGCGATTGCTGCTCATGTTCATCGAAATTTCACTTTTACCAAAAATTTCATCGCGTCCGCTTTGCTCGCGTTCGTGACTTCCGCGCACGGTTTGCTCACGACGGCGTCTCTCCGGGGAAAAGAAAAGTACAGTTACAACGTCGCGACGGTACCGTTACTCGCGGAAGGGTTGAAGTTATCGATAAGTTTTGTTTTGTTGAAAAGGGAGATGCGTTTGATGGCATCGTCGTCGTTGTCGTCATCGTCGGAGAGTGCGAGTACTAAGGTGGTGATGACCACGCAAGTGAAAACAGTCATGTTGTATCCGATTCCGAGCTTGATTTTCTTGTTGCACCAAGCGGTGTCGTTTCCGGCTTTAGTGTTATTAGATCCGACGACGTTTCTGGTTTTAGGAAACCTGAAGATTGTCATCACTGGGGTATTAACCAGGATCTTTTTGAAGAGCACAAGCGCTGGATGGACGTATAAGAAGTGGATTGGTTTGATCTTGGTCACGGTCGGCGCGTGTACGACGCAAGTCGGCAAGAGCGAGAAGACGGGCGGGAAGTGGATGTTGTTTCAAAGATTTAGCGCGTTTGGGTATTTTTTAGGGATTGGAGACGCAATTTTGAGCGCTTTGGGAGGCGTATACGTCGAGTTTGTATTTAAAAAGAACATAAACGATTCGATTCATTGGCAAAATCTGCAGATGTACGCGTTCGGGTTGTTGTTTAATAGCGCGAGATTGACGTATTTGGATTTTAGGAAGTTTGGCGGATGGGACGATGACAACGACGATTCTAGCGGCAATGAAGCGGTGTATGCGTGGCCTATGACTGTGTTTTCTGGACACTCTTTCATATCGATGTGCGTGGTTGCCAATCTGGCATTCGGTGGTTTATTAGTCTCGCACATTATAAAAAATGTAGACGCCATCGCGAAAGTGTTCGCCACCGCCTGCGCCATGTTCCTCACGCCGACGTTGTCGTTTATTTTGTTCGCGCACGTACCAAGCCCAGCCATTTTTGGTGGAGTTTTGATTGCCAGCTATGGTATGCTGACGTATTACGACTTAGTTCCAATTCGGAGCAGCGGGAACTTGAGTAGTAGTAGTAGTAGTAGTAGTAGTAATAGTGATAGTATCGATAGCAACGAGAAGAATAGAACTGCGACGACGCCGAGAAGTCGCCGGGGCGTGGTGTTGTAATAGTGCATTCAACTGGTACATGGCTCTAGTGCTAAAAACTAAATTCAACTACACGGTTCTAGTGCTAAAAACTAATGCAAACGTCCCTCTCTTCGTTTGATTCGGCAGCCGCGCTTACGCTTATGGTCAACTCGGCGCCGGACGTTTTCGGAATAACGACGAGCGAAGACGCGTCCGTCGTCGTTTTCCTCAACACGTGCACGTTCGTCTTCGTCTCTCGAACGACCACGCCAGATTCGCCGACCAAGCTTGCTTTTCGGTGTTTCGTGACTAAAACAACCGCCCCGAAAAGTTCCCACGCGTCTTTTTCCTTACCGTCTCGCATCGATATCCCATCCACGTGTTCATCCATCGTCGTCGTTTTCTTCGCCTTCTTCTCCTTCCTCCTCTCTTCCAACTCCTTCGCGGCGTATTCTCTCCACAATTTCCTTACTCTCCTCAAAGATTCCCACGTCAACGCGTTCGTCTTCTCTTTCCCATTACCAAAAAGACCATCGCCGCCCATTTTCGCTCGCACCATCTTCTTCCATCCCCTCCCAGAATACTCCGCGCTCTCCGCGTTCGCGAACCGCCTTCGTCGTTCCTCCTTCCGGTGCAAGTCGCCCTCTCTGTCCTCTCTGAACCTGTTATTAGTATTGTTATTACTGCTTGATTCGAGCATCAACATCTTCTTCTCCGGAAGTTTCGTTTTCATCAAAACTTCCGTTCGCCCGATGTCTCTCTCGTTTCGTTCGAACAAGTCTCGAATTATATCCAAAGATTCTTCCATCCTCCCGCTGTTGTTCTTGTTGTTTTTTCCCTCCTCCTCTGCAAACGGAGAAGACGAGTACACCCACGAGGTCTCGTCTTCGTTCGTTAGTTTTGATGATGTTTTTGCCGCCGACTTTTGCGCAATGTTTCCCCGTCCTTGTTGTTCTTCTTCTTCTTCTCGCGGGGCGGCTCGTTTCTTGCTCATCTTCTCGCCGATATTCTTTGTCTTCGTCGTCGTCAGTCGAGAGTCCAACCGAGCGATTCTGGACTGCTTGTTCTCGTTGTTGTTGTGCTTCATTTCATCACGTTGTCTGTGTGTGTGTTTTAGAAGTGAAAAATTTTAAGTGTAACTTTGAGTCTTTGTATGTGTCAATCTGTCTATCAATCGATCAATCTATGCTCTCATCAGTCGCCGCTCTGTTGCCCGGACTTTGATTGTACTCGTCTGACAAATCTTGCGTAATCTTCGTCCGTTGGTTCTGGAGAGCCTTTTTCGAGCAAGTAGTTTACGCAATCGGGGTGCTCGTAATACCGAGCGTGAGCGACATGCCAGGCATGAGGAGGTACTTTCGCCTCTTCGATTAAGTATTTGAGGCAGTCGATTTGGCCATACTTTGCAGCGCCTGACACGAGGGTGAACTTTCCCACCTCCTCTATCATCTTTCTTTCTTCGACGAAATATTTCAAGATCTCCACGTGACCACCGCATGCTGCTTCTCCTGCCGCTTGCATTTCCGTACCTCGCGAAGGTTGCACTTTGTCGACAAGAAATCGAAGACAGTCGAGGTGTCCTCCTGCAGCAGCTTGAGTGCACGCCTCTTTTTCTTCACACGGGCAACCATTAGAGAAACAGTACTTCAGCATCTCGAGATTACCTTTAAGTGCTGCCGCAACAATCGTCATTGCATTCCACTCGCAATGTTTCACTTCTCTCGCCCACTTGAGCAACTCGAGTTTGTTCGTTGCAGCAACTCCCGCGCAAAACAAGGCTTGATCCATCACTCTTCCACTTTGACTTTTCTCTCCCCAAGCCATGTTATTCCACACCCATTCCAACGTCGAAATGGATGAACATTCGTCAATAGACCATCTTTTCAGATCGTTTACCCCGGCATACTTAAGCACATCCAAACTCTCTCCATTCACCTTCTTAAAGAAACACCGATCTGTCCCATTCAATTTCGGAATCACATGCGAGACAAAAACATCCTTATGATGCAACACCAACCCGGTCCACAACTTCGTCGGTCCAAGCTTCAGCCGCTCCATATTCGCTCTCGCTCGTTCGACAGCCTCTTCCTTCTCCCTCTTCTTCTTCCTCTTCTGCGCGCCGGAGAGATTCTTCCCCATTATTATTAGTCAAACTGGTAAACGTCTTTTTTTTTTCTTGTTGTGCTCGTAAAATTTTGTATCTTGAAACGAGAGCAAAAAATACGAGCGCACGTTGCCCATTTCACATTCGACAAATATAATATATTTTTGCGCGTCGTTCATTCATTCATCGTCATTCATCAGAGAGCAATCATTCGATAACGGACACGTAATGTCAAGGATGTTGACAATTTCCTTCTGTTCTCTCTCGCGCACCCCCGCAACATACGCGATGGTGGTACCGCACAAAAGAATCAAACGACGAGATCACGTGACGACGAGGCGAGACGTTTTGCGAACGAAAAAAAAGAGCAACAGATCTTCTTCCGCGCCGACGCCGGGGCTTCCAGGAGGGTCAGAGAAAAGTGCGTATACCAACCGCGAAGGCAAGGAGACGGAGAAGGAAAGGATGTCTTTACCGCCGTTTGAAACCGCAAAGTCCGGTCCAAAAACAACGCAATGTTTGTTGTTTGAAATCGAACTTCCATCGAGAGATATCGGCATTGAATTCAAAGAAGTGAAAGGCGCACGATTTGCGTGCATGGTATCTAAAGTCGAGAGAACGTCTCGAGCGTTTGGCAAGGTTAAGGAAGGAGACCTGCTGACGCGAGTGACGGCGACGCAAATTCACGAGAAAGTGCCGGAAACGCAAGCGACGACAATTTTGGATCCTTGGAAATGGAATTCCGGGTGGTTTGAGTGTAAAGATGAGTCGTTCGACGACGTTCTCGCGGCGATTCGTTCGACGGCTGTGGTAAGCGCCGGATACGTCCACAAGTTAGTGAGGTTCGAATTTTTACGAACCGAAGAAGACGTCGCGGAAAAGGAAGAGGAGGAAGAGGAGGAACGCGCGACCGAACTCGCTTCAGACGACCAGAGAGTAAAAGAAAAAGAAGAAGAATCAAAAGAGAAAGAGAAAGACGAAGAAAAAGAATCATCCTACCGCGAAGCGCTCTCGCACAGAGGCAAACTCGAAGCCGACCGCGAGGCGAAACATATCGAGTTTCCGAAAGAAGAAATCGAAGGCGGTTTCGCCAAAGACGAAGATTCCAAAAAGCTTTTCAAAGAAGAGACGTCCGCGTGGGACGATTGATTGAAGAGAGAGAGTCGTCGTCGAAAGAGAGAGAGAACGAGAGAGAACGAGAGAGAGAGAAACAAAGAGCGTTTTGGAGAACGCGCGCTTAAAAAATACTACCACTACGTCCTTCTTTCGAGCAGTCGGGGTTAGAAAATAGCGCTTGTAAAATGTCGAGTATACCCAAAGCATACCGTTGGTTAAAAGAGTACTCGACACATCTGCGTCTGCAAAGGCACGCGAATAGAAAAAAGACCTCACCGTTCAATTCGATGCGGATGATTCGATGAAGCGCCGAGCGTATTGTTTGGTAGTATTTTCGCCCTTTTTTTTTTCTGAAAATATTCCTTTTCTTTGCATTTGGAATAAAATCTCTCGGCAGCTGCCACACAAGTCTGACGCTTCGAATTTGATTTCTTTTCAATGTTCTCGTCGGCTCCTTTGGAGAGTAGTTCACGACCTGTGGACGAGAATGGGACGAAAAAGGGCGCGATATTGTCCTCGACTTTATCGCCTCCCGGTGGGTCGTCGTCGTCGAGCTGCGAGACCTCGTTTGGGAAAAGCATCGCGCCGGCGATAACGGCGACGAAATTGGAACAAATCTCGTTGGCGGAAAAAGAAGAAGACGAAGACGAAGAAACAGAGAATAGGATGATGTGTTATTCAGAAGAAGAAGAAGAAGAAGAAGACGGGATGACGGGGTCGACGTCGGACGAGGAAGATTTGGAGGCGAATTTACCTCCTTTGAGCGCGGAAACGGACCCGTTGGTTGTCTTGAAGAGAATATCTTTCGGGTGGCAGTTCGCTTTGGTTGATTTCGCTCTGTTTAAGAGAGTCGGCGGGGGGAGGTATTCGGCGGTGTATCACGCGAAGTATAAGCGGTTAGGGATGGATATGGCGTTGAAGAGGTACGTGAAGGAACGATTGCAGCCACACTCGATGGAGCAAATCGCGAGAGAGATTGCGATTCATTCGCAGATGCAACACGCGAGCATAGCGCCGTTTTACGGAGCGTTTTTGGACGACCACACCGGGGATATCTATTTGATTCACGAGTTTGCGCAGAGAGGTGATGTGTTTCACGCGCTGAACGCGACGACGTTTGGGAGGTTTTCGGAAACGAGAGCGGCGAGAGAGGTTATCAAGCCGCTGGTGAACGCGGTGGTGTATTTGCATCAAAGAGGCGTCGTGCATCGAGACATTAAACCGGAAAATATTCTCGTCGCCGAAGCCGGGTCGACGATGGTGATGAATGGGGGTTTACAGGCGAGAGAAACGACGACGATGCAGAACAATCGAGCGTACGCGAGACACACGGCAAAATTGACGGATTTTGGTTTCGCGTGCGATTTGAACGTGCACAAGCCGTTGGCGAGATTAGGCACGACGGATTACATGGCGCCGGAAGTGGTGGCGTGCAATCGCGAGAGGCGCGAAGAGTTGCAACAAAGGAACGAAAGTGGTTACGGCGCGGCGGTAGATAATTGGGCGATTGGTGTTTTGACGTACGAATTATTGGTTGGTATTCCTCCGTTTGCGGGGCCGAACAGTCCGAACAGAGAAGACACGTACGAGAGGATTTTGAAAGGTTCGTATTCAAAGATTCCGAGTTTTGTCAGCGACAAGGCGAAGGATTTTATCGCGAGGTGTTTGGAAGTAGATCCGGAGAAAAGAGCGACGGCGGAAGAGTTGTTAGAGCACGAGTGGTTAGTTTCGAGGACGATGGTGAGACTCGGCGGTAGTAGCGCGCCGATATCGCCGACATCGACCGACGCGAAGACGACGGTAAAATCGACAAAAGCGGAGAAAGAAGAAGGTGAAACGACTGCCACCGCCCCTTCGCGAAAGACTATTCCGAACGAGGGTGAGAAAGGGACGACGAGCGTTGGTGATACGACATCAGATGGCAACGGCGCCGTGATTAAGATTCTCAAAGAACAGATAAAAATTGCAAACGAAATCAATAATAATGCCGTCGGGTCGACGAGTCACGAGATTGAAGAAATCGTCGAAGAAGAGGAAGCAGAAAATGATACCAAGAATAAGAAGAAGCAAAGCGTTGGAAGCGAAGATGACCCGTGGAGTACTTCGGATGAATCGTTAGAAAATGAAGAAAACTACGTTCGCGAGTTGGCCTCAATCGCCGCCGGTCGATCGGCTTCAATCGCGATTGCGGGTATTTCAGGAAGCACGCACAACGCGGGTGGCGGTGGTGTATACTCGACACACGTCCCAACCAGTCAACTGTCGTTGATGAAAGAGAAAGCCGCCGCGGCGGCGCCTATTTCGCCCTTGAAGCACCCAATGAAAGCGCCTCTGCCACCTCCTTCGCCTTCAACAAAGAAGAGTTCGGACAACACCGTGGAAGGCTTGGGATTCGGCGCTCAGAAAATCGATTTAGCCGGGTTAGCCGCCTTACGCGCGCGCTACGCCGGAGAAGAGTACGAAAGCAACACCGGCACACCCGCGCGGTCTTCGTTCGACGGAAAGCTACAAAAAGAGCAGAGTACAAGGAAAACAATAAAGACGGGTGACATTCCTTCGTCGCCTTCCATCTCGATGTTTGGCAAACTCATGCAAAGGTCGCAATCCGCGATTGCGACGAAATCGTTCAATCACCCGGAAGCGGCGAATGGTAGTGATAGCGCCGCTTCTCCGCGAAAGAAAAAGTCAATGACATCATCATCCTCTGGAAAGAGTGTGAATATTGATGTCCAACGTTCCTCGCAATCCTTCTTGCAACGCATGCGAGGATCGTTGTTCTCTTCGAGACGGGTGCGAAATTTGACGGGCGCGACGAACGATGGCCAAAGCGAGTTTGACGACAGAAATATCAAGACTTAGCAGCAATATAGTAGCCGCAATAGGTTTAAACGTAGTAGATTAGTAGATTAGAAAACTTGTACAAATATGCATTCCGTTATTACTATTGGACACATCAGCCGTGCGCGAGATACCCAGGATTCACATCGTACCGTATCGGGACAAATCCCGAACCATATCTTACGAACTGCTTTTGCTCGTACCCGCGCGGATTGACGTACCCTTCGCAATACAATGCGCATCCTCGTTCTATGCCTTCGTCTATGTACGCCGTAAAAGAACACCACCTGAAACTGTTTTTTTTGAGAGAAAAAATACGCAGGCATGGCAGGCAAAACATAAGTTTTGGATAAAACGAGAGAATAAAAAAAAACAGAGACAAACACTTTGCGCGCGCGCATGCATAGCGAGAGAGAAAAAGAACGCATAAACGCGCGCACCACGGAATCTCCAGACACGTGTTGCACTGTTCTCTCCATTCGAAAGATGGGATGAACTGACACTTATCGAGACATTTCGCCTGTCCCGTGACAACAAAAAAGGTAAAGGTCAGGAAAACGAGAAAAAAATTCATCATTTTTTGTGAGGTCTGTTTTTTATCCATCATTCACATGTTTGCGCTCTCGTCGTCGTCGTCGTCATCTGCGGGGTTTGTTAAAACCAACAACAAAACCTTGAAAAACAGGAGACAGACGATGGGGATGATGATGCTTTTCGGTGGTTTTTTCTCCGAAACCGATGCAGTTTTTGCATCTTCTTTGTCTTCTGCAAAGAAGAGATTAGTTAGCGACGGATACTCGATAGAGTTGGACGAAAAGTACACCGCGGAAGAATCAAAAGGGGTGTCGACATCAACACAAACAATTAAAGACGAATCCGGGAATATTATCGCGACGATTCGGAGCGAACCGACCGGTACGATGGGGAATTACGGGTTACAAAGCATGTTCGCGAATGTGGATGAGTTCGGGGAGAAGATGAAAGGACGGTATAAAAACGCAGACGAGGACAAAAACTCGAGCGGCGAAAGTAATAAACGGGCGGCGAAAGAGTTAGAAGGGAGTGGAATGTACGCTATTGAGTTGAGCGGGAACAGAGTCGTTGGGATTGTGGTTGGATGTAAGGATGGCGAGAACGGGAGGAAGTTTAATCAGATGCAAACGATTAGCGCGTTTGCGCAAGCGAACGACGAGAGGAAGAAAGAGGAAGCGTGGTCGATTTTGGAATCGCTTCGATTGACGACTGGGAAGACGTGCAGCGGGTGATTAAGTTCATCATCATATCTGATGATAGCATTGCAATAGAATAGAAATAGAAGCATTAGTTCGTTAGTCTGTAGCAACAAATGTACTCGCGTTCCAAACGTCGGTGGCGTCCATTGACTTTCTGAAAAACGCCGGTTCCGATACTCGCACGTTTAAAGCTTCTCCTCCTCCTCCTCCTCCTCCTCCTCCTGCGTCGTTGCGCCAAGGCACGGCTTCTGGTGGTAACGTAATCTCTGCCGCGAAGAGATGCAACTTCGGTCGATAGTTTTTCGCGTTATCGCAGTGCGCTTTACCTCCGTATCTATCGTCGCCTAAAATTGGCATGTTCAGTTCCTTCTCGGCGTGCTTTCGCAGTTGGTGCGTCCGCCCGGTTTTCGGGTGGAAATCGATCAAAACCTTCGTGACGGTATTCTCGTCGTCTTCCCCGGTCTCGTCACAAATTGTAAACTCGGTTTCCGCGTATTGATTTCTCTTTGGTCCCATATCGTTGCTCGTAATCGTCCCACGCTTCTCGTTTATTTTTCTCTTTCCGAGACCTCCGTGTGCGTTCGTATACTCTATCAACACCGCTCTGTACCGCTTCCTCGCCGTGCGATCTCGGAAAGCTTCGGAGAGCACTTTCAACGCTCGACGTGTTTTCGCGCACACAACTAACCCTCCCGTCAAACTGTCTAACCTGTGGACCGGTCTCGGACGATGCAGCGCGCCCTCTACGTTGACCGCCGGCGCGGCGATATACGGCAACACTCGATCTAAACTCCAACCCTCTAATTCGCTATTACTACTACTATTATTATTATTATTATCATTATTGCTATTCTTACTCCTCGCAGCGTTACCACTCATCTTTGTCTTCAAAGTTGGAATCCCAAACGATTTCCTCACGATCACGCACTCCTCGTCTTCGTACGCCACCGTCGTCGCGTTATCGCCCTCTCGAATCTCCTTCGGCATATCCTCGCGCGATAATAAGCGAGAAGAAGAAGCAGCATCACCCGCGCCAAAATTCGCGTTCATTCTCGCCTGAATTTCAATCGTGATCGTTGTTCCTTCTTCCTCTCCTTCTTCGTTGCTTTCAAACCATTCTTTCAACACTTCGAATTCAACATCTGCTTTCGCTTCGTTCACCGTCACTTCGCCTCTTCGGATCGCTTTTTTGGCGGCTGTTTTCGTCGGAAATCGCTCGGGAAACGCGCGCACGAGCACGTCCGCGATGCGCATCGACGATTTCATCGCCGTTTCACTCGTGCTCGTTTCGTTGGCGTCGTCATCGATTCCGAATACCTCCCAGCGGGAAACCGTTTTCGAGGCGACGGTTTTAAACGCACTCGTATCGCTCTTCTTCTTTGATGACGACGCTGTTAATGTCGTTGGTTTCCGCATGCTGCGCACCGCGCGTCTGTTTCTTTTCGTTGCTCTTAATTCGGTGGTAAAGGCGGTTTCTTTTCTCGACAAAGACAAAGACGGTGCTTTCAACGATGATTCGCGCATGGAGTAATGGAGATATTCTTGAAATTCTACTCGTTCGAGTGCAATACGCGCGGGCAATGCACTACACGCGCGCGGGCAATACTAAACGCGCACATAAAAACACGCGCGCACGAATCATCCGGTGCGTTGAAAATCCACTCGTGATGCGCAGTATTCACACCACTCCTCGCGAGACACCAGAAAGCTTTTCGCAGTCAATCTGGTACCCACATGTGTGATCAAAGGAGTTGCGCGCGAGAAGCGTTTCAGAGTGAACCCGGGGTTGTTCTTTTCAGACGTCTCGTCCGTTCGTGCGCGTACAATCCTACACCCGTAACACTCGCGCGTTTGTACGAGGTCTCGTCCAGGGACGGTTTAAGATTAAGAGAACCTCGTTACGTTTTAGAACTCGTTCGAAACGCTTTTCTCGCAAAACATAAAGCGCAGCAGCAGTAGGGGAACGAACGAAAACTCTCCACAAATTCGCTTCAGAAACATGCAAAACACCGGCGTCATGACGGTCACCCCGGCCCGGAAGACCTTGCAGTTCGAAAAAGCAGCGCGAACGCCTTTATCCGAACGTTCCATCTCGGATAACGAGACTAACGACGACGAGAATGATAAAGAAAATAAGATGCACAGAGCGTTCGGGGCGGCGTTTTTGCACATGGCGTTCCAAGGGAAAATGAAGAATAAAAGCGGAGGAATAAACGTGGACGAGGAGGATGTAAAACTGATGAAAGCATCGTCGAAGATGGAACGCATGGAACACGAGTTAGCGCAAGCGAGAGCGGAAATTGCACTCTTGAAAGAGAAGAAGAACAATCCTCCGAAACAAAGGAATAATAAATCTGTTGGTGAATTAAAATCACCTCTCTTGTTACCGTCACCACCGGTGTTACAAACGCCTTTACGTTTTCGGCGCGAGCGAGACTCGTTCCGGAAAGAGTTGAAAATGATCAGCCAAAACGCGGAACAAACGGAAGCGCAGATGTTAGAACAGAAAGATAAGGAACAAAAGTTATCCCAGGAGAACGAGGCGTGGTTGTTGAAAGCGTTGAATGAAAAGACGCGAGCGCTGAAGATTGCCGCCAAGGCGAACAACGCGAGCGAGAAAGAGTTGATGCAAGCGAAGGAGACGACGGATGTTTTGGAGCGAAGTTTACGAGAACAAACGGCAAAGGTTCTGATGTATAAGCAGAGGCTGGTGAAGAATGAACAGGCGAGGAAGAAGTTGGAGAGTAAAGTTGGGAGGTATCGGGACGCGTTGAAAGACGCGAGTTTGAGGAACGAGGCCCCGGAGGCGATGACGATGCCGCCCGTGGAGGAAGATTTTTCGGTGGATACTGCGATGAGTAACGAGAGTTATTGCGGCGAGAATAAGGTTGCAATCAATACTAATAATAACGTAGAAAGAACAACAAGAGAAGAAAATGAAGGAGAAGAAGAAGAAGAGGTGAACTTTCGCGTGTTCCCGGAACAGATGATGGTTGGCGTTCCGGCGACGCCCGCAATGTTTCAATTTCCGAGCAAGATGATGGATAAGAACAGTAGTCATAACGAGGACGAATACGAGACAAATACGAATTTACCAGATGTGACGACGACCATAATGACGCCTGGAGGCGAAGTGATTGATTTTTACGGTCGGCCAAAGCGAGACACGAAGAAAGACGTGTTTGTTATCTTGAGCGTTTGGGCGGCGACGATAGCCGCGTTGATTTCGATGGGAACGTCTTCGTCTCTATCTTCAGTCGTCGGTGAACGAGTCGTCGTCAAAGGCTTTGGCTTTTTCTGCTAGAATTGATTGATATTGTTCCTATTATTCTTAACTATTTAACTCTACTGCGTTCTAACTACTCGTTCTCTCTTCCAGTCGCGAACGTGATCATTTCTGAGTGTTTTTGTGAATGAAAGAGAGACGTCTTTACGTTATTTGAATCTTCGCGTGGCGTAGACGACCATCTCTACGATGTTGTTGAAAAGGAATATATATCAGTATATATTATAATGTGTATACGAACAAAAGAAAAACTCAAAAGACGAATAAAACGGAAGCAAAAAAGCAAAGACGATGTATACTTATAATATAAGCGACTTACCTTGGACGCTCATGGGCAACTCGGCGATATCCACTCTCGCCTCTCGATTGAAAATCTCTAAATCTGCCAGCGCCCACAACAAGTTCGGCTCTTCGCCGATGGCGTATAAACACCCCTCGTCGGTTTCATCCGGGAAAATCGATTGGATTCTCTCCGTGACGAGTCGTATCCTGTCTCTCGCGGACAAGTCCGTCTCGTCCAATAAAAGTCTCGGACACTCCTCCAGCATCAACGGCACGCGTTCGCGTTTGAATCCAAGCTCGTACAAAGTCATCATATTCTGCACCGCTTTGGCGACATTCACGGAAGACACGATCGACGCGTCGTTCTGTAACAACTTCCCCACGTTTACATCCGGCAACGCTTTCTCCAATCTGTCCACTTGAACCATCAAATCGTCGCAGTCTTCGTACACCGATTTCGACAGCGCCAAATTCTTCGCCACCCGCGCGGCTTCAAAGTCTCGCATTTTGAATTTGATTTCTAAGAACGATTGCGTTCGAGCGATGTTCAAAGCGCGGTTCTCGTCGGTGATTTTGTTTTCATCGTTCTCTTTTCTTCCCTTAAAAAACTTCTCTGTTTTCGTCGCTTTGGTAGTAGTAGTAGTAGTAGTGGTGGTATAAAAAGTTTCGCTGAATGTTTCCAACAACTCTCGTCTCGTCTCGTCTCGCGCTCGCTTCGTCGCTTCGGTCAAAATCTCTCGCGCTTCTTCAATCGCCAGTTCCAGTCTCTCCTCGAACGAGTTTAGAACTTCGTTCGTCTCCTCTGTCTCTTCTTTAATAAAAGCGTTTCCTTTTTTCTCGTTTGTTTCACTTCTTCTTTTCACGGAATCATCCTCAAAATCATCTCCGTCGGCATCATCGTCGCCCGAATTGTTTTGCGCGTTTCCAGACGAAGAAGCAGCGGACGAAAGAAAAGAACGACCACCACCTCTCAAAGAAGAACGATTCGAAGAAGATCTTTGACTTTTCGGACGAAGAAGAAGAACAGGAGGAGGCGTCGAAAAGCAGAAGGAACACCAACTCGAGCGAAAAGACATGCGTGATATCTTTTACGAGTGCGAGGGGGAAAATTTTGTGGCAAGAAATCGTTTTTTTAAAGGGCAACGCAACCACACACGGAGAGAGACGACGGGAGACTTTCCGGCGCCCACAAAGCTCGAGCGCGCGACCTTCGCGCTTTGCGTGCTGTACGCGTGCCACCACCTTCCGACGCGTGTACTTTTTATGGATAAAAAGTGCGCCTTTTGATGACGCGAAGAAGAACTTCTTCCAGCGCGACTACTACGAAAGTCTCGCAGAAAGGTGTGGTCGTATTTTATGACTTTTCACTCGTTTTTTTGAAGTTCAGCGTTGTTGTTCGAAGTCCTTCGAAGTCACAAGCGTTCTCGAAGTCAAAATTAAGATTTCTTTTTACGGAAGAAATTTCCCCCGAAACTTCTCCATCATACTACGAATAAGAGATGACGAACACCAACGAAGAGAGTGGTTTTGGTACCGGTGAGACTGCTCTCGCGACGACCACTACTCACGAGAGCAGCAATAAACAACCGTACCCAACATCCGCGAAAGAGTACCAAATAACCGATGAAATCGGTCGAGGCGTTTCCGGGGTCGTCTGGAAAGCCACCATCCCTTCAAAACAAAACGAACAAGTCGCGATTAAAGTCCTCGATTTAGAGGACCAAGACCAAAACTATTTGGAGGAAATCAGACGAGAAGCGCAGACGATGAGCATGCTCTCGCACCCGAACTTGGTCAGGTATTATTGCTCGTTTATCGAGAAGTCGAGCCTGTGGGTGGTGATGCCGTATTTAGAGGGCGGGTCGGTGTTGAATCTGATGAAGTGGAAACACTTGACGCGAGAGGAGGATGAAGAGAGAGGAGAAGGGAACAACACCAGCACTAACGAATCGGTCGCGTCGACGAGTGAGTCGATTGGTTTAGACGAAACGACCGTGGCGACCATCTTGAAAGGAACGTTAAAGGCGTTGGATTATTTCCATCGCAACGGGAACATCCACCGAGACGTGAAAGCGGGGAACATATTAGTCGACGCGAACGGGGACGTGAAATTAGCCGATTTTGGCGTCTCTGCGAGTTCCTGGGGGAGTGGAGGGAGACCTCGTTCGCACCAAACGTTCGTCGGGACGCCGTGTTGGATGGCGCCGGAAGTGATGGAACAAGTTTCCGGGTACGACTTTCACGCCGACATATGGAGCTTGGGGATTACCGTGTTGGAATTGTGTCACGGGCACGCGCCGTTTGCAAAGTATCCACCGATGAAAGTTTTGTTGATGACGTTGCAAAACCCACCACCGACGTTGGAGTCGTCGGCGCAATCCGGCGCTGGCGGCGTCGGCGGCGGGCCGAAGAAAACGTTCTCGAGAGCGTTGAAAGAATTCGTCGGTTTGTGTTTGCAAAAAGATCCGAGCAAAAGACCGTCCGCGGAGAAGTTACTGGAACACAGGTTTTTGAAAGAAGCCAAAAAGTCAGATTACATCGTCAAGACGTTGTTAAAAGATATTCCGAGTTTAGGCGAACGAACGAAACAGTTGTTGGAAAGAGACGCGAAACGGAGAGAGGCGAAACGGAAAGGCGAAGATATCGGGAAAACCGCGGAACAAGAGGAAGCGGAGAGTCAAGCGGCGTATAAGCACGGCGTGAGCATGTGGAACTTCAACTTGGACGAACTGAAAGCGGAAGCTGCGGCGATCGATAACGAAGTCGGCGGCGGCGACCCTTCGGCGAAGAGTTCTTTACAAAAGAAAGGGTCGCGGTTCAAAATCATCGAAGAAGAAAACAGCGGCGCGGGTTCCGATTCCGGCGCGAGCACGCAAAGCGCCAAGATTGAACAGAAAGGACGGTTTACCATATCCGACGACACGCCGGCGCAACAACAAGAACAGCAACAACCTCAGCAGCCTCAACGAAAAGTCACCAAAAAAGGCCGATTCATCGTCGAGGAAGAACACAACGTCGCGGCTTCTTCTTCTCAAAGAAGCTCCGGCGGCATTGGCGCATCAGAAATCGAGCAAATGTGCGAAAAAATGGTCCTTTTCTCTCGACAGCAAGACGATGTCATTCGCTCGCTCCGGGAAGAGAACGAGAGTTTGCGGAGGAGAGTCGCCGAGTTGGGCGGATGATAGATTTTGTCCTACGCGTCGTCTGAATCGTCGCGCAAAAAAAAAACGCACACATATGCGCGTGTGCGCGCGCATATATTACACACAACACACACACACAGAGAGAGAGAAAGAGAGAGAGAGAAGGTGATCTGTGGGTACATCTCTTATATTATATATTAGTATTCGCGTACAACGCATGACGTTGTGGTACATTTTTCACCTAAAAATCGAGCTTGAAAATCACCACAAAAACCACTCTCTCTTTTGCGCGCATCATCACGCGTCGTATCGCATCACACGACCACCAAAGCGATGACGACGACGACGATTTCGATGCTCGCAAAAGCTCACCCACTTTCGTTTTCTTCGAAAAAGCGTCGAAAGAGTGGTGGTATTCTTTGCGCTCCTTTTCATAAACCACTTCTTTGTAGGGGAAAAGTTGCCGTCGCATCCTCGTCTGTGTCGTCGGTTTTCGATGCGTTCCAAACGCAATTTTCCGGCGATTTTGGCGCAGTCGTGCGGGAATACGTATTATCCCCAGAGACAGATGATGACTCTCGTGTTTTTTGGAAAGGAGTCGACGTGCCGTTGCGATACGTCCACGGCGTAGGGGTGGTCCCAATATCGAGCATGCCGTTTGCGGATAAAGTGTTCGAGGCGAACGCGCGAGTGACATGCGGGGTGGTCAAGGGATTGTTCGAGATTGAAACGAAACGATCGTTTCCAGAGGTTGGAGAAGAAGCGTCGATGGGGTCGTGCGGAGGGTCCGAGTGGAACGAGCGGACGCGATACGCGGAGGATCGGAAGTATTTCCTCTCGAGCGGCGGAGCGTTTGAGGCTTTGAGGACGGTGGACGAGACGGGGAGTTTTACGGCTGGGCCGAAGACGTTAGGTAGTAGTAGTAGTAGTAGTAGTAGTAGTAGTAAGGGTAAGAGTAGCGGTAGTGACGATGAGTCAAAAGAAGAAGAAGAGGATTTTGGAATGACTTGGTTCCCGACGCACGAGAACGAAAGTTCTGTGAGATTCGGATTACAATGGGACGCGATGAAACGCGTCAGAGTCGAGTATCACGTGAAAAAGACCACAGGTACAGTTGGGTGCGCTATTTGGAGCGAAAGGAAAGGCGTGTGCGCGCCGCGCGGCGACGGCGGAGAAGGAGGAGTATTAGGCGGGGAGAAGAAAAAATGGTCAAATTTTGCGAAAAAGTCCATCCTCCGCGAACGCGCGTTCGTGTTAGAGAAAGATGAGGACACCGCCGCCACCAAATTCACGAACGTTTCGCCGAACTCTCCCTCTCTCGCGGCCATATCGAGCGAGTCGCTCCTCCTCTTCGAAAACGGCAACCCGATTGCGCTTCCGTGCGGCGAAGACGTCGTCTACGTTTCCTCTTCTCTAAAACATCACGCGAAGAACACCGGTAAGACAGAAGAAGAAGCCGCGACGACGACGACGTGCTTCGCCGCCGCCGTCGAAATTGACGGAGGAGGAAAAACTTTACTTTGGACGCGCGCGTACGATAGTCGAGGCCTGTTGAAATTCGCTCACTTTGCCGAACTCGTCGGTTGAGTCGTATTCTTTACGCATTATCATCACGTATACTATTCAACGCTAAAACTACTCTCTCTCTCTCTGTGTACTACTAAAAGCTTCTAAAATGTTCTCTTCTCTCTCGCAGAAACCTCCTTGGTCTTAATCTCTCTCTCTCTCTCTCGAGATGCGCTTTCTACTACGTATCTCTCAACATCTCGTAACTCCACCCATCTTTCCCTCTCCCAACTTGCACCAACACCGTCGTCGCGTACAGCCCGGGTAAGAAGCTCAAAACCCCCACAACGAACGTCGCCGCTTTCGTCCCTCTCTCTGCGTCTTTTTCGTGTAAATCTATGACGTTTAACTCGAGGAGAGTAAACACGGCGAGCGATATCGTTCCGACGAGAAGTAAGCACGGACCGAGCAGTTTTTGCTTCAACGAAATGGAATCGACGCCTCTTTGAACGCCGGGGCCGGTTGTTAAAGAATGCATTTGACTGGAAAACGATCGAAACGAAGACGGATCGGTCTGCATCTTCGAGCGTCGTTTATCTTCTTCTGATTCTTTGGAGACGATTCGATGGCGCGAAGTACTTCGCATTTAAACGTGATGTTCGCTCGTGTGCCGAGAAAGTGAAGTTTTTGAATTTCTTTTTTCCCACATGTAACTTCTTTTCTTCTCTCGGAAAAGGAGCTAAAAATACGCACTCACCACATAAAAACCACCTTTTGTTTAGCGCGCGCGCGAGAGAGAGTTTACGCGAGACACATCTCGCGCCTTTTCCCTACCACCACTCGAGAACGAAAGCGCGATGATGTCTCTGCCGAACATGCCCGGAATGACTTCGATGGGTGCGACGACGTGGAGTCAACAGGTAAAGTAGTATTTTAGAGTTTTTTTTCTTTCCTCCTCCTTAGGGGAAACTGTTCGTTTGTTTGACCGGAGGAAAATGTCACTAACGATTTAATCTTTTCAAAACAGGACGGGAGGATGATGAAACCGCGTTCGCAAACGCTTCGATTCGTGAACGGGTACGCGATATTAACCGACGACGCGACGTCTTCGAAACAAAAGATGATTTCGCCGCACCAACAAAACGAAACAGAAGAAATTTTGGTTGAAAATAAGGAGAAGGCGACATGTTCTTTCGTTCCGGCGTACGTGGCGTTAGATCGCATCGTGCTTCGATTTTTCGCGAAATATACGGAGATTGTGCACGATAGCGCGACGGAGACGTCTCGCGAACGGAGAGTGGTTTTTAGAGTGTACGCGGAGGATCTCACGATTGACGCGACGGAGCCGAAACAGGAAAATTCTGGGTTGCAGCAAGGGTTGTATTTGAAGAGGACGAAGTGCGAGGAGGTTTTTAGCGAGCAGTTGAGAGAAGCTTTGGTGGTTAAAAGCAACGAAATAGGTGGTGGAGATACTGCCGCAGAGGTGAAAAGAGTAGTCTTGGAGATGTTGAAAGTTGGGAACACGATTACCGTGTGCGGGCGCGCGTTTTCGGTCTACGCGTGCGACGGATTTACTCGCCAGTTTTACGAAGAGGGCGAAGAAATGAGTATGCCGCCAAACGAAACGAACGAACACGAAAGTACTTCTTCGCGCGACTCCAAAGATGATTTTGAAAGCGGCGTCAATAACTCGCTCGCTTTTAAGCGCGCGAAAGGGCCACCGAACGCGAGGTTGGACGATATGGCTCGATTTACCGAGGCGAAGCTCGGGCGACCGAGCTCGGCGTTGGGTCCGGACACCAGAAAGAAATTTCTCGAACACGACGGGGAGGTTTTACGGTTTTACGCCACATGGAAAGGAGAGAAAGACGAGAGAGAAGACGCGACTGATGACGAGAAGCGAATGTTTTGCGTGCACTATTTTCTCGCGGACGATACGGTGGAAGTTATCGAGAAAGGCGGACGCGCGCTTTTGAGACGAGGAAAACTTCCGAAAATATCATCAACATCAGAAAGAGAGAAGAAAACAGAAAGAGAACAGACGATACCGACACCAACACCATCTGCGAAACCGTTAGACTTTTCCGTGTGCTCGATTGGTAGCAGCGAACGAATCCCTCACATCGTTGCAAACGAGATTGTCGTCGGTCAAACCGTCAACGTCTACGGTCGAGACATGTTCATTTACGGTTGCGACCGATCCACGGAGGCGTGGTATTTGAAAATCCACGGGGAGAACGCGATCGCAAACATCGACGTTTCGAAACCGGAAACACCCAAGAAGAAGAAAGAAGTGCCTCGACACGAGGGTTTAGCCATTGGAAGCGAAGAAGATACGTTGCAAAACTGTTTGGCGTTGAATCCAAAGCCGCCGAAGAAGGATTATCGCAAGGCGTTTGAGAAGGGCGGGTGCGTGTTGCGATTTGAAGCGAGGATTGTTCGCGGCAAAGAAGATGATGGAGACGGGAAGAATATCGATCCGCCGTGCTCATCTCTTTCATCATCGTCCATTATCGTCCCTAACGGCGGCGACGGAACCTCCGATGCCTCCGCGAACGATTTTAAGCGTAACTTTGTGCTCTCGTTTTTCCTCGAGGATGACACGGCCTCGGTATTTGAACCTCCCGAGAAGAACGGTGGAAACGGTGGGAAATTCCTCGAAAGAGGCAAAATTCGCGATAGCCAGACTGGTAAGGCGTACAGCACTGAAGATATGTTCGTAGGAAACGTTCTCAAGTTGCACAAGCGGTGCTTCAAGTTAGTCGCAGCGGACGCGTTTACGTTGAAAACGCTCGCCGAGGGACGCTACTAAAAATTTGATAAACGCTGACCAAAAGTGACGCAATGAACACCTGAACTGCTAAACACCAGATGATAACCAGTAGTAATGCCTAGTTAGTAGGACCTACCTGTGTGTATATTTGGGCTTCGAAATATAAATATTAAAAACGAATCGAAATCTTGTTTGGGTCGTTTATGGTAGTACCTATCCTCTGTGGTTTTTGTTCTACTTTTGGTACGAAATCTTTTACACGTCTAAAGGCGAGCCTCCACCAAACATCCTCGAGAAATCCGTCACGCACCCGGACCGTTCGTCGTGGTGACCTTGCCCACTCGAAATGCCATCGACAAACACGGAGTCTATTTTACCGGCAACGTAATGCATCCAACCGGAAGATACCGTCACGGCGGCTCGATGTCGTCCTTTTTTTTTCTTCAAACTCCCATCTTCTTCTCTCTTATTCTTCTCGCTCACCACGGACGAAACTAACATTTGCATCGCGATATCTTCGCAATTTTTCCTCGCGTCGATGTACTCTCTCACCCCGTCTGGTAAATGTTCCGAACTGTACAATTCTAAATACTTCGCGTGCGAAAACGCAGCTTTCGTCAACGCGATGGAGTACCTCTTCGCGCTCGTGAAAAACAACTCGACATCGTTCCACGCGTATCGCATTTTACACGTACCATCCACGCCTCCGTTCCTATTTTCTAACTTGTGCATGCGCCCAAAATACCCGACTAAACCTTCCCTATTCCTCTGCCATTCCCGAAACCCTTTTTGCAACTTTCCGCACGGAATCCGAACGTCGTCGTCCACGTGAAACACCGCCTCCGTTTTCAAATCGTCAATCTTTTCAAACCTATTTTGAATCGACGTCGACCCGACGTGTTTATCGTACCTCACAAACTCCGGTCGGTCCAAAAAATACGCCTTCTCGTCGTCGCCTTCACGCGCAGACGGCACCGAAACTTGCTCCGACCACACGACCCGAATCTCTTTCACCGTCGCCCGGCCGGAATCTTTGCACTTGGCGTAGTGTCGCAACGAGCGTCGCAACAAATCTCGCCTCTTAAACGTGTTCAACAAAATCGTAAATCCTTCTTCCTCTTCGTTGGCATTCATGCTCTCTGATGCTAATCTCGTTCGAATCTTTCGTTCGATACTTTCGCTCGCATCCAGCGCATCCTTCGCGCTCCAAGAAGGTACACTTTTCTTGCACACCTCGTTCAAATCTTCGCTCATACCGTTGTTGTTCAAAGCGGCGAGTTTTGTGGTCGAGAGGAGGACACACACACCCGCGAGCAGCAAAAACACCACCACCACGTGGTTTCGTCGAACGCTCGCTTTGTCTTGGAACAACAAGGGTAACACGTGCTGATGAAGTGCTTTCTTTGTGCGCGAGATTTTGTTCATTTTTTCCCAAGATTTCTTTCTTTTAGTATCATCAAAGATGATGCCGCTAAAGACCATTCGCTCCTCGAAGAAGAACTCTATACAGAGCGAAGACGGCGGCGGTTTATTACGTGTTGTGTGTGTGTATATATCTTTCTTTCTTGGCGAATGATGATGTGTGCGTGGTCGTAATAAACACTGATTAGTAGTAAAATTGCGAGAGTGAAATTTGTGCAGTTTAAGTTGTTCTCTTGTCTACAACATCTGGCTATTCGTGTTCTCGTCTCCTCCGATAGTAGTATTATTATTAGTATTACTGTCGTTATTATCGTCGTCTGAATCGTCGTCTAACCCGGCGCGAAGGTACGATATGGCAGCTGCGGTGGCGAGCAACGCGAAACTTCCGGCGAGTTTGGCGTTGCCGGAGGAGGAGGAGGAGGACGATTCGGCGATTCGGATGTTAGCCGCTCCTCCTCCTCCTAATCCTCCTCCTTCCGATGTTGCTACGGCTACTTTACTCTTTTTCGAGGAGGGAGATGACGCGTTCAATCGTTGCTCGTAATACGCGTTCACGGTGCTCTCGTACTTTTCGTCAAACTTTGAGCTTTCGTACGCCGGTTGTTCCGCCATGCGTTCGGGATTCGGAATGTTTAAAACTTGACCGATTTTAATCGCCACAAAGTGAGGGTTTTCATCCGTCGGTGCTAAATTGTTCACGCGACAGACGTCAACGACGGAAACGTCGTACTTGCGAGCGATTTTCAGCAACGATTCGCCTTGACGCACGCGGTGCATTTTTTCCGGCGGATCGATTAAATCCGTCACCAGCGCTTTACCCGAGGCGGCGGCGAGAGAGGCGTTGCTGTGCACGTCTCGAATGAGCGTTTCGACCGTTTTCGAGGTACCTTCGAACGATTTTTTCGCGTTTTGCGCAATCACGTCGACATCGATGTTTTCGTTGAACTCTTTCAACGCGGAGCCGGTGAGGTTGGCAGATTCTTTCGAGAGCGTTTTGATCGTTGAAGGTAAGTCCTCGGTGACTAATTTTTTCGATTCTCGAGCAATGTTTTGTGTCGTGCCTTCAAAATTCTCGCGCAGTTGCATGTCCGAGAGCTTCTTCGCTACTGATTTTTGTACGCTATCGATGTTGCCTTTGACGTCTTCCATGCTCGCGGTGGCGGTGCCGAAGAAATCGGACGCGGCCGATTTTGAGCGCTCGAAAATGTTCGTCGGCGGCGGTTCTTCGCCAGTCGCGGTCTTCTTTTTGTTCTTTTTGTTCTCGCTATCTCTGTTGTTGTTGTTGTTGTTGTTGCTACTATTCGTGCTAGTGCTACTCTTGTTATTTTCCCGCCTCTTGTTCTTATGCTTTCCATCGTCTCGTTCCGCATCTTTCTTTACCGTCATTGCCATCACTCGACGTTTCGCGCTCGTAAACGCCTCCTCCGTCTCTTTCTTCCTCGCCTCGATCGCGGCGTTTACTTTGCTCACATTTTCGTTCAATTTCAAACTCACTTCCTTCGTCATCTTCTCCGCTTTCGCCTTAATCATCAAACTACTACTATTCCTCCCCTCTTTTCCATTATCCGCGTTCTTGTTCTTGTTCTTGTGTTGCTCCTCTTGTTTGCGCGCGTCCGCGGACGAAGAAGAAGAAGAAGTAAACGTCGCCATCCTTTCCTTCTTCATCTTCTCCACGACCTCCTTCCACCTCTCCTCCACTCTTTTCCTCTCCTTTTCTAGAGGGAAGACAAATCCATTAAACCTCTTCGCGGAATCTTCGTCCTTTTTATTCTTCTTCGGAACCTCCTCCTTCGCCGGCGACGAAACATACGATCCGCTCTTCATCTTCCCCTCCTTTTCTTCCGCAATCTTCGTAAAAAACTGTTGTCCTTTCGAAATATTACCGCTTGCCGACGAAACTGCCCGTTTGATGGGATCAATCGCTCTCTCGCGAAGCGCGTTCCATCGGTCCTTTTGCGCCCAATTCGCTTCTTCTTTAGACGATCGCTTCGACACGAAAGTCTTCTCCTTTTCCTCGCTTTTTCTCCCGATTGTTGGGACGAAAAAGAGCAAAGGTTTCATAACCGCGTTTTCAAAGTTCACTTTCGTTTCGCAAAGCGCATTTCTCGCGTTTGTGCTTTTCCTTTCCACGTCTTTCCGCGCGCGGAGTGCGGCTCTTTTGTACGCGAACACGAAACGATTTTTCCTCGTCGTCGTCGCGTTGGATGATGATTTCGAGGAGTTTCGTCTTCGATTAGATGTAGTATTCTCGTTATTATTACGAGCAAAAGGAGAGGATGAAGGAGCGTCGTGGCTCGACGATTTCGACGAGGAGGAGGACATTGGATCTCTCTTCGTCTTCTCTCAATCAAAGCGCGTCTTGTAAGCAGTCTGAAGACATTTTCGAAATGGATTACCTCTCGGAGAATGTTTAGGGTTTTATAAAAAGGACCTCTGCGGTAGTACCGGTAGTAGTAACGTGTAGTATTAAAGTAGTTTTATCTCAGTGTGTCTTCAACTCCAACTGAGAGAGATCACCGTCGACGACGAGCGTTTTATTTTTCTCTGAATATAATAAAGAAGACGTCTCTTTTTTCTTAATCTCAAACCCGCACAATCTCGTGATTTCCTCCTTGGCGTTCGCTTTCGAACGCCACTCCCAGGATTTGTTTTTTACGGAGAGGTTCTTGAGGACAATTTTGGAACCTTTCTCTGCTTTCACTTCAAACGCGCCGTCTATTTGGACGTTTTCGAAACTCACGTCGCCTTCGACGATTAAAACGGATTTTGCGGTCAAAGAGAGGTTGTCGATTTTACTCTCGACGCGTTCGAACGAACATCCGAAAGACGGGGACAAGACGACTTTGCTTCCAGTCGGAAACGACATGCCGTTGAACTTTTGTTTCGAATCGATTTCGGGTTCCGGAACGTTCGCGCCGGCTAACCGTAAGATTCTGCTCGCGCAGTTGTAAAACTCAAACTCGCCGCTCGTCGCCGTGTGCGTCGGTTGGCCGTCGTCGAATTTCTTCTTCCCGTCCTCCGGGGAGTTTTTCACCGGCGAGTACCCGACCCAGTTATCGAAAACGGTGAACCCAACCGAGGCTTTGGTTCCAGTCAAAGATTTCGGGTAATCTTGCATCATGCACTCCAACCTGGTTGGAGATTTGAACGCCGTCTTGGAACTGTCTTTGTATTTCGGGTTGACGAATTCGTCGATAGCGCCGCCGGTTTTCGAGAGCTGCTTTTCGTACGGTTCCAACTTCACGATTAATTGGTTGATGTTCCCTGGGTACGGGGAGAAACCCGTGGCTGGATCGTTGACGTCACCGGATCCATCGCTCGAGCTCGCTCTTAACAGCGGATCCAACTGATTATACTCGACGTTAATCGTCATCTTTCTACCGTCCGTATGCGTCAACTGCGCGATGCCGCCAACCGCCTCTTTCGCTTTTCGCGGCACGCACAAAGAGTTGAACTCGAAATCTCTCGATTTCGACACCCCGAGTGCACCAGGAATGACTCGAAAGACCAACGAGTTCGTGTCTTGGAAAAATGTCACCCACTTCACGCCCATTTGTTTCCATTTTTTCAACAAGCCCGATTGGTGTAACAACGAGTGCACGTCGCCGTGGCCGTGCGGTTTCGTTTGTAACACATACTTATCCTCGTCGTTCAACGCCAAGTGCGCGTCGTTATCCACTAAACACGGGACTTTTTCTTGTTTCATCAGCGTAATTTGCGTCTTCTTCGCGCCGAAATAGTCGTTCGATTCCAACAAGTCCACCGTCATCGCGTGCGTATCTTCCGACGTCATAATCGCCAACGGCACGTCAATCTTTTGCCCGGACGTTCTCACCACCTCGTCGGTTTCTTGAATCGCCAAAATAGACTTCACGTATAACCCCAAATACGTCTCCATCGTCGCTCGTTCCACCGGTAATCTCACTTTAATCCCTTTATACCCCAACCGTTCGCCTAACCCGCCCGCCACTAACACGAACGCGGTTTTCTTCGCCTGTTTCAAACCAATTTTCTCCAACTCTCGGTGTTTCTTCGATCCGTACTCAACGTTTTCGCCTTTTGGTACGGACGGGTGCCACCCGTCGAATGGATTTTGCCCTTCCTTGGCGTGTTTCAAGAGTTTCTTCGCGTTTTTGATGTACTCGCAAAGACCTCCGGGTTGGTAGTTTTTGTCCAAAAGCTCCAGCTGGTGCATCATCTTTTTCTTCTTTTCATCGTCTCCTCTCGAAGTCGAATCCCAGTCCGAGAATAAGTGCCCTTGGTCGCACTCGTTCGAGCACAATTTTAACGCCAGTTTCACTTGCAAAGGAGGGAATAATTCCGCGTGAGATTTGATGATTTCCTCCGCATTTTTACTCATGATGGATGATGTAATGAAATGATTCGTGCGCGTACTCCGTGTCTTTCTCACACAAATACCAACAACAAAAACTTTCTCAAACCTCTTCTCTCCCGTCGTCGCGCGCGCGTGTTGTTTATTATCGCGCGCAAAGTTTGGGTCTTTCTCCTCTTCTTAAACTTCTTCGCGTAAACACGAGAGAGAAAAGGGAAAGAATATAAGCTCGCAGATGTCTGTCCTTTTTTCCCTACAAGGAAGGAGTCGAGGAAAAAAGAACAAAACTTAATAGGCTACTCCCGTTTTTGATACCCTAAATTGATACCCTAAATTATTTGTTTCTTCTTTTTCTTTGGAAGGATTTTGAATTTTGAAATCGGTTCATCACTTTAAGAGGGAGAAGGTAATATCGCGCGCAAACGCGAGAGAGAGAGAGAGTTGCTTTATTAAAGAAGAAGAAGAAGAAGCCCGCAATGACGACGACAAAAAACGAGACTTTGGGGGAAAGTGGTGAGAGAAAAGAAGATGTGAAGCGACAAAAGCTCATGGAAGATGATGATGATTTTGAAAAGAATCAAGCATTAGTAAAGGAAGAAGTGGTCGACGTGCACTCGTTAATGCGTCCGTATTACGCGCACATTTTCCCTTCGAAACAACTCTTCGAGTGGCTTTCTTACGAAGGCGCGACGTCGTCGAAGGAATCGCGAAAGGATCAGCAACAATTCATCCAAAACAGAGAGTTTTGCTTCACCTTAAAAGGCGAGATTTTCGTCCGGTACAACTCGTACCAAGACGAAAAGAGTTTACGGAAAGATTTGAAAACCAAAGTCCCGGGCAAAATCGATATCGGACCGGTGTTCTCGCACAACCCGAAGAACAGACTCGCGTACGGCGGGTCGTTTAAACCGGTGGAAAGAGAGTTGGTGTTTGATATCGACATGACGGATTACGACGACGTCCGGACGTGCTGCGACCAGGCGAAGATTTGCCCAAAGTGTTGGCCTTTGATGAATTGCGCCGTGAAGGTTTTGGACGTGGGGTTGAGAGAGGATTTTGGGTTTGAACATATTTTGTGGGTGTATTCCGGGAGAAGAGGGATTCACGCGTGGGTGTGCGATGAAAGAGCGAGGAAGTTATCGGACGAGGAGAGAAGCGCGGTGGCGGAATACTTTTCCGTGTTTAAAGGCGTCGAAGGCGGCGGCGAGAAGAAGAAGACAAATTTAAGTTTCGGGAGCGGGAAAAGGGCGTGGGGGGGGGGGAAGATGCACCCGAGATTGGAGGAGGCGTATTGGAAGGTGTTGAAGCCGTTTTGGGAGAAGGAGTTTTTACCGGCGCAGAAACTCATGGAATCGAAGAAGCACTTCGAAACGATTTTGAGCATGATTCCAGACGCGAACGTGAGGCAGAAAGCGGAGTTTGATTTTAACACCAACAAGATGCCGACGGTATCGAGAGATGGGGACGTCGACGTCAACACGTGGCGATGGCAACGAATCGTAAAAGCCGTGGAGGACGAGTTGAGAGGACCTAAAGTTAACTGGGATTTGACGAGTTGCTTACAGAGGATTATCTTCTCTCACGTGTACCCTCGTTTGGACGCGGAAGTTTCCAAACACATGAATCACTTGCTCAAGGCGCCGTTTTGCGTCCACCCGAAAACCGGTCGCGTGTGCGTCCCGATCGATCCGGAAAACTGCGACGCGTTCGATCCGTTTTCCTCGGACGCGCCGAAAGTGCACGAGTTGTTGCAAGAGTACAAAAAATTTGGCGCGGATGAAAACGCCGTCAAGAAAACCGCCATGGGTAAAGCGTTGGAAACGTTCGAGAGGTGCTTCTGGTCGAAATTGAAAGTCGCCAACGAGGAGGAGAAGAAGAAGAAGATGATGATGAACAACAACAACGTGTTGAACGAGAGCAACAAAAATTCCAACGCCGCCGCCGACATGGAGTTTTAATCATCATCATATAATCGTCAAATTGTTATCGCTACTAAAATTGTTGTTGTTTAATATATAAAAGCGCGTTGGCGTTCTAATAAAAAAGTACTATATATTACAAATATATATGCGCAGCATCATTATTAATTCTACTCGTAATCGCTCTCGTCCGTCGAAGAATCGTCTAACTGAATGTTCAATAACTTTTCGCTTTTCCTCAGCGCCTCTTCCCAGGTGTCTGGTTTCCCGCCGTCGAAGTACGGCGTTTTGGCGCTTTCGCCCGTCCTCGTCGTCACGTCCCATTTCTCGTCCGTCGTTGATTCGCCATATTTCCTCACCTCGCCGTTCTCGAATACCTCTTCACCCCACGTTCGTCTCCAAACCTCCCCGTTCGGTTCTTCTCGCCACGTTTCGCCACTTTTCGCGCCGTCTCCGGAGGTTGATTTCAAGCGCTCTTCCCACTTATCGCCCCACCGAACGCCTTTATCGTTTTCGGCCCATTTATCCGTCCATCGCAAGGAAATACCGTTTGGATCGTAGTGTTCGCCCCATTTTTCCCACCACGCGTGTCTATTTTCTCGTCCGGACTTTTCCACGCCTCGATCGCACGTGTTTTCCGAGCTAAACCGTTCCCACCACTTCTCTTGCCACTCTCGCGAGGAATCTGAATTCGTGTCCACGTGTCGCGCCCACTTATCGGCGGAGCGTTCAACCATCTGACAACACGAAGCCGATAATGGATGATGATCGTCGTCGTTGCTATTATTATTATTCTCGTTATTATTCTCCTCGCTACTACTACTACTACTCTCCGACGTGTTATACAACTCCCTCCACGTCTCCCACCACGTCTCTCCTTTCTCGTTGAACCCGCTCTTCTCCGCGCCCAACTCTCGGTACCCGCTCAAATCCGCTTTCTCCCAGTGCGTCTCCCTATACTCCCAGCTCTTATCCGGCGCCGCCCCGCCTTTCACCGTCCATCGACACCGGTACCCGCCTTCGCCTCGATCGACGCCGCTTTCCCGGAACCACGAGTTCCCGGTTTCGGGATCGATACCTTTCATCTTTTTCGTGTGTTCTGTAATATAAGAAGAGAAGATGCGATTTGGTCAGTCTCGGTATATAGATGCCGTGTCGTTCTTCGCGGAAACGAAGAGAGTTTAAAAGAGTTTACAGAGAGAAAGAGAGAGTTGACGCGTTGTTCCCTCACAAAAGCCAAAAACCCTAAATATCGTACCTTCATCTATGTCGATGTTGATGTCCAATTCGCTCGGTATGCCGGTATCTCTCTGCGGAGGTTCAAGCTTCTTCGGCATTTTCTCCAAAATGTTCTCGGCAGATCTGTCGTTGTTCTCATCGTCCTCGGCGAGCGCGTTGTGCGTTTTATTGAAAGGACTGTTGCGTAAACGACGCGCGTTGTTTTTATTCGTCGTCGTCGAAAGATTTGATCTCCGGGGAGGAAAAGGACGACGTTTCGATTTCCCGTTTTGATTTCGATGCGAAGAAACAACGACGCACGACGCGCACGTCGTCGGCATCATCGTCGTCGTCGCTTTTGTCGTCGTCCCGCTCTCTCCGTCTCTGTTGTTCTCTGTGTGTGCGTTTTCTGCGCGTGACGTGTTGTGCTCTGTCGTGTTGTGCTCCTCCTCCTCGTCTCGCCTCTGTCTTTTCTTTTCTTTCTCGGTGGTGGTGCAACACAGCCGCTCTTTCCTTCTTTGTGGCGGAAAAATGCGGACAGATCGATCGAAGGAAGATACGTGTGCTTTCTGTGGCGCTCAATTAATACCGTTATGTATAACAGGGACCACGTTTGTTCGAGACACATCCAGAGAAGACAAAAAAAAAGACAAAATACGAAATAAAAACGAAACATCAAGCCTAGTATATACGTTCAATCCGTGATGACATCAAAATCTGAGAATCGGCACGCGGCATAGGAAGTTAGTCTCGCGGGGGGTGCGTTAGAGTCACGATCCGAACTTCAACATTCAATTGCAACGCGGAATTTTTTAACTACTACCGTCGTTTTTTGTGCCTAGATTTGCTCGCGTTTACTTTACGTTTAATCGGTTTCTCGTCGAAACCTCTTTTCCCGAAGGAGGAGCGTTTGGTGTCGGTGGTCGTCTCTTTCTTCTTCTTCTTCTGGTTGTTGTTGTTACTATTATTCATGGCTTTAAACGCGTTCAGCGCTTTTTTCCCCGTGACGCCTTGTAATCTCGCGTCCCGTTCGAGTTTCTTGACCGATTTGACGCCTTGCGTGACTTTTCGCGTTCGGTTGGTTTTGGTTTTGGTTTTACCAGTTTCGTCGTCGGAATCGGCGTATTCGTCGTCGTATTCGTTTTCTTTTTGCGCGCGCTGTTTGGCGGCTAACGCGCGGCGGCCTTTTTTGGAAGACGGGAGACGAGACGGGTTCGCGAGCGATTCTTTCTCGTCTTCTTCTTCGCTCTTCTTTCGTTTCTTCTTATTCTTTTCGTTGTCGTTTTTCCCACCACCAAACCTTGAAGGCATATCGCCTAATTCCAAATCGTTGTCCTCGAGTAAATCTATGCCTTGCTTCCCCATCGCTTTCGCCGCGGCTTTCTTATTCGCCATCTTATCTCTCTCGCTTTCAAACCACGTCTTTTTCGGTCTCGATTTAATCTCGTTCGCGTGTTCCAACATGTTCTCCGCTTTCGTCGCTTCCATCTCGGCTTTTTGCATGTGCTTTTCCGCTCGCTCTTCCTCTTCTATTTCTTCGATTTGCGCGGCGTAGCCTTCGATTTTCTCGTGCCATTCGTCCACCACGTCTCTGGGCACGATTCTCGATTGCAATTTTTGACCTCTCTTTTGCAACGTCTTCACCAACGCTCTGTCGTATTCTTCCATGAATGTGATGGCGACCCCTTTCCTCCCAGCCCGTGCGGTTCTCCCGACTCTGTGTAAATACGACGCCACGTTCTTCGGCGCGTCGTACGAAACGACCAAATCGACCGAGGCGATGTCCAAACCTCTCGCGGCAACATCCGTGGCGACCATAATTTTCGTTTCGGCGTTGGATCTAAAGTCTTCCAACGCGGCTAATCGTTGCGTTTGGGTCATGTCGCCGTGTAATTCGCACGCTTTAATGTTTGAAAGACCTAAAACTATTTTCAATCGGTGCGCTTGGACTTTTGTTTTCGCAAACACGATGGTTTCTTTCCCTTTGAACGATCTCGATAAGAGCGATAACAAATGCGCCTCTTTCTTGGCCACGAATTGCGGTTTGATTTTCACGATTTCCTCGGTTAACGTCATCGGCGTGGTGCCCAAGGAATCCGCGGACAATCGCGCTGGGTTTCTCATGGATAAACTGGCCAACTCCTCCACCGCGCTCGTTAACGTCGCGCTGAATAACAACGTTTGTCTCTGTCTCGGCATGTTCCTCACGATTTCTTTAATCTCCTCTAAAAAGCCCATCTCTAATAACCGATCGGCTTCGTCTAAAACGACCGCGGCGACGTCCTCGAAACCAAACGAGTGCGTGTTCCTCACGTGATCGATCAATCTACCCGGTGTCGCGACGACAATTTCCGGTCTTTGCCTCAACGCCGCCGCTTGCCTTTCCATGGATAACCCGCCGACGATGGTGGCCACTTGCACGTTCGTATATTCGCCCAACCGCTGAATCATTTGCGCGCACTGCACGGCTAACTCTCTCGTCGGTACCATTATCACGACGTGTATCGCACTCACCGCGTTCTTCGGTCTGTGCAACATCCTCTCCAGTAAAGGCAACGCAAACGCCGCCGTCTTCCCGCTCCCGGTTTGCGCTCGCCCGCACACGTCTCTCCCGGTCAGCGCGATTGGAATAATCGCCGCTTGAATCGGCGTCGGCGTCGCGTATCCTAACTTCTCGCACGCTCGGCACAACGGTCTCGATAAGTGCAAATCATTAAAACACTGCGCAGAAAATGTCGTCCCGTCTTTTGCGACCGCGCGTTCCGTGTACTTTTTTTCCGATTTGGATGATTTGGATGTCTTCTTCTTGGTATTCTTCTTCGCGCGTCGCGTCGCATCTTCATCATCATCATCGTCATCATCTTCACCATCATCATCATCATTGCTCGTTGTTAATTCTTCGTCTTCGTCTTCTCCTTTTCCTCCTTCTCCTCTCGTGGTGGTGTTCCCTTGCCACGCCGGCGCATCCTCTTCCTCGTATTCCTCTTCCTCGCTCGAACTCTCCTCTTTTCTCTCTCTCCTTTTCCTCTGAATCTTCTCGTCCACGCTCGTTTTGTTCTCGCGTTTCAACTCCTCCTCGGCTTCGTCTTTATACTTAGAGAAGTTCCAGGAGGAGGACGTCCCCCTTTTTCTTCCGTCGTCGTCTTTTTCTCCTCTCCCACCATTAGTATTGTTCTTGTTCGTTTTGCCATTCGTGACGGCGCCGTCAGGACGAAAATTGGTTTTTCCGTCGTCGTTTCCGTCGGCGGTGAACAAACCGTCGAAGAACGATTCCAATTTCGGGTCGAACGTAGTCGTGGGGAAGTCTTTTTGTTCCTCCTCCTTCTCTGCATCGGGAGGAGGGTCGGACATTTTGATTTTGCGTTTGTGTGTGTGATAATGCGCGTGAAGTGGAAATGGAGGAAAACGAGTGCTTTCTGCTCTCTCTGTCTGGTGTTTTTCGCAAAGTGAAAATGGTGTTTTTGTTCTTTAAAAAGTATTCGATTTAAAGCACGTGATGCTAAAGGCGTAAAGGTGTTGTACTACTAGTATGTATGTATGTGTGTACTGGGAGTATATTGACAAGAGCTAATGGTAGCGACGCATGTGGTATTTCAAATGATCAGATCGACGAAAACGCATCTCGCAAACATGGCATTCGTACGGTTTCTCGTTCGTGTGAATACGCACGTGCCTTTTCAAACTACTAGATTGAGTAAAACGTTTCTCGCACACATCACATTCGTACGGTTTCTCGTTCGTGTGAATACGCATGTGGATTTCCAAATGAGTAGCTTGACGAAAAGCTTTATCGCACACATCACACTCGTACGCTTTCTCGTTCGTGTGAATACGCTTGTGCCTTTTCAAATTACCAGAATCACTAAAGCACTTCTCACACACATCACATTCGTATGGTTTCTCGTTCGTATGCGTATGCATGTGTCTGGCCAAATGTGATGGATATCCAAACACCTTCTCGCACACATCGCACTCGTGCCCTCTCTTTCTCTTCACTCCTTTCTTTCCGTTGTTTCGTCGTCTTCCTGGGGACAGGATTGGCGAGCGCAAGTGTTTGTATTTGTCGTAGATGATGCCTTTTTGGATTTTCTCGACGATGCGTTTTGACTTTCTCGTTTTTCCTTCCGGCGGCGGCGGCGAGAGTTCTCGGTCTGAATCTTCCGGTAAACCAGCCTCTCGGGAAAGGCGACCTCGTTTGTTCTCAATAAAAGTCGTTTCTTCTTTTTGTATCTGATGATGATTCGCCTCGAGATCATCATCCTCGTCAGGAATCCTCGAACACAACACCGGTGGTTGCTCTTCTTTCACCTTCAAAACCGTCCTCGCGTTCACCGCTCTTTTCGGATGTGGATTTTTCCGTCTGCTGCTCATTCTTCTTCTTTCGTGATGATGCCGCGTGAGATATTGTTCATTCAAAATATAAACGCCTTTCGTTTTTTTTCTCGCATGTGATTTGAAATGTCTCTGGACCAAAACACTAAAAACTCCCACAAAATGCCAACTTTGAAGCCTTCTAAAGAGATATGAATTCGAACGAGACTCACAAATAAACGAGAGAGATCGAGAGATCTCTTCCATGTTTATCACTGAATGCGCGTCTCGCTTCTTTTCATTCCTTCTGTGTACATCTAGAGCGCGTCAAAGTCGGTCACTTCTCGCCTAAATTTCCCTATAAAACTGTGAGAAATCCCCTGACAAATCTCTCTACTCCCGCGTTTCTTAGTAGTATTCAAACAAAAAGAAATCACCTCTCATCATCATCATGGCGTCGACAAAAGCAACAACGACGAATACTACAAGTGCTTTACTCTTCGTCGCTTTACACGTGTCCTTCGGCATCTCCTATTTCCTCACCGCGCAGAAAATCATGAATTTCCAACTGCTCGATAAGAACACGATGCAAGTCCCCGGCTTGGTGTACTTGGCGGACGTTTTGTCCGCGATGATCACGAAGAAATTGGCGAGTGGTAGTAATGGTGGTAAAACTGCGACGATGGAGACGAGGAGGAAACAGACGAGAAGGAATGAGGAAAAGAGATATCCGTGGCAGTTTTACGTGTTACCGGTGAGTGAATTCGTTGGGTTAACGCTCGCTATTCGAGCGATGGAAATATGCGGAGGACCGCTGTACCAAACCTTAGCCGGGATGCAAATACCGATGACGGTGTTGTTTTCCAGCGTATTGTTAAAGAAAAAGTACACGGTTGGGCAATTGTTGGGTGTTTCCGTGGTCATCTGCGGGTTAGCGGTGAAAGCGAGCGAGGTGTTAGGGGCGGACGGTAATCAGTCGAAGACGACGACGACGAGTATTCCGATTCTCGGCGTTCTGTGCGCGTTCGTATCGGGGATAAGTTATTCTATGAGAGGTATTTTGATGGAATACTTGTCGAAATCGACAAAAAATCCACCGAGTGGTGACGAGATGAGCTTCGCCATGGGCACGTTTGGGTTGGCGGCGTTTGCCGCGTATACGTTGTTTGTCACCGTGCCGAATAAAGAGGACTGGGTGTTAAAACCGATGAAAAAATCGTTAGCCGCGAATGCTGTTTCCTCGATTGTATTCTTTTACGTGGCCAACGCGTGTGCGCGAGCGATGATGGCGAAATGCATGATGAAGATTGTTCGATCTTCCGGCGCGACGGCGTTGTCGTTATCCAACGCCATGCGATCCGTCGGGGTCATCGTTTTCACGCACGCCGCGTTTTGTTCCGTGAACGCTAAAAAACAGTGTTTGAGTCAAACTGGAGCCATATCAGCCGCACTCGTCGTCAGCGGTGGATTAACGTACGCCTATCAAACCTCTATTGCGAATAGTAATAGTGGTAGAAGCGCTCCCTCGAGCAAAAGGGCCCCGGCGAAAACTAAACTTTCAGCCGCTACGAACTCCGAAAGAACCACCACCGCTCAAAAAACCATTCGCAAACGGCGGTAAATAAAAAGCTGCGACGATCAGAGAGAAAGAGAGAGAGAGAGAGATTTTCCCTCGATGATACTTAGAAGAACAAGACTATTACGTAGAACATTTTTCGCAAATTCAAAAATACGCAGAGTCAAAATAGCAAAAAAACACCTATTCCTCCTTCTCTCAACAAGTAGTGCTAGGGGAAAAAACAAAACACAAAGCATTACCCTACAAAAAAACGTTTCGCGCACAGACGATGCTTTTGTTCTCGTCCTTTCGTTTCGCAGGCCGTGTTGTTATGTTGGGTTTCAAATACTCACGCACCACCATCCGTCTCCGATTTTCTCTCTCTTCGTGTGTGTTGTTCTTTCTGTTGTGTGTGTTCCAAGACTCGTATTTTGAAAAAACAAATGTAAAATTCGTGGCTGAAATTCATTCGTCAAAAAAATGTCGTCTTTTCCTATAAGTCAACAACACCAACACCAACAACACCTCACCTCTGCTTCTTTGAAGAGGAGGAAGAGGAGGAGGAGGACGACGAGCACGCGACGCGTAAAACTCCTTTTCGCGTGTTTTCTGTTCTCCTTTTCCTCCTGCTCGTTCGTTCGCGCGTTTTCTTTCTTAAAGTCCTCGTTCACAGATGTGATGAATTTGAATTCGAATTCATCGATGTCAGATCTGGGAAAGGAAGAGAAACGCGACGCGAGTACTGTTGCGGAGGATTCTTCTTCGGGTAAAGCGGAAGAGAAGGAAGAGAAACGCGACGACGCGAGTACTACTGCGGAGGATTCTTCTTCTTCTTTTTCGGCGGAGATCGACGCGACGACTTCATTAATCGCGAAGAAAGCGAAAGAGTTGGAGCAAACGTTAAAGTTGTTCGAGAGGCAACGCATGGATTTACATTCACCTTCAAAGGAAGAGACTCCTTCTTACGTCAAGTTTGAAAGACGGCCGAGACGAGTGCTTGGAGATTTCAACACGTCGGATTGGAAAGCGGGGCGAGCGACGTGGTACGGCGGGCCCTCGGGACCTGGGCCAGACGGGATGAGCATTTACACGGGTTCGTGCGGCTACGGCCAAGATCTCGGGAATCACTTCATCACCGCGGTACAAACGGACGGCGGCTACGATTACGGTTTGACCGAGGAGTGCGGGAAGTGCATAGAGGTGGTCTGCGTGAACGGTCCCACGAGAGGTTTCGAATGGTCTGAACTTGGGAAGTGGGCTGGATGTCAAGAACCGGCGGTAAAATCGGTCGTCGTGAAGATTACGGATTCGTGTCCGTGTAATCATCCCAACGAAGGCAATAAACGTTGGTGTTGCGGCGATCGCGAACACTTGGATTTGTCCTACGCGGCGTTTGATCAAATCGCGATACGCCATCGGGGCGTCGTGGACTTGAAATTTCGCCCGGCTTCGTGCAAAGACCAAGGGAAGGTCGTGTCGTACTATTAAAAAGCAAAGAAGAGAGGTTTTGCATAACACAGAAACGATATGAATAATCCGTGCGCGAGTTTTAAAATGCCGTTCTCGTTTTGTTTGTTCTCGTTGAAAAACGAGAGCGTCTGTTTGTGTATAATAACATTAACATTAACAACAACAACTGTGAAGTTCAAATAGAAGTCATCATACATCATCATGTTTTAATATTAACGACGATTACAGAGAGACTCCTAAATATCTTTTATAATATCTTTTACGTAATTTAAAGCTGAGGAATCTTTCGCAACCGTCCTGGCGCCAAATTTGTTTTATTCGTTTTAGAGTCCACACACATCTCTACTTTTTCACATTTAGGACCGAGTTTTCCAACCGCGTCTTCTTTGTCGCAACAGACGAAACCGGTTGGGCAGCAGATACCATCGCAACAGAAGCGTTCGTAGGATTCGACGAATTGAGGACTCACGGCGCGGAAATTTTGTGGGTGCGGAGGTCCGCCGTCGCATCGTTTACCGTCGTCGTCGCCCTCGTGACCGCAATAATCAGGACAGATGGAGAAATGGTACGCGCACGTTTCGTAACCTTTATTATTCAACGTTAAATCGCAGCATTTACGTGGATATAAGCAGTTGGACGCGGAACACTTTTTCGAAGCAGATGCGGCCAAAATGCTCACGAAGGACGCGGATACCGCCGTCGTCGATATGAGAACGAACGGGAAGAAACTGAACATCCAAATCGCCGACGCGACGGAGAATCCGACCAGCGAGCCGCAAAATGGCGACAACGCGGCACGCGATTCGTGCGCTTGCACTTGATTCGAATAGTAATACGAGCGAGCGCGGAGTAAAAATAAGTCTTCGACGGGCATCAACGCGCTTTCTTCTCCGTTTGCGGTGCTCGTGGCGTACATCTCCGGACGATACGTATTACCTCCTCCTTTATACATTCGCGAATTGTAATGATTCCCGCCACCGCCCTTTTCTACCTCTTCCTTTTCGATTAATTCCTCCATAAACTGGAAAAACCAATCCAACGACAACGTGGCGTCCGCCGATCGAGCGCATCGAGACGCTTGATACCTCGCCTGCATGGCGTAATCGTCCGACTCGGCGATTTCTTTCGGAAACTGTTGCCTCGCCGTTCGAACGAACGCTTTCGAGAGGTCGTATAAGAACTTCGCGTCCGGATTTTTCGTCGTCGGTGGTGGTGGAAGCGTCCGTTCTTCCTTTTCCTCCTCCAACACCGCGAAAGTTTTCGTCTTCTTCTCAAACTCCTCCTCCTCTCTCGGCATCGCCACTTTTTCAAAGCCTTCCTCTTCCTTCTCCAACGCTCGCTCTTCCTCGACCAAAATCCTTGCTAATCTCGCCACTAATTCCGCTTCCTCTTGTAATCTCTCCCGTCTCGAACTCACCGTCGTCTCTGCAACCACATTCACCGTTTGTGTTCCCGAGGCGAAGAACAACAAAAAAACGCACGAGATCATCATCGAGAAAGAAAAAAAAATTCTTCGCATCATCATCCTCATCGATCAATACTCGCGGCCAAATCTTTACGCGGGAGGTCGTCGTTCGTTCGTCTTTCTTTGGAGTGAGTTCACCAGAGGTCAGCAGTCAAAACTTTTAAAACTTTTTACTCTGTATTCTTATTCCTCTTCTTTTTATTAGTAGTAGTAGTATTTTTGTAAAGAACAAAAAAAGCCGTTTCGAAGAAAATACGAATGAAGACAAGAGAGAAAATTTTCCTCATTTTTTCATTTTATCCGAAATTCCTCTCTCACTATATACATAAAAGAGACACACACAACTCTGTGATTACGATATCAGCGTCGTCGTCGTCGATGGTCTCCTTCGAGCGAGAGTAATTTTAGCACGAGCAGAGCTGCTGTGTAGAGCTACAATATTACTCGCAAGAAGTCACGAGATAAAACAAAAATGTTGCAAAATCGATTACGCAAAACGTTGCTCTGTTCTGCATCCAAGTTGCGCATCTATTCTCGACGGCAAGAACAACAATTTCATCAAAATGGTGTCGTCGCGATGAGCTTCGTTTCCTTTTCTTCTTTTTCAGGAGGAGTTTGGGGGAGAAGAAGAGTTATCAGAGAGAGTTTTGTCGATGATGATGTGGCATTTCATTGGGGAAGGATGAGAAGTCTCTGTTGTCATCCTTGCGGAAACAACGACAACATCAACAGCGAGAAGAGCGGAGGATCGAAAAACGCGACGACAACAACGACTTTTAGAAGGAAGTTTACCTCCGCGTCGTCTGATGAAAATGAACAGTATTCGTTCGCCATCGTCGGCTCTGGTCCAGCCGGCATGTACGCGGCGGACAAGTTGCTCCACATGAAGAATAGTAGTAGTAGTAGTAGTAGTAGTAGTAGTAGTAGTAGTAATAATGTACTCATCGACGCGAAAGTGGACGTGTACGAGAAAGAGTGCTTCCCGTACGGTCTCGTCCGGTTCGGCGTCGCTCCGGATCACCAGGCGACGAAAAATGTCACGAACAAGTTTGACGCTTTGTTGAGAGACGAAAGGGTGCGGTTGTTTGCGAACGTGAAAGTTGGCTCCGTCGGCAATGAAAACGACGACGACGGCGAGGGGTTGCGCGTGTCCACGAAAGAGTTACTCGAACGATACTCTGGCGTGGTGCTCGCGCACGGTGCGGCGGATAACGATCGGAAATTGCAGATTGAAAACGAAGATACGTTAAGAGGCGTGTACGGCGCGAGGCAGTTTGTAAATTGGTACAACGGGTTACCGTCTGCTGCGCCGATGCGGAATAAAGAGATGCACGAGGATATCGTGGACAGATTACAAAATAAGAAAAACGGATCGAACGTTGTCATCGTTGGCGTCGGGAACGTTACTTTGGACTGCGCGAGGATTTTGTTGCGCTCGCCGGAAGAGTTGAAAGAGACGGATATAGCATCGCACGCGTTGGAGGCTTTAGAGAAGGCAAACGTGAATTCAGTGACCATCGTCGGTCGACGGAGCGTCGCGCAAGCGAAGTTTTCTCCCAAGGAGTTGAGAGAAGTCCTCAATTTACCGGATTTGGACGTCCAAATTGACGATTTAGAAGTCACCGAGGAAGATATCGAGGAGATGAACGCGTCGAGGCCGAGACGAAGAGCGTTTGAGGTTTTAGAAAAGGCGAAGAAAGAAGGAGCGGCGACAAAATCAGACGGTGACGACGCCAAAGGAGGCACGAGGAAGATATTGCGCGTACTCTTTTTACGCTCGCCGACGGGTTTACTCCCTGAAGATGATATATCCTCGTCGCCGTCGTCGTTAGGATTCGTGAAAATTCGCAAAAACATCCTCCAAGGGCCAACTGGGAATCGACAAGCGACGCTTTCCAACGATCAAGTCAGAGACGAAACGATCCTCCCGTGCGATATTCTCATACGTTCAGTTGGATACGTCGGCGATAAACTCGAACCGAATTTAGTTCCCTCGGATAAGAACGGAACCATCGTGCACGACGGTCTAGGCCGCGTTCGGTACAACGAAGACTCCTCCGCCTCCGCCACCGGTCGTCTCTACGTCTGCGGCTGGGCGAAGCGAGGCGCCTCGGGCGTCATCGCGACGAACGTCCAGTGCGCGGAAGAAACCGCCGAAGCCATAAAAGAAGACATTCTCAACGGTCTTCTCAAACCAGCAGCGCGTATTCTTCCTCCTCCTCCTTCGAACACCATTACCGCTTCCAAATGGTTCAAGCTCGACGCCGTCGAAAGAGGCGAAAGCGATCGAGAAGAAACGGAAGAAGAAGATGTAGAAGAAAAAAGCGAGTCCAACAAGAAAGCCTTAAACGTCAGAAGTCGAAAACCGAGAACGAAAATAGTCGACCGAGACCGCGCCTTGGCCATCGTTCGCGCCGCCGCTTCGTAATAATAAAGATCGTCCTCGCCGAGAGCAACGAATCCAAAGAACAACAACGCAAAGTTTCTTGCATCATCCTGCGTATCCCATGTGTCCTATTTTTTTGCCAAAATCGCTTTTATACTCGCGTACTCATCCTGAATCGTATCATCGCATAAAGAGCGCGTTTTCACACCATTTTTGCTTCATTTTTTCTCTCCAGAATTGGTCAAAATGCGTGCATTTTTCTCGTCATCATCAACGACACTACCAACACCGCGTAGCAGTAATAGGAGTAAGCGTAGGCGTCGCACGTTTAGTGACGATCGAAGTTGTTTCCTGAACCGTCGTTTACGTCGTCGTTCTCTCGTCGTTACGAATACTAACAAGAGTACGACTACCCAAACGCTTTTACCGTTGCGCACCTTATCTCCTCCATCTATGAAGAACAACAACACCATTATGAACGAAGTCTCGTCCGTTTCTGCGGCTGCTTCTCGAACAAAAACAGCGACTACGAGTGCCTCCCCGACGAGGGTACCGATTTTGAACAATACTAATCTACCAATCGCCTTTGCGATAATGTTCGGTTTTGGAACCATTTCAGCAGTTTTGTACCCAGCGTCCAAAGCGATGGAAAAAGCGATGCGAGCGACTGAAATCGCGATGAACGAGACGACGAAATTGATGGAACGAGACGCTTTGAGAGCGTTCAACGAAGGCGAGCAAGCGTCGTTAGAGTGGCAAGAGCTCGGGAAAGAGTTGAGAGTGCTTTTGAAGAACATCGAGAGGTGGGGGAAACCGCTCGTGGGTGACGCGAATAGTTTAGAGTCGTTCGATTTGAATTTACTCGGGGAATCGATGAAGGATAGTTTAGCGGAGATTTTGGAGAAGAGTTTGATTGGTATCGGGGGAGGAAATATGAATAACAACAACAGCAATAATAGCAACAATACGCAACTCGGGGGGATAAACTTGGTGCAACAGTCTATCGATGAGAATTTATTTAAATGGCAAGACGCCATCACGGACGTCATCGAAGATTTGACCAATTTGAGACTCGAAGCGGCGAGTAAAGGACAGACGGCGAACGAGGAAACGTTGAAAAGGGCGCTGAATCAAGCGAAAGTCGCCTCGGAATCGTTTTTGATTAGTAGCGGTAATAACAGAACGGGCGACGACGAAGAGGAGGATCCTGCGACGAATTTGATTCGAAAAGTATCGTCCTCGTTCGACGAACAAAACGACGATTTCGATATACGAACGCGAGCCGCGAGCGAAAAGTTGAGAGCGGAAAGCCGAGCAAAACAAGAATCCATGGACTCGTTCTGATAAGCTTCTTCTTCTTCGATTCTTTTATTAGTACACATGCACATTGTAAAACACTATTGTACACAGCGGCGGCGGCGAAAAGCAGCCGCGTTATTATTAACATACTCTACATTTCAAATGCTTTTTGTTTCTCGTCGACGAAAGTCATTCTTTGGATCTGGACAATTGATACATATGGTCTTCGGATCTGTTCTCTCGGGATGAAAACAGACGGCTCGAGGAAAATTTTTCTTCGTTCCTTCGTCGTCAAACAATTTCGCGTACTTTGAATGATCTAACGCGATTGAGATTGGATTGACCGTTCTCAACGACACGCCTTTCGGTTCCTCTCGAAATAAAATCCGTCCGTCGTCTCGGTACCAAACGCAATCGCCCGCGTGTTCGTATTGATACGTCCACTGTTTCGCGTCGATGGAGGAGGATAAAGAGGTTTCCAACACGTCCTCGGGTATCCAAATCCCCGATTTCGGCGGCACGCGAGCAAACACGTCTTGTTCGTTGACTATTCTTAAATACCCGTCCATGCAGTAATTATCCTCATTATTATTCGCGTTTTCTTTCTTCTCAAAAAGCGTCTTGAAATTTGCGTCTCCGACCCTCGGCTGCCCGAACGAAATCAGAGACACTTTCGCTCCCAGTTTTTTAATCTCCTCGCTATTCCCTAACCTCGCCGCGCACAACGTCGCCATGGCGCCTCCCAGCGAGTGTCCGGTGACCACAATTCTCGGCGGCATCGTCTTCGATTCTTCTTTTTCTTCTTCTGATTCTCTAATCTTCCTCTTCACTCTCTCCACGACGTCTCTCTCCACCCTCTCTCTCACGATCCCGAACGCGTTCGCGTACCCGGCGTGTACTTTAGCCTCGATATTTTCGTACGGACAATCTTTCCAAACGACTTGCCCAGCTCTGCTGTTTATCTTGCTCTCCCGAAAGAACCCTCTCTGCGGGTTCGGCGTCGTGCCTCTAAACACGACCAACACCCAGTTCGGTTCTTTCAGCGAGACGATCAACGTTCGGCTTTCCGGTTTATTATTATTACTACTACTACTGCTACTCCCGCTACTCCCTTCGTCGTCGTCGTTTCCGTCGTCGTCAAAATCCAACCACGTCCTCATCTCTCGTTCTTTCTCTTCGATCACGCATAGAGATAACGCTTTTTGCCTCAACATTTCCGGTTCGTTCGAGATGACGAATTCGAATCCAAACTTGCCCTCAACTTCCATGAGATTCTTCGTGTTACTTTCAGCAGCAGTTTCATCGATTTTCGCATCCAAGAACCCTTTTTGCCCGCAATTCCAATAGGAAAGCATGCTCATGTTCGCGCAGAGTTTCGTTCCGGAGAACGAGAGCGGGTGGAACGAGAGTTGTTTTGGCTTCTTTTTCTTCTCGTTCATGTCGTTATCGTCCTTGGAGGACGGAGAAGAGGTTGACACCGAGGCGTAAAAACACCGGCGACACAGATGTTCATTCGGACGCAGATTCCGAGCGGTCGTGGTAGTTTTGCGAACCAACGAGGAGAGTCGCGCGGTGGAATACGCGCCACCACGCCTGAGAAAGATTCTCGTCGTCATCGTACTCTTTCTCTTTCTCTTTCGGGTCTCCAAAGGTCTCGTCAAAGTCGGTGGATTTGTGCGGAGGAAATTTCCTCTCAAACACCCTTAAAAGGGACCAAAAAACGGCAATTTTTGCTTCTGCACAAAAAAAAAGGATCTCGCATGTGATTTAATGCATCATATACTACTACTACTACTCTCGTAATTTTCAACGCGCGGCGAGAATAGTGCACTCATGAGCAGACGGAAAAATCCACATCCGAAAAGAGCGGTGAACGCGAGGACGGTTTTGAAGGGAGAGAAAGAAGAACCTTTGGTGTTGTGTTCGAAGATTCCTGACGAGGATGATGATTTCGAGGGAAATCATCATCAGATACAAAAAGAAGAAGAAGAAGACGACGACGTAGAGCAATTGCGGAGGATTATGTGCGTGCCGCGTGACGATGTCGTGACGGAGCAAAATCAGATGCGAAAAGAAGAGGAAACTACTTTTATTGCTAAAGGAGTGAAGAGAAAGAGAGGGCACGAGTGCGATGTTTGCGAGAAGGTGTTTGGAAGTCAGGCCGATTTGGCCAGACACATGCGTACGCACACGAACGAGAAACCGTACGAATGTGATGTGTGCGAGAAGAGTTTTACGCAAGCTAGTAATTTGAAAAGGCACAAGCGTATTCACATGAACGAGAAACCGTATGAATGTGACGTGTGCGAGAAGCGTTTTCGTGATTCTGGTGATTTGAAAGTCCACATGCGTATTCACACGAAGGAGAAACCGTACGAGTGTGATGTTTGTGATAAAGCTTTTCGTCAATCTGGTCATTTGCAAAGCCACATGCGTATTCACACGAACGAGAGGCCGTACGAATGTGATGTGTGCGAGAAGTGCTTTCGTGATTCTAGTAATTTGAAAAAGCATATGCGCATTCACACGAACGAGAAACCGTACGAGTGTGATGTTTGCGATAAAGCTTTTCGTTATTCTCAACATTTGAAAAGACACAAGCGTACTCATTGTGCCTTGTGAGCCACAGAAAATTTCCCACAAACTCCTTTACAAAACCGGTCCGCTCGCACATACTCTTTAAGCGAATCAGAGCAGCGTCGCAGAGAGTGTAACACTACTACACGCAGAGCATGTCTTCCTCCTCTTCTTCGAGAGTTTTGCGCGCTCTTCTTTTCCGTTTCGGAAAGAATGGGGGAGGAAACGCAAATCCATCGTCGTCGTCGTCGTTCGGTGTCGGTGTCGGTGTCGTTGGCGCGACGACGGCGACCGCCGGTTTGCTGATGAGTTATTCGGACGACGATGCGGTCCACGCGGTGAAAAGAGTCGCGACGGCGTCGAAACATTTAGTGCCGGTGTATTTTGATTACCGGAGGCACCTGGCGAGGGTGAAGAAACTCGAGAGCGAGTGTACTAATCAATTCGAGACGGATGAGGATGAAAAATTGGATGAACTGAAACGAGAATCGAGGCAAACGTTATGGACCGACGTCGCGGTTCGCTTGAGAGATTTAGCGCGAGAAAACGGAGGGATCTACGTGAAAGCCGGGCAGCATCTTTGCGTGCAACCGGTAGCGCCGGTGCCTTTTCGGCAGATACTGAGGGTGTTGATGGACGACGCGAGCGCGAGGCCGTTCGAGGAAGACGAGAAGACGTTTAGCGAAGAGTTTAACGGTTTGAAACCGAAAGAGGTGTTTTTAGAGTTTGAGGAGAAACCAATCGCGAGCGCGAGTTTAGCGCAGGTGTACAAAGCGAAGACGAAGATGGGAGAGGACGTGGCGGTGAAGATTCAGCAAAGACCGGTGGCGAGGTTTTTGTGGGTAGATCTCGCGACGATTGAGACGTATTACGCGGTTTTGGGGTATTTGATTCCCGGGTTGAGGTTCGCGTGGTTGGCGAAAGAGACGAGAAGACACATGTCCGAGGAGTTGGATTTTCGATTAGAGGCGAAGAATTGTAAAGATATGGGGAGATTGTTGAAAGAAGAGTGCGGTTTTAAGGAGGAGGAAGTGACGGTGCCGAAAATCCACGATAATCTGAGCACAAAGCGAGTGTTGACGATGGAGTTCGCGGACGGGACCAGAGTCGATAACGTGGAAAAAATGCGAGAAAATAAAGTGGACGCGTATAAAGTCGCCAAGACGATTCAGGAAGCGTTCGCGACGTTGACGTTTGAACACGGTTTCGCGCACGGCGATCCTCATCCGGGGAATTTGTTGGTCGATAAAAACGGAAAAGTGACGATTTTGGACCACGGCGTTGTGCGGCGATTAGACGAACCGACGAGAGAAACGTGGTGCCAAGTGTGGTTGGCGTTAATTCGAAACGATGAAAACGAGATGCGAAACGCCGTGGAAAAGTTGGGGATAAATCCGGAAATGCACAGGTTTTTCGGGATTATCTTGGCATTAGCGCCAGCCAGAGTGATTGAAGATCGGTTCAAGAAGGAAGACGAGAAGATGGCGGTAGTTTCATCTTCATCTTCTTCGTCTTTGTCTTCTTCCTCGTCCTATTCCTCCGCTGCAAATAAAGTTGACGTCGCCGCCGCCGCCACCGCGGAAAATAATGGAGCCTCGACGACTTTGACGACGACTCGAGAGAACAAACCAGCGAACAACAACGACAGTTTATCCATGAGCGACAAGCGCGAGATTTTCAAAACGGTACTCAAAGTAAAACTGGAAGACCAAAGTCAACTGTTCGAGTCGCTCCCGCGAGATTTACTCATGGTGCTCAAAGCGAACAATTTACTCCGATACGTAAACGAACAACTCGGATCGCCGGTGAATCGATTCCGCATCATCGCTCGAAGCGCGAAGAATGGACTCGAGAAACGCGAACGGATGAAAAACGACGCCGAACAGGCGTTGGAGATGGACAGCGCGAGAAAGAAAGGGTTGGGATATCGCACCAAAGAGTGGGCGCGAACGGTGAAAGATCGCGGATACGACAACGTCATGGTGATGTTGTTACCTGCGCAACTGTTCTTCACGAGGGGCAAACTCGCGTGGGCGTTTTGGCGTTCCTCTAAAGCGGCAAAATCATCCGCAGTTCTCACAAACGGTAAGTCATCAACGGTAGTATCGACGGCGGCGGGAGGGTCATCGACGACAGAAAGAAAAGCATAGAAGTATTAGAAACGAAATCTTAGTTAGTATGATATAGAGTTCAGTCGATATCTAAAAACAAATTTGGGCGGCGTAGCAAAAAGCGCTCAAGCGATTGAATTTTCTTTTTCTGCCATTTTCTCCAAAGCTTGACGCTCAATTTCCTCCAAGTCGAAATCCTCCTCCTCTTCCTCCTCTTCTTCTATCCTTTCATCTTCTCTATTATCTACCGATACTAATTCACCGTTCGCCTTCTTCTTAACTAATTCGTATACGCCTAAATCGCTCGCCGACGAGCCGTTTGCGTCCCTCACCTCCGGATCCGCCCCAGCTTCCAGCAAAACTTCCGCCACGTCTACTTGCTCGCAAATCGTCGCGTAATGCAACGCCGTCTTCCCTTTATCATCTACCGCCCCTATGTCCGCATCCAATTGCATTAGCTGAATCGTAATCGCCACGTCGCCGGTATCGGCGGCAAACATTAGGGGTGTTCTCCCTTTCGCGTCCCGTTGATTCGCGTCCGCTCCGGCTCGTAAACATTTCAGCAACTTATCAAAATCACCCTCCTTCGCGGCTTTAAGCAAGCTCGTTTCCTCTTCCCGCTCTTCTTCTTTCCCATCCTCTCCTTCTAATCTCCTCATCGTCGATTGACTCCTCCCAAACGCCCCGCCGCCACCGCCGTTCGTAGTATTAGACTTCTTCTTCGGACTCGGCAACAGCTCCAAATCGTCCAGTCGACTTTCCAAAACTCTCACGTACATCCTGCACGCGTCCACTTTCGTCATCCCTTTATGTTTCATCCACTCGGTAAACTTCGCGTACCCTTTGATATCCAATCGAGTCGGTCGTACCTTCACGTCGCAATCGCCTTTCGTCGCCTGTTTATAAATGCCGTAGAGTTCTAAGATGCAATCTTCCGGCACGGCGCCTTCGGCGATGCGCGTCGCCGCGTACGCCGCCGCCGCTTCAAATCCCGCGATAGCTTCTAAATCACTTCGAGTATTCGTAGGAGCAGAAGAACTACTACTCGAGGACGTTGTTGTTGTTCTCCCCCCGACGTCGTCGAATCGGTCTCTCGTTTGTTGAAACGCGACCGAAGATTCGTTCAGTTTCCTCTCGTTCGATGTCCCCCAGCTTAACAACGGGAACGTTCTCTCTTCTTTCATTCGCACGCGTCGGTACAGCTTTATCGCGAGAAAAGAGGTCAGAAATGCGCCTGCGAACGATGTCGCGAGAGACGAAGCAGAAGAGGTAGAGGTCATTTTGTGACGCTTATTTTGGTGCGCGGTGACGCGAAAATATACTTCACGCGCGAGTGCAACGATCGCTCGTAGTTTTTCACTTCCGTATCGATCTTATGCAATTTTCGTTGGTTTGCGTTTTGTTTCGTACACGATGCAGCGCGTTAAAGTCGTGTGCGTAATAAAATGACGAATAGCGACGATTTGAGCACTTTGTTTTCTTCATAAAAATTTTCACAACACACAGTTGAACAACAACAACAACAACAACAACAACAACAACGCTTAACGCTTACGCGCTCTGCTCTTTTCAAACGCGAAATTCTTCACGAAGAGAACGAGATCGCGTTGGACTCGTTGATTTTGGTTTGATACACTAGGGCGTTTCGCGAGAGAGCGATTATTGTCGCTCGCGCTTTTGTGTTCTTCTTCTTCTTCTTCTTCTTCTTCGGCTATTTTGAACTCTCAATTTACGCGGAGGAAAGAGAGAGAAGAAAAAAATGTCGGACGTTCGTCCGCGCAATCGTCGGTCGCGAAAGGGTATCATCGAACGATCGTTGACGATTTGTGCGCTTTCGATACTTTTGTTCGCGTCGCGAGTGGTTTCGGAGGCAATAAATGGTCGCGTCGTCGAGGAAGGCGATCGAACGCAGCGAGAGGAGGAAGATACAAAAAAGTTGTATCGAGGAGGAGGAGGAGTGAACTTCTTCGACGCGCCGTTCGGGGACGTGAACGCGAAAGATGTGCCGAGCAACAACAACAACAACAACAACAACAACGCGGGAGTGAGCGTTGCGGCGTTTGCGCCGAGGAGGGCATTGCAGGTAAGCGCGAGAGCGTTTCGTTCTTTTTTGTTAACAAAAGAGTTTTCTCTTGGAATTTCCAAACCGCCTTTTCGCGTTTCGGTTCGTCTTCGCGTTCGCGTCTGAAGCAAACGATCACTCTTCTCGAATATGCATCGCAGAGAAGCGCGGATGATGACAGAAATACTGACGAGCGATTTTTGATGTTTTTTGTTTCGTTTTCTTCACAAAATAGGATCCAGGAGTTGGCGAGGATTTGAGCGCGTGCGCGGATCTCGCCGACGGCAACCTCGCGTTTAGCGTGCACACGTGGTCGTCTTCGCCTTCGGAGGAAGTGTTGCGACTCGGTGCGATTGCCGGAAACGTCGTGGATGCAGCAAGAGAGACGTACGTTTCAATCGTGGTGACAAGAGCGAGTGGAGCGAACGTAAACGATCCGGTATCTTTGGCCGGAGTAACGTTGCCTTTTCAATGGTCGAGAGCGGTTGCCGTGGAGGACGAAGTTTCGGGCGAGACGACGTACGAACCGAGACCAAAGGAGGAGTTTGTCTTTGCGTGTTGGGGTGGACAAATACTTCCGAAAGGTTCTTCTTCCTCTTCCAACGAGGGTAGGAACGATGTGTCTTGCGAAGAGATTTCGCTCACGATGGACGATGTTGGACCGAGAGTTACTTTCGGCGCAAACGTCGTTTTGCTCCCAGGCGAGTTTCTCGTCGGCGGGTACTCAAACTTCCTTTTTTCTTTTAAGCACGTCGAGAGTAAAAAAATTGAATCGTTGATGACGTTACGAGCGCCAGTTTGCGACGTCGAAGCGATGAACACGCTATCCTCCTCCGTCGCGGTTGTGAGTCCGAACATGATTTTTGGCTGGAACCCAAACGTCGGTTTGGATTTAAACGCGTGTCCGTCACTCGTAGACGTTACGTTTACGACGGTGAAACCGCGACGATTGACTACTGTTGACGCTTCATCATCGTTAGTCTCTGGAGTACTCGGGCAAAGAACGTGTCTCACGTTAGATCTCACCGATTTAGTGCTCGAAATCGATTTAATCGAAGAAGGTGAAGACGTTTCTACCACCGCCACGTCAATTACGTGCGAAGGTTTAGCAATCGCGACACCTCCAGAAATGCTCGATATGCGAGAGCAGATCACAAATTTTTCGTGCGAAGACGCGAGGTTTGAAGTCTCACTCGATGGGTCAAAGCTTCGAGTTCTCTTGAACGAGAACGTCAAGTTGTGTCCCGGTTGTTTCATCGTCGGAGGTAACGACAATGTCTGGGCTAGGTATGAGACGACGACGACGACAACAACAACTGAAACGACAACTGAAACAGTACCTTCTTCTCCTGCTTTGTCTCCTTCTTCTTCTTCTTCGCTGTACTGTGAAGGCGATGCAGAGCTCGCACCTCCGATTCGCGCGTGCAATGCCGAAGAGAACGCAAACTACAACGGCGAGGATATTACCGAAGGTGTCTTTCTCGCCTCTTCCGCAGACGCTTGCTGCGTAGCGTGCCAAGAAAATCCCAACTGCAACGTCTGGACGTACTGCACAGACGAAGCTGGTGGTTGTGGTCTGAATGAATACGTGTCATCTTATTCACAATGTACTTTGAAGGTCTTGGACCAGGCAATAATTTCTGCAAGCGTCGATACTGAGATTCCGGGATCTCGAGGCGAGGACGTCACCTACACATCTGGAATTTTGCTCGATAAAATTGTTGAACCGATCGCGAGAGATACGAGCGACGTGAAGTTCCCACCTTGTAACGCAGAGATAAACGCCAACTACATCGGAGACGTCATCGCAAATGTGACTGTAGACCTTGCGGTGAATGCTGGAGCGTGTTGTGCGGCGTGTTTGGCAAACGCAAACTGCGAGCTTTGGGTATTTTGCGATTCAGAAGGAGGATGCGATGAATACCCCTATCGCACGTGCACTTTGAAAACGTTTCCTTTAAATATCGCGGACGCGTCGTTGGAGTCTCCTGCCGCATACGCGAGAGGCCCGAACGTTAACTGGACCTCTGGTATCGTCACTTCCCGAATTGATGTTGGCGAGTTGCCCGAACCGACCAGTGAAAGCTGCGAGATCGAGCAACGCGCGAATTACAAAGGTGATCCTCTCAACGTTGGTACTGATTTGATCGTAGACTCCGTGGAATCGTGCTGCATCGAGTGCAAGAAAAGATCTGATTGCAATGTTTATGTTTTCTGTGAAAACGAAGATGGTTGCTCCAACGCCTATTTTAATTACGGTTTCGGCGAATGTTGGCTAAAGAAAGCTCCGGCTGAATTTTTAGTCTCGGAAGAATTCCCGGCTTGGGAACGCGGCGAGGGCGTTCCTTGGGCATCCGGGAGAGTTTCTCCGAGACCAATCGGGCCATTTGAGATTCCAAAATCGTGCGCCTCCAAGACGAACGCGCTAAGAGATGCGTGCACGCCTTTGCTCGCGGAACCAGAAGCCAGATCTGGCGATACGACCAAGTGCTGCCAGTTGTTGGAAGCGTCGAACGTAGATCGCTGTTTCTGTGAAAGCGACGCTTTAGCAGAACTCGGTGATCGAGAAGATGTGCTGTTGGTTGCCGAAGCCGTGTGCAATTTGACGGAGCCACTTTTGATCGGAGAGAAATGTGTGCCCGTGGAAGAAGTGATTACGGTTGAAATTTCTCCCCCGCCTCCTTCTGTGTCGCCGCCGCCGCCGCGCGCACCGTTTGCAGTTGTTTCGGTTGAGTCTCCACCACCGCCATCTTCTCCACCTCTGATTCCGATGCCACCGCCTCCGTTGGTGATCGCGTCACCTCCTCCTACATCTCCGTCGCCACCGCCGCCTTCACCGGTTTTAGTCGTCGCTTCGCCGCCACCTCTTCAACCGGCTGCTCCCAATCCACCGCCGCCGATGCCGAACCCCCCACCACCAATGGCACCTCCGGTGTATCCACAACCACCTCCACCTATTCCAAATCCACCACCGCCGCTCAGTCCCAGTCCTCCACCCTTTGCCCCAGCGTCGCCCCCACCATCGCCGTTTCCACCGATTCCTCCGTCTCCGTTGGCGCCGCAGCAGCCTTCTCCTCCTCCACCATTCGCTCCTCCACCAATTCCTCGCTCTCCGTGCGTCCTCCTCACAGAGTCAATTAATACGGATTGTAGCGCGCTGTTTGTGGAAAACGGTCAGCAAAGCACGATTTCGCAGACGTGTTGTAGTTTGATACAGACAGCAAACAACGATCGGTGCTTTTGCGACGCGGATGTTAAAAACATATTGGGTGCGTCTAAAATCGAGACGATTCGATTAGTTGGACCATTTTTGTGTGGAACGGATTTACGCATCCTTACAACAACAGAAGAGTGCGTCGAAGAAGCACCGCCGGTCGTGGTTGAAATATCACCTCCTCCATCTGCTCCGTCTACTCCTTTACCGCCGCCGCCGTTGCCACAATCGCCCGCGGTTGAAGTTGTCGAAGCGTCGCCGCCGCCGCCACCACAATCACCCACGGTTGAAATTGTCGAAGCGTCGCCGCCGCCACCACCTCCTCCTCCTTTTCTGCCACCGCCACTACCAGTTTCACCGCAAGCACCAGTCGAAGTGATTGTACCATCGCCTCCCTCGAGTCCACAACCTCCACCACCGCTCTCACCGGAAGCGCCCGTGGAAGTTGTTCTTGTGGCCTCGCCTCCTCCTTCTCCCTCTTCACCGATGCCGCCGCCGCCAAGTCCTCCACCCCTTGCGCCACCACCGTTATCTCCACCGCCGGCACCGCTCGACGAATTTCCGGACGATTACGAAGAGCTTCTTCTTCCTCCTCCTCCTCCACCACCTCCTCCTCCTGAATCTCCTCCCCCGCAAGCACCAGTCGAAGTGATTGTACCATCGCCTCCCGTGGTGCTCGAATCTCCTCCTCCTCCTCCTCCTGAATCTCCTCCCCCGCAAGCTCCAGCTGTGCCAAGCTCGCCGCCGCCTCCCGTGGTGCTCGAATCTCCTCCTCCACCACCTCCTCCTCCGTCGCCGTCTCCTCCGTTTGCACCATCACCACCTCCATTTTCTCCTCCGCCAATTTCACCGTCACCACCTCCACCTCCGATTCCGGTTTCACCATCACCGCCGCCACCTTCACCGCCACCACCGTTTCCTCCGCCTCCGGAAGTGCCTTTGCCGCCACCTCCGGTGCCAGCTGAACCATCGCCGCCTCCCCCGAGTCCATTTCCACCTCCACCAAGTCCATCACCGCCTCCCCCGAGTCCCTTCCCTCCTCCTCCGAGTCCATCACCGCCGCCTCCTTCTCCCTTCCCTCCACCGCCGAACGTGTGCCCTTCACTCACGGTTCTCGGCGGTTCTGCCGCTACGCAAAATGAACTATTGCTTTCTGGCGTATACGTCGAGCAAGGTGCGACTGCGTTCGACGAAGAAGACGGCGATATCACCTCGCAGATTGATATTGACAACTCAGCTGTCGATACATCAACGCCCGGTGTATACCCGGTGTCGTATCGAATTGTCGACTCGAGTGGGTGCGAAGTTACCGCGACTAGATTTGTGAGAGTTATTGCACTCGTCCCAACTTCAGATGCCGCGGATATTCTCGTCGCGTGTAGAAGACGAGTCAACCGCGTAGATCAGCTCTGCGACGTTGGAAATGGAAACCCGAATCCAGCAAGTTTCCCGGGGTGCTGTTTGGCCGTCTCAGATATGGATAGCGCTTCGTGCTTCTGTGACGATGAAGTTCTCGATACGTTTGCAAAACGCGACGCGACGTTTGTCGAAAAGCTCGTGGACTTTGTTCCACTCGCTTGTGGATTCAGAATCAAGTATGGCGACGAGATTTGCGAAGATCGCGACGCGCTTTCGGCGTTCTTGAAACTTCCAGCTGAAAGAGACGTGCGCGATAGATCAAACGCGTGGAAACGCGTCATTGACGAAGATTCTGGTCGATTAAAAGAAGACTTGACGTGCGGTGAAACCGTACAAGCGACTCGTTACATTTGCCGCAAAGTCACGTCAAGCGAGAGCATTACGCCGGTGATTGCAGATATCGCCCCGTGTTGCGACGCGGCGTTCGCTTTGAACCGCTCAAATTGTCTTTGTGACGCTGTGGAAGACGAAAGAAAAGGAACGGAACTCTTCGAGGATACAGCAGGAGCAAAATCATTCTTGCGCAAACTCGTTGGTTTTACGCCTTTGGGATGTGGATTCGACATCTCCGAGCAATGTCCGAAAATCCGCGAGCGTATTGGCGTCCCGGTCACCGAGATGGTTCGAAACGTCACGCAATTTATCAATGAAACTCGTTTGATTCCAGTTGCCGTCGGTGTTCCGTTATTGGTTAGTGAAGGCGACATAACCGGCGTTGACGTAGTCGAAGAAGGTGTTTTGGAGCAACTCAGCGGAGGGTTATCTGCTATAGATCAACGTGGGAATCAAATCCGCGATGAAATGTTCAGAGAGTTTTTCGATAGAGCAAACTACCGAAACTGTTTAAATTACACGGACGCCATCGAGCAAACGTGTACAAGAGTCGTTGTTAGCGATGAAACTACCGAAAACAACGGCGTCGACACGACGACCTACGATGTCACGGCGTGCTGCGGTGTTTTGTATTCGCTTTGGACTCGCAGGTGTCTTTGCCCACCCTTTGCGGAGCAGTTGCTTTCGACCTACCTCTACTTGTCTTTATTCAAGATTGCACCAGAAGCGTGCGGTTTTTCGATGGATGAGATTCCAAACGACAATAGAGACGTTTGCGTTAATGATTTATCGGAAACGCTAGAAGGCTACGTCGAGAGCGATATCGATGCTAGATTTGATTGGAGGATTATCGAAGACGCCGAATCGTGGGTTTCTGAGAAATACAGCACCACGAAGCCGAGCGATTTTCAGAATATATTTTTGGTTGAAGGTGGTTCAACCATTGGTGGTTTTGGAGTGGGTTTCGACTTCGAGGCGTTCACGAATGCCACCGCTTGGTGGATACCATCGTCGACGTTTCAAACAAACGTTTCGGTGGCGATTCCTTCTGCATCGACGTGTTACGCCGCCGTGAGAGCGGCTGAAGATTCTTGCGTACCAAACCTTGCAGGTGCCTCAGAAATATTCTTTCAAGACCTCGACTGGCAAATGTGTTGTAGGCGACTTCGCGTCGTCGAAAATGCAAAGTGCTTCTGCGATGGTTTTGTATCTCTTCTTCTCACGGCAGATTCTCCGATTAACGCGAGTGCTGCCGACACAGATATCGTCTCGAAAATTCACGCTGCAGTACTTTCTGAAGCCCCATCGGCGTGTGGTTTTATACCAACGTACGGCAGTACGTGCCCAGCGGCTGAATTTACGGAAACAGTGGACGAGAAACTCGCCGTAGACTCACGAGAGCTTGTCGATGTGGAGACATTTTACGCTCAAAAGAATGAGGTAGATTACTCTCCGTTGGCGTACATTTCGGCGCGAACTTTCTACAGCGAAGACCCGAACACGATAATTCGAGGACTCATGCTCTCAAACGGCGGAATGCTTATTTCGGAACTTGATATAATTGGTGGAGAAACTGGTCGCGAGGCAAGATTAGTCATCGTATCTCCACCGAGGTTGAAAAATCAAGGCGTTACAGTGCTTCGCGACGCCGCTGATGGACAAGTTTCGCTCGAATACACCACGTGGAATACTTCAAGCACGTATCGAATTCTGGTTGAGCTGAGCGATACTCCCGGAACTTTTTTTCTAGATTCGACATCACAGTTCGTGCGTATAGGCGATGGTACTGCTACTTTTGAAGCCGGTTTGTTCTCGGGCGCAACGAGCTCTACGATTGGCGCGACTGAATCCGCGCTCACGGTGACGTCCAGCGGCAAACTTTTCTTGAGAACGTTCGAATCTCCGGAAGGTATCGAAGTTGAAGGTGAAGAAGTAACTTTACCAGATGGCACAGTTGCAAAAATTGTTCGCGTGGAATCTTTCGACGAATCCATGTTATTCCCACTCGTTCGCACGTCTGCAATCATCGTTGCGAATGAAACCCTCACGGCAGAAGAGACGACGACGACGACGACGACGACATCCCCTATCGATATTCGTCGCGGCGTGGTGAAGAGATCTGGAGTCATCGTTCCGAAAGAAGAGGACGGTGGCGTCTGTTCGGACGCGCGAAGTGTGAAAAATTTTCTCGCGATTGCGCTTGAAAGTCCTACGCTCTCGAAAAAATACTCCGTCGTGGGTGCACTCACCGTCGCCGACGATACCGATAAAGAAACGATCCTCGTGCCGGAGATTAAAATTCCGATATATTACGTTCCAAGAGGCGGTGAAGTCGAAACAGAGGAGTTCACGAGCAGTTTCTACGACGAGTCATCGTTCGTGGATCCGTTAACGCCTGGCGTTGGAACGTGCTTAGGTATTCAAATCATCGACGGTTTTGGTCGTAGGTATTCCGACGAGGATCTTTGCGCGCGAACGTCGAGCGAAACGACTTCGTTTGGAGTACAATTTACAATATTGAACGTAGAAATGTGCAGAGGGTGCGCGGTGACGGGTAGAGAATCTGACGGTGCTTTATTTGAAGTCTCGCACGGCGATGGCGAAGACTCGAACGCTTTAGCCGTTTCTGAACCTTTTATTCGACGTCCATTTTGCGAACTCAACGATTTTGAAGAAGTCGCGCCGGAACAACAACAACAACAACAACGACGGCGAAGAAACTTACTGCAATTCTTTGGTGGCGTTCCGTTCTTCCAATCGCCTCGGGTGATTTCTCCATCCAATCAAATGGCTGGAAATATGCCAGGAGGCGCGAACAACCAGTTTGCGGCTGGAAACTCTGGAGCGGGCGGTGATGCCCTCCTTCCTTCCACGACGGTGAACGTGAGTCAAGGCCCTCCGACGACGACGCTCTGCTCGGAAGAGGCTTTAAAAGATATCGAAAGTAGTATTTACTGGAAAGACGATCGTGGAGCAATCACCTCGTCGATAAACGGAGGTAATGGTTTCACCGAGCAATACGAATCGTACGCGTTCGCCGGTGATATACGAAATCCAGATAAGAACAGCGAAGTGAGCTTGAAGAACGCTCTGACGCTCGTTGCGCTCTCGCCGTGGCTTCGCGAAAATCTTGGCGATGGCACGTACGGCGCGTGGAGAAGAATCAACGATCCATCTCGAAAACTCAAATTTACGTGCTATGGTTATAAAATAGTATCGTACAACGAGCAAGGAGATGAGATTGTACAGATTACCAACCCTCGATGCGAGAATGTCCAATTTTACGCATCGTTGAGCGCGCCCGTGAGCTTATCTGGCGGTGGTGGTGGATCAGAAAGCACAACACAATTCTCTCAGCAACAGGAAGGTAGTAGCGGCGACAGCATCCCTCCAGCATATGTTGTGTTAATCGAAGTCGATTTTGGCGTCATTCTTTGTGAAGGATGCTATCTGAAACCTTTGTATGTCGACGATGATATTCTCTTCAGCATCTTTCCAAACAACGAAGTCATTTCGGAAGATGTAGTAGATAATAACATCGGTAGTTCTTACTACACATTCGACTTTGTCGGACCGACTATAGCCGAGCGACTGGAATGTTCTTCTCCGAAAGGCGCGTTGGTTACTGCCGTCGAGTTGGTGGCACCAGATGCCGCAGCAATTACTCCTCTAGACGACGATGACGGCGAGGAAGAAGATGCGCCTGCGCCGAGCGTTAGAAAGCTTCCGAACCGATACGCGTGTAACGCTCAAGCAAACACCAACTTCAAAGGCGTTTTACTCAACGATGGCAACAAAAACATTCTTTCTTCTGCGGCGGCGTGTTGCGATGCGTGCGCCACGACGGAAAATTGTGACATATGGGTATACTGCGTCGGGGATTGCGTAGATTTCGCCTTTCACTCGTGCTGGTTGAAAAAGTCCATGGAAGGTGGATTTAATTCTACGGCGTCGCCATCTAAAATTTCTGCGTGGGATCGCGGCGACGGCGTGCCGTGGACCTCTGGATATCTCGTCACGAAACAAGACGATGCTGGTACCGCATCTGGGGAAGTATCCTCATCGGAAGAGGAAGTCACGGATACCGCGAAATATTTTACCCTCGAGCCGGGGAAGCCGACGGATATACCAGCGTCGACAATCACAGTAAAAGCAATCGACGTACCGGTAACACCTCCTTCTCTGTTTGATAACGTCAGCGATGGTGTTGAAACGCTACCTCCTCCAACGACGTCTTTGCCGACAGACGAGGAACCTATCATCGCGTCTCCTCCGCCGACTGGATTCGGTACGATTCGTCCGACGGTTCCCGTGGACGTTCCGACTACTACTACTACCACAACTCCGACTCCAACTATTCCCCCAACGACAGACGAAGTAATGCCTCCTACTACCGCCACCACCCCTTCACCTCCTTCGTCCTCGAAGTGTTCAAACACCGACGTCGCCGCCTGTCCACGCGAATCGTCCCAAACGCTCGAAGCGCTCGATATTCGAGCAAACTTTAGAGCGTCCACAAAAGGAACCTCCCCATCAGACGAAGGACGTCAACTCACCGTCTCCGGTACCGCCGTAAACTTCGGCGCGCTCGGCACCGTCTGCCTCGCCGGCGTCACCTTCCGCGTCCCGTTCGAATTCCTCGTCATCCCGGAGACAAACGAACAAGCCGCCGCCTCCCCCGAGCCTCGTCGCGCACCTTCCTCTGAGTTCCTTTTCGACTGCGCCTTCCTCGGCGTCCGCTCGCGCACCGGGCCAATCACAGATACTACTCCGCGAGAGTGCACGGACGTCCTCAAACTCGCCTTCGTCGACGACGAAGAAGAAAACAACAACACCAACAACTCCTACATCCAATTCACTCTGCGCGACGTCGCGCTCTGCCCGGATTGCTGGCTCGTCGGCGGTAAAGGCGGGGTCATCTTCTCCGTTCGGCACCGAGAGAATTTAAAACTTCTCCTCGCGAGAAGAGACGACGGGGAGTTCATCAACACCGTCAACGCGGAAGAGGTTGCGTGCGAAGCCGCTTTTTAACGACTTTGACGAGAAAGAAGAAAAGCGACAGAAGAAGAAGAAGAAGAGGTTGTTGCAGCGGCGGCTGCAGAGAGAGAGAGAGAGTAGTGTTGAGAAAACTTAGATCGCCACAAAAGCGAACATCATCATCATCAACATCTTCATCAAAGTAGAGAGAGAGAGAGAGACATCAATCACCATTGATCATCGAGTATTTTTAATGAGTACAAAGAGACACAAAATCACTCACAAATTCCTCAGAAAAATCTCCCCTTGACGCGCTTTAAATCCGTTCTTTTTAAGCGCAGAGAGAAAGAGCACACAGAGGAGCGCGCGCGCAAAGAATGGGGTGCTGCGTCTCCAAACACGACGAAGGACAAAAGGAAGGAAAGGAGAACGAAAAGGACAAAGATCCGATCAAATCGACTTTGAATTCGTTAAAGAAGAAGAAGAAGAACGTAAACATAAACAACACGAAAAGCGGAACAAAATCGGATTCGAAATGCAAACAAAATGTCTCCTCCTCGTCCCAATCGTCGCGGTTAGAACTCATCCGCGCGTGGAGCGGAGAACAGGCGACGACTTCGAGCAATAAGAACAAGAACAACGCAACGAAAACGACGAATGAGGACGACGACGAGGATGATGATGAGAGGCAGATGAATGATTTTTTAATCGCAAAAATGCTCTTCGAGGAGGACGAGTTGGAGGAAAAAAATCGAAAAATGGCAACGCAGAGCGATTTTTTACTCGCGCAATCTTTACGAGAAGAAGAGGAAATAGAAGAAGAAATAAAAGAAAACGAGTCGTACGAGATGCTTTTGGAACGGTGGAAACGTAGGGTTGGTCAAGAGCGGATCGAGAGTTGGTCGAGGAAGTTGGACGGCGTGGTGCGAGAGCAGGTTTTGAATACGCCTTTGAGGAAGAGCCCGGGAGACGATAGATCTAAAGTGAAGAGGCAAATGTCGGTGCCTATTACGCCGAAAAGGAACCAGGACGAGGATTTACGGATCGCGTTGCAGTTGAGCAGAGAAGATAGCGAAAAGGTGGAGAGAGATCACGACGTGTTATTGGCAAGATTGGACGCGTTTGGGTTGAGAGAGAAAGTCGTTTCCGGGGACGGGAATTGTCAGTTTCGAGCGCTGAGCGACCAGTTGTTTCGGACGCCGGAGTTTTACGAGGAAGTGCGGAAAAACGTTGTTGGACAGTTGAGAAAACACGCGTCGAGGTATGCCGCGTATGTCGTCGCGGCGAATGAGGAAGGCGGGAGTAAAAACGCGCCTTCGTCGTCTTCAAGTCCGCAATCCTCGACGGAGGAAGCCAAGTCGGCGTTTTTCATGATGCAAACCGCGTATTCGAACTATTGCGACGATATGGCCTCGGATGGTACCTGGGGTGATCACGTCACGTTACAAGCCGCCGCGGATTTGTACGGCGCGCAGATTACCGTAGTCACGTCGTATTTAGATAACGGCGTTTTGGAAATTACGCCGATTCGAACGTCGTCGTCGAACAAGAAAGGCGGCGACTCGTCTCCTCCGGACGACGGGAAGAACTCGTCCTGGTCCGAGAAGTTTGGCGAGAGGAATTTATGGCTGAGCTTTTGGGCGGAAGTGCATTACAACAGCGTCTATCCAAAGTTGGAGTTTCGCACGCCGGAAAGCGGGAAGAAAAGTGGTAGAAAGATTGGCACCGCCGGAGGATATTACGACGGGAATGAAAATGCCAACGTCGATACAGGCACCAGCGGGAACAACTACACAAACAATAACAATAACAATAATAACAGCAGCACGAGTAAAGGAACATCATCTCGAACGGCTATTCGTTCCCAAGCTTCGAAGCAAAACGACGCCGCCTTGCGCATCCAAACCTCCTTCCGAGGCGCGCAAGCGAGAAAGAAAGTAATCAACTCTCGACACTTGCTGCAACGCTCCATCGAAACTTTGAAGATACACGACGCGGCCTCGGTCATCCAACGCGCCTATCGCGTGCATCGCGCCGAACGCATCGAACAGGAAGAGTACGAAAAAGTCATGCAACGCATCACGAGCAACACGCCGGAGAAGTTTCGTTCGCCAGAGTTCTACTCGTCTCCTTTGCGCGATTTGCGGGGCTTCGGGCAGCGAGAACTTTTCAAATCGCCGAAAACGCCCGAGGAACGTACGCGCGATTTTCTCCAAAACCAACGCGCGTTTGAGGAGAAGACCGCCGCGATTAAAATTCAAAAGATATTCCGAGGCGTGTTGGAGAGAAAGCGAATGCTCGACGCCTCGGAGGACGATCCGGCGAAGAAGTTACAAGCGTTAGTTCGAACCGAAATGGCCTTGAACGCCTATCGAGAGTTGAAATCAAAACAAACCAACGCGGCGATGAAAATGCAAGCGTTGGCGAGAGGCGCGATTGCCAGAAAACGCTTGAAAGAAGCCAACGAAGCGGCTTTGAAAATTCAATCGATGGTGAAAATGCACAAGGCGAAAAAAGATTTGCGCGAGATGAAAGCGAAACGACTGGAATCGGCGAGGAAATTGCAAGCGCTCGCGCGAGGCGCGATTGCCAGAAAGCGGTTGAAAGAGGCCAACGACGCGGCGACGAAAATTCAAAGTTTAGTCAAGATGCAAAAAGCGAAGAAAGCGTTGCAAGAGTTGCACATCAAACGAAACGAGTCCGCGCTGAAGTTGCAAGCGATGGTGCGAGGCGTCTTCGCTCGCAAACGCTTAGCCGAGGCGCAGCAGGCTGCAATTAAGATTCAATCGATGGTCAAAATGCAAAAAGCGAAGAAGGAGTTCCAAGATCTACAGGAGCGAAGGCGACAATCGGCGTTAAAAATGCAAGCGTTTACCAGAGGCGTCATCGCTCGCAAGCGGTTCAACGAAACCAAATCGGCGGCGATTAAAATCCAATCTGCGATGAAAATGGCCAAAGAGAGAGAACAGTTTCAAAAGCAACGCCGAGCGACTTTAGTGATTCAAGCGCGAGTGCGAGCGGCGCTCGAAGGTCGAAAAGAGCGCGAAAAGTTTCAAGAGAAGCGAAACGCCGTTCGAAAAATGCAATCGTTGTTCAGAATGGCGATCGAAAAGAAACGATATCAGGAAACGAAAGACGCCATCGTCAAGATGCAATCGATCGCTCGCGTGAAGTTGGCGAAGCGAGAGTTTGAGCTTTTGAAGAAACACCACGCGACGGCCAAAAAAATGCAATCGATTTATCGAGGTCAGTTGGTGCGCAAACGGCAAAACGAACTGAAGCGCAGAGCGGTGGCTATTCAATCCGCGTTTAGAGGGTACAAAACGCGAAAAAAGTACAACTTGCATTCGTATTACGTCGGATGGGAAACCGCGAATAAGGCGACGTGGTCTGGGAACTCCTCCTCGGACGAGGAAGACGTCGAGTGGACGAGAGAGTATTACTTGAAATCGTACTCCAACAAGGACGCGTTCGAGGAGCATCACGAGAACATGGTCAAAGCTGGAATTTTACCTCCGAAGACGAGCGAACCGTTTTCACCTCGCACGAGTTTGGCGTTCAACAACGGGATGATGAGTAATCATCATCACGATCAAAACCATCACAATTTTACCCTCGAATCGCATCCAGCGCCGATGTCGCCTCCGAGACGACGACGCAAGAAGAGAAACTGGTCGAGACGACTCATCGGTCGTCGTCGAAATGGCGGTTTTGATTCCGACAGCACCGACGAGGAGGACGATTCCGCCGCGGAAAAAGAATATCAAGAACCGAACTCAGTTTTGATCAAAACAATTGCCAAAACGTCCGGCCACACGGTTCTCGTCCGCAAACCCATCGACCTCGAAGCGTCTTCGGCGATGAAGAAGAAACTCGCCATCGAGTTTGATCGAATGGAAAGAGAGAGGAAAGAGAAAGAGTTCAAAGAGATGGAAAAAGAAAAGAAGCGGTTACAAAACGCTCGCAAATCAATACCGCGACGAATTAAAGACGCGCTGAAAAGCGCGTTCGTCGACAAACCCACGAAAGTGGCGCACAGAACTTTCGACGTGCTCACGAGCAAACACGCCATGGAGCTCCTGTTGAAATCCGCCATCGCGTTCTTCGCCTTTGACGGCGTCAAGACCGTACGATCGCAACATCGAGAACGCGTTCGAAGACACCGTTTTGGGCGCGACGACAAACCAGTTTTAGTGATCAAAACATCAAACAGGGGCTTTTTTGGCGGCGCGAAAACGAAGGAAACATAGTAGTACTTTCAATATCGTTCGTTCGTCAATAGTAGAGTGTATTAGTAGTAGTATTACCAGTAGTATTACAGCGTATTATAAAAGTAGAGTTTTACTACGGTACGCGGCTTGGAACTTCTCTCGTCGCCCCGGAACTTCGCACGCGAAAACGTCTCGCATTAGTATTCTCCTCGTCATCTCTTTCTTTCACTTCTTAATCTTCTTGTTGAATATTTGCTCGTCCCTCTTCCTCATCTCGTCCTGAGCGTCAGCTCCAGGTTTTAACCCAAACGTCGTCGCCACGAGGAACCCGCCACCAATGAGAATCGCCAAGGCAAAAATCGCCCCTGTCGGTGCTTCCACGTCCCCGGGTTGCCCTCCTTCTGCGACTTCGTATAATTTCCTCGACTGTTCGGTAGATGTCAAGGTGACGCCGAGTAACGCGATGTCATCGATCAAGGAAATCAAAACCAATCCGAGCGCATTTTCGCTCAATCCTCCTGCGGATGTGATAACGACCCCCCCGGAAGAAGAATGCATTTTGTATCGTCTTCTTTTTGAAGACGACAAAACGAAGCGCGATAAAAAAGACGCGTCGTTGTTGTTATTCTTAGCTAATAAACGACTGTTTCTTCTGTGAAAGCTCCTTTTGCTGTTGATGCTGTCGTTGTTCGGAGAACGCATCGAAAGAGACGCGAGCGACATCATCATCATCGTCTCGACCCCCTTCGATTGATTAGGTTTCGTAACGAACTTTTTGTGTGCTGAGATATTTTGTGTTTAGGGTTTGTCTTTGGTAAACCCTAAACAGTTTTAAAGGCAGAAGAGAGTTTTGGTTTGACCTCCGCTCCGCCTCTTCATTTGCCCGGTGGGGGGTGCGTGCGCTCTCTCGTGAAGAAAGAAAGCGCGTTCTCGGAATAATCAATGCAGTCGCGGAGGGAGTGTAAAGAAACACCTACTCGCTCTCATCGCTGTTCCGCGAGTAGGTAAAATGAGAGAGATGCGTAAGAAGAAGGGTTTGTTGTTCTTCGTGTTTTTCTTTTTCTTTTATGTGACGCCTTCGTCGTGTTCAGATTCAGATTCTGTGACGACGCGTCATCGGTATTCCCAACTGAATGAAAATGTTCACGGGCGGCCAATAATGACGCGCGTAGAACGCGTGAAAATGGTAAGAGAGCGACGAATGAAAGGAGCAAAAAAGGATGACGGCGAAAGAAGAGGAGAAAGAAGACGTTCTTATTTAAAAACGCACGGGAAAAAATTACGCTCTGATGGAGAAGAAGAAAAATTTGTCGTTGGTGATGATGATGATGAGGATGATGAGGATGTGGCGGCGCGACGACAAAAAGAAATCGAAGAGTATATAAATAGGAACAAAGATTGCGAAAACGAAGATCATTTATTAGGGGCAAAGTTACCATCTTTGGAACAACAAACGAAACGTTATTGCGAAAAAGATCGCACGACTGAGATTGTATGTTTGCACAGAAAGATGCAGTATCCCGAAACGCACTGTATGGCTTCGAACGTGAAGATTGACGCGAGGATGTTTCGGCAATGGATATCTTCCGGGAAGGATGAGAGCAAGTATTATCCGAAGGAAATTGTCTCGAAAGGAATTTTAGGTGGGAATTGTGGGAGAGATCCAGCGTTTGTGAGTGCTCAATTTGGTAAGGGTGGCCAAGAAATTTTAATGAATGCGTTTAGAGACGATAGAAGTAGCGATTGCTCGTTACGAGGTGATACAAAGAAATTCCTTGGTACGGTGTTCATAATTGCTCATAGTTATGGCGGCGGAAACCCATGGCATGAATTGGAAGAAATATTACATATCTATGCTTCAATGCGAATACATGGTTTAGAAAAGACACTGAAAAGGAACGGTTTCGTAGTATTATTCGATGGTATTAATTTAGGCGATTGGAAAAAGACGCATCCAATTTACCATCCTCTCGTGGATTCTTGGTTTGGAGGACGGGAAGCAAAAACAATGAAAGAAGTATTAGGTGATTCGGATTGTGCGACATTTGAAAAAGTTGCATTTATTCCCCACGGAGGAACTTCACAATTATCGCGAGGTAGCGGCGATGCGGGAGCGAAGAATTGTCGGATTAGTCCAGTCGTACACGGATTTGCAAAGACTATTTTGAGCGCACATCCAGAGATTGAAAAAATACGAGCCGAGAAGATTGTCTTTATTCATAGAGGTAAAGGAACTTCCACGAGTAGGCCTGTGCATGGATATGCAGAGTTCATAAATCAACTTCGTTTGAATATGCAACGGAATGTTCAAGTTGTAGATTTTGCTGAACTGAAAGACATATTCGAGCAAATGAAAGTCGCTCGCGGCGCAAAAGTGCTCATTGGCGAGCACGGTGCGGCGTTAACCCATGGTATTTGGATGCATCCAGGCACGACGTTAGTGGAAATAAGACAAAAATTTCGATGTCACTGTTACGAAAACGTCGCCGCTTGGACAGGATTAAAATACAATAGATTAGAATCCGTCGGTACCGCTCTCGCGACCTCTTTACAATCATACGCGAAAGGAAGAAGAAGGTAGAATTATAGAGTACGGATTAGCACCATTTTGTACGGACGTAAGTGTCTTCGCCAATACCTTTTTTTTAGCCATTCGGGGGGAAAAGTGCATTTTTTTCAATGAAAAATGTATAGAACGACGAGAAGACGAGAAGAACGTAAGTAATTAGAGCAGTCACAAACACAACGCAAACGCAGAGAGAGTAATACTACACACACACACACACATATATATTGAGCAGTAGCAGAGAAGTGTTTTTTTTTTATTCTTCTTCTCGGAGAGAGAGAGAGAGTAAAAGAGAGATGGCGACACCACCACCGACATCAACGACACCAACGATGACACCGGGGAAATTTAGGCGAATTCTCCTCTCGAACATGGAATCCTTTCTCGTGCACACGATGCCGCTCGTGCGATTATGCGAAAAGGAAAACAATACTAAAAAGAGTAAGAAAGATTTTACGTTGAAAAGTTTATGGGAGGCATTCCACGAGACGAGCGCGTTCGGGTGCGAAGTCCCTCTGGAAATGAATGCGAACAACAAGGAAAGGAATGAGAAGGAGGAGGATGCGGAGGAAAACGAGGAACCGGAGGTGATTGCGCAGTATTACGCGAGTTACGTTTCAGCGTTTCAGATTTTCGAGAAGACGAAGAAGAAGACAAAGAAGACTTTAAAGAAGAAGAGACGAGAGGAGCGGAGAAGTAAAAACGGTGTTGGTGAGAGTAGGAGCGATGATTATGATGATGATTTTACCCAGGCGGCATCCGCGCAATATTTCGAATCGTTAGCGCCGTATTCGAGACCGCCTTTGACGGACGTCATCGAAAGACTCGCCGAGGAGAATGAAAAAGTACAAAGTTTGAAAGCATCGGAGATTGATCGAGAGAAGTCGTGGTTTTGTTTCGCGTGGTATCCGATTTATAGGATACCGCAAGGAACGAGTCGGTCGGATATTCAGGGGTGTTTTTTAACCTATCACGGGTTGAATCATTTAGATATAGAGGACGAGGAGGATGAGGAGGAGGATGGAGACGAGAGCGGCAAAGATATAGAGGAAGAAGATGAAGAGGAGGAGGAGGAGGAGGAGGAAGAAGTGGACAAAGATGGTTCACAAGGTGATGAAGAAGTAGAACACGGAGAAAAAAACGGGAAAACAAGTAGGATTCGAGGATTACCTCCACTCCCACCCGCCTCTTTGACGCTTGCCGGCGAAACCAGACTCCAAAGGCGCATCGAAGACGCCAAGAAGAGCGTCGCCGTCCTCGAAAAGGACGAACGTAGCAATACAACCACCACCACCAAAGGAGATGATGAAGAACACACAAACTTCATTCCGCTCAAACCGTTCGGTTTGTGCTGTTACAAAACCGACCCGGAAATCTGGGAAGAATCCGACGAAGCTGAAAACGCTCGAACCGCGGCCATGATTGACGGCGCGTACGCCTTCTTGAGGAGCTTGGAAGTTATTCATCCCGATTACGAATTCTTTTCGCACCACGGATGATGATTTTGATACGACAGAGAAGACGTTGCGCGTTTTTAGAGAGAAGAGGATTCTAGTCACACATAATAGCAACCACATAACAACACGCGCAGCACTAATAGACATAATACTCGTACCTCTACAACGCACAGTATGCGCTTTTGTCAAGTGGAATGCGTGCCCGCGCGGGGCCAAGTACTTCTTTTTAGCCGGTTTGTGTTTCTTTTCTTCTTTTTTCTCGAAAACGCCATTTTTTTGATCTGGGGAGAAAAAAAAGAAATACAATGGACGGTAAGAAGAAGAAACAACTCTCCGGCGCGCAGAAGAGGAAGAAGAAAAGGGAGAAAGAAGAGGCTGTGAAGGAAGCCGTGGCAGATATAGAGCGTTTAAAACTTGGGCCGACGAAGTTGTGGACGGGATTGGTGACGCATCATAAGGATGTTTTTGTATCGCATGTCTTGTCAAAATTGAATAGGACAGATCGATATTTCTTTTCGAAGGTGAGTAGAGAGAGTTGGGGTGTGCTTAAGTACGCCGGGGTAAACGTATCGGGATTAGGTGCGAGTGTTCACGAATGTTCATCCATTTCGACGCTGGAATTGATGTGGAATAACATGCCCTGGGGAAAGAAAGATAAGAGAGGAAGAGTGATGGATCAAGTCTGGTTTTGTCTTGAAGTTGCTGGAACGAACAAACTCGAGTTCCTCAAGTGGGCGAGAGAAGTGAAACAGTGCGAGTGGGATAAATGGACGATGAATGTGGCAGCACGTACAGGAAATCTCGAGATACTGAAGTACTGCATCTCTAACCATTGCCCGTGTGATGAAGAAGCTTCGTGTAAATATGCTGCTCTTGGAGGACACCTCGACTGTGTTCGATTTCTTTTCGACAAAGTGAAACCTTCGCGAGATACGGAACTGGAAGCGGCACTACAAGCAGCATGCGGTGGTCACGTGGACATCTTGAAATATCTTGTTGAAGAAAGAACGATATCTGGGGAGGTAAAGAGTACGTGCGTGTCCAACGCTGCAAGGTATGGCCGCCTCGATTGCATCAAATACTTAGTCGAAGAGGCGAAAGTGCCTCTTAACGACTGGGGATACGTCGCTTCCGCTCGTTACATCAAGCACCCCGACTGCGTAAACTACTTGCTCGAAAAAGGGTGCCAGGAACCAACGGACGAACAATACGCGCGAATCACCGCGTTCTGGGACAACCAAAAGAAGCAAAACCCATCATCACAGCATCACAACGACGCCTAAAGGAGGGAAAATCCTCCTCCCCGCGTCGTAAAAAAAGTCAACGCATATACGCACAAAACACAAAACCTCTCAAGCCGGAGAATCGATTACAGTCGTAATAAGGGCAAAAATACACTTTGATACCACACACTAAAGTAGCTCCTCCATTATATATCTGCGTATCCGCACTTTTGCCGTCGTTCCATCATTGGGATACGATTAAACTTTCGCTCGGACATTTTTTGTCACAAAATTCAAATTCCTCACTCCAAAGGAGCAGAAGACTTTGAGCAATTCATATCATCTCGAGTCATGCTCGCTTCTTGAAAGCACGCAACAAAACGACGCACACGCAGAGAGGGGACTTCTTGCGACCGGCGTTCCTCCTTCCTTCCCCTCTGTTTTAAACTCGTCGTCTTTGATCGCTAAGAGAAAGAAACAGAAATGCGCAGCGCTTTGCTCCTTCTCGTCTCCAATGTGACGAATGTTTACGACGTAAACGAAGAAGAACGAGAAGCTTCGGAAACACAAAACCACCGCGACGATGATGACGACGGATTCCTCGACGTCGATGGAGTGCTGCGAGAAAAAATGAGCGATGTGGTGCGCCTGTGCGAATCGAGCGCGAAGATGAAGACGACGCTGAAAGATGTCACGAAAGAAAAGGAGGAGGATTTTGTACCGGAGGACGGATGCGAGATGGCGGCGGTGTCGTGGTTTCCACCAGTTCTCGATGATGCTGCTACGAAAGAGGACGATGGAAATGCTTGTTTCGTGCCGTGGAGGAAAGCTACGAATGCATCATCCGATGATATGGGCGAACGGTTGCGACTGACGCGAAGTAAACGCTCGATGCTTTTAGCGAAGAAAACTGCGGAAGATTTGTTCATGGAAGAGGTACAAACGCCGACGAAAAAGAAGATGAAATCAGGAGGAGGGAAGAGTACGAGTAGTAAGAGTGAGCGCAAAAAGGGAATGAGAGTGTTGCAAAGAACCGCGGCGACGGAGGCGATGAAGCTCGTCGACCAGGTGGAAAGGAAGGCATTGAGCGCGATGGATATCGTGTGCGTGGTTCCAATCGTATTAGGGAAGGATGTAAATGCTGCTCTGTTTGATATGAACGACCCAGTGAAATGGCCGGAAAGCTTCATCCTCGCACACGGCGTCGTAAAAAGGGCGAAAGAAAGGCTCGGTGGCGAGAAGGTGCGAGTGAAAATCGTTCCCGTTTATATCGTCGCGGACGATGAAGACGAAGAAGACGAAAGAACGAAAACATCGGAAACGAGGACGGAGAGAGAGGCACTCATCAACGCGCGTTTAGAACACGTTTCGAACGCGTGGGGATTTACGAATGCTGTCGTTGTCGAGTCATTGAACGCCAACCCTGTCACCGTGAGCGACGCGTCGGTGATTTGGCGAGGAAAGCTTCTCATCGGCGGTGGATTGAAAACGAATGCGAAGAACAAGAAGAAGAATACCAGTAGTAAATATAAAACATACGATCGGTGCATAGCCGCGGTGGAGGTCTCGAGAGAGTGTTCTCAGTGCGCGATACCGTTTCTTCCGATGGAATCGAATATAATCGACGATGGTGAAGAAGCCGCCGTAATAAAGGAAGAACGCGACGGCGAAAAGAAATCGATTATTGAAAAAAAGGCACCACCGGTGAAGAAATCGACGACGGCGACGACAAAGAAGAACACGAATAATACTATTAGGAAAAACGTAGGAGAAAACGAAGTAGAAGACGAGGAGGAAACTGTGCTCAAAATTAACGACATCGTTCTCATGAGCGCCATCGACGCGGTTGATATCGACTCCTCGCAGGCGCCGACACACGTCTCGTTTCATCCTCCTCCTTCAGAACGTGGCGGCAACTCTGCTTCGAATTGGATGTCAGCCTACGCGTCGTTTTGTGCAAAGAAGCACGACGAAGGCGTTCCCGGCGAGTGTCCAGTTCTGCTTTGCTCTATCGCGACGGCGATGCCGATGGTTGTCGCTCGCGGCAAAAATGGTGCCGTCGGCACCAAAGGGAAAGAGAAGAAGGACGACGACTTCGACTTGGACGAAGACGACGACAATGTTCGCAAAAAAATGCGCGACAAAGGAGCCGCGTTAGCAAATCACGCGAACAACAAGTATTTCCCAGTGCAATCGCGAGATGAGCGCGTGTTTGTGTTAGTGCCGGTCTTCTCAAAGAAGAAAACGACAACATCGGTGACGTTCAGATTGGTCAAATTGGTTGACCCGCGAAGCGCTTTGGAACGAAGAGTTTTGTTTCCACGCAATTTTTTGAGTCACAGTCAAAACGCAAACGACGATGGTGATGAATACTGCTCTTCGCAACCTCCGCTTCTCGCGCTCCCAGGCCCGGACAACCGCCGTCTGTCCGCAGAAGAGGAACGCTTGGACGAGGCTTTAAAAACCGTGGCGAAAATGGTCGTCGCTCGAGGAGGAGGAGAAGGAGCAGGTAGGTCTAAATCGAAAGAAGTGGACGAAGTATCGAGCAAAGGCGACGACGATACATTTGAGACTCTTTTTCGAATAGTCGACGACTATTTCGCGAAACGAGCGAGATGCCGCGGTGGCAAAGCCTCCGATGAAGACGTATCCATGCGAGAGTATTGCATCGCGTGGATGAGATTTCTCTATTTGACCAAGAAGGACGCGAGCGCGATTATCGTTACGTCATCAACGAATGTTCTATCCGACGCGCATCGTCATCAATTTTCGACGAAGGCGAATAACGACAAGAAGATGAACGATGAAGCCGAACTCAACGAATTGAAACGCTTTTACGACGCGCTCGAAAAATCCTCCAAGGAAACCGCGGACGATATTCGCCACGACGTCTCGTTGGTCTCTGTCTTGCGTTCGGCGGCGATGGATTGCGAAAAGAAACTCGAGAGTTCGGAAACGGTCGCGAGATTGTTGCGTTCACGCATGCCTTCGAGGAATGACAAGAACATCTCGTCGATGAAAAGACAACGAGGAGGAAAAGGTGACGACGGTAAGAAGAGGAAGAAAACGGGAGAAGAGAACAAGAGCGCGGCCGCGATGAAGAAAAAGGCGAAGAAGAATACCACCACAACCACCTTGAAAACGGCGGTGAACGATAAACTCGCCAAGCTCCGCGGAAGCGGTGGTGGTGTCGTTGCCGGCAAACTTAAAGCTCCGACTATGATGCACAATCCGATGACGACAACGACCGCGAACGAACGTGGTTCAGCTCCTCTTTCAATGCGATACGGCAGAAACAAAGCGCCCTCGAATGGTTCCGCGTTAGTCGCCGCTGCGACGATGAGCACGGACGATGCGTCGTTGGAGGCTTGGAAATACGGCATGCACCGCACGGCGGCCAACGCGCAAGGGCCAACTTCCTTCAGCGGGTTGGGTCTCAATAATAACAATAACAACAACAACAACAACAACAACAATACCGCTTCGTTATCGCAACAGCGACCGAGCGAGTCCGGCGCGGGAAGTGGCGCCATCGGTGCTCGAGGCACAATTTTGTGTCCAAACTGTAACGCGGATTTGAAACTGACCGGAGGCATGAAGTTCTGCTCGTACTGCGGCGGGACTTTGCACTGATGAAAAGCTTTTAACATACTAAATAGACGAAAGAGCTTACATAGCGAAGATAGTCGAGAATAATTATAAATAATAGATGATTTAGTAGTTCGAGATAATACTTGATGATGATAGAAGTACAATGATGTTGTGTTTTTCTTTTGACAATGTTAGTACATAATGGAATACAACGGCAGAAATTATATACAGCAGTTTCATGCGTAATACATCCTCTCTCTCTTCTTCTTCTCTTTCCGAGAAGAATGTTCGTTGTTACGAAAAAGACGCTCTTTCCAAGAACCTTCTCCATAAATACGGCAAAGTCTCCGTAAACTTCCCGTACGGAAAATACTTCGCCACTCGTTCGCCTTCGTTCAGTAACGATAACGTCACCTCGTCGTCCATGCCCATCAGCTGCGCGAACTGCACGTCCTCCGAATGCCCCAACGCCGATTGAATGTTATCTTTGTTCCTCGTCGCCAACAAAATCTTCACCCCAGCGGGAGCGTTTTCGTTTTTCTTCTCCTTTATTTTGTTCAAAGCGAACGCCAATCCGTCCGCGTAGCTCTTATCCGTCTCTTCTTTCGTCTTGAACAAAACCCCGGGTTTCCCTTTATCTGCGTTTAAATAAGCGCCTCTGACCAATTTCGCGCCTAAAACAAAACCTTCTCTCTCCGCGGTCGCGATGTCTCGTTTCAACTGTTCCACGCTATCCTGGCGATACATTTGGTACGTTTTATACACTGCCGCGTTTTTACTCGCGCTCCCACCGCCGGATTTGGTGTTCATCGTCCGCATCAACTTCATGCTCACCGCGTCCACTTGCTCGTGCAAAAAATCTTCCTCGGCGTCCACGCACAACCCTCTCGCCCCAACTTCTCTGGCCCTTTCCGCGATATCCATCGTCAAACGTTCGCACAAACTCTCGTTAAATCTCGCGCCTAACGCGGAGAGTTTTATCGCGTGCATCTCGTTCGGAAACTCGAGAAGCGTTTGCGTCGCCATCGTTTTCGTTTGTTCCGCTTTCCTCTCGTTTTCCGAGTGCTCCAATGCGGCAATCAGAAGTGATTGTAAACCTTGCTCTCGGTGCGCCTCGACGGTCGCTTTGAGTTCAAAATTCAAGGACGCAAATCTCAACAACGCACTATTGGTTAGTCTTTGCACTAAAGCGGTGCTTTTTGTCTTCGTTTTGTTCGTCTCGTCGTCATCTTTCGACGAGATTGGGAAGACCGTTACGAGTGGTTTCCCGTAAACTCGAGAGGTCGAGAACGAAGCATTAGCTCCTCGCGACAACAAAGCTGCTTCCCTCCAGTACAAATTCGCACCGCGACGCATCAACGCAAGAGACGGAGAGGTAATTTGCGGCGCAGATCTCGGTTTTTATCTCTTTAATCTTCGTGTATTCGAAGCGTTTTTAATACGAACGTTTGGCTTTAAATTTTGAGGATAACGTTTCGGGGGAAACGAAGGAAGTTGAGAAAAATACCAAACCTGCACATTTTCCGCTAAAACGTACGAAACCCGCACAGTTTTCCTCTCGTTTTGCCACTTTCCACGCGCACATCCCTGGCGAGGATTCTGAAACCTTGATGTTCCCTTCTTTATGTCGCGCGTCTCTCTTAAACCTGCGTCTGTTTCTCGCGCTTTTGTTCTTCTTCTTTTTTTTTCTCGTCGATTGAATGTCACATGTGCAGGAGGAGAAAGAAAAAAGTATATCTCTACAACCAATTCTCTTCTCATTGCGACTGCACAGTTCCTCGATACACTCGCTTTACATTATGCACGCGTACTCATCAAACGCATTTCATTCGTTGTTCTTGTCGTCGTAACAGAAGAGAGAACAGAAGCGTTGAACTACTCTTCAACACAAACATACAATTGCAGGAACAGAAAGGCGTTTTCGGGGGAAAAAGTGTATCTCTAAACCTCATAAATTACGCGCGCGGGAAGCGCAACAGAACACCACCACGAAAGAAACCCCGCGATATTTTACATCAAAAATGTCCATAATCTACCACGGCATAAAACGCGCGCCGAAAATGGGATACCTCGCGATGCAAAAGAAACTTTTGATGCAGGAAATGGTTCGAAAATCATCCTCCGGAACGAGTTCGTTACGAACAGAGACGAACGCATTCGAGGAAACATTTTTCATCCCACGCGAGAACTGGGCGACGGTAGAACCGGAAACGATGTCCAACGCGATCCCTGCAATTGCCTCGTGCATCGTCGACGGGCAGTTCGCGTTGTCGGCAAAGAAAGAGTACAAAACCTTCCCGGATCCGATGGATAAAAACCAGGATTCGTTCCTCTTGGTACCGGAGATAACGAGAGAAGAGTTGGGACATTTTCTACAGTCGAGAGTCGCAAAGACGCCGAAATCAGGCGCACACAACGCGTTTAAACATCCAGAAAGGTATTTGAAATATGGAGATGTTACTATGAAGCTAGCAGAGGCGTTGAGAGATGCATCAAACGTGACGTATTTTGCGAAATTGATACAACGCGTCGCTCCGAAATCGTACGCTCAAGCCGAGGCGGAAGTCGTGGTGACGAGGAAGTTTTTGGAGAATTTTACCGGGGATAACGTGAGGTTTTTGTCGAGAGGGTTTTCCGTGCCTGGAGACCACACGGGTCAGACGAGTTTCGGGTACCGATGGCCGTACGGGAAGGTGTGCATTATCACGCCGTTTAACTTTCCGTTGGAAATTCCCGTGTTGCAATTGTTAGGCGCTTTGTACATGGGCAATCGAGTGTTGTTACACGTCGATTCGAGAGTGTCGATCGTCATGGAACAGTTTTTACGATTAATGCACGCGTGCGGGATGCCCACTGAAGACGTGGATTTGATTCATTGCGACGGGCAAATCATGGGAGAGTTACTCGAACAGTTGCAACCTCGGATGACGCTGTTCACGGGATCGCAAGGCGTCGCCGAACGATTAGCGCTGCAGTTGAAAGGGAGAGTCAAGTTGGAAGACGCCGGCTTTGATTGGAAGATTTTAGGTCCGGACGCGAAGGAAGAGGAGTTACAGTTTACCGCGTACCAGTGCGACCAAGACGCGTACGCGTGTTCCGGACAAAAATGCTCCGCGCAGTCGATTTTGTTCGCGCACGCGAACTGGATGCGATTGGGCGTCTGCGACGCCATGGCGTCGTTGGCGAAGAAGAGAAACTTAACGGATTTAACCGTCGGACCGGTGTTGACGAAAACAACCGAGCAAATGTTGACGCACGTGAGACAAATTTTATCGCAAATCGAAGGGTCCAAAGTCTTATTCGGCGGAAAAGAGTTGCAAAATCACAACATTCCGGAACGGTACGGCGCGATCGAACCGACCGCGGTGTTCGTACCTCTGAAAGAAATGATGAAAACCAGAGACAACTTCGAGTTGGTCACGACAGAAATCTTTGGTCCTTTCCAAATCGTCGTCGAATACGACGATTCAACCTTACCAGACGTGTTAAAAGCCATGGAAAAGATGGAAAATCATTTAACCGCGGCCATCGTGAGCAACGACGTCGATTTCCGAAGAAAAGTGTTATCAGAAACCGTCAACGGAACCACTTACGTCGGGAACCGAGCGCGAACGACGGGTGCGCCGCAAAACCACTGGTTTGGCCCGGCTGGTGACCCTCGCGCCGGTGGAATCGGCACAAAAGAAGCCATACAGTTGGTCTGGTCGTCGCACCGAGAAGTCATCGTCGACGATAACGAGAGCAAAAAGAACTGGACGCAACCGGCGCAATCGTAAAGAGAAAACAAATAGAATACACTATATAGAAGTCACACAACATACACGCATACAAAAAAAAAGAGAATGTACGATGATTGAATTCAAGTCCGCCTCCTTAACCACTCGGACATCGTAGCTATTATTAATATCAATCGCTACGAACAGGATTTGAACCTGCGCGGGCATTGCCCAGCGGATGTCGCAAAATTCGCTCTTACTTTTCTCTTTGCAAAACAGTGCTGTTAGGGTTTAGTACTCATAATAGAAAACTTATAATTTAGGGTTTTTAAAGCCGTCTTTCTTTCCTCCTCTTCTCGTTTTTCCTCAGAAACACAAGCGCAACGAATACGAATACAAATGACCACGATCGAACCGACGACGACTTCAAAACCGCCCACAAAACACGACGTCGAGGTCAACTGGGAAGACCAACAGCGCATATGCGCGTTTGGCCGCTTAAACAACCGCACGCACGAGTTACGCGCGATGATTGCTTCCCGAGAGGTACGAACACACATTTCTTTAATGTTGACTTTTATATTCATACTTTAAACAGAAACAATTGGAGGACACCGAAGAAGCGGAATCCGAAATCACCTTCGCGGACGACGACACTAAATGTGATCTCGTCGTCGGCGAGTGCTTTTTCGAAACCGAGAAGTTAAAAGCCGAGGAAATGTTACAAACGAAAGTCACGAGCGAGAGGAAAAGCATCGAAGAGAACAAGGAGGAATTGACGAGCGTCGCGCGAGCGATGGAACAATTGAAAGGACACTTATACGGGAAGTTTGGCTCGAGCATTAACTTAGAGGAATAATAATACTACCATTACATAGCGGTATAGCAGAGAGAGAGGGAGAGAATGCGTGCGCATCTTCATAGTCTAGCGTGATGTACATTTGATATACAATTAAAAGCATCTAGTCCTCTGTTGCTTCGTTTCCCCGCTGCTCGGATAAAAACGCGCGCGAGCACTCTTTTTTGCACGTCTCTGTCCTCAAATCCTCGTATTCTTTCATTTTCTGTTCGTCCGCGTGGAATTTTAAAGACGTGGAGTGGTAATACGCGTCTGCGCACGCCCGTTCGCAGGCGTTTTCGGACGCGTTTGATTCTAAAATCGGGGACGAGCGACAGACGCGATTTGAAGTTTTAGTAGTGTTATTGTCGTCGAACTCCACGCACACGTCCACGCATTTGACGGAAGAGCTCGTATATTCGGTCGTCCTGGTTCGATAACACGCGCTTTCCGGATCTATTGTGTCGTTTTCGTTTAAACGCATGTTTTTGTGTTGGTGATTCGATGGTTTTGAAAGTGAGGAAAGAAAAGATGAGAAAAATCCTCGAAAGCGTTCGACGACGCGAACGAATGATGTCGAAAGCAGTTTTGCACTACCTCTCTGATCGTTTTGCGATGACGACGACGACGATAACAAAGTGAGTTTTAAAGTGGTGGTGGTTCTCGAATGCTACGCATTTTTAAAAGTATCGTCATCGCGTAGTATCGTTACGTTTTCTTCTCGATCTCGATCTCGTCAAAGTCTCACATCCTTCGCATCCGCCTCGCGCCCGTGGCGCCGCCGGCGACTGCGCCCGCCGACGCCGGTCCAACTGCACTGCTCTCCTTCGGGAGTCCAATGACATCCAACGCGGAGGCGAAAGAGGAGGACATTTTCTTCGTCTTCTCGAACTGTTTCCCGCCTTCTCGCGTCGGGAACTTTTGGGACGTGAGCGCGGACTGTCGCTTTGCGCCTAAAGGCGTTTTCAACAGCCGGTCGAGCTCGTTCCGCAACGAAATCTCCCGTTTCGTCACGTTTCTAAGTTCGGCTTCTCGTTCCAGTTTCTTTTGCGTCAACTCTTTCTTCATTTTATGTTTCCCGTACGATTCGAAATCCTCGATGACTTGGACGCCGTCTTCGTTATCGGAAAAGTGCATCACGTCCTGGTCGTCGGAATCGGAATTTTTGTCGAAATCGGAATCGTCGTCTGCGTCGAGACCGAGGTCCATGGCCTCGGCCGTTCTTTTCTTCCACGCTTTATCCGCGCGCTTCTTCTCGTTTTTGTGAACGATAGCGTCTAATCTTTTCGCCAATTGTACTCTCTTCGTCGCCTCGCGAACGGTTTCTTCCGCCACCGGAAACGGCGGTAATCGAAAGCCTCTCTCGCGACCCATGGCGGCGAGCATGGCGAGGTACCGCGAGCGTTCTTTTGGCGTGACTAAAGCTACGGAAACGCCCGATAGATTCGCGCGACCGGTTCGTCCGCATCTGTGCACGTAGGCGTCCGCTTGGCGAGGCACTTGGTAGTGCACGACCAACTCGACGCCTTTAATGTCTAAACCTCTCGCGGCGACATCCGTGGCGATTAGAGCGGACGCCTTATTACCTTTGAATCGGTCCAACGCTTTCAAGCGAGCGCGTTGTTGCATTCCAGCGTGTAAACCAACCGCGTTGACTTTCATGAGTTTTAAAAGCGCCGTTAAGCGGCGTAAGGATGAGATAGCGTTGACAAACACAATCGATGGTTTTCCGGCGTGCGCGGAGAGAAGGTATAAAGTCAACGCGTCGCGCTCGTCGTCCGTACACTCTAACGCAGATTCGTGCACTTTAGATGCCACTTTCGTTGTTGATGTTATCATCGCTTTTGATGATGATTCATCGGGGTTGTTGTCTTTCTTCTTTTTCGTCACCGAGTCGCTCACGTCGCAAAGCTTGACGCGGCCGTAAAATGGAACCATTTTCATGAGATTACCCATCGTGTTCGTCGACGCTAACTCTTTCGGTGGTTCCAAGCGATACGCGTTTTCATAGTCCCCGTTGTTGTTCTCGACGCCACTGCTTCCGCCGCCGTCCTTCTTTTTACCGTTGTTCACTTTCTTGGACGACGCTTGCGGTTTCTTCCGATCGAGTTTGTATTTGACTTCATCCGGAACGGTAAGCGTCGCGGAAAAGACAAACGTCTGACGATCCCGCGCCATGATTCGATTATCCGCCGCTGGTTCACTTTCTTCATCATTTTTTTCTTCATTTTCTTCTTCTTCTTCTCCTTTCTTCGTTTTACTATCATTGCTAACTTTCGTCGCCGCCATCATCGGTTGTTTCCGTTTCGTCAACTTTGCGGACCGCGCGATCCTCCTCGTCTCTGGCGGTTCCGGAATCGATTTAATCACGCTCTCGAGCTCCTTAAAGTGACCTCTCTCTACCATCCTATCCGCCTCGTCTAGAGTCAAAAACGTCAACCGCTCCAAACTCGTCAAATGTTTGTCTCCGTCGCGAATCAACTCCCACAACCGCCCCGGCGTCGCGACGATAATCTCCGGCTGTTTCTTCAACACTCTCTCTTGTTTCTGCTTGGACATCCCTCCTACGATCGCCGCTATTTGAATGCCCGTGTATATCGCGACATCAGCTAACATCTTCGCCACTTGCAACGCCAACTCTCTCGTCGGCGTCACTATCAACGCTCGCAAATGTTTCTTCCCTTTCCCCGGTTTCTCCTCGTCCGCGTATTCTTCGTACCATTTCTCTTCCTCTTTATCTTGCATCAACCGTTGTAAAATGGGCAAACCAAACGCCAACGTTTTCCCGCTCCCGGTTTCCGCCGCGCCGACGATATCCATCCTTCCTTTAATCGCCGGGTGCAAAACTTTCTCTTGAATCGGCGTCGGCGAAGTAAACCGAAGCTTCCGAATAGCTTTGAGCAAAAGAGGGTGCAAATCGTACTGCGCCCACGCGGCGACGTCTTCTTCATCGCCTAACAAATCGTCGTCCTCGTTTTCATAGTCACCACCACCACCACCCGCCGTTTCACCGTCGCCACGTTTTGCCTCGTCCTTTTCATTCCTCTTCCTCTTTTTTGCCTCTTCCACCTTCTCCTTCCACCGTTTCTTGCGCTTCAATATTCTCGCCTCTTTCGCGTTCGACGCCTTTGATTTTGTCGCTTCCTTCTTTTCTCCATTTTCATCGTTTTCTTTTTCTTTTTCTTTTCGGACGGTGATGCTACCGTCGTCGTCGATATCGTTTTTGCTCGCGCTCTTCTTTACTGTCGTCTTCGTCTTCGCATCGTCTTTCTCTCCTTCTTTCTCTAACGAGAGCACTTCGAGACTCACGAATCCTTCCTCGGAACTTCCGACTAAAAATTGCGAGTTTACATCGATCGCGTGCCAATTGTTGTTCTCAGTAACCTCGTCGTCCCCCTCTTCGACCGCTCCGGAGGCGTAGAGTGCTCTCAATCGTTTCAACTCTTCGTCTTTATCTTCGTCGTAACGAAAGCTTTTCGTTTGCTTTTCTTCGATGAATTCGCCGCCGGATGCTCTTGACTTTTGCGCGGCTTTCAAAGCTTTCCTTGCTTTGGAACCGAGCTTAAAGGGTTTCTTTTTACTCGAGGTGTTGCTCTTCATCTTTTTAAAGCTTTTGGTCTCAAATGTATTACTCTCTTATCGTCGTCGTCGCAAAGTATTGCGCGCGTTCGAAAGTGAAGAGAGAAGAGAGAGAAGCGAATTTTAGAGGGACGTGCTTAGGGTTTCAGATGTATGAGATGCAACGGAGCGAAGAATCGATGATGATGATGATATACAATTAGTATTTATTTCGAGAAGACACTACCTAGGTACTATTCGTTATTGCTCCCTTCTTTTCTTTTTCGAAAGGATCGTTACGTTCCAATTTTTTCAATCCGCTATTATAACAAAACCAACGGCCCGTCCCAGGGATTGCTAGATCCTCCTTCTCCTCCTCCTCCTCCTCCTCCTCCTCCTTTTGTACCGTAGCGTTCGAACGTGCCGAGGGGTACATCTGGTGGTTGCCGGTTGGAGGAGGATTTTTGGTACCGTGCTGCCGCTGTTATCGTCGCTTCTTCAGCGTTATTGTTATTCGATGATGATCCTCCGACGTTGACGATGACTTTTTCCACGTGGCTCCGAATCGCCAAGCAGGCGCTCGCGATGGGCGCGTCGCCGCCGCGAGGGTGTTTCACCGTCTTGATGCACTTGCCGCTCGCGCGATCCCACAGACGGCAGGTGCCGTCTTCCGAGGTGGAGAGCAAGTGGTGCCCGTTCGACGTGCAGTGTAAAGAGACGATGGCGCGGTCGTGGCCGCGGTAGGTCGTGAACGATTCGTTTTTGTTCTTCCTTCTCCTTCGTTTTCTATTGTTGTTGCCCTTTTCTTTATCGTCTTCTTCTTCTTTAGCTTCTTCTTCTCCTCCTCGGTCGTCGTCGTCTGAATCGTCGCTTTCGACGTCGTGTAAATGTCCTCCGCCTCTTCCTCTTCCCCCTCCCATTTCCACCACTGGCGCTCCGTTGATGTTCATCTCGTAAATCTCCCCGTCGCAACTTCCTACGAATATGCATCGATCTTCTCCGTCCATGCATATCGCCGTCAACGCTTTCGGCAAACCAAACGTCGCTAAACACTCGCTCCCGGTTCCGTGCGTCATCGAAAACACTCTCGCGGTTCGATCGATTGAACAACTCGCGACTAAATCCGCCCCGGCGCCCGCGCTTTTCGAACAACACACGTCCGTCACTTGAAGCTGGTGACTGGTCCAACTCTTCATCGGTTCCAACGATGAAGACGACGTAAACGACGAAGACGCATTAATGTTATTCAAAGTATCGTTGTTCTTCAACGCTTCGCAAACGCTCCACGCGCTCACCGCCGTATCTTCCGAGCACGTGATTAAACTCGACCCGTCGCTCGTAAACTGCATCTTCACCACGCGTTTAAAATGTGCCGTAAATTTCCCACGCATCTTACCCGTCGTTCGTTCATACATCGACACTTCGCCGGATTCAAATCCAACCGCTACCAAACTGCCACATGTGCTCGAGCACACGCTCGTCGGTTTTTCGTTAAACAAGAACCGTTTTATCTTCTGATCTTTAACACTTATTACTCCTCCTTTCCCTCCTGGACAGTCGTAGACGTCTAACGCGTTCTTTTCCCGTACAATTTGGAACAGAAATCGCGTCCCGCACACGTCCAAAGAACGAGGACTTTGGTGCGTTCCCGCGCAAGATTTAAAGCGTCGGAGAATTTGGAAGTGCGGTAAACTCAACGCGAGTAAAGAAGAAGACGACGAAGAGGATACATTTTCGGAGGATAAAGCGGAGGCAAGAATGATGCACTCTTCTGTTGTGTCTTCTCCGTCGTGACGACGACCGCGCGTGCTCATATCTCTCAATACGAAGCGCGTTAGATGAGAGCTTTTTATGGCGGCGTAGACCAAAATTGACAGAAGGCTTCGTGTACTATTTAGGGTGTTCACCGTACTTGGCTACTTTTAAGGAGTTCTAAAACCTGGCGACGCGTTTCGGCACGACACCTACGGGCGCGCCGTTCCCTCTGTATAAAGTTTTCTCTCGTTTTCGTTCGTCTTCTTTCACTTCTTCTTCTCCCGTGACTTCTTCGTTTCGCCACCGCTCGTATTCCGCGATTAAATTTTTCTCGATGGCGCCTTGTAAGTTTGCTAATACCGCGTCGTTGATGGCGTTGACGACGTCGTCTAAACCCGGGACTAAAGCGACGAAGTCGTTCACGGACGCGTCGAGGGTCATGACCACGTCGCCTCGAACCGCTCTTTTCATATCGTCGTTTTTATCGTCCTCTCCGTGTTCCTCTTCCTCTTCGTCTCCTCCAACCTCTTCGTCTGAATCGTTCCTCCGCCTCTTTCGAAAGCTTCTCTCTTCGCCTAACTTCCCTTCCATTTTCAACGTCACCGTCTCGTCTAAATTGAATTCTTTCGGCATGCCTTCAAACTCGAGCTTTTTCGCGTTTATACTGATTGATTTATCCGTTCGATTTGGAATTAACGCGATCGTCGTTCTCACGACGACTTTGTTGCCCAGAAAATCGAACGGTAAAAGCTCCACCTTCCAGGTGTTTTCATCGATTCTTGTCCGTCTGTTTTCGTCCGGAAAAGTGACCGAAAGAATTCGAGATCCGTCGGAAACGTAACTCGCGAACGACTTTGCTTCGTTTTCATCTTTTTTCCAGTCTTTTAAAGGCATGCGGAGGGATTTTCGCGACGTCCACGAGCGGGACACATCGCCGTAGATTTTCCCCGTTGGTCGTCTTACGTGTCTCCGTCGACTTTTCGCACTCGTCGAGAAACAACGACAACAACCCACAAAACCGCTACTATTACTCAATATACCAACACTGCTACTACTGCTGCTCATTGTGTTCCGTCTGAAAGGAGAGAAGATGCGATAAAAACAGATGTAAAAGAGAGACGAGAGGTGAGAAATTCTGAAGCGTTTTTCTCTCACGTGTCTACGCAAAAGGAGGAAAAGGAGGAAGACGTCGAGACGACGAGACGCGCGAGGGAAACAGTCTCATCTCTCTCTTTATTCTATCTCTCTCTCTCACGTGGTGTACAGAGTTTGCGTTTTGTGGAAGTGGTGTTGTTTTTCTTCTTCGTACGAGGAGTATAGTATTGCTTTATTATTCATTAAAATAAAACGCTCGCGGAGTCTACATCTTTAGTACGTTTTGATCCCGTATTGGTTCCGCGATCTCTTCTCGTCTCTCTTATGTCGCGTCGTCATCAAAAAGCTTCTTCTTTTCTGCTGCTTCTAATAGTATTATTAGTATTATTATTTATTACTTATATTATTTCCCGATGCTCTGGTAATACAAGTCGATGTACTCGAGCGCCGGTTTATTCCAGGTCCAATCTTGTCGCATGACTCTCGCTTGTAAAGAGCGAAACCATTTCGTGTCGTTCCAAAACGCGTCGATGCATCTATCCAAAGCGTAGTCTAAATCACCCTCCGAGGTACCTTCGAAGGAGAAGCCGTTGGTACAGTCGCCGTTTTCGCCGTCGAGTTCCCAGTTCGTGCTTGCATTGATTTCCCACGCCGCTCTGGCTTTGTCCGTGTCGACGTCAAAGACGGTGTCTCGTAAACCGCCCGTGGCGCGAACGCACGGGACGGTGCCGTACCGCATGGCGGTCATTTGGGTCAAGCCGCACGGTTCAAACATAGACGGGACGACGATGACGTCGCAGCCAGCGTACATTAATCGCGAGAGCGTTTCGTCGAATGCGAAGAAGAATCCAGCGTCTTCGCCGCCGAGTTGCGCGCCTAAACCGTTGAAATCGGCTTGGACTTTCGGGTCCGGAGCGGAGCCGAGCAAGACGAATTGACCGCCTCTCGATAACGTGTGATGCGCGGCGTGTTTGATTAAATGGATGCCTTTTTGCGCGGTGAGACGCGAGATGACGCCGACGACTGGTTTATCGCCGTAACCGGTTAAGCCGAGTCGACTGCGCAATTCGTCTCGAGCTGCTTTTTTACCTTTGACGACGCTATCGGCGTCGTATTTCATCGGGATGAAGTTATCCGTCGCCGGGTTCCAAATTTCCGGGTCGATGCCGTTTCTCACGCCGTGGAATTTGTGGAGGTTTCCAGATACCGCCGGGTGGCCGGAGACTTCGCCGGCGTAGGACGGGGACACCGTCGTGGTCATTTGCGAGTGGAACGCGGCTTCGCCTAATTTCGCTTGGCCGTAGTTCATGTTGTGAATGGTAAACGCCACTTTCGGCTTCCATAAGCCGTTGTGATGGTAATTCTCCCAGTGCGCTCGCGCGACTTCCGCGGTGGACCAATCGTGGCAATGCAAAATGTCCGGTTGTCTTCCAGTTTTCAACAAAAATTCCAACGCGGCGTTGCAGAAAAAGTTAAATCTGCTGGCGTCGTCGTTCCACCCGTACACGGCGTCGCGCGCAAACATCCCGTTGCTCGGTTCCACGAAAAACACCATCACACCTTCGACGCGACATTTCGTGACGGTGATCCCACACCCTCCGAAATCAAAATTTGTTTCAAACTCCCTCGCGCCTAATAAAGGACTCGAGTTGAAGAAGGAATACATCGGCAAAATGATTTCCACGTGGTGTCCAAAATCCGAAATCGCTCTCGATAAACTGGTCACCACGTCCGCTAAACCGCCAACTTTTGCAATAGGGGCCATTTCGACCGCGATGTTGATGATGTGCAACGGCGGCGCTTTTTCCGTTGACCCGTTGGTCGGTAAATGGTAATCTTTGCCACCTCTGTTGTCGTATTGCGCGCCTTCGCCGACGCCGGAGGAGAAGACGAAATCACACATCCAAGCGTCGCTCGGAACGTCGATTTCAATCGTATAAAACGGATCAGTTTCTGGGTTTACCGGTTTGTGCATCTTTAACGGTTCGGGTAAGTTATTTGCGTGTTTCCATCGGTTGAAACCGCCAGTTAAGTAAACATCTTCCGCGAACGATAAGTTGGTGTTGTTCTTGTTGTATCTCACCGTGCACTTTTGACCGGCTTGCGGCGTGAGCGGTTCGCACGTGATGATGTGTCTTTGCTGTTTCAAAGAGATTTCTACCGCGGCGGCTTTCAATTGTAAACGCTCTTCCTCTGCTTTCACTCTCGCGATTTCTTCGTCAATTTTCGCCTGTTTCCTTTTTTGTTTCAACTCCGCGGCGAGCATGGTTTGCATTTTCAACCAATCTTCGGCTTCGTTCGCGTTTTCCACGGCGACGACGTAATCGTTGCTTTCGTTGTTATCCCAGGATACTTCGTCTGCATCAGAAACGACGAATTCAACCGACGTCGCGAATTTCGGCACTTGGACGATAAATTCAAACCAACAATTTTGTTCGTCCGCGGGAAACCTTTCCGAGGGCGCGATCGGCGTCATCTCTTGGACTTGCTCGACGCCGTTCATCCAGTTTGAGAAACCGCAGTGCGCTTTCAACGAAGAACACGCAAAACCACCGATTGGATTTTGCGCTTTGTTCCACGCGATTTTCTGTTTCGTCGCGTACCCTTGCGTCAACTTCTCCCCGGATTCAGTTTCGAAAATCGTTCTCTCGTACTTTTCAAATTTCGTAAAACTCTTCTCCTGTCTCTCTTCGATGGACGTTTGAATTCGAGAAATAATCTCCGCCGCGTTTTGTTCGTCCTCTTTATCCGTTCTTTTTAATTCCTCCTCTTCGAGCAACTCTTTTTTCGTTTTCCTCGGAAACATCGTCTCTTTGGTAAAATTCTGTTCGTTATTGTTCTCGTACGCGTCTCCGCCTTTCGTCTTGAAGACGTACTCGATTTCAAACGCCTCCGCGCTCAATTCCCCTCCCGGCAACGTGCACTCGAACCAACTCGTTTCTGGAATTTGCGTCATCTCCACGTCCACGGCTTCACCGAACTGCCACTCGTTAAACCCAACCGTACACGTCACGCCTTCCTCCCACGTCTTTGAATTTTCTCGTAAAGACGAAGACTTTGAAGCGTCCAGGAAAATTTTCACCGGCGCCCCGCACACCGGCGTCGACGGTACCGTAAACTCTTTCACATCTTTGTCTTCTTTTGTATTGCAGAGGAATTGCATTTGCTCGTAGGATTGGAGTAACGAAATAGCATCTGAAGCCGCTTTTAACGCTTCGCCTTTCAATTTTTCCTTCTCTTTTCCCACATCAAAATCAGAAGCATCGCTGTCTGTTGTGGATGATTTCGCAGTTTTTCTCCGCGGGGCAGGTTTCGTATTTTTGTTGTTCGTGTTATTCTTCGTCTTCTTGTTCCCCGAGGAGACTTTTTTGGCATCGTTCGAAGAGGAAGATGTTCCCGATGGTGAGGATGAAGATTGCGCGCGAATTCGAGAAGAGATCGGAAAATGACTAATCTTTTTTTTTCCACTCTTTCTTAAACGCTTCGCGTTGGTGTTCCTCGCGCGCGCGCTGGAGGACTTTGAAGAGTACAACGAGCAACACATCATCGTCGTCATATCGAAACTGTTATATAACAGAGAGTATTATTTCTCTCTCTGTCTCTCTGTCTCTTTTATAATAAAGTACTATTACACGTGTTTGTGTGTGCTGTTACGTGAGAGACACAAAAAAACGTTTTTCTTTCTCACTACTCGCGAATGTGTCTCTCGAGTTTCGAATTTTATACACGAGAGAAGTCTACATGTGTTCGTTATTTGGCACGAGAAGATATTAATTTGTGGCAGAGAGTGAAACGAGAGTGGTTTCGAGTGAGCGAGAGTCACACGTTTTCTTTTTGAGATCTCTCTCTCGCTTTTTTTTTTTTTTTTTGTTTGCGGACAATTAAATTTTTCTCGCGTCTCTCAAAACTTTACAGTTGTGTGTTTTTAGGTGATTTTATTACGTGTGGTGTGCATGTTCGCGAGGGCTTTTGCGAGAAGGGGGTCTCTTTTAACGAGCATAATAACACGACGCGTTGTTTCACGAAGAAGAAGAGCAGAGAGAAGAAGTTGTTTTTGGTCTCGTCGTTTTTCGTCGTTACGTAATAATACCATGACGACGTCAAAAGATGATGATTCTTCTCGAAGGTACGGAAGGATTGGAGATGTCGCGAGAAAGAGGTTGTTAGATAATAATAACAAGAACAATAAGAACAACACGAACGAGAGCATCGCCTCTTCGAATAATACTCATCGAACGATGGTGACATCATCATCATCAGCATCATCGACTGAACCGATTTTTAAAAAACGAGCGGCGGTGTTAGTGCTTTTGTTTGAGAATACGCGAGAAGAGATACACGTGGTATTGACGAAACGAAGCGCGGATATGAACTCGCACGCCGGTCAGGTCGCGTTCCCGGGAGGCAAGTTAGACGACGAAGATTTAGGCGACGATATCGAATGCGCGTTGAGAGAAGCGAAAGAGGAGATTGGGTTGAACAGAAACCACGTGAAAGTGTTGACGGTGTTACCGCCAATCCTAAGCGCGGGGTTGATAAGCGTTCGACCAGTCGTGTGCGCGGTGACGGATGTGAGGAACTTTTCGAAGATGGATTGGTTGAGGAATCAACCTTCGGAGGTGGAGAGGACGTTTTCTGTGCGGTTGGATCAGTTTTTGCGGGAGGACGAGAGACACACGTTTAACGATCACGCGTGGAAAAACGCGCCGTGCGCGATACGAGTGCACTCGTTTCGAGTGGACGAGGAGGAGATGATTTTTGTAGGAAAAGAAGGAAAAGAGAGTAGTAAAGAGAGTAGTAGAAGTAGTAATAATAATAATAATAATAGCGAGAAGAAGAAGAAGAAGACGAGCGTGTGTTGGGGGTTAACCGCGGCGGTACTCATCGAAACCGCCAAAATTGTGTACAATAAAGAACCCGAGTTCGAACGCGATTGCGTGTTGGAAGGCGGCGCGTCGATTTGGGACTTAGTCGCCAATAAAGACGGAACAGGCGTAGAATTAAGGCCAGGCGTGAGTAAAATATAAACGAAGATATGATGAAAATGAAAATGAAAATTACAAAGTACTAGTAGTATAGCTTCTTCTCTTCTAAATTCTCTTAAATCTTCTTCTTTTGATTTTTGATATATTATAAATGTTGCGTGTGCCGTCGTTCGCTCTCTTCTTTTTTTTCTCTTCTCTTTACATTATTTTCGTCTCGATTTCGTTTAAGTGCAATGAGGCGGGTCAACCTTCGCCCAATCGAAGATTTGTTCCCATTCCGCCGCTTTCTTGTTCCAACTCAAGTCTTGCGTCATCGCTTGGACTTGCATAGCTCTCCAAACGTCCTTCTTTTCTTTGAACACGTGAATAGACCACTTCGTCGCTTCGATGAAATCTTGCGTGGACATGTTATCGAACAACCATCCGGTACCGACTTCACCAACTTCTTCTGGTTTCGAGATATCCGCGAACGGATTGTGTTGTTTGATGGTGTCTCTTAAACCTCCCGTGGCGTGCGCGACCGGTAACGTACCGTATCGCATGGAATACAACTGGTTCAAACCGCACGGTTCGAATCGCGAGGGCATCAAGAAAATGTCCACGCCGGCGGTAATTCTGTGCGCCATGGGGATGGAGAATCCAACCCACCCTCGGAATCGGTCCGGGTACTGCCCTTCCGCCCATTTCATCCACTCTTCCAATTCGGTTAAACCAGAGCCAAGCATGATGACTTGACAATCTTCATTCATCAACGCCCCTAACGCGTCGCGAATGAGATCCGGACCTTTTTGCCAATCCAATCGACCGATGAAGCCGAGGACCGGGACGTCGTCTCTTTCCGGCAAACCCATCTCTCGTTGCAACGCTCTTTTACACTCCAATTTACCGCTGAAATCCAAGATGGAATACGGAGCCGCGCAATCTTTATCGTCGCTCGGGTTCCACTCTTCCAAGTCGATGCCGTTCGCGACGCCGTTTAATCGGTGCGATCGCGCCGCCAACAAACCTTCCAAACCTTTACCTCCTTCCGGAGTGGTAATTTCGTACGCGTACCCTTCCGAAACGGTTAAAACGCGATCGGACGTTGCAATCGCGCCTTTCAAAATGTTCACGACTTTGCCTTCGTCCAACTCGTGCGCTCGCATCCATTCTGGGTATTGGTACTCTAAAGCGCTGTACCATTCTCCGGGAACGCCTAAGTTTGGGAACGTCGTGTTTGGTTCCACGCCTTGGTGCGCGATATTGTGAATAGCGCAGATGGTTCTCGCGTTGCCGTAGACGTTGTGCGGTCTATATTTCGAGGCGACTAAAAGCGGTACCAAACCGGCGTGCCAATCGTTGGCGACGAAAACGACGTCGTCGCCGTATCTCCCGCCGGTGTTCTCGAACGGCAACACCAAAGGCGCTTCGCACGCGGCGTGTGCCAACAAAGTATATCTAAACTGGTTATCGCCGTAGGTTTTATTGGTCACGTCAGAGTATAACGATCCCGCCCGATGGTACGAAGGATGGTCCACGAACACGTAATCGACGCCGTTTTTGATCTGGTGGAAATACCCAACCTCTTGCAACCCTTCGAAACATCCTAACTTTGATTTCACGCACGTATCGAACGCGCCTTCGTATAATTTATCGCTTTTCGTTCCGTTCAAATATCTCGGAGCGATAACCATCACGCGATGGCCTCTCGCCACCAGCGCTTGCGGCAACGACCCGCAAACGTCCGCTAAACCGCCCGTTTTCGACCACGGCGCGACTTCAGAGGTGACAAAAACGATATTTTTCGGCGATTCCGATTTCACGATCGGATCGATTTCAAAACCTGGCGTTAACAGAGACGTTGAAGACCCAGAAGAAGCAGATGAGGAGGAGGTCGGTGGCGCGGGGGTACTCTTTTCAGTCGCCGTCGACGACGACGAAGAAGAAGCTGCTGCTGCTGCGGCGGCTTCCTTCGCCGCGTTCTCCACCGTATACTCCGAATCGCCCCCGACGTACACATCCGGCAACTCCCCGGCGAACGCTGGTTCAACTTTCCCTCCTTTTTCACTCGTCGTCGTTTTACTCTCCTTCTCGGTGGCAGCGGTAGCCCTACTTTTCCCGTTGTTACCGCCGCTCGTTTTATTCGTAGTAGTAGTATTCGCACTCTTCGTCTTCTTCACCGTGGAGACTTTGGCTTGCAAATCGCGTTTCAAAGCTTCGTTTTCCGCTTTAATGGCGGCAATTTGCGCCAAGATTTCCGCGTCCGACGAGGACAATTCCTCGGAATCCGTCGCGGTTGATTTCATCGCGAGATTGTTACTCTTCTTCTTCGGAGGCAAAGCGTTCCCGCACTTGTTACTTTTGAGCGTCATCATCGTTCGTCGTCGATGTTGGAACGACGACGACGATGGAACATTACTAATATTCGTCTTCGAAGACGAGCGCACACAACACAAAGACGACGACGACGACGACGCAATCATCCCTTACGCTCTTCTCTTTCTCTTTCTCTCTTTTTCTCTCTTTCTCTTCTTCTTAAACAAGCGTTTTTGTGTGTGTATAATGTATCGAGTTATTCGACTAATCTTTCTCTCGAATATCTCTTTTTTCGCCTCTCTTTTTGGGCAAATTTGGAACAAAACTAATCCAAAAAAAAAAAAACGAGTGGCTGCTCACCGCTTTTCTTTTCTATTTAGGGTTTTGCAAATTTTGCAAATTTCTTCAAACGTCTTGTCGTGTGTGAGAGAAGAAAAAAAGAAAATCACATGTGCTTCTCTCATCATCATCCTCGTCTCGCTCTTTTTTGTATCTCTCTCTCGTTGTTGTTTCTTCGAATACTCGGGCTTGGGAGGATAAAGGTAAACGCAACGAAATGATTTTGACGAGAGCGCAGAAAAGACGGATGGGGGAGAGAGATGTGTGGGATTTGATCGTGAAGAACGACGATGTTTGTTTTAAACACATTCTTCCGAGATTGAATGGGACCGATCTTAAATTCTTGTACGAGGTGAATAGTGAAACGAGAAAGTTGATTAAGAGATCATCTCGCAAGGGTGATTTGAAAGAGAAGTTTAAAGTTCAAGAGATGTCGTCGATATCGACTTTGGAAGTCGCGTGGGAGCATAAATCGTTGTGGCCGAGACACTGGACCGAAACATATTTCTGCTGGAAAGTTGCTCAAACGAATAAACTCGAGTTGCTCAAGTGGGCGCGAGAGGAGAAAAAGTGTACGTGGGGTGATAGGACGATTGATGCGGCCGCATATCAAGGTAATCTGGAAATGGTAAAGTATTGCGTGGCAAATGAGTGTCCTATCGATGAGGGAGCATGTTTAAACGCTTCGTCAGGAGGTCATCTCCAGGTACTCAAATACTTACGCGAAGAAGCCAAAGCGCCTTGGGATTTGAGAACTGCCGCTTGGGCGGCTGAAAATGTTTACCTTCACATACTCGAATATCTTGTTGATCGTAAGTTTGATAAATTCAATTGGGCGTGTCAGTTTGCAGCCGAGGAAGGTCACTTGGACTGTTTAAAGTACTTGCACGAAACCGCCAAAGCGCCGTGGGACTCTTCGGCCGTATTTGTCGCTCACGAGAACGACCACCCCGAATGTGTACAATACCTCCTCGACAATAACTGCCCTCTTCCACGCAATTGGCGATACGAAGACGGAACTTTACGCACCTCATAAACACACAGAGAGAGAGAGAGAGAGAGAGAGAGAAAGAGAGAGACAAAAATACATACGTTTAATACTACTGCTTTATTAAGAGAGACGAAAAGCTGCTTAAAAATGTAAAACTCGCCACATTTTTGTTTCAAAAAGCAACTCAAATCACTCATATATAAATTCATCATCATGGCTGAAGTCCCAACGTTTAAACTCGTCTTAGTCGGCGACGGCGGCACAGGTGCGCTCTTTCTCTCTGTTTTTATTACTGCGTGTGCATACGTCTGCGTCTGCGTGTCTTTTATGTGTACATATTTATGTGCCCGTTTTGTGCGCAAATTTGGAACCGATCATCATCACGATGTCGTCGGCGGGTTGTTTCTTCTTCATTCGGGAGCGAAACGAAACGAAGAGCTCTCGAGATCGACGCGTGGCACGACTGAATCGAGCGCGTGGTTTCTTTCGTGTCGTGATTTCGTGATTTTGACGACGAGAACGAATCGTTACGACGTTTGGGAAACGAAAAGATGATGACTCTCTGACTTGAACAAATCTCTTTCGCTTCTTTCGTTCTTTACTAAAAAACACCGATGTTTTCTCAAAATACACGACTAAAAATCTTAACGAAAAACAATAATAGGTAAAACGACATTCGTGAAACGCCACTTAACCGGCGAGTTCGAGAAAAAATACCTCCCCACGGTAGGGGTCGCGGTGCACCCGCTCGATTTCAACACCAATTGCGGCCCGATTCGGTTCGATTGTTGGGATACCGCCGGGCAGGAGAAATTCGGCGGCTTGCGAGACGGGTATTACATCCACGGGCAGTGCGCGATTATCATGTTCGACGTGACGTCGAGGACGACGTATAAGAACGTACCGACGTGGCACCGAGATATTACGCGCGTGTGCGAAGATATTCCGATTGTTTTGTGCGGGAATAAAGTAGACGTGAGAAACCGTCAAGTGAGAGCGAAAACGATCACGTTTCATCGCAAGAAGAATTTGCAGTATTACGAGTTGTCCGCGAAGTCGAATTATAACTTTGAGAAGCCGTTTTTGTACTTGGCGAGAAAGTTGGCGGGGAACCCGCAGTTGGTGTTTACGGAGAGTCCGGCGCTCGCGCCGCCGGAGGTGAAGGTGGACATGGCGGAAGTTGCGCAGTACGAGAAGGAGTTGGCGGATGCGGCGGCGCAGCCGCTGCCGGACGAGGACGACGAGTTGTTGGACGCGTAAAAACCAAACCGAGAAGAATTCAAAGAAGAAGAAGAAAGAGGAGGAGAAGACGAGAGAGAGATGGACGACGACGAAGAAAAGAGCTAATATATACTGAATAACGCCACCACCACCACCAACAAGATAGACAACTTAGAGAAAGAGAGAGAGAGAGAAAGAGGGAGAGAGAGGGAGTACACGACACACATAAAATACTTACTAAGGAGAAAGAAGGTTTTAATATAATAATGGTACCGTAAAACATCATCATCATCATCAAAAAAAACAAGAAGTATATTTAGTATTATATCGCGTCTTAGATATTACATTTGCTGCTCATTCGCGCGATCGCGTGTACTCCATTCGCTTTTCCGCCATGCGGCTTACTTTCACCACGTTCTTTATCATTTTCCAACGTTTCGCCGCTTTTTCTTTCCTCGCCATCTGCTCGAGAATCTCCGGTTTCTGCAACACGTCTGAATTCTTCAACAGCGATTTTTGCTTCCTCTCGTCCAACACGTTGAAACATTTCAAACAGACGCACTCGGATTCTGGCATGCACTTGCCCCTCGCTCCGTGCGGCGACGTGGCCACGTGCGAGAAGCAAAACTTGTGTTGACAAAATCCGCAATAATGCGCGTTTGGAGATTTGAAGAGACCTTTCACTTTCTTCGAGCAAAACGGGTCGGCGCAGATGCCTTTTTTGATGGTCGTACTGGTGGTCGTTTGCGATTGGACGCTGGCGGTTGGTCTTACCGTTTGTAAACCCGCGGCGTTGAGAGCGGCTTTCGCGGGAGAAGCCGCGTTTAACGACTTATCCGACATCAAGCTCGAACTGGAGCCGTTTCGTTTCACTTTTTTCGTCGCTTTCGATGGCGTCGTCGTTTCCGCGCTGTTTGCAACGTTCAATTGCGGAGATGTCGACCGCGGTGGTGGCGTCGCCGTTCTGTTGACTTTCTCGTCTTCCTCCGTAATCAACATCGCGGCATCACCTATTACGTTACCGCCGCGATTATTCATCGTATTGGCGTTGGTATTCGCGGCATACTTTGGTGACGGCGGTTCGGCTTCTGGCTCCATCAAATCGCGACTGGAATCTAACAACTGCTTTTCAGCGCGTTTAATTAACGCCGAGACGGCTTTTTGCGGCGATTTTGCGGCAATTCCAACCGCGGCGTCTATGGACACGTCGTCGCTCGAATCGTTGTTCGGATTATCGTTTCCACCCCCTAATACTATTTCATCGCTCCCGTCCAATGGGTCGGATTTGTAATCATTCCGTTGCTTCCAACTCTTCGCCAAGTAATACAATCGAACGAAAACCCCTCCCGTGGATGCGAGAATAGCCATCGCGCTCCAAAACATGGACAAAAACGTTTGCGGCGGTTCCTCGACTACCACCGCGTTATTATTATTATTATTTTTTCCTCCTCGATTCACCCCGCTATTATACTTATTGCTGCTATTCTCGTTTCCTACTCCTAACGACGACGAGGAACTTCTACCCGATGGAATCTTTACCTCGTTCGTCGTCGCCGCTTTGCTCGCGCCAAAGGCGCCGTAAGCGATGACTTTAAATTTTAACGTCGCGCCTTTCGGACAGTTTCGAACGATTAAAGCGTTCTCTTCGCCCCATTCTACGACCTCTTCAATCCTCCACTCTTTCTCATTACTACTACCTCTTCTACTTTTTACTTCGATATCTTCATCTTCTTTACGCCACCACTGACCGGATCGATCGCCAACCGCCAGCGGCCCCGGCGTCACGATCACGCTCTTCACGACAAACAAATGCGCCGGAGGCGTCCCTCTCGTATCCGGATCTAACCATTTAATAGATACCACGTATTCTCCGTCCTCTTTGCTCGTTTTTTTCCTCGGCACGATAACTTTCGCCATCGCTTTCTTCGGCACCGACGGCGTCTCGCCCAAGTGTAACATCTGCCGTTTCAAATTCCTCGATATCGACGCCTTGTGCAACTCGTTCTCTACGAACAAGTGCGTCTTCAACAATTCCCCGTCGTTCATAATCAACGACGGAAAATCATCGATGGTTATTCTGTTCTCCTCGAACCTCCCGGCGTATTGCGGAAACCTCAGCGCGTACTTCACCCATAACTTCACGTCTCTCGCCGTCGCCACGTTTTCGTTTTTCTCCATGAACGTCACAAACTCTGCGTTGGAAATCGTCTCGTCGGAGTCCAATTTCCCGTCCATTTCTTCGATCGTTTGATGAGACGCGGAATCGATTTCTTTTTGTTCGTCGAACTCTATTCCTCCGATTGCAGAGGCGACGTATTTTTTCAGTTCTTCCGCGTCCAGCTGTCCGTCCTTGTCGAAATCAATCTTTGAAAAGAACGTCTTCAGTGCGATTTTGTTCTTTAAAGAGGTGGTCTTCTCTCTCGTTGTTGCCGTCGCGGTTTTCATCAAAATCGTCGTCATCATCAACGCGAAGAGCAGGGCCACGCGACGCAAAACGAAGAGAAAAAGTGTCCGTCCTCTCTTCGGGAATCGATTCATTTTCTCTCTCTCTCTCTCAAAAGCGGCGAAACAAAAGCAGTCGTTTCAAAAGCAAAGCCTTTCGTGGAAAAAGCGATAAAGAAACACACGGAGAGAAGAACTGGTGTTTCCGTCAAAGTGATTTTGTGTTCGTTCGTCTCGCGTGTTTTAATAAAGGGTCTCCTCCTCTCTTTAATCTCGCGAGAAGAAAACTTTGCGAGTAAGTCTCTTTTGAGGAAAAAATGACGAAAGTCAAATATGCGTGAAACGGTCGCTTTTCTACTTTCCAAAAAAAAAAAGAAATTACATTTCTTTCGCGCGTTGTATGAAGAAGAGGAGCTTTGATTCATCAGACGACACGAAACGACCCGCACACGCGTCATGTCTTCTTCTGCTCACACTGCGTGTACTGCTCTCGTTGGGGTGAGGACGAGAGCGCAGAAAAGACGGATTGGGGTGAGAGATGTGTGGGATTTGATCGTGAATGACGACGATATTTGTTTCAAACACATTCTTCCGAGATTGAATGGGACTGATGTGAAATTCTTGTACGGAGTGAATACGGAGACGAGAGCTTTGATTAAGAGATCAACTCGCGCGGGGGATTTGAAAAAGAGGTTTAATATTGGAGAGATGTCGTCGATATCTACGTTGGAGTTTGCGTGGGAGCATAAATCGTTGTGTACGGGTGCGGGTGTCTGGTACGATGAAAAAGTTTTCTGCCGTGAAGTTGCTAAAACGAATAAACTCGAGTTGCTCAAATGGGCGAGAGAGGAGAAAGAGTGTGACTGGGGTGTAGGGACGATTAATGCGGCCGTAGTACAAGGTAATCTGGAAATGGTAAAGTATTGCGTTGCAAGTGAGTGTCCTTGCGATGAGGGCGCGTGTGCAGAAGCTGCCGGAAACGGTGATCTTGAGGTACTCAAATACTTACGCGAAGAAGCCAAAGCGCCTTGGGGTTCTTGGACTGCCAATTGCGCGGCTCGAAGTGGTCATCTCCACGTACTCGAATATCTTGTTGAGCGCAAGTACCAGTATGCTCAATTCAACACATATGCGTGTCAGTGTGTGGCAGCGTACGGCCACTTGGACTGTTTGAAATACTTACACGAAACCGCCAAAGCGCCGTGGAACTATTTGGCCGTAGAAAAAGCGCACGCGAACAACCACCCCGAATGTGTACAATACCTCCTCGACAACAACTGTCCTCTTCCACCTGGTTGGCGATACGAAGATGGAGAGTTGCACGTGCCAGAATCAGATTCAGAATCAGATTCAGAACTAGAATCGGAATAATTGCACGCGTCCTAAAGCTGCCGCGCCCTTGTACTATACTAAAGAGAGAAAGAGAGACACACAAACACAGACATTTTTCTCTTCATTATATCTCTCCTTTGCCCCGGCATATCACACATACACACACGTAATAACGTACGCGGGAAACTTTCTTTGCGTTTAAGAACAAATACACCCCCACTTTCTCCGCTCAAAAGAAGAACACGACCACCTTTTGTGTGCTTTGTGTGCGCGTGCAAAAAACCTTCTTCAGAACACAATGGGGAAAAGAAAAACATCATCATCCAATGATGTAAACGCCGAAGCAAAGACGTCGAGGTCGACAAGGACGACGAGGACGACCAGGACGAAGAACAACAACGGTAACAACAAGAGTGTACAGAAAAAGAAGGAGAAAGAAAAGGCCATCACGACGACAAAAGCGACGGCTAAATCTCGGGGAAAACCAACAACAGTCTCAATAATTTGGAAATTGGTGACCCACCACGCGGATATTTTCAACAAGCACGTGCTTCCGAAACTGAACGAGACGGAGATATATTGCTTTTCTGAAGCGAATAAAGAGAGTTTACGATGCGTGCTGCGAGCAGGGAGAGTGAAAACGAAGAACATTTTTGCGAAAAAGAGACTCGTTTGGAACGTAGGCGAATGCGCAAATCTTTCGCTCATGAAATGGGCGTGGAACGAGACGAATCCGACGAATACGCGGGAACGAGAGATGAATCATAATAAAGCACGGTTTTGCGCTAAAGTCGTTCAAACGAACAAACTCGAATTGCTCAAATATATAAGAGAAGTAAAAAAATGCGGGTGGGATGAAGAGACGATCAAAATGGCGGCGCGTATAGGTAATCTGGAGATTCTGAAGTACTGCTTCGAGAACGAGTGCCCGTGCGGGGAGGAGGTGGAGTACGGTCAGATGTTATTTGAGCTCGCCGCCATCGGAGGACACGTGGACTGTCTTCGAGTTCTCTTCGAAGAGTTGGACCCTCCGGAGGAGTCGGGAACCGAAGAAAGAGTGGCGGAGCACGCGGCAGAATACGGGTACCCAGACGTGTTGAAATATCTCGTCGAAGAGAGAGAGTTGTCCGACTCGGTAATAGAAGAGTGCGTCTCGACATCCGTGAATTATAGTCAACTCGAGTGCCTCAAATACTTAGTCGAAGACGCCGAAGCGCCTCTCGACGACTGGAAATTACTCGCCTACGCTCGGGACTCCTCAGAGGACGAAGACATCGTAGACTATTTGCGAGAAAAAGGGTGCCCAGAACCAACCGACGAAGAATGGGCGGAACATCGCTCGATCTGAGGATGACGACGTTTACTCCTAAAAGATGATTCTCTGCGCTTTTTATCATCGCTTTCTCCGTTATGAAGTAGTACGCGAGTAGCGCCTTTATCCTCCCTTTAGAATAGGTGAAAATTTTGTACAAATCGCCAGAACTTTTCGTGCCAAATGACTACACACAAGCAGCGCTAAGACTCACACGTAACACTCCTAAAATGGGCGCGTGCGTGTCCAAACACCCCTCCCCTACATACATCTACTACACCAGCGAAAATGCTCCTTCGGGGACGACGCCTTCGACGAATACTAATGATATTAACGCGAACGATCAGCATCAGGAAGAGATCGAACGAGAGATCGAATTCGCGCAAAAAGAAGAGGAGGAGTTCGTTTTGGTGAGAACGAAGACGAAGGAAGAGGTTGATGAGCTGGTGAAAGAAGCAATGGCACTCGGAGAGAAAGGTTTATGTGTTCCTCTTTCTGATGATGACGATGATGATCATGCCGAGATGGCTTTGAGAGGAGGAGGATTAGGAGGAACGAGGAAGGAGGAGGAGGCAGAGGAGGAACACCGCCCGTCGAAAGCGCGAGGAGGAGAATACGTGTCCATGTCCTCGTCTTCTCCGGCGTCGGGAGCGACGAGGAGTAGCGGAGATAATGATTCTAGGCATCATCATCACGGTGGTCACCAAAATCATCAGCAGCAATATCAACAACAACATCAAAGAACGACGACTGGCGGTGGGACGACGACGAGCGGGTTGAACTTGCGAGAACGGAAACAGAGAAGTCCGAGGGCGAACAGTCCGAACCCGCCGAGGTCTTTTAGCAGCAGTAGTAATAGCAATAGTCAAAACGCGACCACGGGTGGTGGTCAGTCTCAACAACATCAACATCATCATCATCATCAGCCGGCGAGAAGGCAAAATTCGTTCAGTAGGCTCTCGCCGCATCCCAGTCCGAGGCAAACGACGCAGGCGACGACGCCGACTGGGCAGTACGTGAACGCAAATCACAGCACGAAACATAAGAGGATATCTAGCCGAGGTTCCTGGCACGACGGTCTGAGTAACTTTTCGGACGAAAACGGCATGCGTTCGTTCTTCGGCGCGCCGGTGAGCTCTGGACCGCCGAAAAAATGGACCATCGGCGATACTTTAGGCGAAGGAAGTTACGGAAAGGTGAATTTAGCGTTGAACGGCGAGACAGGGGAGTTGATCGCGTTGAAGGAGGTGAAAATTGCCGGGTGTGATACCGCCGGCGGTGGCGGCGCAAACAACAACAACAACAAAGATTTTATCGAGACGCAAAACAGAGACGAAAAACTCACTTCCACTCGCTCCTCCTTAGACGAGAGCGGTTTACTTACCCCGACGGTCCAAGACTCGCGCGTCCGCGAATCTATCGTTCAACTCGAACAAGAAGTGCACATGCTTTCGCAACTGACTCACCCGAACATTGTTCGATACATTGGCATTAAGCGGCGAAAAGACATCTTGAACGTCTTCATGGAATACGTTCCAGGTGGGTCCATAGCCTCGCTACTTCAAAGATTCGGTCCTCTCGGCGATAACGTGACGCGAGTGTACACTCGTCAAATCTTGTTCGGTTTAGATTACCTCCACTCGCAACGCGTGGTGCACCGAGACATCAAAGGCGCGAATATTTTAGTTGAAAAATCCGGTCGCATCAAACTGGCGGATTTTGGCATGGCGAAAATGTTGGAGTTTGTCGACGTCGAACGGAATAGTTACGCCAAGAAAGCAGTCAAAGGGAGCGCGTATTGGATGGCCCCAGAAGTTATACGGAAATCGGAAGTGACGTTAGGATGCGACGTGTGGTCGGTGGGATGCACGGTCATCGAAATGGCCTCGGCGAAGCCGCCTTGGTGCGAGTGTTCGACACAAGTGCAAGCGATGTTTAAAATCGCGTCGAGCACTGCATTACCGACGTTACCGGAGAAGAACTTGTCCGCGGATGCAAAGGCGTTCATTTTGAACTGTTTGAAGAGGAACGTGGAAGAGAGACCGGACGTGGAGACGTTATTGATGGACCCGTTTGTGGACGATTCCTTGAACGAGAAGATGTGTCGAGCGCCGGCGTTGAAGTACGAGCAGCACGACGGATCGTACTCAAACTTTCCAGACAATCAGTCCTTGGTCTCCTCGCAAGTGTCGTTGGATGATCCGTCGGAAGAAACAGACGTAGAAGACGACGACGACGACGACGACGACGACGACGACGATAGCAACTACGGCGGCGACGATACTGACCTCGACGAATCTTCGTTGCAGATTGGCGGGAACGTTACCACGGCGTTTCAGCTCTCTCAATCACCGAGTAACAACGAAGGTCTTACCGATCCATCCGTTTTAGGCGCTCGAAGAAACATCGCGCTGAAACCGTTGGTAGTGAACAGCACTCGATCGAGGAACGAAAAGACCGGTTCGAGAACCGGGAGTAGCAGCGCCGCGCAGACGTCTAAAAACAACAGCAACACCAGTCAATGAAATGATATACTATATTTTATGTGTTTGTAATTCTTATTATCGGTTTGTGTATTTCTCAAAATGTAAACTAAAAGTTTGCTCCCAGATCTTCTCTTCTCTCTTTCATCCTCCTCTTCCTCAAACGGCGACGGCAAAAAAGCAATAATATATTATATTAAATACTCGTCGACCTGTGGTGATCGTCCGTGATTGTCGAGTACACGTGCCCTTCGTTAGATAACATTTCCACCGCCTCTCGAACGGCGTCCATCGTGTACTTGCCGCCTAACAATTTGCACATCTCGGATATTTCAATCCCGGAATCCCCCGCCGCCGGCCCGCTCGGGTTGTTATAAATCGCCAACAACTGTTCCTGCAACGACCCACCCGCATCTGGGTTGTTCCCACTCGTCGGCATCGCGTACGCTGCCGGCGCCGCCCCAGTCGCCGTCGTCGCTTGCGCCGCCACGCTCGAACCTTTCTCGTTGGAAAATCTGGACGAAGCGTACATCGCGTCCAAAAAATGAAACGCGACTTCGTTAAAGTCCGTAATCTTTCTGCAGTTCATCACTTGAATGTATCTCGCGTCGTTCCAGGATTTCAACTTCCCAGTCACTCTCACGTACTCGTTCGTCTCAAACGTCACTTCGTTCGCGCCTTCTGCGGTTTCTTCGCCCGGGTATTCTTTGCAGCAGCACGCGCCTGTCCCGTCGTCCACGGACAACAACTTATGCGCTCCCGTTTCTTCTTTCGAAACGATTTTCCCGACAATCGTCACCAGACCGATCGGTTTCCCAGTCAGTAAAGCGAACTCGTCCGCCTCTGCCGAAGACGCGGTGGCCTCGGAGATTTGCTTGATGGTGACCGGGGTGATGGAATCTTCCTGTTGCCGTTTTTGGTAACTCGATGGGTCTCCGCCAGACGCACCGGTGTTTGTCCTTTATAATAAAATCAAAAGTAAGAGATCGAAACCGTCAGTTCAGAGCGTCGACTTTGAGTGCGATCGAGAGGTGATCGTCGCAATCATCGCGACTGCAGAGAGAGAGAGAAACGAACGCAGGTTTACGCATAAAAATCAGGGCGCATTTTATTCAAAAATGTATTCAAAAATGTTTCCAAAAACGCTCATCGTCATCTCTCGTTCGGTATACACACGGGGGGGAGAAAATAAAGCAAACAGTTCACGCACCCGTACCCGCCGCCTTGGAATTGCGTCGCGCCGTCGTTGCCAAAGTTAAAGCTCATTATTATTCGTGTGCGCGCAAAAGGTGTGGAGTAGTATTCTCGTCTTCCTTTGAAGTGATGATTTGCTTCCTTTGAGATGTTTTTTGCTTCTTTTCTTGTGTAGGGTTGCAACAACACACAGAAGGAAAAATGTGAGCACCCTTTCCTTCGTACTACAAGAGTATTCCGAAAAAGAATAACATCTTTCTCATCGAACACTCGCGCAAAAAACAGATATGATGCGTTATTCTCGAGGCGCGAGGAGAAACTTTTCGCGCGTTTTTACGTCGTTACGAATGCTGCGTATGATGCGGTAAAGTCGCGCGTTGTCTTTTTCTTTGTGCTTTGAATTTGAATTTTTTTGAACGTGTTTTCCACACATTTCAAACACACGCAACGAATTTAAAAATGGGGCAAAAGAAGGTCTCTGGCAATGCGAGAAGGAAAGAGAAAGAGATGAGAGAATACGTGAGTGTAAACGGGGAAGCGTTCTTGGAGGCGAGATCGTCGTCTCCTCTTTGGAACGGGTTGGTGTTGCATCACAAGGATGTGTTTGTGTCGCACGTGCTTCCGAAATTGAACGAGACGGATCGGGTTTTCTTTTCAAAGGTGAATTTAGAGAGTTGGGGTGTGCTTGCGTACGCAAGGGTAAACGCATCGGAATTAAGTGTAGTTGTTCACGAATGTTCATCCATCTCGACGTTGGAATTGTCGTGGAATATCTTTCCTTGGGGAAAGATAGATTACGGTGGGTGTTTGATAGATCAAACCTGGTTTTGCTGGCAAGTTGCTTTTACGAACAAACTCAAGTTTCTCAAGTGGGCGAGAGAAGTGAAACAGTGCGAGTGGGATGAAAAGACGATTGCTGCGGCAGTACTTAAAGGTAATCTCGAGATATTGAAGTACTGTTTCTCTAATGGTTGCCCGTGTGATGAAGAAGAGTCGTGTAAACGAGCTGCTATGGCAGGACACCTCGACTGTGTTCGATTTCTTTTCGACAAAGTGAAACCTTCGCGAAAGACGGAAAAAGAAGCGGCAATACAAGCGGTATGCGGTGGTCACTTAGACATCTTGAAATATTTCGTCGAAGAAAGAAAAATATCTGATGCAGTAAAGCTCGACTGTGTGTTATCCACTGCAAAGTATGGCCAACTCGATAGCATCAAATACTTAGTCGAAGAGGCAAAAGTGCCTCGTAACGACTGGCGATACATCGCTTGTGCTCGTTACTACGAGCATACCGACTGCCTAAACTACTTGCTCGAAAGAGGCTCTCCAGAACCAACGGACGAAGAATACGCAAGATTTCGTATTGCTGCGTTGTCCGAACGTATGGGAGAAGCATGAAAACGACAGCAGAAGATAGATATCGATAGATAGAAATAGACTTAATCTTAGCGCTCGCGAAAGAACAAACAAAACTCATCAAATCTTCACGTTTTCTCTCTTCAATCAAAGTCCGAGCTACAGAACGGCGACTGAGAGAATAGATTGAGCGATTAAAATAGAAGACTCGCCCTTAAAGTTCATTTTAAAACCGCGCGCAAGCCGGTTGCGAAAGAAACAACAAAACTCTTCAAATCTTCACTTTTTCTCTCTTCAATTCTGTTCTAAAAATACACGAAGACGACGCACCTCAATTTGCGAACACCATCATGTCTCGCACACCGCTTCGATATTCCCCTACACGTCGTCGTCAAAACGAGCGCAAAGCGAGCGAAAGGCAACTTTTGGAAATCTCCTCGGACGAGGAGCGTTTGATTGAATGTTTCTTGCGCGCGAGAAGCATTCGCGAGACGAGCGGAGACGAAGACGACGAGAAGCGGCTGCCCCGCAAAGAACAACGAGAACACGATGAGCAAAAGCTTCGCGACAACAACATTAAACAGTTTTCATTCATTCACAACGCGCTCGAAGGCATCGCGGCGTTCGATTCCGTCCGGGACGAAGAAGATCGCATGCGATTGTTTGAAGCGTTCGTGCCTTTGCGATACGAGAGAAACGAGTGCGTGGTGAGACAAGGCGATGTTGGGAGGAATTTTTACGTCATCGCGGATGGAACGTGCGAGGTTATCGTGAGACGAAGAGAGGGAGAGGAAGAGATGGGGAGCGAGTACGACGATTCAGAGGACGAGGAAGATGTGTATGCGAGCACAGAAGGAGAAGAAAAAGAGAAGGAGGATGATTTAAAAATAGACGAAGCCGCAGCGATCGACCAATCGACGAGAGGAGAAAGGAAAGTAAAAGTAATAAAGAGGAAAGAAATCGGCAGCGGACAAACGTTTGGTGAAGTCGCGTTGTTGAACCCAAACGAACCGATTCGGTCGGCGTCTGTGTTTGCGAAATCGAACAGAGTGACGCTGTGGGCGATCGACTCGAAGACGTTTGGTGACATCTTGCGCGCGACGGCGTTCGAGAAGAGAGCGAGAAACGCGAGGACGTTGGAGAACGTGAAGATTTTCGCGAAGATGTTGGACGATTACGAAATGTCTCTGTTAGCGGACGCGTTGAGTGAAGAAACTGTGTTTGAGAAAGGCGAGATGCTTTTGAATCGAGACGACGAAACGGCCGCGAAGAGGATGTATTTTCTTTGTCGAGGGGAGTGCGAGGTGAGAGTTTTTAACGCTCCTCCTGAACGGCAAGACATACATTGCGCGAGGACGGTAAGAAAAGTGCTCAAACCTGGCTCGTATTTCGGCGAGTTGAGCTTACTGAGAGGCACCCCACCAACCGCGGATGTCGTCGCCACGAGTGATATCGTCAAAGTTCAATGGCTCGATCGAGGCGCATTTCGTAGGTATGTGCGAGCCGATATCGTAGAGGCGTTGGAGAAGCACGCGAGCGGATATTGTATGGAATCAAATAATGACGACAAGGATGATGATGATAAGAACTCCGCAATACATTTCAAGAAAATGGCGAGCGTTGAGGACTATCGCTCGATACAGAATTTGACGGCAGCGCCGGAGTCGTCGATTCGCGATGAACGCAACAACAACGTTATCGCTACTACGCTCAGTCCTGCTCATAATCGTCATCGGCATTTAACCGTAACGAATTCGGTCAAATTGGCATTGAAATCACTCTCAAGACGTCTGAGAGGAGAGAGAAAGTCCTCTTCTTCGTCGTCGTCCTCTTCGGCGACTATCGTTCAAGCGCGCGGTGGCGAAACCTTTCTTTCTTCGCGAATCGAAGATACGCGGAGGCGAGGAGGAAAAGATTTTGAAGCCACGTGCGAAACATCATCGTCGCACCTGCCGAAAGTTTCGAAGCGCAAGCACCTCACATTCCACAAACAACTCGGCGTCGGAATGACCGCTACCGTCTTTCTCTGCAAAACATCCGACCAAAATAAACTTCCGTGTTGCGTCAAAGTCATGCGCAAAAAGACGCTCCGAGATCTCGATCAAATCGCCAACGTCACTCGCGAACGAGAGTTACTGAGATCCTTCCCGAATCAGCAGTTTGTGATGCAAGCGTTGTGTTCGTTTCAAGACGATCACTTCGCGTATTTAGTGATGGAACACATGAGCGGTGGAGATTTGTTTCAGTTATTGGTGAAAGGACCGTTTTCATCGAGCGGTGCGCAGAAGACTGGCGTTGGTGAAGATGATGCAAAGATGATACAAGCTGTGTCTATCGATCCGCATTGCAACACCATTGCAAAGAATAGCCATTTTGGTGGAGAGGCGTCATCAGGTGGTGTTTCAGGTGGGCTCCCACTTCCGCTCGCTAAATTCTACGTCGCCGAAGTCTCGTGCGCGCTTCAATTCCTCCACCAGCGCAACTACATCTACCGAGATTTGAAACCAGAAAACGTGTTAATCGACCGTTTTGGTCACTGTAAACTGTGTGATTTAGGCTTTACTAAGCAAATCAATCCGTCGTACGATAGGTGTTATACCACGTGCGGCACAGCAGATTACATGGCGCCGGAAGTCACTCTGCGCAAAGGCTACGCGTTCGCCGTGGACGTCTGGGCCGTAGGGGTTTTGTTGTACGAGTTATTGACTGGGAAAGCGCCGTTTGCGGCGAAAACGGACGGAGAAAGGCACCAGAGGATCACGAGAGGCGACGTCCGGTTCCCAAAAACGTTTAATCTGGAGGCTAAAGATATCGTCTCGAAGCTGTTGATTGTCGATCCGAGTCGGCGGATGACGTTTGATAACGACGGTGGTGCGAATCGTCGAAACGACGCGAAAGAGGAAGATGACGAGGAGACCAACGACGAATATTACCAACGGACGACGTTCGAGAACCATCCGTTCTGGGCACCGCTCGATTGGGAGGAAGTTAAAACGAAGAAAATGAAACCGCCGTTTCGACCGAGAGCGAGGCCGGAAAAAGAGCTCTTTCGCAAGTATCCTCCGTTGAGAGAGCATTGCGTGGAAGGTTTGAAACCAACAACAGCTTCGACGTCGTCGTCGTTGTCCTCCTCCTCCTGTAAGTTTACGATCGAGAATTTCTGAAATGCGCTAGATGCTTGCTTGATAAATAGACATCTTTCTATAACTGGACGCGCCAGGGTAAGTCGTCGTCATCAAAAACGCTCATCATTTTCGTCTTCTCTTTTTCCAAGTCTTCTTCGATCGAGGCGTATTCATCGACGAAGAACTGCGTGTAATTATTATCACTATTGTTGCCGTCTGATGGCGGTGGTGGCTTAGTACTCGTCGTCATCGTCGTTTTACCCGTCGTCGAAGACATATCACCAACAGACGACCCGCCGTTTTGTGAAATCTTTCGAATCAACCTGGACCAGTTCGGAAACAACCACAACTTGGGATGCCCGACGATGATATTCAAAGCTTTCGCTCGGCTGGTGGCAACGTTGAACCGTTTCGGGTCGCTCAAAATCGTATGCTTCGCTTCTTCTTCGCCAAATCCCTCTTCACCATTCCGTCGTCGACGGAATTCGGACGGTCCCGTACTCGCTACGGTTGAAATTATAATCACTTTAGCCTCTTGACCTTGGTAATCGTCAATCGTCCCGACGCGAATGGCGCCTAAATTGATTTGTCTTAATACTTGACGCAACGCTAGAACTTGTCGTCGATATACCGCAATGACTTCGATGTCAGAAGGAGCGATTCTGTTTTTTGCATCGTTTGTATCAGTCGCTGACAACAGCGCGGAAATTATCTCGCACACTTTCTCGCACTCTAAAGCGTTGCTGAAACTTTTCGTTTCGACCTGCGATTGCGATTTGGTTACCTCGACTTTTTCCAAACCTTCGACGGCGACGAAAATGTTTCGATAGCGGCGAGGACACTGGTGATTGGTCGCGCCATCTTCTTCATTGCTGTTCTTGTTCTGTTGCATCGTCTTCAACTTTAAATGTTCAAAGATTTCGTCCTCGGGTATGCGAACGTCTTTTTTCGACGCGAATGTTTCGAGTTTCCCATCGTAGAAGGATTCGCTCGCGATTGCCAAAATGTCTGGATGCGATCGATAATTTTTCGTCAGCGTGATCAAATTCTCGTTTTCGTTGGTGTCGTCGTTCGCCGGGGTTCTTTTCATCATATCCACGCAAGTTTCCAACAAGGATTTTTCGAGTCCACCTCGAATGGCCACTTTCGAATGCACTAAAGGTCCGAGTTGTTTTGAATCGCCGCTCATGACCACCAACGTCTGTTCATTCACCAATGACATCGGAATCAATACTTCTGGAATCGTTGCCTGCGCGGCTTCGTCGATGAACAAATGCGTCAGTCCCGGTCTCCTTCTCCGACCTTCGCGCTCGTACGACTCGGAAACTTCAAAGAAGGATCGAAATGCGAAATTAACTTCTTGATAGAGCGGACCGTCAATTTCATAATTTATATTCGCTCTCGCTTTATACATCGTTTTCAAGGCTTCGTATAAAATGCCCGCGGAGACGCACGAACAGACGAGCACTCGAGCAGAGTGTTCCAACTCACCGTACTTCACTGTTTTTGATGCGAACCAGTCCCTCACGTCAACCGAAAATGGAGTAATCGAACCCATCTTTTCGCTCATTGCACGTCTCGGGTCGTCGATGCGACAGTACACGTTCGTGCTCGCGGTGGTGTTGCGAAAGTATTTCGGATGTTCGCGGACGATGCGGTCTAAAATGACATCGGCTGCAAACGGTGCAGGTGCACAGACTAATATCCGCGCATCTGGATTTATCGATAACGCGTCGAGGACAGCGTGCGCGATCGTCAACGTCTTACCAGTACCGGGAGGGCCGAAACACACGAGCGGCGCTACTGTTCGTTCTTTTATATTATTGTTTGCATTGTTTGCATTGTTGTTGCTGTTGATTCCCTCCAACGAGAGTTGTTCTCTCTTTCGTCGACAACGCATCACAAATTCATACTGTTCCTCGTTGATGCCGCGCTGGAGACGTTCGATTTCGTTCCCGTTGTATCGTTGTTGTTGTTGTTGTTGTTGTTGTTGTTGTCGTTGTTGTTGTTGTTGTCCAATCTGCGGATACTTCACTTTCAAATATGCACACGCTCGCAACGCCGCACGACATCTCGAGAAGAAGTTCTCGTCCATGGCAAACCGCACGTGTACTTTCAACGTCCTAGGCATCCCATTTTTCGCACTTAATTGAGGCGACGTGTTTAACGTTCCGTCGGTCCATGGTGCTTGCAAGTGCACGGTTTGCGTTTTTGAGACGATGGCGATGATGCGGAATGCGTATTCAAGGAACGGACTGAGTTCTTTCTGATGCGCCTTCGCATTGACTCGACACCGAACGACGTCTCCGACGACTATGGGAGGGTAACCGTTCTGTAAACCAGGCACTTCCAACGAGTATACGAGCAATTCATTCTGCTCGCTTATCGCTCCTACTCGACGTATTGTCCGATTGAACATATCGTATCTTTTCACGTCCTTGTTTTGTTGCGCTTCTTCGATGTAGAGTAAACGCGCGGACTTGAGCCGAATTTTCTCGAAGGACTCCTTCTCTGACGACGAGGACGACGAATACGAAGAAAAGTCGCGAAAGACGCTCGCCCACTCTAACGATTTCGTCCACGGCGCGTGGTTCTTTGACTCGAAAAAGAACTTAAAACTCGGATCCAAAATCATCGTTCGATTAAATTGGTACGTGAAAAGCCACGTAGGTAATTTCGAGTCGTAGTAATCCGCGGGCGCCGGTAAGATATTTCTATTCTCAATGGAGAGAAAATATCGGCCAACGCCACCCCAGATGACGTCCAAGTAGCTCCTCGGTGGTGGATAATATTCTTGAGCTTTACGATCGAATGCGCGTCGCATCGATTCTGGGATGAACGGCGTCGCTTCTTCGCTCAATAAAGAAACGTGCGTTGGTTCGTTGAAAACGTTAGAGCTTGTGATTAACACAGAACACTGCGTAGCGCACGCGCGCAGCTCGTTTTTTTTGGTACCAAAGATGGCGATAATCCACGACGTTACGTGCGCGCGTTTCGTCTCCGAATCAATCGTACAATCAACCGTGGCTTGGTACACGCCGCCCGCCGGTATGCGCACGATTGGTCTTTTTCTACTTGTATTATTATTCTTCTCTCTTCGTGTCGTCCGATGGTGGTATTTCGAAGATGAAACGTTGTAATCGTCGCGCAACGAGAACACGGAGGATGAAAAAGAAGAGCTTTTCGGATCTTTGTTTTTATCGCCGCTGCTGTTACTATTAATGGTCGTGATGTTTTCGGGTTCGTCGTCGTTGATGTTCTTTGCGTCTACGATTCGCAAGGCGACCAGAGTAATATCTTCTGATCCAGTGTTCGTTACGTAGACACTTCTCGAGCGCTTCTTGAACGATGATGATTCATTTTTTGTATTCCGCTGTGGTTCTGCTGTTTGCGTCGTCGCTTCTTTCCTAATTTCTTTGGAAGCCGCCTTTGGGGAGACGAAGGAGATGATGGATTGAAGACCGAGCGCAGCAAACGCGCCTTGGATATTGACGCGCTGCTTTTTCTCCTCGTTGGTATTTTCTTCTTCGTCGGCGTCGCTCCTCGCGCTGTTACTACTTCTATCGCTGTCACTGTCGTCAGCATCATCGATATCATCGTTCTCGTTTATGATGGGAAAATTCCCAAACGGCGGACGCGGCGTTTCAATGCGCGCGCCGTTTTTTCCGGAATGTTCCAAATCTTTCAATACCGCCGTTCCGCCGCCGTGCGCGTAAAACGAGTCTTTAATGCGCCTCGAGGCAATATCAAAGAGATAGTTCTCGTCGAAATCATCTCTTGGAAAAGAAAGATACTCGACTCTCGCTATTCCTATTCGCGCAGTTAAACCGCTCGCCTTTCTCGTACCGTTCTCCATCGCGCGAATACGCTTCAATTTTTCTCGTTCGAATTGATCCAGTAAACCTCCCGCGTCGATGTCAAACTGCAACGCCACTACAATCGATTCCGTGATATCATCTGCGTCGCCTTCGATAAACCGCTTTCTCAACAGTCTCAACTCCTCCTTCGCGAATATGAACGCTTCGTTGTTCGTTTTGCCCTCCTTCTCGTCGTTCTCGCCGCGCGTGGAAAAAATCGACTCTTTCTTCTCCTCGAGCGCCCTTTTACGCACGTATTCTCGCAAAGGCGCGTGCTGGTTTAAAATATCTTGCCACTCGGCGCCTAAATCTACGTTCGTCGTATCGCCTTCTTCCGATGTGGTGGTAAAGGTAGTGGTTCTAATAGTTTCTGTTTTCACTTTCGTCGGTGTCGTCTTCCATGATGACGATTGCGACGCCGTCGTCGTTACAGACGACGATTGGTCTCGCTGTTGTTCTCGTCGGCGTTCCGCTCGTTCTCGCCGCAAACCTTCCGGGTTTCTTGGTTTCTTCTCTCGAAAAACTTCCTCTCCGCTCCTAAACGCAGCATTATGACGCGGTTTTGGAACTTGCGCAGATGTTCCAGGTGGGAACGGATGTTTCTTTTCCGCGTTCGATGGAGCGCTTTGCGACAGTTGGTGTTGGTGTTGGTGTTCTTTCCTCGTCTTGTCGTCAATCCATCCTCTCTCTCTCGTCCTCGTTTTCGTCGTGATATTTTCGCTCGTCTCCGCGTCGTGGTGTAACAGATGTTGCATGAACGCATTCTTCTTTTTCTCGACTTTATTGTTGTCGTCTTTCGTTTGCGGCGACGAAGACGCATAACGGTGGTTCTTCATATCTCTTTCCAAACAATTAATGCGATGATGTTTTTACGGAACAAAACTTAAGATTGAATGCTGTAAATACGCGTAAATGCGCCTGTTTTAAACATGGATTCTCATGTGTGATGATGGAGAGAGAGAGAGGAAGGTAGTGCGGTTGTTTTGAGTCTTCTTATATTCTTCGTTTCCGTCGTTTTTGTCGCGCTCAAAGTCGCGCGTATTCGAGCTTTCGTGGAGAATCCCCTATACTCGTTTAGGGTTTAGGTTTGTTTGCTCTCTCTTTTCTTTTCTTTCTACCATTAAGCTATTTAATAATACACCGCGACTACGAAAGCGACGACATCTCTCTCTTATCTTCTTCTTTTCCACTAAACCACGTGCATCCACTTGAACCAAGACTCCCCGAAGTCTTTTTCAGCCTTTTCCGCGGTATCCTTTTTCTTTTCTTTCATCTGAAGGTAATCGTCGCGGTGTATAAAACCACCCCCGTCCAAGGAAACGTACGGCGCGGGCGCACCGAGTCGTCCGGAGATCAAGTAATACGCGGCGCGAGTGAAATGCCCGTGGAAGCCGCCGATGAGCGCGTATCCCTTCGATATGTGATCGAGTTCTGCCAAGGATAAGTCGGAAACGACCTCTCCTTTCCTTTTGTCGTCCAAATCTATTCTATTTTCGATCCAGTTTACGTTTTTTCGATACGTCTTCTCGGTGCCGTACGCGTCTCGCACTCTCGGCGTCGAGGGGTCAATCCAACAGTAGTTCATTTCGTCGTCTAATTCGTCGAGTTCATTAGTATTCCCTCCTGTTTCTTCTCGTACCATATCTTGTATGAACTCCGAGGAGTCGCTGGCGAGTAAAACTGTGACACTTTTGAACGCGCCGCGACCTCCTCGGTCGTAGTATTTATGGATCAACATCCGCAGCGCTTTCTTGTACTCGAGAGAATCGAAGCACGCGCGACCAAGATTTCTGTCATCCGGATCATTCCATATATCTTTGCCGTATTTTTTGATCGAGGAGTAAAGATTACAAGAATCGCTTCTCCGACCGTGTACGGACACGAAGAACACCTCCCCGCTTTTGCGTCCACTCTCGATGTCGTTCGTCCTCGTACACTTTACGCGAGAAAATTTCTCGTCGACGTATATATTAGGCGCCATGTAATTTATAATCGCCCCGGTTAACACGGCATGCGCGTTAGAATTTTTTCCAGCTTGGCGCGAGAAGTAAGAATGATTGCTATCATCTTCCTCCTCGATGCTCCCCTTCTTGCCGCCATCATAATCTTTTTTTGAAAAAATACTTCTTGAAATGGTCCATTTTGTACAAAGCTCGTTATTTTCCTCTTCGTTCTCCGAACGCTTTCCAAAAAGACACGAATATACGTTCTCGCGGTTCGGGCAGTCAGAAATTTTGCTAAACTTAAACTGGTCCACCGGGATTTGTGCCGGTACCATCTCGAACGTAAACGGGTCGTCGTCGACTTCTTCACTTTTACTCTTGTTGTACAGACTCCTTACTTTTGACTCGGCAATGACGGCGCTCCCTTCGATAAGCTTACCTAATGTGGGCCACGTATGTCGATTGAAAAAATCCACGTCTGGAAATTGAATAACGTTTCGTTTGGCGCGATGCGGCGACACTTCTTTTGCAGAGCTGATAAACTTTTTACACAGAGTTTCCGCATCTGCAGTTGGCAAAAATTCAGGAAAGTACGCGTTACTCGCTAACGGTTCCTCTGGAAACTCGTTCATGCCGAGTTTGTCTATCCACATGTTTTCGTACTCGTCTAATCTTCGCGAAAATACTTCTTTCGCATCCGTCGTCGTCATCGTCGCGTTGTTCACTTTCCTCGCATTCTCCTCAGACGCCTCAAAGTATTCTCTCGTCGCGTTACGATATACCTCGCCCAATCTGTTCAATTTTTCTAAACTCGCCGCGTTTGCCCTTTCCCGAAACTCTCGCATCGCCTCGGCGTACCCGGTTTCCAGTTCTACCAACATTCTCTCCGTCATTAAAGTCTTCGTTTCAAAGGTGCCTTTTCCTCCTCGCGGCTCTTTTTCTTCCTCCTCTCTTCTGACATCTTCGATACCGATTAAATCGTCGTCTTCCTTCTCCTCCTTTTCCTCCTCATACTCCGTATTCTTGGTATTCTTTGCTCTCTTCATCATACTTTCCCTATGAAGGAGTTGTTGTTTCTCTTCGTGTTCAAATATCCGCTCGTAAATATCCGCTCTTCGATGTTCCAACGACACCGCGTTATTCTCTTCGTCTGTTCTGAAGTCTTTTTTGTCGTCGGGATCGTACAAACTTCGATGCCGTCTCGATGACGCGCTCGTGCGGCTGCTTCCGACATCATCATCATCATCAGAATCGCCGTTAACGATATCGAACTTTGACGATGATATCGCTTCGAAACAACAACTACAACACCACCAAGAAAAGAATAACACGAAGTAGTAGTAGTAGTAGTAGTAACGATGGTGCGAAAACGAGGAACGACGACGCGTGTGAGAGGTGTTGGTCATACCGTGTTGTCGTGCATATGTGTTTTTAATTGTGTGCAGTATTAGGGAAATTCGTCGGTTTATTAACAATTCGTTTTTGTCTCTCTTTGTTTTTCTAAAACATCCATCCGCGTAAAAGTGATTGCTCTGTTTCTGATTCTGAATCTGAATATAACTCTCCGTCCTCGTATCGCCAACCGCGTGGGAGAGGACAATTATTGTCGAGAAGGTATTGTAAACACTCGGTTTGGTCGTTCTTGTGCGCTTCCCATACGGCGTCAGAGTCCCAAGGCGCTTTGGCGGTTTCGTGCAAGTACTTCAAACAGTCCAAGTGGCCGTGAGTGGCCGCAAACTCACACGCATACTCGTCATATTTATCATACTTACGCTCAACAAGATATTCGAGTATGTGAAGATGACTAAATATAGCCGCGCAATTGGCAGTTTCCGAATCCCAAGGCACTTTGGCTTCTTCGCGTAAGTATTTGAGGCACTCGAGATGACCGTTTCCGGCAGCTTCTGCACACGCCCACTCATCGATAGGACACTCATTTGCAACGCAATACTTTATTATTTCCAGATTACCTTGGTATGCAGTCGCATTAATCGTTGTATAATCCCACTCACACTTTTTCTCCTCTCGCGCCCACTTGAGCAACTCGAGTTTATTCGTGTGAGCAACTTTCTCGCAGAAAGATCTTTCGTCGTACAAGTATAATAATCCCGACCACAACGATCGATTCTCCCACGCAAACTCCAAAGTCGATATCGATGCCATCTCGTACACTTTAAACTTCTTCTTCAAATCACCCGCGCGAGAGGATCTCTCAATCAACTTTCTCGTTTCACTATTCACTCCATACAAGAATTTCACATCAGTCCCATTCAATCTCGGAAGAATGTGTTTGAAACTCACATCGTCGTTATTCACGATCAAATCCCACACATCTCTCACCCCAATCCGTCTTTTCTGCGCTCTCGTCGTCATCGCTCCAGAAGACGTGACGACGTTTGTATGAGTATCGCGACAAAACCAACTTCTCTTCTTCGTCTTTGTCTTTCTCTTTCAAAGTCTTTTAAATGCCAATGAGATTTGGTTTCTTTTTCGTCAAAGAAGAAAAATTGGCGTTTTTTTTATCAGCAGAGAGGAAAAAGAAGAGACATTTCTTTACAATTTACGCACTCAAAACACAAAGATATAATACTCATGAAGCGGAAAGAATCCCCGAGAACAACCCGCTCCGTGTCTTCATCCTCGGAGGAGGAGGAGGAAAACGACCACGCGAACGAGAAGGATGCAACGAGGACGACAACGACGACGACGGGTTTGAGTACTCGACGAAGAAGAAATAACAACAACAACACAAAAACGAGCGAAAGAAGCGCGAACGAATCGAAAGCGACGACGACGGGAAAGTTTCTCGCGCGCTTGCTCGCGGAAGAGAAGGAAAACGAAAGCGAAGACGCTTTGGTAAAGAAACTCGAAAAGGCCACGAGGCGCGCACGTTTTGATGAAAAGAATGACGAAGATGTGAAAGAAATCGGTCGAACGTTCGAAGATGATGATGATTGCAAAAATCCCCTAATAAAAGGAGGAGATATTCGATTCATCGAAGCGTCTGGGAAACGAACGCCGACGGTACGCAGAGTCGAGTGTAAAAAGAAGAAGGAAAAGACAAAGCGACGAGAACACACCACCGCCGAGGAGGAGGAGAGGAGGATGCTAGAGGAAGAACTTTCGGGAACGGAGAAGTGTTTGTTTGCGAAACATTACAGCGCGAACGTCTGCGTCAAGGCTCCGTCCAGATGTTGGTTCGAGACGACGGTGGAAAGTTTTCGAGATGAGATTGGAGGGGAGCACGATTACGTAGGGTGGGCGAGGAAAGACGTGGAATTGAGCGAGACGTGCGGGATTGCGGAGTTTTGCACGTCGAATAAAGGGAAGTGCAGTTCGGTGAGAGTGTGGAACGACGATTGGGTGTTTCGAGGCGAAGATCGGGCGTTTGAACGGAAAGAGAAGAGCGACGCGGCGAAGGAGAGAGGGGTGTTTGACTCTTCAAAGGGTTCAAAAGGTGAAGAGAAGGAAAAGAAGAAAGGGAAGAAAACAGGAAAACGATCATCGACGGAGAAGAAACTAACGAAGGAATTCGAAGATAGAAACTACGTACCTTTATACGCCTCGGATACCAATCGAAACGTCTTCGCGGTTGGAAGTATCGTTTTGAGCACGATTGCGTTCGAGATGAAATACGTCGAGTTCCGATATTACGTGGATGGAGTTCTGTATAAAATCGATCGCATCAAACGAGATGCGCGAGAGAAAGACGACGACGAAAACGCGTGGTGGTTTCCAGTTACGAGTCATTCGAGCGAGTTGAACGACGTGACGTTTAATTTTGGGACGTACCCGATGTTTCGAAACGTATCCGAGGAAGCGCGAAAATCGAACGAAGAGTTTCTCGCGCGGGCAAAGAAAATATACGGGGACAATGATGCGACAACAAACAGCGAGCAAGAAGAAAGAGATTTGTTCTCGTGTTTACACTCGCCGTTCACGCGGTCCTCGTTACACGTCGATGTGAGTAGTAGAAGCGGCAGCGGCAACAGCAGCGGTAGTAATGAAAATAGCAAAAACGAGGCGTTTCTTGAAGACGAACTTCGTCGGAGTTTTCTCCGCCCGATAAAGAAGCTCATGAGCGCGATATCGACCGGCGATTGTCCAGTGACGAACAAGAAAGATATCCACATTTTGTTCTGGCAGTTGTTGAGGACATATTTCGATTCGTCGTTCCGGATGGACAATTTTTTTTCGTTGTCGCTTTCGGACGATGGTCGCGAGGACAAGATGGACGTCGACGACACTTTAAAATTAAAGTCTGTGTTTACTTCGCCGTGGAAAGTCGACGCGACAAAAGCAAAGCGGGAGTGTTTTGCCTTGTGCCGATTGCTCGTAGCACACGACCCGCACGTCCTGGAATATAACTACGGAAAAGAAGAAGATGAAAAGAGAAACGCGTTACTTCTTTCAAACGATGAGTTTGACGTCTTTTGCGAAATGCTCAAAGACGACGGGAATATAGTCATGGGCTCAAGTATTCGTGGATCTCGCATGCTCGATTGGTGGTTCCCAAGGTGCTTATTCGAGTGTCTCTCTTTCATGGCTTCCAGAGAACTCTTTTGCGGTATTGAAGAAGATTTGGCGTTACCGCACCCGCTGGAAAGAGCGTCGAAACTGTTGCGCGCCACGGAGGAGGAAGGCAACTTTCGAATTTTGAGTCACCAGTCGTGGGGGGCGAATTTTACGAGACTTTTCGCCACTCGCGAGCTCTCTGTTGCGTTGATGAATGCAGCTTTGTCCGTGGACGAAACGACGCTCGCTGAGGAAAAGCCACCCGCCGTCTACCCCTACGATTCAGACGACGACGACAAAGAAGAAGAAGAAGAACGGCACGCAGAATTCTCGGAGAATCAAAAAACACGTTTGAATCGATTGAAAATATACACCGAAAGACGCGAACAGTGTAAAGCTGCGTTTGTCTTTGCCGCGATGACGACGAGTTTGCGAAACGTGCCCGAGCGAGCGATAGATCGGAGTGATGTGAATAAAGATGAGTTGCGAGATTTCTCGCGCCACCCGCGTTACCCGGATCTACTGGGCGCTTTCGAAGCTATTAAATGCCCGATTGACTGGGAGGCGACCGAAAATATAACGTCCAACGATGGCAGCACGTTTGATGGGTACGAATACGACAGAGAGATTGAGAAAAGGATGAATCGCCTCCGAAGAAACGATCGTGTCATCGACGATCGCGCCGAGAAGAAATTTGAAAGAAACGACCATTTTACGAGCGACACTATTCAGTCAAATCCGTGTATGTGGATGTATAAATCTATCAATACCGGATTCTTTCGCGACCGAACCATAAAAGAACTCTTAGATTACAATTGTACCACGGACATGATCTTCGAGTCACACGGACTTAATTCGAACAAATTCGGCACGACGCCGTTGGATTTTTGGATGCAAGAAACGACCCGGTGGGCGTACGATCGGTACGAGCCGTTCGCGAAGGATCCGCACGCAGCATTGAAAGGTACGCGAGTCGGTCTCGCGGCCAGGCATCTCATCGATACGCTCTCGCGACTCCTCGCAGATGAAGTGGAAGCGTGGATTGAAGACCAATTCACTGTCAGCAAAGCGCTGTTCTATCATTATTACGTCGCGAACCCGTGGCACACGCCCAGAGCCGGGGACCGGTATTGGCGCGATGATGATGAGTTGAATAAACGCCCTAAAAACGGTTCAGAATATTGGTGTTGTCCGATAACTCCGTTACAGCACTACGTTCCCGGATGTTTGAAGCGAAATCGATGGGTGCGTAATTATGATTACCAACGCACGAAACGCGAACGTCGAGCGCACGCGAACATTCAGTACGATTTGACCAGCGGTTTCGATGCGGAGCTTCTGTGCGCGGCGCAATTCGTACCGAAAGGGAATTCCGCCCACTTCTGGGACTGGAATATATGGAGGCACGAAAGTCGAGCGGAGGAGTGGAGTAAAATTCTGTTGTTCGATTATACTAAACAAACCCGGGAAGCGGATGCGATAGCCACGGAGATGACGGAGCACGCGTTTATGACTGGGGGGACGCCACCCGTGGTAGATGGCGCTTTGAACGAAAAAAGTGGCAAGCTTAGTAGAAAAGCCGCGGAAGAATTCGTGAAGAAACGACAGGATTCTTTACCGAAAGAGACTATTTTTACGCGCTTGCGCTGGTCGCGGTTTCCTTGCGATGGAGTAATGTTGGACCCACCTACTGAAATCAACGCGCACGTCCGCGATAGGTATTCTCACGTCCACGATAAAACCAATCCTCGAAATGAAAACGAATTGTCTTTCAGAGACTTTTTCAAATACAAAGCGGGCGATTCGTTGAGACAGCCGTACAAGAACGCGAGCGAACACATCGCGCAGCTTTTCACTGGGATGAGCCACCTCTCGACGTTTCTGGTGGAACCGGGAGAGACGCGCCCGAGGCGTCAAACTTTTTTACGAGAAGTTGAAGCGCACGATACCACGCGCACGCAATCAAACGTTTTGCGATCCGCGTACGAAGCGATCGTCTCGAATAACGCACACACCGAACGCGCCAGGGTGCGAATTGCCGGCTACTGCGCGAAATTAATAGTCTCTCGTTCGAGAAAGGTCGCGATACCAGCCACTCGTCCTCACCAGGAAGAAGAGTGGAAGAAGCCTTTCGTACCGATGGCATTGGTGTGTTTCATTTTCAACACGTGGAGAGATCACTTCGAGGATGAAAAATATGTGTTCGATCACGATTCCAAATTCGCTTACGTGTTGCAATTATACTGCCATTCGATGGCGTTTGAAAACCCGGGCGCGCGAGACGTGTGTCGCAAGCACATCGAGTTGGCGTTTAAATTTCCTCTGGTCAAAAAATTCGCGTTTCAAACGAGAACTTTCGCGGACAACTTTTTGCAATCGTTCAGCAATTGGTGCAAGTCAGTCGACGCGAGCGATCTTAATAGTTCCAGAGAGGAGGAGATGGAAAAACAAATCTCATTCATGATGCGCGTGCTGTCAAACGTACCGGAAGGATCAAAGAACGCGGGGCCCGAAAGACCGGGATTTTCACCGATTCGCGAGACTCTGATACTGTCGATGCGCAGATATCTGGAATACTTGGCGAAAGATTTAGGGGATTTGAACGAAGGATTGATCGAGTGCATGAGGGTTTTCAAAGACCACCCTGAGCTGATCCCGGGGTACGGTGTCAACCAATTACATCCGAAACACTGGAAAAAGTTCCAAATGCTCTTCGAGCGTATCATCGAGCGTTTGGAGTGCGTCGCGAGACTTCTAACGCGATGTCGCGGAATTCTCGATTCGAGAGATTTCATGTTCGAACCTGGACTGATGGACCAGCTCGCCGAAATCATCGCGTACATCGGCAAGCACTTTCACTTAAAACCCGGCAGAGAAGGCACGGAAAATCCATTTGGAGTATTTGTCAAACATTTGGCCTCTGAACTTGATTTTCAACAAGATGTTAACGGAGTATTATGCGTTGACCCGGGAAGGTTTCTGAATCCAGTGGTTGAGATTCTCTGTCGAATGACGGAAAGTCCTTTACCTGAGGAAGAAGAGAGACATGATTATTACGATCTCTACAGTGGATGTGACTTCTTAAACGTTCGCAACCTTTTTACAAGGGTGCACGGGGAGGATGAAGTCGATGGTCCGATCCGAGATCACGGAGATGATAGGCAACATTTCAAATGCAAAGTCCGAGGTGAATTTTTGGACGCGCTCGTGAGACACGTGACGAGAAAAGATGTCCAGAACCTTTCGTTTTACTTCAATGGCGAATCTCTCAATTTCGGAGGGCATTCCAATTTATTTAAGGGCGTTTTCTTCTATATGTCGCCGTCTTGGTTTATGGATAAAGACGTGCTCTCCGAAGGTACAATAACCGAAGCAACGGTGCATCCAGAAGACGTCATCAAGGACGGAGCACAACAAAAAGGATATTACATAAAAATGCATTTCAACTCTGTCCGATGCGAAAATCGCATCCTCCACGCGGCGGCTGTGAAAGCGTTGCACATGAAATTGAACGATTTAGAAGCTTTAGATGGCAACAAAAACATCCTCCCGGAAATGCTCGATCCAATCACGCACTCCATCATGCTCGACCCAGTTTTTGTGGGCAAAACGGAGAAGACATCTTGCGACTTCTCGACGCTTTCCAGGCACTTTCAAAAATCCGGCAAGCGAACCGATCCGTTCACCGGTTTGCCCGTCGTCGGCGAGATTCGCAGGAACGCGAAGCTGAAAGAGCGCATAAAAAAACTCTTACAGAAGGAAAACGCGATGTCGATGATAGGCGACGTGGATGTGGACGTTTTTACCCCCGACGATGCGATGTCAGTTGAGTGGGCACGGGTGAATGAAGATAGAAATACATTCAACGCAGATGATGATGTTCGCTCGATTGGGGATTGGCGCAAAAATTGGCGCTTAGGAAATTACGAGTAGTCTGGTACTTCGTTGATGATCTCTGTGATGTTGTTGTGTTTTTGTTGTTGCAAAAGAATAATGGTAAGTAGTTTACTGTTGCTTGCACTCCTCCTTCGCTTTCGGGTCCAATCCTTTGATCTTCTCCCCGTTTTCGTCTTCGTCTTCGTCGTCGTCGTCGTCTTCGTCGTCGTCGTCGTCTTCTTCGTCGTCGGAGTCACCGTCGATGGATTCGCCGTACTCGGCGTCTTCCTCGCCTTCTTCCTCGTCCTCGTCTTCGTCGTCTTCCAAGTGCAAACCTAAGAAATGATCCACCGCGTTTGGAACCAACGCGGTGGCGATCAAACTCCCGATCGCGTAATCGTTCTCCATTTGCTCTTGCAAATCCTCGACCTCTTCTTCGGTCATGTTTTCTTGTTCGTCCTCGTCCGGGACTTCCGGCGGGTAAAAAAACGTAAAGAAGGATTCGCACGGTTCCGTTTTCGTGATTGGTTTCTGGTTCTTCGCCCCAGGTTTCGGTTTCTTCCTCAACACTTTTACGGTCAAGTTCTTCCCTGGTTTCCAATCGATGTCGTCGCACACGATGTAATTCAACACCGCGTCTTCGCTGTCGTCTTCCATGTGGTATCGCTTCTCGATCGTTTGGTTGGTAAAAAACGCATTCTCTTTGAAGTAAAATCGCAAATAAAACCCAACCATTTCGTCGCCATCTTCGTCTTCGCCTTCCAATTTCCCCGTTTGCACGTCCACCAAAGCGCTCAAACACGCCTCGTCTCTCTCCGAAATCTCCTCGGCCAAATCTTCGATGTTCTTCATCGCGACTAACCAAAAATCCGGCACGCCGCTCGGACTCGCGTCGTCCTTCGGCAACGCCTCGATTTCCTTCTTCAAATCCTCGTCGCAATCCGAGTACTCTTTCTCACCCGTGACGATTTCTTTCCTCGAGTTATATAACGGCGCGTATAACTTCTCGTATTTCTCTTCCAATTGCCTTCGCTCCTCGGAATACTTCTCGAACAACTCGTCTCGTTCGGTTTGTAAGACTTGCAAAGAGAATAATCTCGCACGAATTTTCGGGTGCAATTCCTCCACGTACCCGCTCGATAAACCAACCAAACCGTCCAGTTTCGCTTGCAACGCGCCGATCAGACCTCCGTCGCCGTGGAGTTGCGATAAAGCTTTCACGATCTCTTGCTTGTCCACCGATTCGCCTCCTTCTTTCTTGTTCGCTAAGCGCATCTTTTCCAACGCTTTTTCGATTTCTTTTTGCTGCTGATTTTGCTGCTGCTCTTTTGAAGACCCATAAGACATTTTTCAAAAAGCGTTCTCTCTCTCTCTCTCTGTGTGTGTGTGTGTGTGTGTTCTCAAGCAAAAAGAATGGTAGTATCACGCGCAAAGAGCGAGATCTGTGACTTGTACTGAGTGTGCTTTATTAGGGAAAAGTGTGAAGATTTCTCTTCCGTGGTTTTTTAAAATTTGAAAAAAAAAATGTTTAGGGTGCTCACATTTATGGATCTCTCGTTTTCAATTTCAAGGGGTAGATGTGATGCAAACGTACAAGTATTTATATGTAAACCAGGACTATTAAGGAGCTAATGTTGAGTGCGCATGTGTTTTTTCAAACTACCAGATTGAGTAAAACGCTTCTCGCACACATCACATTCGTACGGTTTCTCCTTCGTGTGAATACGCATGTGGTCTCTCAAACTACTAGCTCGAGTAAAACGCTTCTCGCACACATCGCATTCGTACGGCTTCTCGTTCGTGTGAATACGCACGTGCCTTTTCAAACCACTAGATTCACGAAAACGCTTCTCGCAAACATCGCATTCATACGGTTTCTCGTTCGTGTGAATACGCATGTGTTTTTTCAAATTACTAGAATTACGAAACTTCATCTCGCACACATCACATTCATACGGTTTCTCGTTCGTGTGAATACGCATGTGTTTTTGCAAAGTATCAGAGTGACGAAAACGCTTCTCGCACACATCACACTCGTACGGTTTCTCGTTCGTGTGAATACGCATGTGCTTTTGCAAAGTATCAGCTCGACTAAATCTCTTCTCGCACACATCGCATTCATACGGTTTCTCCTTTGTGTGAATACGCATGTGGATTTGCAAACTACAAGATTGAGTAAAACGCTGCTCGCACACATCACATTCGTACGGTTTCTCGTTCGTGTGAATACGCACGTGGACTTTCAAAGTACCAGATTCACGAAAACGCTTCTCGCACACATCGCATTTATACGGTCTCTCGTTCGTATGAATACGCATATGTCTCGCCAACTTGGATGGTGTTACAAACACCTTCTCGCAAACATCGCACTCGTGTTGCCCTCTCTTTCTCTTCCCTCTTTTCGTCGCAGTAGTCTTTTCTTTTCGTATCTCATTGCGCTGCTCATCATCATCAGGTATTCGCAAACACAACAACACCGGTCCTCGTTCTTCTTCTCCCTCTCCCTCTCCCACTCCCTCCTCCTCCGCAGCACTCGCAACCACCACCGTCTTCGCGTTTTCCGCTCGTTTCGGATGTTTATTCTTTCGTCTCGATGACATTATTCTTTGCGTGATGGAGGAAAACAAAAGTAGTCTTTTCCCCGCTTTTTTGTGATGAAATTCGTTATTAAATATGAATTATTGCATTCGATGTTGCCCCTCCTTTAGCGCCTCCGTCCTCCTCACAACGCTCGAAAATCGTCGTCCACCTTCTGTTCTTCCCGCGAGTGGTAGTTCTTCTTCTTTATCTTCTTCCGGGAGGAAAAGAAGCGGTGATTTAAGGAGGCGTTTTACTAGGGGAAAATTAGTCAAAAGAAGAGCGATGATGATGCTTCCAATGGAGGAATACGCGTCGTCTTCCACGATTCCTGCGAACGAAATTGCCGGATTTGTGATTGGGTTTTGCATGTTGTACGTCGTCTCGCAAGCGTCGAAGTTAGACGCGATCATCGCGTCCGCGCAGGCGAGAAGTTTAGCGAGAGATGATGATGATGACCAGAATAATGGGTTTGGGGTGATGGACGAGAAGGACGAAAGCGTCGAACGCGTGAAGAGAGGGAAAGGGAACGTGTTTATATTGCCACCATCTGAATCGTCGTCCAAGAAGAGAGGGGAGTAGTAAATGTAGTTTTAAATAGAGTAAAAGGTATTAACTTATATTAGAGAACGCGCATCAACTCGACGTCGAAGACTAAAGGAGAGTTCTTCGGGATGGTCCCGGGGACTCCTTTTTTACCGTACCCCATGGACGCCGGGACGTATAAAGTTCTCTTGTCGCCTTCGCGCATGCCGTTGACGCCGACGTCCCAACCTTTGATGACTTCGCCGACGCCTAATCGGAAGGTGAATCCGGCGTTGCCTTTCGTTTGGTCAAAGATTTTTCCGGACGGAAGTTTACCGACGTATTTCATTTGACACCGAGACCCTGGCGTCGCTTTTTTACTGTTCGGTTTCGAGGTTTGGTGCGTGTTGACTATTTCCATGCCGTTTCGGTGCTCTTTCGTCGGCTTTTGCGTGTTGACGTTGTCTTTGTTGGCGTTAGCGTTTTGTTTGGTTTCAGTCTTTTGCTTCTTACTCGCTTTTGGTGCTACCGCTTGTTGTTGTTGTTGTCGTTTTTTCGGTTCTTCTTTAGCTTCTTCTTCTTCTTCTTCTTCTTCCGATTCCGAAGCTTCCTCGTCTTCGTCGTCCGAAGAAAGCTCTTTAATGACCACCCCTCCTTTTTGCGTAACTTTTTTCTTCCCTCCACTGGCGCCCGCCTCTCGCAACGCCTCTTCCTCCTCTTCGCTATCGTCCTCCTCGCTCAAATCGTCTTCATCTTCCGACGACGTAAAGTCCTCCTCGACGTCCTCGTCATCAAACCCCATAAAATCCTCATCCTCATCCTCATCCTCATCCTCATCGTCGTCCTCGTCGTACATCTCCTCCCCGTCCTCTCCGCCGCCTCCGTACATCCGCATCGCCGCCTCTTCATCCTCGTCGTATTCCGGCACGTAATACCCAGTCACGTGCGCTTCCACTTCATTCCCAGAATCCGTCGTCTCCACCGTAAATTCGCAGTAATCTCTCAAGACTAAATTCACACTCGTCGATTCCACCGCGTTCCCTATAAAGGCGCACAAGACGAACTCTTCCTTGGTATCTGTTTCGTCGTCATCATTTCCCATCATCGGATCGATCCCAGCGAGCGCGGCTTCGTCGGTTTCCGTTCGGATTTTCACGTACACGCGTTGGTTCGGTTTCAGTGGTTTCGTGAGTGCGATCTGTTCGTTTCAAGTTCAGTGAGAGAGAGCGTTATTACGCGCGTTAAAAGGGATTAATGTTAAACACATCTCCGCTGGCGGCGGCCGCCGGGAAACGAGACATTCGAGAAAGAAGACGAAGAAGAAGAACACAAAGAAGAAGAAAAACGTACCTGCGAGATGTGGCAGCTGAAGTTATCCTCCGGCGGTGGAACGTACGGGATCCATTTCTGTGTCGTTTTCGACGACGATTGGAGTTTTAAGCCGAAAAACATAGCAGTAGTAGTAGTAGTAGTAGTGTTTCTTGTTGTGAGGGAAAAAACAACACGCATGCAGTTACTACAAAAAAAAGGTTGACTCGTCGAAGTATTCTTCCTCCTCAGTTGCAACTCGCGAGCGACGACCTCACAGAGTGGGCACCTTTAACCAGTCGTCTCTTCTTCGGTGCAGATTCGCCCCTCGCTCTGGATCTCAAGCGCTCCGAAGCAAAACTTTTCAAAGAAGACTTTCTTTCAGTTGGAAAAGAAACGACACCAATCAGTTCTGTAAACGCCAATTTTTGAGATCTGCGGGAAAAAAAAAAGAAATGCGATGATGGGCGGTGGTGAAAAGAAGAAGAAACAACTCTCCGGCGCGCAGAAAAGGAAGAAGAACAAGGAGAAAGAAGAGGCGATGAAAGAGGCTCTGGCGGATATGGAGCGTTTAAAGCTTGGACCGACGAAGTTGTGGACGGGGTTGGTGTTGCATCACAAGGATGTATTTGTATCGCATGTCTTGTCAAAATTGAATACGACAGATCGATATTTCTTTGGAATGGTGAATAGTGAGAGTCGGGGTGTGCTTGAGTATGCTGAGGTGAACGTATCGGAATTAGGTTGGTCTACTATTGAATGCTCATCCATTTCGACGCTGGAATTGGTGTGGAATCACATGCCCTGGGGAAAGAAAGATATAGAGGGAGATGTGGCAGATCAAGCCTGGTTTTGCGTTCAAGTTGCTGGAACGAACAAACTCGAGTTGCTCGAGTGGGCGAGAGAAGTGAAACATTGCGAGTGGAATGCAATGACGATTGCTGCGGCAGCACTTAAAGGTAATCTCGAGATGCTAAAGTACTGCTTCTCTAATGGTTGCCCGTGTGATGAAAAAGAGGCGTGTGGACAAGCTACTCTTGGAGGACACCTCGACTGTCTTCGATTTCTTTTCGACAAAGTGAAACCTTCGCGAAAGACGGAAAAAGAAGCGGCAATACAAGCGGCATGCGGTGGTCACTTAGACATCTTGAAATATTTCGTCGAAGAAAGAAAAATATCTGATGCAGTAAAGCTCGACTGTGTGTTATCCACTGCAAACTATGGCCAACTCGATTGCCTCAAATACTTAGTCGAAGAGGCGAAAATGCCTCTTGACAACTGGCTCTGCGTCGCTCTCGCTCGTTACTACGAGCATACCGACTGCCTAAACTACTTGCTCGAAAAAGGGTGCCCGGAACCAACGGACGAAGAATACGCTAAAGTCGTCGAGCAAAAAAAACGAGAAGAACTGGGCATCCAAGCGTGAGAGAGAAAGAAAGAAAGAAAGAAAGAAAGAGAGAGACTTCATCATAGAGTACGCGCAGCAGCGCGTAAAATTTTCAATAAGGGCCTCTTCGTACTCCTCGTTGTAAGGAAAGAGAGACCACTTCATTCATAAAAAAAAAAATGATGATACAAACAGTCCGTCATTTTCGAGGCTCACGAATTACACCTCACCCCCATAGGATCACTACATACATCCATATACCTATCACATGTGTGCTTTGAAGAGTGACATTTTTTGAATTTTTGAACAAACCGCACAATTCTCGCGCGTACACTCCTTATAAAACCAATAACAAAGAGGAGACATAATAAAGACGCGCACAACAGAGTTCATCGAAGATGGACCATCCTCCTCCTCCAGAGTCGTCCGTCGTCGACCCGATGATGCGAGACTTATTCGGCAAAAACCACCACGAAGTCTCCAACGATTGCGCGATAAAGATACAGAAATTGGAAGCGAGATTAACGAGCGGGAAACCAAGACGAGTTTTGAGTCCCGGGGATTCAAAAATGATGTTAAACGCGACGACGACGACGACGGGAGGAGGAACGCCCATCGACGGCGCAAAAACGAAAGCTGATGATGTAGACGATGACGACGCCGCAAAACTCGAGAACGAGAAAGAAAAGGCCATCGAGCGAGAAGTTCTCGAAGATTCCGACGAGGAAGATTATTCTTCCTCTCTGTCTGATGCTTTGAAAGAAGACCAAGAGAACTCGAGAGAGTCGCAGAGAGAAAATCGAGCGCCGAAGACATCGACGACTTCCTCAAGAAAGAAGACGAAGAAGAATAAAAAGCAAGAGGACGAAAACAACAACAAGAACGACGAGGACGCGGTAGGAGTCGTTTTATCGTCGTCTGTTTCCGCGGGGAAGAAGAGGAAGAAAGGATCATCCGGGTTCGCCACGGTGGCGGCGGCGAGGAATACTACTAATGGATTGAGTCACGACGGCGGGATGATTGCGCAGTTGGAAAGCGCGACGGGAGTTTCTGGGAGAGTAGTAGGGGGTCATCATCGCGTGGTTGGTGGGAGCGGCGGTGTCGTCGCGGCAGCTGCGACGTCGCCTGGATTCGATCATCATCAACATCAAGGAGGAGGAGTAAATAATAGAATTTTCGTCGGATCCGGCGACGGCGGTAAAAGCAGAGACGGATCGGACGTACCGAAAGAAGTGTTCCAACCGCCGTTGCAGCGCGAGTTATTCGGTAGCGTTGGCGTTTCTCCCTCCTCCTCCTCCGCAATGCAACGCCAACTCCAACAGCAACAACAACAACTCCAACAACAACAACAAGAAAAAATCAAACTTTTTGAAGAAAAAATACTCGCGTTGCAACAACAAGTCGAAGAAGTCACTCGCGAACGAGAAGACGCGGAAAGACAAGCGGAAGCGATCGCGACAAAGTTACACTCGGATGAAAAGCAAGTAGAAATTCGTCGTCGGAGAGCGCGAAACGCGTTCGCGCAGCTCGGAAAACTCGAACGCGCCGAGGCGAGGCGCAAATTGAGAGATCGAAGTCAACGCCTCGGATCCGTGGCGGTGAGAAGAGTTGGGACGCAACTGAACGAAGTGTGGGAAGACGGCGAAGCGTTCGCGCAGTTGGAAGAGAGGATGAAGAAAATCGCAGAACAAAAGAAAGACGCGGAAGAGCGAAGGCGAGCGATTAAACGAAAATTGCCGCCTCCGGGAGCGTCGGCAGAGACGGGTAGCAACATCAACAACAACAACACGAAAGATACAACAGCAGATAGAAATAGCATGAACAACAACAACAACAACAACAACAACAACAACACCAAACAAATCTCAGACGTCCACCGTGAGTTCGCGCTGAGCGAAGAGGTGCACAAAACCAGAGTCAACCAGCTTCGAAGAGAAGAGGAGGCGATTTCGAGAGAACGCGAGGTTCTGGAACGCGAAAAGTTAGCCTTGGCGAGAGAAATTAAACGAACGAGAGACGAAGACGACTCAAGATTTAACGATTTCCCAATGCTAGGCGGCCAGGAACCCGGGTGCGAACGGTACGTGCTCACTAATCTGTTAGGCCGAGGAGGCTTCTCGGAAGTCTATCGAGCCTGGGATTGTCACGAGATGAAGGAAGTCGCGTGTAAGTTGCATTCGTTAAATCCGCGATGGTCGGAAGAGCGGAAACGAGCGTACGTCCGCCACGCCGCTCGAGAGTGTTCCATTCACAAATCGTTAAAACACGACCACGTGGTGAAATTGTTAGACGTCTTCGAGGTGGATTCGGATACGTTTTGTACCGTCTTAGAGTTGTGCGAAGGCGACGATTTAGACGCTCGATTGAAAAACACCGGGAGCATGTCCGAACGCGAAGCGAGAGCAATCGTCGCGCAAATTTTCGCCGGGTTAGCGTATTGCCACGGCGATACGAAGCGCGTCATCCACTACGACTTGAAACCTGGGAACATCTTATTCGACAACTCCGGTCGCGTGAAAATAACCGATTTTGGTTTATCCAAAGTCATGGAAAGCAGAGAGAATATCGGGTCGAACAACGATTTCACTTCCGTGGAACTCACCAGCCAAGGCGCTGGGACGTACTGGTACTTACCTCCGGAGTGCTTCGAAACCGGCCCGGCACCTCCGAAAATCTCCAGCAAAGTCGACGTCTGGTCCGTCGGTGTTATTTTCTACCAAATGGTATACGGCAAACGTCCTTTTGGTCACGAGCAAACGCAGGAACAAATTTTGCAAGCCGGAACGATTCGAGACGCGAAGAAAGTCGAGTTCCCGCAGAAACCGGCGTTGAGTAACGAAGCTAAGGAGTTCATCTGTAAGTGTCTGAGTTACAGACAATCGGAGCGACCGGACGTGTTGCAAGCCGCGCTGGATCCGTACGTGCAGTTTGGCGGAGCAACAAACAACGGAGGAGGAAAGTAGAGACGAAAAGACAGACTTACAAATTTATTTACGCTCGCGACAGTTTTTATATTTCAAAAGACGCCTCCTACTAATAATGATAAAATTGTTTTTGCTACATCACGCCGCAAAAGTTCGCTTTTTCGGCCAATTCTGGGTTACTTTGTCCCGGGTACTTTTTCTTTTTGTTATGACTCGGCGGCGGTCTCGCCGGCGAGTGCGCGTATTTGGACACGTCCACGCCGTACTTCAACTTCATCCGTTCCGACCAACTCTCATCCTCGTCATCCTCGTCACCAGTATTCCCGTTCGCACTTTCTACGTCTCTAAAATTCGCGCTATTCCTATTATTCTTTCCAAAAAACAAACTCTCCGCCTCGCCTTCGTCTTCGTCGTCGCTTTCCTCGAACGCGCTCGACGAGTACTCGCTCGCCGCCCTTCTCAACGCCGCCGTCAACACTAAACTCGCCGTTTGCACAAACACCAAAACCAAGCTCATAATCTGTACCACGAACAAGTTCTCGCTCACGGTGTCGTACATTTTCTTCGTCGTCCCGGTGATATCTTTGATCGAACTTTGTTCGTGTTCCTTCCCGACAAAGTCCCTCGCGGTTTCCGAAAACGCTATAGCGCACGCGCATATCGAACACACCCACATGAAGAGTAAGTTGTGCGCGTAAAACGGTAAACAACATCTGTTTCTTGGGGATTCGACGCCCCATAAACCTGTCCAAGAGACTAAAGTCACGTACACACCAATCGCGAGGAATGCGTACAGAAACACCGGTTGTTTCGAAGCGACGTCTGAAAACGTTTGATTTTTTTCTTCCTTTGTCTCTTCGACCAAATTCGAGGACGAATTCGTTTCCTCCTCCTCGGAAATCCATTCGAAGTAAAACTCGCACGCAATGATCACGATGGCTAAGCCGTAGAATAAGAGGAGGTAGTTTGTAAATCGGAGGAGTTTTCGGAGGTAGACTATCAGAGCTGAGGCCATTTTATTAGTAATTGCTCCTGTTGTTCTTCTTCTCAAATGATTCAATTCCACAGTCGTCCGCGGGAAAGGATTTGTTGATGAATAAATCCAATTCCAATTATAAGAAGAGTTCTCTCTCTTCTAAGAGAACACAACAACAACAACAAAAACACAAAAACACAGACAAACAAACAGTCAGATATCTCTCGTCTCGCGATATTTAGCAGAGAGAGAGAGAGAGAGAATGTGAGAAGCGTTTTATCTGTAATATTTATAGCGAAAGAGAAGAACTTCTGAGGGAGAAATGAGAGACCAATGTATGTTTAGGGTGTATGAAACCCTAAACAACTTTTCCTTTGTTTTTTTTTTCTTTCTTTTTGTTGGGGGAAAATGTCTTCAGTAGAATAAAGCTCTCGTTCGGGCGCTTTGTTGTTCTCTCTCTCTTTCGAGAGAGAGAAAAGAAGAGCGCTTATTAAAGCGGCCGCTTTTGTTTGTTGTTGTTGTTGTTCTTTTTATTTGCTCAATTCTTTTTAGTCAGCCAGTAAAGAGAGAGAGAGTATGAAGGCATCATCATCCATCGAAGAGACGGATGATGCTTCTCCTCTCTCGGAACAACAGAAGCAACGAACTTTGGGAGAGTTACGGTTTCGGTTCCGCTCCTCCGCGTTGAAGCAAAGTCCGAGCTCGGACGCTTTACTTCACGATGGGGAGGAGGAGGACTTTTTGGAGGAGGAAGATCAGTTGGCGAGATACGTGGAGCCTCCGGAACTCCCCACGTTAGCGATGCATAAAGTTTTCGGTAAGGAGTTGTTCCTAGATGAGCGTTTTATTACATGCGAAATGTGTGATCGACGCGTTTTTTCATCGAGAGAGATGACGATCATCAATCATCGTCATCATCATCGAATGGCAGCCTTTTGGAGAATATGATATAACACGCTTACAACGAAACACCATTTTCTATTACCACAACTTTTATTACATGTATATATACACATGTTATCATCATCATCAAAAATCAGGCGCTTTGTTTTGGGCGATGACGTTTTACTGCTGGTACAAAGTGATCGGGTACTTTTTCGTACCTCTGGGGATATATTTCACGTCCTTGGTATCGCCGGCGTTCGTTCGAACGAAGCAAAAAGGCGTGAGAGAGACGGTGATTGAAGAGTCATCGGGGTCGACTCATTTATCTGCGTTCGCGAAAAGAGAAGAGAACGCGGCGAAAAGCGTAAACGAAGACGTGTACAGGAGAGAGCACGCGGAGCAAGTCGGGATCGTGGTCGCCATGTACGCGTTCCTTATAAGCGCGATATTCATTTTCCCGCCGTTTTTTCTTTTCTTCGCGCCGTTCGAGTGGATCAAGTATCTGTTTTTGTTTTACGTGGCGTGGTATTTCGTTTTAGATCGAGACGCGTGCGAAAAAGGGACGAGATTTTTAGGTTGGACGAGACGGTTGCCGTTTTGGAGATTGGCGGCGGGATATTTTCCCGTGCGGTTGCACAAATCCGCGGATTTGGATCCTTCCAAGAATTATATTTTCGGGTATCACCCGCACGGCGTCATTTCCGTCGGCGCTTTGTTGACGTTTGCGAGCGAGGCCACGGGTTTCGCGAATGCGTTTCCGGGAATTGACGTCAGGTTGTTGACGTTATCCGTCAATTTTTTCTTCCCGTTTACGAGAGAAGTGTTGATGGCGTTGGGGATAAACTCGGTGACTCGAAGCAGCGTGGAAAAAAACTTGTTGCGAGTAAAATCATCGGCGGCGAAGAAACCGAGAGGAAACGCGGTGGTTATCGTCGTCGGCGGCGCGAACGAAGCCATGGACGCGCACCCCGGGACGGCGATATTGACGTTAGCAAAGAGGAAAGGATTCGTAAGATTAGCGTTAAAAACCGGCGCGACGTTGGTACCTGTATTCGCGTTTGGCGAGAACGATATATTCGACCAAGTCGAAAACCCGGAGGGTGGCGTTTTGCGAGCGTTTCAAAAGCGCGTGAAAAGTTTAATCGGCATCACTCCGCCTGCGTTTTACGGTCGCTCGTTGAGTCGAGGCGTTTTGAGACGATTTTTCGGCAAACGAGGCGTCTTACCGAAGCGCCAATCGATAGAAGTCGTTTTTGGTAAACCGCTGGAGATTAAAGAGAAACCGTACGGGAACGACCAGATTCCGGAGGATATCGTGGACAAGTATCACAAGGAATACGTCAACGCGCTGAGAAACTTGTACGAGTTGCATCGCAAATCGTTCCACCGAATGAAACGAACGGACTCGTTCGAAGATTTCGCGTCTCGGCAGAAGAAGATGCAGCCGATACGGTTCAAATAGAAGATTTAACAAATAGACGAAGGAAAGAAAGAGAGAGAGAGAGAGAGAGAGAGAGAGAGAGAGAGAGAACAATGTACGCATAGTAACACAACACGTAGAAATTAGTTTTGGCTTAAATAATAAAAGACACATTCATCTGCACACTCACGCACTCACTCACACAATTATATACACACACACACACACACAGAGAGAGAGAGAGAGAGAGAGAGAGAGAGAGAGAGAGTAAAAGGACAAAGGCTTTTATGACGATGATGATGCTTTTGCGCGCGGACGTGCGATAACGTTATTGGATATTATTATTATATCGAAGAAAGATTTCATTAAAAAAACAAATAATAATAAGTATATTTAATTTACGCGCTGCCTCTGTATCTCAACAAAATACCATCGTTCCCCAAGATAAACCCAACGTCGTCTTTGGCGAACGCGACTTTGTACAGGTTCCCGGCAACCTCGTCGGTCCCGCGATCTCTTTTCCACGTTTTACCCTTATCCTCCGAGGAGAACACCGACCCGCTTCCGCCGACGGTGAAGTATTTCGTCCCGCTCGCGTTCGATCCGAGATCCAACAAACCGTACCCTCTGCTTCCAATTTTACCTTCCGTGAATTCGTCGTCTTCCTCTGGCAACGCTTTCGTGTCGCTCAAATAAATCCCACCGCCTCTGGTTAACTGCCACACGCCGCCGTCTTTTCTCCAACCCATGGATTGAATTCTTCTCGCCGAGGATCGGTTGTGCGGTTGCCAGTACGCTTGTCCCGGTGCCCACGACATGTAAAAGTTCCCTCTCGAAGATAAACCGATGTACTCGCCAGTTTCCGGGTTTCTGGAAACCGTGGAAAACGACCCGGTGTAATACGACGCCCCTTGAACGCCGCTCGACACGGTTCTATTCAACGTCGCGTCCACGGTTTCCTCCACGGCGGCTTTCCAATTCCTCGCCGCATCCGTGGTTAAATAAATCGCCCCTTGATCCGTCACCATCTCCGCCACGCCGTTATCCCCAGTCGCGGTAATCAACACCGGAATCCCCGGTAATCTCGGCGACAAACCAACTCTCTCCCACGTCTTCCCCGCGTCCACGGTGTGTAACAAAATCGCCGGTTTCCCGACGATCCACCCTTCGTCGCCGTTGAACGAGACCGAATTAAATCGATAATTCACCTCGTCGTCGATGACATCTTGCCCTAAATCTTTCGCGTCCCACGTTTTCCCCCCATCGAAGGTTTCCAAGATTGTTTGTCTCGTGCCGAGTAAAAATCCGTGTCGCGCGTTTTCATCCGTAAACGCGATGTCTAACAGGATCACTCCCGGTTCTAACGGCAGGTTGACTTTCTCCCAAAAGTTTGAGTTTAAAGAGTCGTCCGCAAAAGCTTCTTTCGTTTGAGAGGAAGATGAAGACGCAAAGAGAGAGAGTGAAGTGAACGCGAACGTTTTCATGCCGAACTCTCGTTTCGTGAGCTTATTCGTCGTGTGCTCGTCGTCCTTCTCGGAGAATGAAATCTCATTCGCGTCGTCATTTTTCGCCGCAGATCGAATAATCGTTTTTTTTCCATCTCCGATGTTTCTCATCTTTCCTTGTTGTTTTGTGGTGTTCTTCGTAATAAAAGAGGAAGAAAACGACCCCGTGAGGTTTTGCTGCTGATGATGACACGATGCTCGCATGATGATTGTTCTTATTCTCTGTAGTTTATTCGTATACACAGAGAGTAGAACTCAGCGTTCGCACTGCGTGGATATAATGGAGAGAAACGACGTCAGCGTTAAGTTTTTTCTTTTTTTTGTGGTACACGGACTCCTTTGACAGAGTAAGGCATACGCACTGAGAAGGTGAAAAAGAGTACGACTTACGCACTTAAACCCTAAATACGAGTAAGGAATACGCACTCAGCGTGTGTCTTTGTAAGTGCTTAAAGTCGTACTCTTTTTCTTTCTCTCTCTCTTCGTTGTTCTTCGTCTCTCCTTTTATATGCGAGAATACAACTGCACTTATTATACTAAATACACTTTTCTTCTTCTTCTTTGTGTGTGCGAGAGAGAGGAGAGAGAGAACTTTGGTGCACGACTACTACTGAGAGGAACAAAAACTCGACAGAAAGAGAGAGACCAAAAAGAGAGCGTTTTAAAAGAGAGAAAGAGAGAAACACAACGGAAGTCGAGAAAAAGCCCCGTGAACGGGGAAGAGATTTTTAAAAATCACACATCCCGGAATGATGAGATTTGCACGATGACGACGAGAGTTCTATCATCGCCATCGTTTAAAAGAGAAGAAGAAGAATCAAAAGATGAATCAAAAGAAGCGTTACTCTTAAACAAGTTGGAAGAGAAGTACTCGAAGGCGCTGCGCAGCGGGTGCAGGAAGAAAAGGAGCGAATTGGTGTTTTTGAGAAGCGATGAAAATGATGAGAGGAGAAGGTTGAGTGGCGGTTTCGCGGGGCGAGAAGAAGAGGGAACGACAAAAGCTTTCGAGGAGGAAGAAGAAGAAGAAGAAGAAGAGGAGGAGTTTTTTGAGCTGGACGCGAAGGCACTTTTCGCGCCGTCTCCTGTATCATCATCGGTGGCGTTATTAAGAAGTGACGGTAAAGTATTGTCGTCCGACGACGAGGAAAAGGAGGAAAACGAGGAAAACGAGAAGAAAAAGAAGAAAAAGCTCCTCCTCGTTCGAAGAGAAAAGATACGCGAGACGAACGTTCAGTTGGACGAAGACGTGCGAAACGTTCGGGACTTATTGGAGCGGTTGAAAACGAATCATTATTACAGCAGCGAAAAAGCTACGAGTTTTAGCGAAACAACTCTTCTTGGTCGCGAGAGCGGCGAGTTTTTCGAAAAACAACGCGAAGAGGATTTTTACGAGGAAGAAGTTAAAGAAGAATCAAAAGAAGAATCGAAAGAAGAAGATCGATCGCGACGACGCCAACTGCTGCTCCTTCAAAACCACCTCCTCCTTCCCACCAACGCCGAAATCGCCGGCGTGAATGCGACGACGCAAACACCGCGAACAAAAAAAACGGAAGATTGGTCCGTACCGGCGGAGGATCTCGTCCTGCTTTCTTCTTTTCGAGACGACGATTCAGACGACGACGAAAACAACGAAAATTTCGTCTCCTCAAACCCCACCGCGGAATCTCTCCGAGCCGCCGGTATTATCTTTTAAAAGTAGAAACAAAGAGCTCTTCTTCTAAAAACGTTACAAGAAGAGGGGAAAAAAACTCGCCTTCGCAACCGCTCCGTGGGAAAAGAATACGCAACAAAGAAGACGCGAAGGAGACCGCCGACAAACCATTTCGCGCACGAATAATAATAAAAGCCATAACAATACTAACGCTCACCCTGGTGGTGTTTTTATACATACACAGTAGCAGTCGTTGCGATAAAAAAGAAAGAGAACGCGCTTTCGCCGGACCGAATTCAATTAGGGTTTAATACCCTAACTATTAAGCAAAAATGAATTCACTTTTACCCGCGCGCGCGCGCGCGCTTCCTCACATAAAAGAGGCGTCGCGTCGAGAGCAGCGCGCGCGCGCATTCGTTCATCCTCAGAAGAGACGCTCCGATGCCGTTAACGCCCTCGGCGAAAGAATTCGTGCCTCCTGTTCCTTCCACTTTAACGAAAGCAACGACAACGACGACGACGAAAGACGACGACGACGACGAAAAGAATTCGAACGAACGAACGAACGCAAACGCAAACGACGACGCAAACGACGACGAGAAGACGAAGACGACAAAGAAGACAAACTCGAAACCCGTCTTCGAATATTTAACGCCACACGATGCGTTTAAAACCGATTTTCAAATCGGGCAAAAACAACTCGGCTTGACACCGATCGTCCACGCGAAGAAGGTTTCGAAAGCGATCGCGATTAAAAAACCTTCTTCCTCTTCGTCGTCCTCCTCGGGAGTCGTTTTGGAAGTCAAAGAGACGAAGAAAGCGAACGCGACGACGGAAAAAGACGAGGAGGTGGCGGAGGAAAAAAAAACGACGACGAAGAGCAGCGACACACATTTTCCTCCTCCTGCGCCTCCTTTATCGAGTGGTGGTGGTGGTAGTGATACGAATAGTATCAAAATTGGTTCGGTGTTTCAGAAAGGTGGTCGCGGCGGTCGCGTCCCGACGAAGACGACGAGCGAGAGTCTCGAGGCGAAGCGAGCGAGCGAGGCGACGAAGACGAAGGACAACAACAACAACGACGCTTCTTCTTCTTCTGCGAGTGTCAAGGTCGTCGCGCCGGAAGAGTCGCCGACGCCGGTGAAACAACCACCACCGCGACCTTTACCAAGGGAGAAGGATTTTAAAGCTGAAGAGGCGAACGATGACAACGACAACGACGAGAGTAAAACGAACAATCGAGAGAGTAAAGGATTATTCGGCATGGTTGGAAGCGTCATCGGATCGACGGCGACGTATTTGTTCACCTCGCCGCAAGGGAAGAAGAGTAATAAAGGCTCTCAAGAAGAGTTGCTCTCTGATGCCACCGATGCTGACAATACTGCAATAAAAAAAACGGAAGAGAAATTGAGCGAGAAGAAGAAGAAGAAGAAGAGCAACGACGACGACGACGCGTCGACGAAATCTGGGAAATCGAACACCTCGGAAACCGGGTCTTTTAGCGGCGCGAAGAAGAAAAATGACACCACCACCAACAACAACAAAGCGACTTTTACGACGCCAACAAAAGGAGGAGGAGGATCGAAAACGACGCCGACGAAAGAGAGTAAGAAGAGCACGCCAACGCCGTCGCCAAACGCCAAAGGCGGGGCCGCCGCTGCTGCGAATAATAATAAAAATGATAGTAATACTAAAGACAACAACAACAACAACAACAACAACAACAACAACAACAGTAAACCGAGCGTGTTCGATAGATTAACGCCGTCGGGAGACGATACTAAGAGTAAGAAAGCGATTACCACGACGACTCCGGAAAAAAGCGACGTGTTTAGTAGACTCCAACGCAAAGATGGGACGCCGGTTTCTTCGCCTTCTTCGCAATCTCAGCCGCAAAAGAAGAACAACGGCGGTACGCCCGAAAGCAGCAGCAGCGGCGGCGCTAAATCGAAAACAAAAATCGATCGAACCGTGTCGCAAACGGTGCAAGCTCCAAAAGCGCACTCGCCGATGAAGCAAGAGAATTCGCCGACGCCGACGAAATTAAAAAATCCGCCGAGCGGTTTGATGCCGAACGCGGCGGCGAAAATCAACAACGCGAAGGAAACCATCAAAACGCCTTCAAAATCGAACGACTCTAACAACGACAACAACAACAACAATAGCGAAAACGAATTGAATCAAGAAATCGAACGTTTACGAACCGAAAATCAACAGCTCAAAGCGGCGGCAGCGACGAGTGGTCGTTTAGCTGTCGCCTTGGGACGCGCGGATGAAACCGCCGCGCAAAGATTGAAGAAAGAGAAGGAGGCAGTGAAAGCGGAGAAGGAATCGATAGAAAAAGAAAAGACGAAATTGCAGAAAGAGAAAGAGTTGATCGAAAAAAGAACGACTGAAACGGAATCGAGGACGAAAGACGAGATAGAGAAGGCTTTAGCGGTGGCAAAGAAGAGCGCGGACGAACGGGTGGCCGAGGCGGAGAAGAAAGCAAAGGAGGAGGCGGAAGCGTCGGTAGCGAAAGCGCGCGAAGACGCGAGAATAGCGGTGGAGAAAGCGGAAAGCGATGCGAAGAAAGTCATCGCAGACGCCGCCGCTGTTGCTGCTACTGCTGAGAGAAAGAAACAAGAGGCGACGTTACCAACATCACCACCTGTTCTTGTCGCCGCTCCTACTCCATCATCAGTCGACGAAGAAGAACTCAAAGCCATGCGCGACGAGCTCGAGAAGAACCGCTTGGCGTTGAAACAAGCCAAAAGCGAAGCGCGCATTTCGCAAAAAGAAGCCAGCCGATTGAAAGACCGATTAGAAGATGCGAGAAAGGACCCGCAAGCGTTCGCGGAAAGGCAATCGGAAGGCTTTAAAACGCCAGTTGGAACGCCGTCGAAATCGTCTTCGTTCGACTCCTCCGTCAACGACAACGAACTCTCGGCGAGTAAAAGTCAGCAAGAATTTTTCACGAATTTGTTGAGGAAATCACCGTCGGAGACTACAACTACAACTACAACTATTGCCGCCCCTAAAAACGAATCGGAATCTTTAGCCTTGATCGAAGCTCGACAAGAGCGCGACGAAGCTCGAAAAGCGAGCGAAGAGCTCTCGAAAAAAATAGCGGATGTTTCCGAGGAAAAAGACAAAGTCATCGCAAAATTGAGAAAAGACGTGAAAGAGTTGAACGATAAGAAAGCGACGGAGACGTTAACTCGAGCCGCGGAACAGGAAGAGACGAAAACGTTCTTAAATGCCTCTCTAGACAAATACAAAGAAGATATCAAGAATTTGAACGAAGAACTCCACGAGTTGCGAGACGCCAAGACGACGGTGAAGAAGTCGCAAGACGAAGCGTTGGAGGCGTGCTTGAAGTTGAAAAAAGCCGAGGAGGAAATCAACGAGTTTAAGAGGCGAAAGGACGAGAGCGAGACGTTTCGTGCTGAACGAGAGGAAATGTTAAAAACAATCGAAACAGAGAAAGAGAGAGCGGCGAAACACGTGGAGACGATTCAGGTGTTGAAGAATATGGACGACGAGCGAAGGATTTTAATGGAGACGAACAAGAAGCAAATCGAAGGATTGAACGAAGAGTTGGAAAAAGAACGAAAGGAGACTGAAAAAGCGAAAGACACTGCGGCTTCGATGAAGAAAGAGTTGAAAGATATGCTGGTCAATGCTATGGAAAAGCAGAGCAAACTGACCGCGGCGGAGAAGGAAATCAAACAGTTGATGGAGCAGCGTCGCCTTGTATCTACCGACGAGAAGGACGCGGCGGAGGAACTTCGCGTGAAAGAATTGGAAGACAAAAACTCGCAGTTGATGGAACGAAACGAAAAATTGAAAGAAGAAGTTTCGTCGGCGTTAGCGGACGCGAACGGTGTGCGTGCGGAGATGACTAAAACGCAATCCGATGTGAACGTTGAAATCGAATCGTTGCGATCGAAGCTTTCGCAAGCGCTCGCAGACGCGGAGACGTTTCAAACTCAATTGTCCGCCGCAAAGAAGGAACACATCAACGCGGATAAACACGTGAATGAGATGTTGATGCGGTCGCAAAAAGAGTGCGAAGCGTTGAAAGCGGAAGTCAAAGACATCGACGGGTTAAAGAAGCAACTCAAACTGTTGGAAGGCACGAAAGCAGAATCGATTAAATTCGCCAAGGAAGAGACGAAGAAGTTTGAGATTGAATCCAAGAAATTCGCCGCGGAGAAGAAAGCGATGGAAAGTGAAAAGAAACAGTTGATGATGCAAGTGGAAAGTTTAACGAAAGAAATCAATTCGCATTCGGAGAAGAACGTGGAGACGACCGCGCGCGTTAAATCGCTCGAAGCGTCGAAAACGATCGCGGAAGAGGCGTCCAAGAACGCGAAAGAGTTGCAAAAAGAAAACGCTCGGTTACAATCGAAGATCATCTCGTTGGAGGCAAAAACGCAAAAGTTGCAAAAAGACGTGGAGAAAGCGGAGAGCAAGGCAAAGAAGGCTGCCCCGTTACCTCCACCTTTGTCGCCGTCTTCATCCGATCCAGTTGAAACAAAAGCGTTGCAAAAGCGCTGCGAAGACGCCGAAAGAAAACTGAAGCTGTCGAAAGCGAACGCGGCAACGTTGGAACTTCGCGTGAAGGAGTTGGAAGAGAACGCGATGGCGTCGCCAAAACAGTCTTCTTCGATTCCTTCACCGAAAAATTCGTCGGCCAAGAAGGGCAACAACAAAAAGAACGGGAACATCTTGGAACCAAGCAACGGCGGCAACGTGCTTTCGACTTTCTCTGGGGGCGACCAACAGCAATCTTCATCGGCTCGAGAACGCGAACTCGTCAAGCAACTCGAAAATGAAAGACACGCGAGAGCGATGTACCAACGCGACAGTCGAGACAAGCAAAAGCAGATCGATGAATACAGGAAAAAGTTGTCGACATACGATAGATCGACGCCTTTTCGAGGAGGAGGAGGAGGAGGAGCGCCTTCGACTGCCATGGGAGGACTCCCGCCGCCGCCGCCGTCGTCTTCCAAAGGAACGTCTTTACTCGGTAACACGTTGAACACTTCCGCCCATCATCAACAACAACAACATCAACATTTACCGTCGCCGTCGTATTCTAGCATGCAAACCCAACGCGGCGGCGGTCAAACGTCTTTTGACGTTCCAACGTCGAACGGCAAGAACAACAATACTCCCAACAACACCGGCGCGAACGAGCGACAAGGAGGCACAGGAGGAGGAGGCTTACTCTTCACCGGCACCCAGCGACGCACGCAAAGCTCCGCCTTACTCTCGTCTTCTTCGAGAAAATTCGGGAATTCGATGAGCGCTTTACGCGGAGGAACCACGCGATTACCACCACCACAACAACAACAACCCGTCGTCGTCGGCCTCGACGACCCGCGGAACCCGTTCTCTCGCGGCAGCGCAAACAACACCGCGAGTAGTAAAGTCGTCAGCACGCCCGCCGTCAACAAGTCTTTAGAAAGCATGTTCGCCTCGCCGACGACTCGGCGCACTCGGCAAAGCTTCGAAAGAAGTAAACATCAACACCACCGATTTTAAAGACGAGGAAAAAAGACGCAAAAAGGCGCATTAAACATTCAATACTGATATACTAGATAGGTTCTTCTTCGGTTTTGTGTATACTATGAGATGTATGTACTTTTATTATTCTCTTCGCAGCACTTCTTCAAATATTTAGTAGTATTTTTACTCGTCTGGTGTTGTGTCCTTCTATTTTATTAAGAGTTTAGGGTTTTGGTATTAATTTTAAATCTCTCCTTGGGGATAAAAGTGACACAAAAAAGGCCGCACAAACGCTGCGTACTCGAGAGAAGAAGAAGACAACAAAGAAGACGACAAAACCGGAGTTTCAATCGCGCTCTTCTTACTTTTGTCTGATTTTTGCATTTCTCGTCGGCTTCTCTTCCATCTCTCTTACTTTATATCGTTCAGATCTGCCTCCTGCGAGGAGCGTTCGTATTCTCATCATTTCGTCTCTCTGTTTGACGGTTCGAATTTGATCAAAAATCCATCTCATGGAGGGAGCGAAGAAGACCAGCGGGAGAGATTCGCCGACGTCTTCGTTAGCGGCGCATCCCGGTGGGAGATCTTCTTCTTCCTTTTTTAATAACGAGAGTCACGACGAGGATGATTCCTCGGGAGGAGAGTTTGAAACCGAGAAAAAGAGGAAAACAACAACGAGGGAAAAAGACGCGAAGAAAATGGAACCAGCGCAAGTGGCGAAGACGTTCGAGCGTCAGTGGGTGAAAATTGGCGACCTGGAGTACGACGTGACGGATATGAAGCACCCTGGAGGGTCGGTGATTTATTACATGTTGTCCAACGTCGGCGCGGACGCGACGGAGGCGTTTCGAGAGTTTCACTATCGATCGCGAAAAGCGGAGAAGATGTTGAAGTGTTTGCCGCAGAGGAAGTACGACGCGAAGAGTCACTACTCCTCTAAATATAATAATAATAATAGCAATTATCAGCCGATTGATACTAGCGATAGCGCGATGTTGAAAGACTTCGCAACGTTTCGCCTCGGTTTGGAGAAGGACGGGTACTTTACGCCGTCGCTGGTACACGTGGCGTATAGAATCGTCGAGTTGATGTTTACGTTCGCGCTGGCGACGTATTTGATGGCGAAAGGGTACACGACGTTATCTGTGATTACCTACGGCGCGTTTTTTGGCGCTCGATGCGGGTGGGTGCAACACGAAGGCGGACACAACTCCTTAACCGGGAACATTTGGATCGATAAACGCATCCAAGCGTGCTTGATGGGTTTCGGTCTCGGTACATCCGGCGACATGTGGAACGTTATGCATAACAAACACCACGCGACTCCGCAGAAGATTCGGCACGATATGGATTTGGATACCACCCCCGCGGTGGCTTTTTTCAACACCGCGGTGGAAGAGAACAGAGATCGCGGGTTTTCTCGGCTCTGGTCCAGATTCCAAGCGTGGACGTTCGTGCCAATCACCAGCGGCGTGTTTGTCATGGCGTTTTGGTTGTACGTCTTGCACCCGTCCAAAGTCTTCAAGAAGAAGAACTGGGAGGAAGCGTTTTGGATGTTGTCTTCGCACGTCGTTCGAGCGTCGTTGATTCAATTCGTCCACCCTTCGAACGTCTCCTTCGCGCACGCGTACGGCCTCTACGCTCTTTCGCAGTGGATCGCGGGCATGTATCTGTTCGCGCACTTTTCCACTTCGCACACGCACACGAAAGTCGTCGAGTTCAAGGACCACCCGAGTTGGGTCCGATACGCCGTCGAGCACACGGTTGATATTAGCCCAGACCGCGCGTACGTAAACTGGCTCATGGGTTACTTAAACTGCCAAGTCATCCACCATTTGTTCCCGGATATGCCGCAATTTCGTCAACCGGAAGTGTCCAAGAAATTCGAACTCTTCGCCCGAAAGTGGGGTTTGGAATACACGGTGATGACGTACGGCGAGGCGTGGAAAGCCACGTTTAAGAATTTGAACGACGTCGGCAAGCATTACTACGAGGAAGGACGGGTAAAGGATAAAGAGCGAAGCAGCGAAGAAAACGCTAAGACAAAAAAGATCAAATAATATTAAAATAGTATTCATACTAATACACGAGTACTAGATGTTAATACATTAAAGAAGGATAATACTTTGTTGTAAGTACGTTGTTTTACTACCACTCGTTGTTGCGCTCGCGTGTATTGGTACACCTATCTATATTTGTTCGATTAAAAAGTTGACAAAACCACACAAAAACGCATTTTCGGGAAAAAGAGAAGAAAAAGAACGTTGACTTTTGAAGAATAATAATAATGGGGAAAAAGATGTCCGGCGCGCAGAAAAGGAAGAAGAAGAAGGAGAAAGAAGCGGCTGTGAAGGAAGCCGTGGCGGATATGGAGCGTTTAAAGCTTGGACCGACGAAGTTGTGGACGGGGTTGGTGTTGCATCATAAGGATGTTTTTGTATCGCATGTGATTTCGAAATTGAATAGGACAGATCGGTATTTCTTTTCGAGAGTGAATAGAGAGAGTTCGGGTGTGCTTGCGTACGCCGGGTTGAAGGTATCGGAATTACGTGCGATGGTTCACGAATGCACATCCATTTCGACGTTGGAATGGATGTGGAATAACTTTCCCTGGGGAAAGAAAGATGACGAAGGAAACGTGGCAGATCAAGCAAACTTTTGCTATCAAGTAGCTACAACGAACAAACTCGGGTTGCTCAAGTGGGCGAGAGAAGTGAAACATTGCGAGTGGAATGAATGGACGATTAGTTGGGCCGCATTTAAAGGTAATCTCGAGATGTTAAAGTACTGCTTCTCTAATGGTTGCCCGTATAATGAAAAAGATGCGTGTGAACTAGCTGCTTTTAAAGGACACCTCGACTGTCTTCGATTTCTTTTCGACAAAGTGAAACCTTCGCGAGATACGGAAAGATATGCGGCAATACAAGCAGCATGCGGTGGTCACGTGGACATCTTGAAATATTTCGTTGAAGAAAGAAAGATACATGAGGAGGTAAAGGGCGTGTGCGTGGCAAATGCTGCAAGGTTTGGTCATTTCGATTGCCTCAAATACTTAATCGAAGAGGCGAAAGCGCCTCTTGACAGCTGGGATGTCATCGCTTACGCTCGTTACCACGAGCACTCCGAGTGCGAAAACTACTTGCTCGAAAAAGGGTACCCAGAACCAACGGACGAAGACTACGCCAGATTTGCCAAAAGTCAAAGAGAATAATGGTCACCACTGAGAAGATAGATAGATAGATATACACGTATTCCATCCTGCGTATATTTTTGGGGTTCAAAGTCTGCACACGAACGAACGAAATTCCTCAAAACTTTTGCATTCAAATTCAAAGCTTTTACATTCATACGATGACGACGACGACCACCGTAACCGTGACCAAAACGACGCTTTTACTCGCGTGTCTTCTTCTGAGCTCGATCTTCTGCGCGTTTGCACGCGCAACAAAAGAAACCCCGACGACGAGTAATCATCTTCAATCCGTTTTCAAACACCAAGCGGAGAAGAAGATTATGGAAAAGGAGCACGTTGGTGCGAGTGTAGCACGAAGAAGACAATTACTCGAAGACGAAGAGCAAGAGGAATACGAAGATAACAATAACACGAACGAAGTGGACGAATCTGCAGTCATGGACGCGATCGAGGAAGCGGATTCAACGTCAGATGAGATGCAACATCCGACCGATTTCGAGGCCACCGATCACACGGATTTGTACACCGCGAAAAGAGACCGCGACCGCGCGTGGGAGAAAGCGAGGAAAGGGTCGGGATTTTTGGACGAAAATCAAGGCCATCGAGTGAAAATTGTCACCAGGCGAGCGTCGGAGCGGAGGAAAGCGACGAGTGGGAACAACTACGAACACGGGACGTGGGTGCAGATTGGACAGAACCACGCGTTTGTGAGCAAGCACTCGGAGGCGTTTAAGAATCCAGAGTCCGGGTTGTATACGACGACGGTGGCGGACGATAACTTGAGAGCGGCGTTAGGGCTCGGTAAAGATACCAGCGACGCGGAAATGATGCAACAATCGACCAACGAGAGACGATGGGGGAGGAACTCGGATAAATCGTACCGAGATAAGGTGTGTTCCGGGACGAGGCACGACATGCCGAGGTGGTGTAAAGGCCCAGCCGGGAAAGGCGGCGGCGTGGCGAATAAGTTGGACGATGCCGAGCAATACTGGCGAGAGATGGCGCGGAAGAGACAGGAGGCGAAGATGACTCTGTTGACGGCGCACCAGGCGTTTTTGAAGGAGGACGCGATTCAAAAAGAAGCCATGGTGTATACGAAGAAGGCGTTGGAGGCGCAAGAGAAGGTGGACGCCGCGGCGAGGTTGGCGCAACAGCGTGAACAAGCCGAAGCGGACACGTTGAAAGAAGACGAGATGAGCGAACAACAAGCCTGGCATCGATTGTCGTCGTTGAGGCACCAAGTCGTGAAATACCGAACGATGACGAGAGAGCAAGTGGAAGAGATGGAACGAGAACAACGCGCGTTGGACAGAAGAATGGGACAAGAAGAGCGATTACGCGCGAGCGGCGAGAGAACTCGAGTATCCGGGGATGCCGCAAGAGTGACGGATGAGGTCGATAAAGCGAAGCAACGGTTGCGACGGGCTGGAGAGAATTTGAAATCCTCCGTCGTCGCGCATAAAAAGTTGGAGCAAAACCGATTGAGTTCGTCTTCTTCCAACGACGACGACGAAGAGGATGGGGACGTCGAGGACGAAGAAGCCGACGATAACGATGGTGGAGGACACGAAGAAGTGAAGTGATTGACTTCTTCTTGAAGAAAATATTATTATTTTATCTACATCATTAGCGGCGTGTTTGTGTTTGTCCATTGTTATATTCTATAGTCCTACGGTAATATCTACGAGTCGATATCTTCTCGCTTTGTGCGCTCTCTGCTCTGCTCATTCAATTGCCTCAATCGATCGGGGGCCTCGATCGGAGGGATCGGACGCGTCTTTTTCTTTCGTGGCGTTCGTCTCTTTCTCGTTCTCTTCGTTTTCTTCACTGTTGTTGTTGTTGTTGTCGTTGTCCATATTCTTGAGCTCTAAATGCACCGCGCAGTGGTCGGAGCCAAAGAATTTTTCCATGGGCATCTTCATCGCCTCGGTATCCGGTAAATCGTCCGTGGCGTGATAACATCTTTGGATTTTACTTTTCAAGTTCTTGGAAACAACCATCAAATCGAGACGCATCCCGGGGTTCACGGTATTAAAAACCTTCCCGCCTACTTTATTCACGGTATACGCCCTCCACGTATACGATCGTCGCTCGCCGTTCACCACTCGATACGCGTCGCTTGCCTCCGACGCCTCGAGAATGTTTTGAAACCGTCTCTGTTCGTTCCTCGTAAATCCCGCCACGCCGTAATCTGGATCCGACGCTTTCTTATTCTCCATCGCTTTAATATCGTCGAACTTCACGTCGATTCCGTCCGGGGCGACGTTCAAATCTCCATTCCATATAAAATCCACCCCTTCTTTTCTCAACTGCGTCAACCGTTTCAAAACAGAATCATCCCACCTCCGCCTTCGTTCTCGCGATTCCGCTCCGCTCCCGTTATTCGGCGAATACGTCGAGAGAACGACCAATCTGTTCGCGTCCTCGTCGTCGCCGAATTGACACTCTATCACTCTCCCAGGCCACTCTTCTTCTCCTTTATCTTCGTTCGTAAAACGTAAACGCACTCTGTTCGGTTTCTCCACCTCCTCCGCGTTCACCAGCGTCAACACGCCCGCGGATTTTTGATGGAAACAGTTATAATATCTCGCGTATTTTCGTAAAAATCCGTTCGAATCGAGCAAAGATTCGATTCCGTTCGCGCTTTCCCGGTAGCTCTTATTCGTGCCGTCGTTTGAATACGGCTGCGTATATTTCTTGCTCGACGATCCTCCAGACGATCCATTTCCTGGAATCCACGTCTCCGTGATTGAAATCACGTCCGCGTTTGCGCTTCGTAAATACGTCAGCAACGTTTGCTTTTCCTTCCACTTGTCTGGAGAATTGATTTTCGAGAGTAAACCGTTCACGTTTACGGTGAGAAAGGTGGATGGATATTTTCGTTTGATTTTTGCCTTCTTAATGGCGTTGGTCTCTGTGTTATCCTCCTCTTCTTTCTCGACGGTTAGGAAACGTTTCATTCTCGTGCAATCGATGATGATGTGTACGCGCGTAAAATGACGTTTCGTATTCGTCATTTCTTTCCCCGTCATATGATGTTCAGAAGCATCAACTTTACCGCGTCGGTTGGACGGCAACGGGAGCCTTTTCTCGCGCTCAAAGAGAGGAGGAAACGAGAACAACGAAGAGTCTCCTCCTTGAAAGCAGTTTCAGCCGCGCAGATAACATTCGTCGACCCGGACGGGAAGGAAATCTCAACCTCATCCTCGAGTGGAATCTTGAGAAATCTCGCGCTGGAAAACAACGTTGAAATCTACGAAGGATTCAACAAACTCCTCAACTGCGGCGGAAACGGCCAATGCGGGACGTGTGGGATGATTATCACCACCGATGGAAAAGATGTGTTGAGCGCACCGACCGAGGTGGAGAGAAAGAAACTCGGGGAAGCAAAGTTGAATAAAGGGTATCGATTGAGCTGCCAAACGGAGATTCTGAGCGAGAGCGAAGCGGAGAATGCGATCAATATCACGTGCAAAACGAAACCGCCGAAGAAGTGATTTTGATGCGAAGAGAACAAAAAGAGAAAGGGAGAGAACGAGAGAGAACAGGGTGTAGAGGAGCTCGGAGTTTTGAGGGGCTTTTGAATACTGCGCGTGTATCGTCGGCGGCGAAAGCGTTCTCTCGCTCGCTCTCGCACGCAGAGAGAGGAGCGTCGTACGAGAGACTGAGACTTTCGAAGATGGCCAACACATCGGCCGCGCAGAGTGACCGAAATCAAATTCCATACAAAATGAAGCTCTTTTAGCAACAGTTACGTGTGTTGCGTCAGATATTGGAGATTCAGGCATGTAAACGTTTGCTTCGTACCACACAAATTTAGAACACATTAACACCCCTAATATATACAAACTCTATGCTCCTTTCATACGCGAAGAAGAAGACAAAAGCAAAGACAAATCCGCTCGTTTGGTTGCAGCTTTTATTAGCGGTGTTGTCGACGAAATCTGTCCTTCAAGACGTGGCCGAGGACCGCCCTTTTGTCGTTTCGAGCAAAGCTGCTCTCGTCGAATTGTTTTTCTTTCCCGAAGCCAATGGTGGCGTTCGAGTGTCGAACACGAAGCGAAACGTCGCGTTCGTGTACGACTCAAACGCCTTGATACGGTCGATCGAATCTACCGTGGAGAGGTATTTTCATTTACCGGAACTCGCCTTGAACGAACTCGAATTGATCGAAAAGGATGGGATTGAAGTGCGCGTAAAAACGTTGAAAAATCTCAATTTTGAAGGAAAAGGAGGATTAGGGGTTGCTCCCGGGAACGAGATTAACGTGGACGAATACGAAGAGTCGTACCGAATAACCTCAAAAACGTCCGCGAAAGAGTGGAAGAAACGTATTTTAGGTATTGATGATACGGATGTGGATGGAGCGCAGACGGCGAAGAGAGATTTTTTACGCTCGCTGTTATCGCTCGAGTTGAAGTTTCAGGCGAGAAGTTTGCATCGGGAGATGGATAAACTGGTCTTGTTTGATTTTGACGTGAGCGTGAATTACAGTTTAGAAAGCCGAGGTGGGCGAGTGCAAATTGAAATTATAATAGGTGGCAATCACGTCGGCGGGGAGAGCTTTAAAAGCGTCGAGACGGTTTTCGAGGATTGTTTTTTGTTGAGTTTAATAGCGTTTACGCAAGTCGCCGTGTTGAGATCGACGTTTAACGCGAAGAAGAAGACGGACGGCGATGGTGGGTACGCGAGAGTTCGATTTCCTCGGCGGATGAGGAGTCTCGTTTCGCAATCGTTGTTCAACCGTTCGATAGCTTTAGAAACGTGCGCGAATTTAGTTTTGTTCGTCGGGTGCTTGGCGTCGATATCGTGGCAAGTGCTTCCGCAAGAAGGTTTCGGGTTAGGACGGAATTTCGCGAGAGGATTAAACGGGTTTGGATGTTTTTTAATATGGGCGTCTTTAGGCAGACACATGACAAATCTTCCTCCGTACGACGTCGCATTTCGTGCCATAAGTCGAGGTTTACCGGTTGTTTTACAATTTGCCGTAGGTTCTGCGCCGCTTTTGATGGGATTTACGACGTTAGGCGTCGCGCTCTTCGCCGAGGAGACGGAAAAATTTAAAAACTTGGAGAATGGATTTCTGACGTTATTCTCCGTGATGAATGGCGATATCATCTTCGAAAGCGCTCGAGACATGAAACGAGGCATTATCGGTCATGTCTACATCATCATCTTCGTCGTCATCTTCGTGTACACCATCATTTCTACGTTCGTGTCTATCATGCAGAAAGCCTTCGCGGAAATCGAAAGCGAAAAGAGACGACACGAAGAAAGTAGTATTCATCACGTCGACGTAAACGACGACAACGAGAATAATACGAGAGAGAGGAGGAAAACAAACGCCGAAGAAGAAACTACGACTTTTAGAAGAGAACTAAGCGCGATTAAAGACGCCTTGGCATCGTTAGAGAGATCCATCCTCATCGCTCGATGATGACGAAAACGAAGCGTATATAGAAAGCAAGCTTCAGACCGCCAAAGCGACGCGTCGCTTTGGCGGGACTCGTTACAACAAAGAGTACCACGACTTATGCGTGCACTACTCCTCCTCGAGAGAGAGAAAAAGAAAGGTTGGTGCCCAGAACCAATTACGCCGATATCATTAAGAGTATTGCGATGTCGTTGTATTGAGCGATGAGACGATTACGAGCGTTTACCAAAACAACACCTGCTGTATTTTAAAGAACATCAAAAAGAACAAAAAAGGAGAGACGCGAACATTTTTGGATTTTTTGGCGTTTTGAAAAAGTGTTTCTCTTTCTTTTTCTTTCTTTCTCACATCGTCAGCTGAGCTGTGAAAGCGAAAAATAGGACGACGACGAGGATGGAATCTCTCTCTTTTCTCATCAAAAAAGAGTCTCTCTCCTCTCTTTTTCTGTTTTTTCGGCTCTGCGTGAAGGGGAGGCCCGGCGGCGTGTGCCACTTTGAGAAAACAAACCTCTCTGTTTTTCCTCACTTTTACCCTAGAGAGAGACATCATCATCATCATCTCTTGTCTTTTGTCCGTAAACGACGACGATTACGATGATGATGAATAATACATCATCGAAAAGAACGACGATGAGAACGTTTGTCTTCTTGATGATGATGTTGGCGGCTTCAACGCTTTCAATGATAACACCAACGAGCGCACAACAGAACGACGACGAAAAACAAACGATGATTGATCATGATGGCACGGACCATTACTCGTCCCGCTCGGTTCGCTTATCCTCCGATACCACCAATATCGGCTCGAACGAACGCAAAATCTTAATCGAGAACGATTACGAAGTCACGTACGGCACGTATTTTAAAATCGTACGCATGAAGTGCGGGTTTGACCACGCGGTGAAAAATCCAGGCAAATGCACGAAAAACACGTACGTGTTGAGGAAACGAGGGACGGACGTACCGACGATCGATCCGAACACGAACGAAATGATTGAACTCGTGAGCGAAGATGGCACAGAAACGAGACATTTTGAAATTCCAGCGACGTCGATTGCAGTCGGCGGGACGTTCGCGTTGGCGTATTTGGAAGCGTTGGATGTGGACGCGGAGACTTTGAAGTTGATCGACTCGCAGTACATGCACTCGCCGTGCATGCAGTTGGCGGTGCAAAATGGAGAGATTATCGATCAAGCAAGTGCGGTGTACGACCCAGTGGATTGGAGTGTGGATACGACGGCGTGGTCGGCGAAGTGCGACGAGTTGAACGTCGATTTGACGTTCACGGATGAGTACGGCACCGGTAAGTGCGGGAACCGAGAAGAAGTGAACGTCTTGTTTCACGGGAACGCGGACGACACCGCGATTTTACGCGCCGAATGGGTGAAGTTTGTGAGCTTGTTCTTCGATAAGGAACAGTTTGCGAACGAGTATTTCGCCTTGGAAAGCGACGCCGTGGAGGCTATTAAGACGTACGTGGAGAAGGGCATCGTGGCGAGTTTGTCCGAGAAAAAGACATGCGTTTGGGTGCAAAAGATGGGCTCGTATTACGAAATCTTACACGACACGTTTCGCACTTCGTTGTGTGTGGATGCAGGGATGCTTGCGTACCAAGGCGAAGCGGGTTTTTTGAAAAAGGCGTTTGCCATCGACACGCAACAGGAAGCGTTTCATTCAGCCATTCGCGATTACGACGTGGTCGTGGACGAGAGCTACTTTTACGACGTTTCCTCGTTAAATCGCTCTGCTTACGAAAGCAACTTGGCGTTCGACCAACTCTCTGGCCAAACGGTCAAAGCGAAAGATGGCAACGGCGGTTTGCTCTTACGGGTGGACGCTTCGCGAGGCAACGGCATGACGGACGATCTCAAAGAATCCGGCGAAGTTCGACCGGCGCTGTTGTTGAACGATCTCGTGACCAACGTGTACGGTGGAACGTTGTCCAACGACGACGCGTGTCCGAAATACTTTCGAAATGCGGACGAGAGTGCGATTTACGTGACGCACGAAAACTGCGCGGCGTTGGAGAATGCCGATAACGAGAAGAAGTGCGTGACCGATTTGAAAGAAGAGGCGGAGAGAAAGACGCCTTCTGCTTTATTCGCGGATTCCAGCGCAATCACGACGAGAGACGCGATCGTTGCGACGTTCGGCGTATCTATCGCGACCGCACTTAGTGTGTTATTCGCCATTGCGTGATGAGTTCGCACAAAAATCTGCACGACGATGCAGAACATTAATTATTTATTCATCATCAAAAGTATAAGTCAAAAGGAGAGAGTAGTAGAGCGAGTGTTTGAATTTTCAATCTGGCGATTAGAGCGCGAAAGAATCCAATCGAATCGATGGTTTTCGCGTTCGCTGTAAGTCAGGCGGAGAAAAATACGACGCACAGTTATATGAAGCAAACAAAAGAGAGAATTGTTTTGTAATCGAACACCGCGAGCGGGACTAAAATAAATATCATCTACCTAATAACGTTATAAAATACATACACCGCAGCGTCTGTCGTCATCGTTCTAACGATTGACACACCCATACCCGTTCTTCCTCTTTGTTTCCCATCCAATCTACCGTAAAGTTCAACGCAATCGTTTCGCCGCTTCCGTCGATGGCGTTCCGGAAAGAACCGTCTTCGCACGTTTGCCAATCGACGTCTTCGACGTTGTTGTTCTCTTTCTTCGCGCAGCACGTAAAAAACTTAAACTTGAACCCGTCGTCTATGGATTTCGCGCTCATATCCAACGAACACGCGTATAAGTTATCTTTTGTATCCACTTTCTTCAACTCCGTGCTCTTCTGCACATCCCATTGGCCGAGTTCTTTGCAGCTTCCGACGAGCCGAACCGCTCGGCCATACTCGTCGCAGTCGTCTTTGCGAATGAAAAAGTTGGTCTGAATGTTACCGGATGTTTTCGTCTGCATCGTCTGCATCACGTCTATCGTATTATATCTATTCTCTGCATCAGTTTTGTCCTCGCTTCCATTTACATCATCGTTATCATCATCGCACTTTCTCTTTGTCGTCTGAATCGTCTGAATCCTCGTCAGCGCTGCCACGTCCTCCCGATACAGTTGAAACGCCTCCTGCATTTGGTCTATTTTTTTCCTCGCTCTCGCCGCTTCGATGTGTTCTCTCTTCGTGCTCGCGCGTATCTCGTTTTCGATTTCTCGCGCTAAATCTTCTTTCATTTCGTTCGTTTTCGTTTGTGCCCGTCGAAATATATCCGCGTGTGCGTACAGGCGCCCGTTTACCGCGTTTGTTTCGCCCGCGATGCATTCCGCGTTGAATTCGTCCAACGCGAGAAAGAGTGAAGATCCAGTTGTTTTTAAAGAAGTTAAAGAAGCTTTCGCAGCCTGTGTGCGATGCAGAACTTTAGGAGACAACTTCCTCCTCCTAAAAAACAACGATTGCGATGATGATGGTACCGTCCTCGTTCTCATCATCTTCTTTAAATACTAATAAATAGAAAAGCAAACGTGTGCGAAATTTGTAGCGAAGTTTATCCAAAACTTGTGGTGAGTACTCGTAATGCATTCAAAAATACTCTAGATTTTTATCTTACCGTCCAATCTATCTCCTTTCATGTTCCGTATCCAAACGCATCCGCAAAAGACGTACATGCCTGCCAATCCGAGAAAGACTTTGGCGAACCCCAGTGTCGCGCTTTGGCCGACCCATTTGGCGATGACTTTGTTAGCGACGAGACAGCTGAAGACGCCGGCGGTGTTGGTGACGCCTAGGATGCTTCCGGCGCGGTCGGAGGCGTAGTCTTGTAAGTACGCGTGGACGCCGGCGACGCTAGCGGCTTGAGCACCGACGATTATTGCGATGATGGAGACGGAGAGGATTTGGATGTTTTCGCTGACGAAGAGAGGCGTGGAGGAGAGCGCGAGGGAGAAGTACGCCAAGAGGAGGCAGCCGAATGCGGGGATCATGGTCGCGACGGTCATGGCGATTTGTCGCGTTTTCCAAGGAGGCGTTTGGAAGTCTCGAATGGCTTTTTGGCAGAATTTCCCGCCGAAATACGCGACTAAAGCGGTCATGAACCAAGGGACGAACAAATACGCGCCGGTATCTGACACGGAAAAGCCTAAACTGCCTTGCATGTAAATTCCGAGCCAGTTTTGAAAGGTGAAGAAGCCGATGTTCGTCATGATGTGGGCGAGCGTGACCACTAAAAGTTGGAATTTGACGGAGAGCGGGGAATTCTTCAGCCACGTTCGATTGCTATAGTCTTCGCAGGCGATGTCAAAACGCGCTTGTTCCTCGTTCGAGTTCGTCTCCTCGGTCAAAGAAGAGTCTAACGCGACGCACTCGTCTTCGGAGAGCATGGGGATATCGCCAACCATGGACGAGGAAAACGGATTATGCCGCTCCTCTACTTTTTCTATGAAACGATCTAACCTTCTCAAACGCATAAACGCGATGACGGCGTACACCATCCCACTCAAACCAAACACGAAAAACGCGCCTTTCCAACCAATCACGGGAACTAAAAATCCTCCGAACAACATCCCGAACCCAGAGCCGACGTTGAACATGCTCAATAAAGTCGTAAAAGTTTCTCCTCTTTCCGCGTCGAGAAAGTACGCGGACGTGCCACAAAATCCAGCCGCGGCGGGTAACGCGACCCCAGACGCTAACCCAAACAATAATCTACTGATGAGTAATATCGCAAACGGCGTCAAAATCGTCTCCAATCCGAAAAGCAAACCGCCTCCGCGTTTCAACCACAACAACGTCGGCAACACCGCGACGGCCAACGACCAAAAAAACAGCGCCAAAAATAACAAACTCGAAGGACTTATGCTCCCGCTCTTCTTACTCGTCGCCAGTTGCCCACCTATAACGTTCGTGCTCATGTACCCGATCAAAAAAACGTTCTGTATCCACCCGATTTGCGCGATGGACAAACCCAACTCGTTGGCGATGGGTAACGCCGTCAGCGTGAAAATCGTCCGATCCGCGGTGCTAAAAAGTAACACGATACCGAGCGTAATCACCGCTTGCGTCTTGTGTTTGAACAACGCAAACGCTATCGGTTTGGTTAAACCGACCAAGTTTTCGTCGTACGATATCCCAGATTCACATTCAATCCCCATGATTGTCTCGTTCTTTGCAACATTTTTGTCAAAGTCTTCGTCCTCCTCGTCTGATGATTTTGCGTCGAAAGAGTTTACTGCGGAGTTTAATGATGCAGAGGACCTCCTCCCACCTCCGAATGTAAAAAAACGCATCGTTCTCGTCTGTTTTCTTTGTGTATCTTCTTGAAAGTCTTCTCTTTTCCTCCTCCGCCGAGGATGATGATGATGATTACGACGACAGTTACGAACACATCCCGAGACGACAGTTACGCCGCTTGGACGAGAACGCAGACTTTTCATCTCAGATCTGCTAAATGATGATGATCGAACTTTGTTTAAGGGAGAGTGTGAGCGTTTTGATGACGGGAGCAGTTGTCCTCCTCCTTGCCGCGTGATGATCTCTTGGTGGGGTCTGTCTGCGCGACTGATGATGATGATGATGATGATGCGTCTGCTCTCCCCAAGGGACGCTTTTCGTGTGAAGAATTTTTACTTTTGTTCGCGCCGCGAACGAAAGACGATGATGTTTAGAACGAGTACTGTATGTGATGGTAGTATATATAATTTATATCAAAAAGTTGTTGTTGTTGTTGTTGTTATTATTGTTGCTAGAGTGTTGTTGTTGTTGTTGTTGAAGAGGAGGATTAAAGTGTTGTTGTTGTTGAGGATGAAAGTTTTGCCCCGGCGGCGAATGATATTGCCCGCCAGCCGCCATCATTGTGGGGTACCCCATGTTCTGCGCCGCCGCCGCTTGCGGGGGATACCCTCCTCCCATGCCTCCGTATTGTGGCGGAGACGTTTGTTGTTGTTGTTGCTGTAAAGAATGATGATGATGATGTGTTTGCTGTTGTTGATAATATCCAGGGTGGTTACCACCCATCATCATCTGTTGCGGCATACCTCCGCCCATCGGCGGCGGCATCATTCCTCCTCCGTACTGCTGCTGCTGCGGTTGTTGGTGTTGTTGCTGTTGTCGCGTGTTGGCTTGTTCGTATAACGAGTTCAAATCAACCGGAGCCGCGACCGCTTTCTTAGGCGTACCAAAGAGATCGTCGCCGAACGGATTATTGCTGCCGTTTCGCACGTGTTGTTGCTGTTGCTGATTTGGGGCTCGAACTGGCGCCGGCGGAAGATTCGCGCTCGTGGACGCGGCGGGTTGATGACCTCGATTAGAGTTTCCTCCGGTGCCATTCGTATGAGTAATCGTCGCTAAACCGAACGGATCGTCGTTTGGGGCCGATGCGGTTGTACCCGCGGGAAGAAAATTCCTCCCAGCTACTACGCTACTCGGCGCTTCTCGCGCATTCTGCGGAGGCGTTTGAATGTTCATCTCTCCAAACAACGCGTCCAAGGTTGCGTTTGCGTTTTGTTGCGGCGACGCCGTTCCGCCACTCGGCGACGTGGCCGCCGCCGCTGCCGCTCCCGGCGACGATTCAGAAGGAGGCGCAGTACCACCACTCGTCCCTCTGTTCGAACGTCTCGCGCCAACTCCGGCTGGCATTTCCCCCGCTTTCGCCGTATCCACGTACTCTTGCATCGTGCCTAAAAACGACTCCGGCGGTGCCTCCAACGCCGGCGCTTGGTTGACGATTTGCATCTTTTGACACGTCGCGTATAACCGCTGCAAATCTTCGTGTTGAATCACCGACCGCTTATAAATCTCCAACCCTTTCCTCGCTTTCGACTTATCTTGTTCGAAGAACAAACCGACCAAAGCGCACACGCCTTCGTTGGCTAATTTGAACACTTTCAAAGAATCTTTGAACATCAACGCCGTCGCGGCTCTCACGGGAACGTCGTTTCTCCGTAAAACCTCTCCAGTTGGATCGCAATCCGTCAATCGTCGCATCAGCGTTTGTGCCACTGGAACGTGTTGCAACAATTGATCGAAGTTATACGCTTGCATCGGCGTCGAGCCGCTTCCTTGCGAACACAAAAACGGCCAAAACTTTGCGCAACACGTAAACTCTTCAAAATACAACGCGTACGCCCTCACCCAACCGGACAACTCGAACGCGGTTTGACTCGAGTCATCTTTCCAATATCTCAACGAAAACAAATCTTGTTCTTTCCCACCCGATCGCGCGTTTCTCAAAGCTTCCGCGTGGTGGAAAAATTCCCTCTGAAACTTCCCTCCGCACTCTTGAAACAAGCGGTGTAACACCACGTGCGATTTAAGCATAGATATCCACCCGGTCGCTTTCCCGATAACTTTCGTGATTGAATTCAAGACGTAGTTAATATCCGCCACGGAGACTCGATCCGGCGAATTCCCTTGCCCGCCTCCGCACGCTAACAGTAACGTCCTTACGTGTTTCTCCTTCGGCGCGGAGAGGTCGTTGTTGCACGCTTTCACGCACGCGTTTTCGAGCTCCAAGTATTCTTTCGGCGCCATCGATTTCGACACGAACGCCTGTTGTTATTATTCGTATTTGAGAGAGCGCGTTAAAGAAAGAAAGAATTGAAGAGTGTCAGCGGCGTGAAAGAAAAGAAAAAATGGCATTAAAAACGACCGAGCGCGAAAGCGCTTTGAAAAGTCTTGTCAACTCATCAAAGCGAGGCATCTCAAAACCCAGCGCAAAAATCAAATCAAAATCACGCAACGTACATTCGTCCTATCCGCGATCGAGGTGACCGGTTTCCCTCGTTTATCGACGCGTTCTGTCCCGTATGCGATTGCTTTCGCCTCGGTTTTGAGCGTTTTTTTGATCGATTTTGCTTTTTGCAACATCTTCTTAATAATAAACTCTTCTTCTTAAACGTGTTATTCTCTTTTCTCTACTCTTTTAATTGAATTGGAGACGCTTCGCTCAAATTCTCAACGAGATGATGATGTGAGAGACCAAAACCTTCTTTACTCCTTTTCACGACGCGAGAGGCCAAAACCGCCTCTCGATCTCTCTTTCTCTGTTTTGTGTCCTCTCTCTTCTTCTTTCTCTCTGATTTCGTGAGAAGACGAAAGCTTTAGCTTTACTCTACTGATGCGCTTTATTTTATCGTCTGTTTGTCTGAACTGTCGAAGAGACTCCGCTCCGACCAAAACCCTAAACAAAAAAGTTTCTTTTTCTTGAGACTCGAGAGAAATCTTTCATATCGCTCGTTTTTCCTCATCTTTTTAAAGCACACACTACTAGTAATAAGAGAGAGATTAGTAGAGAGATGTTCAACACGTTTTACAAGACGTTCATGGTGCGTTTTATCATACGAGAAGAAGGGCAGAGAGAGAGCGCGTACTCTTTTTGCGTTTTTTCTTTTAGGATGATGATGTTTTTCTTTCCCGATTTCCCTTCATTTTCAACCTCATCATCATCATCCATATTTATTAACTTTCTTTTCTTTCTCTCTCTCTCTTCAAAAAAAATAAAGTCGAACACGTCCGTGTACGTGGGCGTGATCATCGCCGGCGCTTTAGTCGGGGAGAAAATGGTCAATAAAGGGTTCGATAGCATGTGGGAAAGTAGGAATAAAGGGAAATTGTTCAAGGATTTAAAGCTGCCTGAAGCAGAGGAGGAGTAAAGGAAGAGATACGTGTGATCTCTCTCTCAAACGACAACACGCTCTCTGTGTAGGCGAGCGATGGAAGAGGATATATATGCAAGAGTAGTAGTATTGTTATTATTATTTGTTGTTGTTGTGATGCGAAAACTAATTATTCTTCTTATTCATCGTCTCTTTCTTCGTCTTCTTTATCGTCGACGATAACAACGGTAACTCCTCTGTTGTTGTCCTCCGTCGAAGAAGCTTCGCCGACTCTGGTCAGCGCGATTCGAAAGAGAGGTGGACCGATTAACAAATTCAGCGCGATCATCGCGGTCGCGACGGAGGCGAATTGTTCGCCCCACGTTGCGGAAAATTTCACCGAACACGTTCTCGCCAAACCTAACGCGACGCCGGCTTGGGTCACGTGCGCCATCCAAGCGACTTTGCGCTGTTGCTCGATAGTATTATCACCACCCCCGGAGAACGACGACGTTTCCGATGAGAGGAGTAAACGACTGGCGATTCTGCACGCGATGAAAATACCGAGTATGCGAAACGCGACCAATAGGATCGCCGCTTGCGCGCTTCTCATCACGTGTTCCATTTCCAACGCCACTCCGGCGAGCGTGAAAAAGACCAAGTTGACGAAAGGCTGTAACGAGACCAAGGACGAGTGCAACGACTTCGAGCCGATGGTGTTGAAGAGTTGCTGTTGCGCCAACTTATTCGCCGCGTCCTCGTCCGCCGCCGTCCTCGTCGTCGTCGCCGCGGAGGAAAAATTACCTCTGTTGGCGCAAAATATCCCACAACACACGCACACTAACAGCGGTTCCAACAAAAACAATCGCTTGGAAACGACGAATATTGTTGTCGAGTAGACGATGGTAAACAGCGGTTTCATCGATTGTCTCATCAACGCTCGAAATCGAGTTTTTACATTCACATGCGCCGCTTGATGATCACCACCGTCCGTTTGCGCTACACTCGGCGACGGCAAGCGTCGCAACACCGAGTGTAAAGGTGCTCCAGCGAAAAAACCGAACACGAAGGAACCAAACACAGAAACCACCGGTTCTAACGCGCGAATAATCGATCTCATCTGGTACTCATAATCGTTTGTCGACGTCGTTTCTTCTCCGCCGATTGTCGTCATCAGATGCCTAAGAAGCGCGCTCGTCTGATCACGATTAATATCTGTCGTCTCGTTCACCATCATCAACGAGGATACTACAGTGCTACTCTCACTACGACTACTACTATTTTGACTACCATCACTGCCTCTACTACTAGTGCTACCGCCAACGCTCACGTCCATCAATCCTAAAGATTCAATCATCTCCATGTTCAAAGCGAACAAAACGACGACCAAAACGTCCTTCAAAACCGTCACCGAGACGACCAATTTTGAAAACGGTCCTCTCGCTTCGGTTTCTCTCAAAACGGCGATCGCCGAAGCTGGACTCCGAGCGATCGATAACGTAGCTATTAACGATCCTATCGCGCACGCTCGCAAGTACTTTCGCCGCCGCCGTAAAAAAGAAGAATCGTCGTCTTCGCCGCCATCGTCGTCTGAATCGTTCCGATTCATATCCTCTAAAAACTCAACGCGATCGGAAACCTTCCCGACCGTAAACGCCGTAAAAACTGTCATCCACGTAAACAAAGCGATCGAAATCGTCCAAACTATAATCTTTCTCGCGTCTCCTCTCAGATCCCTCGCGCTTAACTCCGCGCCCGCCGATACGCCGATGACGGATAAACACGCGTTGTCGACCAACCACAAGGACTCGCGAACGACCAAAGGCGTCAGTACGTTTAAAAACTATATATAGTAAGAATAATAATAAGAACACACAACATAAGAATCAAATAAAGATAAGTCTTACCGAGGTGCTGGATAAAATCCCGACGAATATGTAAGATGTCACGAGCGGCATCTTAAACGCTTTGAAACCACCGAAAGCACTACTGTTGCTGAATTTGACACCGCTCGTATTCATTCGTTTCCCGACGACGTGAGCGAAGAGCAAAATCAATGGTAATCGGCACATGGCGTCGAATAAAGTCAGTTTGTTGTTTTCTTCTGTTGTTGTCATCAAAGTCGTCGTCATTTTGTCTTCTTCGCTCTCCTCTTCCTCTTCCTCCGGGGGTTTCTTAACGAACAAATATCCAATTAATTTTCCCTTAGTATTCACTCCTTTCACCAAGAAGAAGAGGAAGAAGAAAACAGGATGAGAGAACACGAAAGGGCAATAAAGACACCAACACAAGGCTTTTTGATTCTCTCTCTCTCTCTCTTTGTCTCTCTCTTCCGTTCGAGATGTAATAAAAGAATCTTCTTCTTGCAACAAATTTGTGCAGAAAGAGATATTGAAGAATTTTAATAGAGAGGTGCAGAGTTTTTGTGATGCGTTTCTCTCTCTTTCTGATGTTACAAGTTTTATTCTGATGATGATGATGATGATTAGGACGTGTGCAATTCTCCATATTCGTATCGCCAACCGTCTGGTAATGGGCAGTTGTTGTCGAGGAGGTATTGTACGCATTCGGGGTGGTTTTTCTCGTGCGCTTCTCGAACGGCCCGAGCGTTCCAAGGCGCTTTGGCGGTTTCGTGCAAGTACTTCAAACAGTCCAAGTGGCCGTTCCTGGCCGCACGCTCACATGCCAAATTGTAATATTTATTATATTTACGCTCAACAAGGTATTCGAGTATGTGAAGATGACCATTTTGAGCCGCCCAAATGGCAGTGCCCAAATCCCAAGGCGCTTTGGCTTCTTCGTGTAAGTATTTGAGTACCTCGAGATGACCGTTTGAGGCAGCAAATGCACACGCTCCCGTACCGATAGGACACTTATTTGCAACGCAATACTTTACCATTTCCAGATTACCTTGTTCTGCGGCCCTATTAATCGTCCTTGAATTCCACTCACATTTTTTCTCCTCTCGCGCCCACTTGAGTAACTCGAGTTTATTCGTTTGAGCAACTTTATAGCAGAAATACATTTCGTTCGTCAACCAACTCGGCCACAACGATTTATGCTCCCACGCAAACTCCAAAGTCGATATCGATGACATCTCTCTCACTTTAAACCCCTTTTTCAACTCCCCCTTGCGTGACGACCTCTCAATCAACTTTCTCGTTTCACGATTCACCTCGTACAAGAATTTAAGATCCGCTCGATTCAATCTCGGCAAAATATGCGTGAAACAAATATCGTCGCACTTCACGATCAAGCCCCACAACGACAAAGAATCCCTCTCGTCCCCCATTACGACGCGCTCTCGTTTCGACAAAATTGATCGCGTACGTCGTCGTTTGAACCAAGCGCAACGAAAAGGAGGAAGAAGAAGAAGAAGAAGAAAAAGTGAAACATTTTTCGCATGTGATTTCAAGGCGTTTTCAAAAGGCGTTTATGGGAAAAAAAAAGCTTCATTGCACAGAGCATTCAACAATACAGAAACCCACTCGATGAACGCGTTGGAAAAATCGAACGACGCTCCGCTCCCCGTGCACTCGCAAAGAGCCGTCGAGGACTTCTCGGAGCAATTTGTGAGAGAAAAAGGCGCGCACGGAATCGTCAAAGAGCAGCAGCAAACGAACGTCGTGAACGACGTTTTATTCGCGACGGCGAAGACGTTCCTCGAAAATGCGATCGTTCGCTGCGTCGTCGGCACCACAAACACCACCAGCACCGAAGGAGGAGGAGGAGGAGGAGACTTGAATAAGGACGACGACGAAGCCATCGTTCACGCGTTGCGCCGAGTGAAAGCTGTGCTCAACGAGAGAATAAGAGGGAGAACAAATGCGGACGTGATTTTACTCAACGCGGTAGACCGAAGTATTGTCGTCGCCAAGGAGGAGTTGATTGCGTTTCGAGAGGAGAAGAAGAACAAACAGACGGGTACAAAGAAGGGTTTGAATAATAACGAGAGTTCTTTTAAAGTGTACAAACAAAACGTCATCTCTGCGATCCGGGAGATGATCGCGTCCGACGTGGACCAGGCGAAGCGCGCGATTGGCGAATACGCGTGCGAAACGTGCGGGTCGGATTGCGTGGTCATGGTTTTAGGCGTTCGCGACGGGTTGGTGGAGAACTTTTTGAAAATGGTCGCCAGGAAGAGGAGGGTGAAAGTGATCGTTTTGGAGACGTCGGTGAGTTACGAGGAGAGCGGGAAGGCGATGGCGGAGGAATTCGCGAGGAAGATTTTGATGAGTACGAATACTAACAACAGCAACAACAACAACAACAACAACAACAAAGAGACAACGAACAGCGCGGTTGAGGTGACGATAGTACCGGAATCGAACGCGTTCGCGATGGTGTCCCGAGCGCACTTAGCGGTTGTTTCCGCGCAACTCGGCGTCTTTGAAGACGGCTCGTTTTACGCGCCTCCGGGAACTGGAAACATCGCGCGAGCGTGCGAAAAGTTCAAAGTCCCTCTCGTTGCCTTAGCGCCGAGTTTGAGTCTGACGACGTTGGAGAAACCACGGATTGAGAGGATGAACAGCAGCAGAAATAGTAGCAATCATCACAATAGCAACAACAACAACGACAACATTGACGACGAAAAATCACTCCTCCTCTCTCGAGAGCGAAACGGAAACCCGGCGGAGGTTTTAAAACACTTCCGCGCGCGAAGCGTGAAAACCGGTCGAGACGTCGACGCCGTCGCACATCCGACGAGAGAGTTTATCGACCTTCACGAAAAAGTCGATTTGGCGTTCGTGACTGATCACGGCATCGTCGCTCCCGAGAACCTCAAAAGGCTCGCCAGAGAGTTGTATTCTGCGCCTTAACGTAGGACGGAAACGAGAAAGAATTTAGGGTCATTGAAAACCTAAACATTTGTACGGAAAAAAAACATTTTCGACAAAAGTACGGGAAAAAATCGACGCGCGAACGCGCGCTTCGACGCGACTTTGAAGACGTAAACGACGATGGAATCACCTTTACCATCACCACCGTCATCATCATCGTCGACAAAATTAGTCGTCACAGCAGAGAATGCGTTGTCCAGGTTGCGCGTTGTTGAAGAGGACGACAAAGAAAAGATTACACAGCATTCGCCTCCTCCAATGACACCGTTATCCCCGATAAAGATTAAGACGGACGAAGAGGAAACCGCGAGAACGAAGAAACCGACGACGCTGTTGGAAAAGATGCGACCGACGAGTTTGAAAACCAAAATTAACGAGAATCTTCAACCGTCTCTGAGGATGAGAGTGACCGCGAGCACGGACGAGTTGCTCAATTTGGAAATCAGAGAGAAAAACTATCGCGAGTGCAGACACGAAGCGTCCGCGATATACGAGAGTTTCCTCTACGTCGGCGGAGACGAGCTGGTGAAGAAAGAGAAACACGCGAGAAAACTGAAAGAAGAATTAAACGTGAGACGGATTTTGTGCTGCTACGAGAACGATTCGAACAACAACAACAACGGAGGATTGTTGAACGACGAATGTCTCTCGCCGGGGAGTTGCGCGAGCGGGACGAGCGCGTCCACGCCAACGCCGAGGACGACGGAGGGAGGATCATCATCAGACGATAAATTTGATTCTTCCACGTATTTTGAACGCATGTCGTTGCCGCTGATGGATACGAGCGATGAAGATATCGCGTGCGTTTTGTACGACGCGTTTGATTTTATGCTCGGCAACGAACGCAGAGAGTGCGTGTGGGAGAAGAACATCAACAGAAGGGAAAAAGAAGAGGAAGATTATGAAGAAGAAAAAGATGATGACGATGAAGAAGGTGGGTGTCTCGTGCACTGTCAAATGGGCTGTTCGCGTTCGGTCGCTATTTGCGTCGCGTTTGTCATGTGGAGAGAAGGTTTAGCCTACGACGAAGCGTTTGAAAGAGTAAAGAAAGCGCGCTCGATTGCTCGTCCAAACATTGGGTTCGTGAAGACGTTGGAAGCGTGGCACGAAGCGAGAACGAATCGATCGACTAGTTCATCGTCGTCTTCGATGCTTTCCGACGTTGTCTCGTACAGAATAGTCGAACACAAAAACAGAAAAGGATACATCGTCCCGAAGCGCGAGAATAATAATACTACGAATAATAATAGCAGCTATAACAACAACAACAACAACAACAACAACAACAACAACAACAACAAGAATAACAACAACAACATCGGAGGAGGAGAAGGTGGAATGTCGCCAGTCAGTTGCTGTTTAAGCCCGAAAGACGACCCGAACTTGGTCGCCTTGCGCTTCAAAAACGAAACCTTCTTCAGTAAGAAAAATACGAAATGCGACGACGACTACAAAACATTCTTACAGCCGACGATAATCGTCGGCGACCGAGTCGACCGCGAAAACGACCCGAGAGTAGACGAACAAACGCTCGATAAAATCACCAAGCAAATTCTATTCTACGAGTACGGCGTTCGAGTTTCGCGCGAGTTTTAGTTTTTTTAGTTTTAAGAGTAGATTTTGCTTAGTAGTAATAATAGTAAAAGAGATTACAACGCAACACATCTCTCTCTCTCTCTCTCTCTTTCTCATTCCTCTCTTCTCGCGCTTGCATATCACGTGCATTTCATCATTCCTGTTGCGCGGTAATAAAACGGAAATCGATACCTTTCATTCGTCTTCAAACGCGCGACGCGCGAAGCGATCGCATCACGCCAAAAATCCAAGCCTCCCCCCGTTGGCTTTCGCGGTTTTGATCAGTTTTTGTCGTTGTTTCGTCGTCGCGCCAAACTCCGAGCAGAAATCGCCAATCACTTGCGAGTGTAAAGAAATCGCTTTGCCTCGTAATTGGTTGAATCGTTTCACGCCGATGATTGGTCTGATGGCGACCACGAGTGGCGCGAACACGCCGCCTTCGTTGACGTTTCCCATGGACACTATCTTTAAAGCATTCCTTTTCCCCGCTGGTTTTCTCTGATTTTGAGTTGCTAAAACTGTGCTAAAACTATTGCTACCGTCATTTGTCGCGTGTCGTCGACTGCTTAATAACAGAGACGAGGAGGAGACAGATGCAGAGCACGGTCCGCAGAGTAAAAAAGAGGACATCTTCAATTATATATATCGAGCGCTTACGCGTGTTGTTGTTGTTGTTGTGTGGATGAAGTGATGAAAAGATTACCTTCGGTGGAACCGCCACGTCTCGTCTGAGCCACAAAAATAAAAATTGTCTCTCGAGTACGACTTCTGCACGAAGCCTTTAGGGTTTAAGTACAATTTTCTTACTCTCTTTGCGCCAAATTTGGAGTTCTTTAGTCCGTAGTGCGTACTCGTAAGTCTGTGTTACTTACTCTCTTCTTCTTTTTGTTTGTATCCTGCTCTTTTTTCTTTTTTCTCGCGTTGCAGTAAATACACGCACAACACACACACAAACATAGACACGAAAACGCGCGCGCGTCAGAGAGTAGTATAGAGATGTGAGGCGAAGAAAGAATACACATACCAGTGTACAGCAAAATACCTTCTTTATGATGTGGTTTTACAGTAGTAGTAGTAGTAGTAGTAGTATTTTTGTGCTACCTATTGCTAGTGCTGCTGCTAGTGCTCTTTTATGAGGAGGAGTATTTAGTATTATTCTCGCAAAGTTAGTCGTCTCCTGAATCGTCGATTTCCTCAGCCTCGTCGAAGGCCTCTTGTTCTTTGCGTTCTTTTTCCAACTGCTGCTTGGATTTGATTTCCACGTTGATGAAATCGCTCGGGTCGGTAAATCCATCTATTTCGCTCTCGAAACCAAGCATATCGCCGACTCTTTGGCCTAACGCGATGACTTCGGTTTGTTTCGCGCACGCGACGGAGGAAGCGCGTTGGTCGCCGATTTCCGCGGCTTTTTCCGCGCGTAAAGCGCCTTCGAGGTACGCGGTTGCGGTTGTAGTGGTAGTAGTGGATGATGATGAAGAAGAAGAGGACGCGTTGTTCTCGTCGTCATTGTTCGTGGTAGTACTTTTCACCGATGCGGCGTTCGACCACGGGACGCTCGTGATGGTTCTTTTTATGACTTCCTCTTTCGTTAAATCGGCTTGGTCGCCGCCTTTCTTTAACACGGAATCGCACAAGGTTTTCCTGAAATCCTGCGACGCTCTGGCGATGCCTCTCCTGAATCCTAACTGCCAATTGTCCGGAGATTGTCGTCGCCATTCGGTTGCTTTTTTGTACAACTTTTGCGAGCTGGAAATCTTTCTCAACTCTTTCGCCAAGTGCGCGCTCGAATCGAACTTTTTCACGTCGACGATGCAGTCACCTTCTGGACACGGGAGGTACTCGTACACGTTCGCCGTGCCAAAATACACCGGAATAGACCCTCTCGCCAACGCCATCCATAAGTCCGCGTGAATTGCACCCGGGCAATCCGCATCCTCGCCGACGTAATAAAATAAATAATCGGACAACGCTAACTGCGTCTTGGTGAAGAAATCGATGCCGCCGGATCCCATGACTTTGTGTTCCGGTAAACCCAGCGGTTCGTTCGTGTTTCTCCGACACTCGCCGATGGAAAACACCGGGAAATGCTTGGACACTTCTTTCAAAACCTTCATTTTTGGCGCGTTGTCCGGGCAGTTCTTTCCCAACCAAGCGATGCCGGGGATGCGCGATTGCTTCGAGCGACTAAACGCTTCGTAGGAAGCCATCAAACCTTTGGTCGATATCATTTGTGGAAGCCATAAAGAGGAGGCTTTCTCGTTCCCGTGCGCGATGTAATCCACTTGAGAGAGTAATCCTTCGTTCATTAAATCCTTTCCGAACGCGCCGGGTGTTTCCAACGAGGCGTACACGTACACTTGATCCGGATTTTGCTTCGCCGGAAGTCGCCACAACGCCGCTTGTTGTTGTTGTTGAGATTGTTGTTGTTGTTGTTTTTCTTCTTGTTTTTCTCCTCGTTGGTGCAACACTACTTCTTCTTTCTCGCCTAAACTCTTTTTCTTCTTACTCTTTTTATTATTGAGCAACATTCTTCGGTTTGATTTGCTCTCCCAAAACGCCATTTGATCTTCGTAAATAGCCTCTTCGGTGAACTCGATCGGATCTTGCGCCGTTCGATTTTCGTTCTCGAGAGAACTATCGATCATGATATCTTGATTGATATCCGGCCCAAGGATATCGTTATCGAAAAAACCGAGTTTTGCCATGAGTTTAGCGCCAATCGTCGTGCCTTCTTGAGGAGGCGCTGGATTCTCTCTGCTCACGTACGCGCCTTTTAACAAAACCGATCCGGATTGAAACACTCTGACGTCCGCTTTGGCGCACTCGGGACCGGAATCGTACACAACGTTCGTGAAACACTCCCCGGCGCTATTCTTCCCTTCCGGTTTGGTTTGAATCAACGCGTCCATCCACGCGCCGGCGCCTAATCGCACGTCCCAATTTTCCATATCGTCTAAACACAAGGAAAATTTATGTTTCGAGTTTGGCACCGTGCTATCATCGACGAGATCGTCGCCGCCGCCGCCATTTATCGACGCCGCAAACGTCGCGCTCGAGTGTTTCCACTTATTATTATTACTATTCTTGTTGTTGTTCCTACTTCTCGTACTACTACTACTGCTACTGTCTTCGTCGTCTTCTTTTTCTCGTCTCCCTAACGTCCCTTCTTCTTCTTGATTTTTCTCGTACAGCGTCTCTTTATCCGCCCTGAGCGCTTCCACTAACTTATCCAACTCAATCTCCCCGTCTTTCGCCAACCACTTCTCGAACGGTTTCACTTCCTCTTTCGTCAAAATCGTTCGCGCGAACGACTTCCCGTTGCTGTATTTCGTCGTCTCCACTTTCTCCTCTTTTCTCCTCCTCTTTCCAGATTTCTCCGCAGCGAATAAAGCGTCTTTACGCCGACCATCTTCATCTCCATTTTCATCCTCCTCCTCCTCCAAAGAATCAGAACCAGAACCAGACGTTTTCAAAAAGACACTCAAAGGTACGAGTTCGTTCGTATTTTTCATCAACGTTTCCTCCAGCATGTCCGCGTTCATCGCTCGAACGAGCGCGTTTTCCTTCGCTCGAATGTAGTGGCTTCGGTGGACAAATCCCACGCACACAAAGGCAAAAAACGCGGAGAATAAGACTAACACGAACACCGCGGAGTGCGCGAAAACATCGTGAATCGTTTTATTATTATTATTATTCGGTCTTTGAACTTCTTGGTCTTCTTCTTCCTTTTTGGTAAACTTCTCTTTGTTTCGTACGGAGGACTCGCGTTTCTTTCGGAAACTTTCGAGGGCGGATTTCTCCTCGCGAATGGTACTCGACCCCGATGCGTTTACGAGTGTGGTTAAAAGGGGATCTCTCTCGCCTCTTGGTGCTGAAAACGCCTTCATGATTCTCTTTTGATTCGAATCTAGTAAACGCGTTTAGTGATAAATCGTGCGCGTAAACGCGTTCGTTTGTGACGATGAAAATCAACCCGCGGGCCCCGACACACAAAAAAGTATTTAGGGTTTTTTATTGATACCCTAAATATGATGTGATATATCTCTCTCTCTGTGTTATTACAACGTTCTTTTTGCTGTGGTGGTGGTGGTGGTGATGGCGCCGACCTCGACGATTGTTTTCTTTCTTTCTCGTCTTTACGTCTCTGTTGTTATGAGTAGTGTTATTGTTGCGAGTAAAGTCTCTTCGGGCCGTCGTCGGCGAATGCGTTCGCTTTGCATTTCTCCTTGGCGAAGGCGGGCGAGTTTTGTCTCGCGCTGACCTCTTTCGCGAGCTTCCACAGAGCGCCTTTTATGTTTTCGCCTTCTTTTTCTCCTACTTCATCGTCGTCTCTGTTTGTTCTTCCGTTATTGCTTTTACTGTTATTGCTTTTACTGCTGCTTCTACTTCTAAAACTACTATCGGCGAACCAGGCGTCCAGGGAAAACACCTGAGGAAAACGGCAGTTCAAGTCTTTACTCACGAGGTCGACGAACTCTTCAAACACGAATCGATCGGCGTATTTCAACGTCAAATCGACGATTGTTTTCGGATGGTGATTTTTAATCAGCGGCCAGATGGAGTTTTCAACCGTTTTCGCCTTGGCGGTGAGAATCCAAGACAGTTTCGTTAAACGCAATTCGTCTTTCTCCGTTTGATTGTTAAACGTGCGAACGACGTCGTAGTTGTACTCTTTCATCTTCGCGACGTCGTCGGTATCCGCGTAGCCGTTTTCCAACACCCACGGCCATAAAAAGGGCGAATGTTTTTCCGTCGTGTTGTACGCGTTAAAGTTCTCAAACGCGATTAACACGCGCTGGTTTTTCTTCACCGACTCTTCCAACGGTCGCGTCCAAAAGTTTTCCTCCTCTAAAGGGTAATACGGCACGACGAGTTCCCCTAAAGCGCCTAAAACTTCACTCGCCAACTGCTCCACGGCGTCTTCGTCCGGGTCGCCGTAAAAGTGCGACATCTCCACAATCACCACCTCCGTCTTAAACGCGTTCACGAAACTCTTGATATCTTCTAAAACGGTCACCACGTCCACCCCGACTAACGAGTGGTGTATTTTCCACGTTTTCGTATCCGGTTGCCACCCGCATCGTAAATCCAAATACCTCGCCCCCGTTCTCAGTTGTTCGAATATCGTCTGTTTCTGCGTTTTCGCCCATCGAGCGACGAGCTCGTCGATCGGAATCCCAACTGTTTTGATGATTTTCGATATACTTTGTAGCCATTCCGGTACGCCTCTTCCGCCAGAATCCGGTTGGAATTTCGAGGTTAAGTAATACGAGCCGCTATCGTGCGTGCCAGGGAAGACGAGATTGACCGGCGAGAACTTTGCGTAATTCTCTGAATCCGATTGCCAGTTCGTTGACGAATACTTTAGAGATGCCATTCGCACCGCTTCTGAAAAATCCACGTCGAGATGATCATTTTGCGTCGTCATCGTCATCGTTTTTGGCACACTTCTCGAGTGCACCACTGGGAGCGGTCGTTGGAGGATCAAAACGCACGTAAAAAGCACCGATACTGGAAGAAAGAAGCGCGTTAAATGTCCCATGATGTGATTCAATCTGAATTTTCGTTTTACTCGCGCGTCAATCGTTCCACTCTGATGTGTACTTTGGATGTGCAACTCTCTCACGATCCTTCTCGTCGTTTGCCCCGCAACGCGCGACAAAAAGGTATAACTCGTCGCTTCTTTTTCGCTCAGGTAGTAAAACTCGAAAGCAACCAAAAGAACTACAAAGAAGCACTTTTAGTAGTGGGGAAACGAGAGTAAAATACAAAGCGTGGAGGAGGAGGCAAAGAGGAACTTAATTGTCCGGATTTTGTGTTTCTCGGAACCATCCGTTTTTGGGTGCAAAATGTCGTCAAAAATGTCTCCGTGAAAGCAACAGATATCCTTCTCGCTTCAGAGAAGCACACGACTCGCATCACGACGAATTGAGCGCATAGAGCACATCGCGCACTAAAACTGTGTTTTTGTATATTTTATAGAAACACAGAGAAAAAGTGGAAAGAGAGAACACGACGAGAAGAGTTGTTTTTGGGAATTTCTGGCGGCGTGAGAGTCAAGACTACGTTTGCCCATCAGTGCGAGAAGAAGAACAACAACAACAACAACGCTCGCGACGAGAGCGAAAACGTATCATCACATCCTCGAAGAAAGGAGTATATTTACTACACTCAAAGTTTTTCAAGATGAAAATGCCAACGCACGACCAAAATCCAGGCAAGAAAGCGTACTCCGGATTTGGAAATCTGATGCTCGAAAAGATGGGGTGGAAACACGGAGACGCGTTGGGCGCGAACCCGTCGAAAGGCTTGAAAGAAGCCATCTCTGTGGATATGAAAAACGATCGAGAAGGCGTCGGGAAAGAGAAAAAGGAGAGGTATAACTGGGAGGAGAAGTGGTGGGAAGGGCACTTTAAATCCGCGGCGGAGAAATTCGCGCTGGCAGTCGTCGAAGGAGGAGGTAAAGGAGGAGGAAAAGACGACGACGACGAGAGGAAGGGAAAAGGGAACACATCGAATTCGTCGTCGTCGTCGTCGGAGAGCGAAGATGAGTTCGAACGAAACGTTCGCGAAATAACCTCTGGTAATAATGTTTTGACGACGAAAGAAGAAGAACTTAAAGAAGAAAAAGGCGACGACGGCGTGAAATACAACGGGTGCCAGAAAGAGCTCGAAGTCGCGAGGGAAATTGCGAGAGAACAGAGTTCGTTTCGAGGAAGGAAAGGAAAGTTGAAACGCATCGCCGGTTTCGAAGAAGCGCAGATGAACGCTTTGTTGAAGAAACGCGGTTTTAGCCGAGAAGAGACGATCATGAACACGAATTTAGAGATTAGGGAAATTAGAAAAGCGGAGGAGAAAGACGACGACGATGAAGAACGAAAAGAACGAGAAGAGAACACGAAGAAGAAGAGACGAAAGAATTTTGAAGAGAAGAAGAAAGGCGGCGAGGCGTACGAAGGAAAACCGTCGGAAACGACGGAAAAATTTTCGTGGTGGCGCAACGCCGGATTTTCCTGGGGCGGTTTAGTCGGGAGTAAACGAGAGTTAGATCGAGACGTCGATATCAACGAGGATAATCACAAAGAGAATAATGAGAATGGGTTCACGGAGGATAAGCAGGAGGATATATTCAACCAGGCGCACCAAATGGCCTCGGCGAAAGGGTCGAGACGCGGTTTAGGCGATAAGGCCAAGCTTGGGAAGGAGTTTACGGGGACCAAGAGAAGTTTCGACGAGGACGAAGAAAAAGAAGACTTTGAGAAGAAAAAGAGGAAGGAGGAGAAGAAGATGAAGAAGAAGAAAGAGAAGAAGAAAGAGAAGAACAAGAGTAAAACGAGAGACGAGGACAATGTCGGGGAAAAGAAGAAGTCCTCGTCCAAGAAGAAGAAATCCAAGAAGACAAAGTAACGTTAGTACTACGCGTTTAGAAGAATTTAGCTCAATGTAGCCGCGATAGAAGAAGAAGACATTATTAATTAGCGCTCGCAGACGACGAAAAAGATGATTGATTATTTATTATATACTATGATTAATCGTTTATCTAATGTTACAAGTTTAATTCTAATGCGCGGTACACTTAGCCTCTCGCTCTCTCCTCACCCTCTAATTTAACTACGGAAAGCCAATGAAAATTCTTTCGATTTTACCCCTTTTCCCGTAAGTATCCGTGTCCTCTCGCGCGTTCCCTCTCTAATTCTTTGCCCCGTCCTCCTTATACTTCTTCTGCAACAACTTTCGATACTCCTCTTGATTCGACCACAACCCCGCCGCGTGCGTATTCAGCGGCGAATCGTTATTCGGCTCTCCCAACAAACTCTGAATGGACAACAAAATCGTCCTCACGTTATATGCCGGCGACCACTGCTCTTTCAAAATATCCAAGCAAATGTTCCCGAACTGATCGACGTTCGGATGGAAACACGGGGTGGAAAATTTCACCACCGGCGCTTTAAACGGGTACTCGTTCGCGAACGATAACGTCAAGGAGTACTTCATGTTTTCGTACACCGTCCCTTTGGCGCCTTCGATCGTCCCGACCCAGCTGAAGATGTTGTCCCCATCCGGGAACGCGGAGATGCCGCTGTCCGAGGAGGTCATCAGGGACATCAGCTCCGTTTGTAATCTGTTTTTATGTGTAATAGTTGAGTAAGAGTTTCAGCATAGTTTAGTCGTCTGGCGTTTTTAAAGGTTTTCTTCGAAGTACTTTTGACATCCATCCAAAAGGGGTAACCAAAGCAAAAAAAGATAACAAAAAACCGAGAAACGCAACCACTTTACGGGAAAGAAGAAGAAAATGTGCTCCGCGCTTTCTCTCTCGGAAACGGGACGAAAGGTTTCACGCGCGAAAAAGAATTTACCTTCTCGCCACGCTCGCGCTATCCGAGCTGGAATTTTGGCTCTTATCTGATTTTGCCGTCGGCGAACCGACGGCGTGTTGCCGTTGCGTCGCGCTCGACATCTTCGATGATGAGGATGATTCTCGTTACGATTTTTTCTCTGTCGTTCTCGTTAGAAGGTCAACTTTCACGCGCGAATTGATGAAATGATTTCTCGTGATACGCGCGCTCTTGCGAAAGATACGTGCTCAAAACCAATCGAAAATTCAAATCTGCGTTCACGGTACGGCGCACAAATTGAATACTTATTCGAAGAGAGAGAGAGTTTATCTTGGTCTCGTCGTCTGCTTCTCGCTAAGAAACGCGCTAAAATGTGAGGACAAATTTGTGGTGGTTTTAGCTGCATGGACGAATTTTTCGCAAAAGATTACAAAATGAAAGAGGAGACAAAATTTATCACCACAACGAACAAAAACACTTTTCGCGTACTCCTTTCGCCGCCGAAAAAAAACCACCGCTGCGAATACTACTGCCGAAAATATGCTTTAAGAACTATCTCTCGCTCACACAGTGCGCAAACAAGAGACCTCGCAATCAGAGGTACCGGTCAACCCGCCAAAGGCGAGCAAGTATTCTCCGGATTGACACGGGATCGTGGTTAACGTCATGCCTTCTTTACCGGTTAACGAGGAGGATTCGACGAGGAGAGACCAGGAGAGTTTTGGCGGAGAAGAGGAGGAGTTGATGTTGTTGTTGTTGTCGTCGTGGTCGTCGTCGTTCTTCTTCGTTTTCTTCTTCTTCTTCTCGGAGAACTCGGAGAAGAGCTCGGAGCAATCCAGCGAAAGCGTTTCGAGCAACGCGGATTGATTATCGCCGCCGCCGCAGATGAACATTTTGGTGCCGTCTTCTGACATAGTCGCGCAGTGACCAGCTCGTGGGGCTATTTTAATGAGCTTTTTATCGTCTTCGTCGGAGATTTCAGAGGCGACTTTTATCCATTGGTACGCGCGCGTATCGAAACAGTGCACGTCCGTATCGCTCAAGACGTTCCCGGCTGCGCCGCCGAATACGAGAAGGAAACGGCCGCATCTTCCCGCGACGTGAGATCCTCTCGCCGTAGGTGGTGCGCAAGGAACGTATGATTTTGAACGAGACGATTTTTCGCTCTCCTCTCCTTCCGTTTTAGTAGTAGTAGTAGTGAGTATCTGTCGCCACGTTTTCGTAATCAACGAAAACTCCCACAAATCGTTCAAAGGAACAGATTTCACGTTCTTCTTCGCGTCTCCAACGGACATGCCTCCGAAGACGTACACCACGTCGTCAGTTTCAAACAACGTCGCCGTGTGTCCCGTTCTCGCGCACGGTAAATCGGAAGATCCGCCAGATCCAACCGCCGCGACGTGTTGCCATTTTAACTCGTTCAGCTTTCCTCCGATGTCCGATAAATCCAACTTGGAAACCGTCATCATCATCTTCTTCTCGAAGATATTAGTACTGTTGTTACTGTTGTTGCTATCACTATTCGTATTCGTCGTCACCAACAGCGCGTCTTCGTCGCTCTTCGTGCCGATGCCTCGAAACAAGTAAATCTCTCCATCCGCGGTGGCGATCGAAGCCGCGTCCGCGCACGGCGACCCCGGCCACTTCAACTCTTTCCTCTTCCACCTTAACTCCATCAAATCCAGCGCCCAACAATCGCTCAACAATCGTCCGTCTTTATTTCCGTGCGAAATAATCAACTCTTCGCCTACTTTATGCGCTATGTGTCCGAATCTTTTCTGCGGGAATCGTTGGCGCGTGGTCGTTTCTAACTTCTTTTCTCTGCTGCTATTATTATTACTACTCTCGTTCTCGTTCGCCACCGTTGTTGTTTTCTTCATCGGTTGCGCGACAATCGTCCTCCACTCGTTCTTTTCCGGCATCTTACTCTCCAACGCGAACCTACTCTTCCCTCCTCTTCCTTTCCGCGGACTACTACTACTCCTCTCGCCGCCGCTAAATATCACCGATCCGAACGTCCGTATTCCCTCCCTCTCCGAAGACGACGACGACGTCGTCGTCCCCGTCCCCGTCGGAGGTACGAGCAACCGCATCCCAACCTGTAAATAATACTCCTCCGAGGATTCGTCCGCCATCGATAACATCTTCGCCTTCTCTTCGTACGTGCAGGTTTCAGTCATCAACTGCCACCAGTTTTGGTTGAAGTTTTCAACCTCTTCGCAATACTTCTCCATGGCGACGATTGCGGGCATGTTTGAGACCATTTTCCACGCCTCGTATCGTAAAACGCTTTCCGGGTCGTATATTCTTTGCCAAAACGTGGGTTTGAGTAGTTCCTCCTTCTCTCTCACGCCTCCAGATCGGGTCGCTTGTTCGTGCAACGCGTAGAGTAAAAGTCTGGAATCTTCGGTGATGCCTTTGGCGTTTGGAGGCGGGTGGTCAGAAAACGCCGAGCAGAGGTAGAATTTTTCCGGGCAGTGGAGGAACAGATCTTGCTTTCTTCGTTCTCGATCGTTTTGACGACCATTTGGTTCCATCTTGTTCCTCTTTATGATGCTAAACAACGCGTAAAAATGAAGCAATTTGCTCCATTTTTACGCGCAAAATTCACATCTCAAAACAAAGATTACGATGATGATTTCGACGATTCCAACGGTCAAAAGCTTCACAGCGAGCGCATCGAAGTCGAAATCAAAAGCATCGTCGAAATGTGCGTCGTTTACGTCGAAGAAAATGTCGCAGTGCTGTCCTTGTTTCCGAGTACGAAATCATCATTTTCTCATCGCGGAACGACGGGGAAGGAATACAGTTACGCGGAACAGGAGTACGATTCTTCTTTGTGCACAAAGCGCGACGACGAGAACCCCTCAAGGTGACGATAAAAGCGAGAGTAATGATACGAATAATAATAACATCGTATCTTTCCGCCCGTGCATCGACATCCACCTCGGAAAGGTGAAACAAATCGTCGGCTCGAGCTTACGAGACGAAAAGTCCGTCGACGAGGAGAAACCTGAGACGAACTTTGAAACGGACGTGAAATCGAGCGAATTCGCGGAGATGTACAAACGGGATAACATCTACGGCGGACACGCGATATTGTTAAGCAAAGATTTGGAGACGAAAGAAGCGGCTTTAGAAGCCACGAGAGCGTTTCCCGGCGGATTACAGATTGGCGGCGGCGTCACCGCGGAGACGGCGTTGGAGTATCTCGAGAACGGTGCGAGTCACGTGATCGTGACGAGTTACGTGTTTCACGACGGCAAGTTAGACGAGAAGAGATTGGAGAAATTAATAAGAGTAATTGGGAAGAAACGGTTGGTGTTAGATTTGAGCTGTCGTAGAGACGAAAAAGATGGGAACAAGTATAAAGTTGTCACCGATCGATGGCAAAAATGGACCGACGTGTGCGTCGACGAGAAAACTTTAGAACGTTTAAGCGAGAAGTGCGACGAGTTTCTCGTCCACGGCGTGGACGTGGAAGGGAAAAAAATGGGTTTGGATTTAGATTTAGTGGAGTTGTTGGGGAAATATTGCCAAATTCCAGTCACTTACGCCGGAGGGGCGAGATCGATCGAGGATTTAGAGCTCGTGAAAACGTACGGACAGAATCGAGTGGACGTGACCATCGGTTCCGCCTTGGATTGTTTCGGAGGGAGTTTGAAGTACGCGGACGTGATTGATTGGCACAATAAGCAAAGAGGTCTTCTTTTAAAGTAGTAGTTGTAGCAGCATAGTAGCGTATATAATGCGTGAGTACCAGTATCATGTGTCCGTAAATGTAGTAGTAGGTACTTAAAAAATCTTCCTCTTCTTGATATCATTAGTGCAAACGAAACGTCGGCTTCGTCAACGCCTCCATGCTCGCTCCGGGTGAAAACTCCGGCGCGCCGTGCAACAACTCCAACGCGACGAGTCTGTGATACACGTCCGTCAACGCTTCTGGGTCCAAAAACAAACTCCCGCAGTGCGCTAAAATCATCCGCATGTCTTTCTCAATCGGCGCGAACCGCTTCGAACGCAAGCGCATTAAAAAGTCGTTCACGAGGAGTTGACAGTAATGCACTCTTTGGAAGTGTGGGGATTCGACCGAGGCGCCGCCGCCCCATTCGATTTTCCACGGTGGTTTTCCGACCCACGAGCCGACGCCTTCTTTTAAAGAGAAACGTATCACATCGGCTTCTCGTTTCGCCAAAACGGCTATTTTTTTACCGCCTTTTATTTGTACGGCGCGTTCGAGGTATTGCATCGCTTGGCCCCAGTAGTGGTTATTTCCTCCGTCGTCGTCGTCGTCGCTGTCGCTGTCGTCGTCGGTGGTGTAGGATGTTTGTGTCGCGAGTGCACCACCAATTTCTTCTGTGTTTTTCTCCTTTACTTTATTATGAGCTCCATCGACGTCGGCGTCGGCGTCGGCGATTGAAGAAGAAACTCCTTCGTACTCCTTCGCCCTTGGATTTCTCGCGAGCTTCTCGCGTACTCTTCGTAAACTCTCCTCCATCACTTTCTTCGTCTTCTTCCCGTCTAAATCTCGCATTAACTTTGCCTCGTCTTGGACTCTTCCACCTTTTCCAATTCCTTTTGGTGCAGTCGTGATCGTTTCTTCTTCGTCCATGTGCAAATCGAACCAAAAGACGACGGCGTTCAAGTAGCCGCTGGCGACGGTTTCTAACTTGATCACGGTTTCGCGACCTTTCTGTTTCATCGAGTTATCGAAGAAGAATTCGAACACTTTTTTCGGTTTCGTCAATCTTCGGTGTTTCACGTTTTCCATTTCAACCGGTTCGTATTTCGAATCCCAGCGGTATTTGTTTTGCGCGGACATGTCGAACCCGTCGATTTCAGTCGTGTATACCTCGACGCCCATGGCGTATATCGTCGCCGCGGCAGGCACGACGACGGATCCGACGTTCGCGACTTTACGTCGCGCTTCTTCGATCATGTACAACACGTGTTCGCCGGTTAAGCCGCAATCGAACAAGTCGACGACGATCATGTTGCACCCTTCGTGTGGACCGTGAATGCCGCGTTCGAGTAAAGCGGCGTCTTTGCAAATCACGTTGACGTTTCGCGAGAGGTTGTTTTGGGCCACGTTTCGGCGAGTGCACGTGGCGAGGGATGGAAGCATTTCGCAGGAGATCACCGTGTCCGCGTTTGCACGAGCAGCCATCATCGTTAATAAACCAGATCCGGAACCGATATCGAGAACGTTCGCGTATCCTTCGCGATTTTTTAAGAATTTTATCTGTCGTTGAATCGCCGCGTCGTACGCCTTGGCTCGCCTTTCGTCCGCTAAAATCGAAAACTGATACTTTGGAAAACTCGCATCTTTCTTCATCATGTGCATGTAATCCGCGTCTTCGACGGTAAATTGCATGGCGACCGTGTTGTGCGAACATTTGATCGGAACGACGTGGTTCGCGTACGATTTGATCTCGCCGTCGAGGTAGAAAAGTGAAGGCGTTAAACTCGATACGACGATGTTCTCATCATCATCATCATCGGCGTCGCCAAACTCCTCCTCATTCGTAACGCCTCTGGTCGATATTTTCACGTCCTCGATCAAGTGTAGTTCGTACCAGAACAAAACGGCGTTAAACGTCCCGTCTTTCGTAAACTCGAAATCGACAAACTTTTGATCGCTCGCCTCGGGCGGATTTCCGAGATCAAAGTGCCAAATTTCCTTCGGTTTCGAAAGCGCTCTGTAAGAGTCCGGATCAATCGGGACACCGGCGGAGTACGTCGGGTGCGAACGGTATAAATCCATCGCGGAAACGTCTAACCCGCAAATATTTCTCGATTTAATCTCAATCGCTTGCGCGAACACGGTCGCGGACGACGGTAAGACGATACAGTCCGGCAAGAGTAAATTTTGCAAACAGTGCTTCGTGGACGGGATTAAACCGGAGGAGAGTAATCCGTCGTCGATGATATCGTTCAAAAACAAGTTGCAATACACCGGAACGTCCGCGAGTAAAGATAAATCCGTGGGCCTTTTATAAATCACTTTCACTTGATCGTCGCAGAATCCGTTGTTCAACAAGTTTTCTTTACACGCCATGGCTTGGTACAACCATCTCTCGCACGCGGTGACGTGGTGCGCGCCTTTGTCGAGTAAGTGCATGGTCATCAACCCGGCACCACATCCGAGATGTAACGCTCGAACGTCTTTATTTTCCTTTTGGAGTTTTTTGATCGCAATCTCGATGGCTTTAGTATATTTTTTGCGTCTCACCGTATCTTCCAAGTATTTGAAATGTCTCTTCGGTATCGCGATATCGGCTTGAACCGTCATGTAATTATACGTATCTTTCAAATGGTAATCATTTTCCGCTTGGAACGGCGTTAAAAGCTGCGTCGGGAGCATATCTTTCGGATGCACTCTGTGTAACGGACTCGCGTACGGTAAATTCGTCAGTCGTTCTTGTTGATGTTTCTTTTCTGGCGCTGGTAAGCACTGGAACGTCTCTCGATTTTTGACGAAACCTTTCCCGTTGTGCAAATCCGCCAAGACGGCGACGACGGCTTCTTCCAAACCTCTTTTCAACTCCTCGTCTTTAGGGGAAAATTCCAGCCCGGTTTCGAAGACTGATTTTGCTAATCGGTGCATGCGCAAACCCATCAACGCGAACCCTTTTCTCGCGTACCCTTTGACGAACACGTTCAAGACTTGACCGCCGGCGGATTGCGTTCGATAGTATCTCTCGTTCGCTAAATCTTGCGATTTATTCGCGTCCCACAACGCCTCTTCGAACAAACCCAAGTTCAAATACGCCACCGCACGATTTGAGTGACACACGTGCATTAACTCGTGCGTTAAGTTATTCTCGTGCGCTTTTCGAAACACTTTCGCGTACTTTGCAATCGCTTCGATGTCGTCGCCTTTTTTCAACGCTTCCACCGCTTCGTTGTTCAATTTGACGATGGATTTCGATTTAAACTTTTGATCAAGTTTAAACTCCTTATCGCGTTGGCGAATAATCATCAAGCGGAGTTTTGTTTGACGTTCGTGTTCGTCTTTTGTTTTCGGACCGGCGTTTGGGTAGTACTCTTTGTCGTGTTCTTCGTTCGGTCCATCGGATGAAGATGATGATCTCACAAAATCACCACTTTGACCACCAGCACCTTTTGAATCGGTGTTCAAGGTGTCGTCCAACTTCTCGTACTCTTCCAATTCCTCCTCTGAAACCGAAGAATCGTCCTCTGAATCGTCCTCTTCACTCTTTTCATCTTCTTTGTCTTCTTCTTCCTTTGAAACTCTCGTCTTCATCACGCGCGTCTTCTCGCCTTCTTCTTTTTCCTCGTCCAAATTTTCCTCGTCCGAATCTCGCTCTGGAAACGCAAACGCATCGTCTCCGTCTTTTTTCGAGGAAGAAGAAGACAAAGAAGACACGAAGAACTCTTCTCCTCCACCCATGATGACGAAACTTATAATAAACTCTTTCTCTCCTCTGCACTGTGTGTATAATAATAAACGCGCTCTTCTCTTCCGTTCAGAGCTACTACGCGAATGAATGAATTTCTAACGCATTTCACATCCTTTTTTTTCACACAGAAGAAGCAGAAAAAAAAAGAAAAAAAAAATCGGAGCGTTTTTTTCAAAAATAAACACCCTAAACCGTGATCCCACTAAACGCTCAGTTTTACGAAGAAGAGAATAAAGTTCTGTCGCTTTTTTTATTCAAACGACCGCTTTATTTTATCCCCATTTTTATACGTAATACTACTCTACTCCTTCTCTCTGATAAAGACGATCGAAAGACGACGAGAGTACATCTCATCATCACGCGAGAGAGCTGCTTTTTTTGAGTGATGTCGTTTTCGAAATCGTCGTCTCTTTTGAGCGTTTTCGTGTGCGCGAGAACATCGAGACAAAGGCAACGTTATTATACCCCTAAAAACGGGGCTCAGAGCGCACACATTAAATATCAAAAACATCAGAAACAACGCGCGACTGCTACTCACAGAGCGATTCGACGACCAGATCGAGAAGAAAACAGAACGTCCGACGAGGAGGACGAAGATTTTGAGGATGAAATCTCTTACAAAGGTGGATTCTCGTGCGATATTTCCGGCTCGTACGACGAGCAAAATGGTCCAGAGGACAACTCCTCGATGCGATCGAACCGCGACGGCTCCTTAGTGGCGAAGAAACACGTGTTGGACAATTGTCGAACAACCTTGGATTTTAAGACGAAAATTATATGCACGTTAGGCCCTTCGTCGAGGACGGTGGAGCAGTTGGAACATTTGTTACAAACCGGGATGTCGGTCGCCAGATTTAACTTTTCGCACGGCACGCACGAGTACCATCAGGAAACGTTGGACAATTTGAAGAAAGCGACGGAGAATACCGGGTTGATGTGCGCGGTTTTTTTGGACACGAAAGGACCAGAGATAAGGACGGGGATGTTAGAAAACGGAGAACCGGTGCAGTTGCATCAAGGGGAGGAGTTAACTTTAACCACCGATTACGAGGTGAAAGGAAACGCGAAGAAGATCGCGGTGAGTTACCCGGATCTCGCCAAGGACGTGAAACGAGGGAGTAAGATTTTGTGCGCGGACGGGTCGATTACTTTGAAAGTTCTCGACACGGACGTTCGAAAAGGAGAGGTTGTGTGCAGGTGCGAAAACTCAGCCATGCTTGGCGAACGGAAAAACATGAATTTACCGAGAGTGAACGTAAACTTACCGACGATAACGGAAAAAGATAAAGACGACATTTTGAATTGGGGGGTGAAGAATAACGTAGATTTCATCGCCGCTTCCTTCGTTAGAAAAGGATCGGACATCGACGTCATACGTGACGTGGTTGGAGAAACGCCGGGGAGGAAAATCGGAATTATCGCGAAAGTGGAAAACATGGAAGGTTTAGATAATTTTGAGGACATCGTGAACAAATCGGACGGCGTGATGGTCGCTCGAGGGGATTTAGGGATGGAGATTCGCATGGAGCAAATTTTCTTGGCGCAAAAAAGAATGATTCGAAGGTGTAACGAAGCCGGGAAACCAGTCATTACCGCGACGCAAATGTTAGAGTCCATGACGGGCGCGCCGAGACCGACGAGAGCGGAAGCGACGGATGTCGCCAACGCCGTCATCGACGGCACCGATTGCGTCATGCTGTCCGGGGAAACTGCGGCGGGGAAGTACCCGTTGGACGCGGTATCTGCCATGGCAGATATTTGTGGCGAAGCGGAAGCGTTCGAGGCGAACGGGGCGGCTGATGGGAGTCGTTCACCGCAACCGTTGGGTTTCGGCATGCACACGTCCTCGAAACCTTTTCTGCGATTCTCGTGGCACGTGCCTTCGTTGGAATCCGTCGCCGCGGCGAGCGCGCAAACTGCGGATGAAATCGGCGCGAAAGTCATCATCACGTTATCGAAATCCGGGAACACCTCGCGATTAATCGCGAAATACCGACCAAACTGTCCAATCGTGGCCGTGGCGATTAATCGACCGAACCACGATCACGGCAACAGCGCTCGGCGTTTGTTGCTTTCCCGCGGCGTCGTTCCGATCATGGAGAAGATGGAATGGAGAGGCGAGACGGCGTTACCGCAAGAGGTGTTATCGAATGCGATTTTGTACGCCAGAGATCACATGAGGATTGTAAAAACTGGAGATTTAGTCGTCGGCGTCCATCGATTACACGGCGATCCGTTGATGAAAGTCGTCGAGGTTCCGTAGTCATTATTAATACTTTTGAGTTTGAGTCGTCACGAAAAGAGAGTGAGAGAGAGAGAGAGAGAGAGAGAGAGAGAGAGAGAGAGAGAAGGGTTATTTATTATCATCGTATGTATGAGAGAGTAAGAGTCATCGTCAAAAGAAAGAGCAAAGAGAAGAGAAAAAAAGCGAAAGAAACATGTATTGCTGCAAAATATTTCACAACGGGCACAGAAGAGTACAACAAACAAAAGGAGAGGAAAACAACAACAACAACAAATACAAAAATGTATGCAAAAGCGCGCGCTGTAAGAAGAAACGCCAGGCTGCCCGATGTTGTGAAAAGATAATTGAAATATTTTAATACCGTAGTATTTTAACTAATAATATAAAAATACAAAGAAGCGTTACGGAAACTTCGTCAATACTGGTTCTGCGTACTCGCTCGAATCGATCGGATGCGCGTCTCTTCGTTGGAAAATGGTGAACGAGTTCTGAAACAGTTTGTGCGGTTCTAAAAATGACATGGTTTCGAAGACGCCGTATTCAGATACGCTTCCGTCTGCATTTTTACCTCCGTTTCGAGCCAACATGCGCATTTTTTCCAACCACTCTCGGGATAAACTATTCGTCAGCGTCGAGTGCACCGCGACGTACCCGCCCGGTTTCACGCGAAACCAAAAGTTCTTCAAAAACGTCTCTATTCTATTCGCCGCGCCTAAATCTATCCATAAGAAATCAAACTGAACACCCGGGGCTAACGTGGCGGATAAGTCTGGATTGAATGCGTCGGCTTCGTGTACGACTAAAAAGTTGTTTTCTTCATCGTCGACGTTCAACTCTTCCGAGCACTCTTTGACCAAGTGCGCTGTCGTATGAGCGTGCGCCATGTTGTCCACGACGTGTAACTGCGGCTCGTACGTCTCTCTGGTTTTCCTTTTTTCACTCTTTCTGCTAAAATATGCCTCGTTCGACCACGGCGTGTCCTTACCGTTCGGGTTTTCGTTTCTCACGACGCACGAGTGTTCCTCCCGCATGCGCTCGTACACCTCGATCTCCTTTTTGTTATCTCGCAACGCTTGCATCAAATACACGGACGTGTACCCCGCGCCAATCTCTAACACGTTTTCTGGTTTCGTAAACCTACACAACTGGTACAAAAACGGGCCCATATTCTCCGCGCCCATGTGCATGTCGTATAAACTTGTCGTTTTTGCGAGGAATGTCTTTGAATACATCCGGCCGAATGTCATCGTTCTCGTGTCTTTTTCTTTCTTTTCCTCGTTAAAGTTCCGTTTTCTCGTCATCAGTTCTTTCTTCGTTTCCTCGAGTATCTTTTCCGCGTATTTCATCTCTCCGAAGCAGAATTCCTCCGCGATGAACTCGATGACTTCTTTTTTCATATATTCTTCTTCGATGTCTTTGTCTTCTTCTCTGTCGTCTTCTTCTTTTACTTCCGACGAAGACACCAGTAACTTATCCATCAACACATTTTCCAAATCCAAAACAGTTCTCACGTCTCGTTCTTCGAACGCATCCAGCAGGTATAAACAGTCCAGTTTTTTTAGCGCGTCAGAAATTTTCATCGTCGTCGTTTCTCCTGGCAAAGACGAGGACAAGTTCTGTTGGTTTTGATTCGAAACCGTCGCCTCATCTCTCTTCATCTCTGATAGAAACTCTCTTTGTGAGGAATTGACTCTTGAGTTTTTTTCCCTAAAATTCAAAAATCGAACCTCAGAATAAAACACAGACTAGAGTAGTATTCGTTGATCTCCTCAAAAAACTGTGCGATTTGGAAAACTTCAAACGCGACGAACTGCGTTGGAACTGTTCGCTCGATATATTTCGAGTCGTTTGAGATATCATCATCCAGAGAGCGAGGGGTGAATCGTACAGACTGAAGAAAGAGACTGGGGAATTTACTCGTAAATTCAAAAATCAAACACCTCTGTGTTGTGTTGTTATAAACACGACGCTGTTCTGCGCGAGAAAGAGAGAAAGAGAGAAAGAGAGAAAGAGAGAGACGCGTTAGTTAGTATCTCTCTCGCGCGTTTTTTCCTCCTTTTCCTCGTCGTCAAGAAGAAGACAAAGAAGACAAAGAGAGAGATACTATAATAAAAATGAAACGAGAGCGAGAGGACAGCCTTCTTGTTTTAGTTGAGACTGCTAAGAAACGCAAATCCAAACGCGTCAAAGTTGTCGCGCAAAAGTTGATCACTTTTTACTACCTTCTCACGAAAAAGACTTGAAGAGAGAGCAGCATGAAAAGCAGCGGAAAGAATAAGAGTGCGACGAAAAGCAGCGCGACCATCGGAGACTTCTTTCCTTTAAAGAAGAGCACTACTAAGAATAAAAGAAACAAAGACGAGCAAGAAAGGTCAGGTAAAAAAAAATTGAAGAAGAACGAAAGCGCGTTGAAAACATGTCCAATATGCACGAAGGATTTTCACTGGACCTTGATCGATGCGCACGCGTCGGAGTGCGTTGGAGGAGGAGATTTCGATCTCGACGAGTTTGATGATGCTTTTGAGAAGAAGACAAAGAGCAGTTCATCGAAAGAAGAAGACAAAGAAGAAGAAGAGAAGGAGACGAGTTTTGAGTCGGAAAAGAAGAAGAAGAAGATGAACGAAAATGACTGCAATACTAACGCGTTTACGACGCTCATACAGAATCAGCGATTGTCCGAGTGTAAGAAGTGTTTGGTTCTGAGTTTCGATGAAGAAGGAAAATGGAACTTGGCGTTTGAAAAGAGTGTTTTTGTCGACAAAGCTTTATTCAGCGGCGCAACCGCGCTGAAAGAGATCGAGCGAGGCGGGATCAAATGCAAGACAACTTTGACGGTTTCGATAAACGGAAATGATAATAATCGCACTTTTATCGACGACGAGGATAAAAACAACACCACCACAACTATTCGTGCGACGTATACCAACCATCGGTTATCACAATCCGTGTTGGCGTCGGCTTTGCAAAAAAATGTGAGAAGAAAACGCGTCGGTCCGACGTATCGAGTGGCCAAAGCTATGACGCGGAGGAACGATACGTTCATGCAGTGCGTGAGAAGATTGATGATTATATCCATAGAAGATGGAACTTTACATCCGGATTTACCGTTCTTAGCGTGGTTGATGATTGCGCTATCGAAAAACTTTGTCGCTTCGACGAGAATCAAAGAGGAGGTGTGCCGAATAGCGAGCGAGCTCGCCGCGCAGGAGTTTCGCGACGATGGAACAACACTCGTAGATGAAAAAGAAGTGAAAGAGGTGAAAAATGACGACTCGGACGACGATGTCGACGTTTTACCGTCCCTTTCCTCCATCCAAGAAAAGTTTGGCTCGAACAGCGAAGAAACGCTTTTGATTGCGTCCTTGATCGTACGCGCGCAGTTTGGCGGCATGGAAGGCGACGTGAAAATGCTCAAGAACTTTATTCGCGTTTGGGTGCGAAGATTCGAATCTATAGATTCGTTACTTTGGATGGATAAAATTAAAAGCAACAGTCCGCGATTAGATTCGACGCTTCTCAAAGAGATGTCTGCGCATCCGTTTGTGAAATTTGACATCCCGTTGGAAGCGATTGACTTTCACGTTTCGGATATCATCGAACACTGCGTCTCCGATATCTCAAGCGAGGAGTTTCAAAACATACGGAAAGCGGTAATAAATGCGTCGTTCAAAAATGAAGAAGGTGCCATTGATTTATTCAGAGCTCGAGAGCTCGCTCAAAGCGCGATGTGGTATTGCTCGTCCGGCGTGAACGAGAAGGCGTTGTGGCACCCCAAAAAAATGGAGGAGGACGAGTCGACGAGAAAAAGAAAACAGTTGGAACCGATTTTCAAATCGTACGCGAAGAAGGCGTGCGCATTTGCCGTAAAAGCCATCGGAGAACGGTTCGATCTGTACAAACAACAATAGTATATATAGTTTTTTAGCAGCGTGTAAAATGTAAAGTAGAGCAGAGCGATCAAAATATGTTGTTTGTTGTATCTCACGTCGTCGTGTAAAAATTAAAACTCGTCGTGATAATCGTGATAATCGTCCTCGCTCGTCATCGCCGTGGAGTAAAACATCATCTTATTCTTTAAAATTTCCACCAAACTCAGACCGCCGTCTTTATTCTCGTCCGCGTCGTCGACTAAGCTCCCGCTTTGGTCTCTCGCGTGATCGTCGTTGGTCGGATGTAATTTTTTGTAACTCGCCTCGTCCGCGTGTAACTCGTGCGAGGTGACTAACCCGTCTTTATCTTTATCTAATCGAGCAAACAGCGCTAAGGCTCGCACGCGCATAACGCTTTCATCGTACGCGTCGTTGTTGTTGCTACCCTCTTCGTTGCTATTCGTTTTATCATCGCTCCCAACAGGTTCCTCTTCGACTTCGTCCACTTGGTGAAACAAACTTTCGTAGAATTCCGTGAAATTCAACTTCTCGTCCATATTCGTGTCGTGATCCCGAATCGTCTCCGCGACCAGATGCTTCCCAATCTCCGACCCTCTTTTCCCTTCCTCCGGATGTATGAAGTAAAAAAATTCCGTCCTGTTCAACTTCCCATCTTTATCGGTATCCGTCAACTCGAACACTTTCCTCGCGTTGCGTATCCATCGAACGTTGTACTCCTCCATTTCCTTCTCGGTCCCGTTCCCGGTCACGTCGACGTCGAAATCATCCTCCAAATATTCTTTCAAAGTCACGAACCCGTCGTGGTCGTTATCCGTGACGTCGAATTCGTGTTCCGCTCGGTTTTCCGAGTGGTTCCTCGCCTGCGCGTAGTGCCAAATTCTGAGCTCTTCTCGCGAGACGATTCCGTTTTGGTCCAAATCGATCACAGGGAAGATTTCTTCCAATCGTTTGGTGACGTTAAAATCGTGGTACCGGTCGTAATCGTGGTAGTCTTCGTCGAAATCTTCGTTCGTTTCCCATCTGTTGTGCTCGTCGTCGTCGTCGTACGACGCATCGTCGTCGCGATGATGCGTCTCCACGTCGCCGCCGAAAGAGTGCTCGTGATTTTGCGCGTTTGATTTTTTTGTCTCTTCTGCGGGCGTTTTGCTAAAAAACGACCGTCTCGCTTCCACTGTCGTTTTCGTCGTCGTTTGCATCATCATCATCACGAAAGAGAAAAAGAAGACTTTAAAAAAGATACAAAACGAAGAAGAAGAAAAAGAAGAGCGTCGTCCTCCTCCTCGGCAGAGGCCACGCGTCGAAGTCGTTTCTGGTCTCGTTCTTCGCGTTCTGCTTTTCATTTTCGTCTTTTGATGGTGTGATTATATTATATATATATATGTGTGTAGAAAGAGAGAGAAAAGAGAGAAGAGAGAAGAGAATTTGACTGTCGTTTTCTGTCCAAAAATGAAGACCAAAAATTTAGACCAAAAACAGCTGCACTTTTTTCAAGGCAAAAAGAGGATTACACACAGCAGTAGAGTATTATATATCTACTTATTATCACTATACAAAAATCAAATACTAATGGGAGAAAACAAAAACGCGATGCCGATTTTACGGAAACGGCAACTGAAAAGAAGACTTTTATGCTGTGCAGTCTTGTTTTTGATTTTGGGAGCGCACGTGTGGAAAAATCGATTGCGTGATGAAGATTCTTTTAACGACGACGATGATGATGATGATGATGGATTGATGAGAAAAAATGCGAACGAGGACGGGAGGAAGAAGAGTTTACGAAGCAGAGGAAGAGGAGATGATGATATAGATGATACAGATGATGATATAGATGATGATGATGATAACGATGATGATGTGACGAATAATAATAATAAAGTGGAACGACTCCACACGAACACGAGAGTTCCAGAGTTTGCCTTTGGAGGCCAATGGGGAGCAACCAGAAACCAAGCGAAACTAAACGAGCGCACGTCGCCGACGTTCGGGTGCCACGCGACGACGTCCATGCACATCAAAAATCCAGACACGGATAAACTGGAAGTTCTCGTCGCGTGGTTCGGCGGTTCCTACGAAGGCGCCGAGGACGTCGGCATTTGGACGGCGAGGAGAGACGAAGAGACCGGGATGTGGACGAAACCAAAGTTAGCCGCGAAGAAGTTTAGAAATAAACCGTACGAAGGGAAGAACTTGAAACATAACTCGCCGTATAACAAGCCAGAGCCGGAACGGAAAGGAGGCGAGCCGCATTGGAATCCGGTTTTGTTTTGCGCCGGCGCCGGCGAATCGGACGGGGACGGGGCGAGTTTAGGATCGTGCGAGAAGGAAATCGTCTTGTATTTTAAGCTCGGGTGGAAGATTTGGTTCTGGGAGACGTGGGAGGTGAGGTCGCGAGACGGTGGGAACACCTGGTCCGAGCCGAAAGAGACGGTGAAAAACGATAAAGGAGGGAGAGGACCGGTGAAGAATAAACCAATCGTGTTATCGGACGGGACGTGGCTCGCGCCGGCGTCGTTGGAAGGGCCAATGCCCGGCCAAAAAAGGAAACAATGGCGCGCGTTTGCGGATATTTCTATCGATTTAGGTAAAACGTGGAAACCGAGCTCGATTATTTTACCGAGCGAGAACGGGTACGGGAACATTCAGCCGACGGTGTGGGAGAGCGAGCCCGGGCACGCGCACATGCTTCTCAGATCCTCTCGAGGTCGAAAAGGGATGTGGATTTGGCGTTCAGATTCTAAAGACGGCGGGAAGACGTGGACGCAAAGTAGAAAAACAAAGTTACCGAACAACAACTCCGGTTTAGACGTCGCGTATTTACCGAAATCGAAAGTGCTCGTGTTGGCGTACAACCACGTCATGAACGTCGACTCGCGATCGCCGATTCGATTAGCCATATCCAAAGATAACGGCGAAAACTGGGAGTTACAAGTGGAATTAGATAACGAGAAAGGGTCGGTGCATAACGCCGGTCACGAGTACTCGTACCCGTCGTGCGTCCCTTGGCCGGCGAAGGAGTACGGCGAGGAAGGCGTTTCGGTGACGTACACGTGGCACAGAAGACGCGTGGCGTTCTTCTCGGCGAGTTTGCGGGAACTTTTGAAAATGGCCAAGCCGAACGACCAATTAACGATTTAGTGAGTGGTGATGTTTAGTTGTTATGATTAAAATCTGCAAAAACGCGCTATGTGTCTGTAGTTTTCGCACCGCGGGTATTAATCGGTGGTGGTTTTATAACTGTTACATTTTTCGCATTTTACTTTTTACAATTATATACATTAAGCGGCACACAGACTAAGACACAAGCGCGGGTTCTTTAAAAAACTTAGTGCGGCGAAGGAAAGTTTTCGCTAGTACTACTACTCGAAGAGCTCGTCGTCGCCGCTCTTTTACCGTTACTTCCTTCTGTCGGTTCGTAATCGTCGTTGTACGTCAACAAGTTATCGTAGTAATCTACCGTTTTCTCGTTCGTCGTGGAATACGCAAACTTGACGATGCTTCTTTCTCCTTTAGTAATCGGCGTGACTCGATGCACGACGGAATCCGCTTGAACAATCAACACCGAATTCGGTTCCGATCGAATCCCTCGTCTCCTTCCGGTGTCCACATCTTTCCACTCCGTTCTCGAATCCGAGCTGTTGTGAATTGTACACACAATCTCAAACTGCGGCTCGGTATACAACGCCACGTCTCGATGCCAATCCATGCTCCCGCCAAACGGATATATCCTATACTCCACCGGCACATCCGACGGTTTCAACGCGTTTCGCTTGTTCGCATCTAACTTCTCTTCATCCGACAAAACCAACTCTCTCAACTTCTCCGCTGCGAATTCCGAGCAGCACATTTGATGCACCACGTCTTCCTCCGGCACCATCACGCCTAACCGAGAGTTTGCGCACACTCTTTTTTCTTCCTTCAAATGTTTCCTCAAATCGTCGCACGCTCGCGCAATCTTCTCAAAATCTTCTTTTTCGAAGAAATTCCGAACGTATAAGAATCCACCGGCGAGTTCGAACGCGGAGGACTGGGAGGAGGAGGAGGATTTATTACTATTCTTAATCACGCTATTCCTAATAATCGTGCTACTTAATTCTTCTTCTTGGGACGAATTGTTGTTCATGTTATTACTCGTATTCGCTGCTCGACTCCTCCGCCGTCTCCCTCTCGTCGACTCGATCGTCGTCGTCGTCGAAAAAAAGAAGCTCTTCTTCTTCTTCTCGTCGTCGTTGTTTTCATCGAAAAACTCGTCCTCTGAATCGTCCTCCTCGTTCGTGTTGTTTGAATGCGCGGATGATGATGCATCCGCTGAAATCTTTGTCAACGGATGATGATTGGTGCTTCTTTTGCTCCTCCTCCTCCTTCTTCCACCGAACGACTTTGACGCCTTCGAAAAGGAAAGCACCAAAAGCGAATAGGAGGAGAGAGAGGAGGCCATGATTTTCTCGCGTTTTGTTCTCTTCTCTCTTTTGTCCTCTCTTTTCGTGTTGTTGTTTTTGTTGTTGTTTGAAGAGAGATCTCTCTTTTATGACGAAGTTTTCCTCCTCCGTTGTGTGATTTTCTCTGAAGAGGAAAAAAAAAGACTCGCGAGTCTGATGCATTTTTTCTCTTGAAGCTTCTCTTCTGTTTTTTTTTAACAAGCAAGCTTGTTGTGTTTTTGGGGTCTCTTTCATTCCTGAACGTCATTGTTGTTCAACACTCAACACACACACACACACCTTATATATATATATATATATATAATAACGAAAAATATGGCATCGTTTCGTGTGAGTAAATAGTATCTATCTCGCGTTTACGCGGAAAGAGAAGAGAGAAGACGTTCGCGTCTCTCTTTTCTCTCTCTCTCTTTCGATTCGTTTTTTCTTTTCGTTTTAGCGCGTTTTTGGACGACGAAATGAAGAGAGGAGGGAACAAAAAATTTCGTCGTGCCTCGAAAAGTACCGCGAAAGAGGACGACGACGAGGATGAATATCGCGTCGTTTTTCATAGGAAAAGGAAGGAGACTGTCTCAAAGAGAGGAATGTGATGCTCATTTCGCGTCTGCGAACGTCGCAAAGAGCACGCAACGTTGCGTTTTCGACGACGATGATGTGCTTTTTATTCCTCTCCCGTTGAAGACCTTTCTTTCCTCTCTGTTGTGAGCACAAAAAGGGGGAAAAATTGAGAGAGAAAGGACATTAGTAAACGCGAAAAAAAACCTTCACGCGAAGGCGCGACACCTGTGGGTGTCGCGCTTTCGCGCGAAGAACTTTGAAACGATTCTCTCTTCGGCTTTGTGATGAAAGCCGCAACAAAAGCGCGCGGTTATATGTGTTTTAGGCCGACGAAACTTGAAAATTTCTTCCGTCAGAGAGGAAAAAGTCCTAAAACGTGGTTCTCCTCTCGAAGGTGTCTCAAAAGTCTGTGTTTTTGAGAGATTACGGCGCGTATTTTTTCTTTCTGTTATAACTGACCTTTACAATCCTCTCCTCATTTTCTTCATACATTAACAGTACCATCAATATCAAATCGTAGGTCGACGCGTCCCGACGGAGCAAGAACCAACGCCGCAGGTGTACCGCATGAAGCTTTGGGCCTTGGACGCGACGAGAGCGCGCTCGAAGTTTTGGTACTTTCTCTCGCGATTGCGAAAAGTGAAGAAAGCGAACGGTCAAATCATCGCGTGCAACGAGATTTTTGAGAAGGACGACACGACGGTGAAGAACTACGGGGTTTGGATTCGTTACCAGTCCCGAGTTGGGTTTCACAACGCGTACAAGGAGTACAGAGAGACGACTATGAACGCGGCAGTGGATGCGCTCTACACGGAGATGGCCTCGAGACATAGAGTCCGCTCTCACGCGTTGCAAATTATCAAAATCGCAGAAGTCGCGAACGAGGATGTGAGAAGAGAGAACACGAGACAGTTCTTGGCCGACGACGTCTCTTTCCCGGTTGTCCGAAAGACGCTCAGACACGACTCCAAGTCTCAAAAGACTACGTTCAAATACCAACGCCCGAACTTTGCCATCCTCTAAGAAAATTTTGTTTTGGATACGACTGTATGTGGTGTATTAGATATTACGTACAGATGATTGAAAAGAAAAGAAAAGAAAAGAGAGGATAAAGAGAGAGAGCGAAAGAGTATTTGAATTGTTTGAGAGATTGAGAGCGTGAAAAGAGAGAGTGTATTTATGGGATTCAACAAGGGAGAGAGAGAGAGAGAGGAAAATATATTAATTTAGAAATGCGATTAATGAGAGAGAAGAGCGAGAGAGAGAGAGAGAGAGAGAGTAAGAGGAGGAGAGGTGAGGACCAAGTGGCACTTGGTCTTTAAAATTAGACATAACATATAAAAAAGCAGAGGGCGCGTTTATAAAAAAACACACACTGAGGAGGCTTTGGTTTCATCCCGAAGACTAGTTATTCACATATTATTATTAGCTTTTGTGAACACAGCGAGAGAAATCATACACAACATAAAAAAAAGAAAGAGTATTTAAATTAAATTTACAGTACGCGCGGCGCGAAGTCAGCGTCTAGTCGTCTTTCTTCAACTGATTCGAATTCGCGGCGAACGACGCCTCGGGGTTCCCCCAGTTCTCCTCGTACGTCGCCGCCACCTCCGGGTCCAAATCCAATCCGCTTTTCAAACTCTCTCTCCCCGTCGCGACGAACTTGCCTTTCGGCGGTCGTTTCCTTCCGCTCGGCGTCCATTTCACCATCCACCCGTCGTATCCTCCTTTAACGCCGAAGATTTGCTCGTACCCGAACTCTTTCTGCATCTTTTCCGCGACTTGGCACGCGATCGTTCCATCCGCACACGCCAGTAATAACTTCGCCGAGGATGGATTTATGTATTTATTTTTCAGTTTCTCCGTGAACTGTTCAATCGTATCTGTTCCGTCGTAAGGCACATTCACGGTTTGCCTCGGTGGTTTCACGATGTGTTCCTTCTCGTACATTTTCTCAGTTCTCATATCCACGAAGAGAAACTGTTGGCGTTCCATCAACAGTTTCGCCGGGTCGATATCTTTTTCAAACGATGCATCGGAGGACGACGCTCGAACGACAACGGCGTGGTTTCGAGCGAAGGCTTTCACTCTTGGTCTTCTTCTTCCTCTCGCTGTTGTTTGCGCTCCGTCGTTCAGAGAAGATACGATTGCAGATGTTTGATTACGATGTAACCGAGGCGCTTTCACGAGAGCAACGGGAGTCGCTTTATTCGCAGACGGAGCAGAGTTCGCGGAAGCGAGAGAGGATGGTTTTGCGACTGTTAAAGACATCGTTTTCATCGTCTTCTTCTTCTTTGCGTTGTTGTTGTTGTTGTTCTCCGCTTTTGAAAAGATGACATAAAAGCGTGACAAAAATGGCGCTTTTAACGCGCTTAAATCATCAACACACTCATCGAAAGAAGACTCGAAATAAGAGACTTCTTCCGAGTAAAATATGCATCTGTTTGACCTCTGTATTTATTCTCGTCGTTTTCTCGTCGTCTGAATCGTTCACGTCGTTAAAGCGCGAGCGCTTCAAAGTGTTCTCGATTTCCCGGAACGACGTGAAAGCGCTCGCAGGATTCGGAAAAGGACGCGCGTTTACGAGACAAAAGGAGGAAGAAACAAACGAAAGAGGACAAAAAAGAACGCTCGACGATGCGTCCCTCGAAAACCACGAGTACGAGCGAAAAGGAGTGGGCGTTATAGAAGAACGTTTGAAGTTTACCGACGATGACGACGACGAAGAGGACAACGACGAAGCAGACAAAGAAGAAAATACGCGAAGAAGCAAACAAAGACGAGGAAAAGAGAACATCGAGGAGAACGCTGCCAGTAATGCTGCTACTTTGAGTACTACGAGTACCGCGAACGAAAACGAAGAGAATGCCAACAACAAAGAAAAAATGTCACCACGGAAAATCGCGTTCCTCTCCATGCCGAAACAATTGTCGAAGAAACATTTATCCGCGAAAAGTCAAGCGCCGCAGACGCTTTCGGAAGCGCGAGTAAAACTGAACGAAGGATTGAGACACGTGAAGAACGAACAGAAGATGAGGAGAGAAATTACGAGGTCGATAAAGCAACACACGACGGTGGCGAAGAGAACCGCGAAGTTTGTTGGTCAGAGGAGTAGTAGTGATAGTAGTAGCGGTGGGAGTAGTAGTAGCGAGAGTAACAGCGAGAGCGAGGAGCGAAGAAACGAGGAATCAAACGAAAACGACGAAGGAGGCGAAAGGGGAGGTGAACAACAACACGCAACAACAGATGATCCGCAAAAGATGACCGAAATCGATCGCTTAGCGTGGGAAATCAACACCAAAGAGTTCACGAAGAGCAAATTCCCGTGGGCGGACCCGTTCGTTGTTTTGTGCGAACGATACTCGCGTTTTTTGCGCAACGGCGTTCGATACAAAACCGTCCCGTGGGCGAACTTGGTGGAAGATATCAACGCGAAATACGAAGCGGACGGGCAGACGATCACGTCGAACACGGAGATGCTCATGGTGACGTTCGCTATCGAACGGTTGAAAGAAATACACGACGAAGAATCGAGAGTGAGAACAAAGTTGGAAGAGATTGAGAGAAAGTTAATCGCCTCGGCGCGAGAGAGTTCGAGTAAAGCGTTGGAGAGACTTAAAGCCGATAGCGGGATGGCGGATGTAGACGACGACGACGACGGTAAAGAGAATGAAGGAGATAAAGGTGCGAAAGACCCGGCGTTATCGACTTCCAGGGGCGGGCGTCCCAACGGACGAAACAACAAGCAGTACTTAGTCGACGAGCGCGAGTTCAACGAAGAGTTTATTCCCAAAGTTCGCAAATTGGCCAAAGCGTTGCTCAAAGACGTTCAGTGGGTGCACGACGAAGACAGCGAGGAGTATAAAAACATGTACGCGACGTACGATAACTTTCACAAAAGTCACTCCTCGGGAGAGCGCATCGACGAAAAAGATATTCAAGTACCGAAAGGCGTCTCTCTCGGTGAATTCGAAAAACGATTTTTACCGGAAAACGGCCAAGCGTACCCGAGCGGGAAGAAGAAACCGTCGTGCGCGTTGGTTGGCAACTCGCGCGCGTTGTTAGCCAACGACCGTCTCGGCGAACAAATCGACGACCACGACGTCGTCATGCGCTTAAATCAAGCGCCGTCGAAACGGTTCGAGAAATACGTGGGGCATAAAACCACGCATCGTTTGTTAAACGCCAAATGGACGCAAGCGTATAAATCGAATCCGTATTTACAGACGGAGCCGAACGTGACGTTTGTGATTACGAGGACGGATTGGTTGACGTATTTAAGAGCGGCAAAGGTGATGGCGAATTTGAAACCAAACTATTTTCCGAAAAATGCCGCCTCTTCTGCGTCGTTCTCGTCGTCGGAAGAGGAGGACAACGGGGCGAGTAGTAATAACAACAACAACGCAATTGGTGGAGACACCACCGCGATGGACGAGTTCGGTGACATCGTACCCGTAGAGAATTCGAAAATGCCTTCCGACGAACAAGACGTCGACATCGCCGAACGCGTCAAACAAGGCATGCCGACCTTACGCTTACTCTCTCGTTCCGCCGTCGACGGCGCCGGCGATGTTTTGAGAGCGTTGAAACAAAACTTGGAAATCGTTCGCGGCAAAGCGTATAAAGGGAAAGCGTCGCCGTCGAGCGGTTTCCTCGGGTTTCACTTGTTGCGTCAATTTTGCGACACCTTGGACGTGTACGGCGTCGGAGATGACATCGCGTTTACCGGCGCGGCGTGGCATTACTTTGAAACGCAACACTTCCAATCTTCTAGAGAATTCGGCGCCGTGCCGCACCATTCGTTTACGTTAGAATCGGACGTGATGCAACTGTTAGACGCGACGGAACAAATTCGACATCAAAGAGTGCACGTGGATAAAGAGACGATGCAAAGGTTGGAGTTTATGAAAGGCGCGCCGATACGAGAAATCAGAGCGCCGCAGAATCTAGGACGGATTGCAAACGCGCAAGCGAAGAGAGAGCAGAATAAAAAGGCGGCTGCCTCATCGGAAAGACCCTCTTCTTCTTTCGGTGGCAGTGGCGGCTTGTCTCACGCGGAATCGTCCATGATGAAACGAGGCTACGGGAGCGCAAAGAAAAGAAGCGGCGGAAGTAAAGCGGCGGCGAGTAAAAAAGAGTCGTCGTTTACGTCGTCGAAATTGGATTCGGATTCGGAATCGGCGGATCCGCTTTCTGGTTTAGTTTAGAGTATAGATATATGTATAGATCATGTTCTTCTAGAAGCGCTACTAGTAAGATGCTACGCTCTATTATTATTAATTCGTCTTCTTCTTCTGTGCCTGTTTTGACTTCATCCTCGCTAAAACGTTGATGCACATGTGTATTAATTCCATGTGCCAACCCATCAACACGTACGCTAAGAACGCGTGCACTCGCATGATTTCGTCTTTCAAAATGAAATTGAACAAACCAGTCGTGATATTCGCGAAGAGAAAGACGAGCATTGGAGACGCGTTGGCTCTTTGCAAGATGGACGGAACGGTATGGTATTGTTCGTGTATGAACGCCATGACAACCATCGCGGAGACGTTGTACGTGCTCATCCATAAAATATACCCAAAATTGCACAGACGTCGAGACGGTTTGATGATTTTGAGAACATCGATTGAGGTGTACGACGCTATCCAAAGCATAAGCGCGAGCCACACCGCGCGACGCAAATCGCCCTCGCTCTTTTTCGTGTGCACGTATTCGCCAAAAAACCGTCCGAAAAAGTGTAACGACGTCATTCCAACGCACGAAAACGCACCCTCTCGGTTTAGCGTAACGAATGAGACGACGTCCGTATATTTCGTTGGAAACGCGCCTCGCTCTTTCGTCGGTAAAAGCAACCACGATTCGAGTTTCATCGTCGTATTTTTCGCGTCGTATACCACGTTCCTTCCGAGCAACAGTTCGACGAGAATCGCGATGCTCGACGCGACGATAAAAGTATTCCGCATTCGATATTTACCAGTAATAAAACGACCACACGCACAAACAATCGCCGTCGATAGGATATCAATCACCGCCAAACTGAAGAAAAAATTCCACATCGGTCCGTATTCCTCCTCGACGAGCTGATAGCCGCTTCTTTTCACGGAAACGTACCTCGCAAACCCGAGAATGAATGAAATCGACGCTCGTTTCATCATTCGCAGAAACACTTCTCCACTAGAAGAAGCTCCTTCTTCACCTCTACTACCATTACTACTACTACTATTAATACTACTTCTACTATTACCTCTTCTATTAACGCTTCTCTCGCTTCGCCGCCACTTCACGCAACTCGCGCTCGCCACGAACGACCCCGCGCCGACGTCCATCAACGAAACGCCGTAGTCTTTCGTCTTCCCTAACCTCCTGGGCATTTGCGAGAAATCGATGGCTAATATCGCCGAGCACGCGGATAAGAGCATCGCCGAGCGGTACAGGTTTAACCACGCCGTCGTAGAATTTGTATTCGTATTCGTATTCCTATCTTTCTTTAGAGAAGAAGAAGAAAAACCAATCCGTCGAAGGCACAAAATCGCTCCCAACGCACCGCTCAACTTTGGATGAAAAACGCATAAAATCGTCGGGAATAACACGTGCAGAAAATCTCTCCACCGATTTTGCAACGAGAGTAGTTTATCAAAGTCTTTGTCGTCTTCGTCAAAGTCTTTAATTTCTCGACGACATCGAACGCCGACTGATTCTAACACGAACAGCGTCAAGAAAAAAATCTCAAACGCGTTTCCATCTTCTTCACGACCGAAAGCGCGATTGGTCTCAGATTTCAATCTGCCGTCGTACCGAAAGAATCCTCCTATTCCTCCTCCTTCTCTTCTTCCCTCTGTCATTTTCCGCTCGTGAATAAAAAACGCGTTTATTGGAAAGCGAGAGAAGAGAGCACTTCTTAATTTGCGTATTATATAAAACAAGTACGGACTAATAAAACTGTGTGGAAAAAACCGTTCACGAGAAGCACCAGAAGGGACACCTCGAGAAAGAAAAAGAGTACGAAGGACGCACTTACGAGTACGAAGGAACAACTCGCGATAGTTTTTGTTAAGTGCTTATGTCGTACTCGAAAGTAAAGAAAAGAGTAAGGACGAAGCACTTACACCCTAAATAGTCACATTTTTTTTTGTGTTAAAACAAGCAACCGCACACGAGAAAGAATTCTTTGTTCGCTCATTAAAAACCTCCCTTTCGTTCTTCTTTCGTGCTCGCCTCAAAAGGAAGAGATTATGTTTTGATGCGCACGGGAAGAGCGGGGTACTAATTTATACAAAGAAGAGATCTGAGGACAGCAGCACACGTAAGCTTTACTTCTTCATCATAATAATGAGGCTGAAGAGCGGGAGATCGCCGAGAGAGTCGGAGACGAACAGCGATATGAATCGAGACGAGGACATCACGAATGCGTCTCGTGGAAAAACCTCAACCACATTTACGACTCACGAGAAGAAGGAAGGCACGGTTGAGGATGGTTCAGAACAACACCCTCAGTTCGCGGTCACTCTGTTAGAAAAACATCAAGAGCAACAACAACAACAACAACAACAACAAAATGATTTAACAAGTCCTCCTCCAACGAAAGGACAAGACGAGAAACCGAATGAAATGTCGCGAGCGAGAAGGAAAAAAAACGAAGCCATTGCAGTTGTTTCGGAACTGTACAGGTTACACGAAGTCGGCAAGAAAACAAACTTTCGAGTGACGCAAGAGGGGTTATACCAAACGATGGTGGAACTCGTCAATAACATCTCCGCGAGAGTGGAGAAGAGCAACATGGTACAAATGTGGGTCCCGAGGATTGCCGGGAAAAGCGTGGTGATGACGACGCACGGCGAGCTGTGCAAGATATCGGCGAAGAAGAAGACGCACGACTCGGTGTTGGCGAAGAAGTTTACCGAAAACACGACGGCGTTTTTTTTCAACTGCGAAGTGACCAACGGAGAAGGGATGTTAGGTCTGCCGGGGAGGTGTTACGTTTTGAGTCGACCGGAGTTTACGCCGTCGGTGACGTCGTATCGACCGATGGAGTACGTGAGAGTGGCGTGCGCGTACGAGTGTCGGATACACACGACGATGTGTTTGCCGGTGTTTTTAAGCGAAGAGGCGATGAAGAGCGAACGGCCGTTTACTATTTTAGAGGTGGCGTTGTGTCACATGACGGAATCCATAGGGGAGCTCTACGCCGCAACCGCGCACGAGTTTATGAAACTCGGGCTGTTTACCACCGGACACGACCGCGTCGGGCCGGAGAGGTACATGAGAAAGTTCATCGAGTCGACGGTGGAGACGTTAGCGCCCGGGCACGCGAACGCGTTGGAGTTGATGTGCGAGACGTTAAACGTTCCGTTCGCGCAATTTTGGATCGAATCGAACGGGCTCATAGTCACCGCCGGGTGTCCGTATTTCGTGAAGGAAAAAGAGTGTCAGAGTTACCGGGACATGTCGTCGCAAATATCGCTGATGATTGGCCAAGGACCGGTTGGACAGGCGCACTCGAAAGAGACCTTAATTTGGGTGGACGACGTTCAAAAAGCATCCCAGATCGAGTGGCCGTTGCATCACACGTCTATTTTACTCGGTTTGAGAGGTTTGTGCGCGTGTAAGATGCGAATCGATTGCGTCTTACCGGACGGGACGAAGAAAAAAACAGACGCGATTCTTGAAATTTTGTTAAATCCGAAACTCCAAACGTCCGCGGAGCAAATACAAACGGTGGAGGAGGTGTGGAGTTATCTACAAAGGGGCGTGAGAGTGGATAACACGAAGAATGCGCCAGATGGTGCGAGCGCGCCCGCGGTGCCTGACTCGCCGTTAGCGGCTACGGCTGGCGTGCGAGGAAACGACGAACAACCGGCGTCGATGTTGATGGAATTGCCGGATTTAACAGGAAAGAACAACAACACAGATACGACCAGAGAAGGGAAGAACAACGACGATAAAACAGGAAAAGGAAAAGGAGCGGCGCCGATGACGACGTTACAAGCCGTCGAGCACATTTCTATGGTGAACAAAGGCCCAGACGAGAAGAACAAAACATCGGCGCCGTGGGGGATCACTCTAGAGTTACTCCAAACGCAATTTTCTAAGCATTTAAAAGACGCCGCGACAGATTTAGGAGTCGGGAGTACCACTTTAAAACGAATTTGTCGTCAATACGGCATCGGGCGTTGGCCTCGACGATCGTTGAAATCGAAACAGTATAAAGCGATGAAAGAAGCCGCGAAGCAGCAAAGCTCGCAAAACAAACTGAGGAAAGCGAGGAGTAGCGGCGGACACAGTTCGGGTGGTTCTCCTCGCGACGGGGGGTCCTCGTTTAAATCGTCCGGTGGTGACAGCGATGCTGTCGCTGGTGAATCCGTTCACGGTCCAGGCGGTCGCATGAGTGGAGGAGGCTCGTTGTCGAACTTGGCGAAAACCGGCGACGGTAGTCCGTTGGGCGACGGGTTATTTACCATGGGAAGTACGGGAGGTGCGCCAATCAGAGGAAAAGAAGGCTCCGGAGGAGTGGGTGCGTTACTTGGTAGCGGAGAAGAAGGTCGTTCGCACGGTGGATTTCAGGCTTTTCGCGGCATAGCGACGCAAGGCCAATTCGATTGGGGCGACGAGGAAGAACGAGAGCGAGGCGCATCCTGGCACGCCGGAAGCGGATTCGTCTCTCACGGTCGCTTGAAAAACGCAAAAGGTCAAATCGTCGCCTCGGGTTCGCAACACGGCGGTCACACCGCGTCGCAGTTTTTCGGAGCGCAACAACACCAACAACCGCATCAGAGTATGCCCATCGCGCCCGCCATGCAACAAGGAGATTTCGGACTGGCGGCGGAAAAAGCAGAAACGAAAACACCGAATAAAAAATACAAGAAAGACGTTGCCGTTGGAACAAAAGCAGGCGCCGGAAAAGCTGCCGTGCCGTTTTCTTTCGACGATCATTTTTACGAAACCGTTCACGGCGCGCACAACTTTTCGCAACAATTGTATCCACATCAATACAACAACAACGACGATAGCGTCCACGGTTCGACGTATTCCGAATCCGCACACGGCGGTTCGCATTACAACGGAGGGTCTATGCACGGAAACCCGGGCGGGGACCATTCCGTGCACGGCACGACGGCTTTGGCGGGTATATTGAACAACACTCTCGGGGGTTTTGACGACGATTTGTTCATCGCCAACGATACGATGGAAGAGGCGGACGCGGACATGATGGCGATTTTACTCAACGAAGGCGAGAAAGTTGAGGAAGTGCCGCAACTCGTTGTGAAGTTTCGAGTTGGTGCAGATACCATTCGGTTTCGCTTGTTGCACAAATGGTCCGTACAAATGCTTCTCGATCGGATTCGAAAGCTCATCGTCTTCCCTGATTCGGCGAAATTGAAATACATGGACGACGAAGACGACATGTGCATTTTACAAAGCGAACACGACTTGGACGAGTGCATCAAGTTTACCGAGCATCGCAAGAAGGAGAGTGGAAACAGCGGGAACAATAAAAGTGCCACGAACGACCCAGTTGTCATCGGTGAGAGCAACGCTCAGAACAACGCTCGGCAGCAGCAGCAACAGCAACAACAACAGAAGCAAGAGTTATTAGCGACAGGTTTCGCCCCGAACAAACCAAACGGAGGTGAAATTACCATCTTTATCTGTTTAGCGGATGGCTCCATGCCCTCATTAAACGCCTACGAGTTGATCAAGCAAGACATTCACTCGATACCTCCGTCGTTATCTGCCTCGGTGAACGCGCGAAGAGACCAACTCACGATCAACGTCAAAGTTACGCACGACAACGACACGTGCCGATTTTTGTTGGAACCGAAAATGAATCACGTGACTCTGATGGAACACGTCTTGAAACTTTTCGGGATACAAAAAGAGACGTCGTCGTCGTCGCATTATCACCGATTGACGTATTTGGACGACAGCGAAGAGTGGATCACGTTGGCTGGTGATTTAGACTTGGACGAGTGCAGAGCTTTGTGCGGTTGCTCTCCGAGTTTGCGCATGAAGCTGTTGGATCGTTGACAACAATTATTTGCAACATAAAATATACATATTTATATACATCGAACATTTCTTTCTTCCGAACAGGAAAGAGAGAGAGAATGAGAGAGAGAGAGAGCAATGATGAAGTTTAAGATGTACATATATTTGATTAGAAAAAGAAGTCATGAGCGAGCCGTTGACTTCTTACTCTCTCCATTTGTAATAACACCTTGATAGAATTCCATAAAAAATAATAATAAATTGTGCTTCAATCACACGATTGATGGGGCAAAACGTGTTGCTATTACACGCTTCTTCTTTCTTCTTTCCGATGATGATGATGATGATGAAAATGATGATTTCGCGACGCCGAAACACCTTCAAAATCACTTATTCAATTTCACGTCTTGAAATTGTTTTTCCAGCTTTTCCTTTTCAATCTCCGCCAGCCGTTTCCTCCCAGCCTCGGTTTTCTTCAGTTCGTGCACCGTCTTCTCTTTCTCCGCGCCTTTCACCGCCACGCCTTTCGTCGTCCCTCCGTGAATGGCGTGTAAATCCGACCACTCTTCCGGTTTAAACGGCATTTTCGGATGTTTCGAGTCCCAGTGCAACTCTCCGCTTTTTATCGAAGGCGCAGCCATGCCACAGATTGGACATTTAAACTTCGCGTGTCCAGCCGCGCCGCCTTTCCGATCTGCTAACCCAGCTTTCCCTCCGCCTTTGTTCGTCAACGCCGCGTCTTGCTTTTGCTTCAACTCTTTCGCCGTGTGCTTTTTCGGCTTTGCTTTTCCCGCCATGATTTGATGTCTCTGATTGAGATGATGATGATGGAACTTTACGTCCGACGATGATTTTTTAAATCTTCTTTACTCGCGTAAAATTCCTCCACACTCTCTCTCCAGCTCTCTCTGACTCTCTCTCTCTCTCTGACTCTCTCTCCTAAACTGCATATAATAATACCTTTATGGTAGTATAACGGTAGTACTCGCAGTCACAACAACACAAACTTTACCAAAGCACCGACCCAAAACCAAAGAGAAAAAATGAGGAAAGTCCAACACTTGTGTTTTGCTTCTGTTTCGTCAAAAATCAAGGAAGTCTGAAGTCCCAGAAAATTTTTGGTTGGTTTGCTCCTTGAAAATCCTAAAAAAGCTTCACTCACAACAACGCGCATAAAATAAAGACGAACAGTATGGCTGAACTCGCCACGCAAGAGGTGAAACTCTTCGGTAAATGGTCGTTCGACGACGTCGAGGTACGTTTTAGCGAAATTCGTGCATATCTTTGTTCTCGCGTGAGTAGGAAAGTGCGAGATTTCCGATACTTTTTCCTCTCTCGAACGTTTAGGCGAGATGGAGAGAGAGGGACGAGCTTTTTTTGTGCGCCCAATTTTTCACGATGAGGCGAAGGAAAATCAGCGCGCATATCGATGAGTATGAAAACGATGCGAAGTAAAACGGGAACAGTTCAGATTCGCATCGCGCGGTGATACTCTCTCTGCATCAAAACGAAACGTCGAATCGTTTGCTTTTGTTCAGGTCTTTTGTCCTCGCGTCTTTGCGCAAAATTCATCGCGCAAGACCCTCGTCTTTTCCGGTAGCCCTGGGAGTTCTTTTCAGAGTGGTTTCCTCCTGTGTACTCACTTTACGCGCTGTTTTCTTTAAACTCTCGAACTTCTTTCTTCGAATAAACAACAGATCAACGACATCTCTTTAGAAGATTACATCGCGGTGAAACCAAAATATGCCACCTTCGTCCCGCACTCTGCCGGTCGATACGCGGCGAAACGATTTCGAAAAGCCCAGTGCCCGATTGTGGAACGCATCGTGAACTCGCTGATGATGCACGGACGCAACAACGGTAAGAAATTAATGGCGGCGAGAATTGTCAGACACGCGATGGATATCATCTTCTTATTAACGGACCAAAATCCATTACAAGTGGTTGTCGATGCCATCATCAACGCTGGACCGAGAGAAGACGCCACGCGCGTCGGCTCCGCCGGCGTCGTTCGAAGACAAGCGGTGGACATCTCCCCGTTGAGAAGAGTCAACGACGCCATTTACTTGTTGACGACGGGCGCGAGAGAAGCCGCGTTCAGAAACGTCAAGACGATGGCGGAATGCTTAGCGGATGAATTGGTGAACGCCGCGAAAGGGAGCTCGAACTCGTACGCGATTAAGAAGAAGGACGAGTTGGAAAGAGTCGCCAAGGCCAACAGATAATACTTTTTACACGCTATATATTCGCTTGTCGTCGCGCAAAAAGCCAAAGAGACTCTCGTTGAAAGAGAGAATAAGAGAGAGAGAGAATTTGAGGAGATGCATCGAGAAAAGCGATATGTAAAGTATTATACATGTGTTTATATAAATATACTGGAGGGGGGTGTCAACAAATAGCAGAGAGAGAGAGAGAGAGTGAATAAGTGAGTTTTAATACAATTAAGTAAACTAGGAATCAAGATGAAAAACGTGTCTGAAAATCTCTTCATTTCTTCACCCTTTTGCCGCACAAACAACACACTCTATATACATAAAATAGTACTAATAATGTCGGACGACGAAGCGGTGGATGCGGTGCATCGTTTACCGCACGAAATGTACGAGCGATTAGGGTCCGTTACTGGTGGTGGATTACGTTTTAACATCGTTTCGGATGCGCACAAAAACACCTCGTCGTCGTCATCCGGCGGCGACGATATAAACCCAGTCGTGGAAACGTCCGTCCAACCGCGCGCGAATCAAATCTCTTCCTCGACGACGAACAGCAGCGAAGAGTACCAGTGCATAGAGTACACTCGAGACGGTTCTTTGTTCGCATCGATCGTCACTTCATCATCATCAGCGATGTGTGAGAACGACGAGGACGAAAGTGGTGGTCAGACTACGAGTAAAACGAATAAAACGAGTAAAACGAACGTCGTACTTTTCGACGGCGAAACGAACGCGGAAGTCACGAAAATATCCGAACAATTCGTCCAAGGCGCGAGTTGCGTCGCGTTTTCAAACACCGGGAAGTTTCTCTCGATATATCGCAAAGGCGCGAACCACGCCGGAGGGACCAAGGAGAAGAACTTATCCGTCTGGGAAATACCGAGTAAAGAAAACGACGAACCGAAGAAAGTGTTCGAGTGTTTCCAGAAGACGTTCGTGAAGCAAGAGTGGCCGTATTTGCAGTTTTCGAAGGACGATAAAGTGTGCGCGAGATGCGTGACGAACGAGATTCAGTTTTACGACGCGGAGAAGTTCGAGGAGGAAAAGGAGGAGGAGGAGACGAGTAGTCTCGCGCGGTATCGGATTCCAGGGGTCGCGTTGGCGAGGTTGAGCATGAGCGAGACGAAACCGACGGTTGGGGTGTTTGTGCCGGAAAGTAAAGGAATACCCGGGTCGGTGAGGATTTACGAGGTGCCGGACGTGAAGAAGGAGAAGGGCGTGAGCGAACCGAACGCGGTGGCGAGAAAATCGTTTTTTAGAATTTCCGAGGTGGATTTGAAGTGGTCGCCGGACGGGTCGGCGTTGTTAGTGTGCGGGTATTGCGAAGTGGACGCGTCGAACAAAAACTATTACGGCGAATCCTCGCTGCACTTTTTAAAAGCGGACGGAAGTTTGGATTGTAAAGTGGACCTGAGCAAGGAAGGACCCGTGCACGACGCGCAGTGGTCGCCGACGAGCGAGAATTTCGCGGTGTGTTACGGGTTTATGCCGGCAAAATGTACCATTTTTGACGCGAAGAAGTGCGTGGCGACGTACGAGCTAGGCGCGGGGCCGCACAATACCATTCGGTGGAACCCGTTCGGCAGATTTATCATGCTCGCCGGGTTCGGCAATCTTCCCGGCGACGTCAAATTTTATCATCGCTTGTTCGACGGGAAGTTTAAGCTGATGGGAAGCTGTCGAGCGGCGTGTTCGGTAACCGCGGAGTGGTCGCCGTGCGGCAGAAGGTTGTTAACGTCCACGGTTGCGCCGAGATTGAACGTAGATAACGGATTTAAAATTTGGCGATACAACGGCGAGTTATTGGCGCACGTAGAGAGAGAAAAATTGTACGAAGCCGCGTGGCGGCCGAGGAAAGAAGGCGCGTACCCGAGTTTAGGAATTTCAAAAAACAGTAAACGCGTCGAAGGTGGATCCGCGAGCGGTTCGGTGAATGCCATTCCGGAGAAACCCGCCGCGTTTGTCCCGCCGCATTTACGAAACAAAAGTGGCGGTTCGTCGACGTCTGGAATGGGAAGCCGATCAAACTCTGGAGGCAATTTTTCCTTAGCCACGGTTTCCGCGGAGGAAGCGAGAGCGGGGAAAGTGAAAGCGGCGGTAGATAACATAGCTAAGAAACAACAACAGTCTCAACAAAAACGAGTCATTCCGGGTGCCGAGCCGGTGGTGAATGAAACGGCCGCGCAAAAGAAGAACAGGAAGAAAGCCGAGGCGCGCCGCGCGAAAAAGTTAGCCGAGGAAATGGAGGCCAAGAATAAGGTGTAAAATTTTATATCATCATTTTAGAATATCTCGCGTATATCTTTATTCCTTTCTTCTAATTGTATGTATGCAGTAGTCTCTCTTTCTCTTTCTCTTTCTCTTTCTCTTTCTCTTTCTCTTTCTCTTTCTCTTCTTCTTCTTCTTCGCTTCAAGATAGTTCAAGTCGCGCGTTCTCTTTTTCCGCTACTTACGTTCTGGTTTCTAAAATTCATTGTTATTCTGATTTACACGCGCTTTTCTCTTTCCTTCTTTCTTTCTCTCCAAATCAATCTTCATCTCAAACGCACGAAAGTGATTTACGCCAAGTACCTGAACTTCATTTTATCGTCCGGATCTCTTTCGATGTACTCTTGATCGATGGCTTTTTCAATCATTTTCTTCACTTTCTTCACTTCGGGCAAGAACAATTTCTTCAACGAGTTGACCACTTCCAGCTGTATATCTCCGTGTTTCATCGTCTTTCTCGACTTCATCACGCGGACAACCGCGGCTAAAATCGTTTGGTCTCTGTCTTGGTCGACGATTTCGTTCACTTTTTTACGATCGACTTTACTCATTTTCGGAATTTTAATTTTTCTCGCCTTGTCCGTGAAGTCGTCGTTAAAAGTGATGACGTCCAAAGCGTTGATGGTGCGTTTCTTTTCGTCCGGGTTCGCCGGCTGGTGCTTTAAAAGCTTAAACTTGGAGAACATAATTGCCGGGAGTTCCTCGCGTAAATCATCAATCCCGACGCCCATTTTCTCGCAAATTTCCTCCACTTTCAACGAATCAAACTCTCGAAAGAGCAACAAGATGGACGCTTGCAACGTCGAACAGGAAATTTCGATTGGCTTTTGCGCGAACTTGATGTTCAACGTGACGCCCGAACCGGCGCCGAAAATCCACGTCAACTTCCTAGATGCGTACGTGTTCTCGTAAAACTCTTCGTACTTTTTCACGCACTCCGTCAACTCTTCCGGTAACGTCATCGCCATCACCGTGTACGTCGGCCAAGACCCGTCTGCTAAGATGGTGACATTCATGTCCGTTTTCGGCATCGGCTCGTTGTTCTTCGCGCTTTTTTCTTTCAACCACTCCACGTATTTCGGGTTGTTTTCTTTCGCCATTTGAATATCGCTCACCATGGATTCCATCTTCATCGTAAACTGCGCGCCGTTGCATTGTTTCAGTTTCGATAAGAGAGATCTTTCCAAATCTTCGCTCGCCGATTGATCTTGCAACAAACGCGTGGCGAGTTTTTGTTTGGCGATTTCGGCGAACAAGTCCTTGTCCGAGATGTACGCGAGAAGCTTGACGATTTTCTCCAAGTGATCTTCGATGACTTCGTCCGTTAACTTTTCTTTCCCACCTTTCTTCAAAACCGAATGGCAAAAGTTCGCGAGTAACTCCGCGATGGTCACTTCGCCGATGCTCTTGTTGCAGAAGCGTTCAAACGCGTCTTTGAACGCGCGTTGGAAAACCACGTCGTCGTTGAAACACTCGGAAACGAACGCGATGTACTTGTCGTGACACTTGATGATGTCTTGAACGAACGACTGTTCGACCGTAGACGGCAACGCTTGTTGCTTCCCGCTTACCGTGCCTTCCTCGTTGATGCTTTGCGTCGCCATCTCGACGAGTTCCAAGCCTCGCTCCGTGACGTGATCTTTGAACGCCTTGGCGATCGGATCGACGCCGTTTGGAATGCGCGTGAACAAGCGAAACAATCTCGCCAAATCCTCTTTTCGGTCGTTGTTTAACAACCACGAAACGCCGCTGCCTTCCTTCTCCAGAAGCTTCGTTTCGTGTTCGGCTAAAATTTCGTGCTCGATTTTCGACATGAGTTTCGGCTCCGTCGACGGGTGCAAATAATGCTGCACTCGATCTTTTTCCATGTCCAAACACCCTTCCGCTAAAACCAAATAGTTCGGGCACGACTCTTCTTCTATCCAAACTGCGGCTTGTCTCTTGTAATGCGCCGCGGTGACGTTTAACATCGGCGTCTCAAAATCCAACTCGTACGCTTGCAACGGCTCGCTATTCGGATCCGAACCCATTTGGACGAAAATAGACACGATGGATTTCACCAACGCGCGGTCGATTTGTTCGCCTTCTCTCTCCTTATCGATCAACGTCAACGTCGCGTCTTTCATCGCCCCGGCTAACGTTTTGTACACTCTGTCCCGAAAGCACGTCATCCCGACGTCTTTTAAACTCGCGTACGAGTGTCTGGCGATGTAATACCGATCCAAATAGTTGAAGAAGCGCGACATCCATCGAACCATGATGTCGTGATTTTTCCACCTCAAGTCCAACTCTCTCAGTAAAAACTCCCCGGACCTCGATTTCAGCGCCGGTATGCACACGCTGTCGATGTACTCCTCGAACACTTCCTTGTATTTTTTATACAGCGCTTCCGAGTAGTCGTGCGGCGGTTTTTGCGTGCACATGTCGTAACACGTCGTGTAATGAATCATAAACTCTTGCGCGTTGATTTCTTCGACCACATTCCCGTTGTTCTCTCCGTTGTTCTCGTTGTTCTTCGAGGACGGGTTGTCTAACAAATTTTTCAGCTTTTGGATGCCGGTCTGTTGTTTAGAGAGAGAGAGAGAGAGAGAGAGAGAGGTGAGTAAACGTGTCAAACACATTTCAAAATCCGTTCCGAGAGAAGAGAGATCTCCGTTTTTTCCGATCTCATTTTGTTGTTGTTGTTGTTGCTGCATCTTCTTCGTAAACACACAGACACACAAAAGAAAGAAAAAGAGAGAGAGAGAGAGAGAAACGAACGAACGAACGCGGTATAAAAAAAAAGAGTAGTAAAAAGTAGGACGCGTACCTGTATTTTCTCCCACCCGGTCTTCAGATGGACCACTTCCTTGTTCGCGAGAGGCATTTGATTTTTCTTCTTTTCTTCTTCTTCTTCTGTTTTTTCTCTGAAGAATTTTTTAAAAAAGCTGTTCTTTCGTTTGTTTTTTTTTTCGTTTGTTTTTCTCTTTTCTCTCTCTCATTTTCAAGTCTTCTTTCGTGTGAGGAGCTTTTTTGTTGTCTTGTGTCTGTGCTTTTTTTTTCATCGAGAGAGAGAGAGAGAAAAGAGGTGAAATTTCTCTCTCTTTTTCTCTCTCTCTTCAAGAAACACTTTTTTTTTAAGAGCAAAAATCAGACACAACAAGCAACAACAACAACAACAACAACAACAACGACAACAACAACAACAACAGTTATAAAATATTTATATCGTCATTTAGTAATATCATCGTTTATTAAACGACAAAGAAGAGAAAAGAAAGAAGAAGAAAAAGGAGGAGAGAGCATAAAACAGAGAGAGGCGTTGTTTCTTTCCCTCCGATTCTTCTTCTTTGTCTTCGTCCAACGACTTGAACGCTTCGCGCGCGCTTCGTTTGAGAGAGACGAATTCGAGTAAAAAATTACGCCGCTCCTTTTACGAGACGAAGAGACCGACGAAGATGACGACGACTTTGAAAGGTTTTGATCGTCCTCATCCTCCTCTGCGAGAAGAAGAAGATGATGAAGAAGAATGTGAACAAGTTCACGCGAGTCGTGCGGTGTTAGGCGTGACAGAGGAAGAGCCGACGATTCAAACGACGTCGCGAAACGAATTCCTTTCAGAAGAAGGAAAAGAAGAAAAAAGAGATATTTTTCTCGAAAATACAACCGAAGAAGCGACGAGTACTCCTCCAAAGAAGAAGAACAAGGAAGAAGAAGAAGTTGAAGAAGTTAAAGAAGAAGAGCACAGAACACATGTAAATCCGATTCTTCTTCTTCGCGATGATGATTGGTTAGGCGCGCCGGACGCGATTGCATCGTCGCCAGAGACAGAGACGAAGACGCGAGGAGGAGTCGCCGAAACCAAGCCGGCGCGGATGGAAACGGAAGAAGAAGAAGAGAAGAAGAAGAAGAACGATGATGATGGGAGTGATGATGCGAGTAAAAAACGGAAATTAGAAGAAATAGAAAACGAGGAAGAAGAAGAAGAAGACGTTCTGATCGAGACGAACCACCGACGCGTTTTCTTGAGCGACGCGGGACCGGAACTGGTTCACCTGAAAGAAAACGACGTCGGGTACGAGTGGCTTTGTGCGGATATCTGGGTCCGAACGAAAGTTTGGCACGCGACGACGACGAACGAGAAGCGAAGAGCGTTGGAATTTCGAAGGTTAGACGAAAAGGGGGAGACGGTGCCGTTTCCGTCGTGCTCGAGGACGGGGGAGTACGAACACGGGACGTCGGCGGCGTCGTTGCGATCGAACAACGCGGTATATCGATTCATCGAGAGGAATAAAGAGGCGTACGAGAAAGGCAGAATGGTCGGACAGATAGTCAAGCGAAGGATTGCGAAAAAAAGCGACGGTGAGCACGAACGAGGAGTCGCTTTCGCGGATCCGAAAGATTTAGAAGAGATGGGGAGAAAAGGGAAGAAGAAAAAGATGATGATGAAAGAGAAGGAACCGGCGGCAGCGAAAACCGAGAAGCGAACGACAAAGTCGACGACGGCAAAATCAAACGAGAAAAATAGCAAAGAAGAGAAGGACGTCGCAAAATCATCGACGCGGTGTAGCATTCGAACAAATCACGCGACGGTTTCCACCGAAGAGGATCCTCCAGACCCGGTGAAGAAAGGAAGCATTCAGCGAGAGTTGACGCACGTGTTCGCGGATATTTGGGGCGTTCGAGTCGGAGCGGAAACCAGGAACGATATCGATTTTCTGCGCTTGGACGCGAACGGCGAGCACATGAACTTTCCAAACTGTAATCGAACGGGCGAATATCGCAAAGGCGAATCGCAATCAAAGCTGAGATCGTATAAGTCGGTACTTTTATTCATCAGGAGGAATTTAAAAGCGTACAGAAACGGCAAGATGTCGCCAAAGTCTGCGCTCATCGCATCGAAGACGGCGACGACGACGACGATAACGAAAAAGAAGACATCAGTCGGCATACAAACGACAGAGATGGACGACGAGAGTGAAGATAAAGATAAAGAGACAAAAGCCCAAAACTCGCCGTCTTTGCCACCTCATCTGCCGCCGTGGGAAGGAAGAGAACCGCCGACGGTGACCGTCATCGGCGCCGGCCCAGCTGGTTTGAGCGCGGCGAAACTGCTTCAAAACCACGGATTAAAAGTTGTCGTTTTAGAATCGCGCGATCGCGCGGGAGGGAGATGCTGGTCCTACGACATGAAAGCGCTTCCTGAACACGATTTACCCGCAATCACGATCGATCTTGGCGCGGCGTACGTTCACGGGTGTCACACGTTCAACGTGCTGTACGTCATCGCGCAAGAGAATAAGATCAAGCTCGATCAATCGAGCGGCGGATACAGCGCCGGTTGGGGCGAATACGCGCCGTGGTACGACATCACAAAAGGTGGACGCATTAAAGAACGCGATGTGAAAAACGCGTTTCGTATCGTTCGAAAAGTCGAGGAGTGTATGTTCTCAGAAGCGCGCGAAGACGCGATCAAGTCTGTTCAAGCCGCGGACGAATGGGAACGAGAGAAGAAACAAAGACGAAGTAACGGTTTATACGGCGTAAACGGCGAGCGGGCTGCAAAAAACATGAGCACGGAGACGCTTCTTTTCGTCGCTCCATCGTCCGCCAAAGAAGAAGAAGAAGAAGAAGATAAAACCAAGGCGACCGACCCGTACTCTTCGCATTCGGAAGATTTGAGATTCGCGTACGGCGAAAGTTTGTACGAAACCAAACGGCAGCATCTGCTCGAGGAGAAATCTTCCGCGCCGCCACCGCCACCGCCAACCGCGACTGACACGCTCATCCTTTCTAACGAACGCCGCGCGAATGAAATCAAAAACACCGACGAACCGATCGAAGACGCTTTCAAACGAGCGTACGAGTTGTATTTTTCCGATAAAGATATGAAATATCAAATGCCGCGAGAGGACATCATCGAGAGCGTCAAGACGATCAACTGGGGATACGTCGCGCCAACGTCGCAAGTGTCCACGAACATCGTGCGCACATTTTATCGCGAGAGAGTCCAAGCCGAAGAAACGTTAGAGGCGGATAAGAATAAAATCGTCACCAACGTCGAGGCTAAAAACGGTTGGATTTACACGACGACGAGTACGCCTCTTCGAGAAGAAGGAAACGAAAGAGAAAACGACGACGACAAAGAAGAAGAAGAAAAAGTAGTAATAGAAGAGAAAGCTCGAGACGCGCCCGAGAAGAAGAATGTGAAGAAGAAGAAGAAGAAAACGCAGAAGAATGTAAAGGAACCGAAAGTAGCGACGAGGAACGTGAAAAACAAAGACAACGGCGGAGAGGACTTGGAGTTTAAAGGATCGCTCGGCGACGGGTTAGTCGTCGGCGGGTATCGCGAGTTGTTGATTAATCGAGCGGCGGAAGGTTTAGACGTTCGTTTCGAAAAGAAAGTTCGAAAGATTCACGAAGTTGCAAATACGGAAGAGAATACGCGGCATTTGTCCACCAGCGACGGTTGTGTCCTCACTGATACCGATGCGAGTGCGAAGAAAGAGAAAGAAGCAGAAGAAGAAGACGTTGGAATGAAAATATATTCGGATGTGGTGCCATCCTCGTTTTCAAACGAGAATGCAAAAGATGTGGGTACGACGACGAAGACCGAGGACGACGACAAAAGTTTATTCTATCGAAAGAAAAAATGCGTCGTCGAAACTGAATCCGGCGAACAGTTTCAAAGCGATTTCGTCGTCTGTACCGTTCCTCTCGGCGTGTTACAACGCGACGTCATTGATTTCCATCCGTCTCTTTCCGCTAAGAAACAAAGAGCCATCCACGCCGTCGGCATGGGCACCGAAAATAAAGTTATATTGCGATTCGCGCAGAAGTTTTGGCCAAATTTTAAATACATACAGTGCAACGACTACCGATATAGGTTTCTAAATTACGAACCGTTTGGGAAGAAGGGCACGATTGTCGCGCATTGCGCGCCGCCGTACGCGCACGAGTACGAAAATCAAACCGACGAAGAGATTGTAGAAACCGTGTGTAAAGTCATGCAAACTATGTTTCGAGTGAAACCAGAGATGATGCCAAAACCAGTCGATTATCTCGTCACGCGATGGCTTCAAGATGAAAACTCATTCGGCGCGTACTCGTACATGAAAGTTGGCGCGACGTACAGCGACGTCCGCGCGTTGTCCGAACCCGAATTTGAAGCTAAAACGTTATTCTTTGCCGGCGAAGGGTGCTCGATATCCGGCGCGCAGTGCGTCCACGGCGCCGTTTTGAGTGGACAAGAGCAAGCGTGCAAAATCCTTCAACTCGGCAACGTCGACATCAATCCAGATTTGGCGTTGGGTAAACGCGTCGGCATCCCCGCCGACGCCACGCGCGAATGGATGCAATGTTCCAAGTGCTCGAAATGGAGAAAACTTCCCGAGCTCGTCTTCCCGGACGAGTTGGAAGAAAAGTGGGAGTGTTCTTATGGAGGCGTTTGGAACGAGAAGTTGGAACGGCTAGGTTGCGATGCCGCGGAAGATGAAGACGATAGCGATAGCGACTCGTAAAAGCCCGTTTTGGTGACGAGGCGGCGGCGGCGGCCTTCGTGTTTCTGTTTCTGTTTGTACTACTATTTCACAAATAACAATGAAAATTAAATATCTCGTCTTACAAAAAAAAATGACCTCATTTAAAAGCTTCACCTCCTGAGTTCATACCGGAACGCTTCTCAAGGTGGGATCTTTTCACGTCTCGCTTTTCGCGATTCTTTCTCGCCCATCTTCTCCTCCTCCTCTTTCTCGTCGTCGTCGGCGGCATCGTTGTGCGCTTTGCGTCTTTCTGCATTTTTCAAACCGCGAACGCGCATTTCTTTTTCTTCCCTGCGAGTGTTGAATTGTCGAAGCGATTCGAGTCGAATGGCTCTTCGTTGAAGTTTTTTTTTACGATGGTGGCACAGACGAATAATGAAAACGCGCGATCTCTCGCGCGCGATCTCTCGTTTTGCGCGCTTTCTTCGCGCGTCGTGTCCGTGCAGAACGCGGTGCGTGCGTCGTCCCGTTCGTTTTGAAACTGAATCCACGCGAGCGAGCGAGAAGCGCACACGAATTTCCTGGACTCACATCAAAAACACTCGTTCTGATTTTATTTGAATACAGAAAGCCCTTCCCAATACAGTACAAGGTGGCACATTACGAAGTTTGATTTCTCAACGAGAATCTCTGCGTTGAAACAATGGGAGTCTTAAGATCGAGCTCGTGCAAAAGACAACACAGTAAATGGGCATCGATGCTTGCGCTGTTTGTTTTTAAAATACTCGTGTATTCTGTGAGCGCATATAAAGAGTTTCCGATAAAACAGTCCGCAGAAGGCAACATAACTGTAGCTGGAAATCACACGCTGATAAACTCTCGAAATGTAAAGATTCACGGCGATCTCTGGTTGAATAAAATCGGAAACGGAGGCGCATATTTGGTGAACGAGCTAAGAAGTATAGTCAACAGCACGACTACTCTTAAAATAACTCTCAAACCACTGGTCCTCTTGATGGAACCAGCAGCAGGGTGTAACGAAACAAACGCACTCTCCGTCCGCTTCAATTTTACCACGAATGCGTTTTATCAGTGCGAATGCAATAGGGTCTGGAAAGGAAGCGATTGCAACACACCCTCAGTGATTCCCTTGAGTGACGCAACGTTCCAGTCTGCGATTGAATCATGTTTGAACGAAGACTACAGGTATGGCATGTGTACAAATTTCGCACTCACGAGCGGATACGGCATCATGACCTATTGGGACGTCAGTCAAGTGACGCAGATGAATAATACGTTTGAAATGCGTTCCAGCTTCAATGGCTTTTTGGATCGTTGGGACGTATCCAACGTGAAAAATATGACGCGCATGTTTTCTTATGCGTATAATTTCAACGGTGATCTATCGACGTGGGACATTTCGAGTGTTGTTGATATGTCCTATATGTTTAATTATGCGAGTATGTTCAACACGTCTTTATCCACTTGGGATGTTTTGAGTGTTGTTGATATGAAATACATGTTTTCTGGTGCAAGCAAATTTAACAGCGATGTTTCGAGATGGAGAGGGGTTGCGGCGAGCAATCCACAAAGTGGTATGTTTGACAATGCGTATGCGTTCACATCTAAATATGCGTGCTTAACGTCGTACGATGGTCCGGCGAACACGTGTTCTTTGATTCCTTTGACGAACAATAACTTTCAAAACTCGATATCGAATTGTTTGAGTTCAAGTAGCGACGGTATGTGCGTCTCGAGTCCATACGGAGTGATGTCGTCTTGGAATACAAGCTTAGTGACGAACATGGCGAATGGGTTCTCCAACTCTTATTCATACAACTATGGTTTTATTGATCTCTCTTCTTGGGACGTTTCTTCCGTGACGAGTATGAGTTACATGTTTTCGAACCTGTACTACAGGAACGTGGAGGTATCTTCTTGGGACGTTTCAAAAGTGACGGATATGGCCTATATGTTCCAATACGCATATGAGTTCAATTCGGATCTTTCTAAATGGGACGTGTCGTCCGTGACAAACATGTATGGTATGTTCTATAATGCGTATCGTTTCAACTCAGATATCTCGAAATGGGACGTATCATCTGTGTATTTTCTCGGACAAATGTTCTATTACGCGTCCGCCTTTAACCATGACATATCTGGTTGGCGCGGTCCTGCGGCTGAGAGTAGCCAATGGGACATGTTCTACGGTGCAACAGCTTTCATTGATAAATACTTATGCGCCGAAGTCCATAGGAACTGGAATTATGGTTCCGTTATGCCCTCTAATTGTACGACGCAGAATGCAACTTGGGTTTCTCCTTCTCCTCCTCCTCCTTCTTCTTCCCCTCCTCCTTCTCCTCTTTCTCCTTCTCCTCCTCCTCCTTACCCTCCTGCTCCTCCTCCTTCTGTGACTCCGGTTCCTTTGACTGATTCTACACTAGCTTCTGCGGTCCAATCGTGTTTGAACGAAGACTACAGGTATGGCATGTGTACTGACTTTGGATTTGAGAGTGGATACGGGACCATGCCATACTGGGACGTCAGTCAAGTGACGCAGATGAATAATACGTTTGAATGGCGTTCCAGCTTCAATGGCTTTTTGGATCGTTGGGACGTATCCAATGTGAAAAATATGACGCGCATGTTTTATTATGCAATGAATTTCAACATGGATCTATCGACGTGGGACGTTTCGAGTGTTGTTGATATGTCTGATATGTTTAATTATGCAAACAGTTTCAACATGGATCTATCGACGTGGGACGTTTCGAGTGTTGTTGATATGTCTAATATGTTTAATTATGCGTATAATTTCAACGGTGATCTATCGACGTGGGACATTTCGAGTGTTGTTGACATGTCCTATATGTTTAATGGTGCGAGTATGTTCAACACGTCTTTATCCACTTGGGATGTTTTGAGTGTTGTTGATATGAAATACATGTTTTCTGGTGCAAGCAAATTTAACAGCGATGTTTCGAGATGGAGAGGGGTTGCGGCGAGCAATCCACAAAGTGGTATGTTTGACAATGCGTATGCGTTCACATCTAAATATGCGTGCTTAACGTCGTACGATGGTCCGGCGAACACGTGTTCTTTGATTCCTTTGACGAACAATAACTTTCAAAACTCGATATCGAATTGTTTGAGTTCAAGTAGCGACGGCATGTGCGTCTCGAGTCCATACGGAGTGATGTCGTCTTGGAATACAAGCTTAGTGACGAACATGGCGTATGGGTTCTCCAACTCTTATACATACAACTATGGTTTTATTGATCTCTCTTCTTGGGACGTTTCTTCCGTGACGAGTATGTATTCCATGTTCTCGAACCTGTACTACAGGAACGTGGAGGTATCTTCTTGGGACGTTTCAAAAGTGACGGATATGTATTACATGTTCCAATACGCATATGAGTTCAATTCGGATCTTTCTAAATGGGACGTGTCATCCGTGACAAACATGTATGGTATGTTCTATAATGCGTATCGTTTCAACTCAGATATCTCGAAATGGGACGTATCGTCTGTGTATTCTCTCGGAATGGGACAAATGTTCTATTACGCGTCCGCCTTTAACCATGACATATCTGGTTGGCGCGGTCCTGCGGCTGAGAGTAGCCAATTGGACATGTTCTACGGTGCAACAGCTTTCATTGATAAATACTTATGCGCCGAAGTCCACAGGAACTGGAATTATGGTTCCGTTATGCCCTCTAATTGTACGACGCAGAATGCAACTTGGGTTTCTCCTTCTCCTCCTCCTCCTTCTTCTTCCCCTCCTCCTTCTCCTCCTCCTCCTTCTCCTCCCCCTCCTTACCCTCCTGCTCCTCCTCCTTCTGTGACTCCGGTTCCTTTGACTGATTCTACACTAGCTTCTGCGGTCCAATCGTGTTTGAACGAAGACTACAGGTATGGCATGTGTACTGACTTTGGATTTGAGAGTGGATACGGGACCATGCCGTACTGGGACGTCAGTCAAGTGACGCAGATGAATAATACGTTTGAATGGCGTTCCAGCTTCAATGGCTTTTTGGATCGTTGGGACGTATCCAATGTGAAAAATATGACGCGCATGTTTTATTATGCCTATAATTTCAACATGGATCTATCGACGTGGGACGTTTCGAGTGTTGTTGATATGTCTAATATGTTTAATTATGCGTATAATTTCAACGGTGATCTATCGACGTGGGACATTTCGAGTGTTGTTGACATGTCCTATATGTTTAATGGTGCGAGTATGTTCAACACGTCTTTATCCACGTGGGATGTTTTGAGTGTTGTTGATATGAAATACATGTTTTCTGGTGCAAGCAAATTTAACAGCGATGTTTCGAGATGGAGAGGGGTTGCGGCGAGCAATCCACAAAGTGGTATGTTTGACAATGCGTATGCGTTCACATCTAAATATGCGTGCTTAACGTCGTACGATGGTCCGGCGAACACGTGTTCTTTGATTCCTTTGACGAACAATAACTTTCAAAACTCGATATCGAATTGTTTGAGTTCAAGTAGCGACGGCATGTGCGTCTCGAGTCCATACGGAGTGATGTCGTCTTGGAATACAAGCTTAGTGACGAACATGGCGAATGGGTTCTCCAACTCTTATACATACAACTATGGTTTTGTTGATCTCTCTTCTTGGGACGTTTCTTCCGTGACGAGTATGAGTTACATGTTCTCGAACCTGTACTACAGGAACGTGGAGGTATCTGCTTGGGACGTTTCAAAAGTGACGGATATGGCCTATATGTTCCAAAGCGCATATGAGTTCAATTCGGATCTTTCTAAATGGGACGTGTCGTCCGTGACAAGGATGAATGGTATGTTCTATTATGCGAATCGTTTCAACTCAGATATCTCGAAATGGGACGTATCGTCTGTGTATTCTCTCGGAATGGGACAAATGTTTTATTCCGCGTTTGCCTTCAACCACGACGTATCTGGTTGGCGCGGTCCTGCGGCTGAGAGTAGCCAATACGACATGTTCCGCGGTGCAACAGCTTTCATTGATAAATACTTATGCGCCGAAGTCCACAGGAACTGGAATTCTGGTTCCGTTATGCCCTCTAATTGTACGACGCAGAATTCAACTTGGGTTTCTCCTTCTCCTCCTCCTCCTTCTTCTTCCCCTCCTCCTTCTCCTCTTTCTCCTTCTCCTCCTCCTCCTTACCCTCCTGCTCCTCCTCCTTCTGTGACTCCGGTTCCTTTGACTGATTCTACACTAGCTTCTGCGGTCCAATCGTGTTTGAACGAAGACTACAGGTATGGCATGTGTACTGACTTTGGATTTGAGAGTGGATACGGGACCATGCCGTACTGGGACGTCAGCCAAGTGACGCAGATGAATAATACGTTTGAATGGCGTTCCAGCTTCAATGGCTTTTTGGATCGTTGGGACGTATCCAACGTGAAAAATATGACGCGCATGTTTTATTATGCAATGAATTTCAACATGGATCTATCGACGTGGGACGTTTCAAGTGTTGTTGATATGTCCTATATGTTTTATTATGCGTATAATTTCAACACGTCTTTATCCACGTGGGACGTTTCGAGTGTTAAGGACATGTCTTATATGTTTAGTTATGCGTACCAGTTTTCCAGGGACGTTTCCTCCTGGACTGGACCGGCAGCGACAACCCCACAAACGAATATGTTCCTCGGTGCTACTGCTTTTCAGGTCGCTTTCACCTGCACGAGCTCGGACAACGGTCCATCAAGTTCATGTGTTTGTGCGAGTTCTGCGTGTTAAGCTCTGCTCGCGCGCGTTCTATTTCAAATGGAAAAAGAATAGATTTTGGGAGTTTAGTCAGTTCTGTGATTACCCAGGCGCTTACTCCTGAGCAAAAACTATAAAGAGCAGCGAGACGGGTTGCGATCACGAATCCGACCTGTTTTATGGTAGAGAGATTTTTATAAGCGACAAAATCGAAATTAAAATTTTGAATCTTCTGTATCGACAGGAAATTAGCTCCTCGCACTGCGCTTACGGCAACAAAGAAGAAGTTTTTTGATCGCCGCGAACTACGTATCTTCGACCTGCGTAGCGCAAACTACTACGTACTTACGCACTCAGCTCCTCCTCCACTCCCAATAATAATACGTGTACAACAAAAGGACAGAGTCGTTAGATGTCCATGTTTCCGCATTCCATTCGTTCTACAAATTCTATGCGCCGGCTAATATCTCTTAAATTTTTACAATGACGGCGTCAGAGCGCATCCTAAGCGATACTTTCGCACTCCACCCCCGCGTAACCCTCTTTACAAACGCACTCTCCGTATTCCCCAGAGGTGGTATTTTTTTCAATGTACTCGGTATTTAAAGGGTTACACCCAAAGTTTCTCAATCTTCCGCTTTCTCTTATTTTCGATACGCGCGCGACCATGTCCTTCTCCTTTGCTCGCAGATTGATCATCGCTTCCGTGACGTTTATAACATTCCCGTTCTCTGAAAGAACCAGATCACCGTTCATAGAAACGAGATTCCCTCGTATCAACACGTCGCCAGACTTCTCCGTCACGATCCCGACCGTAGAGTTTTTAAACCTAACGACGGGAAAATTTGCCGACGCTGGTTTTGCACCGAACGAAGAAAGAATCACCGCGCACAGCGTCAAAGCGAAACCGACGCGTTTCGCGACCATCTTTAAAGCGCCGCTCGAGACGACGACGACGACGACGACGACGCGCTTTTCTGCGACTCGTTCGCTCGGTCCGATTTTCAAGAAAACGTCTTTGTCTTTGTCTTCTTCGTCTTCTAATTGTTCTTTCTCTCTCACGTTTTGATTGTTTTTGCGAGTGATTTTAAAACTGATTTTTTCGTCGACGAATCTTTTTCTTCGACAAATTAAAATCAAAATCAATTAATTCATCGAGCGAGAAAAGAAAAGAAAAGAAATTAACAAAACAACCCGGGTCCGCAGAATTTTAATTCTAAGCACGCGCGCGCGCGCTCGCGTGAAAGAAAAACATATCAAGCAAGTCGCGCGTGAAAGAAAGCTTCGCGTGTTCTTCTCGAGCGCGATCTGAGATATCTGTTTGGTTTTTCGGACGACGACGAGGAGGAGGATGATGCGCAAAATATTCTTCTTTTTGCTGCCTTTGATTTTCTCGTTACAATCACCCCCGAAGGTCTTTGCCGTTGTTCAAAAGTGGCCGGTAAAGTTGCATTCAAACTCGTCCGTCTCTCTCGAAGGAGGAGAAAGTAACAACATACTTTTTGATTCAGACGTCACGACGATATACAACAAACTCACCGTTTACGCCGATGCCGATTTTGATTTCTCGACTGAGTTTGAACTCGCGGCGAAGTCCTTGGAGGAATTGGAAGTTGACGTTTTTGAGCATGAGGCTTCACAGCCTTCGCCGCCACCGCCGAGCCCACCACCACCGCGGCCGAACCCACCACCGCGGCCGAACCCACCACCGCCGCCGAACCCACCACCACTGTCACCACCACCGACTCCCGTCACACCTATCCCGGCCGCGAGCTGGCACGCGTTTGTCGCTGAGTGTTTGGCCGAAGCGCCGGTGACTGGCGAGTGCACAACGTGGACGTCTGGTAATAATTACGGGACGATGCCGAATTGGAATACGAGTTTGGTGGAAGATATGAGTGGATGGACTGGAAGTGCACATGAAGGCTTTGGCGATAAACGTACATTCAACGGCGATATTTCGAAGTGGGACACAGGGAAAGTGACTAAGATGTCCCGTGTGTTTTGGCAAGCTACTTCCTTCAACCAAGACATTGGGGATTGGAACACGGCGCAAGTGACTGATATGAATTCTATGTTTGTTTCCGCTTTTGCGTTCAACAAAGACATTGGGACTTGGAACACAGAGAAAGTTACTAATATGAAATTTATGTTTAATGGTGCTTCTGTCTTCAACCAAAACATTGGGAGTTGGAACACAGAAAAAGTGACGACTATGGAGGGAATGTTTGTCCACGCTTATGCGTTCAACCAAGACATTGGGAGTTGGAATACAGCGCAAGTGACTTCTATGTATGGTATGTTTAATTCCGCTTCTGCGTTCAACCACAACATTGGGCGTTGGAACACAGCGCAAGTAACTACTATGGCTTATCTGTTTTCTTATGCTTCTGCGTTCAACCACGACATTTCCTCGTGGACCGGATCCGCAGCGACGACGGTTCAATATGACATGTTTTACGGCGCAACTGCGTTTCAAGCCAAATTTACGTGCACCTACGCCATCATCGGACCGGTCAGCTCGTGTGTGCCTAAGTAAATACGGAGCCAAGATGGATGCCCTACTTAAACTACCGTGTTCTAATTTTAATTTTATAATTTTTACAAGACATTTCTAAGTGGGACACGTCGCGAGTGGTCGACTTTTTTGCGATGTTTATCATGCAACATCGTTTGCTCCGTTTTAAACAGCACAACACATTACATGAACACCTCGTGAAGCGCGCTCGCTTTCTGCCTCTTTTCCTCCTTTTTTTCGTTGTGCTTCTTGCCACCTCTTGTTTTTTTGTTTGTCTGGCGACTTTTAAAATCAAAAAAAAATTTCGCCTCTCATTTCTACACTCCATTAAACGCAAACGCGCGAGAGAGGTACCCGTTCGTCGTTCGATGCTACTGGCAGCAAAAAGCTAAAAGCAAGGTGCGTTTCTTCATCGTCGTCTCACTCTTTCGTCGTTTTATTCAATCCACCGCGGGAAGGAGAGAGAAAGCGATCGTCGTTTGTGTTCGTTGTTTTTCGTGCTGCGCTCAACGACGATTCTTTCTTTTCCCCGAAAATCTTTCCTCCTTTCTCTTCTTCTTTGTCTTCTTCTTTCGAAGCGCGCGCAGACTGAACGCGATGAGAGAGAGAGAGAATCATCGATAGCTGACATGAACGATCTTCTCGTTACGAACGAACAGGTTGCTCTTCGGCGCGAAAACGCGAACGTTTTCCTCTTAAAATTTGCGCATACGAGGGTTATTCTTTTAAGTTCTATTGATATAAATATGACGACGACGACGACGAGGAGGAGGAAACAAAAACGATCCTCCTCTTCTTCTCTTCATTCTTCTTCTTCATCGTCATCGGCACCTTCTTCATCTTCTTTTCCCTCGCGTCGAGCGATGATGACGCTCCTTCTGCTCCTTTTCGGGACTATTTCTGACGTATTCGTCGTTCGCGCGACGTGGCCGATCGTTCGGTACAAAAACGGGACGGTCGGGGTGAAGAACGACGGCGGCACGGTAAAAGTACAGAGTACGGATTTAATCGTCGACGGAAACTTGAGCGTTTCTGGGAGTTTATTCCTACAAGATCGAGATCTCGCGGAGTACGAGGACAGAGTGTCGTTTCTCGAAGCGTCGAAAACACCGACGCCTCCGGTTTGTCAGCCGCCGGGTGGCGATAAGTTACAGTTTGACGGCGAAAAGTGGACGTGCGTGTGCGTTTCTGAATGGTGGAGCGGAGATTCGTGCGAGACGCCACCACCGTGGGTCTGGAAGCAAAGACTTGGTCCGATTGCAGATCGTTCTGACGTTCTTGTTGCTTTCAAAGGTAATTCTTCAGTCATAGCATTTGGATCAGGTAAAATAGAAGCTTTCAATCTTACACAGAATGGTGATTTCGTGATGAAGAGCGACGAGAGCGACATTTTTCCACACACTCTAACTACTAGACGTGACTGGAACCAAGACGCGATTGTGGGTGACTACGCTGTTGTAGGTTCTATCGGTGCACAATTCTATATCGCCGGTTCGTGGAGGGCAATTGGCATTGCTTGTGTTTTGAAAAGAAAAGTGGATGGCGAATGGATTAAAGAGAAAGAATTGACAGGGTGCTATAGTAATTATAAGGGAACCTATTGTAGTTATGGTGGAGCCCAAGCACTTGGTATAAAAGATTCACACCGTGAATTTGTAGTGTTCAAGGACGGATTCAAATCGTGTTCTCGGTGTTCTGGGACTGAGAATGCCCCTGAAATTAAAACGTTCGTAAGCAGCGGTACCAGCACGACATGGACTACAAAGCAATCGATACTCTTGGAAGACTGGATGACAAGAGTGGGCAGTTCAGAGGTTGAATTAAAAACCATCAGAAATATATTACTGAACGACTTTGCAACAGCCACCAGGTACTTCATGGTAGTTCATGTGAGCCATATTAGTATACAGTCGCACGGTATTAGTCAGGAGCCAAAAGAGGAAATTCGTCTGTACTCAAACGCAGCTCCTGGTGCAGACGCCAGTGAATGGGTTTTTGAGACTTCGTGGTTCATTTATGGAGCGGGGAGTAACGTAAACTTGGCACTAACCTTCTCGGGGCCTGACATTCTTGTCGCTGCTATCGGAGCCGGGGAAAAGACGCCTTGGCCAGGAAGTGAAAACTCTTCCGATTACGCTGCTTCTAAATGCGCTCACGTTAAGGTTTACGATTTAAATACAAAAAAAGAGATTCAGACGATAACACTCCCTCAGTGCGCCGGACAAGTAACTTTGCAAGCAAGTAAAGACTTTCTGGTTGTTGGAAATTATTATGACTTTGTGGTGTATGTATATGAGCACTCAAAAGAAGCAGCGGGGGTGTTTGTTCACGTTGACACTTTGAAAGCCCCTGATTCTCCAAGTATGACGCGACGCGCATCTACTCCGAGGGACGCGCAGTACGACGCTCGTACAGATGTAAGATTTGGACAGTACGTGGCTATTAATGCAAAAAATGATATTCTCGTATATGCGAGTCAAGAAGAGAGTGTGAATGCTACTCGAGGAGTCGTACATCGCTTCCAAAGTAGGGAGCAGTCAGTTACGTCACCTCCACCGACTGATTCTGTCACGATAAACGGTAAACAACTTTACCAAGACTCGGACGGATGGATTTTGTTACTCGCGTATGAACACAAAGCTGGAGAAAATAACGCATTCGTCTCGCAAACGGCTCCGTCGTCGCCGACCGAAGGGTATTCGCACATTTGGCTCGAGGATTTGGGTTTGGCTGCGTCTGATGTAGACAGCGTGAAGTTTTATTGTAAAACGTCCGCGCATTCTCGCGTGATGCATTTTTCGTCGAGCACGGATTGGGTGAAAAATGCTGTCGTAACCGGTACGTATACGGGTAATCAAGTTTCGTATTGGACTTCCGGTACGACTAAATTTTCAGATCACACTGCAAATCTCCCGGATGCAGCAGATCTTGGCGCAGCATATAACGAACTAACAAATGCAATATTCTATGTGGGCAACACATATCACTGGGGTATGAAAATTCAAGGATCTCGATGGGAATGCGATGACATGTCTTTCAACACCGCCGACACTCTCCACCAGATTTGGTTCAAACGCAAGTCTTCCAGTGGCGCGTAAGAAATCGAATTTATCCGCACGTGTCGTAAGACTCTCACCGTTTCTGAGGTACTTAAACTTTACTAAAGAAACATTTTCAGCCGTAATGATGGATCTATGTTTTAATGTCAACGTTTTTATGCACACATAAATTATAATAATAATATTAATAATTTCTTTCTCCTCTCACGCATACTGCATACTATGACATACTGGGGTATGAAATATGTTTATCTCGATGTGTTTGTGCGTTTTCTCGGGTGTCGGGGTCTGAAAAAAAAACATCATAAAAAATTTCAAAAAATTCGTTCTTTTTCTTCATTTCCAAGAAAGACTTTGCGTCTTTTTTGCCTCTTTCCTCCCTCCCGCGGCATTCCACACAAAACAAAACAACGACGACAAAATTCTCCCGCTCTCTCCCAACTCCCAACTCTTTCTCTCTCTCTCGAGCTTTGCGCATCTTCGCGGAAAAGAGAACGGCTTTAAAAAGAGAGACGCGTCGTGAACATGCACCACCGCTGAACAACATCAGTGCTCCTGCTGTTTTTCGCACGAGTAAATAAAAATGCCGAGATTTCTTCGGGAAGGAAAGTCCGCGCATCCACTTTACTCGGGATTCGCCTCGAGCACTTCCCAAAAGCAAGACGAAGAGCAGAGCTTACTTTTAACATCATCTTCATCAGCAGCCTCTCGAAACAGCGACATCTCTCGAACCGAGAAAAATAAGAATACTAACAACAACGGAAGAAGAAGAAGAGGACAAAGAGGAGCGTTTTCCTTCCAGACGATTCCTGAGAACGAAGCAATCTTAAAGCGAGACAAGGAGGAAGACGAAGGAGACTATTATTACGACGACACCGACGAAGAAGAAGATTACGAAGATTACGACTACGAAGATGAAGAAGAGGAAGAAGCGAAATACAGAAGAAATAACGGCGTCTCCCATAACAGCTCGAAAGTATACGTGAGGAACCTCTTCATCGTTGCGTTTATGATGATGATGTGCACGTTGGCGACGTGCGTCGGGATCGCGTCGGCGTACCGACCGTCGAGAACCGGGATGGTTGGTAGGCGGGACGTGCACCCGAACAAAAACGTACACGTCGTGGCGGAAAGTTTTAGCGACGTGAAGGAAAGTAAGATGGTGATTGATGAGTACATAGAGAAGAAAAAAGAGAAGATGATGCGGGAGAAAGAGATGTTGGAGAAGATGAGCGAAAGCGACGGGGAGAGAGAGACGCCGGCGAGTGGTGCTGCGATTGAGACGAACGACGCGAAAAGTAGCGATTCTTCTTCTCCTTCTTCTTCTTCTTCTGAAAAAGGACGCGAGAGCCGCTCGAGAAAGAGCGCGAGTAGGAAAAATAGTAAAAAGATGAAAGCGGGAAAACAAGAACGAGAGGAACAATCGTCGACCGAGGAGGCCGAGGCAAAGACGACGACAATTGTGGAAAACATCACCCCGAAGACGCTTTTGGAAACCGTTCGCGACGTCAAGCACGTGCACGAAGCGGAAAAGAAAGTGAAAGAAAACGGCGGGAGTTTGATCGACGTCGTCGCCGAAATACAAGAGAAAGAGGAAGAGAGCGACGGGAGCGTCAACTCCTCTTCTTCGTCCTCTTCGAAAGCGGAGAGTGAAGGAGAAGGAGAAAGAGGAGGAGAAGAAGAAAATCTCAACGACGACGACACCGATGATACCGAAGAGACGACAACCGCAACGACCGCGGTTGTCCCCGGAAGCGTCGCCGTCCTCGGTCCTCAAACCAACGTAAAAAATAGCATAGAATCCATCGAGTTGATCAGCAACGCCACCTCCCAAAACGCCCAATCCTGGGGCATCGAAGACGGAGAGGAAAAGAACGACGACGAGGAAAACCCTGAGGAGGAAGAGACGACGACGACGAAGAGGAAAGTGAAAACGAAATTAAGGAGTAGCAGTAAAAACAAGAAAGAAAAACATTGGTCACCATCGTAGAAAGCGTTAGAGCAGCGAAGAAGCACTTCTTTGAAACAAACAAGAGTAGTAGAAATTCAACAGAAAAAACCAAAACACTTTACACTTTTCCTTTGTTGGACGAACGAATAATAAGTCATTTAATACGAGCGAAAGAGCGAGAGCACACACACACACACATGCGCATCCCGGGTCCAGCGGGAGAGTTGCACGCGCGTCGCGCCGCCGCGCTTCGAGAGCAGGAGCAACGCGACGATAAAAACTTGAAAAACATTATTCAAAACGAACAACACCAACGACGACGGGGAGATGAAGAAGAAGGAGAAGAAGGAGAAGAAGACAAAAAAGAAATAGACCATCGTCGTCTTCCGAAGAATGAAGCGAGTACTGCGAGTAAGAACAGAGCGAAGCGCGCGTTGTGGAAGAAACTGCTCGAGTACGATCCCGCATCGAAGAATAAGAAGAATAAGGACGACGACGATTCGCTTTTCGAGCAAAAACAGTACCAAACCATCCAGTGGTTAAAAAACGGCGGATGGCGAAGCGGTCGATTGAGCAAAGGAAGATTTATCGTCGAAAAGGCGAAGAAGATAAAGAGGAAGAGTGGGATGCGCGTCTTTGGTGGTGGTGGAGGTAAAGGAGGAGATCAAAATCAAACGCGTGCATCATCATCATCGTCTTCTTCTTCGTTGAAAGTCTTCGATGGAAGTTTACTCGTATCGGACGAAAACGGAGATACGATGACGGCGACGTGCGACGGAGAGACGCTTCAGATGCTCCTCAATCATAAGAACGATGCAAAGAAGAGAAAGACGAGGGTAGGGGTGATCGTCAGAGACGTCGCGGTGTTGAACGCGAGCGCGACGGAGCAACACTTGGTCTTGAAGAGGAAGAGTTTGGTGGAGATTTTCTTTCAAGAGGAAGAAGAAGAGGAAGAAGAGAAAGAAGGAAGCAGAGGCAAAGAAAACGCAGGTACAGTTTCGATAGACGTAGGTAGAGTAGAAAAAGCAGCGCCGCACTCGCAAGTGCCGCAACCGAAAGCAGTCTCCGCGTTCGCTTTGCAGGCGATGAAGCTCATGGAAAAGCGAAAAGCGAAAGCGGCGGCAAAGGCGGCGGAGGGCACTAAAAGTCAATAGTAATAGTATATATTGAATAACAATGAATAAATAGTTTTGCATGCGAATGCGCTTGAATGCTTTTGTCTTCTAATAAAAGTTCTCGTCGTCGTAACTCCCGCTACCTTGAGGCGGCACGCTCGTGTCGTAATCCGGGCCCTGGTATCCCATAATCTCGCCGTCGCGGTTGACGACGGCGTATTGGGACGATGCATCGTTTTCGTCTCCGTAGTTATAAAAATCCGCGTCGTCGTCTTCGTCTTCCCCTTCTCCATCGATGCCGCCGCCGTAATATAAACTCTCGTTTTCCTCTTCGTCGTCGTAATACTGATCTTCTCTTCGCAATCCGAGCTTTGCTTTCAGAGCGTTGCCGCACGACAAAATGGCTTCGTTGATTCGCACTTCCCAAATGCGAAACACAATGGCGGCGTAGGCATTGCACAGAATCCAAAACTGCTTCGGGATTTCCATCATCTCTTCTCTCGTAGCCGATTTCCACTCGGCTAAAGCCATCTCGGAAAACTCGCGTTCGATTTCCACCAACGCTTCTTCGCGTTCCGTGAGCGTTCGTTGTCCCGAACGCTGCATTTTTTGGTACCTTCTAAATCGGTCTCTCCGAATGCTTTGAATCAAGTTACCGAAGGAGGAAAGTATGGCAGAGAGGACTAAGCCTAACGCAAACGCGGGTACGATGTCCGTTTGGGCGATTCGCGCAGCCGTAGCTGGTAATTCCGCGACGACTTGAGTGACTTTTCTGTGCACCCGTTTGACGTTTTCAACTGAGTCTCTCGATGCTTGCGAAAAGACATCCGTGATGTGAACTTTGTTGTTGTATTGAAACGCAGGGCTGTCGTAGTAATAACTTCCTGGTCCTCCTACTCCTCCTCCGTTATCGAGAAAGTCGTCTCCGTAGTTATAATTACGTCGGGACTGAAACTGATTTTCAAACGCGGCGTCATCTTTCGGGTCTAAAGCGGGTTGTCCGAAATACTGTTCCTCCTCCGCTCGCGAAAACTCTTGATCGCCGTAATAGCTTCTGTATTGCTGAGAAGGAGGTGCGCCGCCGTTCCATCGATCGTAATTCGTCTCCGCGAATCTCGACGACAACGGTACTCTTTGCTGATTCTGTTGTTGCTGTTGCTGACGAAGATAATTCGCCCTCGTCGCGTACTCCGCGCCGTAACTTCCGTAATTGTTGTTACCCGAAGAAGTCCGTCTGCCACCACTATTACTACTTTTATTATTATTATTATTATTATTATTATTATTATTATTATTACTAATACCATTACCACTCCCTCTTCGATCGTCAAACATGCTCGATTCGTAGCTCCCCGCCATAGACGTCGTCGATTCCAACCCACCTTGTTGTATCTGCCTCAACCAATCGTTTCTTCTCGTCAAATCGTCCGCGTATCGTTCACTCCTGCCGGCGTTTGGAACCGCGCCGGTCGTTTCTCTCGTGAACTCCAAAATAGCTCCAATCGACCGGTCCGAACTCGCGTGGCGAAACAACGGCCCACTCCCTCTCGGTAACGTGCAAATGGTTGGAAAACTTCTCGCGCGAAAATACTTCCCCGCAAATGCTTTTTGTTCCGGTGTTTTACACACTACTCTTTGCACTTCGATGGATTCGTCGCCGGCAAACATCGCCGCCATCGCCGCAAACGTCGGTTCCACTTGCTCGCAATACCGGCAATTCGTCGTTTCCACCAGTAACACGACGTTTTTGTCTCTGTTTGCTAACGTAGACGCTAATTCTCTCGTACTTTTCGTCGTCACGCTTCCTTTAATATTATTAGTATCGCTCGCGCTCTTCGATGAAGAAGACGCGCCGAACCGTCTGCTTCGTCTTTGACTGTCGTTGGTATTGTTTAACGTTCCCGGTCCGGTCTTCTCTTCGTATCGATCGTTCCCAGTCGCAGCAGTATCGTCGTTGTCGTTGTTGGTGGTGGAAGCAGCAGTGGCAATAGTGTCGCACCTCCTCCTTCTGTTCAGAACGGAGGAGGAGAATCCCCTCGAGCGATTAGTAGTACTCCTCGTGACTCCTCCTTTTTGTCCTCTTCTTCCTCCTCGCGGTGGTGCACTTCTTCTCCACGCCGTCGTCGTCGTCGTTAAAGAAGAAGATGAAGAAGCAATCATCATCATCATCATCATAATTCAAATCGAGAATGTGTGTTTAAGTAATTCTCTCTCAAACTCTCTTTCTAATAATAATAATAATATATATACTATACCCGAGAGAGACAACGACGAAAGAAGAAGAACGAGGAGAGAGAAAAACGAGAGAGTGTTTCGATCTCTTCTGTTTTTTTTCTGTAAAACCGATTCTCTCTCTTCTGTCTTCTTCTTCTTCCTAAAGTGTGCGTTTTGCGTGTGTTGTTAATGGAGGAGAGAAGCGATGATGAGAGAAGCGAGAGAGGAAGAGGACGAAAAAAAAACTTACTGGAGACGACGAAACGAGATTGAATTTTTCTTTCTCTTCTTTTTTTCTGCTTTTGGAGCACACGAGAGAATTTTATGATGATGAGAGAAGAAGAAGAAGAAACAGAGAGGAAAAAAATTTGAAGAAGAAGAGCAAAGAAGAGAGAGAGAGAGAGAGAGAAAGAGAGAAAGAGCAGACGCGTCGTACGTAATAAGAGAGAATTAAGAGCAAGCTTTATCCAAATTTTCTCTTCATTTAATACTAGACTCCAAAAGAAAGAGAGAGAGAGAGTAGTTCATATGGCAACTTTGACGACCATCCCGGCTGCGCGTGTCGTTTCTTCTTCTTCTTCCGCCGTCGCGAGCAGCAGAAGGAGAGTCGTCGGTGGGAGGAAGTGTTGTTCTCTCTTCACTTCTTCTAAAAAACCCATTTCTCTTCGTGGTTCGCATTCCTTCTCGACGACGACAAAAACGACGTTAATAACGACGATGTCGTTTCGCCGCGCGTTTGCACGAAAGACGACGATGATGAAAACAACAACGACGACGAGTTGTTTCTTTTCGCGGGGAACGACGACATCGTCTTTCTCTTCAAACTCTTCTTCTTCTTTAATCTTTAATCGGATGCAAAAAGCCGGAAGCAGAGACTCGAAGCTCAAAGCCGCAGCCGTCGGTGAGGAAGTCAACGCCGCCGAACAATCCGTCCCTTTGTTGACGTCGGACGAATCCGAAGATTTACTCAAAATACGACACTCTACCGCGCACATATTAGCCATGGCGACGCAAAAAGTCTACCCGAAAGCGCAGTGCACGATTGGCCCGTGGATCGATCGCGGGTTTTACTACGATTTCTTTTATCCAGACCAAAGCTTCACGGACCAAGACTTGAAAACGATACAAAAAGAAATGTATAAAATCATTCGGAAAGACTATCCGATTCGAAGAGAGGAAGTGTCGAGAGAAGAAGCCGCGAGAAGGATTAAGGAAATCAACGAACCGTACAAGTTGGAGATTTTAGACATGATTAAAACCGAACCGATCACGATTTATCACATCGGCGACGAGTGGTGGGATTTGTGCGCCGGGCCGCACGTGGAGAGCACGGGGAAAATCGAGCAGAAAGGAATCAAGTTAGAAAGCGTGGCGGGAGCGTATTGGCGAGGAGACGAGACGAAACCGATGTTGCAAAGAATCTACGGGACCGCCTGGGAAAGCCAAGCGCAATTGCAAGCGTACGAGTTGTTTAAAGAAGAGGCGAAGAGAAGAGACCATCGAACGGTTGGTAAAGAAATGGGATTGTTTTCGTTGCAACAAGAAGAAGCTGGAGGCGGGTTGGTGTTTTGGCACCCGAAAGGCGCGTTAATGCGCCATCAAATCGAAACGTTTTGGAAGGATTTACACTTACAAAGAGGCTACGATTTAGTCTCCACGCCGCACGTGGCGAAAAGTGAGTTGTGGAAAACGAGCGGTCACAGCGATTTTTATAGCGAAAACATGTACCAACAGATGCAAGTAGAAGAGGAATCGTACCAGTTAAAACCGATGAACTGTCCGTTCCACATCGTCGTGTATAAAGACGGGTATTATTCGTACAGAGATTTGCCCTTACGATGGGCCGAGTTAGGAACGGTGTATAGATACGAAAGAAGTGGGACTATGCACGGTTTGTTTAGAGTCAGAGGTTTCACGCAAGACGACGCGCACGTGTTTTGTTTACCGGACCAAATCACCGACGAGATTACGAAAATTTTAGACCTGGTGGAGGAGGTGTTAGGGACGTTCGGGTTTAAAGATTACGAGGTGAACTTATCGACGAGACCGGAAAAAGCGGTCGGGTCGGACGATATTTGGGAACGCGCGGAATTGGCCTTGAAAGATTCCTTGAAACGCAAAAATTGGGACTACATCGTCGACGACGGCGGAGGCGCGTTTTACGGGCCGAAAATTGACATTAAAATTCTCGACGCGATTGGACGCAAGTGGCAATGTTCGACCATTCAGTTGGATTTCAACTTGCCCGATCGATTCGATTTGTCTTACATCGACCAAAACAACGAGAAACAACGACCGATTATGATTCACCGAGCGATTTTCGGTTCCTTGGAACGCTTCTTCGGCATTTTGACGGAAAACTACGCCGGTGCGTTTCCGGTGTGGATCGCGCCCGTGCAAGTTCGATTGTTGCCGGTGACGGATACCGTGGACGACTACATCCAACGCGTCGCGAACGACATGCGCGCGAAAGGTATTCGCGTCGAGGTGAAATCCGGCGAACGCATGAAGAAGCTCGTAAGAAACGCAGAAAAAGAGAAAATCCCAATCATGTGCATCATCGGTAAAGAGGAAGCGGAGAACGAAACTTTAGCCGTGAGAACGTACAAGAGTGGTGATATTGGGACGTTTTCGCTGACGGATGTCATTTCCAAAGTTTCGGAAGCGACGGAGGAAAAGAGCGAACACGCCTCCTTTTGAATCCATCATCATCTATTTTAAATTAATAAGACGGGGATTGTTTTTAATGTGTTTATTACTATTACTATCATCATCATCATCTACAGCTTACAGTACTCTTTTTGGTTTCTATTTCATTAACGAAGTTTATTTGCTATCATATGTTGCTACTATATATATCTAATAATCACGTCATCGGCGCGTCGTCGTCGTCCTCCTCCTCCTCTTCCTTTTCCTGACTATTCAATCAATCGTCAAAATCGCTATTCTCGTCGTCCGAGTTCAAATCGAATTTCTTCCCCTGACGAATGTTCTTCACGCGTTCTTTCAAAACTTCCGCCGCGTGTTCGTCGTCTTCGCCGTTGTTTCTCGCTTTCAACGCGTACATTCTCTCCCCTTCTTCGTCCACCATCCCTTTACTTTGCAAAACGAGTTTCACGTTTTTGGTCGGAAAATCATCCCCTCCTCCACCGAAATCATCCATCCCGACGATGTAATCCATCACTTTCTCTTTGCTCACTAAAGCTAGCGTAGGCAACATGAATATCTTTAACTTTTCGGTTAAATATGGCGACTTTTCCGCGTCAATCTCGCAGAACAACGTTTCTAAATGCATCGGCGCTAACGCGCGCAAGTGTTTCGTCATCACTTTACACGGTTCCGAGTTGCGATAAAAATGACACACCATCTTCTCCTCTCCTTTCATTTTGCCGAAGAATTCTTTTTCGTCCAGTATTTGGTGCACTTCTCCGTGTTGTCGTTTCAGATATTCTTTTCTGTTCGATTGGTTTCCTCGCATTTCTTCCATGCGTTTGCGTCTCGCGTCTTCTAAATCTTCCTCGTTCAGTTTGGACATTTTATGAAGCTCATCGTCCAACTGTTGTTCCACTTGGTAGGCGGTTTTTAGAAGTTCGTTTTCAATCTATATCAATATGTTTAGTATATCGATTGCGTTAAATAAAGAATGAACGTCGTTCGGTTGTTTTTGTTCGTTCGTTGTAATAAAAAGAGAGAGAGAGAGTAAGAAGTCAGTCCGTTGTCCGTCCGTCGTTCGAGAAGAGAGAAAGTCAAAGCTTTACAGAAGAGAGATGAATGATTTTTGAAAAATCCATCATCATCATCGTCCAAAAGACGGCAACAAAAAGAAGCGCGCGCGATACGAATACTACTACGTATAGAATAATTGAACGACGACAGAATTTTGACGCCGATGACGACGATGCAGACGACGACGTACCCGAGCTGCGACGTTTGCGTTCATCTCTTTCTTAGAAATTTTATACGAGTACTGTATCAGTCGTCGTCAGTTTGTGAGGATGATTTTAGAGGAAAAAGGGAGAAAAAACGAGTTAAAAAATTATTTTTCAGTTTGTATTAAATCTGCCCCATCTCTATTTCTTCATCTTCATCTTCTTCTTCTTCTTCTTCTTCGTCGTCGTCGACCAACTTTGTGAAACCACCAGTTGGACCGCCAAACGGACGAGGACGACTGCGGCGACTACTCGAAGTACTACTACTACTACTTTTACTACTACAAGGATGGAAAAAACGGTACGCAACCGCAAGAGCGAGACATGCGATGAGTAAAACGACGCTGGCGAAACCAATTTTCAGCAAGTTTTCATACCTCGTGTCGTTCTTATCTGTCGTTCGAAGGATGACAAACTCGTCGAGAACACTATTTTCATCCATTCCATCGATAAATTTACAGTGCAATGAAGTGGAATTATGAGCAATCAAATCGATGTATCCATGCGCGTACAAAGTTATCTCGTTGAACTCCGATTTAGGCCTCGAAAGTTCCTTGACTAAACTTGCACCTCCGGTTCCGACGACCAACGATATTGGCGCTTTCGGGTTAGAGTATATGTTATTTGCATCCGAATATTGCACGCAGCCGTTCGTTCGACCGATTCCGTAAACTTCAGTCGGGTGTATTTGATCGCTCGAGGCGTTGAATTTCGCCCACGAACACGAGCGTTGATAGACATGATGGTGTCCCCAAAACGTGAGATCGACGTTGTACTTCAAAAACAGGTTTTCCCAAAGATGATCCTGAATCATGTTCATCACACCAATATCAGTCGATTCGATTCGATTCGATTCGTGGTCATCTGGATCTGGTTTTTCGTCAGAATCTACCAAACCTGGACGATGCCCGGTGACAATAACCCACGGCGTTCGCGTTCGGTCAATATTTTTTAAAGCCTCTTCGAGAAATACATACTGACGAGAACCGACTTTAAAATCAGCCTCCGTGTTCATAGAAACGATTGAAACCAACCCGATTTCTGTTTTAAACCAATCTGAATCCGCACCAATAGTTTCCTTGTCGTCACGCGGCGTTGGAAATAACACAGTCGCGGCGACGCCGCATTCTCCTCCCGAATCGTTTCCGCCGTACAAGTCTTCGAATCCTTTTCGAGTTTCCGGCCAAAACTCTACTTCTGTGTCGTATTCATGATTACCTTGATTCGTCAGAAGAGGGATTTGCGAAGCCCAAGGCGTTATTTGTGCTAAAAATTCATCCCATACTGACGCGTACCCTTTCGCGTACGATAAGTCTCCGAACAAAAAAACGCCTTGAACTTTTGAAGAAGAATTTTTGTTCACCACGTTTACGTGACGCGCAATCGAGTCTGATACGTTCCAAGCCGGCGACCCGGATATGTGCCACGTCTCTGCGTCGTCGACCGAACCTCTTCCCATGTCTCCAAAAAATAACAGCTCGGTTTCTCTCGTTGTCGATGATGATGATGATGATTGTAGTATTGGTTTGTATACGCAGCAGTATATCTCTTGTTTCTCCGGTTCCGTCGCATCGTCTAGAAGTCTATATTCAATCTTTTCAAAACCATTTGCATGCGATGTCAAATCCACACTTACGTCATACAGTATCGAGGTGTGTACGTATCCCGGCGAACGAAAACCGAACGTCGTCGCAGGCGCGTGACATAAATCTTCTTTGCCGTACGTTTCAGTTTTTGTCGCTACGACTTCATTCCAGTTCGTAGAAGTTTCATTTGTATTCGTTCTCCATTCGATGCGAGGCGTCGACGACGCGTCTCTGCCGCTATTCCACGTAATCGCGACTCTCCGGACAAGATCCGATGATGATGACGACGACGACGGCGGCGTCTTCACCAGCACTACTCTCGGATGCGCGGGCTCTAAATATCCTACTAAATTTATCGCCTCGCTCCTTGCCAAAACTTCCGCGCGGTTGTAATGTTTCCACATCCAAGAATCTCCAAACAAAACGAAATCGTACGTTTCCTCTCTCACGCTTGTCAACTTAAACCTCACCTCCACTGCGCCTGTCTCGACATATCTCCCTTTCGAAACCGCGTTCAATATCGCGTATTTAATTGGCGCTATCGCTTTCACGTCCGCCCGCGCGGGCGAATACGCCGCTATCCAGTGGCTTCCTAATAATGTCTCGTTTCCTCTCTGTTCTGACGAAGTCGTGACCGTGACCGTCACGTGTCGAGCGTCTCCTTCTGCGCTCTCGACGGTGACGGTATACGCACCGTCTTCATCGTCTATTAAAAAGCCGTCTTCTTGTCCTCTTTTTTTTTTTTCTTCTTGTTGTTGACTCATCATCTTCTTCTTCTTGGTATTAAAAGACTCATCGCTCAGCCTCTGGATATCAATCGCGAGTAGCGCGTTGTGTCGTTTCGCATCTTCGTCGCAGAAAAAGTTTTGGGTTTTTCCTCCTTGTTTTCCATTTTTTTTCTCCTTTTCATCGTCGTCGTTTGTGCGACTCTTCTTCGTGTCGTTCTCCTCCTCCTCGTCGTCGTCGTCGTCCTCCCAAGTGGGAAAGAAGAATCTGGACGATGATTTCAACATGAGACTGAAAAGGATATTTTCTGAATACCCCACCGTTTTTAATTAGTGCACTACAGAATGAGAAGAAGAATACAAAGAAGAAGAAGAGATACTCAGCACTGCTGCGCTTTTTCGTGTTTATGTCATCAAAACAGTGAACAATATGTCTGTTGAGCTGTTAAACGTTGTTGAGACGTCGCGACTGTAAGGACAAGAACGTGACACGTCTCTCGTTGTAACTCATAACTGTAATCCATTTCTTTTATTCCCAATTAGGAGTCGAAAAAGTTCCTTTTTCGCTCCAAAAAATTGGACAACTCTATTTATTCTTATTAGGAAGAGTGTAGTAGACACGATGAATACGAATACGTTGTTGCAAGTACTCCTCGTCCTCCTCGCGGTGGCAACTTTTCTTGGTTCGACCGAATGTAAAGTGATCATCACCGAAGTTGGCGCGAACAGCGATATTAACGTGCGTCGTCGTCTCGTTAGAGATTTTTTATTATTCTGCACGTCGTCTCAATTTTGGCGTGCCCACATTCATTTTTAACCGTGTCGTCTGTTTAATATACTCGTAGTAGATCTGGTGGTGTCTTTTCCATCTAAAGAGATGCGACCTTGGGGCGTAAAGAGTCTTCAGACGAAAAGTCTCGAGAAGTTGTTTTCGTTCGCACGCGTGTGCGTGATGGTGGTGGTGTTCTTATCGTTCGCGTCGTTTCGTTTCCTATTTCTTTTCTTCAAAGAATTGGAGGGAAAAAAGGAATAATTTTTTATTCTTTCTTCATTTGTGCACACATTTTGAAGAAGGAAGTTCGAATATACGTACGCGAGTGATGATGATACGAATACTTTTTTGAACGCCTCATTTACTTTGTTCCCTTTACACATACATAAAATACAACAGGATTCGACTGGCTCGGGCGCAGATTTTATCGAGATACACAACACCGGCAGTATTGGTACGGACGCGGTGGACTTGGCTGGGTATAAACTCGCCGACGATAAAGGCGTCGCCGATGCGGACGTGTTTACGTTCCCGGCTGAGACGCCGCCGTTGAGACCGAAGGAAACGAGAGTTTTAGTCAAAGGTGATCCTTCATCGTTCGCGTTTGGGATTGGGAAGTCCGATACGGTGACTTTGTTCAATGCGGCGGGTATCGAGGAGGATACGACGGGCCCTTTGGACGGCGGCGATATCTCCGGGCAAACGTGGCAACGGTTGACGAATTCGGCGCACGGGTATGGCACGGATGATACGGATTTGGCAGCTTTTGGACGACAGACGTACATGACGCCCGGTCGATTGAATCATCCGGTCAAAGTTTTCATCTCAGAAGTCTCTTCGAAAGATTCTGCGGCCGACTCGGTCTGCTCTGGCGTAGATTTCGTTGAATTGTACAACGCGGGAACGTCCACAGTCGACCTGGGGGCGGGATACAGTTTGTCCGACGACAAATGGCACGAGGATGAAGATTCTTGGGACATACCCGCCGGAACGACCATTCTCCCGGGCGAGTTCAAAGTGTTCTGTACAGGAACTCATTTTGCGTACGGCATAGGTAAAGACGATGCCGTCGTTCTGCACGACCCGTCTGATATAGCCGTGGATACGACTGGCACTATGGACCAATCGCAACACGTGGAAGGATATTCTTGGTCCCGACAGGGTGACGAAACGAACGAAATGGACTTTGTTTCTTTTGCGACCTCGGTTCAACAAACTCCGGGTGCCTCGAATAACGTCGGCATTTGCACGTCGTTGGTGTTGAACGAAATCGCCGATAAAGGCACCGGAACTTCGACGTGCAACGACGAAGATTGGATCGAGCTTTACAACAACTGCCCGACGGCGATCAACTTACACAACTGGAAACTTCACGACGACAAGGGGGTCGATCACGAGGATTCATACTTACACGGAAATAGCGACGTCATCATCGAAGCTGGAGGGCACCATATTTTGTGCGGCGCGACTGATTTTCAATTTGGCGTCGGATCTGATGATACCATCACCTTGATATCTCCAGGTGGAGACACCGTCGATACCGTTGGCCCCCTCGTCGCTGGTCGTGGCAACTCTTCCGTCACGTATCAAAGACAGGCGGATGGCACGGGAGAATGGACGTACAGAACGCCGCCGACGCCGGGAACAACAAACGGGGCATCCACGTACGTTCCGGCGAATGGCGCTTCGTTGTACGCCCCGCCCGGTTCAGTGACGGTTGCATTGAACGAAATTTCGTCGTCGAATACGAGTGCTGCGCATTGCAATGGCGAGGATTGGATCGAGTTGTACAACTACGGGTGTGAAGATGTCAACCTGGAGAACTTTTACATTGCGGATGAAAAAGGTCACTTGCACGCGGACGTGTATCGTTTCCCGTCTGGCTCGTCCATACAAGCAAAATCTCTCAAAGTACTTTGCAAGATCACGGACTTTGCATACGGTATCGGTGGCTCTGATACGATATCCTTGCACAACAAGGAGGAACAAATCATCGACTCGTATGCGCTCACCGGTTTACAAACAAAAGAGAACTTATCCACCATGCAACGCTCCCCGGACGGCACGGGCGATTGGACGCTCTTGAAAGCCTCCCCGAACGCCTACAACTCCGCCACGCAAGGTGGTACCTCGTGTTCCTCGAAATCAGCACTTTCCAGCGAAGTCTTGGGCGGTGCCATCGGTGGCGCCATCGTGGGCGTCTTATTAATCGCATTTGTCTTGGTCAAAACGTGCACGTCCAAGAAGCGCATCTTGGTCCAAGAAATTCGCAAAGACGTTCGCGCGCGTTCGGACGACCCCGAATTCGGTCTCGGGATGCGGGCTCAGTACGAGCAGAAAGGGAAAACGTCGCTGATGTTGACCGAATACTGATTGATGATTTTTTTCTCAGAATATAAGAAAACGAAACGAAACGAAACGAGAACTGTTCTATTATATACATATTACTATTATTTTATACATATCATCGCGACAACACTCAATTTTTTCTTTCATTTTTCAGAAGAACAAAACCGAAAAAGAACTGAAAATGAAATGAAGAAGATAAATTTTCTCCTTTTTTTTGTAAGACCAAACGAAAAACAACAGTAAAAACTTGTGAATATGCGCGGTCGTGGTCCTTCTTTATCTGCGACATGTACGAGCACACCACCTCCTCCTCGCGCACGCTCGACGATTTTACAACAACAACAACAACAACAACAACAGAAACAACAACACTATCATCGTCGTCGTCATCGTCATCGATTTGAAAAGAAGGCTTTTCTTTCTCGTCGACGACGAGTAAAAGCAGAAGCAGCTTCCTCATCGAAAGAAGACAAAGACAAAGAAGAAGAGAAACACATGCACTTGCTGGAGGAAAAACTGAGTCAACACGGAGCGCCTTTGCAAGTGTATTACTGCGACGAAGAGTACGAAATCCCGAGCTTTCGAGACACGACGATTTTAATACGATCGACGACACCGGATGCGGTTTTATCGGAAATGCGAGGGAAAATGGACAACGGGGTGGAGATATCTACAAAGACGGTGTACGACGAACAGAACGCGACGATATCATCTTCTTCATCTTCATCTTCTTTGAAAAAGAAATCGAGGCTACCTCAAGTGACGATAACTGGAGGCGTGTTTGACTTGTTCGCGTTAGCGGTAGCGTTAGTACTCGACCAAGAAGAAGACAAAGAAGAAGACGTAAACGTAGCTATTCTTGGATTGGGCGCCGGAACCTGCGCGCGGTTAATCGATGACTTGTACCACTCGTCGAATAAGAGAGTGAAGATGTTTGGGTACGAATTGGACGATGCGATCGTTGATTTAGGGATGAAACATTTCGGTCTGAACGAATTGAAAGAGAAAGGGTCGTTGGTGGACGTGCGCGTCGGAGACGCGCTCGAGAATATCAAGACGAAGAAGAGCGACGCGGACGATACTGTCAAGTTTGATTTAATCATCGTCGATTTATTCGACGACCAAAGTCGCGTCATCCCTCAACTGATGGAAGTAGAACGATGGGAGAACATATCGAAGCGCTTGAAAAATCCTCCGTCTTCTTCTTCTTCTTCTTCGAACGAAAACGTGAGCCGAGTTATTTGCAACTTATCCACCGGTAGGGGTCGAGGCGCAAACATAAACAACGCGGTGCACGTCGCAGAACTCATCGCAGAGACGTGCGGAAACGGCGACGTCTCGATTTGGCCGTCAAGCAAAATGAACGTTTGGAACGAGTGTTGCATATCCGGACCGAAACCGTCGTTTGGGGTAGATACGACGCCGAAAGTGTTGGCGACGTATTGTCCGCACTGGATTTCAACGAGCAAGTACGTCAAAAACAAAAACAGTTCCAGTAACGAAACTGATGAGGATGGTGACGATAAAGACGACGACGACGACGATATTCCTATGAATGGATGGTTATTAGATAGACTTCAAGGTCGATGAGTGACGTTTTCTTTATCGAGCTTGTAAATTAATTTAGGTATAAATAGAAGAGGAAATTTAGCACGCATGCTGGAAAAAAAACAAAGTCACCCCCTATAATTACATTATATTATTACATTTGTAAAACTTTCCTTGTCTTCGAGTGCGTCAAATTTTCGTCAACTTCCGGAAACAACTCTCTCAACTTTGGTATTTTCCAATACAACTCTCTCCAACTTTCTCTTTCGAACGCGTTCGGCGTGTGCACGGCGTACGCGTATCCTAACTTTTTCGCCGCGTTTACGTTGTCCTCGTCGTCGTCAAAAAACACAACTTGTTTCCTAGCTTTTCCTAACAAAGACGACGCCGCCGACGACGATTCGACCGGGTCCTCTCCTTGTGCACTACTAATATCTTCCTCGTTCATCGACAACACGTACCGTTTCGTCAACGCATCCAACATCCGACTTTTGTCCTTCATGGAACACCCGTCTGTTCCGCCCACGTCGTTCGGCGTCACTATGCTTTTCTTTTTCTCATTGAACGCGTACTCCGCTAAATCCTCGTCTCCTTTCTTCCCGTCCACTAAACATTTCAAGTACGTTTCAATCACCTCTCTCTTTCCGAACGAGGCAATCGCAACTTTGATTGACTTCTGTTTCATCTCTCGTAAAAACGCTCGGAAGAAATTCGCATCCGCGCAGTCTCTCTCGTAATCTCTTCTCGGAACGTCCAACGCGGAAATGCGTTTGGCGAACGAGTGTATTCTCAGAATGGTCATGTCAAAGTCCCAGACGACGAGTTTAATCCTCTCGTCGTCGTCGTCGTTGTCGTTGTTCTCGTCGTGATGATGACTACTTGTTCTCATCTTTGTAGAGTGTTGTTCTTTATGGGAAGAACACAACAACTATTTGAGTGATGAAGAAGAAGGAGTTTTTGACACGTTTGTCAGTTTGTCTCTCTCTCTTTCTCTCTTCTGTTTTGGTGTTTGTTTGGACTTTTTGAAATTTTTTTTTTTATTCTTCACACATGCATCGAAAAATCAACATTTTTCAACACACACACACACACAAGAGAAAAGAAAAGAAAAGAAGAGAGACTACTTTTCTCATCCGACTCTTCACACGCACTCTTATTCGTACACACACAGAAGACACTTAAAACACATAAAAGAGAGAGAGAGATTATCTCGTTTGTCGTCTTAGTACCACACACACTCTTTCGACTCTCTCTCTTTTTCTCTCTCTCTCTCTCTCTCTCTCTCTCTCTTCTTTTGAAAAGAAAGCATGGCGGACGAGGCGAAACGTCAGGCGCAGTTGGAAGCCGGGAGAAAGAAATTAGAGACGTTCAAAGCGAGAAAGTCATTGTTAAAACAACAACAACAACAACAACAACAACAACAGAAAGAGAAAGAGAAAGAGAAGAAGGAAGAGGGAGAAACGACGATTCAGACGACGACGACGACGACACCTAAACGAGATGAAATTTTCGAACAACAACAACAACACGAAGAGTTTCACACGCCAAACGCGTTGGTCTCGTCGTCGTCGTCGACGATTTACGATGATTCAAAAACAAAAACAAAAGCAACGACGACGATGGTGATGCAAGACGAGATTGAGAAAATCGTCCGCGAAGCCGTGGAGAAAGAATCCGCAAAGTTGAAGAGGAAATTCGAGGAAGATGTCGACGAGTTGAAACAGAAACACGAAGAGGCGAGAGAGGAAACGGAGAAGGAGAAGAAAGAGTTTGAAGATTTGAAAATGGAAGAGATGAGAAAACGAATGGAAGAGGAAAAGGAAAATTTTCAGACGCAGTCCACGGAGAGGATCAACGAGCTGCAAGAGAAGGTGCAAAAAGCGGTGAAGAAAGGCAAGTCGATGCAAGCGGAGAGGGACGAAATCAAATCGGCGTTTGACGCGTTGACGACGCAAAGCGAAGAATTGGTGAAGACGATTGAAATCGCAAACGAGAGAAGCGGCAACGCGGAAAAAGAATTAGGAGAAACTAAGATACAGTTGCAAGCGAAAGAAAAGGAGTTTGCGGATTTGAAGTCGTTCTACGAGGAGAACAACGCGAGTAACTTGAACGAAGAGGAACGATTGAAAATGGAGTTGACGGAAACAAACGCAAAGATGGAGGAAATGACGCGAAAAGTCGACGACGCGGAAAACGAAACGGAAACGGTCAAATCAGAGTTACGCGCGAAACGAGAAGAGTTTGACGATTTAAAGCAACTGTTCGACGACACGGCGGCGAACGCGACGCGAGGCGAGGAAGGTTTGAAGGAGGAAATTGTCGCGTTGCGAGAGCAAACGAACGCGTTGAAGGAGGAATTGACGACGGCGGCGCAAACGAGCGAGGAAAAAGCGAAGATGTTGGAACGCGAGTTGGAAAACGAAGTGAGCACGCGCATGAGTTTAGAAACAGAGGTCGAGGAGTTACGACACGCGAACGCGCAGTCGACTGACTCCTTGCGCGCAGAGTTTGAACGCGCGAAGGAGGAAAACGAGGCAATCAAACTGAAATGCGAAGCGTTTGAACGCGAAATCAACGAGGAGTTGAAACCAAAGTGCGAAGAGTTGGAGCGAGAAATCAACCAAGAATTGAAACCGAAGTGCGACCACTTCGAGCAAGAGTTATCGGTCGCGCAGGAGGAGATTTCCGGACAGTTCCAACTCGGCGTCGAACGCGATGAAGCGCAGAGAAAGCTCGCGGAAGCGGAGCAAGCGCTGGAAGTTATGCGAAAGGAGAGAGATGATTTAGAGAACAGCTCGTCCGCGGCGCACGAAGAAGCCTTAGGAAAGCTTCAAAAAGAGCTCGGAGAAGCGACCATTGCCTTGCGAGCGAAAGAAAAGGAGTTTGCGGATTTGAAGTCGTTTTACGAGGAGAACAACGCGAGTAACTTGAACGAAGAGGAAAGATTGAAACTCGAATTGATAGAAACGAAAACGACGCTGGGAGAGGCGAACGAGAAAATCGCGCAGTTAGAACTCGACGCGAGAACGGTATCGAACGAACGTTACGATTTGATCGCGCAGATTGACCAGTATAAGAAGCAAATGGGCGATCTGGAGAAATCTTTCGACGCGCACAAATCTGACGAAGACTCACTCCGGGAAGAAAAGGCTACATTTTTAGGCAAAATCAATGCTTTGGAGAGCGAGCGAGGGGAATTATTCGCGCGAAATGAAAAGATTCTGAACGATTTAGAAGAGATGACCAAATTGAAAAACGCGCAATCGGAGAAAGTCCAAAAAGCCGTCAAAAAGGGCAAGTCTATTCAAGCCGATCTCGTAGAGACGAAGAAAACGCTCGGCGCGAAGGAGCAAGAAGTGATCGATTTGCAACAACGCGTAGACGCGTTGGTGAATGCCGAGCCAACAACACCTCAACAACAACAAGAAGAAGAGGGGAAGTACGTCGCGCTCCTCGCGGAAAAAGACGCGACGATTGCGTCTGTGCTCGAGCGAGAAGCGAAGGCGCCGGCGCACGTAGAAACCATTCAAAAGCAAGTGGACGATCTGATCGTCGAAAGCAACGCCTCCGCGGATAAAGTTGCTTCAATAGAGAATGAATTAGCACACTCGCGCGAAGCCGTGGCGAACGCGGAGAGAGAAATAGGAGAGACTAAGATACAGCTGCAAGCGAAAGAAAAGGAGTTTGCGGATTTGAAGTCGTTTTACGAGGAGAACAACGCGAGTAACTTGAACGAAGAGGAACGATTGAAAATGGAGCTAAACGAAGCGAACGCGAACATGCAACTTGTGCGCGAGGAAGTTGAAACGCTGAAAAAGAAACTCACGGAACAGGATGAACGCTCTTTAGCTGCGGCGAACGAACAACACTCGGAGCAAATTCAACTGTTACAAGCGACGATTGCGGAAGCGAGAGACGAAGGCAATCGAGAGCGCGTGGTTGCGGAGAGTTTGAAGCAAGAGTTGGACGCGAAAGTTTCTGAAGTGCAAAAGATGAAGATAGAAATCGAGCACAGCGCGGAAAAGCTGGAGGAAATCAACGCGGAGAAGGAAATGTTCATGTCCGAATGTGAAAAAGCTTTGGAAAGTTTCGACCGCGAAAAGGCGAAAGCGAAGGAGCTGAAACAAAAGTTGAAAGATTTCGATCATGAATCTAAAACGAGCGCGCAGATGAAAATGGAAGAACACGAAAACGCTTTACGCGCGGCGAGCGAAAGAGCGACGTTTTTGGAAGAAGAGCTGTCGAAAGCGAACGCGGCTTTGACGCAAGCGTCTGAAAACGTCCAACGAGGCCCGTCGGCGGAAGAACTCGAACGCGAAAAACAGGAACAACAGAGAGAATTACACGAGTTGAAGTCTCGATTAGATCAAGAGTTGCAAGGTATGAACGTTTTGCGGGAGCAGTTGCAAGAAGAGCGCGGAAAAAGAGCGCAGCTCGACGCGCGTTTAGCCGCCTCTTTGGCCGCGCAACAACAACAACAAGCGACGACGACGCAGCACACCGGGGCCTCTGAACAAAAGCAACCGTCGCCGCATCACAGGTTTACCAATAAAAAGAACGAAGATTACGGCGGCGACGACGACGAGACGATGTTGAACGATATCGAAGGCGCGATCATTTCCGGTGGAAGCTACTCGTTCGTTCCGTTGCAAGGAAAGTTCAAGTCGTTGACGTTTTGCCCGCCGTTGCAATCGAGCGGTTGCTTGCAAGCGGCGAACATGTTCGATCGGTTTTCTGTGTTTTTACAGCGAAGACCGACTTTAAGAGTCTTACTGATTGGCTATTTCGCGCTGTTGCACGTGCTCTTGTTTCTGTTTTGATTTTGATTGTTGTTGTTGTTGTTATATTACTCTCTAAATTATTATTATTATTCAATCAAACACAGAAAGAGGACCGTAAAATTTAGGGGGTCAAAATTGAACCACATACCCTAAACTCTTCTTCTTTTTTGGGTTTTTAAGATATTTTCGAAAGGAATCTCACTAAATTTCCGACAGGTCTTGTATATATCTATAATAAATATGTCGGATATGACTGCTGAAAAAGAGAAGAGACACGACGATTATTCGCAAGACGAAAACGTCGAACGTCACGTTCGTAAGAACAGATGGATTTCCGTCGATATCGGAGGAAAACCGTACGTTTTTTTATTCCCAACATCATCATCAAATGTTGTTTTTTCTTTCCGTTTGAATTTGAGTGTCACACTCGGGAGTGTTGCTTATCAAAATTGCTTCATTGCTTTTAGTATTCACTCGCGCGCGAGTCTTTCTGTCCTCAAACTCGTTCTAAAATCCGTCTAAAATGGAAGTTGAACGTTCACGTCATCGATTGCGCGCAAAAAGAGAGCGGTTTCTTCGTTTGGACGCGACTGATTCGCCGCCGTCATATCGTCGCGTTGTCGTCGAGAATTGGTGAGACGATGATCGAGAATTTTCCCTCCTTGGTGGTGACGCAGCACCAAATCTCTCTCGCACAAAACGGCTGTGCTGACTCATCAGAAGGAAGTTTAAAATAATCGAAAAAAAAACGTTTGGGGGCAAAAAACAACAAAGAAAGAAGAAAACAAGGAATACACCAAACTTTTTGTGCTTTTAAAACTAACCTCTACTTATAAACTCTGTTATTATATAAACTCAAACAGGTTTCTTCGATTCAACTGGGTGTCCTCATTGCTCGCATCTCTCGTGTTGTGGGGCTTCGTCGCCGCCGTATTGATTGACGACGAAAACCATACCAATCCGAAACTCCCGACTGAGTTTAGCCGATGGAAAAAGTGGATCACGGTCAACTTCTCGTGGATGTACATCTTGACCCAAGATGTTTGGTTCATATTTGTGCTCTGGCTTCTGTTTACGAAGTACGCGAACATCAAGTTGGGCAGAGACGACGATAAACCTGAATTTTCAGATTTCGCCTGGTTTTCCATGCTTTTCTCCTGCGGAATCGGGGTAGGCTTCTACTATTACGGAGTCTCCGAACCAATCTATCACTACCGTCAATCGGCTAATTTACAAAGTATTCCAGTGACGAACGATGATCAAAAAGCCCAACAAGCTATTTTTCAAACGCTCTTTCACTGGGGCCTTCACGGCTGGATTCCTTACATTGTCGTCGCGTTGACGCTCGGCGTCACCTGCCATCGACAAGGTTTGCCAATGACCATGCGTAACGCCTTTCATCCGTTGATTGGTGATCACACGAGAGGTTTCGCTGGTGATTTAATCGACGCTTTGTCCATTTCTTGCACAACCTTTGGCGTGTGCACGTCCTTAGGTTTGGGCGTCTCTCAAATCAACTCGGTTCTCGCCCGTTTGGACGGCTCCGTCGAAGTCAACCAAAAGACGCAAACCGGCATCATCTGGATTATTACCGCAGTCGCGACGATCTCCGTCCTTCTCGGTCTTAAACGTGGTATCAAATCGTTGTCGTTGTTCACTTTCACCATTGGTCTGGTCTTGCTCGTCTTGGTTACCGTTTGCGACAACACGTGGTTCCTCCTCAACTCCTTCGTCGAGGCGGTTGGCACGTACATGACGTGGGTGATCCAAGTTGGCTTCAAGTGCGGCACGTGGACGCAATTGAACCAAGAATTCGATAACGGGTACGAATACGAAGGTAAATCCTTGCTTTGGGGCCAAGATTCCTTGAGCGACAAGCTCTATGAGGCTACCGGCATCGAAACGTCCTCTGCTCTCGCCATCGAGAAGTACGACTCCGGACCGTCGTGGATGATGGACGGTTGGACCATCTTTTACTGGGGCTGGTGGATCTCCTGGGCGCCGTTCGTCGGCATGTTTATCGCAAAAATCTCCAAAGGTAGAACTGTCGGACAGGTCATTAAAGGTGCTTTCATCGCGCCGATCTTGTTTTCGTTCATTTTCTTGACCTTCTTTGGTTCTCTCGGTATCAAAATGCAACGCGCGGCTGAAATGGCGTTGGATGTTACAGTAGACAAGTCCAACTGGAGCATTGACTGTGCTGCATCTGGTTACACTGGTGGCGCTCCGTCTTCCGAAGCTGCCATTGCGCTCGCCGATAAGGGTTATTATTTACTTTCCTGTAGGTCATCCAACGACCGCATTCTCGACGTCATGGCCCCGTACGGCAAATTGACGACGTTCATGCACTTGTTGGTGTTAATCGGTATCACGTTCTACTTCGTGACTTCGTCTGATTCTGGTTCCTACGTCGACGATATCATTTCCGCGCAGGGCCACGAGAACCCGCCGTGGATTCAACGCGTCTACTGGGCCGTTACGGAAGCTGCCACCGCGCAAGCGTTGCTTTCCGCTTCGGACGCGGGATTGAGCACGATTCAAGGCGTCTCTATTGTCGCCGGTTTACCGTACACGATCGCCATCTGCTACTGCTGCACGTCGCTTTATCGCGCATTGAAACGTGAAATGAGAGACGAAGATATCATGGCGCAAAGACATGGTTTCGTCGTGTCTTCCTTGGACATTCTCGAATTGTACAGCCCGGAAGGCATGCCTGCGCAATCGCCGTCGGCGGGCGATAGGTTCAAATCGAACATCATCGCCTTGTTCTTCCCATACAAAGGTCTCAAGACCGCCGCAGTCGCCGCGTACAACGACGATGTCATGGGTACAATCTACGCTGTTGTTGCTACTTGCACGTGGTTCGCCTGGTTTCTCTGCTTGTGCTTATCTGACATTGGCGAAGGTACTGCTTCCATCGCGTGGATGTTGTTCGTCTTCTTTGTTGCGCAAGTTGCGATTATTCGTTACCAGGTCAGAGCGGCGCGAAGCATCAGAGATAACTTCTTGAACGACTTGTTCGCTACATTCGCGATGTATCCGATGGTCATCTCTCAGATGGAATTGGAAGCGCCGTACATCGAGCAACGCAAGCAAGTATAAAAACACGTTATTTATATGAACGGCAAAATAAGAGTAGCGAGCGCGTGACTTCGTTATCTAAAACGAAACGCGTGCCGTGTTTCTCGGTAGGAGGTAGGCTGACGAGGATGGGTCACATTCCCATTCCACGTTACATAAAAAAGAGTCATCAAAAGAATTAATAATAAGGACGCGAATAATAAGGACACGAAGCGAAACTAGGAACAGCCGTTCCATTTTACTTCTTTCATAAGCGTTTTTGTAAACAAAAAAAAAAATCAAGTTTTACAATCATCTAATTTCATCACACACCATTTCGTGCGCGCATCTCCTCTTCATTTTAATTCTCATTGTATGTATGGTACAATGATACTGTTAGTACAACATCTACTCTGCTATCATTATCGATTCTAAAATCATGACGCGTCTCTCCAAACGCTACTTCTCGCTTCAGCGCTCTTGTCAACCTCGTTTTGTCGCTCTGCTCCATTAAGAGTTTCTCTTATTTCCTCCTCCTTCGCTGACATCACGTCTCGAACAACCTTTGGATTTGAATCGCCGTAACTTATAAAATCCAGAACTGCGCATACGTTTGCACCTTCACCATTCTTACCCGATAAACGCTTCACCGCGTCTTCATCGGGTTCAAAAGCATTTCTTCTCGCATTCCCTGTGATTGTTCGGTTGGAAGTAAATATCTCGTTTACCGAAGGCTGTATTGTGCGCAACTTTTTGTCCACGTCTCGATTTATCTCCGAATAAGTTCGCTTCTTTTGCTCCGTTTGTAAACGCGTTGTCGTCGGCTTTGATCTTTCGCTCGCCACTGGTCCTTTGCGCCTGAGCTCGTGTTCAAATCTACCTCTGTAATGTTTTACACCTTCGTACTCATCATCCAAGGCGTTATAGAAAAGCTTGATGAACTTCTTATTAGATTGATAGTCTCCAGGGCCGCCGCCGCCGTCGTCGTCGTCGTCGTCGTCGTCGTCGTCGTCACTTCCTTCTCCATCACCTCCTTCTCTTTCTTCTAGTTCGTGATTGTTTAGATTCAAAATTCTGCAGTCTTCTCCTTGTTCGGGAACGAAACTGGACGCTTGAACGCGCAAGGCGCGCACGTTTGCATCGTCTCGAACAATTTGACGAATGATATTTGCCACTTTATCGCCTACCACATCAACGATCGTTGACAAGCTTGAAGAATTTCCATTTTTTCTTCGTTCTGTCGAATCAACAACAGAACACGCTTCTCGCACGAGCGCTGCGCGTACTTTTTTCCTAGTCAACCCATCGTCCCCCAACAAGGTGAAAAAGCTCGAAAAGCTCGGAAAGTTTACTTTCTCCTCAAATACACCTCTAGTATTCAAATCACCGCCGTGGGAAGGTGCAGCATGCACTTCGCACACCAAATCTTCCGGCCATCTGTTAAAAAACATTCCATGAAATAAAGTCACACGCGTTAAGTCGCGTCCGATGGATGTAATCGAGTTGTTGCAATTAGCACCGCTATTGTTCTCAAGTTGTCCGCCGCATTTTAGCAGTGGCTGGTAGACGCTCAATGCGGAAACTTGCGTCGATTTTCTCGCGCTAACGCTTGCTTTATTCTTTCCAGAGGTATTCTTATCGTTTTGCGACGATGCAAAAGAGGAAAAAGCTTCGAGTCGAACCATGACCTTTTTCGCTAATATTTTCGAAAGCCCGAGTTTACCAGTGTAAAAGCCAATATTCTGTTCTTTCAAAAGTTCGTGAAGGTTCGCGACGTTGTTCGCATCTATTTTCATTCGTAAATTCTCATCGTTCGCTAACTCAGGTACGACACCATCGCACGGGTGAAACTGATGTATCAACTTTTCAATTTCTCCAGATGTACACGCGATCTTAATATTGTCGCCATTACTGATTTTCTGGTGCGCGCAAGAGTTTTTTGCTAAACTCGCATTTATGGAAACACCGAATGTTATACCGTGGAAGAATAAAGGGTTCGTGACGTACCCTTGCACACATTCCAAAATTTTGTCGCAAACGTGTGTCGCTTGTTTTGTGCTGACAACGGTACTCGCAGACGTGCGACTCGGTCGAATGGAAAAGAATGCCCATCTTTGCTGCTGAAAAGCGCTCGCAGCGTTGGTCCTATCGTCGCTGATATTGTGTTGTAAATTAATCGATCCTTCAACAGCATGTTCTTCGTCCACGTGTCGACGTCCGAGATGTGTGAGCTGTATCTGTTGCGATTGAAATTCGTTCGATTTGCATAAATCTTGAACAATTCGTTGCGAAGCCTCGAGCATGACCAGCGTCGCGTCTTTGTCGTCCCCGGTTGCGGGTTTCGTCGCGTTTCCAAGAAAATCGACGCAGATAACCAATGAGGAAAGAGAAGAATCAGGAGAGGATCCCATCTCCATCTTAGTGATCTTACCTTATTCGTTCTTTCTTTCTTTAGGTTCGAACAATCCAATCGAATGTCCATCGATTGTTGTCATCGCAGCAATTTTTTCAACCGTTTTTGACTTGTCGCTCGTAAACTGAATCGGACCGTCCAAAGTCCCTCCTAATTCCAACAACTGTTTTACCGCGCGATCGACGTCTACAACCTCAAAGTTTAACGAAATAGTATTTTTCTCGCTCTGTCTGTTACGTCTCTCTTCTTCTTCGTCTTCGTCTTCCTTTGATGATACCAACGTCTTTTGTTGAACCGCGAGAGTGATGTTGCTGCTGTTGCTCGTCGTCGTGGGGGATTTTTTTCCAATCGTCAACTCGGCAAAAGTGTCCGTACAAACAACGAGGGAGAATCCTAAACCTTTGGTGAAGAAATCGCACGTCTTTTTCAGATTATTCGAGGAGAGTAAGATGTGTTTCAAGCGCGTTGACATATATATATATATATATACGTGTATATAATATATCAGCGTGTAAATTTAATAACGAAGTGTGTGCGTGTGTTTTGAGATTTGCTTTTCTGTTGTTGGAGAAAGAAAGGAAAAAAATTATAAATACAAAGTGACGCCTTCTAAAGCTTCGAGAAGACTGGAATCGAAGAACTTCGACGCCGAAATGTCTTCGCCCATACCTTTTCGTCGTCTCGTTTTAATGCAAAACTCTCTCGCCAAGTGCGAGACAGGACTCGGTTCCAACGGTCTCAACTGAATGGCTCTATCGAGCGGGTCTCCGGGAACGACTGACCAGTGATCGAAATAAGACAAACCAAATGCCATACCTCTCGTGTGCGCTCTCAAATCAGTTTCAAATCCGAAGGATTCTATCGCAGGAAGTAAAGCTTTAACGATATAAACCGGCGTACCCGGTTTGGCAACGTCCGAAACGACGTGACCGCGTCGTTTGGACAAGACGTTGTAAATAGCCGTCATGCAATCCGCGGGCGTTTGAATTTCAACCGCGTATACGGGTTCCATCAAACGAGGCTGCGCGGTCAAGAAGGCTGAGTACACGCATCGTCTGGAGGTTGGAATGATTTGACCACCACCTCTTTGTAAAGGCTCGCTACTTATCGTCGCGTCGAGTATTTTGAACTTTGTTTCGCGAATCGGCTCTTCACAAAGCGGACCTTCGCGGGTGCCCCACTGGAAACCTTGGACGATGGACTCTCGGACAGACATCAACAAGTCTTTATCGACTTCACTCGGTAAAGTATCGTCCATTAATACGTTTGGTCCATCGGAGTCTGGTCCGAACGCCCAAACCGACCTCGCCGCTAACGCGTCCCAATCGTACTTTTGCGTGAAAAAGTTCGCCAAATGTTTCTTCGGCCACTCCAAGACGACATTTTTGCTCTCAATATCTAAACCTAAGCCTTTATCCAAAGGTTCTGCAATCATTGTAATTTTGTTTCTCTTATTCGGAGTTTCCGCGAAACATTTTAACGCAGACGTTTCGACTACCGTTTCTGCGAACACCACTACCGGATCTGCTACTTTAACCTCGATGTCCGCGTATACTTCACGCAAGTCTTTCATCGCCGAGTCCAGATAGATTTCGCCCATACCGACGACGATGTGCTCACCGGATTCTTCCACCTTTGTTTGCAACGCTGGATATGTTTTTGATATTTTGCGCAAACCTTCAACCATTTTCGGTAAATCGGACGGATGCAACGGTTCTACGGCAATTTTAACCACCGCTTTATTCTCAAATTCCAGCGGTTTGAACGTATACACGTCTTCGTCGTTTCCTTCTTCTCCATCTTTTGAGGACGCAGAAACCAAAGTTGCGGTTTTAACGATGGATTGATCGACACCGGCGATGAGTACCCAGGAACCAGCCGGTGCGCTCTGTACAGGAATGCGATACCTCGCTTCGTTAATCCATAAATGCGAAACTGTCTTCACCGCACAGTCTTCTTCGTCGTCCGGCGAATACGCCTCGCCCAACACTTTCACCGAATCGTTTACGCAAAGCGTACCGGAAAGAACGCGACCAAACGCGTCGAACGCGCCTGGAGATTTCGTGGATGGATAAAGTTTCACGATTTGGACGGCTAACGGTCCATCTTTATCGCAGGTCTGCATCGCTCGTACGCGTCTACCCGAGGTTGATAATTCGCCCGTGTACGTGCGAGAAATCTTGCTTTCCGCGCCTTCGATGGGATTCGGTATGGAGTGTAACAAAATGTCCGTCAAACCGCCATGCGATTCAAAGACTTTTGAGAACGCGAGTTTTATCAGCGGTTTCGTGTTTTGTTTTAACTCTTTCGGTTTCAACTTGTACGAAAACCTGTTGAATTCTTTCAAAGCTCTTTGAAAAGATTCCGGCGCCTCGCCGACGGCTTGCGAGAAAAGCTTATACAACGGTTCGAGGATGAACTGCACGAACGATCGCTCGCAATCATGTTGTCCAACCGGAGGTTTCTTCTTAAACGCACGCGTCTCTTCGTCGAAATACGCGTCGCCCCATAATCGTTTCGCAAACTGTTTGTGATCCAAGTCATCGCTCTGCGAAACGTTTTTATACGTCTTGGCGAAAGATTCTAAAGTAAACGAAAATCCGTATAAACTCGATCCAAAGCACACGCGATTATTCACAGGTGTACACAAACGCGCATTTTCTGGCCCATACGCGGCTTCAATTAACGCGTTGCATTCTTCGATGACGTGTCTAAGTTTGTGGTACGCGTCCGCAGGCGGAAGCTTGAGCTCTACTATGAGTCGGTCGATTTTGTTGATGAACAAAACGCACGGCACGTTCTCTCGCGCGGCAATTTTGATCGCTTTTTCGGTTCCACACATGACCCCTTCTGCAGCATCGACAACGATTAAGAATCCGTCGGCTATTCGGGCAGCCGCAGAGACTTCGTCGCAAAAGTTTGCGTGGCCGGGAGTATCGAAGATTGAAATCGAGTGCGTCTTTCCGTGCTTCCCGTCTGCCAAAGGTAACGTCATCGGCACGGCTTTAATGGACATCTCGCGGCTGCGTTCATCAAGTCGAGTGTCCGTGTATAATCGCAAAGCGTTGTAATTATTTTGTGACAGTTGCGTAGAGCTCGAACCTAAATTATCGTCGTACTTCCACGCGTCCGAAACGTCGTGCGTCTCCTCCACGAGCGCATCCACTAAAGATGATTTCCCGTGATGTAAATGACCAGCAATGCACACGTTCCTCGATAACACCGGCGTTTGCCACAACATTTCCAAAAATTCTGGCTTACATTTCATTTTAGCGTGCGAAATGTCCAACTTTGAATCTTCCGAAACGATCTCGAATCTCTTCGTATTCTGCGAGGCGATGATCGGCACCTCCAAAGCCTGCGCGTCTTCGGTTTCTACCAGTGTCTCCGTATCTTCTCCGTACACCTCTTTAGAGGAGGGATAATATTTCTTATCTTCTGCTAAGACTACTATTGCATTCGTCGTCGTTGGTTCCTCTTCGTCGTTCTCTTCGTCTTCGTCTTCGTCGTTTCCTCTCATTTCTTCGTCTGCGCCGTCACCTCTTCGTCGTCGCCCCCAATCGCCATCTTCTTCTTCATTATTGTCGTCCTCGATTAAATCGTCCTCGGAATCGACGTCTGGTCCTATGTAGTTACCGAACTCGTCGTAGTTCGACTCGTCCATTTTCTCTTCTTTCCTCTTTCTTTCTTATTCTTATTATCAGGAGTGTGTTTATTCTCAGAAGAGAGCGTTGGTTGGTTTGGTGACAAATTTATTATTATTTGAAGAAGAAGAAGAAGAAGAAGAAGAAGAAGTTTCTCGTCTCGAAAAAAAAGAATGAACAAAATCAGAGCAAAACAACGAAGAGGAACAAGTGTATAAAAATTGTGCGACGTAATAAAATCAACGTGTTAATAATGCTAGCGTGCGTGTGATTGCAAAATAAGTGTTTTATAAGTTTTTATCTCTCTCTTCCTCTCACTTTTCTCTATCGATCATCGAGTCGTCGGCACCTCCTCCTTGGACTGAGTAGGCGCCTCAGAAGAAGACGAAGACTGTTGCAATTCGCTTCCTAACTTTGGTTCTCGCGGCATCATCGAGAGCCACACGCCCTCGGGGAAACAAATAGTCGTATCATACATGATTGGAATTTCGTCTCCTGGATCTTCGTGCACTCCATCGTCACATTTTCCAAATTTAAAGTTTTGCACAGCCGTCGCGAGCATCGTCGTCGCCGTGAGCAAAGCAAAGACACCGCCGATGCACGATCGCGGGCCCGCCCCGAACGGCGTGTACGTGAAATCTCTCCCAGCTGCCATGCGTCTGCGCATACGTTCCTTCGCAATCTCAAGCTTTTCTGGATCGTCCCTCGCGGATGCCTTGGCTTGCTTGTCCGCTTGCATTCTGAGCGATTCGTCAGTAAACCGGTCGGGATTAAACTCCAAAGGATTCTCCCACACTCTCGGGTTTCTCCCCATGGCGTAGGAAGATAACAGAATAAAGTCGCCAGGTTTCACCTTGTGTCCACTCGGTAAAGTATCTTCGTCGGACGCTAGTCGAGGGAATAAGTTAATCGGCGCGTACTTGCGCAGCGACTCTTTCACGACCATGCGCGTGTAATCCAAGCGTCCTTCTTGGACGTCATCAAACGTTGGCGCTCGACCACCCAACAAAGCGACCTCTTCTTCGATGCGACGCTGTATTTCTGGATTCCTCGCCACATGAAACAAGTTCACCGTGAAATTACTCGCAGTCGTCCGGTGCCCGGCAGCCATGACATCGTTAATATCGCCCCACAAATCGTCATCCGGCAACAAGTTCCCATCTTCGTCCGTGGCTTTGACGAGGACGTCCAACAAACAATAATCGTTAAAATCGCCTTCTTCGACGCGTTCTTTGACCGTTTCTCGTCGCTCAGTAATGAGTTTTGTTCCAACTGATTCTAAAATTGCGTATTTTTCCTTCAACTCTCGCACTCGCCCAATGCCGAGCGCGTATTGCAACTTCAAAATAGGCCCAGGCGTGATGAAGAGTTGTCCCATGATTTCTGACGTTCCGTTGTATGAATCTAAAATTTGAGAAATGTTATCGCTGACGATATCTTCGTCTCGCAAGAGTTTCGCGGCGTGCGATTCGCATTGCTCGAAATCAAACGCAAACGCAACTTTGCCGATGACGTCTAGCGTGACCAACTGCGAGTCGTTGTCAATATTTACGTTTATTTTTCCCTCTTCTCGCATGGTACACGCCGTTCTCCACGTTTCGCACATGTAATTGATTCGTTCTTCGACCGTGTTGGAGAACTGCGTCAGCGAAAACGAGTTTATGAATGGCTTTTGGCACATCAATCGATGTTCTCGGTTATATTGTCCGTCTGACCCGGTGATGCCTTTGTTCTTAATCACAAACCGAAAGGCGTCTGGCAACATCCGAAGCTTATAGTTCTTCGCGTTCGTGTGACAGACATACTCTACGATTTCTGGATCAAGAATGGAGACGCAATCTGGACCAATCGCATTCTGAATACCCACGCATTCACCTTTTTGTTCCGCCCAATCGAGCATGGCGATGGGCATTCCGACTGGATGTTGAGCCGCTTTCACCAGAGACTTTAAAAACGAGATATCATCAATCACCGGCGGTTCCGAACCGTCTTCCGGTCGTAAATCTGGGACTTCTTTCTTTTCCATGCCGAAGAAGGATTTCACCGAACTGTACGGACACGCTTGACCTTCTTTACCTTCTTCTTCTTTGTTACCTTCTTCCTCATCATTTTGATGAGCCTTCTGTTGGATATCTTTTTTATTATTCGCTTGCGCTCTATCTTCTTCTTCTTCTTCTTCTTTGAACGTGTTGTTGGTCGAATTCGTCGTCGTATCTGTCGACGAGGACGTCGTCGCTCCGACGACATTACCACTTTTACCACTTTTACCACCGGTCGATGATGAGAACGCGAGGACGACGATCGCGGACGACGATCGTCGTCGTCGTCGTCGTCCTCTTCTCTCTCTCGTCGGGGAGACCCCCGAAGCGTGACTAAAAGGGACTCTCACCCCTCGGATTTGCCTCGTCGTCGTCGTCGTCGACGCGGGAGAAGTACAACAACGCGCCGCGATGGAGTTTGACATGGTCATAAACTATATATTGATTTATGTGTATCAAAGATGATCAGAATATACAATATACTACACTCGTCGATGATGGTCGATTGATCGACCCGATCGATACTAATATAATTTATGATGATGATGAGGTGAAGTGCGTTGTTTTTTTGCACCTGTGTGTTCTCGTCCTCCTCCCTTAAAGTCTCGTACAAAAAGATACGATGATCTTTTAAATTTTAAGGAAGACCCTAAACTCTCTCTTTTGTTTCCTTCTCTTCTTCTACGTCGTCTGACGTCTAACGTCCTCAATATTAATATTAATATTAAATATTATCATCGACGACGCCCGAGAGATCGATAGATCGAGATGAAGAACGCACAGAACGCGATCTTTCTGTCCTCTTCTTCTTCTTTGTCTTCTTTCTTTTTTGTCTTCTTTTACTCCTTCTTCTTCTTCTTCTCAAAGGCTGTGGCTGCTCAACAACAACAACAACAACAACAACTCGAACAACAACAACAACTTAAAAGCAAAAAACCTGTTATTAAAACGAAATACGACGTCGATTACTCGCCGGATATTGGTTGGTTAACCGGTCGCGGGACTTACTTTGACGCCTCGCACGAGTGGAAAACGAAATATTTCGCCCACCACGAGTTCGGGTACCTGGAAACGAACGGGTGCGGGTATACGAGCAAAAAATACGCGCAACGAGAGCCAAAGTCGCTGCCGTTTGCAGTTTCGCGAAGTGCAGTCGCCGCGCTGGCTGACTTTGAAATGAAATCGAGCTGCGGACAGTGCTATGAAGTGAAATGCGACGATAACGAAACGAAAATTCGCAAATCGTTTCGTCGAAACGACTTCATCGAGTACAACGATAACTACACGCGTTTCCAGCAAAACAAAAACGCGAGAGATTCATACGGGCGAGAAATTCAAAACACGACGTTTCCTCCCTCCGAAGAGTGCTTTGACGACGATGAAGGGAGGACGAAGCTCTGCGAAAGGACGACGTGCTACGATCGCGATAAAACACTTTTCATTCAAATCATAGATATTTGTCCGTGCGACTACATTTACGGCCGACAAGAGATTTGTTGCGGCGATATCCCTCACTTCGATCTCTCGTTTTGGGCGTTCGAGTCGTTAGCGCATCCTCTGCAAGGGAAAATGAACCTCTTGTTTCGTCCCGTGGATTGCGTGACGAAACAACCCTTAGACGCTCGGGAAGGAGCGTTAGCTCACGTGCGCAAAAATAAGAACGGTGACGAATATTACGTGTACGATGGGAAAACGCCAGTAGGTTTCGCGCCCGGATGGAGATTTCGCGTTTGGTACGATTTGCAGTCCGATCCAGCGGTCGAAGGTAAAGGCAAAAACGGCGGTTTCGGCGCATGCTCGGAATTTAATTCGACCGGTACTATGGCTGCGGCATGCCTTGGTTGTGAGAATAATATCCTACCGTTTTCAGTCAACGGAGATTCTACGATGATGTCACTTCGAATCCAAATTAACGACGACGGCGTTATCGACGAGAACTGCGAAAATCTCAGTTTCCTTTCGATAGGACTCGAGAAGCGGCAAGATCGAGATGCTACGAGAGAATACAGCGAGACGCCGTGCGCCAAATCTATAATATTGAACGAAAGTGAAAGTGTCAGCATAACTCGCGACGGCGACGGTGGTTGTATTGTCAAAATTCCCGTTCACGTGTTTGAATGCAAACGAGCGAGCGTGAACGCGAATACGATATTTTTGTCCTACGATTATCCAAACACGCGCAAAGAAGTTTGTCTCGGCGAAGTAAAGTTATATTGAAAAACAAGAACAAATCTAAGATGTAGTAAAGATAGTAGAATATACAACAACAATAACTCTTTTTGTTTCTATTGCATTCGCGTCAATGGTTTTAGTTGTCTTGCCCAGTCGTTGGATCGTCTTCCTCGTCGGGAGAATCTGAAGAGGAGGAGGAGGGCGAAGAGGAGAACAAATTCTTTAAGCTCAACTTCGTTTGCAACCGATTTTCCTCGTTCACTAGCATATCAGAGAAGAAATCTAATCGCTGGACGTGCTCTTCTTGCTCTAACAACTGCTGAAACGGATAGATTGCCTCGTTTACCAGTTCTCTCGCTTCCTCTTGGTAGTTTATTTGCAACTGCTTGAACTGATTTTGGATGTTCTCCGGGAGCGAATTCAAAGTGATTTCGCCTCTGGACTGTTTTTCGGCGAATTCCGGTCCTTGTGACTTCATGAAAGATTGAAGCAGCGCCTGGACGTCTCGCTGTAACTCAGTTTCTTTATAATTCACTCGGTTCGTGAGCAACGATTGCCATAACTCGACGATTCTCCAAAATCCTCCTTTTTTATTTTTCGCCGAGAGTTCTTTCACCAACTCTTCTCTAAATCGAACCGGTTCGTCCAACTCTTGTTGCATTTGAACTATGCGCGTAAATTTCTCAACGAGCATTGATTCTTTCGTCGTGTATTCTCCATCATCACTCGCGCCACTATTATCAGCTCCTTCTTCTCCTTCCTTCCCGTAATCGCCGATTTCCACGCACACGCCTTTCAAATATGAACTTCGATCTCCCCAAACCGTGTCGTTCACCACGCGTTCAATGCGCACGACAGATACGCACGTGTGCGAACACACGTATTTCACCTGGTCGTTCGTTTGCTCGGAAACTTCCTTCAAATCATCCAAGTAAAACACGCACGCGTACTTGCTAAAATGGCCTTGAGCTTGCGGGTCGCACATGGGCACCACAAAGCGCCTCGAGCCGTTGAAGAGGATGTCGTTATACATCGCTCGGTACCTGGGTTCGAAGATGTTTAACACGTGTTCCGAATACGGCAAATGCACGTTCGATCCGAGCGGAAAAATTGGAAGTACAACTTCGTTCTCTTTCGTAACGATGGGTTCGGTTTCTGTCGCCTTCGAGACGTTCATAAAAGGTAACCACTGTATCGACTCAGTCCAATCTTTCTTCACGCCTTCGTCGTACGACCCTGAGCCAGACGCATCCGGCGAGGCTGCTCTTGTGGTGAATAACAAATGTGACCTTCGTCTATTCTTCCTCCTCGATGATGGCAATGATGATGTTAATGATGTGACGAGTGTGGTGATGTTTCGTTCCGTGTTTCTCGCAGCAAAACGCACGTGGTGACGACGACGAAGAAGATTACCACTAAACAAAGATGTTTGGGAAGAAGACGACGACGACGAAGAAGGTGAAGAAGAAGTCACGCGCATCATCGACGATGGATACGAACACGACGCTCTGCAAGAGGAAGAGGAGGAGGAGGAGGAAGAAGAAGATACTCTCTGCACGAATCTCAAGTGCTGCATGATGAGATGCGTGGAGAGATGAGTGGAGAAAAAACTGACACAGACAAACAACCATATCTCGATCCCTCTGAATTTCCCAGAAAAAGCAAAAAAAGAGGAGTTAAAAATACGAGTGAAAAAAAACGAAGTTTCAATGCAACGTTTAGCGTTCGCGCTGTTGATGAGCGCAGCGGTGCTTCTCATGGTTGGGTTCGCTTTGCGCTGCATCATCTTCAGACAGTTTTTCTTCTTCACGCCGCGCGTGAGTCGCGATAACGAAGTGTGATGATTCTTTCTCTTGTTGGATTAGTATTCGGTTTTGTGTTGTTGGTTCGTTTGTGTTTGAGAAAAAATGAACAAAAACAACGAGAGAGAAGTCAAAAAATACTCGGGATTGTATCTATATCTCTACAACACAAATATCCTCTGCGCGCGAGAAGAACTCCAACGATAACAATAACAACAGAAAGAACGAACGAAAGATATGTTCATCAAGAAAAGAATCTCCAAGGTATTCCTCGTCTCTGCCATCTTCTTCTTTTTCATCGCGCGAGCGAAAGCCGCAGACTTTGACGTGGACGATGATGAAGATATCGACACCGTCTCCCAGATGCGTCAAGCCTATCTGGAAGAACAAATCAAAGAGTCAAAAGTTACGTTGTTTGACATCAAAACGGGCGAAAAGTTGGAATCGGCCGCAGCTTGGGCGTCGTATGATCCGAGAAATGCCTCGAGAATGCACGTTGGCTACTTCATTCCAGATGCCGAGCAGGAGACTGGCGCTGGAGAGATGGAAAACTTACAGCTCTGTGGTTTCACAAAGCCAGAAAACTGCAAGAACGAACAACCGTACCCGCGCGACGAAACAAACACGGAACCTCTCGAGGACCCGTTTGAATGCGGCATCGACGACGAGACAAATCCAGACACAGGTTTTGTGTGCGAAAAGGTGAGTTTCAAAGTTGAAGAGGACGGAGATCTGGCATACGAAGGCGACATCTCCGTGCCGAACGAAAAGGAAGGCGAAGGAGACGCAGCCACATCGACCAACAACAGAAAATTACTACAGCTGCGCAGACGTGGTGTAGGGTTGCGATCGAGATCTTTGCGATCAAACGGGGCGCGCGGTCGCATTGGTTAAAATTATCGCATTTTGCGGCGCTCTACTTTTACTCTAAAACATACTCAATTAATACAGACAATTCTTCTTCTTCTTCTCAAAGACGAAGCTGTGCGCTCGACACAAGCTCTCCGTTCTCTTCAAAATATTGAACTAAATGTGCTAAAAAAGTATCTTTACTCACTGTTTCACAATTGCATATCAACGTCACGTGTTTGCGCGCTCTCGTTACGGCGACGTTCATACGTCTCGCATCGCTCAGAAACCCAACTTCGTTATTTTCATTCGAACGCACGGTGGATATAATAATCGCCTCCTTTTCGCGTCCTTGAAAGCCGTCGACGGTGGATATTTCGATATCCTTGAACAGTGCGTTCTCTTCCGCGCGTGCAGCGCGCATTTCTCTCAACAAACTCACCTGACCCGAATACGGCGTGATAACACCGATTTCATTTGGGAGTATTTTATACGCATCCGAGAGAAACTTTTCGATCGTTTGCATGACGATTTCCGCTTCGCCCAAGTTTGATTTTGAATCGTCGTCGTCGTCGCCAACATTTTCCATGAAACTATCGTCCTCGCCTGTGGTATCGACCAGAGTTAAAACTTTATCGAATTGCTCAAACTTTCGAAACCTTACGGATTCAGCCGCGATGAGTTTGGAATCGTACATCGCGTCTGAACTCCACACCATGATATCTTCGTGCATTCTGTACTGCGTATTCAGCATTGTCGTAATTTTAGCTCCAAACCTCTTGTTCCTCACCAATCGCTCAAATAACGTCGTAGATAACCCTTTCTGCGCAGCTTCATCGGAGAGGACCGTCGGCGGTAGCTGTAAATGGTCGCCCGCTAAAACCAATTTTTTACCCTTCATGACCACTCCGAGCACCGCGCACTCTAAAGCTTGCGCCGCCTCGTCGACGACGACGACGTCAAACTCCTCGTTCTTTAAAGCAAACGATAACGCCCCTGCGAGTGTGGCACAAATAACAGATGCTTTTTCCAACGTTTTGGCTTGCGCCAATTTTTGACGTTTCTTTTCTTCTTTCGCCAACTCGCGAAGTTCTCTCCTGAGATCGTTGCGCTCCGCGCGGTCCTCTTTTTTGCGATAATCGAGTTTCGATATGCGCGTGCGTATTTTCTTCGAGTCCTCCGAACATTCTTTCGCGAGCGCTGAATCGTCGGATCGTAAAATATACGCGTCTAGAGATGCGTCTAGTACCGCGGGCGCTAATCGAGCCGGATGCCCGTATCGCACGATTGTTTTGCTTTGATCATCCACGGCAAGAATTTCGATTTCAACCGACAAATCTTTCTTCTTTCGCTCGCGTCGTCCCTTCTTTTTCTTGTTATCAACAGAAACCGTCGCCGTTCTGAATATAGATACACCCGACAAGCGCTCAACGACGTTATCTACAGCGACGTTTGATGCTGAACACACTAAAACTCTGTTCCCTCTGGCAACTTCCTGAGACACGTATTCGACGACCGCGGTCGTTTTCCCAGTGCCCGGAGGACCGTGAATGATGCCAACGTCGACACAATCTAAACATAACTGGATGGCACTTTTCTGAGAACAATCTAAGTTTTCGTTGAATGGATGAAAACGAACGGCGTTTGCGTTGTCGCAGTGTATAATCCTAGGCGACGCGCTTTCAAAGACAATCTCGAGAATGTTTTTGCCCAACGAATATCCCGAAGCTAAGGCATGTTGTAAGCCTTGAACAGCCAAAACGAGTTTCTTATGCGTCTGCTCGTTGCTGAGTTTTTCCAAACGCAACGGCGAGACGTCGAGAAATTCCGGAACGTCATCCAGCGCGAGTTCCACGCTCGAATCCCTAATCCTATAAATCACGCCTTGTGGTAACTCGCTATTACTCGTACTCATTTCTTCGAATTTCACATTCGAAGGTCGTAACCGGACGACATCGTGCGGTGTAAATGAATGCGTCGGCAATGGTGGCGCAAAGTCTTTTTCGGTCATTTTACGTTTCGAGACTTCGAGCGTAACTATGGTTTGACCGAGTAAGCCACCTCGCGCGTCCACGATTTTCAAACCGTCGAGTGCGTTCTTGTGTTGTCCTTTTTTCTTCGATGTGGATGTATTCAAAGCGTCTAAAGACTGCGCGATTTCTTCAACGCGTTCTAGTTCTAACAGATGTAAGGTTTTTGTCGTCCATTCCGATATCGTGGTGATGCTCACAGCACTAGTACTCGCGTTGGTCTGTCTGCTTTTATTATTCTTCTTTTGTTCGTCGTCGTTTTTCTCAACGATGTCGTATTCGTCGAACGACTTTAAATCAATCTGAAAGTGCGTGCGAACAATGTCGCACAGATATTCGTCCGTCGGTTCCGACAAGCTTGTTCCATCGTTTTCATCTTCGTCGATCTCAACAGTGTTGTTTCCGGAGCGCGTTTCTTCTTTCTCATCCGGTCTTTCCAAAACTATTCGTCTGCTTTTGTTTTCAGCCTCTCCGATGGAATAATGAAGCAATCCATTCTTCGATGCGAACTCGTGCAATATCGCTCTCTGTCGAGCGTTTGCACTCTTCGGAAATAACACTCGAAGGGGAAGAAGGGGAAGAACAGCAGCGTTTGTCTTGTTATTCGTATTAGTATTACTGTTCGAAGGAGAAGGAGACATGGTTTTGTGTGTGTGTGTGTGTGTGTGAACCCCTAGTTTTTAACCGCCCCCCCCGGGAGCTGTTCTTTTTGTTGGGCTTTTGGCGGGATGTGATTTTCGCAGATTTTTTCAGTTTTGAAAGGGAAGCTCCCCAAAACTCTTCTTTCGCGTCGTCGTGTTGTTTTCCGCCACAAATTACACCATTTCACACAAACAAAAAGAAAGGGAGGAAGTTTATCACACACACACATAAAACATATAAAACACATAAAACATGAATAATAACCAACAACAATACTATTCTCATCTTCACAATCATCATCATCGCACCGCCGTTGTCAATCGTCAAAGACCAGTGCACATATTGTATTGCACAGGGAATCAAGGCAAATTTGCAGAAGCATCAATAATCGTAAACAATTGGTTGAAAGAAAACGAAGGATGGGGTATTGATATTCGATTGATACAGGCCGACCCAGATCCCACGGAGGTTCAAGGTTCAGATCGTCAAATAGCCGTACAAAAGTGCGTGAGCGCATACGAAAGCGTGAAATATACCGGAGCATTAACGATTGATATAGATTTCGTAATCACCGAGGACGTTGGGCTCCGATTAGATGCTTTGAACGGCTTCCCGGGCCCGTATTGCAAACCGATGTTGGAGACGATTGGAGTGGAAGGTTTAGCAAATTTAGTTTTAAAATACGACGAAGAAAAAGGGGAAAGGAACGCTATGGCCACGTGTACCTTAGCAGTTTTAGAAACTTCGGTCGCTTTTAAATATCCTTTGTTCGTGGAGAAGTGCGTGCACGTATTCGAAGGCGCCATCGCGGGGAAAATAGTCGAACCGAGAGGAAGCGTACAACACGGGAAAGCGTCCTGGAACGCGTGCTTTGAAGTAGCTGCTAACGACGAGACAGATGGTGCGACTTTCGGGGAACTCTCGTACGAACAGCAATCGAAAGTAAGTCACCGGAAAAAAGCCATCGAAGGATTTCTAAACTCGCCTCTGATTTTAGGACGTTTGAGTTGAACGAAGGACACGTTTATTCGTCGTTCGTCGAAACGAAACGCGAAACGAAGCACAAACGGAGTATCTCTAGAGCGCGCACGTAAACACACGTTGTATTTTAAACGAATAATGAAAGATATACTATAGGTTAATTACACACATCATATTATAACTACAAGTCGTATTGAAAATTCCACCTGGTATTCCTCGAAAAGTCTGTGCATATGGACCAGTTATTCTCTCGTATTTGTCCATAGAATCGTTTAGTTTGCGCGTCGAATCCTATTTTCATCTTTAAGTCTTGGTCCGGTTGAAAGTTAAACATCGTTTTACTCAGTTCAACCTTTCCGTCCATTTTCGGCGTGCTCGACGTCAAGGCGAAATCGACGCCTCCTTTCAAGTCTAATGTCGTTAACCCATCCCGGGTGATATCGAACGATTTCCTTCCTCTAAGTTTATATATAACATCGTCTGTTTCAGTATCGTAATATACTCCGCAATCAATTCTAGACACGATTGGGTTTAAATCGGACGGGAAGAACTTCTTCCGCACGTACGCCTTCCCTTTACACTTTGCGTTATGTAGGTCAATTGTACCGGATAACGTGAGACAATAGTTTTCGCGGTTTGTGAAACGCTGCTTGACGAAGATGGACGAGCGACGCGTTTTCGAATCAATCTTCAAGGACGTCTCCATTATTCTTATCTCTTGTGATTCGTTTTCCGATTATAGGAGGGACGAATGATATGCAAAACTATTATGAACTTTTGTGTTGTCCATATATCAAATGATGAAAATTTAGGGGAATTTTGACTCACATGCACAAAAAGTCCCACCGAAACCACATTGACCCCGACGAGCCACCACCCTTATATAGATATATTAGAACCACATAAAGATTAAGAAGCGAGCGCATGAAAAGTATGAGCAGCGAGAATGACGATTCACAACCGCTGATAAACAAAGTCGTCGCCTTCGACTTTACCGAGACTGGAAGAGGCAACGCCGTAACAGAAGATGTACGCAGAGGGGACGTCTTGCTGGAAATACCACTTTCGAGATGTTTCTCTTTGGAGTCTGCGCAAAAATCGGAGATGTTGACGAAAGCGATGGCAAAAGCGGCGGCGGCGGCGGCGGGAACTCGTTTCACACCAACGCACGATCAGTACATGGCCATGTTCATTCTTCTTGAACAAAATCTCGGTAAACAATCTTCTCATTACGAGCACATTCTTTCCATACCTAAAGCCTACGACTTACCGTTGTTCTGGAGCGAGGAAGAACGTCAGCGTTCACTATTATTTGGAACGACGACGTATGCGGAGACCCTGGCGTTAGACGAGGAAGTGATTCAAGATTATGAGTTGTTAAAACATCATCTCGGTGAAGACTTTTTCAGAGAACAGAACATAACTATGGACAGGTTTAAGTGGGTTCGAGCGACGCTGTGGTCGCGACAATGCGATTTATTGCGTCCAGCGCCGGAAACTACGCGATTAAGAGTGTTGATACCTGAATTCGACATGTTTAACCACTCCTCAAAAGTTCCGCTCGGGAGTTCGCACAAGTTGAACTACTCCCGAGGCCTCGTCACGGCATTCGCCACGGCAAATGTTCCAAAAGGAGAACAAGCTTATATAAGTTACGGCAGCGGAGAGGCATCGAGCTCGAAATTACTGTTATGGTACGGGTTCGCACCTCTCAACGAGGGTGAAAACCCATTCGAACAATTAGACGTTACTTTAACTTCGCAGTGTTCTGCAGACCGCGCGGAGTGTTTGAAACAGGCGCTTTTTGCATCCGCGCAAGTGTACCTGCGCAAAATTGATAGCGAATGGGAAGAGCAAAAAAAACGTGTTGTGGACGAGAACGATAAGAACGAAGAGAGTATGAAGTATGAAGGCGACGCGTACTTGCCTATGGTAGTGAATGTGTTACACGCGCCCAATGATGGCGAGTCTGGTGAGTTCATCGTTCGACACTCGCTGCCGGAAAATAATCCGTTGACGTCATCTCTGTTGGCATACGCCCGCGTTCAATTTCTTACGGAACAAGATTGTCGCAATCCAGAAATCGTAGCTCGAATGTTAAACTCGTGCAGTAAATTACCACCATCGATGCCTACGACAACATCGTCGTCGTCTCTTCCTTACGACGAGTACATCATGGACGACGCGAATGAAGTCGGTGCCTTGGCTACAACCGTGTCTTTGTTGGAAAGCATACGTAAGAATCAACCGTGGTCAGAAACTCCAGAAGAATCCGAGCGCCTGGCGCAGGATGACTCAAATCCAGACTTCCATGCGCGGTGTGCAGCTCGCGTGCGTGGTGTAGAAAAGCGAATCGTGGAGAAAGCTTCGACAGAAGCTCGGCGTCGATTACATTTTGCGATCCAGGCGTGTTTGCGCAAATCTTTCTCCATTCGCGATGGTTTTTGCGGCCACTGCGACGTGTGCAAGCAATCAGGATGCCCATGGGTGCACGTATTAGCTCAGAATGATGGTGCAGTTCAAAGTAAAACGAGTAGATCTAGCCGTGTAGCCATTAGCGGTATTGAAGACATGCTGCCGTTACGGGCCCATCTCCAAGTGCTGAATGTATGCTTTTTGTGGATGACGGGGCACGTGCGGACGTCGGAACAAGTGAACGACGATTCGAGTGAGCCCGAGGTGAAAAGTGCAGAACTTCTCGCTCGCGCGAAGTCACACGAGAAAACGTGGCCGATGCGAGAAGATGATCCGATGAATGAACGCTCAGTACTCGCGTGTGACTCCTTGGATGCGCTGGCGGCTCAAGGCCTAGACGGCTCGAACGGCGAGCCAAACGCTCACAACGGTGAAGAGGGTGAGATGTTACTTCCCGACGCATATAATCGCATCTTGCGAAACTGGTCGAGTCGGCTATTCTCCCAGTTAACAACTTCGCACATCTTTTCTTTGTCGGATGCAAACGCGATCGCGCAAGAAAGTTCGGCGTTAAGAAAACGTCACGCGTTATCTGTGCCTACGAGCGAAGCTTTAGCGGAGATAAACAAATATTCACCTGTTTTAGAAATGTGTTGTGGAAGTGGGTTATGGTCACGTAGGTTACACGAGATTGGGTGCGATGTCACATCATATACCTCGTCCTTGTTTGATGACGATGTGCGCGACGTTCGGTGGTTTGACAGTACTATGACGTGCGAGGACGAGAAAGCCGTGGTCGTTGCCGAAACGTTGGCGCGTCATAAAACACTCGTGCTCATGTGGATAGATAAGGGCGGAGAAGGTAATCGAGGATTAGATATGGTGCAATGCTACGAAGGAGATACGCTCATTCTAGTCGGAGAGTGGAGCGATCGAACGTACGGGTCATACGTATCGTTTTTGCCAGAATCTGGCGCGAGTTTTTCGAAACCTTTTCAAAAGTACGTGGACGAAAATTTTTCGCTCGTGAACGAGGTTCCAGTTGGGAATTGGCCAATGTACGACGCATCCTTGAGAGTTTGGAAGCGCCGAGAACCGTTTCGACCAAAAACGCCGTGAGCAAAGTGAAATAGTATATTTCAATAGTATTCGCATCGATAGATTCACCCTAACCTGTCTCCCTCTTCGGACTATTTTTATTTCTCAAAATGTGAAATGCACGAAGCAATACATCATCATCGTTGTTGTTCGCAGTGATCAACTCTGATGCCTCGCAGCGGCGCACGAGCGTTTGAATCGTTTTCTTTGTCTCTCTGCTATCCGATTTGAACAAATCGAGAACCACACACGCTATGCGAATGTTCGCGGCGCCACCACTACGGGTCGAAAGAAGGTCGTCGTCGTTATAAACGACATCGGCCGCTTTGGATACCATCTCCTTCGCCCACGTAACGCATTCATCAACAAAGGCTTGTTCTGACCCTCCGTACAGTTCCACGTTCTTCTTGTTTAAAGTCCCGCGTGTCTCAGCAAACGACGCAACCACGTAGGCAAGAGCAAGATACGCATACGCTTTATATTTGGTTGAATCCTCTGTACTCATCTTTTCAAGCATCGTCGACGCGGTTGCGATGGCATAAAACGAACCGTATTCGGGATGACCGGCAGGATTATCCATCAAAACTTCCGAGAGTTTCAAAACGAAAGCGTGCACTCTTTCAGCACGTAAACTCTCAATAGCGTCTTCAATATCTGTAATCGCAGAACTAATCACGCCGTCGACTTGCGCGTGTAATTCGCACGCCGTGGCGTATTTTGCTGTTTCGACAATCAACTTCAATCGCGCTTCTATATCTGCAACGCTCGGTATGGTGATTTGACAAAACGCAACGCTCGCCGCCGCTTGTGCTTGCGTCTTCTCTCTTTTCTTCACGTCCGTAGTCACGCAGCGCTTTACGATGGAGATGGCTCTTTGTACTACTTTAATGAGTGCTCGGTCGGCGTTTGTGAAAGCAGAACGACAGTTCATAAGAAATCGAAGCTCTGCATCAACATCGGATTCCTCATAATGAACTTTCGAAACAAAGCTCGATACCAAATCAAACGCGCTCACAACGTCCACTCCATCCGGTGACCCTGTCCTCAACGCGAGCGCGTCGACGCTGTCGTGAACGGCTTTAGCACAATCGAACGCGTGACTGATTACGCTACTACCTTCCAAACGATGTTTTGACTTCTTGATGCGCTCGAGCATCTTTATCGAGAATAGAACTTTCGAGTCACCGCCAAGCTGATTGACCAAGTACGAGAACCCAGAGAGAGAGATTGCTAACGAGATGTCCTCGAAACGAAAGAGGATCTTCGTGCAAATATTTTCGATATTCTTTGCTAAATTGCCGCCTTGAATTTTCCGGCGAGCTGCTAATTCTTCGTCGCCATCGAACAACTTCGTTCTCGATTTCTTCACACGCTTCGCTAAGTCTTTCAATAAAATTTCGAGTTGATTGCGCGTAAAGTTCTCGGCGACGAAATCGACAAACGCGTCCGTTACGCCGGCGTAATGTTCGAGCTGATCCTCGTTCCATTTGGCTAAAACCTTCCACACTTCCATCAGTACGTCTAATCTGAACTTCTCCTGCGGTGGTAGGTTCGCGAAAGCATTGCCCAGAACGATGAAGCATTTCGCGCAATCACGGACATCCTCCTCGAAGTTACTCGATGAAGAAGAATCTTTCACGAGTCGTACTAATCGCAGCGCGTTCTCGGCGCAAACATCTTCGGATAAAGTCTCAAACAATGCCGAAAGAAACGATAGAGGTGGTTTGCCCTTAAACTCGTTCGAGCACATTTGTATCGATCGTTCGAGCGTCGAGGATTCCGAGAGTTTTGCGTTTCGAGACAAAATCCATGCCAGCGATGGATGCATCAAGCGCAAAAGGATATCTTTTCTCAATCCTAAGCGTCGCATTGCGGCGCTGATATTGATCAGATCTGACTCATCTAGGTCGTTTATGGCTACATACCTTGCGATGAAATCACCAAGGAGCGTTTTCAGTGGATCTTTTTGCAACTTTTGCGGTAACACCGTGACGATTTTCTTGGCGGCGTAGCATCGCAAGTACGCAGCGACTAGAGGATCGCCCACGCCTTTAATCTGAGCAATCAATCTATTCAACCGATCAACTGGAGGCTCGGGACGTAAGAAGCGCATACAATCTAAAAGCGCAAACTCGAGATATAAGCGTGGCACTAGTTCGCGGATAGACGCGACTTTGAAAAACCAGTTTCGACACGTTGCTTTTGCCGATTCGCGTATATCATCCGAGTTCCAATTCTCAGGTAAAGGTGCTTTCTTTCTTCCACTATTCTGATTTGTTCTATATTCAATCTCGTCAATCTCGTCGTATGTTTCTTCGCTCTTATTTTCAGCTTTCATTTTTATTCGCTTATAAACCAATTGACCGACTGTATCTGCGATATCGGTGACGAGGAAGAATAAGATTGGATAAAATTCTGGCGCTTTCCCTCCTGCGTTATATCCCAACAACTTGACTACTTTTATCGATAGTTTCAAAGCAGCCACTCTGTCTGCTTCCAACCACGCGCGCGCTATGTTGTCGTTGAGTTTCTGCAGACGCTCGACGCAATCGCGCTGCGTTGTTCGAGCGATATCTTTCGAGGACGATGTATTAGACGAGGACGCGTTCTCGAGTTCTTGTAAACGCTCGTCGCCAAATTTGTCTTCGTTCCTAAACAACGCGTCTATGTCAATATTCACCGTGTTTTTCATAGAAGAGGACGACCGGCGAGTCGGCGTCCCGGGTGCTTTCTCTTCTACATTTCTGTTGATGTTTGTGTAATCGCGAAAGAACTGCTTTTCTTCGCCGTTGTTATTATCCACCCAAGACGATAAGTTCAACTCCAAAACGGCGTCGTCTGAAGCTTGCGTAGCAAATCGATTCACGAATACATTTTGTTTGTGCGCGCTCCATTCCAACAAAGCAGATCGAACGGTCTCAGAAGACGTTTGTGCGAGCGAGCGAACTCTTTCGCTTTCTCGTTGTTGATGAAGTTCAGCTAAGTTGGTTGATGGAGACTTTGTTGTTGTTGTTGTTGTTGTTGTTATCGTTGATTCCTTCAATTGAACACCAGACAACTCGATGCGATTGACATCATTTATCAATGCGTTCATACTATTACTGTTATTGCTCTTGCTCTTTTTCTCATCATCGTCGTCGTCGTCGTCGTCGTCGTTGTTATTGTCGTCTCGAATTTCTTCTTTTTTCAATTCGTCGTCAAGAGTAATTTCCCGACGACGAGAGCGAGAACGAGGCACAATATCCTTCAGCACGCGTTCGAACAACACTTTATCATCATCATCATCAGTATCACTCGTCGAAGTCAGTCTGAGTTCCATTTCTACCTTGTTGGTTGAACTTGACTTCTTTCACTTCTTCTTCTTCGAATTTGAGAGGAGTTTTCATTTCTAACAAACAGTTGAAAACACAGAAATCAACACGAAAATCTTATGTCTGCACCACAAGAATATCTTTCACAAACTATTTAACCCCAAACGACGCATCATCATCATCATCATCATCATCATATAAATAAGAATCTAAAATGGGGAAACGAGTAGTAAACGCACTCATGGTTGGTGCTGGAGAGTACACGACGGGATCGGTGTTCACCGCCGCCGGAGCTGCGCCGGATAAACCAGCAGGCGTGGTCGCGATTACCTTCACCGATTTGAAACGTCGTGGTCGAATCAACGACATGTATTTAGCCGATGCGGTTGGAACGAGAATGCCAGCTGTTCGAGATACCATGCGAACGAAGATTGCGGAAAAGTATAAAGGCATGGAATCCGTGAATGCGATCAAAACGTTCCCGAATGATGACGTGGCATTCGATGCGGAGGCGTATAAATTAGCGATTGCGCAGTGTTCTCCTGGCGACGTCGTCACGATTTTTACTCCAGACGACACGCACTTTGACATTGCAAAGGCTTGCATGGAAGCGAAATTGCACGTGCTCGTCGCAAAACCTGCGGTAAAAACTTTAGATAAGCATCTGGAACTCATTCAAGTGGCCAAAGAGAACAACGTTTTGTGCTGCGTCGAATATCATAAGCGTTTCGATCCTCTGTATACAGACGCTCGAGACCGAGGGGATTCCCTCGGCCCGTTTTCGTTCTTCAACGCGACCATGACGCAACCAAAAGCACAGCTCGACACGTTCAAAAATTGGGCGGGTAAATCGAGCGATATTTCGTATTATTTAAATTCGCATCACATCGATATCTGCGCTTGGATTGCCGGAAAGAGTTCGCGACCGACGAAAGTGACAGCGTTTGCCGCCATGGGCGCCGCGAATAAGTATTTAAACGTTTCGGATAGAAAGATTGAAGACACAATCACACTCACAACTGAATGGGAAAACAAAGAAGATGGGTCGAAGGGCATCGGAATATACACCGCTTCCTGGATTGCACCGAAGAGCGACTCGCACACGCAACAAAACTTCCACTATTGCGGCCAGAACGGTGAAATTCGCGTGAATCAAGCACGCAGAGGATACGAAATGGCCATGGACGATGAGCAGCGCCCGTTTGCGAATCTCAACCCATTATATATGAAATACACTCCAGGAAAAGATGGTTATTTTTGCGGTCAAAACGGCTATGGTTATCGATCCATTCGAAAGATTTGTCGAAGTCTGCCAACAAATGAACGACGGCAAGATTACTAAGGAGGACGTAGAAAACATGGGAGATTTGGCGACGATTGAATCATCAGCGCGCGTGACCGCGATATTAGAAGCTGGAAAACTTTCATTAGATAACTCGAGTCGAGGTGTCGAATTAGTTTACGATAAGAGCGCGCCGTTCGAAAGCGAGCCGACGGCGTTGCGTTTATTTTAGTGTAGTTTTGCAATCTCATCGGGTGATAACTTTAGGCGGGTGTAGGGTAATTTTTTGGGCGGTGTAGGGTAATAAATGCTAAATGGGAGGTGTGCGGTTATTTTCGCGGCGGTGTGCGGTTATTTTCGCGGCGGTATGCGGTAATTTTTGCGACTAGTGCGGTTTTGTTATATCATGTGAGCGGTAGTATTTTTTGCTTTTTGCTTTTTGCTTTTACACTTTTTGCGTTTATTTTTCCACCTGTCTCAGTTTATTATTTTTTTTAATTCGGGTAAGCGGTTTGCGGTTTCGGGTAAGTCCTATTTTTGTTTTTTGAAATTCATGAAACCCTACGACACCCCTAGCAAAAAAACAGAAATCCCTAAAAATCCCCTAACAAATTAGTAATCATCAATGTAATCCACCACGAAAATCAAGGATATACAAACTAAAAACTTGAGTATTGATGTGTATTTATGTATTACACGCCTCCATGGTGTCTATTTGGTCTGATTCGAGCGCAGACGAAAGAAAACGAATCTTCCCGTTATTTAGGGTGTCCAACCCTACATTTAAGGGTTTAGGGTTTAGGGTTTAGGGTTTAGGGTTTAGGGTTTAGGGTTTAGGGTTTAGGGTTTAGGGTTTAGGGTTTAGGGTTTAGGGTTTAGGGTTTAGGGTTTAGGGTTTAGGGTTTAGGGTTTAGGGTTTAGGGTTTAGGGTTTAGGCGTTTAGGGTTTAGGGTTTAGGGTTTAGGGTTTAGGGTTTAGGGTTTAGGGTTTAGGGTTCTGGATACACGA